AGAAGCTAGAGGGTCATACAGGTTCGGTCACGGCCATAGCCTTCTCGCCAGACGGCAAGCAGCTGGCGTCGGCCTCGGGGGACAATATGGTCAAGTTGTGGGATGCCGGGTCAGGCGCACTGCTGCAGACGCTTGACGGTCATACGAATTGGGTCAGGGCCATAGCCTTCTCGCCGGACGGCAAGCAGCTAGCGTCGGCCTCAGACGACAGTGTGGTCAAGCTGTGGGATTCCAGATCAGGAGCGCTGCTGCAGATTCTCGAGGGCCATACGGGTTTGGTCTGGGCCATAGCCTTCTCGCCGGATGGCAAGCAGCTGGTGTCGGCCTCGGGGGACAAGATGGTCAAGCTGTGGGATGCTGGGTCAGGCACGCCGGGCGGCCTGCAGACGCTCGAGGGTCATACGGATTGGGTCAGGGCCATAGCATTCTCGCCCGATGGCAAGCAGCTGGCGTCGGCCTCATACGACAAGATGGTCAAGCTGTGGGATACCTTGTCAGGCACACTGCTGCAGACACTCGAGGGTCATACGGGTCCGGTCACGGCCATAGCCTTCTCGCCGGACGGCAAGCAGCTGGCATCGGCCTCAGACGACAAGATGGTCAAGCTGTGGGATGCTGGGTCAGGCGTACTGCTGCAGACGCTCGAGGGTCATACGGATCCGATCAGGGCCATAGTCTTCTCGCCAGACGGCAAGCAGCTGGCGTCGGCCTCGGGGGACAATATGGTCAAGCTGTGGGATGCTGGGTCAGGCGCACTGCTTCAGACGCTCGAGGGTCATACGAATTGGGTCTGGGCCATAGCCTTCTCGCCGGATGGCAAGCAACTAGCGTCGGCCTCGGGGGACAAGATGGTCAAGCTGTGGGATGCCGGGTCAGGAGCGCTACTGCAGACGCTCGAGGGTCATACGAATTGGGTCAGGGCCATAGCCTTCTCGCCGGATGGCAAGCAGTTGGCGTCGGTCTCAGGGGATAATATGGTCAAGCTGTGGGATGTCGGGTCAGGCGCGCTGCTGCAGACGCTCGAGGTTGCCGCTTCCATCTCAACTCTTTCTTTCTCCGATGACGGCACTTCTTTCCAGACTAACATAGGACCATTGCCTATCTTAAGATCTTTCCCAAGTGGTACAGCTGTTGACCAGGTGCAGCCTTCATCTTCTATCTTGGTGGATGATCAATGGGTTACTCGCCATACTGAGCGGATTCTTTGGCTTCCTCTTGAGTACCGGCCAAGCACCTCTGCTGTTCAAGGGAGTATTCTTGGTTTTGGGTCTGCGTCTGGAAGAGTCACAATCATGGAATTTACTTCCTGAAATTTCCTGGCTTCTTTATCCTCCGCCCTACCCTCTTCCATTACAGATCATCTTTCTCTTATATTCTATAGAGAGCATAAATGGCGACAGCTAGAGCGTAACAGTTCATTTTTAATATAAAGGCTCTGAAATCAAATTGCGCCTCTATGTGCGCTGTCAACTCACATGTGATGAAAGCAATTTTTCGTGCTGACGTTGATATGTAGCATCCCAGTAGGGCCACTTCAGGAATGTTATGGTGGGATGTGATGATTACGTCTTACATTATACAGTACAACACAGCTAATATTAACTTTATAACTAACGGGAGGCTTGAAGAAGTCCAGTAGTGTTCCAGAATGCTCGAGCAGCGTAAGCATTTTGGGACTAGTGTTAGAGGGAACTGTCCCGGCAGCAAGGTTGAAATAACGTTTTCAGCGGTGCTTGGCCGGAAGCCGATTTCGCTCTTGACTGTATGAATCAATGGAGTGGGAGATGATAAAGCGATGGAATGCAGTCGGGATAAGGGGGCGTTAGGATAGTGCAGCATGGGAGTCTAGATCACGAAGTGGACAGGTTTCCAAGAGAGGGAGTATAGAGTGTCTACTGGTCTATCTCGCAGTGCTACTCTTCCTTTCACGCCTACCCAATGCACTTAACTAACATCCAATTCTTATGCATTAAACACCCATCTAATCCTCTGACCAACCCCTACGATCCCACTCATGATGTCCCAAATCCCATCCATAATCCACCTTACACCAACTCCCACCATACCTCTTCCTTTCCCCCAAAATCTTCCCTCTTACAATCCTTACTGCCTTCTCCCTCTCAACCCACATCTCTGTTTCAAGCCTCCCCGCATCCCGCAGCATTGCACTCACTTTCTCATCATGCTCGTGTTCTCTTAGCCAGCCTAACAATTCCACTGGCAGCATACCGGCAGGCATCGTCATGATAGCATGTTGGTCTTTCGGAATCCAGCCTTGAGAGAGATTGAGGTATGAGATCTGCTGCCAAGCGTCGCACCAATCGGGACCCGGACCTGAGTGTGCTTCTACCCATCTTGGCCATTTGTCTTTGCCGTTGGGTCGTATGCCGGTTGGTCTGTCGTCTTCGTCTGGGAGGCTCCACGTCAACGCCTTGTGCCATGTGCATCCCTCTAGATCCAACCACTTCAGGCAATACGTGTTCAAGCTCAGTCTTCGGAGGATGTTAGCTGCTTCATGCCAGTCGTCGTCAAGCTCCGAGTATATGTGGCTTCCGCCCAGCGCGACGGGCTTGGCATGCTTAGAGACCATTGATGCGGTTGCGGCATTTGGGGTTGTGGATGGTGTAGGCCAGTACGCAAGGGAGAGGTGTGTGAGTGTGTTGAGCTTGGTGGAAATGTTGAGGAGATCGGTCCAGGAAGCGTTGGACCCGGGATGTGCTAAAGACAACCTGGTCAGGTTTGGGAAGATGGGTACACTAAGGGTTGATGGAAAAGGAGGAGTCGATGCTTCGTCGGCTTCATCTTCCCAGGAATCTGCGACCGAGACTAGTGCTTTTCTATTTGAGTTTGACGGGGATACAGAGAGGCCGCCCATTGCCTTTGTTAGAGTGGTGCCAGAGATCGAGGGCGCTAGGGATCTGTTGAGGTCACTGAGCGTATAATTTTGATGTAGAAGGCCTGTTAAGTCGAGAAACCTAATGTCGTCGGATCCGGTGCCACCTATAACATCCCTGTCGGTCAAGAACAACACCTTGAAGGACTTCATATCTAGACAGCCCTGAATGCCATACAATGACAGATAGCTCAGCATTGCTTCCTTCAGTGGTGTAGGTAGCGCAGCGAGGTAATGCTGTTCATACTCGATCAAGTGCTCCCAATGCGTCGCGAACGTCCTCAGGCATGCATGGACTAGGCTCGGCCGTGGGGGGAGACGCTATCACAGTGAGAGGCTGAACTTGAAATCCTTTCAAGCCCTCGAATCAAGACGCAAACACAGATGATGCAAAACATACCCTGTATTCCACATCGTTCAACCGAGCCAGGGCGCAAAACTGCTCATAGAGCCTTTCACTCCCACCTTCCTCTACCAACCTCCGGTTTCTTGCATGAGCCGGAGTATGGCGGCTGTGTGACAGCCAGCTACTCGGCGCAGCTGGGCCAGGAGGGGGCCGTCTTGCTCGGGGGACTGGTCTCGCACGAACACCTGCCTTGGGAAGGGGAGCGTTAACCTCTGGTATCTGCAATATCTGCCGCAATTGCGGCGGGACGGAACGGTTCCTAACCAATTCTGTCACTTCATCCCTCCTCTCTGATGTAGCTCGCGGTGTCTGTTCGCGGCGGAGCTGTTGGATGCGCTGGTTGACCGTCTGCGGCGTCGGGGAGGCAGAGGTCGAGGGTCGCGAGCTTTGCAAAGAGGGGTGAACGTAGGAGTTTGACGGTTTGGTCTGCGTGTATGGTGGCGCGTGTTTCTTGGGCATGTCGAGCCCGCTGAGGATGAGAGAGGGGCTGGAGCACAGCTAAAATAAGTGCTTGTGAGTGAATTGATCAATGGTCCGATGAGTCAACGAGGCTCATGCGACGTAAGCTCAAGAGGACGTGCGGTGACTATAGGTTCAAATTATGACTCAAAGACTTATGCATCTATGTCGTGGGTGAGAATCTGTGTGTGAACGCGGTTGTGGGAACGCGGTGAATGGTCGACGTCTAACTGGTGACCTGAACACCCCCTCCTGTGGTGTCTTCCATTCTGAGGTCTGATGCCACACCCCGCCTTGGCATATCGGCCACAGGCCACCTCATGTTGCGAGCACCCTACCATGGCAGACGGTCCCGCTCCTCCCTTCCGAGATCAAGCACTCTTCCTTACATACTCCACTGGGCCGTTGTATGTGTGTCTGGCCCTCAGGAGATAGTAAACCCCCGCAATTCCAAGCACCCCTGCATACACTACGATTGCCCAGTTCATTCCACTCGCCGGCGGGTTTGGTATCGGCGGGAAGAAGCAAAAGACCAATATGAGCGCAAGAAAGGCAAGCGAAAGCAAATTCACAGCTAACCCTATCTTCTTCATCGAAAAATGGGACTCCAGCAGCGGAAGCCCTCGAAGCCGCCGCCACGTAACACATCCAACCGATGTCATATAGGACGTAATCAGTGCAACAGAGCCAATCGAGACGATAATGTTGAATGCAATCGAGGATCCGATGTTGATGCAATGAAGTATGCAAGCGATCAGGGACGACAAATTGATGGCATTAATAGGCACATCGTAGCTAGGTGAAACGTGACTTAACCAAGGCGAAAACGGAACACCGCAGTCTCGTGCAAAGGCGAACAGTTGGCGGGATGCACCCGCCATATTTGTGAGGTTGTTGGCGACATTGAGGACGACAAGAAGAGAGGAGAGTCCTGTTGCACTGGCTTTGGACCCGGTCGCGCCGTAAAACACCTGGATGATGGGGTATCCTGTTGGCGATGTGATTGCAGATTCTACATCTCCAACTGTGTAGCAGAAGGTGCTGAAGTCAAAAAAAATAAATCAGCGGTGGAGCCTCAAGAAAGGTAAGGATCCTTACATAAGTGTGACAAGTCCTAGAGCCCCATTTATCATGATCGTCCACATCATCGCTCTTGGAAGTATTTTTGACGCTGACTTTACCTCCTCAGCCATGTGTGCGGGAGCATCACCCCCAATAAAGGCTCCCACGTTCGTGATCATACCAACAAGGCATGCAGCGCCAGCTAGACAATCTCATGAGCTATGCCTAAGGTGAGGACTTCCTTTCTACTCACTACTTCCCCACCCAGCGTCCACAAACGAATTCCACACCTGTTCGCTTGGTGTGCGAGGCGCAAGAGCCCAAAGCGGAACGAGGATCCCAAGCCAACCGGCGAAGTGGAGAAAGCCAATCACCATCTCCACCAACGGCAGGTAGCTCGCCATGAAGACATTGAAAAGTGTGACAACGACTGTAACAGCTATTGCGATTAGTGTCCCATGCCACCGTTGATACTCGTATTCCGGGTAGTTAAGTACGATAAGGCCTTGAATGATGGTGCCGGAGACAAAAGCACCAAAACTGACTCCCACTTGATAGCCAAGAACTGATAACCAGCCGATGAAGTAGGACACTTGCTTCTGGTACCGACGGGAGGCAAATTCAGAAACCCAGTGGTACTGTCCTCCCGATGTTGGCGCCATAGACGACATTTCTGCCATAGAAGCGACTACGAGAATGAACCCTATATAGACTCCGATATAGGTGTATATGAGCCCAGAGGGACCACCATTGCCCAAACCGAAGGCGACTGTGCCAAGCAAGGTTTCCCATGTGCCCATGAGAATTAACGAGAAGCCGAATATGGAGACGAAACCAAAGTTGCGCTACGAAATTGTTGGTTGTGTTAGAAATGATTTCCCTTGACGCACCTTAAAGAGCTGTTGTTTTCCCAGCCGTCTCATCGCCTCCCTATCTTCGATTGTCCCGGCCTTAATACCAGTCGTAGGGATTCTATCAGCAGCAAAAGAGTGCTCTTGCGCCAACAAATCTGCCGATTTATCCATTTCTAATACCGTGTTGCTCATTCAACAGAAGGCGAGAAAGAAAATCGGGGTAGACAGGAATATTCGATTTAGAGCAGTATATATCACAGTGGGTCGTAACTTCGGTTAGTGTATCAGCGTGTTAATTCTGCACAGCGGTAATATCCCATGCTGTCGGGTCGAGGGACAGGGACCGGCAGTTCAAAAAGGTAGCTCGCATGTATGTACAACCTTGGAGACGTAAAGGAAAGAGACTCGCAGCCATAAAATTTATGAAACGCTCTAGCGGTAAAAGGTGAGTACTTTTAGCCGAACAAGCCGGACTCAATATGTAGACCCTCAGAGTGCTTGAGTACTAGAGGCTTATAGGGTTCTTGACGCATAATTTGTCCGCATGTCCCCCTTGTCTAAGGTGCGGCAAGCGTTGGAGAGATGTAGTTGCATTGTAAATAGGATTCTTAAATCATCATTTGTCCCCAAGTCTCGCTTGTCCAAGGTGCGGCAAGCGTTGGAGAGATATAGTTGAATTGTAAATACAAGTAAAGGCTTTGGTCGCATCACATTGAGATTAGGAAGATGAAATCCTAATCTTGGCTGCAGATCTGGTTCGATAAAGAGGGGTAGGTGTACAGGATATAGGGATGATCTCGCAATAACCTTTAAGCATCTTCTTTCATCGGGACAAGTCTTTATCGGGGCGCGCAGCAAGAGGAATGATGAATGCGAGAGATATAGAAGCGCGGCAGTGGCTAGATGAAACTTGGAAGAGGAGGACAGTACCAAGCGACCTTCAAACTCTTTTAACATGAATTGGGACCAGCAGGACAGATTCAGCAGGGTGGAAGATACGGCAACGCACTCCAGGCGGCTTCATCGGGAGGCCACGAGCAGGTGGTAAAGCGCTACTAGAGAAGGGCGTCGACGTCCACGAGCAGGGTGGAGATTACGGCAACGCACTCCAGGCGGCTTCAATCGGAGGCCACAAGTAGGTGGTAAAACTGCTGCTTAAGAAGGGCGCTGATGCTAACGCGCAGGGTGGACCCTATAGAAACGCACTCTAGGCGGCTTCAATCAAAGGCCACGAGCAGGTGGTGAAGCTGCTGCTGGAGGAGGGCGCCGACGTTAATGCACAAGGTGGATCCTACGGAAACGCACTCCAGGCAGCTTCATCGGGAGGCCACGAACAGGTGGTGAAGCTGCTGCTAGAGAAGGTCGAACTTGAAGCGGTTCCTGATTCGGATTTTTGTCCAGGAGCTCATGGAAACGGAAACCTAGAATGACACAGGAATAGGAAATAGTATGTTACTATGCATTCAGAGTTTTAAGCGCACAGAGCTGCTAACAACTTGTAAACATCTAGTGAAATACTAGAGGCCTACAGCAGAAGATATTCACCAGTCAACAGACCTGCTCTAATCCGCGGCATTCTTTAGATTTCCTTGGTTCTAGGAATACAGAGCACTAGCTAACAAAGGGGGATAGGAAGAGAAGAGCGTTACGACCATACACCGGACGCGGCACGGAGCTCTGGTGCTACAATATTAATCTACAATGTTCATCATTAGAGCCGACATGGCCTAATTAAACTCTCGAACACTTAAGTTGACTCGCAGCCAAGTACCACTAAGATAGTGAATATTAGTAGTTTAATGTTATCTTACAAGTTAGACTCTTAACCTATTTAGAAATAGACAGAACTTTTAAAACTTCTAAGCTAATTTAATCACACTAAATAAAAAATTGTAATTTTATTCTAAAAGTCTAAAAGAAAATAGTATTTATTTATATATATTTTAATTTATCTGTTAGTGTAAGGACAGGGCTCTGTACCACTCTGCTAATACAACTAGAACGGTGGGAATAATCAACTAACAGTTAATTCTGCGTACAGAATAGTAATATACTTGCCGCGCGTAAGGACGGTAGTAAAGGCCGCTTCATCACCCTTTGTAAGGACGGAGCTCTGTACCACTGCGCCAATACAACCAAAAGGGTGCGAATAATCAACCAACGGTTGATCTTGTGTACAGAATAGTATATATACCCGTCGCACGTAAGCGCCATCTCGGCCTTACACCTAGTTCTAGGCTTTATTGCTAGCTTACCCCTGCAATTGTTTTGTGTAGAGTTAACAGAAAACTATGACAGGATTTTCTATAATTAGAGTTGGCTAACAGAGTTGGGATGGAAAGGTAAGTTGGAAAGTGAGCACCTGAGCTGTGGCGGTGCGAACGGAGCAGCGGGTGAGCTGAAGTTGTGCCGGGCGTTATTTTGCTTCCAAACCAGAGCCTAGGCGCTTTTACATTCTCTTTTAAATAAGCATTAATTACAATTTTATCTTATACAAAGCTTAGCTAATTAAAGTAAAGCGCAGGAACATTACTCCAGAAGTTTAGTACTAGCAGTGACACTTTTTGGACGAAGCCGGAGGTTTTTCTCTTGCTGGGCTGTTCGAGGGATAGGCTTGTCGTCATGCTTCGTTATTCACTCTCTGTAACGGACATTCAATTCTGGGTATTGTTACTGCCTACTGCATGAGTACATCTGCTGTCAATTTATCTCTGTGGAGTTAGGGGAATTGCGCCACATTCTGTGGCGCCCTGCACTGCGCCTCGGCCAAGCTGGAGCCTCGAAGCCCTGAGCCGTCCAGGCAGCCTCATCCTGGCGATAACCACTAGCCTTTCTTCATCCTCGAGAGCAGTACTATTAGCCTATCGTCTTTGTATCATACTCCCTTTGCAGTATGTCGTAAGAGCCACTGTTATTCCCTCTGGTCCCACTCTAGTTCCTGCTCAGCCTTTTTCACATACCCGACCGAAAGTGAGTGCCTCACTCAATGGCGGAGGTTATCGGCCTAGCCGCTTCGATTATCCAATTAGCAGGTTCGGGGGCTAAGTTATCAACGACCCTATACAATTTCGTTAGCTCCGCAGCTCGAGCCGATCAAGAAATTGGTGATATTGCGGGGGATGTTCAAGTTACAGCCAATGCCCTTGAAAGCGTCGGAACTGTGTTTGAAAATGAAGACTCCAGATGCGTTGTTTCCAAGAAGGCAATCCAGGACGCAAACAACCTCATCAAACGATGTGAAGCAGTCTTCAATGAAATTCATGATGTGATTGAGAAACGAAGGAAAGTAACTAAGGATGGAAAAAGGAGCTTGAGTGCTCTGGGGAAGTTTGCCTGGCCGCTGAAAGAACAGAAAGTCCAGCTTCTTCGCCAACGTCTGGAAAGCTTGAAAACAAGCCTAAATTTACTTTTCAATGTGCTTCATTTAGCAAATGCACAAGCCAAAGGGTTCGTTCCGTCTCATTGCTTTTTGACCCTCCTTCTAACAGCTGATCTAGGAAATTGGAGAATAGCGCTCTTGCAGATGAGAGAGAAAAGATTCGTCAACTTCATCAACAGCAGCAGGAGTCATTCAAGACTTTGCAGGCTTTGGAGAGCAAACTGAACAACATCACTCTCGATGACGATGACGAGACACTTCGAGGATCAAATCACCCGTCTCGAACCCCTACGATAGACTTCCTAGCTCACCAGCCAGTATCAAATGAGCAGATTGCTTTAAGTCAGAAGTGTCCATCAAGTGCTAAAGCGTTCGAGGACACTCCCACCACAATAGAAGATTCTGAGACTTCTGATAGCGATGCCACGGTTGGGAACGAGGATGGAGAACATCTGACTGTTGAAGACCTTGCAGCATGCGCCAAACACGTACAGAGATTGTTGAAGAAGATATCGACGCTTCAAGAAACATTTGAGGCCGCACAGCAGACTTCACGCTATCCTAAACACCGCGTTCACAAAATCTATCGGCGCTTCTGTCGAAAATTTGAGTCGGATATATTCCAAAGAGGAAGTGCAGTGGATTTACCCTCGCTACCATTACCACAGTTCCACCTGCCTTCAATGTCAAAGACGGTGGAGCAGAATCCCCGGCAGCTACCGCCGCCGCCTTCCCTTCATCGCCACCCAGGAATCGACTCTTCAAATAGCACTCACATCCCTCAGAAACGCCATCAGAAACGCCGGAGGGCACTCCCAAGCCAAGGGGATTCTGTTCTGATTAGCTACATGGACCCAACTAGGCCCGATATTGCGCAATTGGTCGGCGAAAATGCTCTCCCAGGCTACAGTTCATCTTCTGATGATTCTCATTCACCCACGGGAGCAGTAGCGGAAAAGAAGGCTGTAAATCCAGCCTCGAATCCCACTCCACATGAGAAACATCTAGTGCTTACCGCAATGACATCGAAACCTGCGGATTTTACTCCATCGACTGGGAATGGCCTAGGCAACTCATTCGGCGGAATCATGGCTGGCAGTGCTGCTCAGAGCAGCTCAGGATTTGCACCACCCCCTAATAACCAAATATTATCGTCTTCTATGTCTCAAAGTCATCCTGGGTTGAATCCTACGCCAAGACATTCTCCGCAATTCCGGGGATCGACCAATACTCAGAGAGTACCGAATAGTCAACCAAACTTGTTTCACTTGGAGCAACTAGATCAGCATAGAAACTTGAAGTCTGCGGAGGGAGAACCGCCTTTTTCTACAGAGCGCGTTATCAGACGTCCCCGAGCCCTACCTCTAGTTTCGCTTCCGTCTCTAGCTCAAGGTTCAGGTGAAACGCTTACGACTAAATTTCTAGAGAGGATTGGAGCAACTTTTGATGAGCAGGAAATGGAGCGACAACCAAGAAGAAACTCCACCAACATAGTAAGCAGTTACCAACTCATCCCGAATATCGCTTACACATGGCCCAGGAAACACAAACTGTTGAAGAGACTCCACAGAAGCCTGCTTCCCCAATGAATACCCTGGGCTTCCCTGATAAGAGCCATAATTGGGAGTTGCCGCGGGCTGTGGTGCAAGCTCAAATGCAACAGGTGAAATCTATTCCGCAATCGGCGGCTCCTTTTGGCAACATTGACGAGGTAAGCAAAGGCCATATTGGGAAAGATATTATACTAATTAGTAGTCCCCCCTCCTTAATATAGGAGACGATATACTCTACACCTTCGAATTCGCCCTTGATGATGAAACTGGAGCCGTCGACTACAAAGGTGGGGACTCCAACCTTCGACCCCTTGCAAACGAACCGCCACCACCTACCTCATTGCCTTCGAGCCTAAGAAATTCGGGGAACCAGAACTCAAGCAGTCCAGAGGAACAGGCCCAACGACAGTGGCTCGCCGAATACCAGCAGTCTCTCATGAACTTAGAATGTGGGGGTAAGAAGAGAATAATCGCTGAGCATGCAGATGAGAGCGCTTCACCTCTGAATAAGCAGAGTTCTCCGTCTCCTGCGCCCTCAACTGAATTTTCGCAGCATGCCGTACCACCCCGGTCATTTAGAACCGAAATTGAGGCTAGGTCAGTAGAGGACCGACCGCTTTTTGTGAATCCGAAGCAATTCGATCGAATAATCAAGAGGAGAATGGAACGCCAACGGTTCGAACATGAGCTAGATATACTTGGATCATACAGCTCTGAGCCTAAACTAGAACTTCTCCAAGGGGGCGGCAATTCTGAGGTAGATGCATCTGATGATATAGACGTGGTCGACGTTGTCAAGTCTAGGGTACCTGAAGATCACAAGTCTCGACCTCAAGAGAGTGCGCTCAAACCTTATGCACACTCTCTCAGGGATTTATATGGACGAGCTCGCATGACTTCCCTCACAGACCAGGAAAGGCGGAGTGCTGCGCGGATGAGAGCATTGGGCCCTTGTGACAGTTGTAAAATGCGCAGACAAAAGGTAAGTCTTCTCGCAGATGCTAGTAGCAAGGCTCTAAGGAATATTTAGTGCAATCCATTCCACCACTCACGTGTTCCACGGTTCTGCTCGGGAGTCTCGGTTCATGGCCCCGATACTACATCTCCCCAAGAGAGCTTTGTGGAAAAGCAGAGCGGAGTATTGTCCTTGGCGAAAGGGCAAGATAAGACAAATCAAGCACCGGGAGCTATTGATTATGCTGGTTCGGGATCCGAACCATCCTCACATACTATATCAGCATCTTCTCCACTAGCAGTTACTGCCACAATAGAACTACACAGAGAAGACTCACGAGATTCTGTGCCAGACTTGCGGGGGCAGCGGGTCACGGGAGCGGAAGCAGGAGCGGCTAGCAGGAAGATGAGTGTAAGCAGTTTGGCAATCGAGGAAGATGGCATGATGGATGCCACCCCTCCCAACTACTTCCCACCGGGACCACTTCAAACTTTTCCACTATACGACAGCCAGAGACCACCCACGCAAACTTGCACATCTTCTAACTACAGCCCGAGGCCTGTCTCCCAATACGGGCCCCCGATTGTAACATACAAGCAGAGCGGAAACATGCCGCCTGCATGCCATCCGACAGCTCCTCAGAGTGCAAGGTACGAACGATCTCCCCAGTCGGCATTTGAATCCGACAGCTCCGAGAGAGAGTTCTCGGAAGAAGAGCACCTCCATGGTAGGCGTGACGGCGCTTTCATGCCTCCCCCAAAGGCCTCCCGGAAAGTATATTTGCCTTCAGTCTCCCAGGATCAGCGAAGATGGACTACTAGTAATGGGAATCTAAGAGCCCGGCCCAGTGTTCCTAGTACACTTGGTTCTCGTCCGATAGACATTCAACTACAAGGTAGGCCTACGACACCGCAGTCGAATGGGGAATCGATTTTAAGGAATGGAGGACGCGAGAGCCCATCAGCTGAAGATGCCAGCGAAGAGCGACATAACCAGAGCGAGGCTGATTCTTCCCTTTTCAAGGATGGAGGCAGACTATCTACTCAAGCGGATTCTACTCAAATCCAACCATATATCTCGCCAATGGTGTGGCAGGATTTCTCAACCGTCATCCATAACCATATGCAGCAGGCTGAGATACATCATCACGTCGATGCATCTACTCAATATATCTCATACTCCCGAGGGCCAACTGATACGAACTCTCCTCATGCACCAGCGACCGCAGTGAACGACCAAGAGAACAGGCCTGAAGAGTTAGGAAGAGAACAAGACATTTCAACAGACAGGAACTTTCATAACTATCACGGTAGAGGCTCGGTTACCTCAGCGGTTGAATGCCTAATATCGACCTCGGATAACATGCTAGAGATGTCAAGCCTACCAAGAGGCCCTGGGCCCCTTCCAACGTCAAGAGCTCCAATGGGTAGCATGTACCCCACTCTCCCGTCAGTCAACGCAATGCCTAGTATTTCGGTTGCTGCCTCCTTAAGGAATGTACCGAGCAATTTCGAAGATTTCGATCCAGCAAAAGAAGGCAACTCGGCACTTCCTCGTAGTGCTTTACATTGCCTTCATGCTTGGCTGAGCGCTAATCTCAATCATCCGTACCCCAGCCCTGAGGTAACCAGGGCTTTGGCTAGGAAATGCAACCTCACAGAAAAGCAAGTGAACAATTGGTTCACCCACGCAAGGGCAGATCGGGTACATAAATTAGAGGATTCGGCAAGAAATAGGAGTAATTCGGATGTTGAATACAAGCCAAGCGAATCACAGAAGCCGAAGAAGAGGGGACTTGCATCGAGTATTATTTTGCAAGTCCCCTTGGGCGCATCTTCTCCACTAAGGAATCGCAGAAGACTGAGAGGCCACTCAAGCCCCCTGCTCAAACGCCCACCCAGCTCCAATCCCTCAGCAGATAATGCAAAAGAGTTGGCTAGGAAGCGCCAGAAGATGCAACCGGGCGTGTTTGACAAACCCGAATCTACACGCACAGGTTTGGAGGTTCGGACCTGGTCACCGACAAAGCTTCCATCCCCGAGGCCCCATTGTGTAACAACACCCTTAGTATCTAGAGATGTGGTTCAAATCCCGGTTGAAGATTTATCAGCACCACACAGGACACACAGGGCGGGTAAGTGTGGTCCAGGTGCAAGTGCGCGGTTTCGCGCGAGGAGGAAGGAGCAGCAACGTGAGAGCGTTGCAGCGATTCAGCGGCTTGAAGCGAGAATTAAAGAATTAGAGGAAGGGGATGGAAAAAGAGCTAAGGGGATGATCCTTGACGATGACCTTGATCTTAATCTCGATCTTGGGGATGATGTCGGTGAAGGGAAAGATATTGTGGATGTGTTGCTTGCGCAGTGGACGCTCCCGGTTCACTCCTAAGGGGGGATTAGTCCTTTCGGCGCTCCCTTCACAATCTCCTATGCTCCTGGGGTGGTTACTTGGGGCGTTTAGATGCTGGGTGTTGCTAAATCTATGTTTTTGGAGTATATCGCTCCGCAGTGCCATTTAGTTCGAGACAATATTCACAACATTTCCCTTCCATTCTTCGGGAAATGTCTGATTCATTTCAGAGCATGTATACATCATGAGAAGGGACAAATTCTTCATCTCATTTAATCCCTTTACCATCCCTCAAGAATTCCATGCCTAGTTCTCGAAGTTTGAACTTCTGAATTTTCCCGCTCGCGGTCTTAGGATAGTTGCCCACCCAGAAGACGTATTTCGGCACTGGAAGTCTCGTCAGTTGCGTGAAGCCCATATTAGATTAGATATAAGGGGGAAGAAAGAAGATATTCATTATTCCATGGCGGAGAAGGGGAAGGACTGAAATGGGAAACTACACACCTAAGTGATGACTAAGTTTTGTCCTCACCCATTCTCTTACCTCATCCGCAGTAACTTTCCCCTTGGGTCCCTCATGGGCAATAACAAACGCTGCCACTACTTCTCCATATCTTTCATCTGGCAGTCCTACAACACTAACCTCGCTCACGGCAGGGTGCGCAAAAAGACAGTTTTCCACTTCAAGTGGATGGATATTTTCACCTCCTTTGATGATCAAATCTTTGATCCTGCCAGTAATTTTCACATATCCTCCGCTATCCATGCTCGCCTCATCACCTGTGTGCATCCATAATACGCCTTCTTGATCCGAGACCAGTACCTCTTGTGTGCGGGCCTCGTCATCCCAATACCCTTTCATTACGAGATACCCTGATATAGCAAGCTCTCCACGTTGGTTTACCTCAAGTGTTCTACTCCAGTCTGCAGGATCCACAACCTTTGCTTTCACATGCGGAAGGAGACGGCCTACGCTGTCGATCCTTTTTTCAAGCGGGTCGTCCGTGGTTGTCATAGCAGAAACAGGAGACGTTTCTGTCATCCCGTAGCAGATAGTTAGTTCCGTCAGATTAAGCACCTTATGTAGTTTGCGCATGAGTTCTGCTGGAACGCTACTTCCGGCAGCGATTCCAGTGCGGAGTTGGGAGAAGCCATCGTGGGGTACGGAACCGTTGGCGAGGAGTTCGAGTTCGGCGACGAACATAGTGGGCACGCCGTAGAGAGCGGTGCAGCGATATTCGCGAATGGATTGGAGGGATGCGAGCGGGTCGAAGGCTTCAGCGGGAAAGACGATGCAGGATCCATGGGTCGCTGTCGCCATGTAGCCTAATATACACCCAAAGCAGCTATGCAGATGTTAGTCCTATCTATTCTATAACTCGGATGGGATGTATTTACTGGAATAAAGGTGGTGGGCAACAAACGACGTCCTCAGGTGTCAGAATCATCCTATCTCCTATACTGTTCCCGTTATTCAGAATGGATCTGTGTGACAAGCATGCCGCTTTCGGCATCGATGTCGTTCCAGAGGTAAACTGGATATTCACAATCTCGTTGGCATCAAGTCCCTGATCAGGGAGCGCATGGCCTGTTTCACCATCTTCTAGGACGTGTTTGTAGTCTATCGTGCTTTTATAATCTGACGTGTCGATCCTTCCAGAGGAGTTGTTGACGATCGTGACGCTTTGGAGTGAGGGCACAAGCTCCGATTCGAGGGTTGAACCTTCGAGATTGGGAATTAGATGGGTCAAGAGAGGGATATTCGATCGGGGATCTTTTCGGGGCAGGTTTGTCTCGACTCCAATGATGAGGTGGGAGGCTGACAGGTGGTTGAGCGCGGAGAGGACTTGGGGCGGGTTGAATGCTGGATTGAGTGGTACTAATATCGCCCCGAGCTTGTATAGAGCATATGTAGCCTTAAATATCAGTATCAGCAAGCTAAATGCAAGCATCAGAGTGCCCAATCCCATACAGTAGCATACTCGATACTATTCCCGAGAGACACTGCGACTCTCTCCCCTTTTTTTACCCCTAATCTCGCTAGTCCTCTAGACAAAGCGTTGGAATCCCGATCGAGGGCGTCGTACGTCAATCGTGTCCTTTGGTGATGGGAAATCACGCTGTTGGGTCGTAAGCTCAACGAGCTTCGGATAGCTACATTAGGGGAACCCCTCACGCATCACGGTCTCCGTGCTGTCTTACAATGCCCGCAAAATGCTCCGGAACCGTCTGCTCCAATAACGGAGGCTACCAAACTCGTCAGCCGTGTCAATTGCTCTTCCGAACTAAGCCTGCTGACCTCCGCTGGTCCCGCACTGAACGCTTGGGTCAAGATTCCGCGTCGGGGGCTATGTAATAAAGGAATGGACCATGGAGAGCGGAAAAGCAAGGAACGAAGCATTTTCTCCTGGGAAATGCATTGAAGAAAAATACATGTAAGCTGGTTGGAGGTAATGGGGGCCCAGAGTACGAGGGATGAGGTGTACCTTGGAGCTAGAGCCGCGGCTGATCAGCACAGCACGGTGAGGTAGCGGGGTAGTTTGGGGACACTCAGGCGTGAATCACAGGGGCTGCCATCAGCGAATGAATTCATGGGGGAACGGTTTGCGGAATTGACAATTGACAATTGAAGACCGACCGCCTTCCACGTTTGGCTTATTTCTAGTCTTACTGTGTTGTGCTACGGTCGTTATTGTAAATACAGTATGTCGCGTGAAAGCCCGACCTACCCAGATGTTAAGCTGAGATACCTTCAAGCGCAAAGATCAACGGAATGCCCTTCGCCAATCAAAGATGATGGTTGACTCTAAAGACTCCCATCGCACGGCCTATGATCTCCGCGCTATTCACCTACTTTGCAACCATGTCGCCATCCACCAGCAGGCGAATGCGACCCCGCCAACTGCAACCACTATTGCATTGCCCTTCTTCGTCAGAGCAAGATATGAGAAAATGCCGACGACAATCTCTAAACGCCGGGCAGTATCTCGTCTTACCCTCCAATTGGGGTTGATGGGAAAAGGAGACCTCGCTCCGACGTCTCCTTGAATGCCCACTTTAAGCGGTGCATCGTGTACACGCATAAACAATGCCACCGGGCGATGATCTGAAGTAGGCTGCACTGGCAACGCAATGTACTTCTGCCCGTCAAGCCTCGGCGCTGAAGGGGGCGGTGGCAGGAATAAGATTCGATCACACCAGCTAGGATAACGGTGCTTTGCCCATCCCCATTTCTGATTGAGATCTGACGTCGATCGTTTGTGCGGACCTAAGCGTTGCACTTTGCGCAGTGTATATTTGTATGTAGGTGGAAAGGTAATTGGTAGCTCTTCCAGACCATGGAGTGTCCTGTTAGCGTCCATTTCTCGTATTAATTGATCCTTTTTCAACAAACGCGCGAATTGGTCCTCTGATGATTCCGACAAGGCAAGCTGTGGATATGTTTGGTGGGCATCTGGGCCGGGCGCGTTGTCACTAGTCCTATAGTTCAAGTCACCAGCGAAGAACAGGTGATTCTCGGGGGCAAAGAGGCCGGTGTTCTCTGGAGGGGGATCCGAGACTGAAGAGAGCAGAGGCAGTTCCTCACTTGAGCTATACCCGGAAGTGTCGTTATTGAGGAAGACCATGTTGCGGACAATTTTCTCCCAATCCCTATTCCGGGCTTCGACATTGGCCTCCATCGGTGCAAGATGAGCAGCCGTGAAGGTTATTCCCAGCACATCGTCAGGGCTTGCACACGAAACACCCATGCGCATCGCAACTGCGCCTTTGTTGCCCATGTTCCACAACCCAACGCCAGCCCCAGCCGATTGCATCCACTGTATTCTCTCCGTAAACTGTGGCTTGGCAAAAATCATGAGGGCTGTCATGCCCAGACTCCGGGTAGCGACGTGGTCGAGCTGCTCGGTGCCATCGCTGCGGAGCTTGGCCGCCAGCTTCACCGTTGCCGAGACGCGGTCAAAATACGGCGTGAGGTAGGAGCCACCGAGGAATGAATATGCGATTGGAGCGGCTTCTTGCAGCGAGATGGCAACGACGTCTGGGACAGAGGCCGACGAGGGCAGGTGCGCGTCAAAAAGAGAAGGTGCGAGGGACTCCGGGTCCACAAGATTGCGTGCGCAGTTGAAGGTGATAAGGTACAGCTCGAACATGGTGAATAAATGCTGATAGGCCGTCAGTCAGCGCTTCCGAGGCTGTTGGGCGATGCTTGCGTCTCTGTTGGAGCTCTCGCGTTGCAACTCTCGCGTTGCAGGACAGAGCTGTGGCGAACGGGAACAGAGAGCCACTCGGCCGTGTGCTTGTGAGTGGAGAAGTTCCTGGGACGGTGGCAGATAAAGGGGGGGTTTATGGTTGAAGATCGGTCACTCACAAGACAACGCCCTGCATCAGTGCTCGAAGCTTATACGTCATCGTACTGGTCCAAAAGGAAGCAGGGTGGGGGAGCAGTGCCAGAACTCCCCGGGGCGCGCCAGGCAGAGTTTGGAACCATCGTGAGATGTCTCCCAATTGCTTCCTCGCCTTTCTTTTTACTCCCAAGCGATGACTGTGGGCTGAGCGCTACCGATTAGTGCTTCTCGAAACAGTCTAGATTCACGATACCTTGTCTATCGTGAAATTTCTCCTTTCTGCCCCTCCATCCCCCAAATCTCCCAGCTCCAATTGCACCCCACAAAAATGTTCAAGTCACAGTTGCTACGGCAGGTGGCTCGCGCTGCCCAGGCTCAAGCTCCCCGTGCGGCTTTCAGACCAAGCCAGCCAATTGCATCTTCCACTCGGCAATTCTCCCACTCACCATATCGCTTTGATAAAGAGCCATATCGGGACGATGTGGATGCTGCAACAACGTCCGGAGAGCCAGGTGAGAGTGGAGACCATGAGGGGCAGTATGCGCGAACGAAGGAAAATATTCGAGTCGAATACCCCGAAGAAGAAGACCTGCCTCCCTCTCAACCAGTGCAGGGTAGAGGAGGCTTCCATTTCAAGAGAACACTTGCTTCATTTTCATTGGAGGGACGCGTTGGCGTCGTGACTGGTGGTGCTCGAGGTCTGGGCTTGGTCATGGCACAGGCTTTAGTCACAAGTGGAGCAGATGTCGCTATTGTTGACATGAACCGGGATGAAGCCCAGAGGTCGGCTCAGGGGCTCATCGACATTTACAAAAACGAGAACCCAGGATCGGACAAGTATAGTACGCCCCGTTTTGTGCCTTGACTGAGACTAATCCAACCCCAGGATTCCGAAAGTCACTGCCCACTTCTGTGATGTGTCGAGTCCAACATCGGTCAACCAGTCCCTCGCTGAGATCCTCAAAGAGCACGGAAAGGTTGATAATTTAGTTACTTCCGCCGGCTTCACTGAGAACTATGATGCAATCTCCTACCCTTATGACCGCATGCAAAAACTTTGGGGAGTCAATGTTGATGGCACCTACCTGTACGCCGTAGCGGTTGCAAAGCATCTCATGGAGAGGTCCGCACCTGGAAGCATTGTCATGATTGGCAGCATGTCTGGCTCAATTGTCAATGTCCCACAGCCACAGGCACCCTATAATGCAGCTAAGGCGGCAGTTCGACATCTCGCGTCGAGTTTAGCGGTTGAATGGGCACATGCCGGCATCCGAGTCAACTGCATCTCTCCTGGCTACATGCTCACTGCTCTGTGCGTATTGAAGAAACAACCTTCGAGGGCCGAAGCTAATCTTATGCAGGACCAAGAAGATTCTCGATGACAATCCAGAGCTTCAGAGGCAGTGGACTTCTTTGATTCCCGTCGGAAAGATGGGCCGTCCGGAGGATCTCATGGGCGCAGTGACTTTCTTATCTAGTGATGCCAGCCTTTATGTCACGGTATGCAAGACTGAATTAATTCATAAGAGAGACCACACTGACATATTGTAGGGTGCAGACTTGAGGGTCGATGGAGCCTACACCTGCACGTAATCGAGAGAGAAAGCAAACGAGAGAGTTTGACCCCCAAAAAAGGGTCAGATGTCACGGGGTATTTCTATGGAGTGGAGTTGCTGCCACATCCAAAAAATGAATCAGCATTTCTGCTTGCGATAGCTTAATCACTCTTTAAGTACCTTCGGGTACTACCACCGTCTAAACCTTTAGTTCGATTTAGTTGCACAAACAAACCGCAGCTTCTTGAAAACTGCTGGCACCGTTCCAGAAGCTGCACATGGGATTCTCTTAAGCGCCTTCCGCTCCACAGCATTTCCCCAGCGGACTCCTTGTCTAGCGCATGCTGTTGCACCCTCGTGATTACATAATCGGAAATTAAGCTTTCGTGACCGGGCGCCTCACCTGGAACCCTCCGCGATCTCAGCCCTACGCTGAACCCTTCCTGCTGAAGCGTGAATGCTCCACACTCTCTCGGCTCTAGCAATGAAGCATACGACTCCTCACTCTTTCACATAGCTGTGCAGCATTTGGCCTCCCAGCCAGTCGCATATCCTCGCCGCACGCCATGTTCAACCTCACCAATCTTGTCCAGAAGGCCCAGCAGCTCATCGAACCCACCCTCTCCATCGCTGGCCCCACCTCCTCAGACCGCAGGCCTTCAAAGGCTACCCTCTTCCGTCACCAATTTAGGCTCCCCGACTCGCAATCCCCGCTCCAAGAAATTACTGCCGAGCTCACACTCTCCCCCCACCACTCGACGAGGGGCTCCGGCGACGTCACATCTCCTGAGAAGGAGCGCGGGCAGGGCAACCACTATGTCGGCAAGCTGCACCTCAGTGAGCAGTACCTCTGCTTCTCGACGCAGGGGTCGAGTTTCTTGAACACAGCCAGCTTGAGCTCCTCCAGCAGCTTTACGGGTCAAACGCACGGAGCCGGTCCCGCAGGCAACGGTTTCACCTTGCCCTTGTGTGCTATCCGACGAGTGGAGCGGCTGCACAGCCAAAGCTATATGTTTGCGCTAGCTATAACCACCTGGAATGGATCAGCGGACCCGAAGTCGAAGAATGCTGCGCCCAGTGGCCAAAAGCTGACAGTTCAGCTGGCTGGTAGCCGGATACAATGTGAGCGCTTCTGCGACGGGCTCAAGAAAGGGCTGAGGGAAGGTGTTAGAGAAGTCGAGAATCTACGGGCCGTAGTCAGCCAATGCTACTCCGAATACCTTCTCTCGGAAGACGCAGACGAGAGGAGGGCTGGGGACCCAGCAAATAAAACGCGCGAACATCCAGACACTGGTCTTGGCATGGTCTTCAAATATCCTGGAAATGCTCGGAAACTCCGAGATGCTACAAAAATAAGGTTATGGCGGGAATATCTGCGTGGTAGGAGTTCCCTGATCGTTTCTTGACCCGCGTTTCTCTAATAATTGAAACAGAAAACGGGCGGAGTGCCACACTGATTCGACAGCCTACCTTCCACAAGCTAATACGTGTCGGTCTGCCAAACCGCTTACGGGGTGAGATATGGGAACTCACTTCAGGCTCATTCTTTTTGCGGCTACAAAATCCTAAGCTCTATCTTGAAACGCTCGCCAAATATTCTGGAAGAGAGTCTTTGGCTATAGACGAAATTGAGAAGGATTTGAATAGAAGTCTACCGGAATATCCGGGCTTCCAGAGCGAAGAGGGAATCGGGCGGCTGCGAAGGGTTCTAACAGCGTATAGCTGGACGAATGAGGAAGTCGGCTATTGCCAGGCGATGAACATCGTTGTGGCTGCATTACTGATGTATGTATTCTCCCTTCTCAAATTGTCTCTTTCTAACCAAGAAAGATACATGTCCGAATCTCAAGCCTTTTTCCTCCTCTCCATCCTATGTGATCGACTTCTTCCTGGTTACTATTCGACAACGATGTACGGCACTTTGCTGGACCAACGCGTTTTCGAATCGCTTGTCGAGAAGACTATGCCAATTCTTTGGGATCACCTCGTTAAATCGGACGTTCAGCTATCTGTCGTATCGTTGCCGTGGTTCTTATCGCTTTATATCAACTCTATGCCTTTGATCTTTGCTTTTAGAGTCCTTGATGTCTTTTTCCTCGAAGGTCCCAAGGTACTGTTCCAAATTGGCTTGGCTATTCTCCGGATCAATGGCGAAGAGCTGCTGGATGCCACAGATGACGGGACGTTCATATCAGTATTAAAAGCATATTTTGCAAGATTAGACGAATCAGCTCATCCGAAATCCGAAAACCCGAAGCTGAGAGCTGTTACGAGGTTCCAGGAGCTCATGGTTGTCGCTTTCAAGGAGTTTGCTGGAATCACTCAGAATACCATATCGGAGCAGCGAGCGAAGCATAAGGATGCAGTTCTTGGGAATATCGAGAGCTTCACGAAACGTACATCTATAAGGAACCTCGGACCTGAGAGTAAGCGATTGAGTGTGAATGACCTGGGCTTCCTCTACGATCGATTTTACTCGATCCTGTATGAGCGACAAGAGCGGGCCGAGATTATGCAGCAAGAGGCAGATAGAAAAGCCAAGGCAGGACGAACAAAGATCACAGAGGTTGTCACTGGCTTCTCTGGCAACAGCGTCGAAAGAGGGCGGGTGGCGTTAGGCCCCAGTCCTACTCAGATGGATTACGATGCTTTCAGAGAGTTCCTTGCAGGTACGCATACTCCACCAACACAACGTGTCTCGAGGACCCATTGGATCTATTTACTGCTCGCTTTTAACTGTTTACTAACTCGATAGTAGGTATTGCTAAATGGGCAGTGACCGACTCACCCAGCTCACCACCTGAACAAAACGGAACGCAATCTCCCCACTCATATTTTGGCAACAGTACAAGAAACCGTCCGTCTATGTCACCATGGGGTTCTGGCCCCGAACCTGCTGACCATGACTTCATGAAACGTTTATTCCGAAGATGGGACACAGACATGACTGACTCCCTCTCACTCCAAAATGTCGTCACAGGCTTTGCCCAGGTGAAAGGCACTAAAGACATCATGTCGAACATTAGCTACTTCTTCGAATTGTACGACGATGACGGCGATGGGAGAGTAGATCGCGAAGGTATCTTGAGAATATCCGAAGCACTGTTGTTTTTGTCGAGACGAGGCTTCGGAGATACAACAAGCCCGTTTCCATCCACTACTGACCTTCATGGCGGTAGTCCGGAGAGAGGAAATCGCGACGAACAATTTTTGAGCAGCGTGTCTGCATTCATACGCCGCTGCTTCGAATACGCGGATCCCGATCACCCGTCGAATCAAGGCCATCAACCTGTCGACCAAGTAAAGGAGGGTCTTGATAACTTCTCTATCGGAACTGATGACGAAGACGACCTTATAGACTTCAAATCCGAGCCTAGTACCCCAACCGCCACACAGCCCGCCAAGGTTACTTCACCTTCCCACAGACACACCAAGACGCCACTCTCTCCCGTTCCTTCGACCTCCAACCCCCTCACACGTACACAATCCAACAATTCAGACCGGTCTTTGAAGGCAAAGGAGGCAAATCTTGCCCTCGACCCCAATAAGCCTCTACATATCACACTCCCAACCTTTAGAATGGTCATTCTTGCCGACGAAATCCTTGAATCGTTCTTCGAAATCGGTTTCTCAGCTTCCTTCCGCCTTGCAGATGCACCCCTACCCTCGCACACGTCGAGTTCATCAAACTTGACCACCTTCTCCAACGCCGGCAAGCAAATTGCAGCGGCCACTGCGGCAGGCATGGGTGGTGTCGTCGGTGGCGCTGGAGCTGGCGTCGTTCCCCCTGGAAAAGGCTTGCGAGGTATGCTGGACAATATCGTCAGCGATGGGATGCGTGTTGCTGCCGAGGTGCGACGCCGCATGGACGAAGCGCAACGCGAAATGGATCGTGAGGCTAAACAGGGGCGAGAAGACGACGAAGAAGAGGAAGATCAAGCGAATGCAAAGGATGCGGATCTTCTCGAAGGCGCGGAAACAGCTGATGTAGATACTACGAGGGGAAGTGCTCCGAATCTGTTGAGTGCAGTGGATGCAGGAGGTGGAGGGACTGTGGAAGTGAAGACGACAAGGAATCGAAGCGCAAGCGACGCTAGCCGGAGGGTGCTAGAGTTTGAGCGGTAGTTGGTTCTTGGGTGTCGATGGAAAGGTAGTGATTCATGTGCCCTTTTCCCGGAGTACGAAGTGTGTGGTGGCGTCTTTTTGTCAGGAAGGATATCTTCTCATACTATACTGCCGCGTGTGTAGGCTGACGAAGGGTTTTTGGAATGCTTGCATATGGGAATAAGATCATAGCGAGATGAGATCAGGATTGGAATATAGGTTTTATTCCACGCTTCTGCTGAGATGATGCCCCTCTACTTCTATGTTCCTCTTGGGCCAATGCTCGATTCTCTCTGTCCGATCTCCCATCAGAGGACGATTACGATGCTGCTTTGATACCTGGCATGAATGCGCAGGAGAGCAGCAAGAAACTGCGAATCTTGCCTTGCGAGAGCCTCAGCCAGATCAACCCGCTGAATGTTGCCATGACTGCGCCGCACATGCCCTGGAGAGAGCGGTCGGCATGGGGCTGAGTCGCGCCAAGGTGAATCGTGGAGACGGACGGAGGCGCCGCGATTGCAGTGGCATGTCCACGACGCGATTGGCCGACAAAGCGGTGTGGCGGGTGGACTGAGGCTGAGCAGGCGGTCGCACGCAGCAAAGAGATGAGGATGTGCTTGGGTCGGGGTGGAGCAGACTAGGCACCCACGAAATGCACCCCTGGTCTTATAGACTCCACGCCCGCCATGACGACGACAGCGCAGGCAGTCGCATCTACCGTCTTCATGTTGGAACCTCCCGCTCTTTTTGCACACCCTTGATGCTCTTCGACTTCTGCGCCGACCATGGAAACTCTTAGCCGCCTCCCCCGACGCCTTACCCAGCTCTACTCCGACACGAAGGTCTCCTGCGAAGCCGTGATAGAACAAGACACTCCCGCTGCTATCCCAGAGGTAAATGCGCTGCACCGCAAATACCGCATCCAGAAGCACCGCCTGATAACGTGGGGCCTCGAATGGAGCGACAACACCACTGGCCCGCAGGCAGACATTGACGAGAGCGTTGAGCGTGCAGGCCTCACAGACACAGTCACGAGCGTGCTGGGTACTATCAAGGAGATTCTAGACGAGGCTGAGAAGATGCACCCGCCTGCTGTGTCTACAGGGGGCAAGAGCCTTTCGGGAGAGAAGAGCGGCGCCAGGCCATCTGATCCCCCCTCGTGGGCGGCCTCCGACCGGTCACGGTATGAGGACCTCGCCAAGGAACTTACTACCTCCATCGACACCCTCTACGATCTTTCAAGATCAAGAAGATCGCAACGCGACGGTGCTCGTGGTCTCAGCCCCAGTGCAAAGGCCATCTCAGAGACCCCCAAAGCCCAAGCATCCGTCTTCCTCTCCCCTGAATATAACGCTTCCGACGTTACCCTCATCAATCCCGCCACCCTCCCGACTCTACCAAATATTCCAAACGTCTCCTTCCGCTCGACCCTTCCACCCAAGCTAGACCCCTCTGATCTGATTCTCCCCTTGGATGAACCACCTCCCTACGAAAGCGTTGGCGTCACGTCATCTATCCGTGTCATAGGGCGACTCCGCTCGACACACAGCTCGACCAATCCGTGGAAAACCGACGGTAGCAAGACAATCGAGACACCTGTCTTGGTTGAGTACGCTGCGTTCGACTCGGCCTATCGCGCTACTGAAGTCTCGCCTCCTACCGACCGTTTGGAAAAACTCTTGAGCATTTTAGTGAACCTCACGAATGAGCAGTCCTTCCACGGGACCCTCACGTGTCTCGGATATTTCGAAGACCCGAAGCAGCCCCGGTTTGGTCTGGTGTTCGAGCTCCCCCCGTTCGTATACTCCGGTCCAACTGACTCGTCTAAATTTTTGGAGGAGCTGCGACCGGTCACCCTCCTAAACGTGCTTCAAACTGGATCAAAGTCCTTGCATAACTCCAACAGCGCTACGCCCCCCCTAGAGGATCGCTTTCGTCTAGCTTTCACCCTAGCTCTTACCTTTAGCAAGATCCATGGAGAACACTTCGTGCATAAGGACGTCAACAGTAGCAACATTCTAGTATTTCGCAAAAGCCGGCGTCAGTCACCCAACAGCAAGGCGTTGCACTATGCTCTGCGGTCTCCTGTCATCTGCTCGTTCGATCTGTTCTCCGAATACGACGTTGAGCCTACCGACAAAATGCCAACGCTAAATATCTACCGACATCCAGAAGATCCAAAGTTCACTGGTGACCAGGCAAAAGAGTACGGGCCACAGTTCGACTTATACGGTCTTGGTTTGATACTGCTCGAAATCGGGCTCTGGCAGCCTCTTTCTGATCTGTGGAAAGCCAAATACACTTTGGCGGACTTCAAACAGCGCGTCGAAGAAGTCTACATTCGTCGCCTTGCCTCAAAATGCGGAACGGCGTACATGCAGGCCGTGCGTGATTGCTTCTGGGCAGCCGATCGAATTGCATCAGGCGCCGAGAGTCTACACAACGGCTCAGACCTTTACAGCCGCATTCGCATTAGGCTCCAGAGGTGTTGCCTCCTCGACGAAGATTCTGGTGATCTAAGTTCTAATTTAAGCGCGGGCCCTGGTGTTGCGCCTATTGCCGGCTCATTGTCACTCAAGCGGAAGGTTGGTAATCCTCTCCAGGCCGCAGATGTACCCCAAAGCCCATCGTCAACTTATAGAAGCCCCAAGCGCTGGGCTTTGGAGAAAGGTTCCCAGATTCTAAAGCGGACTGAGTCACAGTCGAGGCCGTCCCCTAAAGGCTCTCCAAATCCGTCGCAATTATCGCGATCCGGTTCGAGGGGATCTCAGCATTCCATCCGAAAGTCTATATCCCACAGCATGCACACTCTGCTAAGTCCCAAGGAAGAACCCACCGAGCCTATGGATTGGCGAATGACGCATAACAGAGATCCACTCGAAGAATCCATTTATTTCGAGGCACCATCAACAAATCCCACCACGCCACCACTACCTGAAGATAGAGGCGATGCATTTTCTTTGTCCAATGAGAAAGTAGGCGATGCCGCAAGCGTCATACAAAGGGCATGGAGAGCGTCGCGCACAGAGACGACCCCGCAGCGGTCAATGTCTTTAAAGGATTACAGAGACAAGATCATTATTATACAGAAGACCTGGAGAAAGAAAAAGGAAGGACGCGCGATCCAAGCCTTGGTCTCTTCCAACCTCCTCCATTGGCCGCAGGCTACTCTTGGTTTCCAGACAACCTTGGGATACCCGACACCAGAGCCTGAAGCGCGAATGGTTGAGACTCTCGAGCAGACTGAGAGATGCATCACTTCCTCCATTCAAATTCAGACAGACATGGAAGCTTCTTCGCGACCAAAACTACGTCTTCACCCTGTGAAATTCTCTCCCAGTATCGTCGATGAATGGCATACGAACATGCTCCCTCGTTTGGAACGCCTCATCGAGCGCACCCTCAAGGATTCTGAGGAAACTATCAGTATCGATCTCGTCGCCATTGGAGAAACTCAAGCCAGCGCCCGCCCTACAATATTTGTCACGTGTACCAGCACCTCGAAAGTGAAAGCTGTGCTTGCTCGCCGATTCCGATACGATGATAGCGTTTACGATCTCAAGGTCCGCCGGGGAAAGGTTCGACGATCAAAGCTTAACAGGACGACACGACGAAGAAAACTACCGCACCGCTCAATGATGAATACAGAGGTCTATAATGCCGATATGCAAGTCATGAACCCTTTCCATCAACAACGACCCCTCTGTGGCGCATCGATTGGTGCCTATCGGGACGAGCATCTTCCCCCAGTCTCTTTTGGTGGCATTATTCTCGCTGATGGAGAGCCACTAGGAATGAGCGTCCATCATCTCTTGGATGCTCCCTCAGAGGATGAAGATAGCGATTATGGCGATGAAGGCCCAAGTCCAAGCCCAAACGACGCAATCCTCTCCAGCGCCAACAGCACCTCAAACCCTTGGCTCATGGGCATGGGCTCCCAGCCAGGAGTACAGATTGCATCCAACTCACCAGCACCGATGTGGGAACTGGAGATCTCAGACGACGAAGACATGAAAAGTGACGAAGATTTTGAAGCAGAATCTTTCGATCTCTCTTCTGATGAAGAGTTTGATTCGGACGAAGACTCCGATGAAAATGATCTTGCTGATTCAATGACGTCACGTGGGACTACCGGAGATATCGATGGGATCCCTCTCGGAGAGGGCAAAGACATTGTCATAACACAACCCGCAATTGATGACGTTGATGACAATTTCTTCCCAAATGAGGAGGACCGTGATGAAGACCACCTCGATTCTCACGAACTCGGATATGTACATGCATCTTCCGGTATCCGGCGTTGGAAGCGGGATGGTGTTGTTCATGAGATCGACTGGGCTCTACTGAAACTGAATCCGGATCGACTACAACCATATAACCTCGTTCAAGGAGGACGAAGGTTTTGCATTGGGGCGACCGCCGAACCCGAGCAAGAATTCATCAAGTCTAAACTAGAAGAGCCTGTCTGCAGGCGTTACTATAAGCCGGAAGAAGACGAGTATCCCACCCGAGTTGCCAGTGCTAGTAGCTTGGGTGGGCTGCGCGTTCACTGCTTCGGTAGAACCTCCGGCCTGCAGGGAGGAATCGTGGGCGCTGCAATGAGCTCCGTTCGAATCTACCGACGAAAAACATTTTCCAGGAGCTGGCATGTCGTTGGCGGATTTGGAGGTATATCGCTCCGTTCCCAAACAATCATTACACGATGCTAACTAGATGCAGTCGGTGGTGACTCTGGCGCTTGGGTCATCCAAAATAACTCACACCGCGTCTGCGGCCACGTCCTGGCATGGTGCGAACGCAACAATCTCGCCTACATCTGCCCCATGGAAGTCCTCCTCGAGGACATCAAACGCACCATTGGTGCCAAGCGCATAAGCCTCCCCGGCTCTACCGAAGAAGCTCTTCATTTCCCCTCTCGTTCTAACGGCAAAGGCATCGCCGACCAAGAATTCAAGGTTGAAGAAATCGAAGTCGGCGTCGAAGGTCTCGGTATTGTCGACTCTGCTGTCGATATGACTAGGCCGTCTGCGGGAGCAAGGCCCTATCGCGAGCTGCCACTGCTTGTGACAAGTGGTGAGTCGGACAAGGAGAATTTGCCTGTCCTAAGGAGCAGGGTACTGAGGATGAAGGAAGGGAGAAGTGGCCAGTTGGAGATGGTGACAAGCCCAGTTGAAGTTGGTGGTGGGAGGGGAAGAGGTTCAACGTAAGGAGGGATTGAAAGGCAGCGAGCTAATGATGAGAGAAGTTGAGCATTCTGGTCGTTTGATACCCCCGGGCTAGTTTAGGTGGGATTTTTGTAAGATTCAGTTTTGTTTGAATAGGAATGAATTACGATCACATCTCTAAGGAACCTTGAAATGCGCGTGACGACTTGTTGAAACTTAACACGAAATACTAATTGAGTGTAGAATACCGCTTAGACTTGTCCCCACTATTGGGGACGATATTAACAGCATCTAATGGCGGGAAGCAGTTTTCCGTGCTGGGATCCGAAGTGGCTAAACAAGAGAGTTGTTCAGATAGAGTTGGTTGACGGGACGCTAGATCGAGATGGGATCACAATAGTGACTTTAGAATGGCAGCTACATGGGATGGTATTCAGTAACGGCCAGCGAGTATCTGATCATAGGCTTATGGCACCCCGGACGGCGGGTGAGCCCAAGGATCAGGAAAAGATACGAAAAGTCGAGCATTGTCTTACGTGAGAATGTTTCACAGCAGACTTAGGCTTCCAGACCCCAGGCACGGGATGAGACCAGATGGACGAGGTTCATCGGCAGTTCTCAAGCCGAGAGCAGACATTAGATTCTGGCTCAGGTTTAGCGCAGACAAGGTTAGAGATGGAACCTTGGGAATGCGAAGCGATCGCGACAAACTCACATGCAGGAGTCTCAACGCAAAGCCAGTCAATAATTCTTGCACAAAACCCTTGCACAGATCTCATGTTCACCAAAGAGATGCAAGGCCCGCGATCGGCGGAATGTGTTTGGACGGCGCCGCAGATGCCTGCTGGGGGTGGAAATGATTGGAACACGTGATCGGCAACGCCACCACGTATCCTGCCAATATGCACGGAAGGGTTTGGACCCGGCCCTCACCTTCTCATTCCTTTTCAACGTTGCAGCTCCACACGCGGCCAATGACGAAGCTTAATCCAAGATGTGCACGCACACTTCAACATCCCGAGCAACTAATGGCGGCCACGATGCCCAAGCCCACCCAGGCCTGTTGACGGCTCGTCTTGCATCCGCCAGACGCTCGGCTTCTAGACGAGGCAGCGGGATGCGTAACGATTCTGCGGCCGCCTGCCAGGATAAAAAGTAGAGTGCATATGGCGCGCCGAAACGTTATCTCGACTTTCGTACTTGAGCGTCGCTTGCTAACCTCCTCCTCGTTTTTCTGCTCTTCCTCTTGCTCCCTCATACGCTCAATCTGTTCGTCGCTTTATACGGTTCCTTTTCTTTGAGTTCGGTTGCGAGCCACTAGGCATGAGCCGTAGCCATGGCCCTCTTGGACACTTTGGACCGCCAAACTAGCTCGCCAATTGTATTATTGCTTGTTTCCACAACTGTCCTATTTACAACATACGTTCTCTTGCACACCTACTTCCGCCGAGTTCCTTCCAATGCCCCTCCTGTCGTGAGTGAGAATTTCCCGTTGACCGGAGCTATCGCTTTCTGGACAAGACGGTGGGATTTCTTTCGAAACGCCCGTGATCATGCCGCGGGCGGCAACTTCAGCTTTCATGCAGGCCCCAATACTATCATTGGCCTGTCAGGAGACAAGGGGCGCCAATTGTTTTTTGACTCTCGAGACCTCGGATTCGGTGAAGGGTATGTCAGACATCTGCATCTGGAATTTAGAAGTGCTGACGGGTATGGCTAGTTATGCTGTGCTGTTTGGCCAGTCGCCTCAACTCAAGGAGCATGCCCGTGACGACGGAATCAACCAGCAAGACGAATATTCGAATTACTTCAATCGACGGTTGACATATTTGTTGAAGAATGAGCAGTTCCGAAAGAAGCTCCCCATCCTCAAATCCGACGTCCAGGAGGCCTTAGATCGAATACGGAATGAGCCCAGTGGCATCACCAACCCTTTCGACAGCATTTACCGCATTGTTTTCAGACTTACCATTCGCATGGTAGGCGCCGACGAAATCGCCGACGACTCCAAACTTCTTGAACGAACTCTAAAGCTCTTCGAGATGATCGACCAGTCCGCAACCGCAACAGCTGTTATGTTCCCCAAGTTTCCCTCACCAGCTATCCTGAAACGCACATATGCCGGAGCTCGATTATACATGATGATGGAAGACCTCGTTAAGAAGAGGCAGGGTGGCGGAGAAAAGCACGACGATGCTCTACAATATCTACTAGACCAGGGTGACAGGATGTCTAAGATCATCGAGTTTGTCGTAGGTTCGCTTTTTGCGGGTCTCCTCAACAGTGGAATCAATGCCGCCTGGGTTCTTTGCTATCTCGCAACGTCCCCAGAGTGGCTCGTCAAAGCTAGGGAAGAAGTCCAAGCTGTCGCTGTCAAATATGCGACAAATCCAAAAGCTCCTCTACGCCATCAATTAGACGACGTGCCGCTAGAGGCCTGGGAAACTGAGTTTCCTATTGTCGACCTTTGCTTACGAGATTCGATTCGGTTGAACTTGCTCGGAACAGCATTCAGGAAGAACATCAGTGGCAAGGCGATTCCGACAGGGAATGGCCACGAAGTGATCCCTCCCAACACGTTCGTTACATATGCCACCGGAGATGTCCATCTCGACCCGACCATCTATAAAGACCCGGAGAAGTGGGATCCGAGCAGGTATCTACCGGACAGAGCAGAAGACAAAAAGAAAACATACGGGTTCCTTGGGTGGGGAGTTGGCCGACATCCGTGCCGTAAGTCATTTATCCTACCAGTCTGAAGGTCCGCATATGCTCACGGGAATTGCAGTCGGTATGCGCTTCGCTAAGCTCGAGCAAAACATCATTACAGCATATTTTCTCGCTACTTTCGACTTTGAGCTGCTTGACAAGCACCACAATAAGCTTTTAGACCCACCCAGAGTTAACCAAAACGGCCATTCTGCACAAAAGCCAAGAGTACCCCAATTTCTTCGAACAGTAACGCGAGAGAAGTAAAATTGTTCAGATGTTTATGTTTCAGTAGATTCGCAAATAAGAATATAGCAGACACCCTAGTTCCGCGGGTTAACGGGCTAACGGCTGGGATTTGGACCGGGACTCTCTGGATAAAATAATGGAGGGTATCTAGGTATTCGGGTGCACTTTTATTTTCGCTCTCTGCAGTCTTGTTAAGAATTCTTGGATTCTAATACCCACACAATATCACAACGCACTTTTCACGCGACCCATTTTCCCATTCTTCCGACTCAGAGTGATGGCCCCGGTGCCCAGCATATTCCCCCCATGAAGCAAACCCTGCTGTTGCCCCATCTCAATCTGCTATCGTGCTCCCTCCACAATCTCCCGCTGGTGTGCTAGGTCCAACCCCGCAACTCCATATCCAAGCTCCCGCATCTACAGTCCCGTGGCATTCTCCAAAAACAGAAACCGGTTATGCAACCCTCTGCAGTCTGGTGCTCAGCTCTTGCTCCCGTCGCTAGATTATTTTGTCCGCACGGATCGGATTCACATTCTATATTTATTTGCTTTGGAAGGTTTAAAAAGAGTGTGGCGCCTCTATGGCTTCATGTTGTGCAACAATGAAGATTCTACCGATCCCGAGATACCGAGTTTCGGGGATGAGGATCGGAAGAGCGTGGAGGAATGCGGGTAGCTGCAGGGTGAGAGTTGTTTGGCCGGGTACAAAGATACGCAGTCATTGTCGAGGCGTAAATCATTGGTGCATTGCAAATTAGCTCAGGGTAAATGGTATGGGGTGTTGTTTAGTTGCTGATAAGATTGAGGCATGATTTTTCAGAGGATTTGATAGTTTACTTGGATTAGATTCAGCTGTTCTCATTTTCTACACACCTTCTACTTAGCGAAGAAGTAGACATCATTTGGAAAGAGTGTGAGAATTAGAGATGGTTTCTATTAGTATTATATGGTATAATGAGGGAGGAAGGCAGTCGGCATGCAAATAAACCTTGATGTCGAGTTTCTTCACCTTGCAACCACATCTAAACAGAAGTCAGAACGAAAGAGGAAGTTCCCTTCTCTAGGCTTCTTGCTTTCGGTCATTGTCAACGACAATGCGTAGCAGACTTAAACCCGTGGACCTCTTGAGTATCCTAACTGCTTCCATTCTGGTTCAGCCCCCGTGCAACGCCGATGCTCATTCCATTTCTCCCCTAATTCTATAGCTATGGTTTACGGGAATTTCTACCCGTTTATCGGGTCGACATAATCTCTTCGTCACACAGCTTCGAAGCTTAACCCTTGTGCATATCGGAACGCATAGTATTCTCCAAGCTAGGGGCTTCGGGGAAGAGAATAGGGTGACCAGGGGCAAGCATCATCCAGGAAGCGCTGTACCGAAGTTGATGTTACATTAGGTCGAGGTCGAGGATGAATTGACGGTAGCGTCTTAGATGAATTACTCATTGGTTTGTTCGAGTTATCGGAGTTGAGTCCGACAGGTCCATTGTATCCATCTCGTCCACATTGTAAGGCTAATTCGGCTTCAAAGGTCCGTATGGAGCGAAGGTCCTCTTCAGTGCTTTGCCCAGACATGTGTCGACGCTTGGGTATAGTTGCAGATAGATGGAGCTTAGCCGAGTGTGGTTGAGATTTTGGAATGGTGCCTGGCATTGAAATAAAAGTTGAGGAAGGGCGGTATCGTGGACGTTCGACAATTACACCATCTGGTCGTTGGATGGCACGGTATAAAACTCGTTTCCTGGTCTTTGATTCAGTCTTAATGGTGATTGAGAGGGCGGTGGACTCGTCGATGAGGATGCTTGATTGCCGCGCAAGCTTCGTGGAAGGGTGGTTTTTTGGGGAACACATGGTAGCGAGCATGGAAAGGTTGGGCTGTAAAAATCGGGACAATTAAAGCTGCTTGACCCTGGTTGATAGGGACGATGGAGGGATGCGCGTATGATTTTGAGACTACGCTGAGATTACCATGAGGTGTTCTCACCTTTATACAAAATCCTCCTTCAACTTTTCAGCTATTTCCGACTCCAATGACACCAACTTCAAGACTCATCTCAATCTGTCGATATCTGCCTTGCGCGCCTCCTCCATCATGTAGGTCCAGAACTTCTCTCCATCTGCAGCGCACGCACATGCTCTCACCCACCTGACGGGCCTCCTATAGGGCTGAGGGCTTCGGTGAGCGGTGCAAAGATGGCTGCCTCTCGCGTGTGGGATGAGGATGGTAAGATATCGACATCATAACAGCCCCAGGAAATGTGTTCTAGACTTTTACATTGCATACTATAGCAAAGAAGTGTGCACAAGCCAAGTGGATGGTGATGTTGAAAGCTGGGTTTTGGAGCTGAGACGCACAGCCGCATGGCGCGCTAGCGCCACTGATGTCATATCTGGGGCGTTCGGGCATTTGGGACCCTGCTGTCGTTCAGGACGTTTTCGACATGACAGAGGCCGGTGTGCGGGATGCAAGGGTGACGTTCTGGCCATTTTGATGGAAGTGATAGGCGGTGAATTGTCTTCACCCACACGGGACCCCAATCGAAGTTCGAGAGTTCAGCACAGCAGTGCACGCAGCTGATGGGCGACCTTTTGACGCGAGAACGGCAGCCAGACGACCCCCGTCTAGTGGCGAGCACGGTTGCGAGCCTGCGAGAGTGCCGAAAGCGAAAACATAACTACGAGTCTTTATATCTACCGACAGCGAAATTGCCATCCGGTGTAGGCACGTATTCATTGGTTAGACCCGGTTCAAGGATTGCAAAACCCGTCTTGGTTGTAATAAAGGGTCGCTTAAAGTCAGTTTAGCCACTAAATGTATTCCAGCATGACCCTTTGTGGGGAGAGAGGCAACATCACATAGTAGTGGAGAAACTTCTCTGGCGTGTATATCCTTGCCCGGGAGAACGTTATAAACACCAGATGACTTCCTTCAAAAAGAAGAGTAAAGGTCACCGATCACATCTGTAACCATGGTTTCATTTACATTACTTGCCGCCATTTCTCTAATTCCAGGAGCATTCACTGCCCCAGGACAGCTTCTTCAACGCGCCAGTACTCCAAGCTCCGAAGTCCAGCAGGCAACCAACTACTGGCAGTTTTGGCAAGAAGGCGGGGGAAATATCAAATGTAATAACGGGGGTGGTGGCTCATATACCTGCACTTGGTCTGGTGGCGGCTTCGTGGCCGGAAAAGGATACCAGCCAGGAGGATCGAGGTAAGCGGTCAACTGGCCAAACTACCACTATGATTAAAGGGGTGCTGCTGTTAACATTTATTCAACAATAGGGCTGTCAAATACAGTGGCACGTACACTCCTAAGGGCCCCGGTTATCTCGCACTGTACGGCTGGACTAAGAACCCTTTAATCGAATACTACATTGTTGAATCCTACGACATTCTGGCTCCTGGAGAACCCTGGACTCGTAAAGGAAATTTTACTTTCGACGAGGGTACTTATGAGCTATACCAAAGCACTCGGAATAACAAGCCTTCTATTGTGGGAACAGCGACCTTTCAGCAGTACTGGTCCGTCCGTACTGAAAAGAGGGTCGGAGGAACAATCACCACTGGTAAGCATTTCGATGCTTGGGCTAAGGCTGGAATGAAACTGGGCAACCACGACTATATGATCATTGCAACGGAGGGGTTTGCCAACGGCACAAAAACTCCTAGTGGATCTTGCAGTATCACCGTCGAATAGAACGAAGAAGCTCGTCAGTTGTGCAGGCCGTAGGATGTTTTTATGGGGGCCAATTTTTAGTTGAGAGGAAGAGCCTGAACCGCTCACCATCCAAGGCACTATACATTGAATGAGTCCTGTTCTTTCTGAAGCTCCACTTTAAACCTATACAGTCTACGTTCTTTCGTTTGCACCATCGACGGAAACCTCTGGTTCAACATTTGTGCCCCCGGAGAACATGTCGCGAACGCTAAACTCAAAAGCGCCGAGTAGCCCGTTACCAGGCCTAGCTTTCTACGACTATACCTTCAATAACACTCTTTTGTACTTTGTGATGGGGTTCCTAACGCCTTCCGCTTTAATAGCAACAACCACATCTAAGACCGGACACTTCGACGTTTCCCCATACTGCCCTAACTCTGTAACATTTTCAGAAGTAGCCTAGTCTCCACCGGTAGGTTTCGGTATAGTGAATTTAAAACTTTGGTGTTCAGACCAGGTGAGATATGTGAAATTAATTTGTGGTACCACGCCTGGGGATGACTAGTATGATGAGGGCTCTCGATGCTGGAACCGGGCGAAACTAAGCTTCGCATTCACATCGGGAGAGTAAGAATTGGAGGTATCGAGGGGAATTAATTCTCCAACAATAACGTTAATTTTTAACGCAGAGGATCTACAAGAACCATTAATCGCAACGATTGGCAGGTGTGTAGTGTTTAAACCAGGTCCATTCGACACGAGCGTCCACTGCATTGCAGCCGCAAACTCTTGCTGGAAAGCATCGTGTTATCGCCATATCGTCGCTTTGTTGTTCACGAACTTCTCTCCGTTCTGTCTGATGATACTATTAGCAGCATCGCCATATTGTAAGTCTCCGCCGAGGGGATTGGACGTATATTGACCGCCCAACCGCCTCCAATCAGGATGTCCCGAGTCTCCGAGGCCATTCGGGATATTGTATAGCAGCATATGGGTATCCCTTTCCATAATGTGCTTGACGTCAGGATACAATTTTTTTTATTTCTTTAAACACTTTACCTAAGCCTAGGAATCTGTTAGAGCCTCTACTAGTTTCTTTTATCCTAGTGATCCAATCTATATGTTCACTGTAAGCCAGTCCTGCGAGATAGTGTGCATGTCACCTCCCATGTAAATATTTAAAGTACTGATTCCAGTCCAATCCGAGTCAGAATATTGATTGAAGCCATGTCTTGAAACTATAAAGCGCGTACCTAGGAAGTTTCGCTAGATTCATATCCTAGCGTCGTCTTGGTCAGAGACTGAATACGCTCGGAGAGGCACGCAAAGAACGAGAGGATTGACTTTAGCGAAATTAGGAGCGTAAAATTGCTCATTTTGTTTACAAGGAGGCACCCATAAAGACGCCAGGAGTGACCAATTTGCTATAGCGGCTGTATTTATGACTTCGTCATGTCGGTACATATGTCTTCACCGGAGAAGCACGACGCCTTGTTCAGGTCGTCGGATATCGTTGATAAATGCTACTCCGTGCTTGCGGTAGTTGGTTCCTGTTACTGCTCGTGGGGGATACATGCATGGTAAAAAAACAGGAATATCAACCACCCAAGTAGTGCCTATTGTTGCTGAATTGAGTTCGCGAAGCGGAAGATGCCCGATTATTGGAGAGGCTAACCGAGGTAGGCTTAGTCTGGGCTTGGCTCAGCGTCTCACGTGCTGCTACTCCTACTCGCGTAAGTATTGAACGCTGGATGTTACATCCTCCAGAAAACTCTCAGCGTCTTAAGCTTGGCCAGACTGGTATCACCTGCTTCTTCAAGAACCAATAGCATCGACATATCTGTCTGAAATACGGTATGCTCTGTTCGACTAATGTGCAGACTTCTTCACAAGCCAGAATCTGGGGTGCATGCCGAAGCTCCTCATGACGTCGGTGAACGGTGACGGAGCGGATCCGTTTAGCGGCCCACAACACTATAATGACACCGCCAGCCCCGCACATTTGCTTCATAACAATTGCCACGGCTCCCCTTTTTCGCTGGCAAGGTAGCGCTTGTTCTGTCGTATTCAGTCCGCCCTAAACATGACTTACGTTTATATTTCACAGCTAGTAAGCCAATCTATTCTGCATTGGTGGATGTACTAAGTAAAGCCCAGGACGCCTTCACCCTCTATCACATCTCCCAGGAGGACTCTTCTCCGCGTCGAGAAACGGTCGGCCCCGCTCTTCCAGCACTCGGCCATGCCACGTCTGGTGCAGCCGGCACCGCCATCTCAAAACTCCTCCTCTACCCTCTTGACCTCGTCCTTACTCGGCTCCAAGTCCAGAAGCAGTTCCAAACCGACAACAAGGATGCAGACTACAAAGGCATCTGGGATGCAGTGGAGAAGATATACAACAATGAAGGCATACGGGCATTCTACAGCGGAGTGCTGCCAGAAACCTTGAAAGGAGTGGCCGATAGCTTCCTCTTCTTCCTCGCATACACGTATTTAAGGCAGAAGAGGCTCAATGTGCGTGGAAGCCCGCGCAATCTTGGAGCGCTGGATGAGATTGGGGTCGGAGTTCTGGCGGGCGCCTTTTCCAAACTCTGGACAACGCCAATTCAGAACATCGTCACGCGAAAGCAGACTGCCGCCATGGTCGCTGCACGGGAACCGACATCTTCTGTAACCCCACGCCTTAGTATGAAAGATATTGCACGGCAGATCCGGCACGAGAAAGGAACCCAAGGATTTTGGTCCGGCTACTCGGCCAGCTTGGTCCTAACCCTCAATCCATCCATCACCTTTCTTCTTCACAAGATGCTGCTGCGACTGCTCGTTCCAAGATATAGGCGGGCCGACCCCGGAGCTCGGATGACGTTCCTTCTAGCAGCTATTAGTAAAGTTTTGGCCTCGACAGTCACGTACCCCTTCTCTTTAGCTAAAACGAGAGCACAAGTCTCCTACCAGAAGCCATCCCAGCCCACCAGGCCAATTCCAGAGACAGAGAAACGAAGAGATCTCCTGGATGCAGCTGCTATTCGAACAAGGCAGCGAACCGTCTTTGGCACCATCATCCGAATTGCAAAAACGGAGGGTTTATGGGCGTTGTACCAAGGTCTCGGTGCCGAAATGCTGAAAGGCTTCTTCTCGCATGGCATCACTATGCTGATGAAAGATCAGATTCATACTGTAATCATCAACTTGTATTATCTTATTCTAAAGTCAATGAAGAAATACCCCAGCCCAGGTGAGCTTGCGGAAATGGCTTCGGAACAGGTCAGGAAGACATACGAACATGGGAAAGAACAAGCGGGCGAGATGTATACGAGAGGCGTAGAGACAACTGAGGATGCTTCTGAGAAGGTACAAGATACGTTTACAAACGGAAGGCGACAGGCTGAAGGTCTGCTAGAGAGGGGGAGAAGTACAGCAGATAACGCCACGAAACAAGTTCAAGACATGCTCGTTAATCCTGGTGTCAAAGACATTGAGGACGGGGATCAAGGCAGCGGAGATTGATCCCCTGAAGTCTGGGACGAGGGCTCAAAGTTGGCTGTGGAAGCTTGTACGAGTACCATGCTAGTTATTTTACCTACTTGTCGAGGTTTGGATCAATTTGGGGAGGCAAGCCTAGAATATGAGTGAGTCGGCTAATTTGAGTCAATGGTGGGGTTCTAAGCTGATTAAAATCACCCTATCTCATGTATCTACTAGTTTCATGCACGAGATATGTGCCCAGGTATGTATAGCTATTCGGTGGGCGTTCTTAGCGACGTTGCACCTCGCTGTCTCGCCACTGCTCACCTTCTGTGCCTCCCATCCCTTTCTTTCTCACCCTCTCTCCCTCCTCTCAATGTATGTCATCCGCCCCGCCAATCCAAACCCGATCGTTTGCCCTTTTCTCCTCAAGGTACTCGTATATCTCGCTATAGTCCCTACAGACATGTTTCGCGTCCCAGCCATCACTCCCCGGAAACCCTTCTGGAAAGGTCGTCTGCGCCCCTTCCAGGGCGACATCACCACAGCACATGATGCTAAGCCGGAGGTATTCGAAGCAGTGTTGCAGGTGGAAGGTCATCTCTGTAGGCACGGCATGCGGGTTTCCCGAAGTAATGGCCGAGTATACCTCAAGGATGTTATACAGGCAATGCAACTGGTGTGGCATCGACGTCGTGAAGACTGTCATGTTGGCAAAGTCGTGAAGAGGCGTTGGCAGATTTTTGAACCTAGACGGCTCGTTGACTCGAACATATCCAAGACCTCCTTTGAGATGTGAGTGGAAGACTTCGAACAATGGGACATACGAGCAAAGGGCACGTACTTGGGACGATACTGAGCCACTTATCGCGGACACTCTTGTCCCAGAACGACGACGTATTTTGCGGCACAAAACTCAAGTCCGGCTCGAAGGACACAATCTTTTGCGAAACTAATCTATGTCAGTGGTGCTACCGTATCTATATCCATCTCAAGCAGCCATTTACTCACATTTCGGGGCAAAGCCGGTCACATCTCCAGTGGTGTCAAGTCTTGGGCTCGGATTTCGCATTCGTGGTTCAACCAAAAGGAAAATTATGACAAGCAAAAGCGACGAGTCTACAATCCACCAGTTTGCTCTTACTTTCCCCCAGCAGCTCCGTCTCAAGAACTGCCGTTGTCGGTTGGCTTGTTTGCTTCCAATCAACGCTTCCTCGTCGTCAGCTTCGTGGTCTTCTGAAGTACGATCTTGGTAAATCAATTTTGGAGCCATATTATGATCCCCTGCGTAGATTTTGTGGCTTCCGGGCTTAACAATGGAGTGGAGAATCAACTTTGATTCGGAATTCCCACAGGGACCCACCTGTCCGAACTATATCCACAGAGAACAAGATCACGTGCCGAAGGATCCGTTTATCGCTCTCCGATCCTTTAGATATCGTAACCCTGTTTATTAGCACATGTCTCACTCCGCAGATAATATCCATTATCTATGAGATTTGGGATCGGCCTTAACATGATACACTCAATATTCACAAAAGTCCATTCTGTGGGTAGCAACGACATGAGCTCTGAGTCGTTATTATTCACTGGCGAGTACGATGATTGCAACTTTCTAGACTACGAAGCTTAAATATCTGAAGGTGGTGGAGGGTGCCAGGACAACACCCGTATTTCAACCCATTCAATCCGTTTAACCCTTCAGGATATCAATACTCTCGCTTTCAATCATTTCCGTTCACGTCAAATTAGAGCGAATAATCCTTGCCTCTAGTCCTTGTAGCCTGTCACCTATTGTCAACATCTCACAATTGTTACCCTAGATCCCTTGCTTACCGATACGTGGAGCGAGGAGGTCCACGCCCTCATTCGATTCAACTTGGGTGGGGTTGTCGGCGAGCAGGTTGTAGGCTGCCTTGTCGCGCTTGTACCCAATACGCGGGGCAAGAAGATCCACCCCTTCATTGGACTCGACTTGGGTGGGGTTGTCGGCGAGCAGGTTGTAGGCTGCCTTGTCGCGTTTGTACCCAATACGTGGAGCAAGCAGGTCAACACCCTCTTGAGACTCAACCTGGGTTGGGTTGTCGGCCAACAGGTTGTAAGCAACCTTGTCACGGCTTTCTAAATCTATCGTCAATAAGAGTGTACCGCCGAATTAACAAGACCTAGCTCACCTATGACAGGAGCAGCGGCTGCAAGCCCGGCTACCGCGATGGCGAAGGCAGTAGTGAACCTCATGTTGACGTTGCTCACACAATGGCCAAGATATATTGTAAAAGAGCTTAGGGCTTTAAACTTCAGCACGGCGCAGAACGGCACTGAGTGTAGTGGTTCACTGTGGAAGGGCAGACCAAGGCCCTGTATATACCTCAAGTTAGAAGCCCTCCACCCGTACTGTCACCACCCTCTAAATTCATGTTGTCATCGGCTGCCCTCGTCTATCTACTTCTTACGCTAGCCATGGATTCAGATTACTTGCTCATGTGTCTTATCTCGCGGTGGGGTCTTTTCTGAAAGCCAGGATGCTCATCCCGCTTCTTTCGACGGCGTGAAGGCATTGGTGAGCCAGACGTTCGAGTTGGACTAGAATCGAGGAACTCATTCCTTCCCGGAAGCTATTGAGGCTATTTAGCATGCAGAGTCACTACCTTCGAACCAACCATTCTCCCATATCAACTGGATCCAACATGCGTCCGCGTGTTTCATCCTTCAACGAACTAGTTGGTGAAGCGGAGAAACAACATGGAGCAGAGCCCAATCATGACTGAAGGTATCTCATGCACATAGATTGCATACTCTCTCAACTCTCAGACAAGGAAACTATCAGCTTATAGGGCCACGAGCTATAGGATCCGTCGAACAGCGTTACATTGTGATCAATGGAACGTTCATGCATACGTACATGCACCTCTTTGGAAGAGGGCGATATATGTATCGAGCCCAAGCATGGGCCTAGCGGATCTGCATCTAGCCCAAGACTGTCACTTGCTTGTCTGGGGTATCAACGGAGGGGTATCCCATTCCCCGAGTGCTCTTCTCGCTTCCTCGTGGTCTTCCATCCATCCCTTCACATTTCATCGTTTTTCTACCGCGTTATTTTATATCTTCCCTCCAACACCGAACTCCTCGCCACCGCAATTCCTCATCAAGAACTACGCAGTACAGAACCTGTGGACGAAATGTTTGGTATCAAGTTTAGCTCAAGCAAATTTCCCTACGTGGGGCGAGAAAAAACGGTGTACGCCGCTCTTCGAGGTGGATCCATCTCACCAGCGGAGACCGAGAAAGATTTTGACGAGACAACGTTTATCCGACATAGCTCCAAGGGATCACGAACACTTTTCAGCTATGTTATCATCGGATTGCTCCTCACCACCAACATTTGCACGATTGCTAGCCTTTTTGCTACTAAGTATCTTACCAAACAACTTGATGCGGTGGAGCCAGAGTATACCCCAAAATCAGCTGGTAAATTTCCATCAATCTCTGTGCCATGTCTGCTAATCTGTCACAGCCCGCGTTCAATCACTTCCAACCACATGGTCCCGTTTGAATTGGTGGACTGAATACTCCGACAGGAACTTTACTGAGACTGACAAACTTTGGGACGACATCAATCCTGCCCATGGATTCATTGCCATGGATCGAAAGTGGGCCAAAGACCAACACTGGCCGGATAGCATGCATTTGCCGAGCGATGATAGCAAAAATGTCTACCTTCTCGAGGCATATCATCTCCTTCACTGCGTAGTAAGCTATATACCTGATGCCATCTTTTGCTGAATTAAGCTAATATTTTATTTCAAAAGACTATTATAAGAAAAACCTTCTGGGAAGCAATTCATCACAAGGAGCAGTACACCTTCAAGCCGCCGCACGCTGGTCATTGCATAGATATGATGCGCCAGTACGTGATATGCAAAGCGGATAATACCCCACTTTATCTTTTTGGCGACGACACGGCTGGAGATGAGCAGTATCGCAAGTGCAATAGCTGGGATGCGCTGCGAGATTTTGCAACGGACAATTCGGCATGTTATAGAGATACGCCTCCAGATGTGGACCCTACCAAGTTCGCACTTGGTGCTCACTTTGGTAAGATACCACATGTTGCCAATCTTCTTCTTAAACCTAGATATTAATTATCTTGCAGGTTATTGCGATGGTGGGTATGATGGGGTTAAGGAGGGCGAGAGAAGAGGTCCATGGAAGCATGGCGTTGTCTTCGATGGCCCGGAATAGAGCCCAAGTGTCTAGTCTAATCCTTTTATGGATAGGATTGTACCATGGCATATTATTGATTGATTGTTCAAGCGACACTCCCACTTACCAAAATTAAGCCCAAATTCGAGAATGCTGCAGAAACAGGAGGCCTGATATAGAATGGTACCAATAATCCAACTGTCTGATGTGAACAGCAAATACCTCATTGGTAAACACTTGCAGGACCTGGTCTGCGGTCGAAAGAAGCATGAACGAGCCCGCGTATCTCTCAAGCGGATAAAGCATAATCTTTGCTTTCGTAAGCCTCTCCCGCCGCCTAGCTTCCTTTGGTGCAATTTGGCCTATCGCGTCTTCCTGCACCTGCACGAAGGTGCCGTGCTGAATGCAGGCGGAATGTGCCGTCATCGCACGCTTGAGCGATTTACCAATGCGAACTTCCAACTGGACCATTCACGATCATCGTTGTTAGAATTATATTAAACGGAGAGGCCGATCCTTCAAAGGATTCCTATTCCCCACAACTACACCTTGACACTCTCTGAGGATGGAAAACAACCGATGGCCTTATCTGAAAGGATGTGCATCTCGCAAAGACATCTTCCCTCTCAACGTCCGCAAGGTGTCAGACATCAATATAGAAACCCTGGAAGAGAGTGAGCAACACGTTCGGAAGGAATCAAAAGGTTACGTTGCACTGCATCTCTAGGACAACGGGAAAACTCAGCATTGAGGCAGGGATCAGAGCCCCGCCATTTCTCTTCTCAAGACCTACATGTGAGAGAGGGGCTTGTAACGCTGCGTCGCTAGCTAGGTCCATTGAGAAACGAGGAAGCGGGCACTTCAGGAGGCGGAACGGCAGCTGGGGTGACGGAGGCAGTCACCAACGCCCCTCACTCCCCCATTCTAGAGTCTTCAACTACAAACAAAGGGACACTCGAACACATACAATTCTTTCTTGCAATGTCTTACAGTGAAGAGAAAGACGTCCCTGAAAACAGCCCACGGCGGTCTTCTTCCTCACAAGACCTTGAACACTGTCCCTTGACCGGTGAAGATGGCCTCTATCACGTCAAGGAACGACGGAGATGGCGCATCCGATGGCCGTCCAACGACAGTTCGTTATGGAAGATTTACTCTCTTTTCATGACAGCCATTACCTTGGCCATGGTTGTCACCGCCATCCACAACAGCATACGACCAATATGTACAGCTACAGAGAAGCCCGCTCAATCTTCACACACTACCGACCCTCTTGAGAGCTACCCCCTCCCAGCCGATACTTGGAAGAAAGAAAATCTGGTTGAAACCAGATTCTACCGAGATCTGCGGTACATGACTCTAGACCATGATTCGGATTATCTTTGGCAGGAACACCTCTTCATGGCTTCTGGTAACATCAGACTACCTCCGCCTGACGGAAAAGGGAATGCGTCGCTAAAAGGGATTGCAATGTAAGCTCTACTCGTCTTAGAAGTAGTTTGTAACGATCACTGAGGCTCCCCTAGGTTCCATCAAATGCACTGCTTAGCCAAGATGCGAATGACCCTCCAACTAGCACGCGAAGGAGTTGATATCGGCGTCGATTGGAGGGACGATGCGCATTGGCCGCATTGCTTTGACTATCTGCGCGAGGTACTTTCTCACTTCATGCGAAGCTGTTCTATTGTTGCTAATCTAAGACCTCTACAGTCCATATTGTGCTATGCGGACCCAACTCTGGAAAGCGTATCACTTCAGCCTGGGCCGGTAGACGATGGTACCTTTGTGAAGGTCATTGATGGTGGAGCGGAGATGAGGTACTGCCGGGATTCGAGACCATTGTACGAACTTGAGAGACAGTATGGACCAAATTCGAAATATGGGTTTGAGGCTGCAGAGGAGTTCCAGATTGCTCCTGGGAAATGATGAGGGCTGAAAGGCGAGGACCTGGAAATAGTTTGATGCCTGGAAATCCGTGCGATACAATTTTGGAGATTTCAATTCTTCGTACTCTTCCTCTTACTTTTTCGTAAACACGATGAATGGAATGAGTCTGGGGCTCCCAAATAATACCAGACTATTGCAAGAGCGTGAAAGCGTAGCTTATCCCAAGAACGGCAAATCATCCAACCCCCCGCTAGGGAGAATAGCAGAAGTGTTCCGCAGCCGATAGAGTGCTGGGGTGCGCTGACTAGAGATACTTTAGGTGCTGGCCCGGCCAGTCCTGCATTATGACCCACTCTAACGTTCCTCTTCCATAAGCCCATGAACACGGGCAACCTCCAACATGCCAAACTCGCGCATCGTACAACTGGCACAAATGATTGCAACTCGAACTTCGGTCCTAGATGAGCACATCCAGAACAATAATCTTTCACAGCCCGCTTTCGAACCAGGTAGTCCAACCGAGCCCATCCAGCAGACTACGCCTGAAATCGAGAAGGCCAGGACGGATGTAATAGAAGCGGCCATTGAACTTCGTCAGCTTCTTGAAGGGCCAGTGAGGCTACTTCTTCCAGAGGTGAGGAAATGTCGCAACTTTACCAATACTCTCACATGTCGCGGCCAGCACTATTCTCTAGAGTCAACACCCAGAAATTCTCATATGTTCCCGACAGTCTCTTCTCCCGCAATGTCGAGCTGATGGGCAACAGTCAAACTTCTCCCCACTCGCAGCCATATACAATTTTAAAGTAGCTTCTTTCGTGCCACTGGGCTGCAGCATCTCCTTCGTCGAGCTCGCTGATAAATGCGGGCTTTCCGAGCATGATTTAGGACGCATCATTCGCTATGTTGCCGCTCATCATCGGGTGTTCTGTGAGCCTGAAAAGGGATACGTGGCGCATACCGCTGCCTCGAAGCTGCTGTCTGAGAATAAAATGATTGAGCATCTAATGGGCCTGACATTTGCTGAATGTTGGCCTGCTCACTCAAGGGTCATAGATGCAATTGCCAGGAAAAGCGAAGAGCCGAACATATCAGGCTATGCATTCGCCAACGGGACGAGTTTGAATACATTCGACTTCCTCTCTCACCATCCAGAGCGAGCTCACCGCTTCGCCGGCGCAATGTCTTCTACGTCCCAGGCTAGCCTTGATGCGTTGAGCAACTACTTTGGTTGGGCCGGACTAGAGGCTGGCACTACCGTTGTTGATCTTGGAGGGGGGCAAGGACACGTGAGCGTTCATCTTGCACGAACATTTACTCACCTTCACTTCGTTGTACAGGACATGGCGGCTGTAGTCGATGGCATGGGTGAAAAGATTCCAGAGGATGTCCAAGATCGAGTGAAAATTACAGCCCACGACATGTTCACCAAGCAGCCTATCAAAGGAGCGGGTGTCTACCTGCTGCGATATATTTTGCATGACTGGCCAGATAAATATTGCGTAGAAGTGCTGCGCCACCTGACTGCGGCTATGAAGAAAGGAGCAAAGGTCGTCGTGCAGGATCATTTGCTGCCCGAGCCTGGAACGCTGCCTTTGCTTCAGGAAATGCAGATACGGTATGATATCAATGATGATTACCTGTTTTATTGGGTGTTCAGGGCGCTGACGACTTTGGAAGGTCTATGGATGCCATCATGCTCTCGCTGTTTAATTCTAGGGAGCGCGAGGTAGACGACTGGCAGAACCTGTTCAATCAGGCTGATGGCAGGTTTGGAGGTTTCAGAGCGACGCGTGTCAAGGAGAATCCATCCACGGGGATAATTGTCGCAGAATGGACGGGGGAATGAAGCCATGAGAATGAAGCACGCGACAGTCGAGATGGATATCAACAGGAAAAACATGGGGGGAAATAAACAGAGCTTTAGAGTGTGGCGCGAACGTGGCGGGTACTTGGGGCGACCTTAACGGGGAAAGCCTTTCTTTGGGCGTTTCATGTGGCTTTAGCCCTGCAGGCGAGCTCAGAAACTGGAATTAGAGCAACGACTCGGGGTTCATAGGAGAAGACTTTGCAATGAAGCTGGGACAAGAGAGAGCATATTTCACCTCTTATTGGTGTTCGCGGCATTGGAGTGAAGGCGCGTGAACTGTAGGAGGTTGGAGGCTGCAGGCGTCACATGTTGAGCCTAGTGCACGTCCCCGAAACCGGGCCAACCAGGCTAGTAACCCCCCAAAAGAAGCGGAAGGCTGGTATCAATAACAGCGAACACCACGGCCGGTCACCACCACGACGCCCGCCACGACTACTAACAAGGACAGGAGCAGGAACCGTACCATCGCCGCGATAGAGGGCGACCTGGAGCCCGCCGGCGGAACAAGAGAAGGAACAATCCAGGCGCGTCTCCCGTCAACACGCCGCATGCACCGAACTGAAACAGGAACATTATTCTGGACGCAAACGAAGGAACCACCACCACGACACGGCGCCGCGCACCAATACATCGCGCTGCACCCCGCACCCCACTAACTAGGTATATTCACGACTTGAAGCCGGCCATATTATTCCTACAGCGCTCTCTCAGGCCGCCCCGCCCGCCACCTGCCGCCCCGGCGACTTCTCCTGAATCACGCTTGCAAGTGCCTCTCACACTCACAGCCTGGTGCACATGGCAGTGGATAATATCCCCTCGTCGCCTCCGAGCGGCGGCTGGAACAGCATGGAGGAAGAGCTGGCCTACTACAAGGCCCAGTACGAGACGCTCGAGGTCGAGCTGCAGGAATTCCAGGCCTCCAGCAAGGAGCTCGAGGCGGAGCTAGAGAAAGACGTCGAGGAAAGTGAGAAGCGAGAACGCAGGCTCAAAGAGAAGGTCGAAGGGCTGGGATACGAAGTGGACGAGTGGAAGGTGAGTGCTCCCTGTTGCTGTCCGTGGATGGCATTTTCGTGGCTGGTTACTAACTCCCGAGCCATAGACGAAATACAAGCAAAGCAAAATTGAAGCCAACAATGCACAAAACACACTGCAGAAGGAAATCACTGCCCTTCGCGACTCACAGCGCACCATCCAGCTGAAACTACGAGACATCGAAGTCCAGAACGACGACTTTGAGCGGCAGACACGCAATCAGACGTCGTCCCTCGAAGACCTCGAGTCCAAGTACAACGTGGCCATCGAGCGGACGGTGATGCTGGACGAAGAGATTAAGATCGGCGAGCAGGAGCGCGAAGGGCTTAGGATCGAGAACCAAAGGCTGCGCGATGACCTCTCTGACCTGAGGATCGAAGCAGAAATAGTGCAGGAGAAGCTGAGAATCGCAGAGCACGCTATTGAGGCACACCATCAACGCAAGACCTCGCAGCTCCTCTCTGCTGATTCTTTGCGTCCTCGCTCACCTCTCTCAGAGACATCTACCTCGGCAACAACCCTCTCCTCTCCCACGGCATCCACCCCACCACGATCCAAGGCAGACACAGTGCGCACAGATGCTACACCGCCCTCTCCCCCGCTGTCCGAGACTTCAATAAACACAAAGGCAGTCCCGTCCACGCCCATGCCGACGCGGAAAGGCTCGATCTTTGCCCTCGACTCTGCCACCACGCCAAGACCTGGCTTCTATTCTTCACGTCCGCCACGACACTCTCGAGGACCAAGCATCCCAGTATCGGCGAAGTCTGGTACGACTGGCCGCACAACTCCTTCTATCCGGACTACAGCACCGCCACAGAAGGGATCCAGGCCGAGCGTGGGAGGTAACAATGGAGGCAGTCTACCAAGGTCTGGCTCCTTGTACCAGATTCGAGGACTGATTGGCAAAATGCAGAAGCTCGAGGAGCGTGTTTACTCGGCGAGGTCGAAGCTCCCAGCACCGACGAACACTCCACCCCGGGCGAGTCCAAGAAACGGAAGCGCGCTAGGTCACTACATACCGAGCACCGTGACCGTGAGAAGCACCAGAAAACGAGTGTCGGGGGCATCGACGGCCTCGTCCATCAATTGCGTAGGCGATTCTGGTGTCAGCCGGCTCTCATTCGGTATACCAACTGGCTCGCGGGAGCCGAGCAGCAGCCGACCAAGCAGCCGTGCGTCAGTAGCGTCCCAGTCAGGGATTCAGAGACCTGGCAGCAGGAGCAGCGTCCGCACACCGTTGGGGCACTACTCGACAGCTTCCATCAGCGGCGCGGAAGGGCGGATCCCACGCCCACGGAGCTCCTTAAGCGGAGCCTCCGGCGGACACAATCACTCCCGGTCAGTGTCGATCTCCAATTCTCTGCGGGATGCCGAAGGCGACAACCACAGTGACGGGAGCAATGCTTCCACGCCACTGGCCCGGCGTCTGACGCTGGACAAATCCGGGATCCCTATCCCAAGCGGGCTGCCAAGGCGACAGAGCGCGGGGCGGAGGACGAGCTCTGGCTTGGAAGGTGACATGGGGCCTCCGGAGCGACCTGCACGGTCGCGCAAGATGAGCGAGATTGGGGAAACTTACTAAGGAATGCGGCGGTGATATTCAGTAGATGTGGAGAGAAACAGGGGACCGGTCCCTGCATGTCGATACGCGTCAGTTCCTTTTTCCTCGGTATATATGATTCGATGAGCAATATACCTTACGGTTTTGGCATGGGATTGGAGTTGGGGCCTGCAGTGACGGAACGATTTCTCCTGTCTAGTTGATGCAGGAGCTGACTTTTGCTGTTCATGATGGAAGGTTGCTCATGCCAATGTCTTTCTTTGTACGGCTAGGAGATTACAGCTCTGGGGTATGCTTTGCACCTGGCTGGTAGAGCCAAGGTGGGGGTAATCATGATAACGCGAGCATTATGAGAGAAGGATGGTCTGGAGTAGACAATTATTATCTAGCTACATATTTAACCTTCAGGCATGATACTATTCTACTTGAGATTCACACTGAATTGTTTGAGTGAAACGAGGATTTAGCTTGATGCCTCGGTAGGAGGCGATGCAGAATCGAGTTGAGGTTCAGGAGGCTAGCTATTTTGGGAGCTGAACAGAGGTCGGAAGCATGAGGCTTTGGTGTTGCACATGAAACATGGTACGATTCTTTCATCATTTCGCACGTCAAGCACATCGGCGGTAGGCTCGGACCGCGACCCTGGAAATCGGAATCTACGGCCATGGCAGATCACAATCACGATTGACAGATGCACCATGTATGTTGGTACCTGGGTAGACGGAAGGTGTGCGGGTAGCGACGAAGCACATCTTGTCCAATAGACTCGATTGACTCTGCATCAGGGGGCTTGAGCATGTCTAATTTTACTAGGCGGGACGGGAGGCTCGAGGCTGGGCAGGAAAGGGAGTTGGGGGGGCGGGGGGAGGAGTGCGGACGGACTCCGAAGCTTGCGAGCGGAGACCCGATGTTCAACTTGGGCATGAAATAATAAGCTTATGTGGATGGTTTGGCTGATCGCAGAGCGAGAGTGTCATAGTGTGCTCGGGGCCGGTGGATGGGGAGGCCGCCGGGGGGGACGAGCGGAACGTGTCTGTTGAGCAAGAAGATATCTCTTGTCCGCTAGCAGGATTGCAGCGTTGAATTGACAGCGTCATTGGGTTGGCGAGATGCTGGGGACATCAGTGGCGCGCGAGGGCTCAGCAACCCAAGCGACTCTGCTTTTGGCCTCGCAAGCGGCGACTAATGCGGAAGGGCCTCAACAAATGCTTTGCACGTTGCACCCCAGGCCTGCGGGCGCAGGAAGGGTGTGAGGTTGGATAGTGTTGATGGAAGTCGCGCTGGACGGTTCCTATCACAGCCGCAAGCTCCATTCGGGTTCCGATGGGAGCGTTCCTGGTGTGGTTAGGCGCATGGAAGTGTTCGGTGTGACGCAGGCCCTTGCCTGGTTCGGCACCGTTGGCGACGATCAAGCCCGGCCTCAGCTCAACAGCTCGGGATGAGCTTGGGGTTGCCGTGCCCTGCGTACAAATTTAATACTGACGGTGCCCGCAGCGAGCTGCCTTCTGCTCTTGTGAAATACTTCATATACCCGCTGTACCTTGTTCTCTGGCCGCCGTGCATCCATACCCCGTTCCTTCCTCCTCCCTCTTTCTCTCCTTCTCTCTTTAGAAGCCTTTCTGCAAGCACTTTTGGATGCTCAGAGTCCACAGCTTTGCCCGCTGATCGCGACTGCACAGCCCTATAGAAGACTTGCTACTATTGATACCTGCCATCCGCCACCTTCCACCTGCCGCATCTGGACCATTTCGCGGTGTTTCGCGGTACAATTGCTCGTCATCGCCAGTCTGGCGTCGTGAAGCAATAAGCCCCGAGCTCGTCCTCCCTTGGCTCAGAGCTCACCGCTTTCCCCGACACACTCTCTCCCCATCACACAACTCCCTGTATGGGGCTCTCCACAGACAGAATGGCCGGACTCGAGAATAAAGGCGTCAATGGTACGGCCAACGGCACTCCGAGCTCTGCTGCTGCCAAATACAATCTCCCCTCACATTTCATCGGTGGCACTCATCTCGCCGCCGCCGCCCCAGGCCAGGTGAAAGATTTCGTGGCCGCCCATGGGGGCCACACCGTCATCACAAATGTGAGCATCCCCGCCTTCACCTATATTTGGTGCTTTCGGCAGGCTGCGAGGGTTATGTGCTAACTAGCGGTGCTCTCTGCAGGTCCTCATCGCAAACAACGGCATTGCAGCGGTCAAGGAGATCCGATCGGTGCGGAAATGGGCATACGAGACGTTTGGCGACGAGCGGGCGATCCAATTCACCGTTATGGCAACGCCTGAGGATCTCCGGGCCAATGCCGAGTACATTCGCATGGCGGATCAGTATGTTGAGGTGGGTAGACCTTTGCCCCAGAGCGCCTTAGCCGTGGTCGTCGAGCGGGCTAGCTAACCGTCACTAGGTCCCGGGGGGCACTAATAACAACAACTACGCGAACGTCGAGCTCATTGTCGATGTTGCGGAGCGCATGAACGTTCACGCCGTGTGGGCAGGATGGTGAGTGCAGCCCATCGAACTCGTGGCTGACTTTTCGCTGACGAAGCTGCTCAGGGGCCACGCATCAGAAAACCCAAAACTCCCCGAATCCCTCGCTGCATCGCCAAAGAAGATCGTCTTCATCGGCCCTCCGGGCTCTGCTATGCGCTCGCTGGGCGACAAGATTTCGTCCACAATCGTCGCACAACATGCACAGGTGCCATGCATTCCATGGTCGGGCACCGGCGTGGATGCGGTCAAGGTCGACAAGCACGGAATCGTCACTGTCGAGGATGACGTCTACGAGAAGGGCTGCACAAAGTCTCCTGAAGAGGGGCTGGTGGTGGCCAAGAAGATCGGCTTCCCCGTCATGGTGAAGGCCTCGGAAGGCGGCGGCGGAAAGGGTATCCGAAAGGTCGAGCGAGAGGAGGACTTTGAGCAGCTGTACCGTGCGGCTGCGTCGGAAATCCCTGGCTCGCCCATCTTCATCATGAAGCTCGCTGGAAGCGCTCGTCATTTGGAAGTGCAGCTCCTCGCCGACCAGTATGGAAACAACATCTCGCTCTTTGGCCGCGACTGTTCCGTTCAGCGGCGGCACCAGAAGATTATCGAAGAGGCGCCCGTAACGGTCGCGAGTCCGAAGACCTTCCACGAGATGGAGAAGGCTGCCGTGTCGCTCGGAAAGCTCGTCGGTTATGTTTCAGCCGGAACCGTCGAATATCTCTACTCGCACGCTGATGACAAGTTTTACTTTCTCGAGCTGAACCCCCGTCTTCAGGTCGAGCACCCTACCACCGAGATGGTTACTGGTGTGAACTTGCCTGCCGCCCAGCTCCAGATTGCCATGGGCCTCCCCCTGCACCGAATCCGGGATATCCGGCTCCTCTATGGTGCCGATCCGCACACCAGTACATCCATCGATTTCGACTTCTCCAAAGAGGGGAGCGCGCAGAATCAGCGACGGCCTACGCCCAAGGGCCACACGACTGCCTGCCGTATCACCTCTGAGGACCCAGACGAGGGTTTCAAACCTTCTGGTGGTACCATGCACGATCTTAACTTCAGGAGTAGCTCCAATGTCTGGGGTTACTTCTCCGTCGGAACTGCAGGTGGTATTCACAGCTTCTCTGACTCGCAGTTCGGTCACATTTTCGCTTATGGCGAGAACAGGCAGGCATCGCGGAAACACATGGTTGTTGCGCTGAAGGAACTGAGCATTCGTGGAGACTTCCGGACCACTGTTGAGTACCTCATCAAGCTGCTTGAGACCCCAGCTTTCGAGGACAACACCATCACCACGGGTTGGCTGGACGAGCTCATCTCCAAGAAACTGACCGCTGAGCGACCTGACCCCATGATTGCCGTCATCTGCGGTGCTGTCACTAAGGCCCACATTGCCAGCGATGCGTGTATGAACGAGTACAGGATCAGCTTGGAGAAGGGTCAGGTTCCCTCCAAGGATGTGCTCAAGACCGTCTTCCCCATCGACTTCATCTACGAGGAGTACAGATACAAGTTCACTGCAACTAGGTCGAGCATCGACAGCTTCACCCTTTTCATCAACGGTTCAAAGTGTTCTATTGGAGTGAGGGCTCTTGCAGATGGCGGCCTCTTAGTCCTCCTTAATGGCAAGTCTCACAACGTCTACTGGAAGGAAGAGGTTGGCGCTACTCGTCTCTCTGTAGATGGCAAAACCTGCCTTCTCGAGCAGGAGAATGACCCCACTCAACTCAGAACCCCATCGCCTGGTAAGCTTGTCAAATTCACGGTAGAGAACGGCGAGCACATCAAGAAAGGCCAGGCATTCGCCGAAGTTGAGGTCATGAAAATGTATATGCCCTTGATTGCCCAGGAAGACGGCGTTGTCAACCTTATCAAGCAGCCTGGGGCAACCCTTGAGGCTGGCGACATCCTCGGTATACTCGCTTTAGATGATCCAACCAAGGTGAAGTCAGCCCAGCCATTCTTAGGTCTCCTCCCTGACCTCGGTCCACCACAAGTCATGGGCAGTAAACCTCCGCAAAGATTCGCGTACCTCTCCGGTGTTCTCGAGAACATCCTCCAGGGCTTCGACAACCAGGTCATCATGCAGAGCACCCTCAGGGAACTGGTTGAAGTTCTCCGCGATTCGGAACTTCCATATGGTGAATGGAACGCCCAAGCATCTGCCCTCCATGCCCGCATGCCCCAGAAGCTTGATGCCACTCTCGGCCAAATCGTCGACCGTGCACACAGCCGAAACCTGGAATTCCCAGCCAAGCAGCTCAACAAGGCATTCCAGCGATTCCTTGATGAGAATGTTGCGAAGGGCGATGCCGAACTTTTGAAGGCTTCCTTGGCTCCTCTCACTGATGTCATCACCCGCTACACTGAGGGCCTCAAAGCGCACGAGTACACTGTCATGATCAAGTTCCTGGAGATGTACTGGGCCGTCGAGTCTCTCTTCTCATCCCGAACTTCCCGAGACGAGGAAGTGGTTCTCAAGCTTCGTGACGAAAACCGCGACAACATCTCCAGCGTTGTCCACACCGTTCTCTCCCACACCAGGGTGAGCGCGAAGAACAACCTGGTGATTGCGATTCTTGACTTATATCGGCCAAACAAGCCTGGTGCAGGCAACGTTGCCAGGTATTTCAAGGGTGCTCTCAAGAAGTTGACCGACTTGGAGTCTAGGTCGACTGCCAAGGTCTCTCTCAAAGCCCGCGAGGTTCTCATCCAGTGCGCTATGCCCTCTCTTGAGGAGCGAACATCCCAGATGGAGCACATTCTCCGTTCTTCGGTGCTTGAATCTCGATATGGCGAGAGCGGGTGGGACCACCGTGAACCTAATTTTGAAGTGATCAAGGAGGTCGTTGACTCCCGTTACACCGTCTTCGACGTTTTGCCTCAGTTCTTCGCCCATCAGGACCCCTGGGTCGCTCTTGCTGCCTTGGAGGTATACACTCGTCGGGCGTACCGTGCTTACCAGCTCAAGGAGCTCCACTACCATACCGACTCAGAGCAGCCCTATATTCTCTCCTGGGACTTTGCCCTCCGTAAGGTCGGCGAGTCTGAGTTTGGCCTCCCGGTTGAGTCCTCCCAACCTTCAACCCCTGGCACTCCCGGATTCGAACGTCCCCCTCGCATTCACTCCATTAGCGACATGACTTACTTGAACGCTCGCATGGAGGGGGAGCCTACACGCAAGGGTGTCGTCGTGCCTGTCGAGTACCTCGATGATGCTGAAGAGTATCTCTCCAAGGCCCTCGAGCTCTTCCCTTCTATCGGCGGCAAGAAGAAGGGTGGCGTAAGCTTAAAGGATGGGTTGACTATGAAGCGCAACCCTACAGCTAGTGGACCCAAAATCGAAAGCGAGGACGAACTGACAGGTGTCTGTAATGTCGCCGTCCGTGATGCCGAGAGCTTTGATGACAAAGAGATCCTCGAACGCATCGTTTCTATTGTCAAGGAGTACAAGGATGAGTTATATGCCCATCGTGTCCGCCGCCTCACTTTCATCTGCGGACACAAGGATGGCACTTACCCTGGTTACTATACTTTCCGTGGTCCCAGCTATGTCGAGGATGAAAGCATTCGTCATGTTGAGCCCGCCCTTGCTTTCCAACTTGAACTTGGGCGTTTGTCCAAGTTCAACATCAAGCCCGTCTTTACTGAAAATCGTAATATCCACATTTACGAGGCCATTGGTAAGGGCGCTGAGAGCGACAAGCGCTACTTCATGAGGGCCGTCGTTAGGTCTGGACGTCTGAGGGAGGAGATTCCTACTACCGAGTACATGATTTCTGAGGCTGACAGGCTGATGACTGACATCTTGGATGCCATGGAGATTGTGGGTCACAATCAGGCCGACATGAATCACATCTTCATTAACTTCTCTCACGTCTTCCCTCTTGCGCCACAAGAGATTGAGGAGGCTATCGGTGGCTTTTTGGATCGATTCGGCCGAAGGCTTTGGCGTCTCCGCGTCACTGGCGCTGAAATCCGTATTATTGTCACTGATCCTGCGACTGGAATGCCATATCCTCTCCGCGTCATCATTACCAACACCTCTGGATATGTTATCAACGTCGAGATGTACGCTGAGCGCAAATCTGAGAAAGCGGGCAAGTGGCTCTTCCACAGTATTGGCGGAACCACGAAGATTGGCTCTCTTCACCTTCAGCCAGTCAATACTCCTTACCCAACTAAAGGTGCTCTCCAGCCAAAGAGATACAAGGCTCACCTCATGGGTACGCAATATGTCTATGACTTCCCCGAGCTCTTCCGACAGGCTATCGAAAACAGCTGGAACATTGCTGTTGCTAAGCATCCATACCTTCGGGAGAAGCAGCCACAAAAGGGCGAATGCATCGAAGCGTATGAGCTGGTCATTGACGACACGGACAATCTGGCCGAGGTCAATCGTGATCCTGGATTCAACACCATTGGTATGGTTGGTTGGATTGTTACTGCTAAAACACCTGAGTATCCTCGCGGCCGTCGCTTTATCATTATCGCCAATGACATTACTTTTAAGATCGGTTCTTTTGGTCCTCAGGAAGACAAATTCTTCCACAAATGCTCTGAGCTTTCTCGCAAGCTAGGCATTCCCCGAATCTATCTTTCAGCCAACTCTGGTGCTCGTATTGGTCTTGCCGAAGAGCTAATTCCTCACTTCTCGGTCGCTTGGAAGGATCCCACAAAGCCTGAGTCTGGTTTCGACTACCTTTACCTGACTCCTGAGAAATACAAGCACTTCGTTGACGGCAAACGCCAGGACGTTATCGCCGAAAAGGTCAACGCCGACGGTGAGGAGCGCTATAAGATCACTACCATTATCGGTGCTGAGGATGGCCTTGGTGTCGAGTCTCTTCGTGGCTCTGGTTTGATCGCTGGTGAGACGTCAAGGGCCTATGAGGATGTGTTCACCATCACGCTGGTCACTTGCCGTTCAGTCGGTACGTATTCCTTGTCTCTTTTATTTTATTTTTTTGCTCATTTGCTGACCATTGTTAGGCATTGGCGCTTACCTTGTCCGTCTTGGCCAGCGTGCCATCCAAATTGAGGGTCAGCCGATTATTCTCACTGGGGCTCAAGCACTCAATAAGCTGCTTGGCCGAGAAGTCTACACCTCCAATTTGCAGCTTGGTGGCACCCAGATCATGTACAGGAACGGCGTTTCTCACATGACTGCGGATGATGACTTTGAGGGTGTTTCTAAGATCGTTAAGTGGATGTCATATGTGCCTGACAAGAAGGGCAACCCAGTCCCTATCTCCCCAACGGCTGATGAGTGGGATCGCGATGTCACCTTCTATCCTCCTTCCAAATCTGGCTACGATGTGAGGCATCTGATTGCTGGTAAGGAGGATGAGGATGGCTTCCTGTCTGGTTTATTCGACCGAGGCTCCTTCGAGGAGGCCCTCGGTGGCTGGGCTAAGACTGTTGTCATCGGTCGGGCCCGCCTCGGAGGTATTCCAGTTGGTGTCATTGGCGTTGAGACTCGATCAGTCGAGAACGTCACACCAGCAGACCCTGCCAACCCCGATTCCATCGAGCAAGTTACATCAGAGGCCGGTGGAGTCTGGTACCCCAACTCTGCCTTCAAGACCGCCCAAGCTATCAAGGACTTCAACAATGGCGAGCAATTACCATTGATGATCCTCGCCAACTGGCGTGGTTTCTCTGGTGGCCAGCGTGACATGTACAACGAAGTTCTCAAGTATGGCTCTTACATCGTCGACGCCCTCGTCAAGTATGAGCAGCCCATCTTCGTCTACATTCCTCCGCTCGGGGAGCTTCGTGGTGGATCTTGGGTCGTAGTTGACCCAACCATCAACGCGCAATTCATGGAAATGTACGCCGATGAAGACTCTCGTGGTGGTGTTCTCGAGCCTGAAGGTATCGTGGGCATCAAATACCGCCGAGACCGCCAACTCGAGAGTATGGCCCGCCTTGACCAAACTTATGGCGACTTGAGGCGCAGATTAAACGATCCATCCACACCGCAAGACGAGCTCAAGGGCATCAAGGTCAAGATGAATGAGCGTGAACAAAGACTTCTCCCCATCTACGGCCAGATCTCTCTACAATTCGCTGACCTTCACGACCGCTCCGGACGCATGCAAGCCAAGGGTGTCATCCGTCAATCCCTCCGCTGGCAGAACGCCCGCCGCTTCTTCTACTGGCGTCTACGCCGTAGACTCAACGAAGAGTACATTCTTAAGAAGATGGCGGCTGCGGCTGCACCTGCGGCTGACGTAGCCAAGGCCGATCCTATTACCCGCACGCGAGGCTTAGAGATGCTCAAGGCATGGTCAAACATTCCCAAGTTTGAGCAGGACGACATGAGCGTTGCGGTTTGGTATGAAGAGAATAGAAAGGGTGTGCATGATAAGGTGGAACAATTGAAGAGAGAGGGAATTGCAATGGAGGTCGCTCAGTTGATCAGGAAGGATAGGGAAGGTGGTCTAAAGGGTGTGGTGCAGATGTTGGCTACATTGCCAACGAGCGAGAAGGAAGAAGTACTAAGGATGTTGAGCACGGCGTAAGGAAAGCCCCACTCTCTCACTGAGACTGTATTATTGGAATCTCTCATATCCTCGGTTCGTTTTATTTCAACTTTCATTGAAAGCATTCTGAGGGTGTTTGAGGCTTCTTTTCCAGGGGGTTTTGGGAGGGTTGCGGCTGGTCCTATTGCAGCGTTTTCGACGATTGTATTGTTTTAATGGCCTTTGACGCTCCTGTCCAAATTTCAAAAGGTGGGTCAGGTTGGGCAAGCCTGGACTCGCATTGGTTTGTATACTAGCGGGAACTCCTAGAATTCATGCATAACATAAGTCTTTGCAACTAGAAATTGTTCCTTGCCTCTGTGCACTCCAAATGCTCTCCATCCAAGCATCGCCTGCGAAAGGTGTATAGCTACCCTCAAGATCTCTCGTCGCGATGTCAGCGCTAAACAAACTCTTCGCAGCAGAATGTAATCCTGGGCTATACAAACATTTAAGTGGATCGTGTCTTAGACATTGTATGAAATGGCTGCCCAAATGGCTGCCCAGCCTCTTCCTCGTGTTGTCCACGAGTCTCTTTCAGTAGGATGTCGATTGCGATGAGGTTCCTTCATGTAACAGAGCCAATGAGGGAGAGTGGAACTAGGATTCTGCGAAAAGAACCAATATTTTGGCCTGGAGTCTGATAATCAACCAATGGCTTGCCTAGGTATAGTTACATTAGTTTCCGATGTATATTATCCGAGGGTCGAACAGCGAGGTGTGCTCAGTGCGGCGCGGTGTTACTTCCACCTACGCCATCTTACTTGCATAAATGCAATATATATGCTTATGCGCGCCCCGCAGCTCCGGAAAGGCTCTCTAATTACGAGGTTGTTTCCAGTATAAAGTGCACAGTGAGAACTCGCAGAATTGTGGGCTTCTTTCCCTCCAGATTCTTTGAGGTTCGGAGCTCTTTTCACCGCAACTTCCGGATCTGCTCACTCTAAAGCAAAGCGAAAGTAGACCAGCGCACAGACACATACCTTCACCTTGATATCGACCTCCCGTTCTACTGCTTATTTCGCGGCCTGTGCTTGGATATATTGAGTTTCCCGAGCCCATACAAGAGCACGCTGTTCATGCGCGGAGACTTAGATAATATTCACTCCGCCTTCGAGTTTAATTTCACGAGGTACAGCAGCTTGTCTCGTGCAGTCTCATTTTACTCTCCCCGAAATTCACGACATCACCCCTACCAGCAGCCAGAGTTTCGTACAAACTCTCGCAGAGACCCAACCTCACAATGACTGTCCCAAACACCAACACCAAAGTTCCTACCCCCTCGAACCCTTCCTCCCTCAAATCTCGTTATTCAATCCGTAAACTCGAACCCAAGCACGGCCCTTGGGCTGCCGCTATCATAATCCATTCCAATCTCTTCCACTCCCCTGTCTGGCCCGTCCTCTACCCTAAAAACATCACCGAAAATGTGCACAAATCGCTCGCCGCAGCAAGCTATCTCGTGGACCACCAGATCACGTCGGGCATGAGCTTCGGCGTCTTCGATGACGAATATGTGTTTAAGCGACCTGAGAGTGAGGAGGTGGGTGGGAAGTTGTACTGGGACGACAATGAGAAAAGCGTTGAAGAGACTCAGGGTCTGGAAGCAGAGAGTCTCAGACTGGCGGAGCAAATGGACTTCCCGCTAGTATCCGTGGCGTTAAGTTACGACTCTTCCGATCCGCTTGATTTCGATAAAATGGGTCCCTTGCTAGCCTGTCTTCCACACTTCGGCCTGATATACCATATCCTCGCTGAACTCGACTCGCGGGATCCTGCATCCTGGCAAGCGAAAGCGCATAATGAAGTTCTGTTCCGCAACGCGACCAGCACGCGGAGGGAGTATGAAGGAGAGAAATTAATGTCTGGCCTTGCGCGATGGTTAATGAGAGAGGCAGATGTGAGGGGCTGGAGGGGCATTCAGATTGAATGCGTGCACGATAAAGTTAGCTATACCTGGGCTAACCCGGAGAAACCTTACAAAGGCACTATTGTGTCAAAATTCGACACGAAGACGTGGACAAATGAGGAGGGGAAGAAGGCCTTTGAACCCGCAGATCAAGTCATTACCAAAGTCTATGTGGATCTGAAACCAGAGGCGTAGGGGCATGAGAAAAGTAGCGAATGAATAGAGCAATGGACGTGTCGAGAAAACAGAGGAGAATATTGGGGGAGTACAGGGTTTGATACGGCGATGAATAAATAAACGTCAAATGTATCTCCCATGGCTCACCTTCTCCATCTCCTCCCATATCTGATAAAGCTGAACTACTTTTGCATCAATATACTGGCGGCAATGAGTGAGTGGTCTTTCCTTCGTGAGTACGTATCTTGTCCATTACTGCGAATATGGCTGCATTTACAACTGATAGAACCCTTCCACGGTCTCCATTGGAGCTGGCCCTAGAACTTGAAGTGTTCGATCCACAAAGCCAACCTCGAGGCCCCTAGGATACGTTCAGTCCCAGGGATTTCCGGGCTATTATCTCGCATTGTTGCTACGACGTGAGCAGAATTAATAACTATTCCTGCGTAGCAACGAAAGGAGTCACGATGCGGAGCTGCAGGCTGGACATAAGTAGTATCAATTCTTCCTAGCCGATCAAATCTTGTCTATGCTCCGTAGAGATTAGCTATCTAAGGCACTCGTTCGTGCTAACGAAATTTATCTCTTACCTACTCTACAAATGGTCCATACACCTCCAGTACGTGTTCCGCATCTCTTTGCTCGCGTTCCAAAATTTCCCTATGCGCCTCGCTCCGGGCTCTAATCTCGCATTCAAACTTCCTCGGTCGAATATTAAAGCCATCTGTATAAGCAAAAGTGTCATATCTTACACCTTTGATGGGCAGGATATCGAAACCCCAAAGGATCTTCGCGACGGCAACAAATAAAGTATTGGCAGCTAGATCAGCTCCAGGACAAATCCTCCGGCCCCACCCAAATGATGAATGACCTGATCTTGCTGGGTGAGGTTTTCCGGAGTGCAGGTTGGGAAGGCTGGCTTTCTCGGCAGGGATGTCAAGGAAGCGCGTTGGGTTAAATTGGTGCGGGTTCGGGTAGTATTCTTCGTTTAGGTTGATAGCCCAAGAGTTTCCAAGAATGGTAGTGCCTGCGGGGATGTAGTAGCCTTCGTAGAAGTCCTCTTCAGTTGAGGCATGCGGCGTCCCGCCGAGGACCGCTACAGGGCGCCAGCGAAGGACTTCTTTGACTAGGGCCCGGATGTACGGCAGGCGGGATTCATCGTCGAAAGTTGGCGTTCGCGATGGTCCAATGACGGCATCTAATTCTTCATGTGCGGCGCGTAGGGTCACAGGATGGGTGACCAAAGCTAGAAATGCGGTGCAGAGTGTTGATGCCGTGGTGTCAGATCCTGCGCCGAAAAGGGAGGCCGGGATGAAGGAGAAGTCGCGATCGGATAATGGGATGTGTTCTTTCTCCCTCAATTCCAGTAAGAGCTTGCAAAGAGAGTCTGGGATGTCGACGCCTTGAATCTTAGCCCTAGCAAGATCTGATCGGACGACGTTAACCAGGGCCATGTTGGCTTCAGCCTCTCTTCTCCCATGCGCTTTAATTTCGGCTTTCCAAGGAGCGAGAACATCCGGGATATGCTTCAGAAAGGGGAATGATTCCACGGCATATTTTCCAGGTACATTGAGGGATGCAGAGTAGTGCATAAAGTCGAATCTTTGGCGGATGACTTGAGCGTTGAGAGAATCAATGCGGTGGCCGTATGCGACGGAGAAAACGATGCTCGACGTGAACCTCTCCAGCAGCTTCTCCCAATTCAGGGGTGTTTGAAGCAATTGATAGCATAACCGGGAGGCCTCGGCCGTTTGCACTGGCTTGTAGAGCCTCAGAGCCTTTGGAGTCAGGGCTTGGTGGAGAAGCCTCCTCCTAATGCTCCACTCCTTGCCGTATGGCTGGACGAGCACGCTGGCGCCATCCCACAGGATCTCTCCCATTGCCACCATCCGCGGTCTTGAGGAATACTTATTACTCCTCTTCTCCAACAGATCTGCCGCAATGACAGGATCTGAGAGCACCACGGTCGGCTTCCTCCCGATCCACACGGTGAATATTGGCCCGTACACCTTGGACCACTTCTGGAACTGTATCCATGGTTGTGACTTTGGCAGCTGAAGGTTGTTCCCAACGAACGGTAGCGGGGTCGGCCCTGGAGGCATTCTCAGCCATAGCCAGACATCGTGGAGTAGTGTGAGAGCTGGGACAGCGAGCAGGAGCGAAAGCCACACGTAGGTTGGAAACGAGGTGAAGATTGATTCGAGTGCCATTTTATTTAATATCGCTCTGGGAGCAGGTGTCGTACGATACCAGTGCGTTGGGAGAGGAAGGCTCCCATGGTTGACAAAACGTGCCTCGAGGTACGACGATGCAGCAGGCTTCAGCAAGCGACACCAGATTTTCGGCAGTTGTGTCCACGGACAGTATTCCGCCTGTCTTCGGCGGTCTTGTCCGCTCTTCCACCACGACAGACATGTGGGGGTTGTGGCACGTTCTCGTCAGCGCCTCGGTATCCCGCTTCGTGCGAAATGGAACAGTTTTACTCCTATATCACCGCATCATTTTATCAAAGTTGAGGAGAATATCTCATATCTCACATTATGTCCATCGACGCTGCTTCTCCATCGATGCTCCGACTTCTCGATGTACCTCCCTCGTCATGGTGCGCCCATGGTGGCCGCGACCGCTCCCTCCCCCGTGGTGGCTGCTCCCTCGGCGCGATGGTCGCCGAGTCCGCCGGCAGTTTGCGGGGTTCGATCTGGGGGATGGGGTTGTGGACTTTGGAGAAGCTCCACACTAGACAACCGACCGTTAAGAGCACAAGACTGTGGAATCCTGCGGCATTTATTGATGTGAAGGATGGTTGCATATAAAATGGTTTCAGCCTTTAGGAAACAGATACTGCAGGCTGCACGGCTTTGTGTCTGCTTCCTGCACTCCTAAGGCCATTATCGACCTGTCGACCTGTGCACTTACCCCTGTCTTCTCTAATTATCGATGCAATATTAGCGCAAGGCTATCATAACAGGTTCTGGATATTCTTAACTCACTACGCCGTCATTTGTAGTTCTAATTGTGTTCTTTGAGCCTCTCATCCGTCGTCCTAATTCGCAGCCATGGCCAAACCTTGTGCAGGACTTGAGGTTCTCATCGTCGGCGCTGGGTTCGCAGGTCTCACTGCAGCAATCGAGTGTCGAAGAAGAGGGGCTAGGGTTATCTTGCTTGAAGGAAGTAAAGACCGGAGGCAGCTAGGAGACATCATATCCTTTGGTTCGAACTCGGGACGAATCTTCAGGCGATGGCCAGGAGTTGAAGACGCTTTGGATCCCATCTGTCATCACAGCGGTGGGCTCGACTTCTACGCGTACGACAATGAATTCCTCTGTCGCCAGACTTGGGACGCCGAAGAAGTCTGGGGCAAACGGTTTAATGGCCACCGGGGCGAGATTCACGAGATAGTGTGGAATCATGCCATCAGTATTGGCGTAGATATTAGGCTAGGAATGAAGGTCTCTGAGTACTTCGAAACGGACACGGGAGCTGGCGTTGTTGTTAATGGAGAAAAAGTCAGCGCAGATGTCATTCTGGCTGGAGATGGAGTTCGATCAACTGCTCGAACTATTGTGCTTGGATTTGAGGACAAACCCAAGTCTTCGGGTTATGCGGTGTACAGGTCTTGGATGGGCACTGAGAAGCTCAAAGAGAACCCGTTGACGGCTTGGCTGGCAGATCCGAAGATTGATCACCACGCTGGATGGCTGGGTCCAGATGTGCACTTCTTAGTTGCGACATTGCAAGAGGGAACTGCTTGCAGCTGGGTGTTGACGCACAAGGTGGGTTTCCATGCATCCTCCACACTCTTTTGTAGTGCATTGTTGACCCATTGAACAGGATGAAGCGGATGTTGAGGAGAGTTGGTCAGCTCCTGGCTACGTTGAAGAAGCCATCAAGGCTGTGGAAGGATGGGCGCCCATTGTGCACGCCATCATCAGAGCAACCCCCGAAGAGAAGCTCGTGGACTGGAAACTGGTGTTTCGCGATCCTCTGCCTACATGGATCAGTCCTAAGGCTCGCATTGCCTTGATTGGAGACGCAGCGCACCCATTCCTTCCTACGTCGATTCAGGGAGCTTCACAATCCATGGAGGATGGTGTGACGGCAGCCGTGTGTCTGGAACTTGCCGGCAAATCCAACGTCCCAGAGGCCATTCGTGCATACGAAAAAATTCGATATGGCCGTGTCCACGCGGTTCAGCAGACGGGTGTCACGAATCGCGACAACTGGCATAAGGCCGACTTTGACTTGGTCAAGAAGAACCCAGAGTCCGTCAAACTGCCGCGCGAGCCTTGGATCCTAAACTTCGACTGCCAGCAACATGCCTACGACGTGTATGCCGAAACGGTCAAGTCCCTACGAGCCGAACCCGGAGCAAGGCCGTCACTGTGAACCCGAAAGCAAGTGGTCCGATTGTGCAGGTATTGGACATGCGTTGCCTGAGGATATGCCATGGGTTCTCCTTGAATAGACGGCGCTCAGAAACGCTTGATGTGTCGTTTCAGACAGGTCTAAAATGAGAAAGATAGGCGGTCCCAATTACTTGGAAGAGAACCTGGCAGCGAAGGAGTAGTGATGCATGAAGCGTGATTGCGCACATGCCGAGGCGCTAGGACCAAAATAGACTAATTGCCTGTCATCTGCGCTTAATCAACGTAACAACATGTTGCCGCTCGGGCCAAAGGACACGCCAGTCACTTCGTTTGCGAAGCTTGATCCTGTCCCACAATCTCTCGTCATTCGTAAGATGCACAGACATGACAATGGGGCGTCTGAGCATTAAACTTTTGAAAGTGCCGGTCTGTCCCCGGGGAACCACAATGCTGGATGTAAATACGGCGTCGGCTACGGCATCTCCCCAAGCCTCTCACGACAATTGGCCTTTGAAATGGACCCTAGACGCCTCCTCAAGCGCGAGCTGCGCTCTTCACGTGGGCCAGCGATAGCGGCAGGCCACGATCAGAAGACTCAGCAAACGGTGAGACGCAGTCGTCGTCTCGCCTCGTCCGTCTCTCCACAGCCTTGGATATCGTCAACCCCTCGACGCATCCATCGGTGAACCCAGCTGTTTCCGGCATTCTTGGGGGTATTTTGGGGCGATATTCCTTCACCATAATGACCTGAGCCTGACTCGTTATGCGTCTTTCGACCAGGACCGTCCCTCCCCCGGACAATCCATTTTCGGCCCTGCAGATATGAAAAGAAGTCATATTTTGTCGGCAAAAGTGTTTCTACGAGGGTCGTATGGAATGAGATACAGAGCACATTGCCACTATGCCCCCGCACGTTCATCTTCCCCGTGCTAAAATGATCCCTTCCGTACCGCAACGCGCTACTTTAGTGGCTTCCCCCGAACTGGTTTTGATACTCCCCTGGCTCCAATACTTCACTCCCGCCCTTTCGCAAGCGCGTCTCTGCACAACTCTTCCAGAACGCCTTGGCCAGCTCAATGTTTGAGTACACGGTCCCGTATGCCCTTCCCTTGCTCGTGCGATGCAGCCGCTTGTGCACGCTAATTTAAACGTGGAGCCCTGTCAGGAAGACTCCCTTTCCTTCCTCGCATCTGCCTCTTGTCGGAGAAATAAGATTATAAGCACCTTAATTCTCCCCTCGTTACTACTCAGCTCTACACCCATTACTTGTTCAAAATTATCCTTTCCTTTCTTCTCTCTGTAGGGCAGAGTCGTCAAGATGCCGTTCGGAATACTCGAGTACCATGGCCATACGGAGATTGTTCCAGGCACAGGTAAGCTTTCGAAGCTTTCCGCCGAGCATCGTATTAATATATCGTACAGCGTGCATGAACGACCAATCTGATCTTCCTTCTGAACTTCACGACGTTCCAACGGAGCAGTTGAAGCACGGCACTGGAAAATACTCCCACATTATTCTTGTCCCTCAACCCACCGACGACCCCAACGACCCATTGAATGTGAGTGACCCCCGTGCCTACCCCTCTAGTCCTAGAACTTGACTAAATGTTCAAAGTGGCCATTATGGAAGAAAGATATGATTCTTTGCATCGTTGGCCTTTCTGCTGCTGTCGTAGGCGCATATGGCCCAATGCTGGGCCCTGGCATGATTCCAATCGCTCAAGAGCTCAACATTTCGATCAACACGTTGGCTCAATCTACTGCTTGGCTTATTCTCACTATCGGTCTCAGTGTTTTCATCACGAATCCGCTGGCTAAAATTGTCGGGAAACGTCCTGTCTACGTCCTCGCCATTATCTTCCTTACCATTGTCAACATCTGGGGCGCTGCAGCTAAGACATATAGCTCTTTCCTTGGCTCACGTATCGTTGGAGGCTTTGCCATGGCTCCTTATGAAATTTTGGTCCAAGCTACCATTGGTGACTTGTACTTTGTTCATCAACGCGCTACCCGCATTGCGGTTTGGAATCTATTCCTACTGTGCGGTATCGCAGGTGCGAGTTTCATATCAGGCTACATCATTGAAGATCTCGGTTACAAATGGACCTTTGGAATCTGCTCTATCCTCTTTGGAGTCTGGATCTTTGCCATATTCTTCTTCGTCCCAGAAACTGCGTATCGCCGACCGAAGGGAGCTCTTCCTCATGCGAAGACATCGAGCGACAACTCAGCCTCCAACCATGCGTCGCCAGACCACCCATCTACCCCTGAAAAGGGTGCTTTCGAAACTAGCGAAGCTGCAGCAGGGTCTGAGACTATTCCAGCCAAGAAAACCTATGTTCAAACTCTCGCAATCTTCAGTGGGACTTATACCTCTCAACCACTAAAGGTCTTCATTCGCCCATTCATCATGTTCACCTACCCCGCTGTGATTTGGGCCTGGCTTCTCTATGGCACTGTAATCACCTGGATCGTCGTCTTCTCTGTCGTCAATGGTGTCATCTTCCCAACAACCTATGGATTCTCTGTTTCAGAAACAGGCCTCACTGGCCTCTCTCCATTCATATTCTCCCTAATCGGAGAAGCTATCTCGGGGCCCTTGAATGACTGGATCTGCGTCAAGCTTACGGAGAAGAACAAGGGTATCTATGAGCCTGAGTTCAGGCTGCCGTTGATGATTGTAGTTGTTATCTTAGGTACCGTTGGATTCTATGGTTTCGGCGCTACTGTCGACGCAAAAACTCACTGGACCGGGCCAGTAATAACATACGGCCTCGCGAACATGTCACTGGCTTTCCTGGCAACCTGTGTGTTTGGCTATCTCCTCGATTCGTACCCTAGATTATCTGAGGAAGCCTTCGTGGCTATTAACTCACGCAACTTGCTTACTTTCGGCCTGACTTATTTCGTCAATGACTGGATTGCTAAAGATGGCCCACTCAAGGTCTTCGAAATCCTTGGTTCCGCGTTCTTGGGTGTCAGTATTCTCACAGTCCCTCTTTGGGTCTTTGGAAAAAGGATTCGAGGATGGATTGCAGAGAGGCAGTTCCTCAATGATTTTATGAATGATCTGGACTAGAAACTAGGAACTGTAAATTTTTTAAAAACTGCTTGCTTGAGCGTGGAGTTGGACTGTCGAAGCTGTCTGGAGTTTTTATCCGGAAAAGTCTAAGATTCGTATAGTTATCATCAGTAGCAAAGATACAAGCGACCTAGACTGGTGTATGTCAAAATCTTCGCTTGTTTTTTCTCCGCTGTTCCTCTCTCCATGCTCTCCTGCTGTCAATATTAACTCGACTGGAAAATTGACCAATAACCTGCCTCTATTACTGATTACTCGCTTCGAAATTCTCCCCCCACCCCATCCCCCCTTGCCACAACCGGCGGTCGTGAGGCCAGAGACAGGCTTTCCAGACGCTTCGAGATGAACTTTCCTACATCTTCGCTAGGACTTCAGACCGTTGGAAACCCATATATTGACTTCTAAATTGATCTAAGATTATTTCTCTGAGTGATACATTTCTTATGATCATTCCTGATAGCAGAAAATTATTATGACCGAACACGGCCAACATTTCAATCGGGGAGCTAGAATAAACGCTCTAAAAGTCGATCAGTGGGAGCTCCACAACTCTTACTTGTCCCACTAGAGCTAGTGGAGTGGGGTAATCCAACCTCCTAAATTCTAGGTCCTGTATGTCGCCTAAACTTCAATTACGATGGATGAACTCTCGAGGCGATGGAAAGGGCGTGACAAGACCCATAAATTTTACATAGGATACCCTTGTATCTTTGTCGTCCTAAAGGTTGTCGTCTGGGGAACCCGCGTAGAAGGTGTCCTTGCTCCCTCGCTTAGCACAGGTGGTAAGCGTGCTCATTTCTCAAGTAACCACCTCACTCCCTTCAATGTGTCTTCCACAAACCTCTTACTACTCTCCATTTCGGGGTAATTTGTCCAGAACATATGTCCAAACCCTGGATACAAATCAAATCTTGTCAACACCCCTGCCTCTCTCAGTACCCTATCGTATAGCACTGATTCATCCCTTAACGGATCTAACCCGGCGACCTGGAAGTACGCTTTCGGTGCCCCCTTATGACCTCCAGCATGATTGAATGGATCCCAGAGTGGGGATTCGCGGTCTGGCTTGTAGATCTCTACAATAGCAGATCCATCGAGCTTACCTAGTATAGGGTCATCTACGCTGTCGAAGCGGGAGCGGTAGACATGTGCGAAACGCGAAGGGACTTTGTCGTGCGGCAAAAGTGCAGGAACACAGAGATATTGTCCTGTAACTGGTGGGTCTAGTTTTTCGTCTCGTGAAAGGAGAGCGAGGACTGCAGAGAGGTTACCACCCGCGGAGGCCCCACCTACAATCAGGCCTTTCTCTGGGGTTGCTTTGAGTGCCGAAGAAGAGCTGATAGCCCATTTCAGAGCGTCCCAGCAGTCGTTGACGCCGGTAGGGAAAACGAACTCTGGAGCAAGTCTAAGATGATGGATTCAGGCTATTAGTCTATTACTGTATACCAGGTGGGGCAAACGGTTTTGTTTACCTGTACTCAACATTCACAGAAACACAGCCTAGGTCCCGCGCAAACATGCGACAATTTAAGTCCTCGTCAGTCAAGTCTCCCATGCTCCACCCACCCTCGTGATACATCACCACAAGCGGACTTCCGCCCTCAGGAGGTCCATTAGCTGGCTGGTATACTCTAACGCGAATAGAAGATCCGTCTCGAGTCGGAACATCGTGCATTGTTTCCGTGACTTCATTCGGAATGGGTCCTGAGATGGGATAAAGATGACGGAGTTGCTCTAGATGAGAGGCGCGTTTCGCGCGGTGGTCGAAAAAGTCATTCCCGTGAACATCAAAGGGACGTGCCTCGAATGCCTCGACCACTGTTAGCCTCCTACATACAGGTGCGGGGATGGGGGGTGAGAGTGGTTATGTGAAGGATAAGCTGGATGTTGAAGATTGAATCACACTCAAGGAAGTTTCCAATGCAGAGTAAGATTTGAAGGAGGTATCCGGTAACATGAGCATACCCTTCTATATTCTTCCGATACTTCCCCAGACTTGAGAACCTCTTCCCTTGTAAGATGAGCCATGATTTCCTTTCAGAATGTTCGAAGTTTGCTCTGCGGACGAAGACGATAAGTTTCTGTCGTCGTCAGGGTTTAGGACTTGGAGCGAACCGCTCCACTGTAATTCCAGTTTTTCCGATATTAAGGTAGCATAGAGCTTGTGTAGAGCAGTGTACAGCCGCCACAAGAGATTTGGTGAGATCAATCAAGGGTACCTCTACCCGCCCCCAAAGTGGGGAAACCAAGTCCTCGGTAAAACCTGCCTGATCGTCAAATTGCATCTTTCTATCACCGATCTTAGGTCCACGCGTCAACATCAGATTCACTCAATTACCTTCCCTCCTTTAACATGAGCGCGCCAGTTCTGTTTGGTCAAATTGCCCTCGTAACAGGCGCAACTGGCGGCATCGGAAAAGCTATATGTCGAGCTCTTGCATCTCACGGGTCCTCGATTGTGATCCATTACTATTCCGATGAAGAAGAAGCTAGGAGCTTGGCAAGAGAGTTGGAGGCTGAATACCAAGGAAAGCTTGGGATCAATGTGTTATGCGCGAGAGCAGATATGGGCGACTATAACGAAGTATGTAAATCCACTATTCATGGACATGGTCTGGTCGGGAGGGTTGGAATGATTCTCTCCGCGCTACTCTTAGAGATAATGCGGGTTTTCACATAACCTAGGTACGAAAACTACACGCTTACTTGGTTGAGAATCTGGGCTATCCGACAATCCCAATCAATAATGCTAGAACAAACGGAGGCTATTCGGGCATAGTGTCTATCGACCAAGTCCATATGGAAGACTTCGAACGCACGTGGCGTATCAACTGCGGCTCAGCTTATCTTCTCACTCAGCTTTGTATGCCAGCTATGGAGAGCGAGGGGTGGGGACGAATCATCTTTATCAGTAGTGTAGCGGGATTCACTGGAGGCGTCGTAGGTCCGCATTATGCATCTTCGAAATCAGCACTCCACGGCCTGGTACACTGGCTCGCGCAAGCCTATGCAAAGAAGGGGATTACAGTGAATGGAGTCGCGCCAGCACTGATTGAGAGGACTAAGATGTTGCCAGGGAGTACCAAAGTTCTTGCGAGCAGTAAGCCAGACGTCACCTTACATTCTCAGCAACAGACTAAGTCGAGCATAGAAATACCTCTTGGCAGATTGGGCGCACCCGAGGAAGTCGCCGAGACTGTGATCTGGATGGTTAAGACACCCTACGTGACGAACAAAGTCATTGGAGTGGATGGTGGCATGTTTCCACAATAAGTGGGCGCAGATTATATTCGCAGGTCTATGTTTTCCGAACACTGGAGACATTTTCGAACGTCAAATTATAGATAGAAGACGCGGCATTACCTCGACCCGTCCTCTTATTCATCTCTGTAACTACTCCATCTCGGTGCTGATCGTCTAGAAGCAGAAGACCTGGTCCTCCAGCTTGCTCACTGGACGTGCCTTGGTGTACCCAAGGGACTCGGTGGCTTTCTTCATCGCGCTGATCATTGGCGGAGGGCCGCAAATAAGCACCTTGATGTCCTTGGCGGGAGCTGGGAGCTTGGCCTAGAGACTAGTCAGCACACGTTGTGAGGAGGGGCAAAGCACGTGCCTTGATCATATCAGCAGTGACAAAGCCAACCCCGCCCTCCCACTTCTCAGGCGGGTTGTTCAGCACATAGTGCACCCTGAACTTGGCGTCATTCTTGGCCAAGGCATCCAGGTCCTCTTTGAGCAAAATATCCTCCGGGTTCACATTTGCAAAAAGCAAGTCCACCTCGGTGACATCGCCAGCCTCTCTCCCCCGGATGATGGCCTTGATGATCTGCAGCATCGGAGTGATGCCCGTGCCGCCGGCAATCATTCCGAAATGCCTGACCATATTGGGAGTGTATACCATGGCGCCCTTGGGCCCCTTGACCTTCATGTTCTGACCAACCATGAGCGAGGCGACATGCTTGGAGATGTTGCCGGTTGGGTACGACTTGATGAGCAGGTCGAAGTAACCCTTGTCTTCGTCGGACGAGATGGGTGTGTAGGAGCGCACGACTTCCTTGGGCTGGCCGGCGATGGTGGCGGCGAGGGAGATGTGCTGGCCGATGGGGAGACCGAGGATGTCGTGGGCGCGGGGGAGCTTGAAGCGGTAGCTGCACACGTTAGCCATCGGCCAGCAGCGAGGGGAGGGCAAGAGCGACGCAGGCTCTTGAGCTCCTACATAGCCGTGTTGTGGGATAGGATCGTCTTCTCTTTGAGCTCGAATTGCTGGAAGTCGTTTGGCCTGAGGACCTTGCGGGATGTGTTGTTGAACACCTTCCACCCCCCCAGGACCGCGGCGAGGACCACGGCATAGGGCAGCCAGTCCATCTTCATGATTGCCGTGCCCACAATGAGCAGCGCCGATGGGATGTACACGCCGTGCACATACTGCGGCGCGAGGGGACCGGGCGAGGACATTGCGAGAGGCTCAATTTGCTTGTAGGAGGAGGTGGAGGGCTCGAGGGCGTACGCGGGTGCAGGAGGGGTGAGGGCGCTGTGAGTTTTCTCTTGTCGAGCTGTCGAGTCCCGGCCGTGTTCCGGCACAAAAATGTTCCCACGATATCCCCGATCGAACCACTGCAGCAAGTGCGATGATTGGCTGCAGTTCCGGCTTGGCAGGGTCCAAGGTCACGTGTAACGTCCGACACTCACAGCACCTGCAACATGTCCGGGTGAAAGAGTAAATGAGTGAATCGGCTGCATCTTATATTCTTTGTCCATTTCTGAAGTGCTTTGCTCCGCTTTCTATGTGGCCTGTCGCCAAGCAGCTCTACCCACGGACTCGCTTCTCGCTTTGGGAAAAGGAATCCTGGATAACATCCGCCGTCCATCTTCCACATCACTCTTCACTCCTTCTTGCACTGTGCCTCCCAGTTGTTCTCAAACACTCCGAAGCGGTTCCCCTCCAAATCCTTGAAATTGGCAAACCACCCCATGCCGCCAGGAATTTCCTTCTTCCCCAACACCTCTGTGCCACCAAGCTCTTCAACCCTCTTCGCTGTCTACACCAATCGTCAGCACAGAGTCCCCACTTACTCTAGCACGCCTGCATTGTGCACTCACCTTCTCAATCGATGGAACAAAGTAGTATACGGTAAACCCAACTCCCATGCCTTGTTCACCGTCACGGTTGCAGCCTTCGGGCATTTTGAGGATGCCGCCGCTCAGCCCTACCATTTGTCCGTTAAAAAGTTGTGAACACGATGCGAACTAAAGAATAGGGAAGTTGAACGGACCAGATGGTTTCTCGAATTCATACATGAAGTCGTCTTTGTGTTGCTCAGTGGCGGGCTTGAACGACCATGCCGGGAAGAGAGCCTCGTAGAATGACTATGCGGTGGTCAGCATTAGCTTCTTACGGCGGCCAAAGGAAAATCAAGGGCGTTCTCAGCCAAAGAAAGAGTACCTTCAGCTTTGGCGGATCATTAGACATGATCTCAATCCAGCACGGAGAGCCCTCGGGCGGGGCCACAGGTGCTTGAGCTGTCTTGGACGGTTCTGTCGTCATGACGGAATAGTTTCTTGTTCGTGTTTTTTGGGTATCTGAAAGGGTTGAGGTAGTGTGTTAGCCATTGAACCCACTGGCAGAGGGAAGCAAGCTCTCCAAGCCCCGAAAGTACTCACGGGTAAACAGGATGGGAAAGATGAGGTGCTCTTCGAAGACTGTAACGTACCAAAACGCCAGGCTTCCCCAGTTCAATTCAAGTCAAGTTGTGAGGATGAAAGAGATTCTGCCTGAGTCCGTCCTTGTCCCTTTTATGTACCTCAGGCTCACAGCCTTTCATCCTCTCATTGCGTTTCCTCTAGCGATCACTAATCGCCTCAAGCCATAACTCCTCAACCTGCCCCCGCAATCTTCGCATTCAACGTCAATTCCCTTCAAAGTTTTCAATGCTCGTTAAAATACGGCCGAGACCCCTCACATTTGAGGCAAGTGGCGCGGCAACCGACGCGCCGAGACCAGTGACTCAGAACACGAAACCTGCACGCTGTCGCCTGATATCGTGGTCCCGCGTCACTGATACGAGGCGCGTATTCCACTGTGTGACAGCGCGTGCAGAGCGCATTGGTGCTGGCTTTTTGGTCGAGGAAGCGGTGAGATGTTTGTGGCCTCAAAAAGAGCGTATGCAGAAGCAATGCAAGCTGAAAACTTCGGGACAGAGTGCCACAGAAGAAGTCATGGTTTTTGGCATTAACTGCTGGAGTGGGTCTTTCTGGCCCTGAGCTAAGTTTTTCACGAGCTCGTTGTCTTCTTCCTCGTTCTGTGGTTGTGTGGCTGCTCTTGTCTCGCGACCAAGGACCTACTTTGGGTCGCCAAACGTTTATGGCAATATCCTACCCCATTTTACACTCTCCTCCTCCTAGCGTTTGGCGTACCGCTCAGCCGTTCCTCTTGTTCATCCCCAGTGAAAACTTTACATGGCACGAAGCCTTGGCTGAAAGGATCGCCCAAATCATTGCATAGTGGTCTAAGTACCTCTGGGTTGAGCAGATAAAGTCCACTTGCAATTGCCTTGATCTCCAACAATCAGACTGAAAGGGAGCTTCTTCCCGCAGGATCTTTTTTTCATTGCTATGATTATGCTATTGCCCTCTCTGATATACTATTGATTAGGACTCATGTTGAATGCTAGCGAATGCTAGAGCCTTCAAAATAACTTTCACCGCTGGCTGAGGAGGACCTAGATGAAGTTAAAATCTTTGCCAATGTGATATACTATATTCATGGGCATTGAGCGATTTGGGAATATGAGATAAACCCGCATCTTTCTTTACGGACTGAAATCGTATTGCCTACTCACTCACGTCCCTCCAATGAATTTAGTATGAATAGGTTGAAATCTGGAGACCCCTTTGCGGCGACCATTGTCCACGGAATCTTATCTAAAGTTAATGCCCTTCCTCCATAATCGGTAGAGGGCTGTTGAATAATGGACAGTTACCAATTGGTTTTCTTACCCTATTACATGGTGGGGCTCGGAATACCAATACTGTTTCTGCACCGGTTGAGTACTTCAGCTCTGGTACCTTGTAATTTACTGTGGCTTTGTTGCAAGTATCGTGCGCTTGAGGTGTTCGATGAAAGTAATAGTTAAGCACTGCTTAATTCCACGATTTGCGTGCTTTTGCCTTTGAAGTGGCTCTAACACGGCACATCTCCGGATGACAAACAGGGTATCCGTTTGACGAACCATTTTGGATTTCAATGCTATGTTACAGTACCCTCCTCATTTACAATTCCTTCCATGCAAGCATCTTCTCCCATTTTGCCATCCAGTGCTCCCTCCCATCCCCCCACGCACACAAGAAAAACCCCAAACCAATGAAGGACAAAACGCCACTCCCTCACGCCTAGCAGTGCAATGAAGAAGTATCGTATCGCCCGAAATTCGTGGGTCATCAAATAAAGTGAAAAGTCGTCAGGTTCTCGCAATCCTTTAATGGACACAAACAACTAAGCAAACAGGCCATTCTTAGTATGGCTTGATACAGGAGACAAGGGACAAAACGCAATAAACACAGAAAAAAGACTCCATTCCGCAATGCAGATGCAGGAGAACAAAAATGCAGGTTATGTCGAGGGCCCTGAAATTGATCATGAAGAGAGTAATGGGGAGGTGTGCTTCAGTGGGTATATGCAAGACGCTTGAGTGGATTAAGAAGGGGAGGAACCAGGAGGCCAAGGGACTTAAGCCCGTGTAGGGTCGTAGGAGGGGCAGTTGTATCCATAGGAGTGTATGAGGTTGGTGTTTGAGGCCGTGACAAGGCTGAATTCATAACGTGTCGTATCCCGGGCATTCGTTCCGCAATGAGATAGACATTCGGAGAAAACTTAATCGGTCCACCAGGAGACAATACCCAGAGTCTAGCAACAAGAGCCTGCTCCGCATTCGCTGATGCTGGAGCTTTGATGGACGAACCTCTCACCAATATCTCTCATCGTTCATCTCCACTACTCCACTCGCCAACTTCGTCATCATCCAAACCCTCCATTGCTTCCTTGATATACTGGCTTGCTTTCGGATCGAGATTCATGGCAATCGTAAAGTGGCGGATTGCATTCGTCCGGTCTCTTAATTTCTTATATGTTCTTCCTAGCAGGAAATGGACATTAGCATCATCAGGTGCTGAATCCTTGAGGTATTCTAAATCTTTCAGAGCTTCCACCGGGGCACCAAGCTTTAGGTGAATCTGGGCTTTCCTGAAGCGAGCGAGGTTCGACCGCGGATCGAGGGCAACGGCAGTCATATACTGCATGAGGGCTGGTTGGGTCTTCTTCATTCGATCAAGTACCTAGATTGACATCAGGGTATGCACGGAAAGCAGGGAATGATGGCGATGAACTTACCGATCCAATCTTGACTGCCAATAGCGCGTTGGTTGGGTTGATCTTCGAAGCGGCTCGATAGTGAGTTTCGGCATGATCATACTTGCCCATCTTCTCAAACACTTGGCCGAGCCCATACCATCCATTGTAATGTCTATTGTCGGCACTGATCGCGCACCGATAAGCGTTCAGAGCCTTGTCGAACTCCTCGTTCGTCACGTGCTCGTGACCTTGCAGGGTGAATGCATACGCAAATTTTGGATCCAGCTGGGTAGCCCGTGTGAAGCACTTGATGGCCTGATCATGTTCTCGCTGAAGTGAAAACGCGTTTCCGAGGGCACACCACGCTTGCGGGGAAAGGCGGTCCTGGTCAACTAGGGTGTGGGCGAGGTATGCAAGATCTGTTTCCCTCTTCAGTTGCCATAGGACATTCGAAAAGACTTCCATATCCTCCATGTGCGAGGGTGCTTTCTCTCGAATGCGCTGGAACACCTTCTCGGCATCGGAGTACATGGAGCGTTCGTAGTACGCCTTGCCTATTTGAGCAAGCACCCATGGTGTCTCCCGTTGTTGTGTTGGTACAGTAGCAAAGGTTTCGAGGGCCTGCACGCACTGGAACCGACTTAACTGAGCGTATCCTGTCCCGATCTTGAGGAGGAGATCGAGAAGCCAATGCAATGCTTCTTGGTCTCGTCCGGGATCACTGGTTGGGATCATTTTTGGGGGTGCCAGCGCTCCACTGGCCCCACTGGCTGGCCTTGACTCGGGCTTAGAGGAGGCCTCTGAGATCTCGACGGTAGGTTTCCGGTTACCACTCACGACCCTCCCCACGGTGGACATAGTCCCAGCCTTCCCTTTCGTACCTGTTGCTTTCGCTTTCCTCATTTCACGTCGCTCTTTGCCCTCCGGATCCCTGCCAGCTACAGCTGCTAGCCGACTGCTTGAGGGGCGTATCTGGCTGCTAATGGAGTTGAGGAGCCGAACACTTCTCCTCGGTGGAGCTGCGGTTGGGTCTAGAGATGACACGTTAGCATGTGTCGAATGACCTGACACAGTCCGCTTGTGACCATTCTGTCCTATTGGCCTTGGAATTTCGGTTGCCTCCATGCCCTCTGAGCCCATCTTCAATCTACTCCGTGACGTAATGGGCCGCATTTTTGGGGGTTCTTCCATTGCACTAAAGGGCTGCAATCGCGATTTCTTTCCCGGCGCGTGCGGCACGTCCACACCCTGCTCATGCAGTACTGGGCCCCCAACGTCGCCCATCATCACATCACCGTCATGCATATTTTGGCCATTAGAGGTTGGGGTCTCAACATCGGGGTACCCGGAACCTGCCACGCTGCCGTTGGAGACAGGAATGCTGCCATTGAGCTTCGAGAGGAGGTTCGAACCGCCGAGATTGAGTCCGACATCTCCCCCGTTTCGTGATGGGTTGAAAGGGTCAATTTCCGGAGTCAAAATGAATGGATTCTTGGCCTCAAAGCTCTCTTGAGACATGAACAAGCTGGCCACACTTCCGGTTGACGCTGAATGGGACAAAGCGGCCAGCATCTCTGGGGTGACCTTGAAGATATTCATGGGGCGGACGAGAGCACCAATGTCGCAGAGGTCGGTGAAGGCGTCCCACATAAAGGGGTTCAGCTTCAGGGCTTCGATGTAGTAGTCGACAGCCTTCTTGGTGTCGCCGTGCGTGTTCCACAGCTTGCCCAACAGACAATAGCAAGCGGCGGCATCTGGGAGGTGTCGCCTTGACGTCTCCGAGTGCTTGTCTAGGGGAGAGGTGTCAGTATGCCATCGGGTCAGGGACGTAGACGGCTGCAACGCTTACTCCAGTGGTTTCGGCCGGCCCAAAGGCCGCGAGCTTTCTCCAAGGCAAAAGCGCCGTCGACGAAGCGCTCCAGGCCAAGACAGGCCTGTGCAAAGACGTAGGCGCAGCCCAAGTGCTGTCCCTGGCAGCCTTTTGGCCGCGAAGAGTCGTATGCTGCTTTGTATCTGCCTAGACGAAGGTTGCAGAGCGCCAGCAGATGAGCGGCATCGGGAGAGCGTGGCTCCAGACCGTGCAGGCGACCAGCAAGGAAGAGGGCGTTTTCGAGAAAGCCATTGTCGAGGTGGTAGTGGATCAGTTGCCGCAGCTGAGCCGCGACGCCTGGGGGGGACGGCGACATGGTCGGTGGTAGGTGAGGGTGTGTTTGGAGGAGGTGGCGGAGATGTTTATCGAGTACTCATGAATGCGGCGAGGAGGGATGTTGGGAGAGAAGAGGGAGCGGTGGGTGTAGAGATGAGGGGGGAGAGTATGCAGCAAGCCCGGTGCGTGAGCCGGTATTGTTGTTGCTGGTGCTGGTGCTGGGGCTGCTTGCTGGTGCTGTTGCTGTTGTTGCTATGTGACGCTTTCGGCATGCGGCTTGACAAAGCGAATTGGCAAACCGCGTCGGGTTCAGAACGGCATGTCGGGAGGCGGGTCGCAGGCGGGTCACAGGCGGGTCGGGAAGAAGGGAGCTGGAGGGTTGAGGGAGCCTGGCGCGGTGAAGTGAGAGGGTGCCCAGGTGGTGGTTGCAGGTTGGCCGTGGAGGACTTCGCGCCTGCACGTCTCTGTTGTGAAGCGGCAGCAGCTTCGGCCCGTGCGCTCGCTCGACCCAGCCAACCACAGACGTCCATGGTTGCTTTGGCATTCACTACCCATTCATCGTCCACTTTTCACTATTTGCCCTTCACCTTCTGCACTCACCATACTCACCCTGCACCCTGCGCCTTGCACCCTGCACCCTGCACCCTACCCCATCTACCACCCCCTTGCACGCCGCCTAGTCCTTGGTTTTCGTCATGGCCCAAGTAATATCCCACACTAACCCTTCCCGTCCCTCCTACCACCTCCACTGACAGACCCAGAAAGCAACTAAAACTCTCGCCTCCCGCAATACGGCCCGCCTCAACACCACTCTTTACCTTACCCTCGCCGTCCACTTCTTCTACTGGCTCCTGCGCGCACTCCTATTCCGCTCCTCATTCACCCGCAAATCCCTCGTCCTCTACGCCCTCCTCTGCGCCCCCCAGCTCCTCATCCAATTCTTCATCTTCGAGCGCAGCGGCCGCCCAACCTACGGTCCCGATGGGCAGGTGAAGAGGAGCGGCGAGGACCTGGACGCGAAGGGCTTGACCGAGTATATGTGGGATGTCACCTACTGGACCTATGGCGTACTGGTGCTTGCGGCCGTGGTGGGCGACTGGGCATGGTGGTGGATGGTGAGTTGGCATCCTCTGTTCGCTGAGCAGGAGCCTGGTGTGCTACGTAGCTAATACTTGCTAGGCTGTTGTCCCGGCTTATTCGGCCTGGCTTGCTTACACGACCTTTGCAGGCGTTCGTCAAGGATACGCCGATGCTGCTGGCGTACCTCATCCCCAGCCCGCGAGCAAGCGACAACAGAAGATGGAGAAGAGGGGGGGACAGAAGGTGCAGTATCGATAAACCAGCAGATAAAAACAGGAGAGCAGGCTGTGGCGATGGAGGCCTGTTCAATCCTATACATACTCCCAAGCACCCGCTCCACATATGTTACAGGTACATACATATACACAGGATATCCGACAGAATCCGACAGTTCATGCCTCGACCTTTGTAGGGATCTTGACCTGTCCCTTCTTACGGTCCTCATGCGGGAATCCGTATCTCCACCCGACACCCTTGGGGCTCCTTCCATCCCGCCCCACGCTTTCCACATTCACATCCTGGAAAACGAAATCCCATCTCCTCCCAGCCACCGTTTTGACCTTCTTCAGCTCCTCTAGCCTCTTCGACTCCTGCTGCCTCCTTCTTTCCTGCTCTTTCTCCATGCGCTCTTCGGCCAGCTGCCTGCGCTCCTCGATGCTCAGCCCTGACGCGATATCGCGCTCCGCCTGGACCAACTCCGGATGTGGGATGCGCTCGTCAGCGGGGAGAAGGTCGTTGTCAAAAGCCTTACCGGCGTCGACGCGAGTGAAGTGGCGCGATTCGGAGACGGGGACGAAAAGCTGCTGGCGAGTTGCAGGATGAACAATTAGGTCGTTAATAGCTTCGTGCGTGATGGGACGTTTGCCTTTATTCTCGGGGAGCGAGGGGTTAATGTAGGGTGTCGTAGGAACCATGGCGAGAACAGCTTTGGAGTATGGGACGGCGAGTTTCTTGCCCTGATTCGCCTCGTTAGTGCTAACTCTTCATCTGATGGTCTCTAGAAGGGGAGGTGAAGGAAGCATCAGAAAGAGCATAGTTTAGTTTTGTAACCATGTGGGATGTCTTAAAGACTAATCGAATTTTGTAAAGTGTCTCATCATTGCGTGTCAATTGAGGGCTGAGAGGAAACGAACATACCTGCGCGATCCACTCCTTCTCCATCTGTTTCAACCTCACCACAGCGCCTACCCGCTCATTACTGACTCCAAACTCCACGCTCACAAGTGACACTGACATGCCGTCTCTCGCAACACGTTGGTATATCGCCTCTCGCAACTCTTCGCTAAGCACCGGCTGACTCCTGAAGTGCTTATTCTGCGGAAAAGGCCGCAAGTCTTCAGCAGTCTCTGGTGGTAGTTTATCATCCTGTTCCGCAGCCCTTGCGTCGTTCTTCTTCTCCTCGTCTCGACGAACCGACATCTCCAGCTCGTCTATTATTTCCTGTCCCGCTGGCGTCTGCTCTTCGGACTCGATTGTGGCAACATCGTTCTTTTCCCCTTCGGCCTTTTTATCTCCAGGCCGTTTCCTCGTCCACCCTGGGCGCGCCCGCACGAGGTTCCCGTATTTGTCGTAGGCCCCAAGGTAGTTTGTGGATCCAGGAATAGGCTCTTTCAGCAATGATCCCGGCCCATTAAGCCACTCATAAAATTTACGCCGCCTTAGAGTTGCCCGTTGACATGAGGTTTGAGAGAATTCGCGTGACACTCGAGCCAGACGAGGTAATGAGGAAGGTCGAATGGATGGGTAACAGCTTGTCGCACAGAGAAGATTAGGGCATCGCAACCGGGGGGGCATAATGGGGACAGATCAATTGAGCGGCATTGACCTAAGAAAATGGGAGAAAGGGGATTAGACAAAGAGGAAGAGGACACGACTGGGTTGAGGTTGAAGCTGAAGTGGTGAAGCTTGTAAGAAAAAAGCGGTTGCCAAGGTGGCATCACGTGGGTGCTCGGGTTCACCAATGAGAGCTCCCCACTCGAAACCGGATATCACACTGCATGTGAAGTCAACCTTGCTCTGGGAGATCGTGTCTCGGGCGTGTTCCTGCTTCCAGAATAAAGTGCCCAGGCGAGGATCTTCGCGTTCGGCTACCCGGGAACGGTGAGTTTACTGCAGGGCGTCGTCATTCACACCACCACCGCAGCTCAATTGCAACGTCTTCGCAACGACGACGACATGACTTTTATTAGTGCTGATGGCCCTTTCTAAAGAACCGAGGCTGGGTGCTCTTGAAAACCGGGGCACCACGATAGGGAGATCTCCATCAAAACAGGGTCTGCAGGAACAAAACTAAAAGGCAAATCCGAGTAAATGCTACCAGAAAACCAGAATGCTGTAAGGACAGGATATCGCCCAGCTCCCATGATGCCGCAGAGCATAAAACGCGATTCTAAGAGTAGCCTGTGACCCAGAAGAAAATACCCCCAAGACATGGGAAGATAGGTATCCCATGCAAATAGCCGCCATGCAAGCAAAACCAGGACAACAAATGTCTGCTCAACCAAGATGTGATCCAGCCATGCACGTCCGAGTGTGATAGCGCCGTTCCATGTGTGCAGGCCCATGAACGAACAACTCCGTTGCAGATGAACAGACAGCCAAGGAAACCAGCCATAACCGACCCTGCTGCCACAAATGGTGAGAGAAGAGAAACAGGCCCTCGCAAGGGTCTACCGCAAAGCCCCGTACGTATCCCCAGCCATCCCCTTTCCATGCAATAGTCCTGCACGACCTGCTTTTCCGAGTTCCTGACCAGACAAGCAGGAAGAAAACGAAAGACAAAATGCAACCTAAAGGATGCACCGAACTAACAAAGGAAAAGAAAAAAAAAAAAAAAAAAAAACTCCCCATCCTAGACGCCCGCTCCGAGCAAATCCTGTAATCAAATCAACGCACAAGGGGGAATCATCGCTGTATGCTTGAAATATAGCCCAGCCCCAATGGACGCAGCGGTCCTCAAGGAGTTTTCACGCCAGTACCCATGCCCGTGCAAGAAGGAGAAGGAAGTAAAAATCGGCAAGGAAAAAAAACACCTCGCAATGACAGAAGTGACAGGATATAATGCAACAATGGACGGGACAAGCGTTTCGCATGTGTAGTGATCGACGCTCTTTCAACTCCCAGTTCGTCACTCGTGACGGCATAACAGACTCAGTTCGTCAGGAATCTTCAACGCCCCATCATATATGCAGAGTAGCTCGCATTCATATTGCTGAAACCAGTCCCTGAGACGCTGGTTGCTAGCCCAGCGGTGAGGGGTTGAGATCGGATAGGACTGGCCATATCGTTGATGCCCATTCCAAATCCACCGTTAGCATACATGCCAAATCCAGACGTTCCATTGGTATTGACAGGTGTAGAGAGGCCGGGGGGAGCTGAGAGGCCGGGAGGAGGTCCGGTAGCCGTAGAGAAGCCTGGGGGTGTTGCGATATTGCCGCCGAAACCGGGCAAGGGGGTCGTAGGAGGAATGGTGGACGCAGTCCCCATGCCAGTAGATTGTCCGGAGCGTACGCCAAGTGGGTTCTTCGAGAAGCTGAGTCGGATACCGCCCTTCACAGAGTTATGCAAAGGCTGTCCGTAAAGTTCGTTCAACGCCTTTGTGGCGAAAGAGACGTCTTCAAATTCGACAAAGCACATGGGCCCGTTCTGTTTGGTCCGGAAGCAGAGCCTCTTATATCCACGCTGCTTGGAGAACATGGCTTTGAGCTCGTCTTCCGATGTGTCGATCGGCAAATTTCCAACATACAAAGTGTTACATGGAGGATTCTGATCGGCCGGATTGACTGGAGGATAGTTATGTCTAGAAAAATGCTGTGTATACTGCTGGTAAGAGGCATTTGGTCCCAGATTGCCTATGGCAGAGGGGATTGTATGTGGAGACATAGCAGATAATGCTGTGCCAGGAGATTGCATCGTAGCGGCAGAACGAGGAGATGCATAGCTAGGCATAGGCGGCGAACTCATTCCGTTCACGCCGTTCGTGTTGAGCGAAAGTTGGGAGAAGCGGGAAACGGGAATCGACGGGTTCGTTGTGCGACGAGAAATGGAAGATTGGACTGGCGGCCCGCCGGTGGCATACCCAATGGATTCCTTCAAAAGGCCGTCGTCATCATCGGCCTCGTCGTTGATGACCGATTTGCCCAAGTTGCGATGCGGGAAGGATGTGTTGACGGGAGAGGTCGGGGAAAACACATTCTGGACCGGAAATTCACCGTTGCCAAGACCGGGGGTTCCATTTGGTGGGGACATTTTCTCCATGTTTTGGAACGTTCCGTTATATCGCGAGGATTGACGGCCATTCGTCGTAGCGCTGGAGATACCGGATGCAGTGGAGACTGATCCTTGTCTGATGGGTGCGCTGTCGACTGTGTTGCGCCGGGAGCCAATGGTACCGGGGATGCCCTCCTGCACCAGCTCTACGATGATATTGGCGTCATTCGAGGCGTTGCGTTTCCCGTTGAGGAGGTTTCTTGCTTCCTTTGCACCTTCCAGGGTCCGGAATCTGGCCACGGCAGATACAAAGCCCTTGTCTTCGGGGTACTTCGGACCGGGGACGAGCTCGCAGTCAATGAGATCTTTCGCAAAGAGGAGGATGTTGCGTACAGCATCGCGGTCGCTGTTGCTCGGGAGTTTTCGCAGGAAGATGGAGGGATACCCCTTGGGCTCGGCGCTGGTCTCGGCCTCGCTGAAGGAGAGCAGAGACATACCATTCTTCTCCAAGTGCCGGCGCTCTCCTATGGGCGCAGGGAGGTTGTATGTATGCGATGCGGAAAACACGTCGGCCGTCATGGTGTGCTGCGCAGAAAAGGGCTGCTTCGGCGGTGAGGACGAGGTCGAGCTGAAGGAGCCGTGCAGGAACGGGCTGTTGGAGAGGTTCGAGGGACTGGTGCTGCTCGGACTCGGCCCACCGGCCATGCTTTCCTTTGTCGTGCGGTTGTTAGTGACCGTCTCAGAGACAAAGAAGAACGGTCGTGGCGAGTTCGAGGCTTGTGAAGCGAACAAATGTGCGGATTCGGGGACGGCGGGCTAGATGCAACGGGTTCCGGAAGCTATGCAAGAGAAGGCGGGTGTAGAAACCGACCTAGGGGGTAAAACAACTTCGAGACGTCGTTATGCCGGGTGAACTTTGGGAGGGGCGCCAGTCGGGAGTTGCACGCGAAAAATGGGTTTCGGTGATTGGCGCGCGGGCGCAATCAAAACAAATTGCAGCAAAAAAAAGCTGGATGCAGCCCTGCGCTTGTTCACGGCGATGGCGGTGCACTCTGGCGGCGTTGGACAGTTGACGCGCCGGGTTGGGTTGGGTTGGGGGGGGAATGCGACAGCGCGACAATGCGATGCGGGCTCAAAAGACGACTGGCGGGCCAGATATGAGACCAAGGCAACGCGGCGGAAGAAAAGGAAGAGCAGAGAGCCTGACGGGCGCTAGACTGCGAGGAGGGTGGTCAAGGAAAGGGCATGCAGGCTGGGCTGGAGGGCGATTGGGTTCTCGCGGCGAGAAAACGGTTGGTGAGGCCAATGGCGGCGAGGATCTGGACGGAATTTTAGGACGCGGACGTGGACTTGAGAGCTCGGATGGGCGTTTCGCGCCGCCCACGACTGTCGAGGGGCCGCCTAGCGGGACGGCGGGCACTGGCCAATCGCGATAAGCACGGCCGAGACAGCAAAGGTGAGCAGCCGTCTGTCAGTCGGCGGGCACGGGGTAGGGGGTGAGGCGACGGCGAGGGCAGCAGCGCGCGCGCAGAGCATCTGAAGAGGAGAGGGGACGGGCGCGGAAATGGTGTATGTGGAGCGGCGAGGACGGAAGGAATGGGGGATGGGGGATGGGGGATGGGGTGTGGATGTGGATGGGGATGCTGAGGTCGTGTGTGTGAGGTGAGGTGTGGGCTGCTCAGTGCTAAAAGTGAAAGCAGGCACAGGAAGGCGCGCGTTGGGACTGGTCCTGACGACGCGGACAAGGAATCGCTGCCACACAGGGCCAGTCCAGTGGACGGTGGTGGTGCACACGCTTTGATTGTGGGAAGGGCACCCAGGGTCGCACATAGTGACGGACCGACCTTGGACGGCCAGCGATAGCTCTGCGCGCGACGCTGCGGGAGAATCACTGCGCTGTCCGGATCGATTAGACCCATCAACGGTGCCCTGGATCGCAGCAAGAACATTAACACTGGCACTGGGTCCCCGGCGGTCGCGCAGTAGCCACGGCTGTCGCTATCTGCGCGCTCTTCGCATTGTTGCAGGTACTCGATACATACTCCTCCTAATAGCGCGCCCTGATATAGGCTGGCCACGTCGAGGTCGAAGGACGAGGGACGTTTTGGCCTCCCGCTGCGGCCAACACGCTGCTGGCGGTCCCCAGCGATCGCGAGCGTCTGCAAACCTCCGTGTGGCCCGTGTTGGAGCTGCCGCGTTCCCACTGGCCCAGCGGTATCAGCCTTTTGCAGGCGAGCTGAAGTCTGAGCTCCATCACGTCGCGGGAGCACCAGGTGGGGTGGAGAGTCGAGCCGCTCTGCAGTCTGTGAGCTAGACCGGCGATGGCACTACGATATCGCCATCTGCTCCAATTTGGACCGCGTCTGTGTCGTGCCCCAAAACACCATGCAACGACACCACGCTGCCTGGCAGTAGTGAGAGTGGCCCCCGTGGTACTCGAGGCCAGAAGTGCAGCCTGCGCCGCGAGCTTCAGGCTGCTGGCAGCGGCATTTTCGACGCCCTCGATGGGCTTCTCACAAGTCGGCCCTCCTCCGAGAACCCAGAGACGCGAGGGTGCAGCACTAGCGTGGCCTCTCACCGCGTTCCTCAAAGCTGGTGCTGGATGTGGCTCATGGCTTGCCCATCCAGCGACCGCCTTTGCGGCCTTAGTTGCCTTCAGTCGTCGTCCGGCAGTCCTGCGATGCGCTAAGAATCCCGGTCCTCTGGCAGGCTTGCAGCCCTGCAGCGAATCACCAGCGCTGGCCCGGTGTTGGTGCTGCCAGAGAAGATCCCCCTCTCCCAAGATGCTCAGGAGGTGGGCCTCCGCCACTTCCCAGCTGATGTGCAAACGCCTGAACGACAGTTCATGGCTCGCGAGTCGCCAGCGCGGTGCAGACAAGCTTCACCCAACACTGACTGCTCCTGCGCAAGCACAGACGACGTTGGACACGATCTCAAGGCCGGCGTGGACTGCAGACAAGCAAGCGATGGGGGGCACCTCACACGTTTGAAGACGTCCGCTTCCAGACATGCACCAACTGACCTCTTCCCTGCCGGGCAGACACCCAAGATTCTCTGTGTGCATCCAAGGTCTTGAATGTAAGCATTTAGATCAGGCAGACGAATTCTGCGGGGCCCTTGTCTGCCAATCACCGCCGCGATCTCATGTAGCTAGACATCATCCCGATGCCGCGCCCTCCGGTTTCTGTCAAAAAGTAACTCCTTTGCCCCTAAAGCACCCTCAGGACAGCACATCAAGAGCCGCAGTCCCATTATTTCCGACCTAAGGGGCACGTGGACATTTCTGTCACATCCACACATGCTTTTTGCAATCACGACCGGCGATCAATTTGGCGCTGCCTTCCTGACTTCCACGCCCCTGGTCCGTCTCCGGCTTCCACACCCCTTGCGTGCCCAATCATTGTGGTACAGAGCTGGAGACCGACGGTCCTCAGCATCAACGGCGAGCGTGGACAGGAAGAAACTTCCATCGCGAGGTCATTCGATGGCGGTTTCACGCCTTCTTTCACCTCGCCACGTGGATCCATCCAGGGTCAAGTTCAATTCATCACTCTTTGCCCTGCCTGTTCCAGCCGAGCCTGTGTTGCCGATGGTAGCCATGCGATTGGGATACTCGACAACATTTGGCGCTTCTTCATCCTGCTGTGTAGCATTTAGGAAGGCCCCGATTTGTTCGCAGGCGCACAATGACACACTAAACTCCAAAGTCCCTCCACAGTCGGGACTTCTATCGACACTTCGTGCCACCATTATTCTGTTTGTGTCTCTCCAGGGGCCGATGCCATCATCCCCTATATTCCATCACCTACCTAGGCACAGTACCTTGACCCGTCACTGTCCCCTGTGACATGTTCCATTGAATGGGCCGAAGTTAGCCTTCTGAAAGCTGTCTTCTCATTTCTGCCATTCTGCAGTGATTATTCCACGCCCTTGATGCTTCACACCTACTTTCAACCGCCGAGCTTCAGCCACAGCAAAACTTCGCATCAGACTTGTCTCACGTTGGACCCTGCAGAAGTCACGCACAAGTCACCTCGGTTCAAATAAGCAACATCCCCAGGAGACCTCTTGCTCTGCTAAAAAAAAACTTGCCGAAGATAAGGTCCAATTGCGGTTCCTATCCATCGCCACACTGCTGCACCTACCCGGGATCACCATGGTCGGAAGCTAGAATTTACAGTGTCGTCACCGGACACTATTGTTTTGCAGTCCAAGGGTTATCACACATCCAATGGGCATGTTAGGTAGATCAACCCTCGAAGTCTAATGGACGGGGCACATCTCCGCGACCGAACTGACTCTACGTCTGATATTGCCATGAAATTGGCTGTCACAGAATCAGACTCACAATTAGCATTTAGCTCAGCCAATACATAGGCATTCCTAGCTATTCTATCCGCTTGCTCGTCCCACATTTATAAGCCAAGGTAATAGGAAGGGAGTTTCAAAGGAGTCAAGGCCGATCAGTCCGAAGGGACATGCACACGAGCTCCAAGAAGCACCTCGAACAGAATTCAAGGCACGTGGTGGGTCCTACGAAAAAAGCTGGATCAGGCTAGGGTTGGAAGCGTTGAGGAACCCCTTGTCGAGATTAAAGAGAAGGCTTACATCCCTGCGGACATTTTCCAACGTCGACGTTCGGTGTGGCCTGACACTGCAAGCTTCATCGCCTAATTTTCCACTGAGGGTCCCTCATTGATATTAGCCCACAGCAATCTTGCGTAACCACAAGCAATGCATGCCCCTGTGATGGTCCGCATCATCTTGGGCAGGGAATCTGATGACTATGACATGGTTACTATATGCTTCCTGGATAAAAGCAGTACCTTTACGACAAAGATGATATCGGCTTTATTTCTGGGCAAAGTATACTCACCTCCCACATATTCAGCCGCATCTGATCGTAACAAAGTCGAGCATTAAGGAAGGACGTTGCCCAACCCTTCTCGGCGGTTCTTCGCTATTTCTCTTGGTGGATGTTGCAGCCCAGGCAGACGCCCTACAGCCCTAGCAGGCTTTTTGGTCAACTTCCCCGCAATTCTCACGGCTTTTCATCACTTACCACATTCGGTCCACAGTCCGAGTCCGATTGCCCTTTCCTAAATGGGCTGGCTGCAGGTGGCTTCGACACGAGCAGCTCCTCAAACGAGCTTTCTCGAGCAGACCAATACCATTATTCAAATGGTAAAGTCGAATTGTACCAACCCGGAACATGAATCCCAATCTTCTTAGCACTGCTCCTCAAATGAAGTCGACACGCCCGCTTTCTGGCCCTTTTCATTACCAACCCCTATCAACCTTTGGGCCGAATCTTTCTCTGGTGGACCGAAGCAAGTTCTGAACTACCCTTTATGGGTATATCTAGGTACCGTATCTTCTACATCTTCAGTTCTCAGCAAGAAACCTTCTCCATATTCCTTCGGCCCACTCTTCGTTCCCCCGCCCTTCTCCTCTCCCCTCACGGACACTACTCCGCAACCTTAAAGAAAGCTCTAGCAATCACATGTTCAACGCCTCATTATAGTAGCCGTACGTAATTGTTCTCTGGTTTGACTATTCCTGTTGGATGTTGCAGTCTATGATTGAATTAGCCTTTGCTGAACTTAAGACAGTTTTGGGTAATCTTATAAGATGTGCCAGTATTGTTCTAGTACGGCGAGTCATGTACTAGGTTCCTTACTCTGGTCACAGCATGTCCCCAATTCCAATTTGCATTGGAACCGGCCTTTGAAAGAAGGGCCTTTATTCGGGGTATTAGTCAACGACTTAATTTGATCCAAACTGTGTTTCTACCCGGGGAAGCCTCCTGCTTCCTTCAACGGGTCGAGATGCCTGTTGTTTCACATCGAGAGAGAAAGCAAACTTGCTCCGAGTGTAGGAACCGGACCGCAAGCTTGGGGTCATAGGACTGCCCACCGCGACCGAAGTCTTTCTTTTGTTAGCCCAATTCGCACAAGAACAAGTTGCACTGACGTTAAACATGGTAATTCGCACGAATCGAACTACAATTTAATAGATGAATTTTCTGCTCATACGTACAACTGATTAGGGGCGATCGTGTATTCTTGATTTCTTGAATCCCTTATAAAATGTAAGACGCGTCGCATCAGTGGGCATGCCGAGGCGGGCGATGTGTTAACGGATGCTTTGGGCTAAGATTTCAGCGGCACAATACTTTCCGTATATTCCCATTGGCTGGTTGTTTGAGACATTTTAACTTGGGCCCTTGGGGAGATATCACCGTCATGAGTGTGAAATCTCCACATAACATGCGGTCTTGGGTTCGCAAGGCGTCTAAACTTCGACTACAAAACCGCCGACCTAAATCTCGTACGGGTTCCTTCGGCATTCATTCCACCATGCTCATAGGCCCTCGGTGCCTTAGCTGGAACGTTCATTCCAGCTGAGAAAATCAGCACTTCTGTTCCCCAGTTGCAGCAGTCGCCGACGCCCGCTACTGACATCCGCCAGTCCGGGGAAGGAATTCTGGGACTATTCACTTGCTCTAGGCGGCGGTCGCGAAACCACTAAAAGAGGATTGAGGGACACTGTAGCGGGGAGGCAAACCTAAATTGTAGCTCGTAAGCCTCAACTTGAATGGGTAAGAGGGTGTGGGACGCAGCCGACGTGAAAGGTCCAACTATAGTCAGAATCACAGTCACCTGATGTGAGTGGATTAGCGCGTAGGTTGTGATATCAGATGGGGCACTTCTTTTGCGTTCAATCCGCAGGAGCTTAAAATGCTAGCTGTGGAGAGGCTATATGGATTTACACCTATTTCTTGGGGGCGTTTACTCGGTTCTAGCAATTTGTTACAAAGAATGCAGTTCCCAGTGAAGGGTTTCTAAACTCTGTGTGAATCCGCTGTCCATTAGCACCCCTGAAGTTGTAAATACACCTAATGGGGGATCCCTAAACCCAATATTCATATATTTCCACCCCTGCCACAGGACCAGAAACATTACCACTGATAAGAAAGCATAACTTCACTCCGAAACTAGCTAGTTAATATAGTATTTTATGCCTCCGTGTGGCCGACTCCGTCCAGAGCATACATCCCCATTCGAATCAAACAGAACACAATAGCGACACGACTTGAGTGTGAAGAGATAAGAGCAGTGTCAGGAGAGGGCGGATATCAATCAAATTCTCTGAGCAGAGTGGATTTCTAGGGAATGGCTTTGGGAGAACAAGCTCGTATGGAAGAAGATAGGTTAAGAATTCGGCTCTCCAGCACATTTGAACGAGTTGAACCGCTCTTGAACCGATCTCATGCAAGCGAACACGAATGAATGGGGATTTGCTGACATCATTTACTTTTCTCACATATCCACTCGGCCGGCTAGAGGTAGGCTGTTGTGCTCATAGTAACAACTTGCACGAGATCAACACCGGGCGTGACACGAGGATGTAGGAACCGCGTGAAATGTATGGGAAACGAGGGAAAGGTTTTTCTAACTCTTGCCCTGTCAGCAAACACTACATTCCTCCTCGTCTCATTTAATCTATGGGGGCGAGAGGCTCGGTAGGTACAAGAGAGGGTGAAGAATGCTCTACCTGAGATGTGCTTCATTGTGGTGTGGTCTTGCATGAAGCATTGTGGAATTCATTAGTTGTTCTGGATCCGATGTCTGGCGATGAGACTAATTCTGGAGAAGAAGACAAGGAAAGAGGTCGAAGATATGGGTGACCTTGGGGTCTAACTGACTCAGGCGTTGGTCGTGCCTGGTGTATGGGAAGGTGGATCATGAGATGAACGAATGAGAAGAGACGTAAGAAAATGAAAGTGTTTTGAAGAAGACTGCTACCTGGCCATGTTACGAGGCGTTTAAGAATGTCAGATATTCATACACATATTGTCTCGTTTGTTGAGGAGATGGGAGGATATTTATCTTAGGTGAGAAAAATGAATCACTACAAGGTTTTCTTCCGTACAAACTTGCGGTGTTGGGGCTCGGTGGAGCCTCCAGTTGCTGAAGAGCTTGCCATCAAACTACCAGGACTGGTCAAGCTACTTCACCTGTGTAAAAGGATATAGTAGACGAGACAATTTTGCTCTGAAGTCGTCGTATTTCGTACTTATAGGATTATACTGAATACCAACTGTCTAGATGTGCTCCAATGCCAATGCCCCTCTCAGCCAATCGACCTATGGTGTGGCTGCGAGAATAGCGCCATGAGCACAAGAACGCCGCTGGACGCTCCCCGCTGATATGCAGAAATATAAAACATAAGCTCAATCCCAATGCTGACCCGATGCATGAATAGAAACCGGATTTTCCTGTCCTAGTCCGATGCCACAGGCAACCCACGCCACACGCTCCCTTGATAATTCCTTCGTGAAAGAGGGACCATTTTAGCCCTCTGCGAAAACTGGTCATCTGAAAGCCCAGAGCACCGCGGACTGATGCTGGTTACGATCGCTTTCTCAGTTCCTCACGACTGAGATCAGCTCCGGTTGCTCGAGGAAGAGGAGCGCCGTTCTCTTTGCCCAGGTAAGAGAGGCGGATGAGCTCATTCATCATGGCATCCCGCGTGCGCGCTGTCAGAGCGTCGGCGTCGGCTGCGGTGAGACCTGTCGTGGGGATGGCGGGGAGGACTGCGTCCATCAGTATTGGCTGAGACTCTCCAAGGGCTCAGGGAATAGACATACCGCTCACATCAATGATGCCCGCATTGAATATCCTCTTCTTGAAATTCAGCACATCACTGTAGTTTGCCGCCACGATGGGGACAATGGGAACCTGGGCCTGGATGGCGAGATGGAATGCGCCCTTCTTGAAGGGTAACAGCTCCGGCGTCTCCGAGTAGGAACGCGTTCCTTCGGGGAAGATGAAGACGGACTGGCGCTCGGAGCGCATGTGTTTTGCGGCGCCATCAAAAGCTGCGCGGGCGGTGGCACGGTTTGCACGGTCGATGAAGACGGACTTGGAGAGGGCCATAAACCAGCCGAGGACGGGCACCAAGCGCAGCGACTTCTTGGCCGTGACGGAGCAGTACTTAGGGAAGACGCAGCCGAGCAGGAGCACATCGAGCTCAGTCTGGTGGTTGCCCACGAAGACAGCGGGCCTGGTCAAGAGGGCGTCCTCGCCGCCCCGCCGCCCGCCTTCAATCCTGCCGCCGTCATTGACCCTGAACGTCACACCTGTGAACACCCACATGGTCCACTTGAAGGCGCGCGCGACCGTCCACTGGCTCAGGCCGCCGTAGCCCACGAGCCGCAGGACGATGCTCGCAACAACGCCGTAGGACGCACACAACAGCAGCGCCACTATGGACGAGACCAGCCGTGCAAGGTACGCACTCAGTTGTGACGGCCGCCGTGGGAGCAGTGCGGATATGGCGTGGAGCGCGAGGATGAGCGCGGGGAGGCCGGCCATGGCGTACAGCAGCCAGCCCATGGTGGATTTTATATGGTCGTGGTCGTCGTGGAGTGTGCACGGAGACGGAGCTGGGGTGGGGTTGGAAGGGGGGCATGTGAGCGCAACTTTTTCACCGTTGAGGTGCCGAGGTCGCCGCCTCGCTAATGAGGCTGTCCGTCGAATATGGGGCATCCTGGTTAACCCCAAGGAGTGTTGAGATTGCCGAGCAAGCTTTCCAAGGTTCACGGATCTCCCCTCCTCCAGGCCAGCCTTCCCTCAGCAGAAAATCAGACATATTATCATTCATTACAATTGGATTGATAATCGTAAAACGCACACGTACCGCGATGCCTTTTTGTGCCGTTGTCCCCCAAATGAGCAACCCATGGAAATAAATGTCAACAAGTGCAGACCGTTCATAGAGACAGGTATATCTAAAAAGAGAAAAAATAATAAAAAAAAGTGATTGTATCCTCTCCCTGCCTGACAACCCATGACTACCGTCCTCCAGGGCCGTCGGCGTACGACTGGTGGCTATCGTACGGCCTTGGACTTGGTTGAGGACTCTGGTATGGATTTGGACTTGTATACGGCATCAGCTTCACCTTCTGCTCTGCGTCGCCGCCATGGTCTACAGGGCAGTAAGCGCATGTCTACCTACTTCTCGGGGGAGTATCCGGGTTCTTTCGCACCCTTTCTTTGCTTGATCATCTCTATTGTCGAAATGCCGAACGCCAGAATATCGACTAGAAATATTGGGATCAGCATCCATCGCCACGCAACCATGTTCGTAACTTTCGAGTCGATCTTGTCGTGCTGATGTTGGTCCGCTAGTGGGAGGTCTAGCACCGCCTTGAACCACGTCTCCGGGGTCCATTTGTCGGCAGAGTAATCGACATTTGAGCGCGCCAAGTCTTCTGAGATGCTCTGGCCCTTCGTCTGGTTGGTGACGAGGAAGACAAAAATGATAGCGGAGAGGGTGAAGAGCACGGCAAGAAACTGGAGAATGGAAAGGGTGAGAAGAGTCTTCGAAGGATTCTGCACCGATGTCAGTTCTCAGCTCCGAGATTACTCATATCAGCAGAAAACTCACCCTGCCTTCCCTTCGGCGCTGCCTCCAGGCTACATACAGTCCGAAGAGGCCCAGGAAGAATCCATATCCCGCAACCCCATTACTCGTGTGGCCTTGGTCGACCCAGAGGTGCTTCGGTAGTACTTTCAATTGCACAGTTTCGCCAGGCCAATCCACCCGGTAGGTTCCAACATTGTCCTTTTGGTCGTGGAGAAACCCGACCATGGAGCTGATCAAGCCGAGATTTGCGATGGAAAGCGCAGAGAGGAGTGCATTCGAGAGAAAGATAGGAAGGTGCCCCATGATGTTGGGTGTGCTCTCCCGTAATCGATCTGAATTTGGTAAATTAGAGAGGGAGGAGACGAGCTAGAAGACGAGTCCAAGTATCACAATAGGCGTCCCAGACTGAACTGGGCATTAATTATGGAATCAGTGATTGTGATCAGAAGGAAAAGGGCCCCGAGTTGAATATAAACATCCACATCTTTGCCTCCGGCTGGAAACTTCCTCGAGCTGACTGATGATATCAGCACCATTCTGGTTAGTATTTCAGACAGATCAACGGCTAAGAAAATAACACTTAGACGAAGTAGACTCGGACCAATGCGAGACCAATAAACTGGAAACTGATGCAAGCCACTGTTGTGGCCAGCTTACGTTGAACGCGCGGAACCACACTAAATGTAGACTTGACCAATTCCACAGATAGCGGCTGGGGAGCCGCAGGAAGGCCACAAGCCAGCTTAGCCACAGCCTTCAGCTTCAACAATCGAACACTTCAGCCTCTTTTTGCCTTGAAATGCGCGCAAGGTCATTGGCTTCATATTACCACGAGTTGCCAAGAGGGCATAAGGCTGGTCGAGAATCCCTCACTACTGCAGCCCAGGCGCAAACTTATCGAGCTTTGCGGTGGTGCCGGCAGGCTGAGTGTCCAAAGGCAGCAGAGGCGGTTTATGCCTTCACCGATCCATTTCAAAGAGCTGCGGGGGGAAAGGTTCACTTCGAGTCGACTGTGGTTGAAATTTAAAGCTGGGTACAATGTGAATTTGGTGTTGGATTTCAACAGGAAGTCCTAGGGGTGGTATTGCCTAAACGACGCTGGCTTGCTGAATGATGATGAATGATTTTCCCATATGCTCAAAGACACCCTTTAGATACGCAGCCGGGTAGCTTGGGCTGTGAAATCAGGCCGGGGAGAAGGCTTTTCGCATGGAAGAAAAATGCTGACGATACTGATCCATAGATGATTGGTAAACCTCTAAAGAGCACGGCCGATGTCCTATTTGAAGACACTAAAAATAAGTGAGCGTTTGTCAAGAATCACGTGGTTTTTGTCTAGCCTAAGTGGGGATTAGCTTCTTTTGCCAAATTGTTTATTTCCCTAGCCTCGCGCTGTTTCCAAAGATCTTCTTTCCTGTACCGTACTCTGTGCTTGCATAACTCCCCCCCTCTCCATTATTCCTTCGCCTGGATGGCTTTTTCCCTCGCGTCCTTCAGACCTCAAGCTCAAACATTCCCTCCAAGCCGACAAGCCATGCGACAGTTTCCGAGACTGGACCCCACGCATTCCCTACCACTATTGATTCCATCAATCTTAAGGCTTCAACAGAGGTTGAGATCTAGATGAAGAGCTTTATAATCACGTTTCTTGCCCACCGCTGAAACTCGGACTTCTTCGAGAAACCACTTGTAGCCGGGGAATTAACTTGTTCTTCAGTGCTACTAATGCTCAACGCATTAAACCTTCGTTTGAGCAAGATTGAGTTTCGTTCCTACTTGTTTCGGCCTTGATTTAAACTGCAGGTGTTATCGATACTGAGGCCTACACGGATCGCATCGCGGGCTGTTTCCAACCCACTGCCAAATACCAGCTCCAAGAGTAGCCCGACCCAGCAAATGTTGAACAACCTCTTCCTGACGACAGCATGTCTTATCACAAGCAACTTGGGAAGTACTAACAATATGTACAGATTTCGTTCAAGGCCCGCGTTGCGATTATCTGAGACTCCAGTGATACAGCGGACAGACCCAGTTTAAGACTTAGCGGGCTTCAACTTGTCAAACACATATGTACCATAGCGTAGTATTGAAGAGTTCCACTCCGAAAATCGAAACTGCGGCTTGAACACATGGACTCACCCTTGGACAATCTGGGTTCGTTCACATTAGACAAAGGCTCAATTCCGATCAGCTTCAAGTCAAAATCATGTCTTGTCTTGTCCCCCACTTTCAATATTCCTTCCAGGCCTCGTTGATAAATGCAATCCGCTTCTACTTCACCTGCTCGCCAGTGCTTTCCAGCCCAGCTTTGGGACACTGAAAACCTTCGACACTGATTGGCAATGCTTCTTCCTCGGTCACTAGCCGAAATATCCCTGGCTAATTTCAAACAAAAGAGAAATCTGCCTACTGCAAGCCTCCTGGAAAATATGTCAAGCATCCAGTTGTCGCATCAGGTCGGCGGTGTGCACGGTCCCACCCGCGCCTACGAGGTGCCCAGGTGAACACAGAAGCCAATCCTTCCCGCATTTTTACACTTTACTTCGAACTCCGTCGCTGTAAACTCCGACAAGTTGGCCGCAGCTGCAACAAAAGCCGCACAGCATGAAGATTCTGTCCGCAAAAGTCCTTTTGTCAAGCGAAGTGCTCCTCGTCTGCCCAATAGCCCAATCCCAATTATGAACAACGAGGCAAAGCAGGGGAGTGGCACAGTGAACATGAAACTAACTGAAGGGATTCTCGCTTTTGCACTTGTTTTGCTTTCACTAAAACTTAGGCATCATATAATCTAAATGCTCAGAATTCTTGTTGACCAGAGTTACTATCTTCGTCTCAACCCGGCCGCTCTCCAGGTCTTGCTCCTAGCAATTGACCGAGGCGGAGACGAAGGGCGCTCTAGTTCTCTCAATCCATTCGCTACTGCCCTTTCATGCATCAAATTCAATTCCGCCACCTCATTGGCTGCCGCGCTTTAGAGCCCCATGCCGTTTCCTCGCAGGTCGGCCAGGAGCATATCAAGCCAACGACTTCGCAGTCACCGGACTTCATTATCTACAAGCCATGGCACTCACACACCTACTGAGGCTTCTTGTAGGATTTCGCCTAGCAGGGTCGAAGATGGAATCGAACTGGTTCCGATCGAACGGCAGAATAGTGCTTCCGCCAAACAAATCGCGCCGGGTCAAGAAGAGAAAGAGGTAGTCCCTCTATCAAGACTGGATCTCGAAATTTCTAGAAAGCCCCTCCCCAGTCTCCCTCAATCTAGATGGAATCGAATGTCCGTCAAACATCGAATCCTCACAATTCTGTGCATACAATTTTGCATGGTTTTGACGATAGGACTCAGTCTCAGAGCTCCTAGAAGCAAATCAGCTAGGTTAGTAGAGTTGAACCCCCGCAAAGTAGTTCATAATTTGCTCACATTGGGAGTAGTCCTTCCTCTATCAGCTCCCCAGCGAAACAGACGGTTAGCCCGGTGGCCCCGACACCTACACCTATCCAGCTTGACACTCCCATCAAGCATGGCGCATTTTTAATACCATTTGGAAATGTACAACAACAGAGCTCCGCTTGCGTTGCACAGAGCAATGAGTCCTCAGCATGGACATGCAAACCACGTCGAGCAGTCCGGTTAAGCCTACTTCCCTCGGAATCGATGAACGTTACCCTTGTCTATATCGAGTCTTTAAACTCATCCGCAAGCCTAGGATACGGAATTCAGGATCCAAATTTCCCAGTTATGCCGCTGAGCACGGTGATAGACCCCCAATATCCGAATCACGGGGGAGCATATTATTTCAAATCAAGATACGACCGAGTTACGCTCCTCAAAGAAGAGCAAATAGGAGCTATACATAATAACTCTTTTAGTCTCTCGCAAGACGAAGTCACCGATATACAACCAGGTAGCACACTTTGGCAGTGCTTTTTTAACAGCACGTCTGTCGAGGGATACTTATACGTCCTCCAGAATGCGACAAGTACAAATCAGACTTTGCCGTGCGAGAACCCACATAATTCTACCAATACCGTCATGGTGTCGTTCTTACCGTACGTCATGAAGATTACCGAGGAGCAATTGCCAGGCAAGACACAAGCAGCATATTGTAACAAGGTACGATATTTAGGCAACAGGTCGTTAGTCACTCAATTCGACGGACAGGGACGTCCCATCTCAATGAATCTTACTATGCTTGGCTCACAACTGCAAGGAGTTGAAGGAAGCCAAAAGAGACAAACAAGTTTGCAAGATTTTTGTCAATGCCAGTGGCTCTATCAGTGAGCTCTACACCCTTCGCCACTCCCTGTCTCGCCGTCTCTCCTTTGATCTCCGGTATCACGAACACCCATGCCTTTTCGTCCTTTCTATTCCCGATTCGCCATCATCTTCTCAAAACTACAACTACACGCCTCAATCACGTTACCCCACGGATCTTGACAGTAGAGCGCGTACTGCTTCTCTTCCTCGCCCTCGCACGTCGCTGGCGTCACCGTCTCCCCAATTTTCGTTCCACCTGCTTTTACCACCCTCTCACACAACGCTTCTGGGTCTGGATCTGTTATTGCTAGATGAAATACACCTCCTCTCGTGTAATCAAAACTTGCTTGCTGCGTCATGGGCGGGTCGATGAATTGGAACAGCTCGAAACCAACTCCGTTGCCCGTGGAGAGAAATGCGAGTTTTACTTTGTGCAGTTTGGAGTCGTAAACTCGGAATATTGGGGCACACGGATCGGTACTGCGATCGCAGCATACGGGGCCAGACCGCAGTTGTCGAAAGCCGAAGAGAGTGGTGTACCAGGTTGTGGCAGCATCGAGGTCCGGGACGTGTAAGGCGATGTGGTTAAGAACTCGATTATGGGGTGCCAATTCGAGTGCCATTGTTCTTTTGGGAATGCTGCTGGCGGTGGTTTGGTATTCGTCTAAGCCAGATTTATCCCCTTCTGGACTTTTTGTTTTGGATGATGGGTGGTATCAAGGATTCTTATCTTCAATGGTACCATCTTTTGGGCCGCTAGCCGCCACTTTAAGATCAACTTGCCTTGCGGGCCTTTGTCACTTATAGGATATATACTTCCCTCCTATACCCCCTTACGCATTTCTCTCAGTGAATGCTGCCGATCACGTGCATCCCCAGGGCTGAAATCCGGTGTCGGCTATGGTTTTCCTGTCCCTAACACTGGTAGTCACTCACCCAACGCAATTCCCCAACAAGCCGACATCTGTCAAATTGCCCTGATCCTGGATACTGGCATTGGTGGGGTTAACATTTGGCGGGAGGGCGGGGAAGTGCGGGCTAGCGAAACCACCTGCACGAACACGTGAACACCGTAGGCATCGAGCGAGAAATTGCAGTTCTATATAGCCAGAATATTTCCGGGATATATTGAGGAACCTGTTCAAGCTTCGTATCGCTTATACGCAAGAAGCAGCGTTGACTGTATTTATTCCTATTTAGTTGGGCATCAAAAGCTCCATCGTATTACTTTCTCCAGAACTTTTATACGCCGCTTCATAATCTTCTGTTCTCCTAACTGAAGGCTCTTTTGTGTTATTTCAACTTCCCTCTGCAGTCTCAGAGTCTCAGGCCTCTTAAATCATCCCCCCCCCCCCCCCCCCCCCCCCCCCCCCCCCCCCCCCCCCCCCCACCCCCCCCCCCCCCCCCCCCCCCTCTCTCTTCCTGAAGCGCTTCCAAAACGTCCAACCTCAGCTCCATTTAACCACGTAACCGCTAAAATGTCAGTAAATGGAGTTCCCATAGCCGAAACCTCCGCCTCGAGGAATTTCTCCATGGCATCTCCGTTCTTCAACATGGCCGGAAAGGTCATCGCGATAACAGGGGGGGCTGCAGGCATCGGCCTCGCGACAGCGTCCCTCCTTGTATCCCAAGGCGCCAAAGTCGCTATCGCAGACATCAACAAAGAGAATCTACAAAAGGCTGCGGTTGACCTAAAATCAATGTGTCAGAACGGCGGGGAAGTCATCGCTACACAAGTTGATGTACGAAAGAGGGATCAGGTCGACAGCTGGGTCGACGAAGTGGTTTCCAAATTTTCTAAATTAGATGGTGCCGCTAATTTGGCGGGCGTTATTCCGAAAAGTATTAATATTGAACGAGTGGAGGACTTGAACGATGAGGACTGGCAATTTGTGTTGGATGTTAATGTCACTGGAGTGATGCAGTGTATGCGCGCGCAAATTCGTCAGATGAATGAGAAGGGGAGTATCGTGAATGCGGCTAGTATCGCAGGTCTGGGTGGGTTTCCAAAGAATGCGGCGTATACTGTGGCAAAGCATGGGGTTGTTGGGCTAACGAAGACGGCGGCGAAGGAGGTGGGTGATAGGCAGATCAGGGTAAATTGTATTGCGCCGTAAGTTAATGCGTGCAATAGTGGCCAGGTTGGTTGTTGACGAGAATCTCAGAGGCATCATTGACACTGAAATGCATCGCGAATCGGTAAGGATTAGAGGAAGGGAGGGTGACTATAAGATCCAGATCCCGAGGAAAGGAAGACCTGAGGAGGTTGCGGCGCTGATTGTATGGTTGATGTGCGATGGCTCGCAATACATTACGGGGACGGTACAGATAATTGACGGTGGAATTATGGCGTAAGCTAATGCCTACTGTTATGGTAGCAATTGGATAACGCCTTCAGGGGTGGTGTGAATAACATCACCTAGGAAGGGGAATTGTCTTCCCCTCGGCAGGCCTCTAAACCCCCACGACATATCCTCCGGCTCGTCTTCCCAGAGTTGTGGGAGGCCTCGTAGGTGCTCCGTGTACATCTTGGTATGAGGTTTTATTGGTGATCGTAGAACAAATTGAGACGAATAGCTGTCCATGGTAAAGCAACTGCATTCCAAGGCATAGCAGACCAGCGAAGTAATCAAAAGCCAATTACTAATATGAAGGTGTGACATGCGTTTTCTTTCAGTCTTTTTACAATAGGAAACATTGCCCTCCATCACCACATCTCCCACACCGCATCAGGTAACACCGTCCTCATAATTCTCCAATGACTGACCGCACCTTGCTTATGCCACTTCTCTAATTCCCCCACATCACTCTTCTTCATCACCTGTCCGCCGTGGTCAGGGTGCTCATAATCAAACTGAATTTCTAACTCTTCCTTCGGCCTCAGAAAGTTCTGTCTGGCAATACTACCCTTAAAGTCATCTTCGTCTGCTTCGCGGAATAGTAGCGCGAATTTACCCTTGTCATGATCATTCTTGACACAATAGACTACCATGTTAATGAAATCGGGATCGCTTGGTCGCCGGTTGCCTGCGGGTGGAGAATCTCGGAAGAGTCGGCAAGCGGGAAAGACGGAATGGATGGTGTTGAGGACGAGGCGGGTAGAAGGGAGGGAGAGGTCACCAGCGTAGTTGATGGCTACGATGCCATCTTCTTTGAGAAGCGAGGCTAGGCCTTTGAAGAACTCCTGGGTGAATAGATAAACGGGTTCCGCCCCTCCAGTAAAGACATCGTGGATGATGTAGTTGAAGGAATTCGGATTCGTTTTGGATTTCTCATGGACGTATGCGACAGCATCGTCGATAACTGCTGTGTGGTTGGGCGAGAGATTGAAAAACTTGGACGCGTAATGGTGGACTACTGGATCTAGCTCTACGATGGTGGTATTGATCCCGTGAGACATTAACGCATTAGGTGCGGTGCCTATTCCCAACCCAATGACCAGTGCTGATTTCTGGTTGTCTGGAATTGGCTCAACATCTGACTGGTCATCTTCGACCAGGCGTACGGCCTCTAGCATTACAAAGACGGAGAAAATAGTCTCGCGCTGCGTTTGGCCCTTTGCAGCAGCGGCTGGAGTTACGAGCCACTCCCCGCCTAGTAGTGAATGATCACAGCGCAACAAGCGAAATGCGGCATCTGTGTGGCTCTCGAGCACTGAGACATATCCTGTGACAGACTCCTGACGGGCCAGGAGAGTGAAGTTCTGTGTGGAAAACAGGGTGGTATTGGCTTTTTGTAGAGCGCTCTCGGATGGGTAGTGAGGATTGGCTAGCATTGTGTGTAGGATCGCCGGTGCTGCAAACAGGATGACTCTGGAGGGAGTCAAGATCGCCGAAACGGAACCAATGAGCAATTGTAGACCAACTCGGGTGAAGGACAAGTGTGTTCCAACGAAGCTTGGCAATATGGATGCCGTAATCTTCGAAACGGAAGAGACTGTGATATATGAAGCTAAGGGAGGTACCATTTCTGTAATCGTCGGGTTGAGATTGAATCGCGAGAGATCCAAGGTGTCCAAGAGGTCGCTAGCCGTGTAGACAGAGAGCAGAAGCAGGGGAAGATAAGTAACGGACTCGATAAGTAAGGGGCCATAGTCTACCCCCAGCCTCCCGCTAGCGTAAAAGAGCAAGAACTGAAGGACGGGTGTCCAGTAGGCGATGATGGCGATGTATTCAGATATATTTGCAGGTAGATATTTTGTGATGGCTCCTTTCCCTACCAGAGCTAGCAGGGCGGTGAATGTAATAGACCTCTGGTGGTGCAAGGATGCTGGGATAGAGCCATAGACAGGGGATAAGCTCAGCTGGGATACAGGCGAAGCAACTCCCGCAAGAATGAGAAGGACTGCAGCTCGGGCAACATTCTTGAGGATTGTTGAAGTTGGAAGCTGTCGTGCTTGTTTCTCTGCTTCCTTGGCAGCTTTGGGCTTTCTTGGGGTAGCTTTCGGTCGTGAAGACATAATGAGGGGACAACCAAAGCTAACGATAGGTCTGTCTACGCAAGATCTGCCTCTAATGTTTACTCCATATAATCAATGGACATGGACTCTGGCGAGAATTGAGAAGGACAGATGCCACACCCCACTTGGAATTAGTTCTTTGATGCTTCGCTTCTGCGGTCCGCTCAGCCGGGTGTTGAAGCAAGAGAGAACGAAGAGGGAACAAGTAGCGCAAGATGAAGACGGAAGAATTTTACTGAAGCAAAAGAGTGTCACCTCAAGAAATTGGATACATATTGCCAAAGGACAACTGTTGTCGGAGCGGAGGCCGATCTGTTGGTTGAAGCATGGGTGAAACGCGGCCGTGGTGTTTCGAGATTAGCGCGCCACGCCAAGCCATAGATCTTGGCCCTATGCCATGGCGTCATATAGAATATGCAATTGCCCTTGAACCTCATCGCGCCTTCTGCACGAGGTCTGCCACTGCCTCGTCTGTCTGCGTTTGTGGATGTCGAGGAAGGAATTGCTGACTCCATTAGGACCTCGGGATGCCGTACTTCTCCGCCCTAAACACCATGGCAGACGCGCAAGGCGCACCTGCTTTCTTAACGCTTCCGCTTCGCGCTGTGGTCGGCCGTGAAGACACTGCCAGTGCTGCTCGGGATGCCGTGCCGCAGAACGCTATCATGGGGGGTGCTAATGATCCCACCGCCGATGAAGACACCATCGCTAGCTATCGTCGGTTCCATGCGGAGCGATCTGCAAGGCTCGCGTCTAAAAACCGTCGTAAGCGCTACCTCGAAGTCCACCCTGAATACTTTGACGACCCAGCCCTTGAGTTCGCCGACCCCGTCCTCTACGACCGCTGGATTCGACGCTTCAAGACCACGGCCGAGCGCGAAGCCGAAGGTCGTGCTAAGGGAATGACGGGCCTTCTTCAGGTTCACGCGGCCCACCAAGAGGCGGCCCACCACCCGAACCCGTACTCACTATTCTCTCATACCCGTGGCCCGAATGGAGACGTCCTTCCTGAAGATAAAGAGGACGCCCCGGACTCTAAGGAAGAAGGTAGAAGGATGTGGGAGGATGAGATGACGCAGCGCTTCCTTATGGGCAACGACACGGATTTCGACTACAACAAGGTCGATAGCAACCCTGACTACAATGACCCTGAGGAGGAGCGAGATAGAGAAGAGGCCTACTTCATGGGCTCTGACGAAGACATGGACGACCAAGATAGTTCCCAGAACCCATCCGCTGACACCGGCATCCAGGACTACTGACCCTGAATGGAGCCAGCCGATCCCGGCAGATGTGTTGCATCTTCATCATCTGTACAACAGAAGCTTCCCAACTTGAAATCCAAGACAGAAGGACTACAAGGTATGCCATTGAACGCTTGAAATCAGCCACATCCCGCATTTGTATTTCCTTCGCCAGCCTTCTGGCCTACCTGCATGGGGTCGTGCACCTTTGCCTAAACAACACTAAATTGTACTGGGCTTCATTTTGACACTGGCTAACATCCTAGTTACAGCTTACCAGCTCCTTACAGGAAGTACCTGAAGGTCAAAGCTCTGTCGCCTAATGCGCTCATCTCTTCAGGTGTGTATCCATTATGTGCCCCTTCAGCTAGCTGTTTTTCGCGCGTGGCATTAATCCTCCTGTAACTGAACACCAAAACTAACAATGCAATGATTCCAGCGACAATGAACCCAAGTTCAAGTGCATGGCCAAGGACATAATGAGGGGCGTCCTTGGACCGGTAGAAATTCGAAGCCATGGCTGGGGACACATATTAGCCAGCTCCTGTGTAGGAAAATGCATCAACTCACCTCCTGCGAGGTTTCCACAAGCAATTTGGATCGCCTGTCCTGTTGCGCGTTTCGTGCTTCCCGCTAGGTCTAGTTTCTATTAATATCTGAATACAGCAATAAAGTGTCTCATCCTTACTATTGCTTAGCCAGGTAATGTTTCCGGGGAATGCCGGATATAGGGCGCAGGCTGCGATGAATACCCCGGCATATATGACACCAGGCGTGCTGCTCGATATGCACATAATGAATCCCACCGCCATTATGCACAAACACACCAGGATGAATGGGTACCGCTTGCCATATCGATCACTGACGTACGCAACAGCTATAGCGAGAATCGATGCAGTGACGTAGATGGGCACAGTGAGGAGTTGTGCTGTTGAGCTGGTGTATCCAAGTGCGCGAATAATGGTCGGGAGGAAGAGCGAGATGCCATAAAGAGGGGCGACAATCCCTAAAGGTGTAAGTTTGCTGGTCCCAACAGCAATGGAAAATTCTTACCCCAATAGACCCAAATGTTTGTCCAAATCTGCCAGTCCAAAAACGCGGCTTTCACATACTCCCACTTGAATGTGTCGTCCTGGGCGACCTTAGTCTCTTCGTCATCTTGTGCCGCCTGATACTTGAGCCGGTACACAACAAACGCGCGCTCTTCCTCTGTTAGGAAGCTCGCAGTTTCCGGGAAATCGAACAGGATGAAGTATGCAGTGATAGCTACAATGACTGTCAAGATTCCCTCGAGAATGAAGATCCAGCGCCACCCCTCCAAATTGCCAACACCATCCATGTGGGCAATGCCGTAGGCCAGGAGTCCCGAAAATGCACCCGCGACAGACGCAGCGCTGAAGAACAGCGCTTGACGGAGCTGGGCTTCATGCCGGCAATACCACATAGTAATATAATATGCAACACCAGGGAAAAGCCTATTGCTCATCAGTCCTCACCCTCTCCCCAAAGGAACGGAGCCTACTTACCCAGCCTCAGTAACCCCCAAAAAGATCCGTGCAATCAACAACCCTTTGAAATTTTGCACTATTCCCATAAGTGTCATAACAATCCCCCAAGCTACCATAATAGTCGGCAGCCAGATGCTCGGCCTGAGCTTCTTCAACAGCAGGTTACTGGGGACTTCGAATGCGGCATAGGTAAAAAAAAAGACGGTAAGACACCAATTATACTGCGGACCCGTCATGTTGAGATCTTCCACTAGGCCTTCGATTTTCGCATTGCCGATGTTCCCCCGGTCGAGGAAGGAGAGGAGGTAGAGCAAGGCCAACATGGGGATAAGTCGCAAATCCATCTTCCTTAGGATCTTCTTCTCATCTAAATGCGCGAAGGATGCCATGGTTACACCCGGCGCTGTGGCCAGGGCATCGATCCGAGCCACTTCCTCGGATTTGCTGATGTGGCCGCCATGGTGGCCATGGTTCGAGGTGGCGGGAGTGGGCTGCTGCTTCTCGTTGAGCGAGTCGGATTGGGCGTCGGATTTGAGGATTTCGGGCTTTTCGTCCATTGTGAGGGGTGGGGAATGGTTCAGGAGAATTGAAGTTTGAGTGATCCCGGGGTGGAGGGTGGAGGCGAATATGAAGATGAGGGATGGGATGCTATGTTGAAGAGGACTTGATCCAGCTTGACTGCAATGGGACGAAAGGATTATCGGAAAGGAACTGAAATATAATAGGGAATTGAGGAAAAGGTAGTGGTTTTGGCTGTGTCGGAACGACAGATGCTCTATTCTAGCACGTCCTGTTCGAGCCTAGCATAGATGGTGTATTCACCGTCTCTCAAGGAGGGAAAACAGTCGTGGAGTAGCAGTGCCTATCTGATGCAAATAATGATCCTCCAAAATTTCGCGGGGTATCTCCATAACCACATATAAACCCCGTCCCTGCGGTTCCAAGAGTCAGGCTGTCTTGAGGTGAACCCTGTTTTTCGGACCCCAGCGTGTCCACCCACGTAATCCGCATCCGATCGGCTTTCGAACTCACTCCCAGGATGGCGGGACTGGGGACTGTTGCGGGAAGTGCAAAGTTCCTCGGCTTCGGGGTCTATAACTATTTGTTCTGCATTCAGCCTTTGACGTGCGCCGAGCATTCTCCACGCCACAGAACGCCATGTAAAGAAATTGTGAAAGCTTGACATGAAAGCTGAGCACGCCAGCTACGCATGCAAAGGTACCCTCAACGGCTCCTCCAGATTTCTTGGCGAACGCGCGCTACCGAGAAGCATTTATGTGGCACGTGGTGGCTCCATGGATTTGAGTGTGGGGACCCCGCTGATGTGTAATTTTAAGTAGCTGGACACGGGCTATGTACGCGGCAGATATTTATCCTTGAAGCACGTTGAGGCGGCTGAGCACGAGTGGGAAGTGGGTTTGACCGGCCCGGGTTGCTGAAAAAGGTAGGTGGTGAGGATTGCGTGGAGTTTTAGGGCGGACTAATTCCGCGTTTGGAAAAGATGGTCACGGACCCATATGTCGGATGGATGGACGAGTGGAGGAACCGGAAAGCTGATTGCTGGGGGACGTTGATTGCCTTCAAATTCCGATCTACGGGGTGTATGAAACAATGTGAAATGTAAATCTAGAGCTTGAAGAATGACTGCATAATGCTGCTCAGGGAAAGTGTTCTTGGAGATAATGTTCAATAGTTCGATATCAAAATGCGGAAGGCAAATACGTCAGGACAGGAATGAGTATTGATATTCGTGTTTATTGTCGCTAACCGTTAAGTCTTGGGTTGCTGAAAACTAACTAAGCTCTCGGAAACCGAGCTTCCCATTCACTTCTCGCTAAGCCTTTCCTTAACCGCACCCTCTTGCTAAAGTTCTGATTAATTCGGCATAGCACGCTGTAAAACGCTGAGATATTTTTGCACCTGAAAGTAGACCCATTAGAGTGATGTTTTTTTCATAGTAGAGCGTGTATTGAAGAACAAAGGCCTAGCTAAAGATCTATTTAAGGATGTGCCAGTGTCGTAGGGTATCATGAGTAACGAAGGGGGCAAGGGGAGAACGTGGACAAATAAATAGCAAGACCGAGTACAACAGAATGAAAAACCACTATAGGGTACATGAAGCGAATGACAACTGACAGACAAGAAGAGATGAGTAAGGAGAAAGAATGACAATATTAAATGAAAACAAACCCATAGCAATCAACAACACAGCAAGCAACCGCCTTATATCCTACCAATAAGTAAGAGTCTCTTGAAAAGACTGCAAAACGTCGAAGGTGAGATGAAAGACAATATTCAAGATGCAGGGCTATTGGACGAGGTGAAAGAGATCGGTCATCACCATCGAGGTCTCATTGACGGCTGCAATCCTCTCACGAGGTTATTTTGAGGTACCGCAGATAGGGCAGAAATCCAACCAATCGCAGTTCACAGCGCTGCAGCTTGAGCAGACCCAGACGTCGTTTGGGGTTTCAGGAATGCTATTGATAGGAACTCCATCGTGAGAATCCCGCGCCAACGTGCTGGGTTCTTCTGCCTTCCAATCGCAGACCGGGCAAAAGTTCGGGGTAAGACCCGAGTTCGAGGCACCACAGCCTGGACATGTCCAGGCATCTGGAAAGTTTGGGACAATCGTTTCCAGAATCGATGTGCTGTCTTTAAATTGGCGAGCGTAGTTGCAGTGGACCTGGGGTGGGTGGGACAGGGCATATGAGAGACCTGGCGCATTCATTGAGAATCCGGGTTTGGATGCAGACTGATAATAGTCAAAAATCGGGACGGAGGAGACGCCCGTGGGTAGAGGCTTCTTGTCACCTTCATCCGCACAAGAAGCATCCTTTTCGTGGGTGCAATTTGAGCATTTGGTTGAAGTCAAGGCCTTGATATTTGGGTTTTTACAGGAACAACAGAACCACATGCCCTCAGGAACTCGATCGCCGCTGGCCATTGTGAGATCGTCGATGTGTGCCGGTACGTACAGAGGGAGTTTCTTGATGCCAAGGGTGGAGTTTAGCTGGGTGACCAGCTTCGCTGGGTCCGGCGTGAGGAAGATCGTCGAGGGTGTGGATATAGTCTGAGCTAGTACCCTTTGGTAGAGAAAAATGGTGCACACCGTGAAAGACTGATGTAGGTTGAACCGTTCGGAGGGTTCTCTCTGCTGACTTGTTGAAGTAGCGACGGATTATGTTGAAGAAGGTTGAGAGGCAGGAATGTGTCTCGCAACGCACTGAAGGAAGTGATTCAGGAGTATATTTGAAGTGAGGAGTTCTGATAGTCCGTAAAAGAAGTAGTACCTGGAGTTGAGAAGACTGGAGTGCTTGCTGATGATGGTTCATTGAAAGAGGAACTGGAAGATATGAAAGGGGTTTATATAGACAGATTTAAAGTATAGAGGGACGAAGATGCCCTACATTGTGCCCTGATTTTGTAGTTGAAGCCCAAAGGGGCGACCATCGTCGTGCCCTGCTCAAGCTGCCATTACACCGGCCAGCTTCTTTTCCGAAAAGGACTCCGCTGCAAAGCACGCCTGATATTGGAGTTGCAAGACTCGCCGCCCCAAGACCTCAGCACACAGCTTCATTGCGGCCCGAAGGAGGACGTGCTGGGACTGAAGTAGTAGGGTAATCACAGTAGACTTGAAGAAACCTTGTGATCAGGAGGTAAGAAGGCATGAAGGCGTTAACGGCGAGGTACCATGCTCATGCAGAAAGAAGCTATCTTACGAAGCCGCAGCCGAGCGCCCCTTTGACGTAGCCTCATTCTGACATTGGTCGATGTTCAGCCACGGTGATCTATTATTCGGTAAGAAAGGACTTCTATTGTTCTACGTTGAATCTTGCGGCGGCTTTCTAGGGATTGGCGAATCCTTCCCCGCGCGGAAAACAGTTTGCCTTTCAGATGTTAGAGACAATGTCTGAATGCCATCAAAAGAATGATGTTGCACATTGAAAGATGAATGGGTGCTCCCTGACCTGCTTGGCGTTAGCAAGTCTAGGTTTTGGGGCTTCATCAGCTTCTCTGTGTTTCATCATTCAGAGGGACGGCCGTGAAGTTTGAACAATACGTTACACACACCTGCTACAGTGAAGTCAAACGCTCGTTAAGGGCGGCTGAGTCGACGAGTAGTCATGTGTTGGCGTTTCTGCCTTGCGAGTGTCAACAAGGCTGGAACCTCAGCCGGGATTTCAGAAGGGCACTGGACTGTAATTTACGACCGCACACCGCAAAGGGAAAGCCCTTCCAGCGGTTTGCCTTCTTTTCAGAGTCCATCCGCGGGGCACTTTAAAAGGAGAGATATGTACCCGTGACTCGCAGAGGACACTGCCCGGCGGTGTGAACTCAGTGTCAACAATCGGCACCCAACGGATGGCCGCGACAAGCCGAGAGTAGACAGGATATCATCGCGTGATGCTGTTCATAAGCGAGAGAATAATGAAATCTGAAGTGAAAGGTCGTGATGAGGAAGTGAAGCGCTAGAGGTTAACCCAAACGTTGCAGTCAGCGCGCTAATCCTGAGCCATCGAACAAGCGAGGAAGTCGAACAGGCACCCAACGGTTTTGCGTCCCAATCTTGGCGGTTCGAGTTCGAGTCCTCTCAAGCGCATATGGGCTCTGATTGTCCTTGCGAAAACATCTGGCGCAACTAAAAGAATAGAATACGATTCTTGAGAGGTAGACATGAGGTGCAATTTATATAGTAGGCATATGATGCAGCGTAAACCTGAAGACAGGATATCGATAATGCAAACCCAAATAATAGCAAGAGTGAATTTCATTACACACATTAATAGTTAAATTCTTTGTGCGCCGCCTTGTAGGGAGATGACACAAACTTTACTTCTACCAAAAACTAAGAGGTGGCCCTGAAGCAAAGGGCTCGGTCGCAAAGCATCGACACTAGGATTCGCCGCTTAAAACAGCCAAGCAACAAAGGTCCGGTAGAACCAGCCGCCTGTCTTGTGCTTTTTGGTGGCTGCTTGGTGGGCCAGAAAGGCCTCCTCTTCGCGATCAATCTCGGCTTTACCGGAGTAAAAATCGGCCTCATGGGAAAGGATACCATGGGTTCGATGCCAGAACTTGTAGCCGAAGATCATGCTAGAGGGGAGTTAGTAGACGCAGAGGCTTTAAAGGGGGTTGAGAACTGCTAAAGGGAAACACAGGCCAGGGAGATAGATAATAGCTGGGATCATGTTACGGGGTAAATCCTTACATCAAGTACAGTGGAATGCCCAGATAACCCGTTATGAAATTTTTATAGTCAAATCTATTGCTTTTAGTATGGTTTCTTGGTGATATAGCAGTGGCTAACTTACTTCCCATAGTCGGCAGAGTATGTGAACACATTGAAGTTCTTCGTCAACGCGATCAAGCAGCAGAAGAACAAGCTAATGCATGATCCAATCATACCGAATGGAGCAACATACGGCATTTGCTCATTAGTAAGTCCTTGAGCCTTCCGTGCTCGTACAAAATATATGTGCGTGACTAAGATAGAGATCCAAGTTAGGAGTCCAAAGATTGTGACTAAATTTACGAAGTAGCCGAAGACAATCTTAGAATCATCCGTGACGTTCATGAAAGCAAGCAGACAGAACAGGGACGAGACCGCGAGTGCGGGTACAGGGACACCGCGCTTGTCTGTCCAGGCTAAAAAGCGTGGTGCATGACCTTGCTCGGCCAATCCGTATATGGTCCGGGAGGCGATGTAGAGATCGGAGTTCGAGGCGCTGAAGGTGAAAACAAGAATACAGCCGTTCAGGATTCCTGGAAGATATTTGATTTCTGCAGTCTTTATGGCTACTACGAATGGAGAAGCAGAGGCCTTAGTACCAGCCTTGTTTGCAAACGCGAGATCCTTGGAATTGTAGGGCACGAGCATGCCGAGGAAGAAGACACTGAGGACGTAGAAGAACAAAATCCGGTAGAACGTAAGCTTAATCGCACGAGGGATGGTTTTTCGAGGGTTCTGAGCTTCGCCAACTGTTACACCAACAAGTTCCGTGCCAAGATAGGCAAAAACTGCTGTAATCATGGAGCTCCAGAATCCGAGAAACTTGCCGGTATCGCCTTTCGCAATATATGGCTTGAAAGCCCCAGGTTTATGATAGTATCGGAATCCTGTTCTATCATGTGTCGGGCCTCCTCCAAGAACGAGTATAAACGAGAGGAGAATGACGCCAACAATAACGAGGACTTTGATGGAGCTTAGCCAGAATTCGAATTCACCAAAGAATCGTACGCCAAAGTAGTTGATGCATATGATTGTGACCATGAACACCGCAATCCATACTCCAGGATTGACTTCGTGTGCTGGCTTCCAGTACTGGATAACCAATGCAGATGCAGTGAGTTGGTTGGGGGTTACGATAATATATTTGAACCAGTAGGTGTATCCAAGGGCGAAACCGAGCGCAGGATCGACGAATCGAGTAGCATATCCAGCGAAACCAGAGGCTTGGGGAAGCCAAGCTGCCATCTCACCAAGGCCACACATAACAATGTAGACTAGGAGACCGACGAAAGTGTAAGAGATTAGAATTGAGCCGGGTCTGTAATTTTAATTAGTGAATGATTTCTCCAAGCTGAAAGACACCGTACCCAGCTTTTGCAAGAGAAGCTCCAGTTCCAATAATCAGACCAGTTCCAATGGCCCCGCCGATAGCAATCATAGTAATGTGACGAGACTTGAGTCCACGATGGAGATGCGTGTGGTCGGCACTGACAACAATGCCATCTGAATTGACCACAGTTTGCTCTCCCGTAGGATATTCTCCGGGTTGATACTCGCTCTTCCCCATTTCCTTGTCTCCTTTATGGGGACTAACGCCGTCCGAGGACTCTGAGTTCCTCTTGAAGATAGCCATTGCAGTTGGAGGTCCTCCTCGATAATGCGCCTTGTGTTCGATTTATGAACCCTTAGCCTTGGCGGTTGCCCTCCTCGTATGTGGCTGCGGGAAGGGCAGCTGCAAATGAAGCGAAACCAGATTCCCGACCGCAGTGGCGAATATGTTCCGTGGATGGACTGGCCTTAATATCCTAGGGAGAGGAGGTGTTGAAAAGCCTGGAGAGCCTTGTTCTAAGAATGTTGACCGGTTATGAACTAGTACAAGGCGGACGCCTGGTCCAAGCAACACGAAGACAACGGAAACAATCGACAAGGCTGCTCTGGAGCGCCACAATCGCAGACAAGAGGCAACCCAAGACGGCCAAGCCGAGTGAAACCCGCAAGTGCAAAGATGGTCGAAAAGTGAGTACAAAAGGTTGTCACCTCCAATCTTTGCGGGGGTGCATCGGGGGTCTGGAGCTTTTATAGAGCGCCAATCGCCAGGTAACGAGTAATCTTGTGCCCGCGTGTTGCTCACCACAGCGCTGGAATTCCAATATCAGCTGCCTTAAATGGAAGGGTTGGGTATTATCGTAAGACGATACGCCCTTGGCAAAGCGTTGGCATGGGTAGGCCAAGCATGCTAATGCGGAGGTCCCTTGCCTCTTTCGCGTATCCAAGCAGATAAGCCGCTGTGAAACCTTCCAGCAGTCCGATGAAAAGCCACAGCGCCCACGATGAATGCGAGATCACTAGCCAGACAGGCTGTGAATGAAGGAAATTTTTGTGTTGGCGTTTTCCTAAGTGCTTGATAGAGCGGAGGTGAGGCGAAGTGATGCGAAGGCAGCCGAGGCAGAGGTTAAAGAGCCCACCCCCAACTAGCGCTGCCGAGAAGGCGGGGCACTTTTCCCGTTACGTTTTAGCATTCACTCGAAGCTATTCTGCGAAATGTTAATTCATTGTCAAAGCCTTCAGTACCGCCGGAAGGACCTCATCCAGACTTCTCAAGATATCATCCCTTCCGTCTCATGTTATTTCTGAAACAATATTTAATCCTTTCAGCTCTCTAGTTTGAGTCTACCATGTGTAATCATCTCTCTAAGCTTTGCCATGCGTGTCGCGGCACATACTTGTGGGCTGCAACATCCAGGGTGTGGTGAGCTCTGAAATGAAACGCGGTCTGGCCAGAACAGTCTTCTATTGGGCGCATGTCCATTTTCACACTCAACAGTCGTATTGCGCCTGCTAATTCTTTGATCTCGAGACATTCTGTAGCATTTCGGCATAACTTTCGTAAGCACCGATTCTAAGCTGCACCAACCATCTCTAGTATCTATATGAACCACGTCACAGACAATAGACCTCCATATAAATACGAGCACAATGCTCCACCTATTGGGCAGGTCTATCTTCCCCTTACGATGTATCATCGAGGTTGAGCCCTCCAAGGATATCAACCAAATACCCATCACAATCTGGCTGAACATCCCTACCCTTCTCATCCAACGACCCTAAATAATTGGTAATATCCCTACCATCAAACTCTCTCATCTCGAACCCGTTGCCTATGAACGCAAACATATTCTCGTCCCAATACTCAATATCGAAATCCTCGTACCTGGGAGCTTTCATTATCTCGAGAAAATCCGGACGTGAGCCTGGCCAGATGGCTCCTTGACTTTCAGTCTTACCTTGCTTGAGCCATGAACGACAAGATGATGTCTAGGTGTGTCTAGGCTGTGCGTTGGAGGAAGAGGTCGGCGTGTTGACAAAGCCGACGAGATGTGGACATGTTGGGGGGCAAGGACTTTACGTTTTCGATTTGAGCCCCGACAATATCGTTGAAAATGTAGTTCGTCTACTGCTGGATGAGAGGTATAAAAGAACCGTGATCCAGAGGGCTGCTGATGAGAAGATTAGCTTCGACTTTTGCGCGATGGTTAAGAGCCAAAATTCTACAGCCCGCAGTAGCTGAAGTGACTCGGGAATGTAGGAGATAGCCCCGTTCTCTATACTCCATAAGCCCTTTAGATCTGGCCCATTCGCGCGATAAAGAGAAAACGTGGGAGCTAGGAGGCATTGAAACCAGTGGCGCAGATGGCAACATCCACTCTATGGCTGTTCCCCTCATGGTCCACAAAGCTAGTTTCGGTAACCTCTCCTATTGGGTCCGTGAATATAGTCGCATTATCTGCGACGAGAGATTCAAGATATCCGGGTGCTGGTGTAGGTCGTCTACATCCAGGGTTGAAGTCCATTTACTTTGTAGACATTTTGTTAATTGAATATTCCCGCGCTGTGGAGGTTTATTCGGACCCTTTGATAATGAATTTGAAACGCTGGTTGAGCTCATTTTCGATTTGCTTTCTATATTCTATTTTTTAATTTTTAATTTTTAATTTTTTTGGATTCTCTCGCAGGAACTGGAGCTGCTCTTCTGTCACGCAGCTATCCAACCCCTGAGTACCCTAAGTGCTTGGCACGGGGTATATAGGCTCCACGGCCTCCGTACCTCTGCCCCCGACCCTAAGGCTTACTCTCGTTACACCCCCTATCCTGCATTCCCTCTCTGTGCCTTGTGCTTCCTGCTCGATACCTCTCACATCTCCACTATCTAGGAAATATTAATAGGAGATATCAATGTCAATATTGATGGGTAGTTTGTAGAACTACTTACATGGCAAGTTTGCGCCGTGCTTATCTGCCCATGACTGCGCAAATCCAGCCGTGATCCCGATTGGTGACCTAGTCCAGTGATACAGTTCACCAACTTGCTTCTGGAGTGTAGCCACAATCTGGACACCGCTACACCCGCCCCAATCACGGCCATTCTCTTTCTGGCCAAGTTGTAACCTTCATCATAGTGGACAGAATGCATTAGTTTGCTCTTGAAACTGTGTGGACCGGGTTTTTGGGGCCACTTCCAATTGTTCAGCACGCCTCCTACACTAATGAAGAACTCTGCGCTGTCTTCAATGACGCGATCCTTGTTAAGATCTCGAATCCTGAAGCGCCACAGACCGGCCCTGTTGTCCCATTCGACATGCTTAATTTTATAGCGTAGCTTGATAAATTTACGGATCCGTAGAGAAAAAGTTGTTTTCAAGCTCGACACCCTTGAGATACTACCAGATCTATGGTGCATAGGAATAGTAATTACTCCATGATTTGATCTTCCAAGAGAACTGATAGTATACGGAAGGTATTGCACACGCGTAACCTGCTTCTGTATTAGCTTGGCGCGTATAGCACAGTCTCGCACTGGGGTGCCGCGCCTGGATAGCCGTTCTCCAGCCATGTGCCACCAACATCGTGGCTCTTCTCGTAGCATACAATATCCAGGTCCTCCATCTTCTCCTCAGCCTTTTTGAAGAAGTCTAGAGATGAAGCGCCTGCACCCATAAGAACGACATTGATTGTCCGGTTTGTTCCCATTGGCTGCTCTCGAATCTCATACCCAAATTGGTTGTGCTTCGAGGGCGGCTGACCGCGAACTCGAACATTGTCATCGACCGCATTTCCAGGGGCTGCGTAGAGGGATTTCTGATCTGAATGCGCTCCCGTTTTGATGTAACGTAAAACAGAACTGAGGAGTGAGAGCAGAAGGTGACGGAAGCTGAATGAAGCGCGATGAGAAAATATATTCTTGACTCGAAGAAAAAGAATCAAGCCATTATTAGCTATGAATCGATATGCGATGTCAGAGTCTGAAAAGAAGAGGACATATTCGCTGCGTGGGAGAGGGGGGGGGCACCTGGTCGAGTGAAAGGGATGCGGGGTAAAGTTGCGTGCAAAGTATGGTGGAGAGCATAGCAAAGGGGCCCTGATTAGCTAAATATCTTGCTGGGACAAGGAGAAGGTTCAAACTTCTATCCTAAATTACCCCCGCCATGTGTTCACGTGAGGTGAGGTGAGGTGATGAGATAAGATGCAGAAGAGCCGCACGTTGAATGCGTTGGTTTGTGCGGGAAGCCAGTGTGGGACCAGCCAGAGTGAATTAGGAGGCAAGGATGCTGGACTAGGTAGGGCTGAGGAGGTGGACCACGTCGCAGCTGATGTCAACGTAAGAAGTCTTGCACAGCCAGGAGTCGGGTGAGAGGCGACGTGAAGGGGAGGCGGGCACCTGGGCCAACATAGCGAGAGAAAGCCCTGAGGTGCGCCTGTTTTTGCACAATCTCGGGGGCGAAGGGGCCTTTGCTGCACATTTGGCGATTTGTGAGTCTCCACTGAAACCGCCTTGGCAACCCGTGACGCTACCGAGACGTTCGACGGCCCGCGTCGACAGCTCAATCTGACAAACACCACTCTCCACTCTCCCCAACACCATCTACGGCCGCCCTAGTACCGCGCTGTGACGCTCTATCCTCTGCCCTCCCCTTCCTGCTGTGGCTCCACCGACGCCCTCGCCAGCGCGACGAAGCGAACAGTGACGGCAACCAGCACACGAACCGCCCGGCTGTGATTGGCAGCCGGCCGCCCTATTTGACCAACGCACTGAGGCAGTGGCACATGCGTCTTTGAGTCTTCGTCTCGCGCGCTGCCGATCCGACGAGGCACACTTCCCGACCAAGGCAGATGTGGACGTCGAGACAGGCGGGCCGACGTCTTGCGCTCCGCATGAAAACACCACCCCGAGCCTCGTGAATGCTCACTCTGACACGACACCGACCCACATCCCTCAAGCACTCGACGAGCAGACACCATGTCGTACTACGGCAACGGGCAGAACTACTACAATCCCAGCATCCCGCCGTCGAGCGGGAGCGGGGCCGCCGGCCAGTATCAGAACCCCTATGATCGCAGGACGCCAAGCACCGATAATGGGGACCATGCCAACGGTGGAGCCGCCAGCTATGGCTACGGCGCCGCAGCCAGGCGCAACAGCTTTGCCATGCGCCAGAACGATGAGCTCTTCATCGGGGACAACGGCTCGCGGCACGCGAACCCGCCGCCGCCCACATCACCCTCAACCGCCGGGTACAGCGGCGGCTACCAGTATCAGTCCCAGGCACAAGCGCAGTCGCAGTCGCAGTCACAGTCGCAACCACAGCTGCAGCCGCAGTTACAGCAGCAACAGCAACAGCAACAGCAACAGCAACAGTACAATCCCCAGCACTACGGCTCTCCCGTCGTGGCCCAACCGAACCCCACTACCTACGGCGGCGTCCAGCGGACCTTCACCACCATCTCGCACCAGCCCTACAACCCCGCCTTGTATGCTGAGAGCAGCCTGAACAGGAACAACACCGTCAGCCATCCCTATGGCTTCTCCCCCACCTCTCCCTCGGTCGCGTCATACCCATCCCCCACCTTCAATCAGCACTCGCAGTTTGGCAGAACAGCCTCTGTCCAGGGAGGTCGGTCAGCTTACACGCCTCCCGCGCCGCCGCCTCTTCCCGTGCCCCCTGGTAGCGCATCGTCCCCAGCCGACGATTGGGGCAACTATCCAGCACGGCAGCCGTCTAACGCGAATCCTTCGCACTCGTCCCACTATCATCGCACCTCCGACGCTTCCCATGCCCCGCTTCCCTCCCCACCGACGTATGAGACGGGCTACTCACAGGAGCGAATTGACAGATACCCATCAACCTCCAGTCACCACTCAAACCCCCTCCCACCTACGCCGCCTGCGCCTCCCCATCGGTCGTCCGAGTGGACGGCGGCGATGGGACGTCGCCCGCTTCCACCCCCACCACCGAACGAATCTGATAGCGATGATTACTTCGCCCGGCAGAACGGCGATACCTATACACAGGACGAGCTGTTCACTCAGGTTGAGAGTATGGCAGCGGGTTCCAGTCCCGGATATCCGCCAACCGTCCAGATTCAGCAGCCGAATGGAAGCCAATACTACGCCAGCTCTATGGAGCCGCAGCCATCCGGCCGAAATGGTGGTCCTGTCAATGGAGACCACCTTGCACCGTACCCCGCGCAGGAGCAATACACTAGCGACGAAAGCGACGTGGAAGCTGCTGCTGGCCTAGCTGCTCTCCGTATGGCAGAGGCGCAAGAGGAGGCAGACGAGGCGCGGAGACGCAGCGGGGGCACTGGGCTTTTCAGCGCCTATGCATCCATCCACTCCCTGCAGATTCCAGCCAGCTCTAGCCATCCGGTGCAAGAGAGCGCCAGTGATAGCGACTGTGTACCTGTAGACGTGGATCTGTATGGAGGGAACTTCGCACCCCATTTCGCCTACGGAGGAGGACCACAGGCTTTGGCGACCGGGCCTGGCTTCGAAAACCGTAGCCACCCGGTCTCTTCGTCGGGCTCGCAGCGCCGCTCCGAAGCTGCGAGTGACGACTACGACCCCATCCATCCATTCCCACCTTTCTCTGCGACCGCTAGGGTTGATACTTCCGGGACTGGCGGTCTTCAAGAGCCCAGTGCCAGGCGAAACAGCTATGAGGAGGGAGATGAGATCGGCCTTCTAGACTACCAATCGCCTGTTGCCGGGGAGCCCCCAGACATGTTCTATCACCCCGGCATGTCTACGAACCGGCCGCTCCCTCCCCCGCCCGCAAACAGCAACCGTCGTGGCCACCATCAAAGCACAAGCTCCGCTGGCTCGTACGAATACTGGCGAAACTCTCACTCATCGCGTGGGTCTTATCCCACCGACCCCCAGTCTCTGCAGATGCAAGCCCCTGGTGGCACTCTTGTTCCTCGATCCACTTCACTACTTCAACACAGCAACACATCCCAAGTCGTTCCGCTTCCCCGATCCAAAACGGATGCTGAGCAACACAGAGCTAGGCAACAAAACCGGAACACATTCTATGGAGGCGCTATCGACAGTGATGGCAACACTCTCACCCCTAGTAGTGCCGATGCTGTAGCTATTGATTTACCTACGCTCCCAGCTGGCAAGCGGTTCAATCCTGCGAAGTTGTCTAGCAGCGACTTTAAGAAGTGCACTGAACCATGGGCACTTAGCTCGATTATCTCTTGGCTAAAGAGCATGACCGAAGGCGAGGCTGACTTGAAAGAGCACGCCATCAACGAGGGGCTCGTCGCTCTTTTCACGCACAAGGTGCCAACCATGAACATTGCAGATGCTGAGACGCTGAGCAGCCGGGTCGTAGCCGAGATGTTTAAAGCGGGCACTCTCGTACATGAAGAAGAATGGCTTAAGTTCTCATCCGAGACCATGACTGGGGTCATATTCCAATTAACAGGCGCGGGTTGCTACGCACCGTTGTTGCACAGTTACTCCACTCCAGGCCGTTGCTACTCACATCATTGTCAGAGGACGCTCAAGAAAATTGACTTGCTGTCACAATCTGGTGCGCCACAGTCAGATGACTGGGCAACTTTCTACAAGCTCAAGAAGGAGGATGTCGAAGGTGCGAACAAAAAGGAAGTCGAGCGACAGAACATTCTGCATGAAATCGTACAGGGAGAGGACAACTACATGGAACGTCTTGACGTGCTTCGCACCCTCTACCGAGACAGACTCCTCTCTGGGCAGCCTCCGGTCATCCCTCCCAAGAAGCTGAACAAATTCATACGAGATGTTTTCGGCAAAATAGACGCCGTCAAGAAGGCCAACGAAGACCACCTTTTGCCTCAGATGAAGTATAGACAACAAGAGCAAGGGCCATGGGTTGTCGGATTCAGCGACATCTTTAGGGAATGGATTCGCAAAGCAAAGCAGGCGTACATTGAGTATGCCTCTGCTTTCCCATATGCCAACTTTCTCGTCCGACAGGAAGCGGATAAGAACATGTTGTTTCGTTCTTTCTTGGATGAAGCTCGAGCAAATAAGTTGTCCAACAAACTTAGTTGGGATACCTATCTCAAGGCTCCAATTACCCGGTTGCAGCATTACGGCCTGCTCCTAGGTACGGTTTTGAAAAGGTCAACACAAGACAATGAGGAGAAACGCAACCTCCAAATTGCTATGGACGAGATCAAGGCTGTGACGTTGGAGTGCGATAACCGGGTGGCCGAGATGTCGCGGAAGGTAGATTTGACCGACCTCCAAGCCAAGCTTATCCTTCGACCGGGCATGCAGCGCGTCGAACTCAATCTAGACCACCTTGGACGAGAGCTCATCTTTAAGGGTGACTTGCAGAGAATGGGTGGTAATCGATTTACTTGGCTTGAGACCCATGCGCTACTATTCGACCATTATCTAGTATTGGCAAAGACTGTTACGTACAGGGAGGCAGATGGAGTGACCAAGTCAGAGAAGTATGATGTGTCGAGGCTGGTATGTACCCGCATTCTCCTGCCATTCACCTTTGCTGACATTTCCAGCCCATCCCCATGGATCTCCTTGTTCTTGAGAGTGAAGATGACGACCCTGTTGTTCGGTCAGCCGTGAAGGGAATCGCCGCTGTTACCACCGTGACCGGAAAAGTGGCAGCTCAGGAGTCGCGCCTCGGCCGAGCAACGACAAACAGCCCTGGGCCGGGTACACTTCAGCATACGAATACTTCCAACTCCCTCTCCTCCACGAATACGGGTTCTTCAGGCAAGACAATGGTGAACGCCACCGTTCTAGATGCTGGGAAGGACGAGAAGATAATGTTTCCTTTCCGGATCAAGCACCTAGGCAAAGAAACCTACACTCTGTTTGCTCCAACCGCGCAAAATAGAGCCGAGTGGTGCGATAAACTTATTATTGCGAAGACCAAGCACGCAACAGCGCTGTTTGCACAAAATGCGGAACCCTTCAGACTACGTGTTATGTCTGATGCCGCTTTTGCTTATGAAACCGCTATTCAATCGCAAAGAAGCATCACAATCAAGGGCACTCCTCTTGATCGATCGATAGAGGAGGTGGAGAAGCTGTTCTCAAATTCGGGAAGGCCAGCTCCCATCTGCCGAGCTCGGGTCAACTGCGCGACTGCTTTCCATCAGCCATACGGCAAGCCGATGGTTGCGGTTGGCACGGACATTGGTGTCTTCATATCGGAATATGACAACCCCCGAGGTTGGACAAAGGTACTGTCGTTGCGTAATGTATTCAATATCATGACAATGCTGATCATTACTAGGCCATCCAAATACCAAAAGTAACCCAAGTCGCGGTTCTCGAGCAGTTTAGCCTAATGCTGCTCATATCTGATAAATCTCTAATTGCATACCACCTCGATGCCGTATGTCCTGTTGGCGGCTCTCTCCCATCCAACGATTCTACGCGTAGAGCTCCCCAGAAACTCTCCGGTGCCCGTGACGTGGGGTTCTTCGCCACGGGGGTAATGAAAGACAGGGCGCTCGTCTTTTACAAGAAGCGCGATGGTATTTCATCGACCTTTAAAGTTCTGGAGCCTGTGTATCAGAAGTCTACAGAGAAGAAATCACGAATATGGAAGTCCGGTCGCACTGAGTTCTTCCGCGAGTACGACGAATTCTACATTCCCGCTGAATGTTTTGGCATAAACCTGTTCCATTCATCGCTTGCTATCTCCACTGCCAAAGGATTCGAGGTTCTGACCTTGGATAAGAAACAGCCTTGGTCCGTGCCTGATCTCAAGGCACCGCATGTTGCGACAATAGCATCGCGACTCCAGAACCAGGACCCATTAGGCATGTTTCGCCTATCGGACCAAGAGTTTTTGCTGTGCTACGAAGAGTGTGCTGTGTACGTTAACAAGCATGGCGACATTTCTCGGTCGGTGATTATGGAGTTTGTTGGGAAAGCTAAGAGTGCAGCTCTGTACGGCCCGTATGTGCTCCTGTTCGATCCTGATTTTGTGGAGATCAGGAACGCACAGAACGGACGTTTGAGGCAGGTTATTGCCGGTAGAGACGTGAAATGCTTAGATGATGGCTTGAGTGGTGGTTCCTCAGGGAACCGGACGGTCAAGCTGAGTTTACAGCATCCGGCTCAGGAAAGGTGTCAGATTGTTGTTGAATTGTTGCTTAATGAGGGCCAGAAGGAGTGATTTGGAGAAGAGATATCGATTGACTCAGACAGATGAGGGCTTCGATGACTGCATATATGTTTGAGCGGTAATAACTACGTAGCGTTGGATTGGAGCGGAAAAGCCATTTTGGAGTTGGGAAGACGGGCTAGATGAAGGCCGAAATGGCCTCTTGACACGCATGGACTGGGACTGGATTGGATTCGGATATGACGACTTTTTGGGACCAATTGATGATGCTGGGTGGCTTGCTTGCTTGACCATGTATTTGTTTAAGTTCTAAAGGATACCTTGTGTTTAATGGGTCGACCTGTGGAGAGCCGAGCGGGAGTTGGTGTATATTCTTTCTTACATAGCGGCACGTTTATGACTTGCAAATTTCTGGACTCGGAATTTGGCTCCTGAAATATGGAATGATACTTACTTTGATCAAGATACCTCGGGATCGACGCCTTCACCTTATAGGGTACCATGTCCTTGCTAATAATCACATGCGAAGTGAGTGTCCTCGTCGATGTGTGAAACGAATCAAGGCTTCCTAAGCCCTGTAAATGTTCCAATTTCCTACCTCATCTTACCTCAACGTTGAGCTCCCTATCCTCATCCATGACGCCCCAAAAGTGCCCTCAATGTATTCATGTCCCGCTTCTGACTCCCGAGACTCAATCCTCCCGATGAACTCTCCGACCTAGAGCTCGGGCCACAATATGGACCAATCCTACAGCTGAGAGACTCGCCTATACGTCATGAGGCCTTGGACAACGTCCCATGATCAGAAGTGAAAGCAAAACTGGATGATCGCGATGCAAGGAAGCGCGCTAGAAGCGCACTAGAAAGCTGTTGAGCAGCCGACGTCTGCCCGTGACGGTTGAGGGAATTCTGGATCCCCACCGAGATGGTCTCTGCTTGCGAGCGTGAGGCCCCAACAAAAGAGGACGAGATCTCAGCATGGTATCCATAACAAATCCAATCTCCCTTTAGAGTGCTGGCTTCTATACTTCTTGCTCGCAGACTTGAATATGGATAGATTTAGCTGCTCAAGTAATCCAGAGGAACGTCCAGGACGAAGTCGTTGTGATCGTGGCTCTCTTCCACCTTCACATATCTAGGCTGCTATAAGATATATTCGTATTTAGATCCTCGAGGAACAGGCCACTGTTCTTTCCATTAGAATCTTGTGGCTAAACGAGATAATACACGCTGTGATTCAACCACATCACGACGCTGATGTCCAACAATATGCAAGGGAGGATTCTAATCCCGATGGGGTCTTGTAGCGCTTGTTTCCCGCCGATGTTTAGCCTTCCCACTAAGCTAGGGAAAAGCGCTGCTTTACTAAAACAAGTAATCAAAAGCCTTGCCAAGAACTTCTAGACGCTCTTATTCTGGCACTATTCTGCTTTTGAGTTGCTTGAGTTATCTTCTCAAGCTTACGCCTTCAATGTATGTCTTGGGATGAACGTGAACGACTCTTTGTGCCTTTGGCTTGAGTGCTTGGGGGTTTCGGTACGGCAATTGTTGCCTCCCCAGACTTTATAGGCCTACTCCACTCATCGAACTCCATGGGGACTTGCAGTTCTCTGCGGAGATTGCTGTGGAGCACAGAGTGGAGCAGGTCCTCTTTCGCTGTGATCATTTGGAGGCTGAAAATGGATCATGGTGGTGGAAAACATGGAGAGATCCATCGACGCTTGCTCCTTGAGTCGAAAACGACGATCTGATTGGCCAAGGAGCATTATCCGATGAGCTTCCGACCTACCCTAGCTTGATCTCGGGGTGTTTTTCGGGACTTCATTTAAGACTAACGGCACTCTAACCTACCAAAACTCCCCCCCAGAAAATTCTGCGTAGGTCTTGAGGCATCGCAGACGGGTTCATGCAGTAGTGCTAGATCTTGTGTCAGAAGCAAGCCTGCACAAGCTTGCATGGTGTGAGCATGGTCCAGGGCTTCATTTTACGACGGTCCGTGATGGACAGGGACGGAAGTGAGTCTAGGTCTAGTAGGCTGGATTCGTTATCATATTTCAATCGTTAAGCCTCTGAATATGCGTAGTATATAATTAGGCCCACTTCTGCTCCTCCCTGACACTCACCAGCTCCACGGTTCTCCGGCTTCAAACGTCTGGGCAGATTGCCCTGTGTAACATCGTCTCAAACACTCTTTCCTCAGAGCCTTTTCCTCTTCCAAATTTTCCTATCCTTCTTCCCACTATGGGCCTCAGACTTTTCGGCCTTGGAGGCGGCCAAGAGCCTTCTTTGGATGAAATCCACCAGCAACAAGAGCGCCGTCCCTCCGCAACGGAAGCCATTGCTGTCAATAGGCGCCGCAAAAGCGTCAGTGATCGTCAGATTACTGGTGCTTCCCAAATCACAACCCGCCAATCTATTGTACCCGTTTCACTCGTCACTACGCTCTTCTTTCTCTGGGGTTTTGCCTATGGATTGCTCGATGTCTTGAACTCTCGGTTCCAAGTTGCCCTGCATATCACACAGGGTGAATCTTCTGGTCTTCAAGCTGCTTACTTTGGGTATGGGACTTGATTCTCATTTTGAATGCTTCGGGCATTGATGACTAACAATTTTGGCAGTGCCTACTTCATCGGTCCCCTGACCTACTCTGGCTGGTTCGTTCGCAAGTTCGGCTACCGCTACACCTTCATCTTGGGCCTGTCGATTTACTGCGTCGGCGCCCTCATGTTCTGGCCTTCTGCCGTTAAACGGTCATTCGGTGGTTTCTGCGGCTCCATGTTTATCGTCGGCTCCGGCCTCTCCACCCTCGAAACGTCAGCGAACCCCTATATTGCGGTTTGCGGTCCTCCGAAGTGGAGCGAATTCCGTCTCGAGCTGTCCCAGTCCTTCCAGGCAGTTGGGTCTGTCGTTGCTCCAGTGCTAGCTAGCTACGTCATCTTCAAAGATGTTGGCGAGAACGGGGAGTCTTTGACTAGCGTTCAATGGGTGTATCTAGGGATTGCCGGATTCGTGGCCCTGCTTGCTGTTGTTTTCTATTTTGCTCCTATTCCAGAGATTACGGATGCCGATATGGCTGATCAGGTGAGTTTGAATTCCGGTTTCTGTAGAATGCTCAATCTAATCGATGCACCAGGCTGAAATGACCACATCCGCAACCGGCTACCAAGACAAGCCCCTCAAGAAACAATACACTCTATTTTGGGGCGTCGTCGCTCAGTTTTCTTACGTCGGCGCTCAAGTCGGTATCGCGGGCTACTTCATAAACTTTTATACTCAAGCGCGTCCTGACGAACCCACAATTGTTGCCCAGAAGCAGGGTGCCAACTTCTACGCCATCGCTCAAGGTCTTTTCGCTATCGGACGTTTCAGCGCTGCTGGGTTGATGTACATTACGAAACCTCGACTCGTCCTCCTAGCATATCAGACGCTCATCATGGTATTCATTGTCGCAGCAATTGCAGTCGATTCCGGTCACGGCGTCAATGCGAATTGGGGCGGTCTGAGTATGCTCATGATCGTCTTGTTCTTCGAATCCTGTATCTTCCCTACCATTTTTACGCTCTCCCTACGTGGTCTCGGCCGTCACACTAAGCGTGGCGCCTCCTTCTTAGTTGCTTCCGTCTGTGGTGGTGCCGTCGTCCCTGCAATTTTAGGAAATGTAGCTGATAAGATTGGCACGAGGAAGGCCATGGTTGTTCCGCTGGCATTCTTCCTTATCGCATGGAGTTTTCCGATCTACTTGAACGTCTGTAAAGCTAAGGAGCTCGATGCCTATCGTGAATCTCATGTTGGAATTGAGGAGGGTGCCGTGGATCCGGATTCTAGGCTCGCAAGTATTTCAGCGGGTATGGAAAAGTACAAGGATGTTGAAGCTGCGAAGATTGAGGTCAAGGGATATTAGGCGATGTTAAGAAGAGGCTGGAGAACGAAGAAAGGAGACCTCTTCTTTCTCTATCTTTTGGTAGGGTATCCAGAGTATATATGTAAATAGCTATCTGTAAATATGACCACAGTATGAATAAATTCACACTATTATAAAACCCTCTATGCTCAAATTCAGTATTGGCATTCCTGAAAACAGAAATATGTACATAGAGCGCGAAATTTAGGGATTGTTATAAACTGCAATCAAGTATCTATTTCACTAACCTAAACTTCATCCCGAGAGGAGAGGAAGAGAATTATTGTAATGGAATTATATTATTTGGACCCGAGACTGCAGTTCATCGAACCTACAGCCTAGGGAACGCTGACGTAGCCCCAAAATGAGGAAAAGAAGTTAGGGTAACAATTGTACCCTTTCGCCCTATTTAAGTGTTCTCTTCCGATCATATCTCCGGTACGCATTGAGACTTACTACTTGCATAACTCCGGCGACAGATTGAATTAAGCCGAACAAGATAGTCAAGAAACGGTGATCACTGACATCCAAGAATCCCCACTATTTTGACGTGTCTCGTCGGCGACCAGCACAGGCTGCATCTACCTAGATAAGCGCTGTGACGGTGGTTACTAGTAAGTTTAGAAAAATCAGGCTCCAGTATCAGGGCTCCTTTGACAAGGAAGAAATTCTTGATAAAGCTGCGAAGGCATAGAACGTAAAGGGCCAAGCCCACGAAATTTGTTCACTGCGAGAATTTCTAGTGGGCATGTTGGAAAAATAGAACACCGATAAATGCCTCAAACCTCCGAAAGATTGCGTTGCATATTCCCCACCATTATTCCAGCTCCTATGCTTTCTTGTCGGAACTAGTAAAGCGCACGCCTCTCCACATGTTGCCGTTTGCTGTGGGCATCATTAGTACGCAAGCGGTATCAGAACTCTCATTCTTGAAAGCCGAATCCATGGAAGTGGGCTATTCAAGCATTTCATGGCTTTCTTTGTGGTCGTTGTCAAAATAACTCAGCCTGGCCCGCCCGTTGCTCCTAATTGGGGCTCTCTCCTACCGAGCCCGGCCAAATTGGAATTTACCTCGATGCGAATGATCGACAAGGATGGCTTTGCGGAGCCAAAGTTAATACTCAAGCATCAGGGAGCTTCCTTCAGGTAGCAACAGTAGGTGGCATAGTCCAGATTAGAGAGAGATGTCTGGATATGACTGTTGCTCGCATTTTTCAACTAGGCCAACATGCTGCTCTTTTGGCAGAAGAGCCTGCCACTGCATTTTCTGTTGACTGGACCGAACTAGGCCTCATAAAATCAAAATATAAGTTCTCAGAAAATGAGGAAAATATACCATCCCCAGATGCTCCAGTTCGGATCCAGCGCTTCCCTGGGAGACCCAAAGCTGAGGTACTGGGGAATATCTCATATTCAATCCAGCTTGCTTTGGATATGGATGCCCAACAGGAGCTTAATCTGTTTAACCCAGTAGAGCTAATATAGTTCTGGGAGCTGCCAAGATGCGAAAACGAGGAATCAGTCCAGCATAATCTCAACTGGGCTCTAATAACCATAGAGAACCAAGTTCTTTACTAGGGAAATTTTGTTAAACTACCGGAGAAGAATAAACTGTTTCCAGGTTTCTGATCGTAGAATGTTCCCTTTCCAAGGAATCCACGATTCGTGGGCTGTCACTCCCAACTTCTTCGACTCGAGAACACCCTCTTTACAAAATTCAACCACCACAGATCGCAATTCCTGCTCGGCTGAAAAATTCTTCATGTTTCCCGTCCTTTTCAAGGCCGTAAGTCCGTCTGAACCCCCCGTTCTTCACAAATGGGACGTATTTGGGTGGTGGCCAATACGTGATATCGTGTCTTGTCTTATTCAATAGGACTGCCAACGTCGCGCAGCCGGACGATACAGGCATAATCAATTTTGGCGAAAGCGCTGAGATTTGTCTTGATGTAATCCAGATGCAATCTAGATCCTAGTCTTATTCTATACTGGCAGAGATCGAGGAAGAGGGTTAGGAGAATGTTAAACCCGGTGATAGGGAGCAGGGTATATAATACGGAACAGCGAATTCTGGCTGATAAGGGTAATGGAGAGTGACGTGAGCACCTCACGATTGGATCAATCTCCCATCTCAGTTCCACCCCCTTGGGAACTAGTTATGGCTCTCCTCTCTAATTCTACCATGATGAGTATATCTCCTATATGCTTCTTATGCGGTTGAAAGATGTGGAAGACGAACTCTGCTGTCACTTTTCGATCGCTACGCGTTCTGGATAGTTTGATACAGCGTTGTGTTCATGGACCAACATGGACGGCCGTTACCGGTATTGCTTGTCCTCTGGCTGCTGCTAAAAATCGGGTTTGTTTCTATTTTTAATTAATCATAATTTATTTTGGGGGCACCGTTTGATGCCACAATTTGCCACGCAGGTATTTCAGAGGGCTGAGCCGGTTTCGACCGGGGTATTGCCAAGATCATGAGTTAGCTTCAACCGACCAATTGAGAGAGCTGGCTGACTGTGTACTTGTAAGACTGGAATGCGTATCTATGAGAACGGTCATGTGGTCCTCCAATTCTCCCTCGAACAAAGAATTTGCCGTTCAAGGCAGATACTTTTCGAATGCGCCGATAAAGTTCATTGCCATCACCTTTGAGAGTAGCTCAATATAGGAACGCCTGAGTGGACAACGACTGAGTGTCTGCCTCTCAGTCCCCAGATGAGGGAATCGGCATGTGATGGGAGGTATGCTCTTGAAAGAAACTCAGTCGCATTAAACTATGCCTAAAATATCTCCGTGCCCCGTGAGTGAGAGTGTGGAAGTTTCTGGATCGAAAGAAATGGCGAGATATGCAACAGCCCTGCCAAGTTGAATAAGTCATGCTCAGGTGATGGTGAGATACGGACGCTCCCTTCACTAGCATCCTGCCTTCTACATAACACAGCAAGGGCGACTCACACCCACAACCTAACTACTCTCCCGAACCAAACTTCACCAAAAGTGCACATCTACCACTACAAAGAGAATACAATCACTCGCGGCGCATAGCGCCGTCATATAACGGGCGCAATGCAGCTAAACCATCCAGCCACTTTCCCTGCAATCAAAACGCAGAGCGCTGCAAAAAACGCCGCTGGGGAAGCCAACATGGGTCCGTCCACATCTGCAACCGTTAAAAGTCCCACCATAGCCTCTCCAACAGCCGCACATTCACACCCCTCACAGAACAGCGGTTTGCTGGCCCTCGTCCCTCCCAAATCCGCCTTCATCGACTTCCAGCCTCTCCATATTGTCCTCGAGTTTCAATCCGCAATCGACGCAATGGCATTCCATGGTTCCTGCCACGGCTCCATAATTAAACCCATGCACCCAACTTGGATTTATCTCCCTATGCCGCATGGGCTGAAGCGAGTGAGACGCACCGAACGTGGTGACATTGCATTTCTCTTTGAGAGTCGGCAGTTGGCAGAGATGTGGGAGCACAGCTTGCTGGGAGTTGCGCGGCTGGGAGCGTCAGAGGATCGTGAGGCTAACGGGGAGAGCAAGGATGGCCTGGGAATTAGAGCTCGCGCTATGAGTCTCGGACATGTGGCGAGAGATACGGCCAAGACGGTGTTTGTGGGAGAAACGCGGAAGAATTAAATGAGATTGGCAGCATATGGCTAACAATGAGATGGGATTCCCATTCCTGGTGGTCAAGCTTGGAGGTGGAGTAGATGGATTTTATGGCTGACTCGCTGGAAGGCATGGTATGGAGTGATAGCGCGTATGAAGTACAAGCCTTTCGTTATGATTAAGACTTTCCTCTTTGTCTTTCATTTCCACACAGAAGGAAGGGTAATCAACACTAGAAACTTCTTGCAATAACGTATGGGCGGTTCACAGGGTCGGTAGCATCTATTTAATTTAAGTCCATTGCAACGTCAAGTCCATCTCACTGATTTCCGTACAGAATTTGGCGACTATGTCTGACGGAAATAATGATCCCTCTTTAGAGACCAGCGGACGAATTGGGAGAGCCCTTCCTCATCCGTCTGGATCTAAACATTCTAAACTAAACATCGCCTATCCCTCTCATTAACTCATACTAAATACATCAGCCGCATTCCCAATACTTTCTTTCAAAAAACATTTCATGCGAGCAGTGATGCGAGATAAATTGATCCACTGCGAGAACACAAGCCGAGAAGACTAGAGACCCGATCAAGTCTTCTACCATCATATGCCGGATAACAGCAGGAGGAGGAGAGGAAGAGTTTGAGACAGAATATAGATTAGTTTGGAATGTAGAGGAGGGACAGGTAGCGTAACGAAGGCGGTTCGCTGATGTGATATTATGGACTGCTTTGAAGGTTACCTCAGAGGCTTAGACTTGGAACTTCAACGGATGGACAGGCTTTAACGGAGAGGCTGAATTCGACGTTGGTGCCAAATGGACTGGAGAGGTGGTTTGTGGTGTTACCGTGGGAAGGGGTCCTGTGGAGCTTGGAGCCAGGAAATACCGTGCCGCATATGTTTAGGGCAGGGACAGAGAGGAGAAAGAAGTCGAGTGAGTACGGAGCAGGATTACGATTAGGGGACTGGGGTTGGGATGGAGATTTCTGAGGCGTGAGGCAGGGAATAACTCTGGTAATTCTTTCAACTGAATATTAGGACTATATACACAAGCCCTAGCAGGTATAAGCAAAATACTACATCTACTGAAACACCCTGAGATTGGCAAGAATATTTAACATTATCATTGATAATTCCAAAGGCCGCACCTGTGTTGGTGATGCATTAGGCTCGTCCGTGTTGCGGGAATTTTCTGAGCCTTGGGTGAAATATATGCTCTCATCATATTAGGGGGGTTAGCTAGCATATGTCGTGCTCCTAAGCTCCTCGTATATGCGCGCTTCAGTGACCGCTTAGACTAGGATGTTGAGCAGGAATCCTGTTTCTCGAAGTGTGGACCCCGCATTTGCATCGTACTGACAGGAAACCCCCGCTCCGCCTGTAAAGGTTGCGGCGCAGGAATGAGGCCCTAATGTTCATGGTGATTCCACTGAATCTAATCGTGGACATTAGTGGAGACATGATCGCCGTCCGCTCAGAGAGCAAGACTTTCATCGCTTCCTCAGCCTGCCAAAGGGTAGCGAAGGCGGTATATCAGGGAAAATTGGTGTACACTCCACTATCTTTTGTGGACACCTTTCCAGACCACCATAAGCACAAGCCGATATTGCTCTATGATTCTCAGAAAGCATCCCTCCTCAACTAGACTCGATTAATCGTGCCACACCCCCGAAGTCTTATTGAACTCTTCCATTTTTATATCCTATTACGTATATGTTCTGGCCTTGCGCAGCTCCATTATTAGCATTTACGAAGTTCTCTTCGTGCTCTATACCTGTGGATGAGTGCTTGATGGATTTGCCTCCATTCTCGAACACGACTGACAAGTGCATACCTAGAACTTTTGGTCGTGCCTCAACGTCAAGTTTACCTTCACCTGGGCCGCATAATTCGTTGCACAGATTCATGGCATATCGCTTGGCCGCTTCAGTGCGGGCGTTGGCTTAGATAGCCTCTGTACTGCCGCTCCAGTACATCTCGCGCAGGTTGCATTCAACATAATGCCCGATAATATCGACTTCACCTCTTTACACTCTATGGTGAAAGACTTTACACTACCTGCCTTCCTCGCCGTTTGGCGCTTCACCGGCTCCCTTCTCTCGCTCCAATGGCTTATTCCCTGGCCGAAGACCCAGGTGGGTCACTGTCTGTAAATGGCTGCTATGGATCTGGTTTAGTCTTAATGGAACCGGTATCGACGAGCCCGCCTTGCTCCATGCCGTACTAGGCCCAAATCTTATAATCGCCTTCGCATTCCTCAGCAACACTCTATTTCAAACAATTTAAATCGCAATGTTGACGAAGACATTCTCTAAGATCACCGCGGACGAGACGGCAGCTCGATGTGTTGAGTGATGAAGATATCCTGGAGACTTCAAACCGCTAAAACCCAGGATCTTGTCTGCTCTTGAAGATCCCATGTGCGTCGACGGGTGCGGCTTTCTGGCAAAAGTAGGGGTTTCCAACTCCTGAGTGCAAGGCTGTCGACCGATACCTAAGAATTCGTTTCCTCGTAGCTATCATTTCCATCATCAATTACCTATGTATTCTCTTGCGAACTTCTCATCATCACATTTCTTTCCTCTAGAGCATAACCTTGAATCCGGGCGGTAGCTCTAGGGCCGCATTGAACTTCTTGAAAATGCCCAATGAGCTTGGGAAGATGTTCATTGGGCTCGTTATGAGTAACTGTCGATCCTACACAATCTGACTTCCCGTGAGTATGGGATTAACAGGGATTAATCAACTCAAGATCCGCAAGTTTCGTGAATGACGTTGAATTCTTAAGAAGCCTTGGGAACTACGTCAATGAGCCTCTAAGGATCCGCCGTTTATTTAGTCTCTTGCGTGGACTTACCAGGGAGCTACTCCGCGGTTGCAGATCCAGTTTTTCGATAGAATTGTTGCTGCGAGACGACGTCTCATAATGATCATTGTGCGGAAGCTCCCATAATTTCACAGGGGGCTCTGCAAAGATGTAGTCCGCGTGAAGGCGAAGAAGACCTCGCATTATAGCATCAACTCATGCAATCAGTTCTAGAGATTTCCAGCGACGTGTCTGAAATTGATTTGATAGTGAGTGCGGGAATCCACGTTGTTAAATTTTATGGTTCTTGAGGTGCTGGGACAGATCGTTCCCGAATATATATGGTTCTCCAAGCCGATTTCAAGTTTTTTTTGCAAACAGAGCAGGGTGGATTGAGCGCTTAATATTCCCGAGCAGAACTCACGCCCATCGTTGTTGGAATAACCAAAACAAGAAATAAGCAGCTGAAGAACAAATTCAAATACATCGTACAAGATAGCACTGGGTGACGAAGCAGATTAAGGACAGGTACCTGTTTTATTCCTAAAAGTTATCTACAGTCCGGTCCATCCACATTCCAAAACCCTATCTATCGATCCTTCCAATCCTCCAAGGCCTGTCCAGAAACCACTGCTAATCTCGCTAACCTATGTCCAGCATCCATATATTTCCAAACCTAAGATACATGATTATCCATATCAACAGCCAGAATTAAGTTATACGCATCCATCCACAAGATGTGCTAAAGCAAATAATATACGCGACGCGAAAGCGCGTTTTCCAGCGCAAGTCCGATGTCCCGACCCAAAATGCCTTCGTATCTGTCCCACAAGAATGCGAGAAAGAAATGCCAAAATCCTCGTTCCAAGCCATGGTGCGCCACTAAACTCCAGTTTAAATGCAGGCTTACCGCCTTTTTAGTGATGTTGGTGTTATGATGCTGTCTTACCGCCACAGTCCGGAATCGTGACGCCAGATTTGAGGTTGCGGTTGATGTCCATTAGACCCCATTTGTCTTCCCATTCTTTACCTTTTTCGTTGAATTGGATCTTCCAGGGTTCGTCGAAAGCTTCGAACCTGCAAAATGATTAGCATGACGTTTAAGATCTACTGGTAAAGGGAAAGCCGTACCAGAAATACTCGGTTCCATTTGCCATGCTCTGGCAAACCCAATCCGACATGAACTGATTCATTTCCTTGATGCCCGCGATGGACCCTTGGGTGTCTGACGTGCATGGCAACGTTCCGCAACCGTTACCACCTGCAGATGGCCATCCAACTTCGGCAATGATTTGTTTGATCTTGGGGTTGCCTTTGGTGAGAACAACGTCGTGACCCGTCCAGAAATCCCACGTCCAACCCGCAGCCTTACTGACCTCGACGCCAGCAAAGAAGGGGTGTACGTTTGACATGACAATGTCGACTTTCGAGGCCATCTCTGCTGTCCAATTATCGCCAAGATCCGAAGTCGCAACAGGTAGGGCGATCTTTTTGGAGTCGAGGCTGGTCTTGACATCGGAAATGACCTTCAAGAGCGCAGTGGTCGTGAGATCCTTTCGAAACAAGACTTCGTTTCCAATGATAACCCCCTTGAACTTGCTCACAGCATTGTTTTCCAATATGGTCCACATTTGATCGAGCTGTCGGGTATTTGTGGTGTCGTTATTACCTAGCCACACACCAAGCCACACTTTCATGTCGGTCAATCCCAGTCGGTCAATTGCAGTAAGTACCATCTCGGTCTGATTGCAATCGGTACCATACAATCTCACTGCATTAGTCAATTGGGACAGGACAGCCATATCCCTGGTGATATTGTTTTGAGAAGGTCCAACATGCAAACAATCCGGGTACTGTGCGTTCAGGGGAGTGTAGTCCATACCGGGGAACACTTTGTGGAGAGCCTTGTTATTCATCAATTTCTGGATTTCGGAGGAATTTTTGGTCAGGTCCTGCTTGTTATCGTTGGCGACGGATTCGGGGCTCTGATTTCCGTTCCCGTCTCCTCCGCCTCCCCCGCCTCCCTTGCCGGAACTATTCTTTTTCAACACAGCACCAAGAATACCGCCGACAACAGCCCCAACAACCACCAAAATGAGGACAACTACGATAATCCATTTTAAGCGTTTATTTCCGTGGTTTTGACGGTCAAGCCATTCAGACTTCTCCGTCACAGGAACCTCGTTTGCGCCTCCTCCAGATCCCCCAGGCACAGCATTGTATTTCCCACTTCCATCTCGGGTTGCCACATATGCTCCAGCCTCGCCTACGGGTACGGCGGGAGCGACGCCCGGCGTGCCTTCTCGGCTGCCATCGCGGGATCCGCTACCGAATGGGGCGAAGGAGCGCCGTTTCTGTTGCTGAGGTGCCATGCCCCAGTCATCATCGTCGGCAACATCATTGGGGTTAATCTCGCCCAGTGTGTGAGGCGCAAGGTTCAGGTTTGAAGACGAGTAGCGGTTGTAGGGATTGTCTTGGTAGGGGTAGGCATGTTGAGGCGGCGACGGTCGGCCGTCTAGGGGGATGCTTCGTTCGGAATTGTGCTCGCTGCCCACCATGCCCGCAGGTGTCATGGCTCCGGCGGCAAGCGGAGCAGACGACCCATACGAGGGTTGTGGCTGAACGGGTCGTGGCGGCATGGGTTGAATGAATTCGGCATGGTGATCCGAGTAAGGCGTGCCTGTCTGATCCCTCTCCAAAGGTGTTCCTCTGGGCCCTGCAAGGCTGCCCTCGCCATTCCTGCCCCAGTTGTTGACATCCCGCAGCGCCTGGACTCCGCTTTCCCTCTCATTCATGTTTGCTACGCCAAGCGCGATCCCGTTGATGCCTCCTCCAGCGGCGCCTTCACCGAGGTTGTCTGCGCCAGGTGTCACGCCGGGGGGGGAATAGCCGGAGAAGCTCTGCGATGAGCCCGGGGCACCGACGCCGTACTGTCGCTGGTGCTGCTGGTGGATCTGGTTGAAGTGGCTGTCAGGATGCATGCCCGCCGGATGGTTTGCGCGATGGGCGGGCGGCGGGGGAGGACTTATATTCTGGACTGGGGGAGGGAACTGCGGAGCGTTGCTCTCGACGGGCGAGACATCCCCCTGGCCATAGTAAGGCTGAGGAGATGGTCGGTAGGCCTGGTAGCCGGGCTGGAGGGACTGTTCGTCGTTGCGGTTGAAAGAGAAGCTGCGATCCGGGGGTCCTGCCATTGCGATGGCGATTGGGAAGGTGTCGTCGAGGCCGGTCTGGGTGCTGGGGGAAGGTGCTGTGGATGGAGCGGCAGGTGGTGAATTAGCGGCAGAGCCGCTCAATAGTGATCTCGAGGCTGTCTCTGGCGAAGGCGTTTGCGAAAGCGATTGCTGGGCTCCAGTACAGCGGCCAGCACAATAGAGGGTTTCTTTTCCAGCAAAACGAGGGACAGGTTGCGCTTCGCAGGTGGCAATTCGTCGCGCAGTGGAGTGGTGGAGAGATGGTTGCAGTTGCAGCAGCAGCAGTAGGCTGGTGGTGTGTGTGACGGCTGCAACGGACTCTGGTGCGACAGTGAAGGCTGACAGCGGCGTTGTGATGTTTCCGTTTTGGTTAGACAGCCAAGGTTAACCAGGAAACCAAGTTATTTTTACCCGCCCCGCAACCAATATGACCTCCCCAAACGTTCGACTCCCGGTGCATTCAACGGCCGGAGATGGCTCACAAGATAGAACGAGTGAATGTCTTCAGACCCTCCTTCAGCGGACTCCTTCACCCTTATGTCGGCCCCCTGGCTGGCCTCGGACGGCTCCCTCGCCTCTGCTCTCGCTGCCACCCGGGGCGCCAGCCCACCCCCAGGCCCCCAATACGAGTTCCTTCGAAACTCTGACACTAGCTGGCCTCCAAAATAACACCGCTTCTGACCGTTGGTAAATGCATGCAAAAGGAAGGATCTGCACTCTTCAATCCGTAGGATGCGATACCAACAGCATCTCTAGTTTTATCTACCATGAAGTGCTGAACCCAGCAGCTTTCAGGTTCGCATACAAGATTTTGCGAGAAATTCTCTCTGACACTGCCCTCTGATTACGAAAGAAAACTCTTTCGCTCAGAATGTCACCCTCGCAATCGATACCTGGCGTCCAAGCCACGCGCCCCATACTTCCCATTCCAGCAGTCCCTACACGAACAGCTGGAGTCACGATGCACCCCTCAGGGGATTTGCGCCATTAAGCAGAACCAGTTTCTTTTTTAAACTTCCTCTTCTGGTCACGGTGTCTTTCTTCTTTCGCAACTTAGCACTGCTGGCAACTGTCGACCTTCCCTCGCTTCAATGGTGCCAAGGGAATTCTTCTCGATGCGGCTCAAGAAGCACCAGCTCTGTTCCTCGCTTTCTCGCTTATGCGCAACCATTTTGCGAAACTCGCTCTCATACCGCTCCCCGTATCCTATAATTACCTATAGCGTATCTGTAGCCAAAGGTTCGTCCGTCTTACTTATGTATTAGTCCCCCTCGGCAACCCGAATCTTCATTCTCTCTAATGTTTACAATCTTGCATCCTGGATTCTCTCTCAGAAACGTCGACATCTGAAATCCTGAAACACCATCTCCATTTTTATGGAACAGGTAAGAGCGTTCCTTGGGCATGGGTGACATGCAGCGAGGCTTTCATAGGTGGGCTGCGCATGCGAAACACTCCAGGAGACACAATCACATGATCTCGGATTGACTTCCAAGGTTCAGCTTCATCTGCTCCAACGTGCTTTTCAGAACTCGGTTTCTGCTTAAAATATCAAAGTTTCGAATTCTAGTCTCTCTTCCCATACAAGTGAGAAACCCATTCCCGAATTATCCAAGCAAGGCCACACACCATGGCTGAACATCAAATGAATTGGAAACCAATTGATAACATACTGAACTTCCAAGTCTGACACAAGCTGGCGAATTACACCTTTCCTATAGAAATATAGCGAAGCTGAGTTTGCTATCTCGTTTACCACTTCGTTCGCAGCCTCTGATTTAGGGTACAGACTTAAATCTCCTGAGTAATCTGTCTCGCGCTAGCAAAGGGATTTGATAGATCAGATTCATGCTATTCACGTACCGCAGTATGCACAAACACTGTAGGCAGCTAATGATGGTTTTGCAGAAAGTTGTATAGTAACACAGACGGCCACAATTCTGCCCCGTGCTAGCAACTACGGTACATCAGAATGTATGTAGACTCTGATTATAGACAGAAATCGGTTTCTTCTGGCGCTCTTTTGAACTCTAGAAAGAGGGTTACTATTCGAATTTGTTCCATTTCAGTCCTTAATATAGCCAAGCAACAGCTAATATCTGCCGTTGACCACGCATTCAGTTTCACATTGACATTGATGTTACAAAGTTAGCAATTACAGTTGGTCAGGGGAATAGCAAGGATCTAGTTCAGGACTGAAGCTAGCATTCCCCTAATGATTTCAATACTGAAGTAAGAGCTTTGGCATACTAAATCTGTTCTGCTGTAGTTGCACAGAATATGTGAGCTTGATATAGGTCTTCTCATAAGTCAAAACCCGCATTCCTTTAACCCTCTTGTTGCGTCGCCAACAGGTCAACCTTCCAGCTAGCACAGCAGAAGGATATATATAGGCGGATAATTGTATGCGACACCTCTTAATAGTGCTAGTAAGATTTTAGATATTCCGAACCCCTTCTGTTCATGCTGCATGGTAGCACTAGCATATAGGAGCCTATCTTATTCTTCACGCAGAAACTCCTCTCATTTCCCCTACGCTTCTACAGACCGATCACCACGCCGTAAGCCAGCACCCCCGTTCTCTACAACTCCCTAAGAACCGTTTCAATCACACTCATATCCCAACCGCAAATGCCGCATCCAGCCCGAATGCTCCCACCTGAATCATCACCACACTTACCAGATCCAGCCACTGTTCTTAGCATTCCATATCTTGCCTTCACGATTGGTGACCCTGATAGCAAACGTGATATTCACACCCCAAGCCATTGGATCCGTCGCGCACCAGATGATTTCCACTAGCGGCAGGAGATACGGGGACATGGGAAGCGATAGTCAAGGCCAATTCTCTTACCTGCAGCAACAATCAAGACCGAAGAAAAGAGGCAAGTACAGTCAAGGAAGTTCAGGGCCGCTGGATTGCAGATCCAGGACCTGTACAGTGGGTTTGCGACCAGCCCCTGCGTTCAGTTGCCGGTATCTGCGATTATAATCCCTCGGGGAACTCTGCGGCGAGGCAGTGAGGACAGGCATGGTCGCTAAGGGGCACCTTGAGGACAGTGCGGAGGTGCTGAAGCGTAGGAAAGAGGTTTGGGTCGTGTTTTTGCATGGAAATCCTAACCGCAGAGCCGTGGTTGTGAGTTGGAGTGCTATGACCTGAACGCGGTGAATATGGAGCCAAAGTGAGATGTGGAAGGGAATGTTGGCCTGAAGAAACCAGAAACTGGGACGGTAGGAGATGGAAACGACAGTAAGTGAAGGAAGCTGAGAATCTAAAGGATCAAGACAGCTGCCTATCTGCATCCTTTCGAAAGTGATGTGGTACGCTCGTTGCATCTGGGGGAGCGAGGTGAGGGAAAGGAGGACGAAGAGGAGGAGGAAAATGTAGCAGGTTTCGAGGCTAACAACATCCCTGGTGGCATTTTTATTTAACTGCAAGAACCCTTAGGTTGCAAATGTAGCGTAGACTCTGAACCTTAGGAGTGTCGAGAGAGGAACCGGCGTGGTTGCCGCCATACTGGTAGACGTTTGCCAAACTTATCTTGATGAATAATGGTGCGAGGTGTGAGATGCACATGTTGTAAGCTTGTTCAGGATGAAAACGATGTCTCCCTGGCGGATGAGGATGGTAATGGGAAGGGTGACTGAAGCTACATTGTGGGCGTTAGTGGGGATGACGTTCGTGATTGTTCCAATGGCGATGAGGATGGTAATGGGAAGGGTGACTGAAGCTACATTGTGGGCGTCAGTGGGGATGACGTTCGTGATTGTTCCAAGAGTGATGAAGCAAAAATATTGAGTTGTACGACGGCGAGCAGGACTTGGTATTTTAAAGGCCACTTGCTAAAGTCAGCTTCCATTGTCGAGAGTGAGGTAGCCGTAGCTATAGCTAAGTTAGAGAAGTTCACACAAAATGAAGTGAAGAATATGAGGTGTTGGATTGGGATTACAGACACTGCGAAAGGGAGACATTTGGTAGGTTCTAGTAACCAGGAGCACAATGTGAGCTTCAGCACTAGGGTAAGTCTTTCACCAATTGCAACTATAACAAATCTATTCCGGTTCGGTCCTTAAGACCTAGTCCGTGAGTAAACCAACCGTAACCCTCCCATGACACAATGTCTCTACCCCTGATTGCACCATGGGTAAACCAGTTTAGCGGCAAGGTAACTGACATGTGAGCGGCCCCGCCTAAAACTACTAAAAACCCGATATTCAACAATAAATATATTTACAGCACAATAATGAATTAAGAAATTTCAATTATAAGTTATTTAGTATGGAATAAAATATATGTTAGAGTTATGAGTTATAGCATAACTAAAGAAATAGTTCCTAAGATAGGCAAGTGTAACTCCTAACTCTGCACCACCATTAAAATAGGGTGTGAAATATACTGGAAGACAGGCTGAACCTACTCTTCTGCAAGTAGAGTTGATCTTATAAACCCATGTTCTTTTAGACAGACTTCCACTGCTACTATGCACATTCTTCCCTTTTATCCTATGCTTCTGGTTGCTTTCGACTAGCAGTTCAATGTCCATTTCCGTCCGCTTCGGACGAATACCGCAGGACTTAGACCGGTTTTTTGACATCCACTCTTTAATTTCTCAGTACACTTTATTTCTGCTTAGCGGCAACGCTAATATATACAGTATTATGTACTAAGCAGCCTATCTTTTAGTTTTATGATATAGTAGGAAGTAGATAACTGAAGAGATTTAAGGTTGAAAATTGGAGTTTTGGGTGGTTAATAGGCAGAGTCGCTCGCTTGTACGGGCTGCCCGCTTTTCAGTTACATCAGCTAAAAACGGGAATCCAATACATATCAGCGTTCCCCTTTCACTGGCTAAAACGCCTTTGGAAGTTCTTCGAAATCTGTCTGTCTAGACCGGCATGAAGAGCATCGTTGATAACCTAAAGCGTTCGACGTAATCTCCCCTTCACTATTACCGAATTCACGTACCGCACTTCTTCTTGTTTGATACCTATTCGGAAGCATGAAGTTCTGCGATGGGAAATATAAGCCCGCGGTTTGTTGACGTGGAGTTGTGTCTACTGGTCAGTTCCAGCAACGAAGGAACGCTGGCAGGGTAACTAAGCCAGGAGAGAAAGGATAGGACAATTTGGAGATAATTAGAGTTTGTAAACATAGTCCTTGAAAGGGCATAAAAGATAGATGTCATAATTAAAATGCTAGAATAAACCTCGGAAGATCTAAAGTAAGGGGGTTCACGTGCCCCTAGAGAATGTTGTGAACCCCCAATGTGCCCCAAGCTACTAGGCTGAGAAGAAATCCAAGAAGGTTATGTAAACATTCACAAACTTTTAAGAAATCCTAAGATCTCTTTGACTAACTTCTCTGGTTGCTCTTGTTGCGGCCAGTGTCCCGCTCCCTCGATGAACTTGACACCTTTGAACTGAGTGCAAGATTTTGGATAGTTTTCAATAGCACCAGGCTGCTGATAGTTGCCCCAATCCTTGGCTCCTGAAATAAAAACTGCCGGACACTCAATCTTCCTACCTGCCAAGAGATCGAGGTCGCGCCTCTTGGCTGGGTCGGTTGCGGTCCGATACCAGTTTAGGCCACCTTGGAAGCCAGTCCGTGTCCACTCCTGGACATATATAGCCAAATCATCGTCCGACATCCACCGTTTAGTCTTGTTGAGGTCTTCGCCCTCCATCATTTTGGCAATGGTCTCAGGCATCGACAAGTGTAATGGCATGATGTAGTAGTAAGGCATTTTAGCTAGTTCGCTGGCTTTCCAACCTTCAAGGGGATGAGGTTCGTTCCCTTCCCAGTCGGCACTCTTTACATGTAGATAGCCTCGGAGAAATGTTTGGAGACCCTGTATGGGGACAGCCCATTGCAGAGCCGCTACTGCAGTCGAATTATACCACTTGTAGTGTTTTCTTGGCTGAGGCAGCTTCGCCAGTTCTCTTTGAATATCCACTGGAGGTGTAGTCTCAGCGCTCTCTCCATGCGCCGTGTTGAATGGAAGTCCAGGATGCTCTTTGAACGGATGCGACATCATAACCACGCTTTTAAACAAGTCGGGCCGCATCCAAGCGCACATGGAGGACGTCACTGCTCCAAAGTCGTGCCCAATAACACAGTGGACTTCTTGATACCCCAAGGCATTCACCAATACCACGGCATCTCGGACAAGGTTGGTCGGGGTGAATTGTGACAAGTCGGTTTTGGCGAAAGTGGAGTCGTCCCATCCCGTGGTCCTCCCGTAGCCACGTTGATCGAAAGCCACGACGTAGTAGCCTGCATCTGCCAGAGCAGGCATGACCTTTCTCCACGAAAAGGCCAGTTCCGGATATCCGTGGCACAGCAGAATCAATGGCTTGTTTCGTTCAGGAGTGTAGCCAGCCTCGAGAATATGGACAGTCAGGCCATTGGGGCTGCAATAGACATAGTTTTCCGAGATGCCCGGAGGCAATGGCAGGGGGGGAAGGCTGACCTTGGCAGGAGAGGGCGACGAAATGGACATGGTTTTCAACATGTACCTGGACTGGAAGAAGAGGCTCGAGGGGTCTATATAGACAGGCGGGGGAACCGACCAGCCGGAGTTAAACGCCAATGCTTGGGGGGTTTCCGCTGGTTCGGGACGGAAATGATTTCCTGACGGGTGTCATTGGCCGGGTGATAGGAGTGGGCAGAGTTGTTGCGGGAGTCAGAAATGCCTCTGGGCTCGAGGAGCACGAGACGGGTTTATGAGGCACAGTCGGTCTGTATGTTTCTTGGGGCGAGTCAGGATGCTTCGTTAATTTTAGTGAACTCCGGCAAGAGGATGGCGCATTAGCGTTGCCTGTTTCTGCAGCATGCCAGATTGAGACGCGTGATTGAGATAGATGAAAGCCACGACGGCTGCGGGAGACAGGGCTGCGCTGGAGGAGATCAGGGTCTGCAGCGTGGGATGGAAATGGACATGTTGCTGCCGTGCGACTGCGGAGCATCGACAGAAAGCACTATGTAGAGCATGACTCCGGCAAGAGGAGCTGCGACTCGTGTCTGTGTCAGGAGGCAGAGTTGCACAACGAATCGGAGGTCATCTGAGTAAGAAGCACAACTGCGGGCCAGCTCGACGCAGGCAGTAGAATTTTGAGGGCGGTTGTGTGCTGTGGGGGGAAAAGCCACTGTTGGTCGTCTCGTGGTGGCTCGATTTCGAGGGCTTCTGTCCGGTCGGGGCGGCACGAAGCGAAGGATGACGAACGGGCGTTAGACGCCAAGGACGAAGCCTTGCCGTCCGATGATCCTCTCACGGGGCTAGCAGTCCAACTTTTCGTATTGTTTCGATGTTGTCTCTCTCCGTCTCTTGCGCGACTCCTTTCATCCCCTGAGCGGTGCTGTCGCATCACCCATCCGTCGTGGGCAGCATCACGTCCTCGCATAGCAGGGCTCTGTTCCTTGTTTCAGTGTCACACCTTCCCTGGAGCCTCTTCCGGCATTTCCACGGCCTGCGCGCTGTTGATGAATGACATCACCCACGACGCTCCCCGAAGACTCTCGCCCCTCTCGGCGCACTGTTCCCCTACGCGGTGATGCGGGCGCGACCACAGTAATATCCTAATTGACCATGTTCCACCGGAAGAGGGCCACGTCGAACCCGGTACGCGCCTTCTTTTGTTTGCGAATAAGCACCAGAATTCCCCGTTTGGACACAGCGTCACGAGTCCCCAATGCTAACCACCCTTCTACATGCAGGCTTCAAGAGCTCCCCCGAGCGTATCCGCTTCCCTCGCCGCGAGCAAGGCTTTCATCAAGGACCGCGATTCAAATGCGTCACTCTCATCTGCAGCGGCGGCGGCGGCGCTGCGAACCCATATCACGAGTCCGACCCCAGTGGGCGAGACAATCACGAAGCGCATGGCACGGAGACAGTCCACATCCTCGGCGGGAAGCGGAAGCCAACAATCACCAGGCTTGCGCAGACACTCCAGCTCTGGCTCTATGACTGAACGGTCCTTCCGTGCCCCATCTCCCAACAGGAGCAGTCCTGCAGTCGACGCAGACCGCAACGCTCCTCCAGTGCCCACTGTGCCAAAGGATGTACCGGGAGTGGGAGTCGTGCACCGCCGCGCTTCAAGTCTAGAACCGCCCTTTCGTGGGGGCTCACCAATCACCAGAGGCAGAGGGAGGGGTGTAAGTCTGGACAGGGGAACAAGCCCTCCAACAGGACGAGGGCAAGGCCATGCTGCAACAGCAATGAGGCTTTCGCAAGTTCCCGAGATCGACACGGATAACAGACCCCCATCCATCAACTTTTCCCGGCCTATATCTCCCCAAGCCATCTCTCCTCCCCGGCCTGTCGCTTCGGCAAAGGGCGGCAGTGGCTGGTTTGCTGCTCCTGTTGTAAACGCAGAGCAAAGCTTCAGAGGGTCTAAACCACGAATGACGACCTCGGATAGTATTGCTCCACACAACCTGCACCACATTCAGCAATCGGTTCTGAATGCGACGACCAAACCCGTGTCAAACAACAAGACTAAAATATCACAGGCTGTCGAAGGATCCCGTCTGGCGAGTGGAGGCCTGCGAGGAAAACCTAGCGGATCAGCTGTATCTTCAGCACACTCGCGGCAAGCGTCGCGGACATCAAGTGGGCAGCCGGAACCAATCGACCCCAAGTCCCCATTAGCCGTGTACGATCCGTCAACACGAACGTTTATCCCCAAGCAGCAAGCTATGGCGAGGTTCCGTGAACTGCATCAAGATGAAGACGATCCGCAATATCCTGACCAGCATGTAACCCCTGAGAGACCAAGCAGCCCTCCACAGAGGCGAGTCTCTCGGCGTCAGCATAGTCCTGTTCGGCTAGTGATACAGCGACCGCCTAGCCCGCCCCCACAATCTCAACAACGCGATGAGAGCCCCGTTCTAGTAGAAGAAACTCGACCCCCTAGCCCTCCACACTCCGCCGTTGTAGAAAGTGAAGAACGGCTGCCCCCTCCGCTGTCTGATTTTGAAAGTCGGGCGAGTGCCTTGCTAGCAAGGCAATGTTCTGAAGACTATGCAGAAGAAGACATCAGACCAATGCAAGATGCAAACACGAGTCGCAAACTGGAATCTATTCCCGCTCCAGCTTCAGAGGAGACACCGGAAAGTCCTACCTCGCCAAGAAGGGCACCGAATCAGGAGAGCCCCTATCCCCGGATCGAGAAATCTTCGATTTCACCATCAACAAATTCCGTTGCAGGCAGCGGTCGGGACAATATTCATATTGATAGGACACATTCTTTGAGCCCTCCTCGTAACGCCCACTTTGCGGCTGTAGCTGTGGAGTTTCCGAATGGCTTCAAACACCAACCTCCTCCGCGATCTGTATCGCCAGCTAAATCCGCTCTCAAATCCTCTCCGTCTGTGTCTAGGAGGAATAGTTCGCCAGTTGCCAATAACGGCCTAAGCTCCAGAAGGGGAGCGCCAAGCGAGGCGTCTGATACCATGTCTGATGATGGCTTGAAGAAGAAGAAGAAGAAGAATATCCGTGTGAGCTTCGATGAAGACCCGGTCATTGCTGGTAGGTCGGCATATCCAGAGGTTGAAACTCCGTCCTCGCCTACCGGCCTCAGCAGCTCAAGATGGAGTCCTGCGAATCAAGAGCAAGACCTCGACGATGTGATGAAGCCTCGTCCGGCTCTTCCTTCATTCGGAAGCATTCGTGACAAGAACCGTCGGATTGATGATGGGGAAGCCCCGGAAAAGGTCACCGAAACTGTCTCCTCGTCTTTGTCGACATCTGTCGGCTCGATAGGGGAGCCGCTTGAAGCATCGAGCGATCATGCCCTTGCTGGAATCGTTACGCAAGATTTCGCGGCTAAGAAGGCTCCTCAGCCTTCAGACGTCCAGACGACTCACGTTAGCAATGAACCCCTCCCCCCAGAGGTTACGTCTGTTGAAGGCAGCGGGTACTATTCTGATTCGGATCAGAGTGACGCCGTGCTAGAGAGAAACTTCATTTCTGATGCTCCTACAAGTGAGCCAGGAATGGAATCTGAGGCGCCAATTCCTGAACACGAGCCTAAAACACTCACTACGCCGGTTGAAAGTAACCACTCACCCCCGGAAGTGCCCGTTATTGCGATTCAGCCGGCGAGTCCAAGCCTTGTGGAGAAGTCCGAACCCAAATTTGCTCGTCCACTCGTGCCTGGCGGCTGGAATGAAGAGGAGGAATCCGAGCAAAAGGAAACGGAAAGAACACTTCCCCCACAACGAAACGAAGCCGGTGTAGCTCATATCAATCAGGAAACAGAATACCTACCGAATGCTCCAAGCCAGGAAGAGGAGTCTTCGGACGATAACAGCAGTATCTATAGTGATGCCTACGAGGACCTTTCGGAAAACGAGGACCTATCGGAAAACGAGCATAGGGGATTCGCTTCTATTGACGCAGTCGTTGAAAGCCCGATTGCCGACCCTCCCTCGGGTCTCATGTTCTCCAAACATGCAGACCCAGCCCTTGTCGACACACCGCCCAAATCTGCGCTTAGGAATGAGTATCATGATAGGTTGTCAGCGGAACAGGACGTGTCTCCATCTAATACCTGGGATGTAGCTCGTGAGAATTGGAGTAGTATATGTGACTCTGAGAAACAGCAAAAACAGCAAGAGCCACCCACCGAAGCCTTAGAACGTGCCGAGGATATTCCAACTCCTATTCGCAATCCACAAAAACCAATGCCGATGCCGATGCAAAATCAGACCAAACCCGACCGGAAAACACAAGTTGAGCCAGCTTCGAAGACACCGCAGCCAGTCCGAGTCTCCCAGCCTCAAAAACCTTCGACTCAAACTCGCAAGTCGGCGCTAAAAAAAACTCCACCGCCTGAGCGACCAACGGCGCTAGAGACGCATATGAAAAAAACTATGAGAGCTACCGCGAATGCACCATCTTCATCGCAAGAGAGCACACACATGCGAAGGAGTATGCGCAATAACGAGCCAGCCATTACTCCCAGAGTTCCAGCAGGACTCGCAGCTTCACGTCACAGCATGCCACCCATGGATACCAAGCCTCCGAAAGGAGCACTGCAGAAGAAACACATACCTGCTGCCAACCCCCCCAAATCCCGACCTCAGACCGCCTCTGGGCCGAAGACTACTAACCCAATCGCGCCGGTCATATATGACAGTGATTCGGATGCCTCAGTAAGCAGTTTCCGCCGGGAGCGACGACGTCCGAGGACTTCAGCTGGAGAAAGAGGTCGATACAAGATGCGCAGCTCTATGAGGTCAGGTCCTCCGATCGCGCCTCCGACCATGAGAGCCACACCCACGATGCGACCTACCTCTCCTCCGCAAGCAGCGTCTCCACCTCCAACACTTCGAACGTCTATGCGTCATTCATCTCCCCCGTCTGAACCTGCCATAGGTGGCGGTCTGAGGTCGTCAAGGTTTAACATCAGATCTCTATCGCCTGCCGGTCGCTTTAGGGGCATGCGAAAGTCTGTAGATGACACACCACCTCTTCCAACGCATACAGCAGCACCGAAGGCGATTCAAGCAAAGAAATCTACTTTTAGTAAAGCCTCGAAGGCACAGGCGCCAGTAGCGAATGCTAATTCCCGCTTCAAAAGCCGATTCGCGGACTCCAGCGATGAAGATGGAGACGACAGACCTCGTCAATTCCAAAGCCGGTTTGTTGACTCAGACGACGAAGAAGGCCTTGAGCTGCCACCAGGTCTTACTCCTGTACGAGGCATTCCACGGAAACCGGGAGAAGAAGATCGCGAGTCAACGGATCTAGAAGATGAGGATAGCGATGAGGAACCTTCTCCTGCCGCTGTAGCAATAAAAGTCGTAGAGAACGAACTTCTAGCCACCAACGGGAATCCTGCTAGGCAAGATATCCCATTCTCTGCAGGATCTCTCCGGAAGAGTAAACATGCTCCGGAATTACCAACCTTTGAAGTTGGCAAAAAGACCAAGTCCAAGCGAGGTTTCTTTGGCCTGGGAAGGAAGAAAATTTCCACTTCTCAACCCACCGACACTGACCCAGAAAGCCTTATGGACGAATCTACAGACATTCCCATGCCGCCAGGGCACCGCAATAGGCCGCTCACGCCAATCGGCGAGGACAAAACCACCGAGACAGGCTCCACAATCTCTCGCTCTCCTAAACTGCAACGCCGTTCCACACCGCAATGGGGTCGCTCAACATCCGATTCTTGGCCTTTGCCCCAACCACCTCAGACTGGGGAAGAACCACGGCCTCAGAGCGCTGACGGTGTTCCAGCTAGACGAACGTCGCTGCGACCCACATTGAGCAAGCGATACCCGTCTGCTGTCTCCGATGCCAAAACAGGCATTGATCCGAAGACGGGCAAGGAGGTGGCCCTAGCTCGCAGTGGGAAGAAGAAGAGGTTCCAAGGACTTAGGCGGGTCTTTGGGCTTCATGATTAAGCAGGTCTTCCTTTTAGCTGACAGTCATTCTAGAGCGTCCAGAAGATACAAAATGAGCTCTTCGCTGTCTTCTTTCAATTCGAGCCACTCAAAGGCTTCAATCGACTCTTTTGTTCGCACGTCGGTCATCCTTCTCGGGTGCTTTCGACCTGAAGATGACCCACAATCGTGATTCACGTATATCAGGACTCTCCATTTCCAACATCAATCTGCAAACGCGCGACTCTGCGCTTTCCATTTGTTTGTTCAGCTCACTTCTTTCTTTTGCTATTTTAGCGGGCGGCTCCTTTGAAATGGTTTAGTTTGGATCGTTTTTCAGCGGGTGGGGGCACAAAAAGGGATACCAGCATGCATGCATACAGATGCGGCGAAAGGCACCGGGGTAGGATACTAGGATACACATGCGCGGCTGAGGAATGGCTGATGCAATACCCTTCGCTTCTGCTATGTACATTTCAACGATTTGATTTGTCAGAGTTGTGAGTTGGATGAAGTCGTGTGTGTTGCGCTGGTTGTACCTAATTTCTAATAAGAATTTATTAGACCGTCAGCCAGTGATCTGTTAGTATATTTTATAATTATAATCACTCCATGAGTAACTGTGACGTCACATTTGCCCTCCGCCGTCTCCCCTAAATACATTGTCAACCCTTGTATTGTCCGCTTAGCATTCACCTCATGCGAGTTCTGTTTGCCCAGCTTTACCTACGTTCCCGTAGGTATCTGCTTCCTTATACTCAATCAATCATCGATTCACTCCCGCCTAAACTTTCGCTCTATCCGGCATCCCAAACGACGCATGTCCAATGCGATCTTGTCACCTCAATTTGCTGAGATTCAAACTTTCACCAAACCTAGCAACAATTAGAACATCGTATCATCTGCCATCATGGCCGTGGGAGCTTTCCGCAAAGTCTAATTAGCGACTCCTACGAGGTCTTGTGGTTTTAAAGTATAAACACAGGATCAACGTTCGACTGCGTCAACACAAAATGCCAAGGCGACGAAGATGAGATCGACTAGCATCCTCTAGGAGGTATCAAGTTCGCCTGCTCATATAAGTTTTTATCCTGAGCTAAGAAGGCTAATAATTTTAAGGGGACTACAGACAAGTCGACTCCTGCAAGTCTGTAGCCCTACTCTCCATCCTCTTAATGTAACCCCTTCTTAATGTGACAAGAACCTATACACCCTTACCCCCAGGATCTACGGCTATAAAAAGGGTGCAGAGGGTTCTAATTTGTCGCGGCAAGAAGCCTTCGATGACGAAGACGAAACAAACACGTTAGAAAAGCGCGGAGGCGTAGATATGATCTTCAGTCTGACGGGGCTGGTAGAGCTTAGAAGAGTGCTATAGGCGAACCACAAGGGCCGGTATAGAATAGCATACAGCCGACAGAAAGTAATTCCTTTCTACTTCTAAGTGTGAAGCAGAGGAGGCTGTCTAAAGAATTCTGTTAAATGCGTCCGTTTTGCCCCCAACACACCCGCGTCGGATCTTCATACTGAGTGGGAGACTGCACACGGACAGAATGTGAACCCTCTATCATAAAACATTGACACTGTAATCTGGGACTAACAAGAGCAAACCGTATCACTTACTGGACATGGCCACTCTCTGTCAGCTATTGCTAGCAATATCCTTCGGTGTGTCTTGTTCAAAAACTCATTACCGGTTGGCGTGGGCGGTGTTAATCAGAAAGACGCGAATTGAGACATCCAAGAGCTATCACTTGCATCATCCAGACGGGTGAAATACTCACAATCCGAACAGCTTTATTTCTACAGAATATCAAATCAGTGGAATGAAAGGCCAGATCATGGGTTTTAACGCTCCTATGAACAAAAAGAAATTCCATGATAAAATGCAGGATGGAGCAACCGCACTCGAGCCTGGCTCTGCTTAAGACATCATGACTGTGTTCAGCGTTGTGGGTACTTGCTCACTCAAGAGGTCTACGCCCACGCTCCGGCTTGTCTAAAGCTCACCGTTGACTCTGAGTATCTTCAAATGGAAGATGTTCACCGAGCACGGACTTAGCAAGCTATAGGGTTGGAATGGGCCTGCGCCGAACGTCTTAATCTTGCGATCGAGTGCGCTTCCAACGCTACGCTGGGGTGAGGACTTCTCCCAAATTCGTTGTCGCATTATATTAAGGCATTAAAGGATGAGGCTGGACGATAGAAGCTGGACAATGTAGAAGAGACGCTAAAACGTACTTTTAGACCCTAAGAGCCGGATTGGGGACATGAAAATTTTAAGCAAGCTTTGACAAGGAAACATCTTAGTAGAACACTAGAGATAGGCAGGTTTTCTAGCTAGGTAACGCCACCAAAGTTTGCAGGAATAAAAAAACGCTGATTTTCCATCCAAAAATTATCGCGCGACACTCTATACGCTGGATACGTGAATGAAGCCTCCCAGGATAATTCGTGTTTTGAGAAACCCCTAGTTACTTAAGAGAACGTTCGGCCTAGGAAGTAGGCGCTCGAAGCATACATATGTAGCCAATGACGGCCCGTAGGGTTCATGACGCATCCGTATCTTGCTTCCCTACTGTAGCCTTTCAGGGGGCATGAATTATGAAAGAAGTGATGTCTTGTGGAGGAGCTATGGTGAGACGCCAAGCTCAAGGTTGATTGGGCAACCTATTGCAGAACCCTCCAGCTCACATCTCCTAATAGGAGCCATCTTCCTCATTCAACATTTGAATATTGTCTTAGACTAGCACATGCCTAATTCGAGCGCTCGAGTTTGGAAGCCACGTGTACTGTGCCATATTGCCAACCTACCCCACCTTCGCATCTACCCTATCTTCAACTCTCACCCTCGTTGTCATCGCAATCTAAACCACCACTTTAGTGGAGTATCTTCACCATTGTAATGCACATGACCCGCACAGTACGGCTTTGTCACCCCCGAGGCTCACCTGGTCTTCTGAAGGGAACCTTTGTAGCATCGCCTCACAACCGCGCGTTCGCATGGAGAAATCCGTTAAGCAGGAAGAAGACACTAGCCCGTACATTCTCAATATCTTCCAGCGCCAGTCACCCCTGGGAAAGCGGGCGAGAATCTCCTGAGCTACGTAGACGTGCGAATTGGCATAGTTACATACGAGCCTGCGTTGACGAACACAATAACAATAAGTGGGGCTTCCTGATATACCGTTGCGATTACAGCTCTGAAGACGCCTGGGCTAAATTCATGTCGATCTATCAATGGAATATGAGGGAAGCCCTCGAGGTTCTGAAAGCAACAGATTTGTTACCCTCACTGGAATGGACCGTGAAGGAAGATCGAAAGACTCTCGACCAGGCGAGCGTTGACCAGGTCCGAGAAATCTTCAAGAGCTGGGTCGAAGGAGACGAAGCCAAGGAAGAACTACGCGACGCACCGCACCCGGGTCCTTCCCGGTACGTGAGGTATACGTACTGCGTGCATGTTGATGCGGATGCGATTGATTCTGTCGTAAACCGCGCTCCACAGCCTCCCAAATCTGACCACAAAAATATTGGATACGTGAATCTCGTGCGACTCCGTCCGAGTGATATGATACCCTACGGCGGTCTACCCATTGATCCTGAGGATGAAGAGCATGATAAGGATGAGGGAGACGATAATTTTGTGAAGGTTGGTCTTAGTTCTCTAGACCCAGAACGCTATGGGACACTGGAGAGCGCTTATTTCTGGGACTTAATGACGAGGTACCGCCGAAAGGAGGATGGTGTGTCTAATATCTAACAATCTTAGACATCTGGAAAGAAGGTGAACGAGGGCGTTCATGCAATAGTCGTGCTTGCAAATGAGCCATCTCTGCCGACTTTTCCCTACCTTATGGTTTGATAGTTTAACAAGGCATGAATTAACTGCTTGTAAAACAGCTACTAGATTAGCTAGTATCTATAGTCCCTTTCTAGGGGGTACATAAGTTGTAGCTAGACTTCCTGCAGCTGCAGCAGCTGCAGCAGCCTTCTCTCTAATCTTAGCCTTGTGTTGCCTTAGCATCTTTTAAACTCAAGCTGTTAGTTACCTTCTTTTAAGTTACTATCTCCCTTCTCTACCCACTCCTCTCCTCTTACTAAGGTGCATGTTATAGGCTAAGGGTCAGTAGAGCCCCCAAGGTCTACTAGATCCCATCCTAATATAGCCAACCAGAGGTCGCCTGCTAAGCTTCATGATTCAATGTGGCGTGCAGCTAGCAGCCTAGCGGAGCCTCGGCGAACCTTAGCAAGTGTGAGTTAATGTACGATTTAGTCTACCTTACGTATGTAGAATAGTTACTTGGCGTCGCACTGCATAGGTCTACGCTCGCCGCTTACAGTGCATTGCTTCTAGACACGCTTATATTTGCAATCTTTATGTTTTGTGACATTCTTACCTACCACTTAAAGCATGTAAGCCTAACTGCATGTTACAATAACTGCTTGTGACACCTACTGCACTACTGTATAGGGTCCATCGGGAAGCCTTCCGAAGAAACTAATCCCGGTCACGTGCCAGAGCAGAGGCCTCGTGCTATCTCTTAAGCTCTCTGCCGCGTCAAGAAATTCGGACTTAAGCCTCCGACTCTGAGGCTATCCCGGGTGGTGGTGGGAGAATATTGATTCGTTGCATCCTTCAGGAAGTCTTGGAGGGGGTAGGTTCCACCGATATCCGCCTCCTTATGACCTGCATTTAATAAATCATGCAGCAGCCCACTGACTAATGCCCCGATTGTGGCTTAGCATGCCTCTCTAACTGCGTCATTGCGGTCCTCATCTATCTCAATGAATTAAACTCTAACTTATTTCTACAATTTTCTTCCCCTATCTGAATATGCCTCCTCGAACTAAAGCCTGCGCAACTTGCCGGCAGAAGCGCATCAAGTGCGATGCAACCCTCCCAGAGTGCCTAATGTGCATCCGTACGAACCGGAAATGTCCCGGACCTATCCAAGGGCCTCTCATCATCGACATGACCTCTTCTACTGCTAATCGGACGAAGAAAAGAAACGACATCGTTCATTTGCGACAGTCAATTCAGTTCCCGAACGCTTTAACGATTGGATTGATCTCACAAATCTCTCAAGGCGCCGTAATCAACGAAGCATTCTACGCAAACTTTCTCTCGTATTTCACCTCCGACGGGGAAGGAAAAGATATCCAAAACAGAATGACCTGGCTTCATCAACTTCCCTTGCTCTCTACTGATGGGACTAACGTGGCGCTTGCCCTCGCTCTTCGCGCGACCGCATCGGCCTTTTGCGCCGTCGACACAGCGAATATAGCTGTGGTGCAGGAGGCTTGTAAACTCTATGGCCAAGCACTCAATGCCCACGCCCGCCTTCTTCGATCGAAACCGAAAGAAGTGACTGTGCATATGGTCTCAACATCTGTCATGCTCTCCATATTCGAAGCCATGCAAGCCACAACGGCCGACGGGTATCGAGAGCACATCCACGGAGCCGCCAAAATGATCGAAGTAACAGGACCAGGGCAGTGTCTCCACGGTGTTCTTTGTCAGCTATTCTTCCATGTTCGCACTCAAATGGCTTTCATCTATTTGACAACGCACAAATCCCAAGCAATATCCGTCAAGAAAATATTGACTGAAACATTGTCATATCACCGCTTCCCGATGTTCCAGCGCCTAATGTCGCATATCGCAGTCCTCGCCGAAATATACGTAAATAAGACGTCCCCAGGGTCTCAGCAACAGCTCATTGACCTTTCCGTCTACTCCTCCGTCAAAACAGAGATAGAAGCTCTCTGGCACGAATACCAATCTCAAGCTTCGGAGAAAAACCAAAACCTGTTCTGGACCGAAGCTGGAAAGACGTATTATCGAGATGGATTTACTGCCCTCTCAGTCGCGTACTTTTGCGCCGCGCGCATCCTCTTCACAATCCTCGCACCACGTCTTGCTTCTAGTTACATCGACTTCACGGACCATTATGGTAGGATCCTGGATTGCGCGAGGTTTTTAAGAACAAAGAAGATTGGATGCGCGTACATGCGCATGGCCACACCGCTTTTCCTTGTCTCTCTCCACAGTTCTTCACCAACGCAACGAAAAGCAGCTATATCTATATTTGAGGATTGGAAGAAGGGGAGTATGGCGGGGATTAGTGCTCTCGCGCTTGAAACGATACATAAACGACAGGCCAATAACCTCGGTGACATTAGAGTTGCGGAACTGGCAGTTTCAGATCCTGTGCGGAATGATCCACTGAACTCGTTTGAGTTGGAGGACTGGGTGGGGCATGTGTAATGGCAAGTGAGGGCTTGTGAGATATTTTGAACCAAGCCCAATCATCACTGGCATACGACTTTGCGGCTCAGACTAAACAACAGTTACTGGACCTTATTTTCTTTCACTCCGCCAGCAACATAACTATCGAACCCACCACTATCGCTACCAGCCATACATCAAATAAGCCAGCAGCCCCAGAGCTCTCTCCGCTTGTAAACTCCGCCGGCACAGTCCCATTCTCCGCTTCCCTGACAACCGTAAACCAATTCGCCGCGCTCAACCTTCCCAACTCCGCGGCCTCCACAAACCTCTCAACATCAAACCGACTCCTATTCATTCCTCCCATTGTGACTCCATAATCTTCCCACCCGGTCGGCATAGAGAAGGACTCGTTTATAGGCAACTTGTAACAAAGCAGGACAAATCGATGCTCAGGAGAGCCCGGAGGAGGGGCGGGTGGAAGGTATGGCACGATGGAAGAGTTTGAAGGGGTCGCTATCCAATGGAGGAACGGTGCGAAGGAGCGATTAAGGGCGCCGAATGGTGTGTCGAGGTCGATCATGATGATTAAGGAAGACATTGTGGGGGGTGTGAGGATTGGTGGGGATGTCGTGTCTAGGGTATATTAGTCCGAGAGATGGACGGGGGGGGAAGCGTTGGATAGAAATGCGGTGTATACCGTTGAGTGGAACATGTATTCCAGCTGGAGATATGGGGAGCGCGTTATATTTTGCTGGAAGGGATGCATTGGTTGAGGGCGTGAAACCAGGTGGTGATTGTGCAGAAGCTGAGTGGTGAAAGACAGCTACTGCAGCAAGGAATATTGTCGATAGAGATAGTGTGCGCATCGTGAGAGCAAGAAGGTAAAATGTTCTGTGGCCTTTTCGAAGAAAACGAATTTGGGAATGTTGAAATGGAAGTACTTGTTAAATTTATACCCTGTAAAAAGCATTTAGTTTTGAATTCATTTCCCCTCTCATCTTTCTTCGCAGTTACGCTTAGCACCTAAAGCCCGATTGCCTATCACAATTCCATCATGGACGTAGTTTGTTAAGCCCGATATCCGCTTCTTTGATACATGCTAGAGTAGACTTCTTCACTGGGCAAGGTGTCTTACCGGTACCCACCACATCTAAGATTAGGTAGTTAGTGGTTGTTCATGAGCTTGCGCCTTAAGTCCGTTAACTGGGCCTTGCAATCCTGAAATAGAAGATGGGGCTGAAATGCGAGACACGCTAGCGATAATTACTCTATCGAGTTAGCATGGGGGTGCAAGCGTTTCTCTTCGATCAGACCACAAGACTTAGACATTTAAGATAGATTGAAGATTGAATGGACAGGATGAATCGGCACATAGTACTCATTTGATAGACAGTCATACCTTAAACTCCATGAAGCCTTGGTATACCACGCACAAGCACCGTGCAACCATAGTAGTTCCCATATCCTGCTTGGAAAGCAACCGATAACGAAAATCAAAAGAAGCCCGACCAGAAAAATTTCATACACGTACACGGAAAGCTGTCTTCAACCTCGTTCCTTCAGCTCCTCTATTGCTTTTGCTGCCCCTCCACGAACTCGAGCGCTGCTTTCCGATCCACGACGTCGATACTACTCGTCTTGTTGCTATATGACACACCATAACACTTCTCCGCCACAAGCACCATCTCAGGCCTGAATGTTGTGCAGATAAACTGTCCACCTCCCTTGCCCTCGTCACCTCCTTTGCCTGACAACTTATCTAGCATAGCAGCGACAGCAGTCCGATACTGTGCATCGAGATTCGCGTCGATTTCGTCGAAGAGGTAGAATGGTGCTGGATCACATTGTTGGATCGCGAAGACAAGGGCAAGCGCACAGAGCGACTTTTGGCCACCAGAAAGCTGCCCGATGCGCTGCTGTTCGTCGTGTTTGGAATTGAAGGAGACGGAGATGCCAACGCCAGAGTAGTTTTCCACCCCAGGTTTTCGACGAGAGCTCCCGTTAGCAACGCCATTCACATCATCTTCCGAGTCACTTTCGATGTCTAAACCGCGAGCGGTACGAGCTTCTTTATCGCTCTTGCGTTGAATGACGAGACGACCGGTGCCCGCAGGTACAAGCTGGACGAAAACTTCGGCGAATGCTTTGGAGACTTGCTTGAAGGTGCGCTCAATGGCCTCGTCTTTGCGCTGATCCAGGATCTGGATGAGATTCTCGATGGACTTGCGGGAGGAATCGAGTTCGGCGCGGCGCTCTGTGAGGGTGCGGCGCTGCTTTGTGAAGTTTTCGTATTGTTCGAAGGCCTTTTTGTTGAGGACGGAGTACTTCTTTAGTGCTTCGTTGACTTTGCGGAGTCGTTGAGATGCCTACAAACCTGTTAGAACCTGCGGGGAAGAATGTATAGATTCGTGCATGAGAACGTACCCGTTCCGAGTCCATCTTGGCATACTTCTGCCATGCCTCCTCTGGTAAGGTGCCTAGATCCCTTATTTCCTTCTGCACCCTGCTCAACTCTTCTCTAGCCTGCGCTTGATCCTGCATGCTCCTATCCATGCGTTTTTGGTGCTTCTCAATAGAGCGGGCGATTTCTTGGTTGCTCTGATATTTCTCGCTCTTTGAAGTCTCCAGCTCTACAAGTTGAGCGTTCCACTGTTCAATCTGATCATCTGTTTCTACGATCTTCTCATCATAGCCAGCAAGTGTTCGCTTAATGTTTTTGAGTGAGCGTTCGGCTTCCTTCAACCGCGAAGATTGGCTGACACTGCCACTTGCGCTATTTTCCTGGGCAAGTAGCTGGTCAAGGTATGGCTGTAGATTCTCCCGCAGAAGGACTTCGATCTCTGCCTTGCGGCCTTCCAATTCCGATCGCTCTGCAGTGAGTTTAGAGAGTTGGCGACGAAGATCCTGAACACTAACAGCGAGCGATCCTAACATCTGCTCCTCGTCTTTGGATAATGCCTTCTTAAAGTCGGACGAAAGGTCTGCCTCCAAGTCGCTCTGTTGATTGCCAAGATCATTAATGGCAGAGTCAATGGTAGCCGCAGTCTGTTCCTTCTCTTCTAGAATATCTTTCTTATTCTGCAGTTCACCTTGCTTTGCACGTAGCTCCTGTCGCATCGGTCCGTAGCTGTTCTCGACTTGTAGCCTCTGGTGCTCAATCTTACGAAGCTCGCTTAGTGAGGTAGTGACCTGTTGATCGAGCTTCTGAAGCTCCTTCGTGATCTGCGATTTGCGAGCCCGGTATTCTTCAACTTCATCTCGGAGTTTGGATACGTTTTGAACGGCGTCGAGCCGGGACTTTGTAGGGTCAATCCATCCTCCGAAGAAGCTGCCCTTCTTCTCGGCCTTGTCTCCATCAATGGTGAGGGCTGAGACGCCATGAGTCCGTGCAAAGCCAGCAGCAATGGTGAGATCGGGGCAGATGATGGTTTTACCGAAGATGTGCTGGAATGCACTCTCGTACATTTCGTCATAGATAAGCTTTGAAATAAGGGGCAGTGCGTCACTCGATTTGGGGAACTGAACACGCCTGGTCTTGACACGGTTCAATGGTATAAAGGTCAACCGTCCACCCTTTTCCTTATTGAGAAGATCGACAACTTTGCTCGCAGTTGCGTCGTTGTCAACGACAACATGGAAAAGACTTCCCCCTGCTGTTGTCTCGGTCGCGATCTTGTAATGATCGGGGACTTCAACAAGATCAGCAATAGTGCCATAAACGCCCTGTAGATTGTGCTGGCGTTGGAGGCGACGTAAAGTCTCAAGTCCTCGGCTCGTGTTGTGGTCCATCATGTGTGAAAGGTTTCGCTCGGCCACATTGAGTTGTTGCTGCAAGTTTGAGATTTGAGAGTCTACTTTCGCTTCCTCGCGCCAAAGCTTCTTTTTCTCATCCTGGAGGTTATCCCTTGTATCTCTGGCCTTTTGAACTTGTGTGGCAAGATCCATCGTGTTATCGCCCTGGTTATTGATAGTAGAGCGCAAATCTGCGATCTCGGTCTCAAGCCTCTTGAGATCACTCTGAAGCCCCACAATCTCTTCGTTAGTGTCCATCAACACGGCTTTTCGCGTTGCCGAATCCATGTTGACCTGATTGATCTCTTTACGAAGTGCGTCATCTCGCTGTCGCTTGTTGGTGTAGAACGCAGTCCGACCCTGCTTATCTTCGAGACGCTTCCGCTGACCTTCTGCATCAGCTAGCTGTGAGCGAATCGTGTTTTCTTCATCCTTCTTCGCATTATACTCGGGCAACAGCTGATTCAGCTCTTTCTCGTGAGCCTGTATATCTTGTTGGGTCCTACGAAGCTGATCGTCGTGCTTCTTCTTTGTTTTCTGGACAGCAGACTGTCCGTCAGTTAATTCCTTGAGCTCAAGTTCGAATTTGGCTTTGCTGCGAGCAGAATCTCTCCGGTCGTTTTCTAGCTGTGCCCGCTCATCTCTTAAGAGATCGATCTGTCCTTTGAGTTGGTTGATCTCAGTGTCAATACGTGCCATGTCCTTCTCATTTTGCAGAAAGAGTGCCCGATTTTCGTCCGTATCTGCTACTCCATTCTGCCGGCGTTCCTCGATCTCGTCTATTCTATTTTGGTAGTTGATCTCGTCGCGGCGATTGATGGCATATAGCAGACACCTCCTCTCGCGGTCCTTTGCGTTGAAAGCCTCAAGTTCTTCCTTCTCTTCTTCCAATTCACCTAGACGCTCCTCGATCGACCTCACCAGTTCATCGATCTTGGAACGCTTATTGTCCGTGTCCGAAAGGAGCTTCAGACTGTCAGTTCGCCGAGTCTCGTAGACATTGGATCCAGAGATTTCCTTCAGTAAGTCCAACCGGGCTACATCCTTCATGTTTGTAAGCGCTGTGACTCGCCCTTGCGGCACGATGTAGTACGGGTTGGATCGAGAGAAGCCCGCGGATTCGAGGATTTGCTGGACTTCGGCTTTGGTGGCATTCTTCCTGTCAATAGAGTACTCATCCTTCTTCAGGCCAATCGTGCGTCGGAGAAGAAACTCAGGCCTTCCAGTGTGGAATCGATCCTCGGTGTTGTCAAAGCACACTTCGACGAAGGCCGACATCACGGCCGAACCGGAGCCTTCCTACACATGGTCAATATCTTGGAACACTCGCTGTCACCCGCCACCACGTACATGGAGCAGCGCCTGTCGTTCCTCGCGACTCATATGGTGGTAATCGTCTCCCAGCACGAACCGAACCGCGGCAAAGAAGTTACTCTTGCCGGAGCCATTGCGACCGACGATGACATTACTCTTCGGCGAGAAGGGCTCGATCTGTGTCTGTTCCTTATAGCTGTCGAGTGTCGCGTCAGATTCACCTATGCGAAGAGTAGGGAGGTTCGAACCTCTTGAATCCCTGAATGGTAATTTGTTTGATGTAGCCCATTGTGGCGGTGGGCTAGATCGCGATGGGGAAAGGCGGTTTAGGGTTGATAACCAGAGTCGCGCGTGTTTCCTTGTGTCGCACGCAGTCGAATCCTCTCAGATCATAGTGTGGCGTGGCGTGGAGGTTGGTGAGTGCCTTCGCTGGAAGGTGAAATAGCGGGCGACGCGGGCACGCGTTGACGGCCTGACGCGACTCTGCTGTTGAACGCCAAGAAATATCCGGAGCGGAACAACATATCTCCGCACTCTCCCACCATGACTCCCATCACACTTCATCTGCATCCTTCCTTCACTCCTGCCTCACCCACATCGGGCGATCATCTTCGCATGCTCACTGGTCATTCTAGAGACGCATCTCACCCTATCCTTGCCTTCACTGTGTCTGCCCACCAATTCAGGGAAGATATCTCCTGCCTGCCACCTCTCTCATCCTGAACCTATCCGCTGTCCAATGCAACTTGACATGGCTTCAGCCTTCATGTCTACATAGATCCAAAAATACGCGATATGCTGTGCTGTTAAATGTGGGGGAGCTGGCATTGGTGGGGACTTCTCGGCCTTCCAACGATCACTCCATCAGGTCATCAGTTTACCGAGTCGTTACCTAGTCATGCTCACAGGTAGGAGGAGTTTGCCGACTTGATCTCTTCACGCCTACAGTTTCCTGAATTGGGGGTTACAAGGCCAACCCATTCGCCCTCTTCTACCTCAAATGGCTTTTTGGCTTTTCATTGCTCTCTCTATCTGGGGTTAGGAATTGGTTTCAGTGCTTCGACCCTTTTAGTAGTAGCTCCCAATTCCATTGGACATTAGAGATAGCTTCTCAACGCATCGATATCTTAGATACCCATCTTACGTATTGTACACTAGTTCACGAGCCGTCCCGCCGTCTTTTCTTTGGTTTCCGCTTCCCCACGGCACTCTCCCGCTTGCTTTCCTGGGTCCAACTAGGCGAAGTCACTCCACACATCATCCATTCTTAGCCTTGATGCAGCCAAAGAACATTTCTGCGCGTCATTTGCAGCCTTTTGCTAACATGAGATGTTTCTCGCCTGCTCTCCACGCTTCGCAGCTTGATATACGGTTAAGCTTATGGTCTGCGTCCCAAACTACACTGACCGCACCCCGCACTCTAACAATTAACAACATCTCCAGCATGCCTCTTGCTTGTGTCACTCCAGAATTCGAGTACTTTAATGCAAAAGTTGAGTAAGCAGACTCAAACCTGTAAGGGACGAGACATTGAAAAGCTGATTTACTTCAGCATTGTTGCTGTGCCAGCTATTGGAGCTGACCCAAAGGTCACATATCGGTACCCTGGCCTGAAAGTTCCGGACAAACAAGACGCACAACGATGGCACCACATGTTCTCCGATCTCTCCGATGCTCGAGTATTCCTTTACACTTTCCCAAAACCTGAAAACCCCAAGACTCATGGCATAACGAAATACTCTGAAGATCTGTTGCGCGAAATGGCGAGCGAGGGTTTGGGGAAGAGCCGAATGATTCATTTTGTGGGACATAGTACTGGAGGGCTTGTCGTCAAGCGAGCCCTCATATTGGCAAACGGTAGCAACAAGCATGATTGGCTGGAAATCAAGCGAAAGTGCTGCAGCATTGCATTCTTTGGAACTCCCCGTACGTATATGAATCTAGTAAGGTGAATATGCTCATGTAGCCTAGATTATGGTAGCACGGTACTCTGTCAAAGCACCTATAAACTTGCAGTTTCTCGACTTCTAGGCCTCAAGCTTATTATGAGCGATCGCCTACGACAAGACCTGACGGATGTCGAGAACCTAGATGGCTTGGTTCATTTTAGCCGCACATTTCAACCAATAACAATCACTATGGAGAAAATTTGGAGTTTTTTTGAAGCTCGGGATTCCAAGTTGGAGGTCAGGGCGACCATCAACGATCGTATTGGATCCACATCGATTAGAAGAATGGCCAGTATTGCCTGGTGAGGCTACCATACCATCCGCTAATTTAAAATAGGTTGTCGAGCAGAGATGTGCTGTACTCAGCGGGGACGAGAAAAGCAGTTTTCCTCTTATTGGCTGCGAGCAGGCCATTTCCGTGAAGGCAGATCACGCAACTCTTCCGCGGTTTGGTGATGACCCGAATTCTCAAACGTTCCACCAGTACATTGATGGACTTCGGGAGCATATCAGCAAATCGTCTGGTAAAACTGACCGGGATCCGCGATGGCTAGAGAATGAACTCAAGGTTGAAGTGCACCTGTTCTACGAACTGAACGAAGGAAATCAATCTACTGTCAAGCTATGGTCGGTCAATCCAACTCTTCGAGATCTCATAAACGATGGTCCAGGGATGCGTTTAGAACGAAGGGTCGACTTGGCTGTCAACGAACCTCAGGGCAACGATGCTCGGGTTCATCCAGAGGATTCTTCCCATGCGAATATTGAAAGCAATGGCATGCCAAGCAATAACAAAAACCGAGCTCGAAAGTATACCGGGTCAACATTAGCCAGCCCGCAGAAAGATGATTTTCGTCCCCAAATGCATGTCGTCACGGATTTAGGGCAGTCAGCGAATGGTGAAGCAGATGAAACTGGAAGCAATAGCAGCACCCCATCAGCCTATAAGCTCCCTGATCTTGGTCACGCGCATTTCCGCTGGATTCATGTCCCAGCCAACAACATGATTTGGGTAGAAAAGATCTTCCAAGCAGTTGAGAGGGACCGAGAAAGAAAACGATTCAAGGAAGTCGCAGAATCCGTTAAAGGCGTGGAAGAAATGCCAGAGGCCACCGACTCAGCAGCATCAGAAAGCGATTTGCACTCAACACCTGTAGAAGGCTTGCTAGAAGACCCTGCTAAGTCACAATTGCTCAAAGCCGTCGAGGTCATTCAGCAGCAAGACAAGCCAGTAGAGGCACCAGGCCTCAACGCTGCTGTTAAGGACCCACGGAAGGGCGTAGCACTTCTGAAAATTGCTCAAAACGTCCCTAGCCCCAAGATATCATCTATTATTCCAGAAGCTACCCAAGCCATCGAAGACATTCGGGAGCGAGCAGTTTTCCTCGAAGTCACAAAGGAGAGAACACAAAGAGGGGAGACCTTGCGGGGTGATGTCATCGCGAAAGCGATCCGTGAAGAGCGTAGCAAGCCTCGTCTCGCTAGTGCAGTACTAGACAAGCAGTACTGGAACTGGAAACAGGTCACCTCTCGGCATGGTCTTCCTCACGGACGGTACATGCAGCCTTTCTGCCAGCTTTTCCTTCCCCAATCCCCGAGCGAGTCCGGCTTAAATATGAGGGGCACCACCGTCCATATTGCTTCGGTTGCAAGTCCAATCGAGTCGCCCCAACTTTGCCTCTACGTAAGTACTCGTAAGTACTCGTATTACTCTGTATCTCCCATCTCACCCTTCCTAGTTTCCTTATCTGCACTGGGATACTTTCAAAGGACTGCAAAAGCGGAATGAGCTCGTCCGTCAAAGGCTGGAGGATCCACGCCTCTATCCTCCCAATGCGCATGTCGAACACGGGCAGTCTATGGAGAACAAATTAATCTGGCAATACCTTCTGGACTCTTCCAAGCTACCTCTTCATATCCGTCGCTCAATTGACCAATTTGGTAACCCACATCTTCAGGACGTCAGCGTTCGTGATCGAGATCAAGTCCTGTACAAATGCACCAAGCCCGAGTCGCCGTTGAAATTGACACCATCGAGCGATTCCAAGAGCCATTGCTTTCTCAACCCGGTAAGGATCGATGAACTCATAACGACTAATGAGGCCTCAGTACTTACAATTCCCCAGAATAGTTTCAGAGCAAAGACTGATGATGAAGCAAAGGTTTTAATGGTGGATCAACTTTGGGCTTGGGTTATCGATTCTGGTGAGCCGAAAATCATACTCATTCTCAAGCGTGCGGGGAAACTAACGGCAAGGCAGACACCGTTGCAACCTTCTTCTCTCCCAAAGAAGAGTTTCCAATGCTAAAAGATTCGGTACCCGACAGTTCGATGGAGTCTGAAATATCTTCTTTGACATCTACCAAGGTTTTCCTTGGTCAGGCGGATCTAAGGAATCAGATATACGATGACGTCAACGGTGACCAGCGCTTTGCTTGCCAATGCTTTGACCCCTTTGATTTCGTCGCGCTCGCCGTGTGGCATGCTGTCACCGTATTCATAGAGAGGTCCACAGACCCAGATCTTAGTGTCTGGACTCTTTTCCAGGAATGGATCTGCGAGTTAGTAAGTATCCACGATCTCGAGTCAACATCTCGATGGAACTAACATAACTCGAAGGCGGAGATGGAAGGCGCCTCGTTCAAAGTTTTCCAGACAAGTCAAAGCCAAACCACCAAGATCTTCCAGGAGAGCAAAAGCCGGGATGCAGGCGACCCCGAATTCCGCGATATCGTTGAGAAACTCGATCCGAGTGGCGACCTTAACGCTCTAATTCAGCTGAAGGACGTTCAAGACGAGCTTAATATGCTTGGCAAGCTATTTAGTCGTCAGATTGAAGTTATCGACAACCTCATTTACGATTACACCGTCCTCGATGGTGACACCAACAAGCACGCGACAGCTATTTATTGGCTAAAAGAGGCTAAAAGCAAGTACATCCACAGCTACCAGAATGAGGTGAAAGAGCTCTCGGCGGCCAGTAAAACTGCCATCGATGACTACAGAGAGCTTTTAGACATGAAGCAGAAGCAGAGCAATGTTGTGGAAGCGTATATTTCACGGATGACAGCTCAGACTTCCGGGGAACAAAATCGTTCAATTATGATTTTCACCATATTCACCATTATCTTTGTACGTCTCTACAAGGCCCTCGGAAATTCTTTCCTCCCTACCTAGAACCAGCTAGCTAACAAGTTGTAGCTCCCACTCTCATTCTTCACTTCCTTTTTCGGCATGAACGTCCAAGACTGGTCCGGGTCAACATCAAATAAAAGCCTTCCAACCGTTCTCGCGCTCATGTGTGGCATATCTGCTGCAGTTATTATAGTTGCTCTTTTCCTTGCGTTTACGCGTCATCCGGTTGAGAAGATCAGGAAGGCACCGCAGACGGTGAAAAAGACTCATCATCATTTTAGGCAGTTGTGGGATTGTTCGCATTGGTGGGGTAAGAAACAGGAGGAGAAAGAGGATGAGGCTAAGGTGACTAATAGGAGTAGGCTGGATTTAGAAGGAGGAGTGGAGGGAGCAGATGGATTGAGGAGGAGGAGGTGAAGATTTTGAAAATTTAGTGTTTCTGCTGTTTCGGTGCGTCATGGATTGGGAGACCCGGTGTTAATTTGCATAATGTATAGTTGACTATGGGCTCTTTTATCTCCCTTTTTTTCATTTGGTGCTGTGGACAGCGCGTCGGTGTGAATTACTGCTGGTATGAAGACGGAGTGGAGAGCTTAATGGAGATTTGATGCCGCTATGGATTTAAATTGAGCATGGACATCGGGCTGATATACAACACGACACTGCGACGTCGTTGACGGCGTCAACCCTCTTCATTTACAACACACTCGATGACTTCTTTGAACGACTCATACGTATTCAAAAAAGAGCATAGAAGAACTGCTCTGATCTTTTTATGTAGCGCGAATACTGCTAGTATGTTAGTAGCAAATCTGTATAGGGTGCTTCTTACAGCATTATAAATTAAACTTCTATAGATATCACAACATAATGACAAGTGAGCAACTCAGCCTACCTAAAATCCGACGCACCAACCTTTGACCTCCATTAATTAATGAGGCTTGGCCCTAGTTAAACTATCATAAAGATTGTATATCTCCAGCTATCGCAGATATAGGACACAATTTTTTGGAGTATTAGAGATATCACAGAGACGGATGAATAAATTCAAACAAAACTCAGAGGACGACTCGCTGGAATCTCTTCACAATACAATTGCATGCCGAACTTGAAGAGGCTTACAGAGCTAGAGGAATTAGTTACTATCTAGAACTTTCTTGACTCAGATTTACAAGGATTCACGACTAAATAGCGCTCTATACAAGGTACAACCAATAAACTGCTTGCCAAGCGTGCTGCTACATGTACTAGCAAGAACTAGCTAAGAAACTTTACCCAGCGAACATCGGAGCTTAAAACTAGCTTTAATTAGAACTACCACTATAAGAGAGTCAAATGCAAGGATCTAGAGGTTATTTGGCATTGAAACCATTAGTTGGGACAAGATAATGGCTTCAAAGTTACGAAATGCGGCCACTTAGAGCCCATTTATGAGCATTTATCGTGGCGCGGTGACGATTGAAATGGGAAAGGGGTGGGAGTTTTCGCTTGCAAATTCGAGAATGATGGCTTGGCAATATTCACACCCCGCTGGTTGCCATCACATTTGAAAGCTAGAGCACTAAAATGGCGCCAGAAGACCCTTTATGGCGTCTTAGCTGAGGTGAGCAATTGTATAATACGACTTTGAATTTTTCACTAGATTATGGCAAGATGAATAGAATAGGCATTTCTTCGGCTACAGACCATCACTAGGCAAAGCACTCTCGTCTTTAAAGGCGTTCTATAACCATGAGATAACCGCTGCTGATGCTGGGAACTCAAGACTATTATACACGTAGGAATGAGAAATTGCCGAAAACAAAGGAGGGTGTGGAAACTGATCTGCAGAATAAACTTAAGAAGAGGTTTAGGGCTGGGGAATTCATGAAGCAAGATTAGTAAGTGCTTTGGCACTATATTATCTCTTCAATACCATATAGCCATGTTGAGTAATCTAGAATACAGCAACACTAAGATCTATCCAATACTCCACTCCTCCCCGCAATGTTAGATTGTCCTTACCCTCTTCAATTATTTGGACACTCGGTAGCTTTCGGAAGCTCCGGGAGGCCGGAAAGGATTATTACCTTGATCTATGGGCCCGAGTGACCAGCTATGTGTGTAGTGGAGGACAAGGAGGAATGAGAAATGGGTTTGGCGGAAGGAAGAGAGACCGAAAGGGTCACTGACTTCATCTTCCACCCTTCGCACGAAGATATTCAGGGTTGTTCACTTCCTCAATAACTTTTGCTCTCTCAACACTTGTGATTATAAAAGGCCGAGGCAGGTCTCAGGAAAGCTGGATATGCAGCGAAAATAAATCTCCCTTCTGGCACTGGTTGTGTTTCAGCCATGGAAGGGGTACTCAACCTAAAAAGACGAATTTTGGCACCATCTATCATCTTGATGCTGTTTAAGAACAATCCTAAGGATTTGCTGAGTTTTCAAGGGTACGAATAAAAGGGACCCTGGAATGAAGTTTGTTTACGAGGAACAACATCTCGGGGTAGAACGTATATCCAGGAAGGCGCGCGAACTCCGGAAAGGGTGGGATAGTATTCCTGATATAATGTTTTTATCAGTGTATTGGTGAGTCTTCTTGGAGCAGAAGTGGAAGGGCGTCGAAGCAGAACACAAATTCGTCAACACGCCTTAGAGATCCCATTCATTATCTCTCCTGGATAGGTACTATCAATACGAAGGAACGGCAAATAGTTGGAGATCTACTAGTAGTCATTGTAATTAAAGAATGTGCGTCGAGTGGGATGTACTCACAAGAGACGAGATCTTAGAAAGGTTCCGAATCACTCCTCTGCGTAGCTGCAACGGGATCAGGGACAAGTTCGAGGTGCCTTCGGAGCGCAAGTTGTCCAGACGCACTTGAAGCGCATTGATGGTGAATCCGCATGGTCGCTGTATCCCCGAGATTCTGAAGACAACGGAATGTATGCCTTTCATTTGTCAGACTGGGAAAATGTGTGGTCTGTGGTGCTCAACACAGGACGTAGAAGAGGCCTTACGACTCAGGGACGCAGAACGGCGTTATATACGGCTGAAGCCTTGTAATTGCGATGCAGTCTTCCTAGCCTAGGCGCTGTAACGTCGTTTGATGTGGCTGTGGAATGGATGAGGATCTAGAATGGGTTACATGTGAGAGCAAGAAAACTTGGACGAATGCAAAAGAGAAGATGCCAAGGCTTGAAAAACCACAGGTGAGCTTTTGCTATGAGCTGGTGGTGCAGCGTTGCCCAGTGAAAGCTTACGGTGTCCCGTGCCCAATCCAGTCGTTCGACACTACAACTTCCTACATTTGTCAGATTTCTATTGCCTATATATTACTAATATTTTTCAATTATTCCGTCCTTCGGGACGAGCTGGTAAGTGAAATTTCATTATGTCTATGCTTTTCGCAACTTGGCGCAGTGGTGTTAGAGTTTACGGACTAGATTTTCCCATATCTAGCGCCGGTTCTCTTTTGCAAATCGAGGTGAAGGTTCGATCCGGGTGAATGGCTCTCTTTGGGTTCTTTTTATTCCCTGGACAGGCGTTAGAGACCCTCCCCAGTCTAACGAGCTCGCCTACGAATAGAAAACTTATTAAAAAGAGGATATGTTTTAGGCGCCTCGTTAAGGTTGACATGAATGCCACTGACAACTGCTCTTAGCTCTGCTGTTCCATTTGTATTAGCTATTACCTATGGACCTACTCTGCTTTTATGCCCACAGGGATGTTTCCAGCACCTTTCAAACCTGTTCACAATACCAAAGAATTCACATTTGAATAGCGTATGAGCTAGTCAGAACCCAGACAGCTAATCAAGCAAGAACGAAGAAGGAATAATCAATGGAATCTATCTTTGACTGTTACACACCTGCATGTTACCGCAAATCTGTGGCTTTAGTCGTTCGATAAATGGGCATAAACAACCACACCACAAGTGCAAGCCAACCTCTCTTTTGAACTTCGTGAAGGCTGAAATACTTTCCATAGAAGTTTTAAAACCTAAGGCCTTTGGGCATAAATAAAGCCGAAAAATCATACATTACCTTTCCCAATCTCTAGACGACAGATTAAAGTATCATCATATTGTTGTAAACCGTGATCCCTTTCCAACTTCCAGGAACAAACGAATCTACAATAATACCACCCTAGGTTCCGTCAATTCTATAGGACCTCCATATTTCTATTTTATTCAGTTACTAGTGCGTAAAATTACGGGATGTATGCATCTCTGGGCCCTTTAACGTCGTTGCTACCAGTTCCGATCTCAGCAGCTGTGCTCTACAGGTCCTCGACCCTCACCCTCGCCATCCTCAAGAACCCTGATGTCTGATAATCGCTATGTCGCGTGTCCAATTGATTTCGAATAGGAACTTCGGAGGTTGCTAGTACCTCGGATAGCAGACAGATATTCGGCGGAAGGGGCTTGGCAGTAATCGTGATGGACATGCTACGGGTCACGTAGACCTCAGTGATCCATTAGATCAGGGACTTAAAAAGCGGAGGGACTAGTTAACGTAGTTGTGGTGGGGTGAATCGTTGTCGACATCTGGGGCGAGGAACTTGAGCGCAGTGCGCTAGAAGATGAAGGAGATGCCACGCATTGATACGAATTCTTACACATATCGCAACTGGAGTAGGCCGTTTCCTAGATCGCCGCCCACGTGCTTCGTGAATTCCTCCGTGTTTAATTTCGCATGAAGAGCTCTGAGACGGCTGCAGATGTCAAGCAAGCTCAACCCGAGCTGCATACGCTGAAGTATCAGACCGAGGAGTAGTAAGTAGGCTGGTGCCGTCAAAACTCTGGTACGTTGGTATTCTTGACCTTGGTTATCGTCGCCATCCTCAAGACCCTGTAAGACTGCGTGAATCCACTGGAAATCCGAGGCCGTGCGTGAACCACGACATCTACATGTGATAGGGAGCATGGCAAGGCCTCGTAGAGGAGCTGCTGGCGCTGACCTGGCATTGGCCAGAAGGAGAACGAAGTCCATTTCTGCGGGGAATTCGGGCAGATAAGAGTAGACCTCTGGATGCTAAGAACAGGCAGGAAAGAGGCTGAAAAGATGGGAGCTGGACTGTGGGAGGGGAAAGTTTGTCGAGGGTTGCGTAGAGGTTCGGTAAAAGAGAGTTTGTTGTTTTAGTGGCCGAAGGCCAACCTATATTTCACACAATCACCTACCCAGTTATAAACGTATCACACTGCCCTTCTGCACCCCACCACTACCTCCTGCGAAATACTCAAATTCTACTGCTCCCGTGAACTATATTGCTTACGAGTTCCTAATCTAATGTCACTCTGCTAATTGCCCTTTAAGGTTAGCATCTATCCCATTTCTCTTTGCTGGGTTATACGGACAAGCAATTTCCGTCTCTTCCTCTGCTGCAAGCAACCTACCCATTGATGAGAATGTAATGTATTCAAAATCGACTGTTATTATACGTCATGACACCATACAGCTCCACCATCCATAGCCAAGCAACGGCGCACTGAAATCCAAATTATCCTCCTCTTGATCCATTACCATCTTCAAGCACAATAAAGATGTTTGTATATGCTTCAAACCCTCCCCTTAGAGAAATGCAGGCGTAAAACCATCCCTCTCCCTCTCCACCTCATCTTCAGCACTAATGACACTTACAGGAGTACCAGCCCCACTGCCGGCATGCCTCTCCCTCAAGAAGCGTTCCGCCATTCGTTGACCTGGAGTCACCCTACCAGTTACATCGCCCCGCAAGTCACTGGTGCTCGCATACCCTCCCAATGAGGTCGCACTGCTAGCTCCATGTCTCCTCCATCCAGTGCCAACGGCAACAGCAATGTCATCCACCTCTTCGTCTTTGCTCCGAAATCCAAGAACCGAATCGATATTTCTCTCCTCTACACCTGGAGATGGCTCCTTATTCAGCGCGAGGGTACTAGATGGATGTTTGATATGCAGTGATGTATGAATCTGTAAATCCAAAGGACTCACTCTTGTTGAAGATCTCGATCTTGGCGTAGCATCATACGGGGACTCCAGAATCATACGTAGAGCATCTCCTTCTAGTGGTCTCCCTGCCACGGGTTTTCTTGGAATAATCGGCAAGGATTGCCGACCGCTAGCTTTCTTTGGACTATCACTTGCAGGCGGTATCGTGCTTAGCGGAGACGGAGTAGTTGCGCCTCGGAGATCAAACGCAGATTTTGGTCGGGCGGCGAGCTTGGAAATGCTCGTGTTTTGTGGCCGCAACCTTGGACGGGTAGGCACGAGAGCGGCCGGGCTTGAATTTCGTGTCAGCTTCACCTTAGGGTCTTCTGCAGATGTTGTATAGATAGCCAGGCTACTTGGACTGCGATTCCAAGCTGAAGACGCAAGAGGTTGCAAAGACTTTGGCCGTACTGAGGAAGAAGTTACGTTGGATGTTGAGAGAGATTTTACGGATGAAGGGGCGGCATTCTCCTTCCGATTTTCTATTTCGTTATCCGCAGTGCTCTCTGCACGCTTTGAGCTTGAATTCGGCTCATGCTTCGGCGTTACTTGAACCGAAGGAGCAGAGAAATCAGAGTAAACCCTAGGGCTTGGTGAAGCCTTCAACGAAGAAGAGCCACTATTTGGTGTGCTTTGTGACTTGTAAGAGTAGCGCCCACTATTATTGCTTGAGCGGCGGCGACCAGTCTTGATGTAGGGAAACCGTTCGTTCATTCGCTCCGAGGCCCGGGTCTCGAGCTTAGGTCTCTCCAGAGAGGAGTGATCACTAAGAATAGAAGATTGGCGGTTCTTCTTTGGCAATGAATTTAGTGGAGGGCGAGGGGAGTTCTTTCGGGGTGTTCGGGAATCTTCTGATTTCTTTGGTGCAGCAAGAGACTCAGGGGAAGTCCCAATAGAACTATACGGCTCCCTAGGAACATCGTGGTTCGTGGGTGTAGCCTCAGGAGATAGTTGTTTTGGGGTAGATACCTCAATCGAAGCGCGAATAACAGTAGTGTCATCCTCAGATACCTGAGTGAACTCACGAGTATGATTTGTACTGGTATATCCCTTATGAATGCTAAAGTCTTCTTGCGGGAGATTCTCAAGCTCAGAAACCTCATGCGACAGCCAGGCCTTCCAATCTCTACTCGACCGATTTGAGTTCGTCCTACGATGCGGACTAGGAGTTCCAATGACAAAGCTCTTCACTGGGTGGCTGGTGATGATGACAGCTGTGCCTCCTTCACCTTGTTCCATGTCAACCTTGTCGAGGGATAAGGCACTGTCGTTAGGCAGAATGCTCGCACCGTCCGTATTGCGAGAGTAAATACTTGGCGACAGTGGAGAAAACAGAGGCCTTGGCTTCGGAGATTTTGGCGAATGCGGAGCATCCGCTCGCCGAGTTTCTTCGACTACCGGGAGGCTCTCCATCTGAGCTAGGGCTTGAGCAGGTGCCTGATCCTGGGACGGTCTGTGAGAAAAGGTCTTACGCGCTATGTTGGTCACCGTGAAGGTTCTCTTTGTCGAACGCGGGAAGAACGGGATATGATTTTCCTCGAGGGGCGTCTTCCATCTACCCTTAGACTTCTCCACACGGCTTTCAATCTGTTCGGGAGTCGGAGTTACAACCTTTTCAGGGACAGTCTCTCGCGGGTGTAGAGGATTTCGAGGTCGTTTCTTGAACTGTGTGGTACGGATGACGTTGTCTTCCCCGCCATATCTCTGCATATCTGATCCCGTATTGGTAGATGATTCGTCAGTGTCTAGGTGCGGATGGCGTACGTGCCCACGAACACTTGACGGTCGTGCGGGAATTGGAGATGATGTGTGTTCAGAAGGGCTAACTGTGCGGATTGTCGATCTGAGGGCGCGACCAAAAGATTTAATTGAACTAGCCTTGCTCTGAGTCGCGACGCTTTCTGGACGAGTTCCAGCTAGTGGCCGGTATGGGTCTTTGCTTGTGCTGGACGGGAAATCTCGGCTTGCGCTAGAATGAACTTCTCGACTTGCGCTGGACGGGATATCCCTTCCAGAATTGACAGCAAACACATCTCCGTCCTGATCAGATATCTGTGCTAAGTGCGCCGCCTGGGCTGAGGTAGCTTTTGAAGCATCGATTTCCTTCATCAAGGCTGAGAAGACGCGCTTAGGGTCAACAGGTGTTGAAACTTCCTCTATAACGCTCTCCATTGGCATTGGCTCACGGAAGGCAGCAAAAGCAGGAATTGAAGGCGGTTTTCGAGTAGGGGAGGGCGGAATAGGGTTTCGATCCGCTTCACTTCCGATGCTATCCTTGGCCTCATGAATAACGGTCAAACGCTTGATCTCGCGCTGGGTCAGTGTATTGCTGGCAGAGGAGTTGCTCCAACTAGTGACCCGAGATGTTGCTGCGTTGCTAATATCAGTGTCACTATGCAGGCTGCGAAGGCTTCCACGCGAACTTTGCCTGATCAGGGCGGGTCGGCCTCCTTCTAGGGATGGAGTACGCGATCTGATACGTTGGAGTGCGTCCTCGTCCGGACTCGGAATTTCAAAGTTCCGGTCTGTTATTCTCGAGTGTGCTGCGTAGTCGCCAAAATAGTCTCGACTGGCTTCAACCTGTTGAACCGGAAGAGCTGAAGATTTATTTGACGTCTTTCTGAAAACCTTCTTGAACTTAGTCTTGAGCGAGTTGGAGAACGACCTCTTCTCCTTCTGAGGTTGAAAGTCGCTTAAAGTGACATCCACAGTAGTGTCCGTGGCAGTATGACTGCTATCATTGGAGACAAACCCCGATGAACGCGATGGGACCCTGTTCTTTCCCTTTTCCTGCCGCTTCTTGAAGGGTGCTAGAAAGAGCGAAGGTTTGTGTCGGACCTGGCGGGGTTGCCGAAAGTCTTGCAAATATTTGTCGCGAGCCTTATCAACAGACTCATCTGGAGCAATGGTGACTGGTAGTCGTGGGGACGCGAGGGGCGATACTGCTGAAAGGCGAACGGGGGTAATCAAGCCTTCAGGAGGCACCACTGGGCTTACTGGCGGTGGGGTCGTGAGATACTTGGCGGGAGGTCGGGGGAGGGGTGAGCCAGTCTGAATGCTGCTTGCATAATACATAGATCGGGCCTTACGAATTTGCTGCGAGGCCACTGACGATGAGGCGCTAGGCCTATTCGACTTTGGTTGTGAACTGGGGCGGGTATTCTCATTGAATGTTATCGAAGGCTGTGACATAACATTTTGATTCGCACCGGGCGTGCTTTGGAATGGAGGAAACTTCTCCGTCGCCATAGTAAGGGTACGTATCTGGCGGGAGACGCTTGGCATCTGCGCTCCCTTTTGGGGTTGTATTGACCGCAGACTTGACTCTCGCGGTGGGAAGTGACTGCCCTGTGATTTTCTGCTCGCATTACTCTTCGACCTCGAAAGATCTGAGCCACGGTTCCTCGGTCTTTCAGCCGCTTCATGTGCATGTGCCCTGACGTAGGCTGTTGTAGCTGCGGCTAAGGCGTGTTGTTGGGCGACGTCCGGATCCAGACGCTCCGGTGTGGGTGGCGGATGTCGATGAACTGTTGACGTTGACTTGGAGCGACGAAGACGAGTGCCGGCATCGCTAGAGGCTCTCGAGAGCATTCGGTTGGCGGGATAAGACTAGTTGCGGTGAGGTATCCCCGTAACCCCCTGGTTTGGTGTGCAAGGGATCAGCAAAATGAAGACGACGTAACAAGGCTGTGCACACCACGAAAAGGAACAACTAAGATGAGACAGCGGTGAAAGGTGGTAGGAGAGAAGAAGTGGAGGGAATGTCAACAAAGGAAGATGCAGCAATGGCATTGCACCTGCTTTCGTCGTCTGTGGCCATCCCAAGTTCCTTCTCGCTTCAGAGTGAGAAGGTGGTAGAGAGCATATTAAGGAGGAGAAGTCCATATTTCAACATTGCCTTCTTTCTTGAAGACGCAGACGGCATTGGAAGTCACGGAGCTCCTTCTGCACCGAATCGCGCAGGAGGGGTGCCGGGGATTCGGAAGATAAGGAGGAACATCCTCAACGATCGCTGGGTATTCCGTTAAGATATGGTGTCTGCTGGAAACTTGATGAAAACTTGGTAAAGTTTGGTGGTTCGGTTCCCTACGTTGCAATTCGAAGGCTACCCCGTCCATTAAGCCGAGTACGTCTGGACTCTAGATGTCCTATCAAAATGGTTGGCTTCGTCAATGACTTCCCCGCAGATGCTTTCCATGATTTGTGTATTAAGAAAAACTCCTGTCGTAAGAGAAGTGTTTGTTGCATGCAGATTATTGCAGATGAATGTGGTAAGTGAACTTCTGACCTTACCGCGGCTTGGCCCAAACGCGAAACACTCCAGGGCTGTTTTATGGAGGGCGCGCGGTCGCAGGATTCCTAGCTATTGCAAAATCAGCCTACGCCCACGGGTTAATTAACCATCAGCGCTAATCTAGACGGTTTTAAACTGCATCACATGTACGTTGATATGATATTAAGACAAATCAAGAAGGAAAATTAGGGAAGGGAGTAGGTGTAACTCCTCTATTGCGGGTGAAGTAGCAAAGGAGACACAGAACAGTAGGATTATCCGTACATTGTGGATGAAACTCTGCAATCTGTGTATGCAAAACAAGACGAGGGTTTAAAGACATTGATGAGATATACGCCAAGACGCACGTGACTATCACCGCACCAGGCAACACTATTCGATTCCAATGCATTTCAACCTCCCGGGCCCCGCTCTAGATCCTCTAACCTAGAAAATCCAACTCAAAGCCCCCAATCCTTCGCAATGGGCTGCAATCAAAGCACCCCGAACAGCTACTCAGCCCTCCCAGATGATGTGGAAGCAAAACGTCCAAACCCCTACGGCGTGCACAACAAGAGCAGAGAGATACGGTTGAACAGTTCATATCGTACATTATACGAGGGAATGATAGGTCTGATTCAGGAGAACAAGTATGCAGATATGGTATGTCAGATGTCGGTATTCCGGCGTAGAGGTCAATGCCATGAACCATCTCCCTCCAGATGTGGTATGGGTGTGAGTGGCTGGGAATAGAGGGCGTTACTGGATATGCAGGGCCGAAAGGGTGGGCAAGAAGAACAAATGCATGCTAACTAATTTGCGCCATTTACTAGGTTCTAGTCTGCGGCACAGATCGCTACCCGGTACACCGCGCAATTGTGTGTCCGCGCTCGAAGTACTTTGAAAACGGATGTGCGTATGAGACGAAGGGTGTTGACTATGTATGTTTGACGTCCTCTCCTTCATCCCTTTCCAACTGCACCAGACTGATTTATGAGGCTACGAGCAGTTTTCACCAGGCTCCCCAATCAAACTCTGGATCGACCCTTCAATCTGCGAATCCCACATCCTGGCTGCAGTCTTGACTTTCCTGTACACACTGGATTACACCTGCAGCGGATCGCAATTGTTGTCCTTTGGTTTACCGGAGGAACCGGAGATAGAACCGGAACCGGAGACACCCTCGCTCAGCAACACAGACGTCGAAGTCGTAGAGGACGAAACGGACTTCAGTGCGTTCAGCGAGCTAGAAGAATATTCCGCAACTGTACCATCCCCGCCAAGCTCCACGACGCCGACTTCGACTCCAAAGGGCCCATCAAATAACTCTGACGAAATGGTAACAAATGGCGATCCAAGTGAGGCACCGAATGAGCTGGTGTTTCATTTCTCCATGTATCGAGCAGCGGTTCTGTTCGATATAGTATCCCTCCAAGATGTCGCTAAGGAGAAGTTCCAGAGGCGGTTGAGACTTTCTAGTGATGGAATCATTCCATGCATCCGTGAGGTGTACCGCGAAGAGAATAGCGAAGCATTCGCGCCGATTCGGAGGGAGGTTCTTACTCTCGTTAAGACGCGCTTTTACAGACTAAAGGCGACGGAAGGCTGGGACGAGCTTGTTATGGACTTCCCAGCGTTCTCGTCTGACATTTTGAAGCGGTTGTAATCGCAGAGATACCAATAATATCGGGAGATTGGAGCTCAGGCCGGCGTAGGACTAGCTTCACGGGGGGATATTGAGAACGAGACAGCGGAGTCAGACTCATTGGGGGGATCCTCAGCGTGGACTACCATCGTGTTTTTTGCACCAATCATGAAAGTAACAGCGGTAACGACAATGAAGATGATACCTGCGAATAGGAATGGCATGCCAATCCAAGGTTCTCCCAGATCCATGCCCCATTGGAACGTTGTTGCGAGGAGTGGCCCTGCGACGAATGCACCGATTCCCTCCATAATTGCAATAACTGAGAACATTCTCGCAATGTCGGGACTGGCTTGGCCACCCACAGCATGGATGGAGATACTGCGCATAGCGGCTCCGTAACCAGTACCGAGATTGTAGATGAGAAGACCAAATACAAGAAGAGCAGGAGTTGTAGCAACCGCCATGACGAGCATAGAGATGGTGGTAAGAACGATACTACCCCGTGCGATCCACATATCCGCATGATGAGCCGGCATACGGGCTAGTCTGAGGAGGATTAAGTTCACAATTGGCACGAACACGGTCAAGGCAACCAGATTGGTGGCTGCCCGGAAAGACAGCAGGTATGCGGCCTGTAGTTTCGTAAGTCCAGCTCTATTGCACTAGAAACATGCTTGCTTACCTTTTGGATCGTCCAATTGTACCGTTTAGATGCATATCGAAGCAGGAGCACCAACGCCTGTCTTCCCAACCGACTCGCCAAGAAAGTAAAAATGACAAGAGCGAGGGTGGCATCGCGCTTCAAGAAATTCATCGCATCCCGGAAGTGGCCCAGCTGTGCCTTAAAGCTAGGGTTGTATGTTGTTGGTGGTTCAGTCTCGATGCTGCCATCGTCATCTGCCGGTTCTGGCGAGTCTCGGAGATGTAGTGTTTCTGGAAAGAATGCAGCGATAGATATTCCTACTTGTTGAATTGCGAGAGCAAGCAGGAGAGGAAACCAGTCCCCTCTCTTCATGAGCTCAGCAGCAAGGAGTGGAGCTACTAGTTCTGCGACGAGCACCGCAGCAGTGAGATACAGGAAGATGGACGTCCTTGGGGGGTCAGTAACATCTTGGGGAGAATGTAGAGAACTCACCGTTTCTCTGGGGGCACAATATCCGAGACCATGGTAACTCCGATAGCCGTGGCTACAATTGGTCCACCTCCAACGACGTAAAAGACGGACGAAAACCACGTCAACTGCAGCGGGAGGCTGCGAAAGTAGCAGATGAACAGAATCCACATCGAGTTCAATTGCAATCCCACCAAGCTCAGCGCGAATATCCACTTCCTGCCGAATTTGTCTGCCAACGTTCCATACGGCACAGCTAGCAGGATGCCTGGAATGCTGTCCCATAGGTCCTGCCACCCAAAGATCATAGCCATCTTGTCTTGTATCTCATTGCCTTTACACAGCGTCTCCTTGACCGTGCCATCGGCTTTTATCTTGCTGGGATCGTGTTGCTCGTAGTAGTGGACGCAGATATTGGCTTCGTAGACACGTGTTTTGGGAGGTTCGGCCAGGAACGCACCTACATCGATGATGGCGACAAGGACGAAGACCAGCACGCACAGGAGGATCCAGGGCTTCTTTTCCTTCCTGGGAGACCCAAGTAGTGAGGGGATTGAGAAATCAGACTCGGTCGGCGACAGTAGAGGCGCTTCCTCCTCGAAGGAGCCACGGGGTGAGTTGTGGACACTCATCATGGGTGCTGGGAAATGTGAGATGTGAAGGGACGGGGGACAAAGAAACTAAGGATGGTTTTAGATGTAATCAGTTGCGCGTTGAGGCGGAGCAGTCCGTGCTGCCGCAACGAGAGGGCGTCTGAGGTCATCTTGGGAGGTGGATGTCGCTGACGGCTATCGAATCGGAGTCCGGTATTGGCACCCTGACACAGCTCGGAATTGACGATCAAACGAAATTGGTGTTGGCGTGGCTGAGTCAGCGATGGAATATGCAACGACACCTCGACGTTTAAACAATGCATCGTCACGATCCATTGCATTCAGAGCTTCACTTATCTTCATTTCATTGTTGAGATAAATCTGCACCAATAGAATTTACCTCTCGCAAACATTCCTAAAGCCAGGCGGGATTATATTGCTACTGTCTGAGGCCGCGCAATCCACGACGCATTCTCGGCAAGCCTCCAGAATGCAAGGAAACGCGTCTTATATTCTGAAAATGGTTCATGTTGCGAAAATCTCAACTGTGCCCCTTCTGGAACGATATCTACCGCTCTATCTGAGGGCCAAACACTGACCCAAGCATATCTCAAGTTCAACCTTCGCAAATCCAGCCCATGCTTCCAGCACATCCGTATTCCAAGACCCTAGCTCGCTTTCGCGGACAATATCACCTTGGTCCGGGACGATCTACTAGTCCTTGTGGAGGAATGCTCGTGGGTATTGCGAGGGAAGAAATCCGTCTTGTCAACGACTAGTGTAGTGTGCTTGTCCATTGAACTTTCTCAAGTGCAGTGGGACGGACGCAGTGACTGCCTCGGGGGGAAGGGAGCGGCGGCAGATATAATCTAGTTAGCTGGAGTTCGTGAGGTCAAACCGGGCAAGAGCAAGTTGCCATAGAGTCGTTCGGGATAGGGATCTCAATGCATGAGGTTTGTAACATGGGAAGCTTGAATGGGCCCTGGAATTAAGTCCGTGTTCATCACAGAGGAAGTAACTGACTGGGCAATCTCATGTGGGGTGCTATAGCCGTATTGGCTGAGCTGATTACAATGGCCGGCATTAGCACTAGTGTGGTCCGATGAGAACAGCCCAATGGCCTTGCACTGTCTCGAGATCACTAGAATTTGACCGCATCATTGGGCTCAGGCAAAGGCCTCTTCGTACCAACCATGGCTTCTTCAACAAGGTGCGTGGTTGGGGGAGTGTCGAGTACAGGCACAACCAATCCATAAGTTCGACCTGCGAACGCTCCCACGTACATGTTGGGCTGGTTTGGTATGATCGCTGGAGGTGCAATCACACTCCGTTGAGTACGGTGCCAAAGCAAGGCAATGCTGGGCATAACGGCAAGAGCGGATAGAGTCTTTGCACTTGAGTGGCACTGCACGGTAGAGCTTTGGAATATGAAGCCTGGTAGAGGTCGTTAGATTAATTCTAGAAGGGGGGGTCGAGGAACTAATTTACGGCGTTCATAACATCCTCAGCGGGAGACCATTATCGAATGGTACGATCTTGAGGTCTGTGAGGAAGGTTAGGTGAGGTAGAGGGATGTTTAGCGCTTTCTGGAATTGCTGTGCTGGCTAGTAAATTGGGTTGCCGGCAGCCAGTTTAGTAGCCTGAGTGGGGATCAACTCCCGAAATCCACCGGATTATGAAGAAATTGGGGAGGGGTGTGTGATGAAGAAAGAAGGCTTTCTTGGCGATGGAGAAAGGGGTGTAAATACTAGTGGGGAGTGGCTGTTTGGGGACAGTTTGAGATGCTCATGGAAAAGGGAATGACTCCCGGGTAAGTCGGCCGTAGTGATCCGTATCAGTGGTAATGGGCAAGGCAAACAGCCGCCTGTAAAGCAAACTAGCCCACCCGGCAACGTACAAATTCGTGGCGGAATTGGGAAATATTCAATGCGTGCCACAGAGACATGTTCAGCCGCCAACCACTGCTCGCCCCACTCCACCCTTCGCTAATCCATAAATATACTTCCCGAGCTAGATCCCGCAGTTTTCTCTTCTTGCATCTCTTCGTACACATCTTTCCATTCCCCTTTCACTCCTCATGTCAAATAATTCCTCCGGGTCCTCCCTATGGAGAAAGACTGGTTTCTTCAACCCCTTCTTCGGCAAAATGTACCTTCTCACAAACCACCTTCATTGCTCAAACCCATATCTCGCATGTTTTTTCATACCCCACTCAAATATTTAGTCCAATCTCTCGAGTTTCAAGTGTATAGTGTCAGGGACGAATTACAAAATCATCTACTTGCTAATGACGCGCCACGCTACATACACACCAAACGGGCTACTGACCGTGAATACCGTGCTGAATTTCGGCCGCGTAACACGGATGAAAATATTCCAGAGCCAATTGTTCAACATCACAATTCCAATTCCAAAATCGCGGTTGTACAGTGGCATTGATCTTTCAGCCGCACAATTATTTGGATAAGCTCGAGACGAGCGGTACTAGTAAGGACTTTGGTTTCTCTTGTTTACTTATTCTGACTTTCATTCAATACAGCCCATGCCTCTACCCCCAGTTCATATTCGTCATCCCCCGACATTGCCATCGCCATGATAATTACAACTTGGGCAGGTTGATTGATATTGTTACGATGATCTTCAGAGGGTCTTCAGATACTTCTCAGCCATATTGTCAAGCTGCAATCTGTCTGACACCCATAAAGAACTCTCTGAACTCGTTTTGACGTTCGAGACTCCAATATGAGTTAGGTATTTTCTCTTATTCCTCCATCGCGTCGAATTAGGCATGGCTGACGCAGGTTATACAGATCGTCTCGAATAACTTGAAAGCCGTAGCCACCCCTCTCACCGTTTCTCCCCATTTTTCAAGCGTAATTGAGATCCTATAAGACGAATCAACAGTCTCTCAAGCGCTGGAGCTGTGCAAGAGTCCGCCAATGAGCAATTCTAGCTCCACCTTGTATCCGCCCGCAGCCCGTTGCCATAATTTCTAATTTTATATTGGTGTACAATGCTGAAAGATTGGCAGTTAGCACTGCCAGAGTAAGAGCCCACAAAATTCTGCCACCTATGGTATCTTGTTTCCAGTATCAGAACGCCCTTTCGAGATCCCCAGGCCCAAAAGAGGCCCACACACAGTTCCCTAATTCCTATCCCCGCAATTCAGCAAGCTGCCTTACGCTTTCTCCTCATCCTGATCTCTGACCCGCACTTGGTTGAGCTGCTTCTGCAGCGCTATCTTCATCTTCTTCGTCTTTCCCTCCATTTTCTCTACCCTAGCCTTCTCCGCCTCAGCAATGGCGTTCGCTAGCTTTGTCTTCGTCGACGGCGCATATTCCAGCTGCCGCAATGCCTCATCCCGCACCAGGATGTAGAACTCGTATCCCTCGTTCTCCCATGGGAGCCACCCACCCAATGCCGCGTGCTCCGCGAACCAAGCGCGCGTAAAGACCCCGGGGAAGAAATTTGGCATACGGAAGCAGAACTGTCACCAAATGTCACTATAGTTAGCATTCATTAATTAAATGGAGAGGGAATTACGAGATGTGTATGTGAATGTACGTACGTCACCACGGTGCTCAGCCCGTCCGCAGAGCACGCACTTTCTGGGACAGTCAAGCCATTGAAGGCGGTGCCAGAGCTTCTCATTCTCGCCGCAGCGGATGCAGGATTTGTGCTCGACACTAGTGCCCGAGAGGGCGAAGGCGTCGGCGATGGCAACGGCGGGGATCGTGTTCGCGGTAATGCGGTAGCGCTGGGGAAGAGACATTGTCTTTTGCTTTGATTTTGATTGTTTTCGGTATTTTTAGCGGTAGGAAGAGAGAGAGACTTGCCGAAGAGCAAAATGTCTTAGCGGGAGGTGGATCGGGAAGTGGTAGACTGAGGATGGAGGCAAGATTGCAGCGAGAGGACTTTCACCGAGGGCTGCAGACACTGCTTGGCGAATGGGTCATTTTCTTAATTGCGATAATTTCACTATACGTTTATGCGGTTTTTCTATGATCTGCGTTAGTTTAATTAAGTGAAAAGGAGAAGAATGGGCAGTTTAGACGACAGGCGTGCGGAAAATGGAGGCCAGAATATTGCACCACTCTTGCACTCTACAGCATATTCACACCTCATTTGGGGCCCTATTGAAGTGGATATGATACATAACTCCCCTTGCCAATTAGGGAGTAAGCATAAAATGAATATCAATAGCTGTCCTGCTTTAGAAACTGAGTATATGGACAGTCTGCATGCTGGATCGGCGAGGATCCCTCAAGTCTTGAAATCTCTCTACAGCGCGGCTCTACAAGTTCCATATTCCGAGGTCTAAACTGCCGAGTACACGTATATTGAGTCGTCTTAAGTAGACTCAATGCTGGCGCGCGGTGCTCGAAATGCAGTGAAATGGTAGGAGCGGGCGGGTGAGAGAGTAGGTAAAGTCCGGCAGGCGCGTGAGCTGTGGGAAGGGTCGGAATATGGGCGCATAAGACCTGCGAACTTATTAGCTCAACTTCTAACGCTTTATAGTGTGCGACTGAGTGTATCTGTTATGGCTGCTAAAATGATGTGGTCGTTATTAGTTCCATAAGCTTGCGATCGTGGATGGGTGTGGATGCAGCGCTTAGAGAAAGGCGCATAGGAGAGACGTAGATTTACACACACACAAGGTCTCTATAAGTGATGTTTCACCCCCAACCCCCTTCGAGTTTTTGAGGTGTATTTTGCGTATGAATTCTTAGAGCATGGCCGTCATGGCTGATCTTCTACAGCAGGATGCCAGATCGCTAGTAACGGATGTGGATTACATCCTATCAAGCAAATATCAGCTCTCTGAACAGAGATAGATAGATGAGCATAATCGCTCGCAAATATCCCCTGATGTTGCAGGCTTGGGAAGCTGTCATGGCGACAAGACTAGCAAGTTAAAAGCCTAGATGAAGACGGATGCGCCTCCGGCAAGAGACACCTCGTAGCCTATGAAGGTTGTTCCTCTTATCAGGCGTGTTGATTCTTGGTAAGTTTTTGGAGATTTATTTTGAAGATTTATGGCCTTGTGGTGGAGAGACCAATTGACGTAACATACTGCAGATGTTCCTCACTATTGAGTATTTTTCTGCAGCCTGTGTTTGTCAGCGTGAGGGTAGTTCACTTGTCCAAAATTTAATCCTATCACCATCCTGGAACAACCCTAGCCATCCCATCTGCCAGTGATATCGTCTCGGGTCTCCATCAAAGCCGCCCGCAATGAATTCGCGCAGCTTCCACGAGCTCTCGTTGCGCCATAAATACCTACCATTCTACCTCCGAAGATTGAACTCGGTTAGCAGACGGAGACACACTCTAGTTTGGCTACGGCAGCGGAGCGCTTGTCCTGTCCTTCGTCTCGAAGTACCTCGTTGACGGCGCAAAGAAGCTCATTGTCTAATATCTGACGGGGTTCTCTGCAAAGAGTCTTTCTTGTTCCTGCATCATAAAGATGGCCAAGCCCTTAACAGGGTGCATAATTCCGGTAATGATTACAAGCGGTGTGCTTGCGTTGACTGCTCCTAGAAAGGGCACATTTGCATCTGAAGGGTCCCTAACGGCTATGAGGTGCGGGTGACTTTAGAAGCAATCAGGCTGTCTGGTGGGAATGATGAATCTTGTGGAAGAGGTATAAAACTTGAAAGACTTTATGTACCAATAATGATCACGATATGGTAGGGGCGAGCACGGTGACATATTGGGCGCTTGCTAAAAGGGGATGTTCCGTTAGATGGATGCTAGTGCATGTGTATAATATTCGCCTTTGTGGCCTTCAGAGGAATTCACAACGTGAAAAGATTTCAAATCCAAGTAACAAGCCTGTCAAAGAAGTGAGGTAAGATACTTAAGGCATGCTTTTACCGATCGCGGAACAGGAGCAGGACGTGTTTGATTAGCTCAATCTCTTTACTATAATCGAGGATGGTGCTCACAGGATGTCAGTTCCTTCTTTGAAATGCTCCTGTTATGGTCCAGGTTCAACATATGGTTGCAATATTGTTAAGATCCTAGCCTAGCCCCCACATCCAAATCGGGCTGGTAAATGATTCCGTATGAAAACCTAACCTATCCCTAGCCTCAATTTGGAGCTTACAGGAAAACCTCTGGATGAGAAGCATGGAATCTCGCCCTGTCCAGTGCATCGTAAACGTTCCACGATGCTGTCTGTCCTCACAACCTTTGTTACCACGGAATTCGGACAGCAAGTCGACATTCTAGCAGAAGGATCATCAAGATCACCGTGCTGCAAATGTAAGTTATGTGACAGCGACGTCAGCGTATTCCTTCCAGGAATTCAACTTCTCTCGTACAGAGACGTTTCGGACTGCAATAGCTGTCCCGACTCCTTCGTCGACGTCCTTACCTCTAGGACACCTTCAAACTCCCCACCCTCATCATGGAGTTTGGGTTTCCCATTTTTAGAGAAACCGAAAAAGATCTCTCCGATCAACTATTAGACTTACCAAAGGAGTTGGTATTACCGAGGTTTCCTAAGTGAGATGCTGAAATCGATCTAGGAGGATGGAGTCCAAGTGTTGGGCGCATTCACATGGAGCTTTGCAGGTAATTGGGGTTTTGGAGACTTCTCGGCTCATTATGGGATACAGACGGTGAATAGAATTACGATGGAAAGAGGTTAAGGAGAGCTCCTTTGAAGTAGTAGATTCCGTGGAGAGTAGGCAGCTTGAAATTTAAGGTATACATTGAGTTAAAATATAGAGTTAGCAGCCAATCATGTAGAACACTTTAATGGCGTAGTTAGTGCTGGGAGATGTGAATTGAAGATGTATATGTAAATTGCTATCTATAAGGCATGCCCCTAAATTGAGGCCTCTAAAAATATCTTATACTCTGAAAATGTTCGCCCTTCTAGTCTTATTGAAGCACCTAGTTTTGGGGGTTAGCTGTCACGTGGTTCTTGGCTGAGTCAGCTCTGATCATAGGGATCGCTGGGTCCGAGGCTCAGGCCAAAAACAACCTCCTTTCATTCTCAATATCACAACTCTATCTCAGCGGTGTCTGAACTGCCCTGTCTCGATGATGCTCCATGCCCTTGCTAATCAGGGCATTCTTGGAGCATTGATTGACTAGTCCTCCTCTCATCCGCACGGAAAAGTGGAGCTTTCGCCTGTTCCTTTGCTCCTTCTGCGGGGTTGCCCTAGGACCCGCTGTCTGCAACCCCCCTGTGACTAACTCTAGCAAACTAATATTTATACTGCAATATTAAGGTCTCAGATTTCCTCAATGAGCACTACGCAACTTCAACAACTGCAAGTCTCAACTACAGCCAATACCCAACCATGACGACCCCTCACGGCAACTGCCAGCATAGCAACTGCCAGCATGCCCATCGTCTAGCCCATTCAGAGGTCTCCTCGATCAAGACTGCTCAATCCCTCCGCGAACAGCAAGGCCCCATCAAAGCAGCCTATCGAGACGATCCTTCCACCGCCCTCGTAACGCTTAGGTCCACCGGATCCCTTGACTCCACAACTATAACCTGCAAGTTGTCAACGGGTGCCGGAGTCAAATCCGCCTCAAAGGTTGCAGGCTTGCACCCTAAAGCCGGCGGTTCTGATCCTGACATCTCAGGCGAGTTGTGCTCCGGCGACATGCTTCTCGACGCGCTCGTTGCCTGCGCTGGCGTCACGCTCAAGGCTGTTGCTACAGCACTAGGTATTCCAGTACAAGGAGGCACGGTGATGGCGGAGGGGGATATGGACTTCCGAGGAACATTAGGGGTAGACAAAACTGCACCGGTTGGCATCACGGATATTCGATTGGGGTTTGACTTACACTTTGGGGAGAAGGAAGATGGTAGCCCGATAACCGAAGAGGACGTGGAGAGGTTAGGCAAGCTGACGGAGCGATATTGCGTGGTGTTGCAAACGCTAGTCAGGAAGCCGAATCTTGCGGTTAGGGTTATTGGAAAGGGGGGAGGCGAGGAGGACGGAATTGAGCGACATATTGTTTGGGGACAGAAGATTTGAGGTTGTTTTGGTAATAATTCAAAAGCTCACCTCACTGCGGCTCATTCCTTCTGTGTAGTTCTTCTGCCTTTCTTTTGATGAACACCTCTGATAAATTCGGTTGCCTCCATGCTAATTTGATAAAAAAGTGTGGTATTTCCTACAAACCACTCTACCCCCTTTTCTAAACTATGAAATCTAGAAAGCTTCTGCTCACCAATCTCTTATTCTAAATATCTTACCCGACATTCCAAGATGCCCTAGCTACCTAGCATGCTATAGTTCATTTCATCATTCTGTATTGCCCTAGAACTGGGGTGTACCCAAAGTCTTCCCGCACCGGAGCGCCGATCACATTTGGGATACTTGCAGTAGCATTTATCAGTGTACATCCCGCCCACGAAATACACTGACTTGCATTTGCAGCATCGGCGCTAGAGACACCATCCTCCGCGCAGAATCGAGACTAACAATTGGGATTTGCGTATTGATACCTGAATAGGGGTCCCCCTTGCATGGATGATCTCGTTTGGGGGCTGGGTGGCTCGATGATAAGAGAGGCTTGATTGGGAGTAGGTGGACTGCTGGTGAGGTGATGGCCCAAGGATATACCGCCCATCGCAGAGCCGTAGTAGATGTTGGTGATTCGGCCAGTGGGTTGCTCAATATAGGGGGTATGGGTATTGCTTCGTGGTGCAGGACCAGTTAGACGCGGGGTATCGGATCAAGAAGTATGGCTTCATGACTGGTGGAAGCAGGTTCGGAGGCCCTTGGATTCTGGGCAGGGAGGGTGCAAGACGAGGCTAAAAGCGAGCTTGGAGAAGAGGCATGTTCGGCTTGCTCAGTGGTTTTATTTTCGGCCATTGCAATAGTCGAGCACAAGGTGGCGTTCTTTGGCCTATAGCGAAACTGGGTAGGCGCGTTCGAACGGAGCGTTGCTGGGTATGTTGCTCCGTATTTTCCACAGCTGAGAGGCGGACCAGACTGTGATGATGAGGCCTCGACTAGAAGGAGAAGGTGGCAGGGAATTGAAAGAGCAAGTTTTCGGGACGTTCCACATTGATGCACAAAGCTTGTCAGTTATAGTGACGAAGAAAGTGAACGTTGGGCGCACCCTTTCACAGCGAACGGGTCTTAGCATAGAAGGTTGGATGTGTCATATGCATATTTCAACTATCTCCTTTAGCTCTATCCAATCTCCTTGTTACCTTGAAAATATCCCACTATTCATCTTCCATGTTTCCTTCATCTCCGCCATCACCCTTCTGAGAAGTATCTGAAGATTCGACTCCAATTAAATTACCTTCTGGATCTTGATATACATAGCATCCGCAAATGGGACAAGAAAATACTTCTGCCATCCATGAAAAAGCTGCGCTCTTACACTCGGAGCATATAAGAACATCTGGGCTGAGGAACGTGTTACAGGTTATTAATTCTCGACACATAGTTATTGACAACTGAATTTCCTAACAGATACTTTGAAGTTTATGATGTAGGTAGAAGAGTGTAGACGAGGTTTAAAGGAATTGACAAAGATAGAAATTTCAAGCTTCTATGTTAAGCTAGGAGGAGCACCAGAGGCATGAGGAACTGGATTGATTGCTAAAGGAGGGCAACTGTGGGTTTATATAGTACTAGATGAACCCATCATGTGACTTAAGGCCACCAATAGCTCTAGGATGCAGCAGGTGGCGTGGCTAGGCAGCAGTAGGTCAAAGGAGTGTAGGTGACTAGAGCATGGAGAGCTCCGTAAATGCAAACATTCTATGATCACAACTTACAACACGTAGCAGTTTTCATGTCACATCATGCTTACTGGGTAGCAGATTATCTTAGATGATTGGAGAAGGATTGTATGGGGTAAAAAGCCGCAAAGTGATATGATCTAGCTACGCCACGTGGACTATCAATTCCTCGCCACGTTTAGCTTATACCATGTCCCTCTCTTTAGTTATTGCATCCCATCCTTCCTTTACAGCCTGGGTGGCTACACTCGCGACAATTTCCCGAACACCAGTCAAGATTGCTGAAGTAATTGTTACAATGGCAACAACGGTAAAATAAGGTGTTTCCTTTCGGGCCTACTCTGGGATAATCTGAACTCATGCTGAACTCGTTGAGAGTGACTTTCTAGAATATAGTTCTAGAGGAGAATCAAAGGGTCTAGCGCTGGCTGTTTGCGATGCTGTATTCGGGCCCGATGAAGTTTGCTCGATGAAGTATATCGTAAGATCATCGGTCAGAGGCCCTCCTTATATATCCAGATACGTCTGCTCCCTCAGCAGCAATGTACAGTGATGTGTTGAGGGCACCACATGAATGTTAACAATGACAGCTTTTCGTTGTGTTTATAGATGGATTCCACTATTTCAGGGAACGAAAATTCTTCGCATTCTTCATATCTAAATAAGAGGTTATATAAGGGAAACTGTTTCCTTCCAGTAATTCCTAGAGTGTTTACTTCCCTGCTAAAATTCAAAACTGATAGACAACTTATTATCCATTAAAAGAGAGGGAAGAGGGGATGGTACATTCATTTGCCGAGGTGGGAGCCCATTAACGCGAGGATTATGCTCCTTACATTGTGAGTGCAAGAACGGGGACTTTGTCTACATTATTTGTTTGAGCATTCCAAGGTTGTGAACTCAACATGGGTAGCAGGTGCTCATGTCACGTGCATATACGCTGAGAAATCGATTTTTGAAATTCTTCTAATGCGGATTGTGCTCAGACCAAGTGCAGTGCTAAACTCATACTTTAGGCCTCACTTTTCATGGGTTGTTTCGAAAGCCTCCCTCACCGCGACAGCAACATGGGCAAGCAACTTAGGCTATCCTCTTGCGCTCAAACATACTCCTCCGCCTCTTTCTGTCCGCCTTACTGATAGGCCACGACCCGCTCAGGCTGCGGAAGTCCGCTACTTTTGCTAGGAACCAATAGATCAATCCCGCATAGCCGAAAACTCAGGATGCAGGAGAACCTATAAACTCTTGCCCTCCAAAAAATCGTTCATGCTCAAATCGTCAATCCATCGCCATGGCACCCACCCGAGTTGGCATCATCGGGCTTTCAGCAAACCCCTCTGGATCAGGGTGGGCCAAGACAGCGCATCTCCCGTACCTCAAAGCCAATCCAAATTTCGAAGTCATCGGTGTCCTCAATTCTTCGCTTGCATCATCTCAGGCCGCCATTGACACTTTCCAATTATCCGCCGCCAAACCATTTGCAGATGTTGACTCGATGGCCTCGGACCCCGACATCGATCTCGTAGTTATCTGTGTAGAGGTTAAAATGCACTACACCATAGCCAAAACGATACTAGAGCACGGAAAGAACTTGTTCTGCGAGTGGCCGCTTGGACAAAACTCAGACGACGCCATTCAACTCGCCAAACTTGCCAAACAGAAAGGCGTCCAGACGTTTGTAGATCTCGAAAGCCGTCTTTCTCCTGTATCTGTCAAGCTTAGAGAGCTCATTGGATCTGGCCAAATCGGCAAGGTTACGAGCACAGACGTGATAGGAACTTTGGGGCCACCTCCAAAGGTATGGGGAGAGCGCGTTGCATTCTACTTAGATGTGAAAAGCGGACAGAGTCCTTTGAACACCCGATTTGCACACTTCATCGACGCTTTCTGCTACTCTGTCGGAGAGTTTGAGTCCTTCCAGTCTTTGCTTGCAACTCACCAAAAGGAAGTCAAGCTATACAACGTCCCAATGTCGCAGCTTGCGGAAGCCGCCATGGACCCCAGAATTCCATATAAGACAGTGGAGCGAACTTCACCGGACGAAATCCTTCTTCAGGGAAAGCTCACGAATGGCGCCCTAGCTGCTATTCACCTGCGCTCTGGAGAGAACGATGCTGATGGTAACTTGCTTCGGTGGATTATCACCGGTGCCGATGGGCTTATTGAAGTTACTCAAAAATTCGGCAACTTCTTCAGGGATTTGTCTGTCGTGATTAAGCTGGTTCATAATGGACAGTCTAAAACTCTTGATCTCGACTGGGCTAATGATGACGAGTTCCAGATGTTCGGAGACAATGTTGTCTTCTCGACTCCTGGAAGACATTATAAAGCTATGAGCGAAAATCTAAGAGATGCTATCATCGATTTTGATCATGCTGCAAAGAGACAGTTGATGGTGGATAAGATTGTTGCATCTTCATCCGAAATATAGGAGATTCTTAGGATCTATGCAATCGAGTTCAAATTGCTATCCACATTCTGCCGTTCTTTATTCCCTTTCCAGTCGATGTTGGAGTGCAGACACTTAAAAGTTACATAATGCGCTTCTCAGCAAGCTGACAGTATCATTAACTAACTATATTGTCCTCTTTCTTACATGACTTGCTTACAGGTTAGCCTATGCCACCATACAAATTTCAGTGGGAATATCGTTAATAAAAAGTGCAGCTAGAGCTAGTGTGATTCGGGTGGACACTTTATCAGGGCGACAGCGCTCTGCCTGAGTGAGTCTGTCAATCAGGACATCGATTTCACTGATTCATTCAGCGTCACCTCAGATATAGGCAAATAGTATTTAAATTCCTATATTATACCATTGAAGTTACCTACATGTTCATGCATCTCTCGAAACACATGTGCGAGTGTTGAAAGTGATGGGGAAAAGACTGCGGGTTGATATCTAGGGTGGAACTCAACCCCCAAAGCCACTTTCCATTACTACGCGCGCCTCCAGAGACACGCCTTAACTTGCCATGAAATATCCCCTATGCCCATCACCCCCAACTCCTACATCACTAACCCCGAACACTGGCCCGCGTGCCAAGCTCAACTAGTCGCCAAGCGGAGAGGAGGTACATGGCCAGCTGACCAGGAAGATGAGGAGAATTCCGCCGAGGCCCAGAATCAGTAGAGCCAGGCGAATTAGCAAGAAGAGGATGAGACCCAGGGGCGCAGCTCGTGGTCCGCCAGTCCGAGCGTGAAGGTAGGCGAATTTCACTAGGACGAAGTCGAATAGTATCGCCGAGGTAGCGAGCGTTGGTGGTGGTCGTGTTACGAGAGAAGCCAGAGAGGAAATGGAAGGGCCTGAGCTCGGGAGGCGTCACGCGGAGAACACAGCCGAGGAGGCCGTAGTAGAGTGAAACGGGTAAGATACCTACGGAGAAGAAGACGGCGTGGAGGACCGTTGAGTTGAACCTGAGCTGCATTGGAAGAATAGTTACCTGTACGTCCCTCAATTCATCACATAGTAAGGTATCAATGAGTGCGGCAGGATTGAGGAACTTGTCCAGCTGTCTGAACCAGAGGTTCGCAACTAGAAGGTGGAGCCAGAGCGGACAGGGGTCGGCGACGGTGGTGACCGTGTCCCTGCAATCTGACAATCGGTAGTGCCATTGCGTACGAGCTCTCGAAAGCACTCGCGGCCGATTAGGTGTCCGCGTGGGTGCAAATCCACCGGCTCACATTCGGAGTTCTCATCGCCGAACGCTGCGTGACAGACGAAGCAGCGCTCACCCGTTGGCGGAGTCTCTGGAGAGCGGAGAGCGGAGATCGTAAACCTTCATGGCCTGAGGGAGAGCTTGGATAGTTGACATTTGTAAGCGTTTTCGTTGAGAGAGGAAATTTTCGAGGGGGGGTTTGGTGTTATGGGTAGGGTGGCAGAGTAGGTGCGGAAGAAATATACATTGTTTCTGTGGGAGGTGAAAGACCGAATCAGTGTGGCTTTGGAGTAATCGACTGTGATTGTAGCACTGCCTTATTCGACCACTCGGTCAAGACCCGCCTCGTCCCACGCTCCGCAGCTATTTCTTGACCATTTGTGTTTTGTCTCTCCTAGGTGGCAGTCCTGCCAATTATCGAAGCCTTTAAAGAAATATGTCATCGCCAACTACTCCCACCCAAGTCCAGGTAGCCTTAGACCCGTAAATACCATATTTCCCAGGGACTGTATCCAGAAAGGCTTGTTGGTTCCGGTGGCCAAGCCACTGTTGAGCTCTGGGAGCACAAAGACTCCACTAGAATGGTAGCAGTTAAGTGCTTCAAGCCCCGCGACGACGCTCCACATGAAATCGAGATACTGAATAGATTACCCAAACATAAGTCTATCGTCGCGTACTTGTGCTGGGGCAAGGGCCTGCCGCGACCAGACGTCGACTGCATACTCTTCGAAGCGTTGCGGCACCGAGATCTCCACAGTGTCCGGCGCAAGATGCTCGAGAGAAACAAGGCGTCTTCTCGGAGGCATTTCTCTGGGGCACCTACAGTCAGCTCTCTGCAGCTCTAGCCTTCATCCATGAAGGTATATGATCTCCAACTGGAAACGATCAATGGAGACCCGTCGTACACCGCGATATCAAACCCGAAAACGTGTTTGTTAAGGGTCTCGGCCCCAAGGAAGATTGGTCCTCGATTGTCATCAAACTCGGCGACTTTGAGCTCTCACAGTTCTTCGAGACACAGGAACCATGGTATTTGTGGAAGTTCTGGTGGACTCCGCTGTACTGGCTGCCAGAGCAGACGTTCACAGAATCGGAGGGAACACCGGAAGGTGACGTGTGGGCAATCGGTGCTATTATTATAAAATGGCACATAAATGCGCACCGACGCTTGACCCCGAACTCACGCGAGATAACTACATCAATACACACGAGCCCCTAAGTCTGTCTGGGCACATTAATGGAATGAAGTTCTATTGGGAGGCGATAACGCCCAGGAAGGCGTACGCCATCAACTGTAGTGATGACGAGCACGAGCCTGTGCTTTACGACGACAACGACGACCGATACCCAAGTACACCCACACCTTAAATGATTACCGTATATCGGCATTGAAACCAAGGACACTAAGCAACAGTAGGAGTCTTAGGAGACAAATCGAGGATGCCTACACCGTATTTAGCTTTTGGTAACTTGAGAAGGACACACAGAAAATGGTGGAGGCCAACAAGGATCAGTGGGATCAAGAAAATGAAGAGTGACGGAATATTGAGGAACGCTTAAGCCTGGAGCTTGCAATCTATGGTTGGGTGGTACATGATCCGACTGGTTCGGATGTTTGCTTTCTTTGGGACGATACAAAGCCTAAAAGAACGTCGAGCTCACTCTTTGTCGAGCTTGTCCCAAACTTTTACGCGACATAAAAACAGGGCATATTCCATGCTTTGCGATATTCAATGCAATTTCTCTTTCTACATATCTCTGCAGGAGACAGAAGACTAGGGGTTAGAAGTAATTCCAACCGTTACCCCTTATCCTGATAAGCACATTAATTTCAAATTTGGAGTCTTAATCGTGCGCTCGTGTGTACAGATCGATTTAAGTTCTTACCTGTTGCGGAATGTGGAGTGACCAAGGATGTCGTTGAGCCCGTTGTGGGGCCTGATTGGACAGACGACTTCATTCATGCAGGCCGAGCAGGTTCAATTTGATAGGTTGAAGCGATCTCCACAGCATTTTTATGCTACGGCAGGGCTCCCAGTTGTTCGGGGAATAATTTGGTGTGAGACAGCCCTCCATCGGGATGTAATTGATTCTAGACGCATGTAGCAATAGTTTGCTGACCAGTATATGCACTACTTGCATGAATCCTATGTACGGTTCATGGTTATAGAAATATATTTGGTCCACTTGATGAAGTCTGTCATGAGACACTATTTGCAGTTTGGACCCATCTGAGCTCCACCACTATTGCCTACCTTACCACCATGCTGTCTAGCCCACTCCTTTAGCAATCAACTCAGTTGCTCAGGGCCTTGGCGCTCCAAAACGCTTCACAGCCACCCTTCGCGGGCTATCAAAAGTGGTTTGCTCCGTGTGCACATGGTCTTTGAAGGGCAAGTCAGCAATTCTGGAGCCATGCAGTCCCAATAATTCGCCATCAAGCACATACACTACTGCAAAGTGTCTTAAACCTAGTGCAGACCTAAATGAAATTCATAAAGTCATTTAAACACGAACTAACTTAGTCCTCATACCCTAGGGTACCCAATATGCGTAGGCGCTCCTCCCCGCCCTTCACTGTGGCCCAGAATGGAATTCAAAGCGCCCCAAACAGAATATCACCACTACCAGGAATCGAACCATCAAGCTTAAAAAAATATGGCAAGAAAATAATGCAGTCCTGCTAAGTCTCAGGAACTGAATTATCTTCGGGAAAAACCCCCAGTCAGGCAAGTCACCACTTTGCCATCATCAGGGGAAACCCATCTATCTACTAAGGAAATAACAATTGACGTACCTTGAATCCTTTCCTCCACCGAGAGAATTTTGAAAATAATTCGTTACATATAATCTACTGAACTAGACGAAAACAGTGTTATTTGTACGCTGGGTGGCGAAGGACTCAGCGCAAGGGGCGGTGAGTTATAAGTGACGCAATCTAAGCCATCAAACGGGTAGAAACGCCGAGTTTCTAGACATTATTTTGGGTGGCACGGTGAGTGGGGTGAGGCAGATAGCTCATAGGAGTTGTGCACTGGAGGACTCTCAGATTTTTTAAGTCTGCATGCCATCTTCTGCCCCGGCCTACATCGTATGACAAGGCTGGTGTAAGGTTTGCAACCTCAGGGTGCTATTTTGCAAGTTAAAACGCTTCTCTATCGTATGCAAGTTATGGTTCTTCTAGCACCTGTTCTGACGATGCGGTTCTCTTAGTCATTGATAGTCCCCCCAAACCTCCCCCTAAACCCGCACAGCATGACACTCCGCTGCATAGCAAGGCCACTCAACACCGTCGCGCCCACACCTTAAACGGATCCACAGATGACAACATAGCAGTGCAGGTTTTCTCCATGATACATTAGCATGCGTGCCCCGAGCGCGCACACTTAAAGACCACTCAAACCCATTCACGCCCTCGACAGTTTGGCATCTCCACCGCACCACCGAAACGAACACCAACAACACTTGTGCAGAATGCGGCAGCGTGACTCGATGTTATTTGAGCGACACCTTGCATTCATGGTTCATTTGGCGTCCGGTAAATGGTTGCCACTCCTAATCTTCATACGATGCCTTCCGCTTCGGAGTTTCGCGACGCCAAAGTTGGACGACCATGAACAGTTTGAGAGGAAATTGGTTTCCTCAGTATAAGGTAGAGGCGCACAAATGACGAACATGGTGCGACTTATCTGGTAGGATTCAGGCAACAGCTCCATGGCCGGCACCAGATCATATTAGGGGCTTCGAACCTCTTTCATAAGCAAGGGTAATCCAACCGCGATTTCATAAATACCTGAGGAGAATTTAGGAGTATTTAAGTTGTACACATCTATGAGGTAGGCATACGGCGCACAACTTCAGCAGTTCGAATACCAACTTCTACGAGCCTTTTACGACCGACTAGTGACTTCAGACCTACGTATCGATTCAGAGTTATTTGCAGCGAAGGTCTTTGGACATACATGGGTGGGAGATCAAGGCACTTGCTGGGTTTTAAATCGTATTGTCGCCGTGCATTGTGCCATTGATAAACCTGGTTCCCTCGACCCTTAGTCGACCAACCCCCGACCTTAAGAACTCAGGGCCGCACGATGTTATGACAGGTTTGCGAGCACAGATGAAGCTGGACTAGGCCTGGTTATAGTGTAGGGATCTATCCCGAATTTGGGGTCTTCACGCAGGGAAGGCGCGACGATTGGCCACATTGGTAGCATCAACGGCGCAAAGGCACACATGTGGTTATAATTGGAAGTTTTGCATGCAAGTATGGGCTTGTGCAGGTGGACTTGGGGAGGACTGGGTCATCTCTAAGAACTATATAACGCATTTACGCACTTTGCGATCGCGACGTCGACCCCGAGCCATCCGCGCCCTATTTAGGGGCTCAGTGTCACAAGGAGGTAAGAATTTGATTCCGTTAGAGCTATGACAGGAATCAGCAACTCTGAGAGAAATATGATATCTCAAAGTCAATGTACCTATATTATATCTCGCCACACCGGGCGTCTCGCGACCGAGGGATGCGCTTTACGCCGGGGATTCAAAAGAGGCTGCTCGCTTGGAAATGCACTCCCAGAGCCACCTGTTGAGCATTGTACAAATTCTGCAGCGCTAAAATACTTTGCGGCGTGTGGCCGTGCCCGATAGTTGCTTAAAAGCCCGAGTTCATGTTCTACATAGCGACCCTAGAGGCCCGCCGTGCACTGCACCTTCATAGCCACCATTCACAAGGCCAGATAGCGGCTTGTCCAGCGCGCAAACGCAGTTACGACGTGCCCCCACGGCAATTAGCCACTTAAAACTACGGTCAGCCTTCTAATCCCTCCCCAGGTGCTCCACCCGGCTTCCCCATAGGTCCTGGATTTTTGTCGCAGCCCCGACGACCTCGAAACAACCTCGACCCAGATCCAGAGTATTGTACACTCTCAGCATATACAGGAAAGCGCAGTGCTGCTAAGGGAGAGATTGATTTCCCTACAGCTATTCCCCATGTCCTAGAACTCCTTCCAGACCTTGGGGTGCTGCACTGGGAGCTACGGAAGTTCCTCTGGGTACATTGTGTACAAACAACTCTAGAGTCGCCCTTTTTCGGCATTAAAATGCCTCAAACCATGCTGTTCAATCCAAATGTGCCAGAGTAAAACACTGTAGACATCTGCAACCCTTAAGTCTGCGTCTTGTTTGGTCTAAGGACTACGATCGCCACCACCCCTTTATGATTGAGGCACGCGGAGCCTTCTTTCATAGCAAAACCATGTTCTTTCAGTATACCACTAGAACAAAGCTTCGACTTTCGTATATTACTTGTGGACATTTATATTCAACTCCTAGAAACTGGCTTTAATGCTGTAAAGCCATCAGCCTTGTGGCTGGCGTGGCGGGCGCGGATATTTCATGCGATCTCGCCACCCCGGCCGGCACTTTCTGATCCAAATGGCTTCTGGCTCTGGTTAGTGCAGAGCAGCCCCGCCTGTCCTCGATTATTATAATGTACTTGTATTATCTGAAACTAAGCTCGAGGCTGCCAGGCCTGTGGCTGTGCAGGCGCTCGGATGCATGCTGTCCTGGAGCAAATCGCTCTTATAGCCACCCACAACCGCGTACAATCTACCTCGCTGCTTGTCAAAGGTACAACGACTACGCAAGACGTCAAATGTCTTGCGGCATTTCAATAGATATGAGCAATTCGTGCCAGGACTCAGTGGGCAGTGCCCAAGGCTTCCAATGGAATGGGTGATATGGGTGTCCCTTCGCGTTGCATCTGCCTTCTAATACAAATGGCCAGCCAGCTTGCACCACGGCGATGCAGGCCGCCGTCGTCAACCTCATCCTCACGCCGAGCCAATCGTTGGCTGTGATCTGGCGCAAGCTCGGGAGGCGGAGCGCACCTACGCAAATGCTAATGTACGTGGCTGATAGCAAGTAGATCCATTTGTCATGTAAAGATTATCTGCTAAGGCTTGACTCTAGCCTACACAACTCACACTCCGTAGCAGCCGCGCCTATATAAGGTGGCAATTTCCGAAAGGTTACTTGGTTCACAGACAGCATGGCCAAGGTTGAGTCGGATTACGGATTTCACTCAACTACCTAGGAATCTATAAGTCCATCCCCATCAAAACATCTCCATCATCGTCCGGTGGTCCAATCTCCCTGAATCCAAGTCTCTCATAAAACCTATATGGTGAATTCTCAGGCTTCACAGTCTTGTTCGGATTCGAATCATTCTTCTTCCCTTCACGCGGTGTTGACCTGAGTTTCAGCTGCTTTGCCTTAGGGTGATTCTGTCGTATGTACGCAATCGCGAATTCTACGCCTCGTCGTCCATATCCCATATGCTGATACCGGCTATCGATCATGAATCGCCAGATGTGGTACGACTCGGTAGGATCCCATATTTCCATCATGAGCATACCGACAGGCGTCTCGTCGGCGTAGATGGCTCGCACCCATGCCTCTTCTTCGAATCGGGATACCAAGAGAGACCATACGTTAGGGTCAAGGTTGCCGGTTTGTCCGTCTTGTAAGCTTAGGCTCGCGATGTCTATATAATTGTCCTTGGTAACTTCGCGGAATGTGAGGGTTGAGTCTCTAGCTGGAGGGTTTTTTTGGGGAAAGTCGTCCATAGTGTTTAAAGTGGGAGGAGTGCAGTGAGCAGGAAATTTTCTGAGGGCAGTTGCTTTAAAGCTTGTGCTAGAGATCAACAGCGCAGCTCGATCTATTATACATGCAATTTGACATCTTTGTAGGATGTGCGGTGTACATAAGCTGGTGGTGACTCCACTATCTCCTTCTGGGAGAAGTTGGCTAGGATCAGGGATCTGCGGATTACCACTTACTTGGCCTATGGATGGCAGAAATAGTATTTCCTTCGCGACACAGATCTAGATTGAGTCATACAATCCGCCGAAAAATTTACAAAATGCCGTGCCACTGCATCCGACTCATTATGAGTAGTATCAAGTCTATTGTCGCGTCGAATTGAAATCCAGGTTGGGCATTTGGGTGAATCACCTAGTGACCTTACAGAGCTGCAGTTGCTTGAAGTAAAAGTACCCTTCGTACGATACAGTAGCATTGTGCATTTTATTGGATGTCTTATTTCCAGTAACGGATTACCACATAGCTTGGAACCTCTGTGCAATTGACTCACGCAGTAAAATTGCACTTCAAGTCTCGGAAAGATTTCTTTGAAAGTTAACACTTCTTCTTAGGGTTCCGAAATTCAGAGGGGCCCTGCCTATCACGAGAAAACAGGGGTGGGTTGCGGAGGTGGCGATTAACGATATCGACGAATCGACGAGTAGTACGACAACCACGAAGAAGAATCTTATAAGAAGCTAGGATCCTAGAGTTAAATAGCTATAGAATAGTTATATAAATGAACCTGTTTATACTTGCAAATGAAGGGCCTAAGACGTCTTTTTTTTATTTTTACAAAACGGTCTCGCCATACCGTGCAGCTCACGACACAGGGATGCACACCCTAGATAGATCTTTGAAATTCGAATAGTAGTTACAGCACCGGATGTACGAAAAGGCTGTCTGCCGCGACAGAAGTGCTCTCAGACCCTTCAGGAAGCTATGAGGGTGCACTTCGCATCGGGCATTCACCCTCTAGATCACGTGCAGAAGTAGATCTCCACAATCCCGAGCAGTGTCGATCCAGAAACTTGCAACGGAAGTTCCAGACGCGTTGTTTGGCCTCTGGTGTCAGTCTAGTACGACCTATGTGGTATTATAGAGCGTGGTGGACTGTGGCGAGGGAGCATGCCAGGCGAGTGAAAGACAGGGTCCTGACCATTACGAGTTCTCCGCCCACCATCTTCGTCCCTCTCCGCGAATACTACAACCACAACCTCAACACCACCTATAAGCCGGCTGTATCTTCGAAACCGTCGACGGAGAGACTTCAATAGATCTTTCAAAGTTTGTACACCAGCCTTCTCGACTCCTGACGAGCATGCGCGGGCTGCGCTGGAATTGAGGCCCTCGGTCAGATCTACGGCGGCATCGCTGAAGCTCGCTTTTGGCCAATGTTAAAGCCCAACCTCACCACTCTCACTCGCTCTCTTCCTCAACTCCATTCCATTCCACATCCTATTCCCAACACGCTCAACGCCACAACGCCTCCACGGCGATGAGATACCTTAGCAAGGAGAGCAGCTCCTCCTCATCACCGCCGCGGTATCGAAATTTTTACCCCCGTGGTTCTCCTGTCATATTGTCGCCGCCGCTGACTCAAAATATCTGTAAGTTAGTGTTCGAGTCCCCTGAAGATCTTCTTCCTCGACCACATCCTATCCCCTCCTGCTCTGCAGACGGCGAGAGCCCCATACCCTTAATGATCTCGTCTAAGTGGCCCTGGTGGCATTGGCCTCGTTGCCGTCACCGAGGTCGCTGCTGCTTCTCGAGACTTCGCTTGCGCCAAGTCTTCGCGAGAGTGAAATTCACCTGCCCCCACCAAGAACTAATTACAGAATATGGCTGATGTTCTCCAAGCGCCAGACACTGAGAAGGCTATCTACTAGCGCGGAGTCTCGTATTAGTAAAGAGCGGTGTTGGCGTCGACAAACTCGTCGCCGACAGCAATGATCACGAGAACGCAGTCTCCGCACCTCTGCCACACAAAGTAAGCCTCTTCGTCGTAACAAACTCTCATATCGTCTACTTCATCAAGGAAGTGTCTTTCGATGACTCCATCAGCCTCCTGGGCTGGCAGTGACGCATCAATGACCCCGTGTCGTTGTCAGTGAACTGCCTGCCGTATGGGGAAGGAGCTGTTCACCTTCGACGTCCTCTAGCAGTGTAGCATTATCTTCATTAGAGCCTTACTAACAAAGCCATCACAGACCATGCGGTACGTCGTATTTTGAGCCTCTCATTGGAAATTCTTGATGACTTAGACGACCACATTGTCACTCTCAATTGCCGAATCTAGTTTGAGGGTTTGCTAACTCGGCTTGTCTATGCGACTGTTCGGGATGGCTGCTACCCACAGTGAGGATCATTGATGGTAGCTGAAGCTTCGGCCTCGCTATCCGATTCGCATTTGTGCCCTCCTCCGGCTTCTTATTTGTCGTTACTCAGGAGCTTGAAAGAGAGACACTAAGTTCGCAAAGTCTTCTATCTCCGCCTTCCTAAAGACATTTTTCGTACTCGACTATACCCCCCTACAAAAACAACGGAACCGCTCAGAATGAGGTTGCGCGATCAATACAGTGGTGTAGCTACACTCTCTCTTGAATAGTACCGATAGCATCGTCGTCCTGATTACTGCCACAGGGTCTTGGTAAGTCCATCATTCTCTTTGCTTTCTTCCTTTTCCATTTCTTCCTATGAAACATTACTGGAGCTGGCCGGCAGGCGGGTGACGATAAAATGTTTGCAATCTGACTCGAGGTTCATCGAATCATCTTAGGTTTAGAGCATTCAATCATACAATGCTAATTGCGTCAAACAGAAATCGCCAGCTACCTCGATCAGATCCCCCGAAGCACCCTAGAATCTGTTTGCGTCTTGCTGGCAGCCGGCCACGAACAAACACTGGAAGATACCGTCGAGGACGGGCAAAGAAGGGTGCATATGTACACCTGGCCACATATGGATAACTCACGGTATCGACTCTGATAGTGCAAGCCCAGGTTCGTAATGGATGTCGACTCCTTGCAGCAGCATCTACCGTGGTGCGTCGCAGATAGAAGTATTCTTCGTCTTTCCGATGCCATATTGTCAACATGTGTCCATGCAGTTGCTAGCACTGCGAATCCGTGCGAAACACAAGTCGGGACGAAAACCTCCCTTCTTTCAAAGCCGGTATGATGCATGTAGTGCCTCCAAGTGCACTTCGCCCTAGCATCAAGGGGTGATGGCCAAGCTCCTAGATTCTAGCACCGCGAATCCGTACTAAGGCCTGTTCATATTCAACCTCACCGCGTACACCTCAAGGGAAAGGACGAGAACTTCCGATTCGTCTTAATCCGTCTCCGTTCTCTCGGGAATGTTGCCAAGAAGGCACAAAGCTTGTGGTAAAGGTTGCCGTCAAGCTCCTCTTCCTTTAATACAATACACTTCTTCCCTCACAACCGCTTGTAAGCCATTTGGTGGGGGTGGTTATCTAATGCGATTTACAAAAATCTAAGATTAGCCCTTCCTGTACTCGAGAACAACGGCTGGACGAATAAGGCCCACGAGCATTCTTCAACGCGGATTTCCCCCGGAAGTATTTCCCCTTCAACTCTGCAGGAACCTTGCCCCGTCTCGACTCTATAGAAAGGCGAGTTCCGTGCGCAGCAGGATGATGACTTGGCTTCTTATATGCGACCTCGACACTAGCACCTACTTGCCATCTACGCGAAACTCTACAACCCAGGCAGAGATTTCGATCTGTGTGGACATCAGAAGGCCAGCAATGCAGCCTCCATTCGGCGGCTGGACTTCTTATCCAGTATTCTGAAAATCTCTACCCTGGCGTTGCTGGCACAACTTCGTACTGCCTCCGGGCGAACGGCCGTGCCTCAGCAGATGGCGACTCGGGACTACCTAGTTTGGGTGTGGTCTCTGCCCGGTACACCTTCACGAAGCCAATCAGCTTCCTCCTATGTACCTACCAAGAGGGCTATTAGGCAGGCATATTTCCACCTGGGATGGCCTACTAAACGAGAGGTGTTCTGCAATTTTCTTGAAAGGCCAAAGACGCCGTTGTCACCGTTCCTTAGCGTTTACTTGAACAATTTGAAGCAACGCTAGGTCTCCAAGAAGGCTAAGCTAAAGATCTGCAAGGTTGAGGGGGAGCTTGCTGGCTAGTCATCCACCCAGCACCTTCCTGTTAGCACCATTCGCCTCACCCTACTGCTACCAGTCAATCACCACCCGGTGGAGCCATACATCAAGTTGGTCCGTCTCTCCATCTTGAAGGAGTACCTCTCTCTAGATTTAGCGAAGTTCCTGATAAACGAGCTACTGACTACGCAACCTAGCGCCCCTAGGATATCTATCGACTGCCATCTCCAACCATACTGAAAGCTGCGAGTTGTCTGGGCAAGGCGACCAAAGATTTCGTTATCTTCAGAGGTTCCTGCATGATCCATGCTCAGATGAGCCTCGAGAAGCTTTTGGAACAAGTTGGCGAGCTGCAATGATTTCGAAGAAGATCCTAGTCTTGGCGCTGGACACTTTGTGCAAACAATGAAGTACACTGGCAGGCTCCAGGACGTATCAGTTTAGCGTTATATTGAGCTTGAACAAGCTACAGAAGGATGAAGTGTATCTCAGCCTCGTCCTCAAAAATGTCCCCGAGATACTGTACTGTGCCTAAAGCTACTTCAACAAGATGAAGATGGCCATACCTATTCTCGAAGTCAAACACTACATCTACCAGCTGTTCCGCTCGCTCGAGCTGCTCGGCTTGAGCAGACATCGAGTCAATTCGAATCCATTTTGATGAAGGCTGTCATCAATGCGATTTACTATAACTCGGGATTGGCCCTTCATAAGCTCAAGAGCAACGGCCGGATGAAAACGTTCTTTAGTTTTCGGTTCTCGAGCATGGATAGCTGCAACAGGGTGCACACATCCAAAAGAATGGTATCCTGCCTTGGGGGAGTCATGGAGGGGAACTTGCACCTTGCGGCAACCCCTGGCTGCAATGGCCACTGTCGATCATACAAACAATGGGGCCAAAGGAGCAACAATCTCCCTTGTCGATGTGAATATTCTGGCCCCACAATGTCCAAATCCGTCGTGAGCGTTACACGTACGAGAGAGAAAATGGGTTGAACTCTTTGGACGCACGACGGGAATTTCTGAAGAACTGATGTGGAAAGTTTCTATCATTCGCGGCGACGAACAAAAAGTTCTGCGAGGGTGATTCGCGAGAAGGTCCAGGACGGCGAGACGAGCAAAGGGCTCGGCGTACATTCAATACATAATCGCCGGGAACGGATGGCGGGACGGGGCGAGTACAAAGACTCAGCCTACACACAATGCAAGATTTTAGGGTTCGTCTGGAGTCGTCTTCCAGACCAAGCTGTCGCCCAGCGGCGAAGATGCAGGAAGGCGACACGAGAGTACAAAGACTTGGCGTACACTTAATGCAAGATCGTCAGGAATAGCTTGTTTAGAACCGGTTCTAGACTAGGACAGCGAGACAGGTGAAAGACGTCGTCTTCCAGGCCCATCATTCGCGGTGGACGGGAGGGAACAAAGACTTGCCATGCACACCATTCAAAATCATCGATAACGGCGCGATTGGAGTCGTTTTGATCCTGTGCTACGGTGATCCGCGAGAAGGTGCACGGTGGCGAGAATAGTGAAAAGAGTAAAGCGGCATGGGTCCACCTTACCTCTGGGCAATCCACGAGCAGGCGCAGGACAGCGAGACGGGTGAGCATAAAAAAAATTCGCCTCTACTCAATGCAAAATCGCGGAAATGGCTCGTTTAGGGTTGTCCCCCGGGACGGTGGATGATTCGCAAGAAAGTGCAGAACTCGAGTTCCCGGGCTGTCAGAGAGAAAAGCGCATTTGCAATTTCTGTTGGGAGGATGGCGAGACAGGCGAGTACAAAGACTTGGCATACACACTACGGATGTACGCAAGGTCGTTAAGAAGTACGGCATCGTCCTCCAATTCAGGGGTAAATCCGCGAGAAGGTGCACCACGGCGGGGAGAGCGAGTACAAAGACCTGGCATACACAAAATGCAAGATCTTCAGGGATACCTCGTTTGGAGCCGTCGTCTAGACAAAGCTAACACCCAACGGCGAAGATACGGCGATCAAGCGAGATGATCGGCGAGAAGGTGCAGAGCAGTAATAAAGACAAGTGCAAAAGACTTCAAGTACCGTGGATCCACATGCCTTCTAGCGTTAGTGTGGTTCGGGACGAATTGGATACCCATAAAGGAGGTCCCGCGTAGTTGTCGGCCAGCGGAGTGGATATGACCATCAAGCGGAGTGCTCTAGGAGCGCGAAGTGCAAGGGGACCGAGATGATGAAGCGCTGGACCTTCGAGCAAAACATCAGGCGAGTGTATTTTCGTGTGGTGAAATTCAACGATGAATGCCTAGCTCGTCATTCGGAAAAGACGATACGCTTATATGAACGATGGTTGGCTGACAAGAAAGATCTCATATGCGACCATCCAAGGTTGGGACGCATTGGTACAGGAGTTTCGCAGCTCTTTCGTGTTTCTCTCGTTCCGTGGATCGGGCGCAGAGTCATTCCGGGATTCGACCGGGAAGGTGTCGTGCAAGGCTTCTTTGTCCATGAGTAGAGAAAAATGAGCAAGAGATGAAAGAAAGAGAGAATGAGGCCTGGAAATGGAGACAAATACGGGAGATGAAAGGCGAGCGGTGGAGAAATGAGAGAATAAGTGAAATTCGATATGTAAGCATGCGAAAGCTCGAAAACAGTGAGAAGAAACAGGCTGATGAAGTGAAAAAAAAATAGACTGTATTTAGCAAGTTGAATGAACGCAGCTCATGGAATTTCAATGACCGAAACAGGAAAATGGACGAAGTGACTTCGGAAAACTAAGGAAAGTAAAAATTACAAGATGAGTGCCTCCCACCCTCCCGAATCGCAAGGCAAAGGATTGATAGAACGTAGATGATAAGCACAAGGCAGTTAGCAAGCAGATGTCAGCAAAATGATCAAGAAATGGATATGGCTGCGAGATTTAACCGAAAACTGGCTGAGAATGCTGTCGAGGAGGGAGAGAGTCGTAAAAAGAGAAGCTTGAAACGACAGATAAGGAGACTAGACTAACTAGAAATGTAAGAAGCTAAGCAAGCAGAAAATAACAGCAGGATTGACATCCGGAGAAGGAAATGAACTAAGGGCTGACGAGGAAATTAATTGGAAGAACGATGATCTGAGAAAGAGCTAGCTGACCGGAAGGGCGAGGCCAAAAGATTGGTAAACAGATCCAGAAAACTAGGGATGATCGTATGAAAGAAAGTCCTGGAGTCAAAGGAGAATCAATGGAAGGACATGGAAAGATACGCAAACCAGCAGAGCAGTGTGATGGACGAAATAGACAACAAGAGCATAAAATCAACACAGAGTAATGCACACCCGAGTATTACCAGACGCGGGATTCCACCGCATTGAGACCCGATGTCTCTGCAGAAAGGGAGCAGGCGGTTATGTTCCTCCAGGATGAATGAGCGGGATAGGCTTGGCAAGTGTTCAAACACATGGAAGTTGCCCAGCCTAGTACCGTGCATCGATAGAGTTGTCACACATGTATAGCCCTAATGACGGGGGCTAGCGGCCTTCAATGTCAACGCATGAGATGCGTCATGGGTTTCGACAGTAAGATAAGGCAGGTTACCTCAAGTCAGCCTTGCTGTGCTGGTGTTGTATTCTTTCATTTCGGCCAAGGAAGAAAGCAGCAAATGAGAAGACGAAGAAAGAAGCATCTTTCCGGGGTATCGATGGACGAATGGCGTGTTGGGTAATGAGCCGTCAGCACGAGACCCGGTCGAGAGCCATGCAATCTCCGCCAAGCTCCGGGCCGTCGGACTCTTCCAGTGTCGGGTGGTGAACAATGGACGACCTGTGCTATATCCATCGCGTCGGGCCTTACACGGACTGTTCGGAGGTCGCCTTAAGTGAGGCTAGTCGTGTCGCGAAGGCTTTGGTGACATTGCATGACGGAGAACGGCGGTCGACAAGCCGCCTAGACTGAGAATATGGAGGAGTGCCAGCGACAGCATACTGGAGCACCCAAGCGTCAGCCATGTTTATCGTTTGAGGGAATAATCGGGTTGTGGGAGAGAATCAGGTCAAGACTTACCATTTTTCGTTTCAACTTGGAACGGTGTGGAGAGCCTAGCGGAGGCAGAGGCCATCGTCAGTCGCAATTGCAGGCCTCATCGAGCGAGTGACCGTCTGTAGACGTGACGGGGGTGTATATCAAGCCTTGGTATGCCTCTAGACCACCTTACGAGAAGTATTGGAGCATGTGGTGGTGTAGGAGACCGGGTCAAGATTGTGGGGAACATCAATAGTGTATCCATGGTGACCTAAGAAACCCACGACCTGCCGCGCTTTGGAAGACCAGCTATCCAGCAAGACTGGGGTGCTAAGATGCCAAAGACAATCCCACCTACCAGTGGATGGTGCTGCTGCGGATCGTGTAGTGTTGCGTGGGGGGTTGGTGGGAGAGGGGACTGGGAGAAGTGAAAGAAGCGCGATCGCCGTCCCCATCGATTGGGGGCTGCGAGAGACGTCTCGTAAGAAGCTGGAGATGTGGGGGACGGTTGGGGCAGTGCCATCCTGCCCTGTGTCGGCGCTGCAGATATTTGCGTGGTGTTGTCGAGGATTGCGTGAAGGGAGGAGTGAGAGCGAGGTAAGTGCGATCGCCCACGCCCTCGCCCACCGAATGCACGCCGCGAGACACGCCTCTAGGGGAGACGAGGACGCTGGGGATGCTGAGGATGCTGAGCACAATGCCATCAGCCTCTCGAAGCAGCTGCAACCGATTGTATCGTATTTTCGGAAGATTGAAGAGGAGGAAGAGTAAGCGCGCCCAACCACCAAACGATGTGCAAAGCGAAGAGCGCTTTAGGAGGCGAGGCCGCTATAGACGGCAAAGACAGTCTCATCCGCCTCTTAACGAAGCTGCAGGTGCTGTTGTGCTCGTCTCGCTGCGGGTGGCCAGTAGGTGAGAGGGGATTGGTGCTGTGAATTCTCTTGAAGGCCACAGAGGCGGAGAGCAACCTCCCCTCCAAGTAAGGCGGGGCACCCCAAGGAACTCCCACGCCATCTTCCAATACAGCGATGCAGCGTCTAGAGAGCGCGCGAAGATTCACATATCAAGATTCACATATCTACGGGCAAGTCAGGAGGCACTTGTCAAGCAATAGACTCGTGCTGCTCGATCCAAATGGCAGCAGTACACAGGAGTCGTAGCCGGCACACTCCGACACCACGGCCAAGTGGCTCAGGAGGCTCTGTCCCACATCCAGCGATCTTCAGGGCAGGCTGATCATTACATCAAACGGTGCTATATATTTTGAGATTCTCAGGAGGGATGACATCATCTCTCGGATCATCGCAGACTCGAGAAGAAAAGGGGAGGGCATTCTAGAGGAGAGCAATCAGGAGCAATCATCAACATCACCATAGAAGGATGTGCGTTTGAACAGGACAACGAACGCCATACTCGTGCATACCAATACGGCACAGTATCTCGGCGCTCGCGTCCGACAACTCCCCTCCACCCTCTCGCAAGACGGCCTGTTTGGAGCAATGTAACGGTGACCCCACCATGTCTCCCTCCAGCTGCCATGGGCATTTGACGTACATTTGCTCAGCACAGCCTCGCGGAGTACCCAATGACGGACATGGCGAGAAGCCCCAGGGGCGTCGATGCGGCGACATGCCAGGGCTCATGTGGCTCCCGAGGGCGCTCGCCAAACGCTTCGGCTGCCGGAGACTGCTGCCAAGGCCAGGCATTTCTGTATTCTTATTGGACGCCTTGGCCCGGGGCATGACGCCCACCGCTTCTGACACGCCGAGTCTCCACCTCTGTTTCATGAAACAAAAGGGGATCAGAAGGAATTCGGCCTCTCCACCACTCACGCCGTCGATCCCTCGAAACAGGAGACGCGCAGTGGCTGTGGGCAGGCCGGCTGGGTGCGACCGTCATTCCATTCTGGAGCAGCGACGGAAATTGCTGAGGTGGCCCGGACAAACGCTTTTTATAGAGGAGGCCCTCGCGCGCAGGATTGTTACGATGCTCACCTCACCTTCTTGACTTCTGTGTGTTTGTCCTCCTTTCTTAAAACCTAACGCTCCCTTTTGCTACGTCTTTTTTGAAACGCAGGACGATCTTCTCGTACTGGTACATTCATTCTTTCACATTTCGATTCTTTGTGTGGAGACTCGCGATTTGCCTCAGGGCGTGCCATTCTTTCACCAGATCAACATCACCACAAGGGCCCTTGTTTGCATCACTGGACGCTTTGAACAGCAGCGCCGCCTCAATCACACCGACAAACGGATTATTTGCTCAACACAACATTCTCTTCTGCGAAGAAACTATTTTCTCCAACACAACACAGCGACTTCTTCCCCCCGACCTTTGCTCTACCAACCCCTCCTTTCTTTCCACTCTAGCATAGCATAAGATACCCAGCGCCATGCGTTTCTCTACCTCCCTCGTGGCGGGCGCTCTCGCCAGCCTCGCCTATGCCCAGACCCACACCGAGTGCAACCCTATGGAAAAGGACTGCCCGAACAACCCCGCCATGTCCGCTGAGTTCTCTACTGACTTCAAGGCTGGTGCTGCTAGCGTCAAGGGCTGGAAACAAACTGCAGGCTCCCTCGCTTACAACAATGAAGGCGCCCAGTTCACCATCAACAAGAAGGGTGATGCCCCCACCATTCAGTCCGAGACCTACCTCTTCTTCGGCTATGTCGAGGTCAAGTGCAAGGCCTCTGCTGGCCAGGGCATCATTTCGTCCATCGTGCTTCAATCTGAGGATCTTGATGAGGTGGATTGGGAGTTTATCGGCACGACGAAGACGAATGTGCAGATGAACTACTTCGGCAAGGGCAACACAACGACCTACGACCGCATGATCGAGGGCGCTGTCTCCAACCCGCAGCAAGAATTCCACACATATGCTTTGAACTGGACTTCGGAGTCGCTCGTCTGGCTCATCGACGGCAAGGCCGTCCGTACGCTCAAGTACGCCGATGCTGTTGGCGGCAAGAACTTCCCGCAAACACCCATGACCGTCCGCATCGGCATCTGGGCTGGTGGTGACCCAGACAACGCACAGGGTGTGATCGAGTGGGCGGGCGGCAAGACTGATTACTCCAAGGCCCCCTTCACTATGACCGTTGAGTCCGTTAAAGTGACTAACTACTCCCCCGGCACGGAATACAAGTGGACCGACAAGACCGGATCTTTCAAATCCATCGAGGTTGTCGGCGCCGGCAATAAGGAAGGCAATCCCGCCAACAGCGCCGTCCTCAGTACCGCTTCTGTCAGCGCCACTGGTGGCGGGCTCGGCTCGCAAGTCAACATTCCTACCAACACAGTCAGTGGTGAATTCCACGAACAGCCCACCGGTACCAAGACTCCCTGCTCTGAAGGCGAGAGCAAGCCGACCACCACCGACATCCCAGTCCCCAGCTCCACCGCTCTCCCCACGGGCTCCAACCCAGAGACCCCGTGCTCATGCGGTGTAGCAACCGTCACTGTCACCGGCGCCCCCCCACCACCTCCCGCACCCACCACTCTGATCAGCAGCTCTGCGGCACCTGTCAGCTCTGCGCCTCCAGTCATCAGCTCCGCCCCTGTTAGCTCCGCGCCCCCATACTCCATTACCTCGGTCGGCATCGTCACAGACACCAACCCCGCGCCTTCTGTCCCAAAACCCACGATCCCAACGCCCTCCATCCCAGTCTCGCTTAATGGGACCACGACAGCGCCAACAGTGTCACTATTCACGGGTGCTGCAGCACCGACGAAATTCCCCGCTGCTGTACTTGGGCTTGCTGCTGGTATGGCAATGTTTGTCGTTTAGGGTAGCCTCCATCCCAATCTATAACATAGCATAGATAGCAATGCTCCGGGCATGGGTTCAGTTCTTAGAAGTTACTCTAATTAATTCTGGAGGTTTGGTGATCGGAGCTTGCAGAGACTTTTAGCTAGCTTGCGGGAATAGTAGGGGAAGGGGATGTTGCTTGCTGCTATTTTCTTTGTAGATAATGCGTGCTAGACACGTGTAGGGAATTGCATATTTGAGGGTATAGGAAAATGTGAAATGTCTATACTCATGAAATAGCGTGTGTATGCCTATCATAGAGCATAAATGGAATAGTGATAAGCTTCTGTACCCTTGCTGCAGTTGCATACGCGATTAACAAGAATCCAATTAGCGCACGAAAATACACAAGCAGAGACTAAGCTTCAAAAGTCTAATGCAAAAGGGAGATGCATGCGCCATATGTGGCTAACACCATATAGCTTGTAGCGCACTCAAGAAGTTCCCACCCTTTCCGAATCATTCCCCCTTCACATTCATCCCAGCTTTAACTCCAGCCCCCTCAGCCTCACCTCCACATGCGCCAACTCAGCAATGAGAGAATCCGGCTTTTGTCTCTTTTAATCCACGACAACAAGAAACTTTGACATCTCAAGGCTAGCTGGATATCCCCCGGGTTGAACTCTTCCTTTCCCTTCTTCCACCTAGTTCCCATATCGTATTGAGTGTAATTTAGCTTTAATTACATCTTCCTCCTTCAATATCGTTCATCATCAGTCGCTGATTTGTGAACTGTGTGGCACAACGCTAAATCTGACGCTAGGATTTCAGCCACAAAATCTTATCTTTCGATGCCATGTCTGGGCATGAACCTGGGTGATATATTGTCGCGATTAGGCAATCAATCCGCTGAATACCTGGATTAATGTATACGTAGCACATGGTATATGTCAGGTTTTAGCTAGGTCAAGGTCAATGGAGGAGCGGAAGCTGCGACTACTGCGACACTGATTGGAAATCGGACCTTTGGGTTTCCGATGAAGGGGGAGGAGAGGTTCGCGGTTCTCGTTTACAGATACTCGAAAGGGTGGGCTCGGCGCCTTGAATCCATTGATGCATTGCTGAAGTCGTACGACAGTGAGGAGGGCAGTGGTGGATGACGTCGTCTGAAACCTCCTATGGCCCAGAACCATCGAGTGAGACTTGAAAGAGATAATTTCTTTCACTTGGTCACACCGCCATGTCTCGTAGGCTCTCCACAATCTCAAAACAGTGTTCAGAGCGAGGCTTTTTATTCACTCATTTGTTTTACTTCTCCTCTTCATTACTCAAACATCTCGACAGCAAATATTACCAGTACTCACCCCTTCTCACTTCGACCACCACACAACCACATGGTCTACTCAACCCCTCAACCCCCTTTTATAAATCGTCCCATTCCCCGTAAAATTTCCTGTCTGCGTCGTAAAATCTTCCGTACTACTAAAATCCTTAACCCTCCCCAACAATATCTCCAACATCCTGTACGCCACACCAGGCGTGTAGCCCGGAAGCTCATGACCCGCGAGCTGCGACGTGTAAAAGGTCAATCCGCGCTCGTGCGTCCATTTCCCTAAGTACCCGGCGCCAGCTAGTGCGCCCAGGTTGTATTCGGGGTGGTATGGCGCATACAGGAGGTTTGAAGGATAGGCCTGAAAGCCTTGGACACCGTTCCACGTCATGTTCTGTAGGGCGAGGAGGGTGCCGTTTGTGGTGAGGATCATATCCAGATCTCCTGATCCGACGATCGTGTTGTTTGTGTATTCGATGACACGCTGTAGCACACCGTCCTGGGCTGGACCGAGAGAAGTGTCATGGAGACTTGGGTCGGTGTTGTTGCCCGCGCCGAAGACGTTGATGTCGGTGCATTGCATCCAGTTTGTACCGACAACGGCGTGGAGCGCTTCTTGCACATCGGTTCGGTTGAAGTAGACTTGTGCGCCTGGAGCTTGGTAGTCGCCTGTGTTGATTATGCCGAGTTGAGAGAAGGGGTGAGGGCAGCTGAAAATCTGTTAGCAAACTTGCTCGAAGACGCCGATTCTATGAGGAGGTAAGGGGCGTTTCTCACGTTTCGGTAATGTGGTAGATGTTGAAACATGGGTTGACCTCCAACAGGGCGCTGTAAAAGTTGTCGAACATGTCGCAGGTATAGTTCTCTGAATTGTAAGGGTCCGGCGGGACTGGGAATGGTCCTGGTGGTGGAGGAAATTTAAAGTAGGTATCGTAGTAGTCAGTAAAGTTGCAGAACGCCTGACGTTCGCGCATCTGCTCCATGAAAGTATCGTTTAGATACGTGAGGCGTTGCCAGTATTCGATGAATGGAAGAATAACCACTGATACCAGTTAGCCTTGGTCCCAACGGATATCTTACGAGAAAATAGAGAGCTACTTACCTTGCTGCTGAACTGTCTCATCCCCAATAATCGGGTCGTTGATCGAGATACCAGCTAAATTAAAATACTCGGTATCGTTCGCCTGAATAAACCCATCGGCAATATACGGCACATAATATCCAGCGTAACTCTCTCCAGTAACATAAACATCCCAATTGTGAACATCAAAAGTATCAACGAATGACTTGTAGAAGCCACGAAATTCAGTCGCGAGCTCGACTTCGTTGGTGATGTTGGGAACACCTTGGCTGTAGCCTACTCCCACCGGTTGCTCAACCCAGATCATGTTGGTGAGGTTGGTCCATGAGTAGGGATTTTGAACAGGTGCGAGGGTCCCGGCTTCCCAGGTAAAAGGACCGTTTTCCGTTAGGAGACCGCTGAGGGAAGAGCATCCCGGGCCACCATTAAGCCTGCAAAACGTTGGGTCAACGTATTTGGATAGAGAAGGGGATTTCCAAAGCATACCATATAACAATCTCTTCTGGTTCGAGTGCGTTGGTGGATGGAAAGAACCTAATGTGTTAATTGATTTTTTATTTTTTTTGGAGCTAGATGCTAAGGGGTAATACCAGAAAAACAGCTTTCGAGTCTCATCGGGGTCATCTGAAACTGGCAGGAGGCCAGCGTATGACTCTCCAATGTCAAACGGGACTTCTGGAATGCCTGTACCATTCACCGCAAATTCTAGGTGAACGTTAGTTATGACTTGGAAGGCCGAGGTTTGATTTACCCTGAGTCTTGTCTGTGAGCCATCGTGAAGCTCTCTTCTGAAGCTCAGGATTTCGGAATCGGTGATTGGGGAGGCTTCTTTCGACTTGTGGTCGGGCTTTATTAAAAACATTCCGCTTGTGAGGTAGGTTTCCCCCAATAACAGAGTCAATACACAAAAGAGCGCTGAAAAAAGCCAGGACGAGCTTCATGATGCACAATTGAATGGGCTAGAGAAGTCAACAAGACAAAAGAGCGGTAGATTAGATGTTGACGAGCTTTATTTGAAGACGCTCTACGGATGACGGAATTGACCATGGATGTTGAGCCGCGCCTGCAGGATTCTAGAGCTTTTTACCAGGAACAGAAGGAGAATTGCCTGAATCCCATTTCGCGAGGGGTATGGCTGGGTAGTTGAGTAGCTCACGAGTGCAACGGCTACCCGGTTCATGGATAAGCCTTGCTTAGCCATAAAAACGTGTAGAAAGTTGTGCGATTCGTACATACTGTGTGATGACGATAGGCAAGACCCGTTCTCGTGAGACCGAAGTCGAGGATGACCTGCCGCATCAGGTATAGCTCTCTTGAGGAAAACAATGTTATAAAACCCGATCCAGCCTGAATCCTTGCTGGAAGTGGGGAAAACTTTTGAAAACAACCTTCGCTGATTTGATGGTGCTGGAGATATCCTAGAGATATGAAATGATAGTATTGATATGCAGAAGGGAGTAAAATCAAGCCTCGGCTGCAGGGCTTGTCAATGCTTCAATACTTTCATAATGCTAGAGGCTGGAGAGACGAAGGGTGGTAGCTACCAAACGTGAGCAGACAGGCAGGCGAAGGAACGATCAAGAACCGGCGGTACCGTATCTCCCCGCAACCAAGCTCGGAAGCTCTTGTACCTAGCGGTTGTGCTTATTATTGAGGCAGGCCAAATCATGCACGTTCGGGTGCTAGTAACGGGTGAAGGGCAGAAGCGCAAGGAAAGAATGCAGTCCATCGGTGTGACGAAACATCAGCCCTGATGTGATTGTTGCTCAGCACAAAAATTACTCACAATAAGCAAGGATACATGCGACAAGATGGTATGGAATGTTGCGTGGTGAACGTTGAGAGTTGACTCGCAAAGCTGTAGATTAGCTGAAGCTGCCGCTTGACATGATTGGTGAGTGACAGTCATGTGCAAGCTAACCCCTTCCGTAAAGCATGGGAAGGAATCGTTCACTTCGGAGATTGTCGAGAGCTTTTGTCTCTCATCTGTACGCGCATACTTTCTCTTGTGTATTATTTAGAGCACAAGTTGTCTTGTTGAATCCAAAGAGCAAGCAGAAGCAGACCTGAGAATTGCACTTTCTTTGGTTGGTTTTGGAACACGATGAATGCGATCACCCCACAGCCACAGCTTGACCGGCTGACGCGCGGCATAACACAGCCCCATTAGCACCTGGAAACCCTCATTATCTGGTCAAAGGACTGAATACCAGGAGTCTGTCCTAATTCTTTCAGGCTTTTGCGCCAAGTCCCACTCAATCAGAGGAAAAGATAACAACAATGGGCCTCCCCACTACCCCGCAAGACTCTGCGCCAGCCTACGAAGATGTCATCCAAGACCACCCCGTGAACCAGTATACGCCGTCTGGGTCGGCATCAGCAGTGAGTCGAAGCGCAACCCTGCACTTCATGTGTGGTGAAGCTGATGCCATTGCAGTACTCTGCTGTTCCACAGGATGATGTTGAGATGCATGCACACATGCACGACGCTTCCCCACCCACTCCTCAACCTCAAGGCCAAGAGTCTCTTGCTCAGACAATTGCAGGAGTCTTCCGACCAAAACCACACGTTCACTGCAAAGAGTGCGATGTCATGACGCAGGCGAGGGAGCAACGCGAGAATGAGAAACACTGTTGTACGATGGTCGCTGTGACGTTCATCGTTGCCTTCATATGCGCCCTGCTTCTTGGAATAGTCGTTGCGGGCTCGATCGCGAAGATTAAGAGACATAATATGCATGACTGATTGGCAGGACATGTACGTGGCGCCCATGTGCGCTTGATGGCTTGCGAGTATGGATGTTTTAAGATACCCGGGACCATTTGGGCAATGAGCGGCTTTGGTATACACATCAGCACAAATTGTCCGTACTCTTGTGTAGACTCCGCCCTTTTCGCATCATTATTCGTTTGTTAAGTTACAGAATCCCTCATTGCGTCGCGTCGTACCTCTCCAATTCTTGTTCTCATTCTCGTTCTCATCATTGGATCCTGGACTTCTGTAACACATTCAACAGTGTTCTATCCCTCTTTTAAAATTAGTTATTGAAATATGTGTACCCACTCAGAATCTTTCCTAACTAATGTATTCTGAACTTCAAATCCCCGATTTCGTTCGCGCTACCACCCCCTCCCCAACACAATATCCAAATCGCCCCTCTCACCAATTGTCCCCCTAAGACACGTACTCAGCGACGAGAAGTCCAACATCTCAAATACTGTTTACCAAAATCCATCCTCACAATCAAGTTCCCCCTCTGCGATATTGCCGGGGCCCGATTTACCCTGGTACCCGGGGTCGGTATATCAATCTACCGGAGATGCACTATAAGGCCTCACATTCCATTCGTCCATCGACAAACACCCTCTACAATCTCAACAAACAAGGTCAAAATCGAACATCGATGCTTCATCTAAAGTAAATTCGCTTTGCTTAGAAATATTCAAGGCTTATCTGATTCCAGGCTAAAAGCATGAAGTGCTTAAGAACGAAGGATGGGCCATTTTTTTCAGGGACGGGAGGTGTTTTTGACTTCAAATTGTATCCCTCACACTTCCTTTCCATCTCGAAATCTTGACCACAGGTCTAAACTCTACTTCACGATGCATTTCTCCATCCCCTTGCTGGCCCTCGTGCCCACGGTCCTCGGCCACGGCCTCATCCAAACACCTCCGTCCCGCCCCGTAGGCTCCGCCATCATGTCCGCCTGCGGCAACGGCGTCGTCGCCCAAATTAAAGCCGACAACACGTCGCACGTCGAGGGGCTCCCGGAAGCCGCCGCAAAAGACAAAGCGTACCAAGCCGCCAAATGTAACCTCTGGCTCTGCAAGGGCCTGCAATTCGCCGACAACGCCAACAACACGCAAACCTGGACGGCGGGCCAAGTTGTGCCAATCAAGGTTTGGGTTCGCATTCCGCACGAGGGCAGCGCGAACGTAAGTATTGTGGATACCAAGTCAAACAAGATTATTGGGGATATGTTGAAGGTGTGGAGTAAGGGATATGCGCCTGGGAATACCGAGGCTGGTGTCCCGAAGGATCAGAAGGAGTTTAGTGTCACGATTCCAACTGGATTGGAGGAGAAGTGTGCCACCGCTGGTGATTGTGTAAGTGGAATGGCTTTCTTGTTGACGTGCACGCTCATGTTGCTGACTAATTCGCATAGGTTCTTCAATGGTGGTGGTATGGCACTGGTGCTAAGCAGACTTATGAGTCTTGCGTGGACTTCATAATCGCAAAGCCGGCTGTTAAAGAACGCATGTTCAAGGCTTAGGTTATGTCGCTGAGCGAAGAAGGCGATTAGGTTACGTAAGACAGGCTTCAAGAGCAGTAATCGAATAGATTCGGATTCAACCACATTCTCAACCCCACCCTAGAAATTCAGGAATTCTTCATTTCATCAATATGTGGAATGCGATATCTTTGTGTCCGGAAGCTCAAGCTGCCGTTGTGTGACGTTGAAGAGGCAGTTGCAGATCTGGGGGAACGGGGCATGGTCTTAATATGGATTGGCGAATCAGAGCTCTGCCGAGTGTTGCCGTACACATTACTTCATCTCTAGGGATAGTGCCTCGCGTGGTGGTTGATATTACAATTTACCTTTTGTGGGGGATAAGCTGCGAATTCCAAATCACGGTTATGCAAGGCGAAGGAGTCCAGCGTGCAGAGATGCTTGGCGTGGTGTTCATGGGCGAAGTTTGCGGTTCGGACCTCCAAAAATAGGGAGTGCACAAATAAGATCAAGATATATTTCATGTTGAAACACAAAACGAGACTGTATAAACGCTTGAATTTCTACAGAAGACGAGCTCGAATGCAGGCAAGCTGTTATGTTCATCTTCTAAAATTCTAAATTCCATGCTCTTTATAGCAACTACACAGCATCATCATACATCGTATCAATTGATGTATCCTGGCGAGCGTCTTCATGGTAGTGTGCCCCAGCCGCATTTGCACCAGTATCTAGTTCGTTCGAGCGGCGGAGATCCCTGGGCTTGTCCAGGAGTGGATCTACATATGGATCGAATGCCTTCCAGTACGGATTCTAAAGTATCATTTAGCAAACTGCAATTACATTCAGTCTTGACCTATTCCCTTGAAAGAGGAAGATGTGTGATAGGTACCTCGAGATGATACCTCTGGGTCTACATCATGTGTAAGCAGATCAATTCTCCGTTCGTGTCTCTACTCCTCCTCCATCAATCTATACGACCTTCGGAACAAATCTGAAATAATCACTCACGCCCTCTTTTAGATACCTCTCCACAATTGTAAATTTCCTCGGATCGCCAACATGCTGCATCACATGCCAGCCCATAGTCTCCTTGTCTCGACTGTAGACTTGGTTCTCCTCTGCCAATTTATCTTCAGCTTCGCGATATCATTTTTGTCGTGGTTGGCGTAAAGATGAACGACAATTGTATACACCATATTGTTTCGTGGTACAAAGAAGATGGTATGGGATAAGAGGAGGCGGTGAGGTATAAGGGAGGGAAATATTGCAATAGGAAAGAGGCACAACTAAAGGTCAAATCTCAGTCTATAGTCAGTCGGAAATGGACTTATAAAAGAAGGCAAAGATATATTGGGCGGAAGTCGGTAGATGCTTGGGTTGCATTTCGTTGAGAAAGGAAGGAAAATGATGCATAGTGGTGTTATTGCGGTATCATGTTGAAATGGTGACGTTGTTCTTCTTGTTCCCTGCAATTTCAGTAGGTACGCTTCCAGCGTGGCCAACAGTACGTAGTACGTTACGTTTGAGCTTTTTTCTGCCAGTAACTTCTTAATTTAGTAGTACTTTTGTACGTAAGCAGTGAATTAATTAGCAAGTATGTAACATAACAGTAACTTTTTAAAATCCTTATACTTTTATACTTTTTACAAGAAGTTTTATTAGTCTAGGTTAAAATTGTTCTAGGAGAAGCTTTTTAGCCTAGATAAAGTCCCCTTCTCCTTCTTATTGCCCTCTGTCTCTAGCTTGTTAGGACAACTCTAATAAGCAGGAGGATTAGGATAAGGCTATACGCCTACTGCAATAGAGGAATTAAGACATCTAGCTTATTATAACAATTAATAAGATAGGCAATAAGTTAGTAAATAAGTAGGTATAAGATAAGGAGCTTTTTTAGGGCAAAAGTTAACTATTTTTATAATTGTTACTTTAAAACGTGACTTTAAACAAAGCTTCTAACGTGATAGCTAATAGGGTCTAAAAACAGGAGGGAAATCTCCTAAAATATGACTTCTCTGACCTGTACTATGGTACGTACTTGGTAATTTACTGTACAAAAGTTACGTCTTACATTTTAACTACTTTTGTACTCCTCACGTGATTACTACGTTCACGTAGTTACGTTACGTACTACGGACTGTTGGCCACGCTGTACGCTTCCGCAGCTATCCACTGATGATGTTCGGTTCTTGTCAGGTGAAGATTAGTCGGCACGGTTTCCGAGGAAACTCGGAATAAACGGTGTAGATGGGAATGGTAGGTTTTAATGGAAAGGTGTGACCAAGTTGGGGGTAGCGATGGGCTGAGGAGCATTTGCCATGGCAGGTGACTCCACCAAAACGTTCCTAGGCTGCTTCACATCTTGCGAAAATGCTCATCTGTTGGAACAAACCACAATCTTTCATTGAATTGGCTAGGGTTGCTTATATAATTTTCCTCCTTTTCACACATATGTGATTCTATCAAGCCTATTCAAAAAAGCGGCATCTTCGAGCAGATTCCCATCAACAGCAATAATATCTGCATCGTCTCCTTCCTTGAGCAGTCCGCTTAGCAGCGTTTGGGGTCCTAGCTTTTTCGCAGAAATCACTGTTGCTGCTTCAATTGCCGTTAAAGGGGTTATGCTATCAGCCGCACACACTAGCTCGGCGCTATTGTTCCTGCTACTGAGACCTGTGTTAGGCGTAGGAAATCGAGATCAGCGCTCAAGGCAATCTGGTCACTTGCTTCAGCAGGTTTCTTCTACATCTCGTTCGCGATCCTTGCAACATCCTCCAACTTGTCACGGGATTCGTTTTGAGAAGATTTCTGTTCTTTAGGACTTCGTGGATGACAGTCCTGGTGTGAATTAGGACGACACCATTCTCTTTCATCGAGCTCATGCACTCTTCGTCCATATACGTCCCATGTTCAAGCATTCTATAGCTAGCTGTAAGTGTCGCCATGACCCCTTCTCTTCCATTACATGCGCTGCAACGATATAGTGTACGCGCCCCCCTTTTTCAACGATAACTCTCCTCTCCCCGTCTGAGAATTGCTGGTACAGGGAATGTCTCTGAAGCTCATGACACCTCTACTAATGAGGAACATGCCGAATTTTGCGCCCCTCCGAAGCCGTAGGCGAACAGCTTTCCAGCATTCGTCTACACTGTCGGGGATGCAGAGAGGAAAGATTCTCTGGTTGGATTCTGAGAAAGTAACGCTGCAACAGAACCATACTCCATCTACGGGAAGTTCACAGAGATCGCCATGGCCGGTCATGTGACTAATGCAGGCTCCAGCGCTGTAACCGTTTGGACCCGGGGCGGATCCGTCTTCAATCGCGAGTGCGACCTTTGTCGCCCATCCGCCGGGATCGTGAACACTCGTGAATCTCACGTTTAGTATGTCAGCTGCGGATCGCAATAGACGAACCCTGGGTTTTGCTGGATGTACAAGGGCAATGGCAGAGATATTGAAAGTTGTTATGCCGCAGAAATGAACATAGCAGTCCCAGAGACCATGGAGAATGGTTGGCACGGAGAGTGTAGGGCACTTGGTGAAAGTGGGTGGAAGATAAATTGAGGGCCTATGTAGAGGAAATTTTTAGTCTTGAATGTGGTAACGACAGAGCCCTCTGAAATTAGATCGCTGCGGCTAGGGATGAGAAGGGATGCCTTGTGACCGGACTGTCTTCTCTCGAACTCCCACCGCTTGCATTTTAGGTTGCCGAATTTTGTTAGCTATGGTTGAAAGGAAGGTTAAAGTTTGGAATACGGAAACGCACGCATTCTGGAGAATATGCACATGATGTAAAGACTCACTGTGGCTAACAGTAAAGATGGCAGGCACATTCGATCTGCGTAGCTGTTGACGAATCAACTGGCGAAGAAGCTGGAGATCGACATTGAGCGAGCGAGAGAGAGAGGGCACCTCCTACAGCCTTTCAGGAAACAGAAAGCGAGTTCGTGAAAATACTATTTTTACTGATAGCGGTTCAGAGATGAAGACCGACGAGGAGCACAAACCTGGAACGAAAGGTGCAGGCATCTCCAGGGATGTGATTGGTCAATTGGATTAGTCATCATAGTCTCGAACAATTCGTTGTCCAGCTTCCGATTTCTCAACCCTCTTCTACAAGTCTTAGTACGCCCCAACGAGCTCTCCTCAACACATACGATACCGATACCCAGCAATTACTGGCTTCTCAATTCTCAACTCGATGTGATCAACCTATCTAGAAGGAATCGGCCCCTAACACCTCCCATCATCACCCCTCACTTGCTCAAGTCTGCCGCCCTCCCTAGCACAGTTTTGAGCCATTTCTGCATGTGAAATCATACTTGAGGGGTCTATCTGACTTCGTACGCGACTCGCTCGCGGAGGTTACGGCATCCTCCCCCCCACGATTCAATGCTGGTCTGGCGTTGCAGTTACTGGTTTGGAGGTGATAGATTACATAGGGAAAAAAAAAACTTTTTTGATGATACTATAGGGTTATCTCGTTTCTATACTCAATTCGCTTCAACTCAAATTGGTTACATGGAATCTTTCATATACCTAGCATAGATAACAAAACTTATCCCTTGTGCTGTCTTCATTTATCAACAAATGGGGAAATGAATTGCGTTTCTTCGTGGAAGTCTGGGATGCAGTAGCTTGTGCGAGTAGGTTCAGTGATTCCATTTTCCGTATTTCCGGACTCAGCGATTATACGGAAGCGCATCACGAGGCCAATGATGCCTCGGGTAAATGACCAATCAATACCCATAACACTTGCTCATTGTCGATGCCGTCTGGATGTGGTTTTCCTCATTCTCCAGTGCAGAGGCCTGGCGTGGGCGAACAAACCTAGATCTTGCCTCTAACATTAATCTTCCCCGCATTTCACCTCACTAAGGCTCTGATCCCAGCAGTCCAGTCACCCATCGACTGCCTCAGCCCATTGATTGGAGTTTTACACTATCTACAAATGGAGAACCTACGTCCGGCTTCTGGGTTTAATAGCTAGTTGCATTCGAAAGTGAACATTTGGGCCCTATTTCCATTCACTCTACGACTTGTTAGAACTCAGCATTATTCCGATTTCGAGGAATGTACCATGGGGCATTTCGTGCCAACTCTTCATGGTGGAGTGCAGCTTACCGGAGCAGTAGTTGCAGCTGTGAGTAGTCTAGAATGGTTTATAGTTCATATTTTAATCTTCGAACTAGTGGATCTTCTATCTCATTTCCCTAATTGTTTATCGGCGCTTCTTCCATCCTCTCGCAAAGATTCCCGGGCCTTTTTGGAATTGTGTATCCCCAATTCCCGCTGGACTCTCGCTTCTCCGCGGCCGCTTCGCGTTTGAGAACAAGCTGCACCATGAGAAATATGGTACTGTTCTGCGCTCCCTCAAGAACTGGGAGTGGGCTTACTTCAATAGGCTCAGTCTTCCGCCTCGGGCCCAACGAACTTACATTCAACTCTGCACAGGCGTATCAGGACATCTACGGTTTTCGGCCTGGGCATACGAACATGCTAAAGTCTCCCATTCATACTGGACCTGTTCAAGTTGGCTCGACTACGACTGTTCAGTATGCAGTTGAAGATGCCGACCACGGCCGCCAGAGGCGTGCGTTAAGCCACTCTTTCTCGACACAAGCCTTAATGGAACAAGAACCAATTGTCCAGGAATACATGACTAAATTCGTCACCAATTTCCAGAGGTTGGCTAAGGAGGAGAAGGAGATCAATATTGGTGACTGGTTTTGCTACTTCACGTTCGACACGATGGGCGACCTCAGTTTTGGGGAAAGCTTTGGGTGTCTCGAGCATGGTTAGATGGAACTACTTCTATGCCACTCCAATGGACTAATTTGTTTTCCAGGCGAATACCAAGAATGGGTCAGCTATCTTTTCCACACTATCAAGGACGGCGCTTTGATTCAGGGCACTCGACGTATTGCGGGAACTGGCACATGGCTACAAAAGTTTCTCCAAAATCAATTCCAAGGAATGGGAAGTGCTCTCCAGTATCATATCATTCACACCCGGGAAAAGGTGACGAAACGTCTTCAAGCGGACCATATCGAGCACAGAGACTTCATCTGGTACATATTGAAGCAAGCGGAGAAGTTTGATATGAAGCATGATGAGATCATTGCGAATTCAGGTCTCTTCATGTACAAACCCCTATGAGAGCTACAATTTTGACTTCTCTAATCTTTCCTCAGCATTGCCGGCAGCGAGACTACTGCAACCGCCCTATCAGGACTTATGGCTCGACTGATCTGGAACCCACAGTGTTACGCAAGGCTCGCGGATGAGATTCGATCAGCTTTCGCGAATGAAGAGTCCATCACCTTCAACGCCGTTCTAAACCTTCCGTATCTAAACGCTTGCATCGAAGAGGTCCTTCGCGTTCACCCTCCAGTTCCAGCCGGCCCACCTCGCGTGGTGCCTCCAAGTGGAGATTTCATCGACGGCCACTGGGTTCCTGGCGGTGTAACTGTTTCGGTTGGTGCGTGGGCATCGTCACACAATGCCCTCCATTTCCGTGACCCAGATGCCTTCATTCCAGAACGATGGATTGATCCGGCATATGACTCTGATGTGAAGAAGGCGATGCAACCATTCTCACTGGGGCCGAGGAATTGTATCGGAAAAAAGTAAGACATGTTTTGTCCATTTTCATCGTGTGGGTCCTCCCTGAGTCCAATGTTAATAGTATGCAGTTTGGCCTACATGGAAATGCGCATCATGATTGCGCGCCTACTTTGGAACTTTGATGTTGTGAGTGTTGATGGGGCGCCGCTATGGAACCCGGAAGGTGAGATGAAGTACAAGCAAGCATTCATGGTGTGGGAGAAATCGGTAGTAATGGTAAAGATCCGTGACTTGAGGGCATAACGATTAATTGACTGTGCGACCACCGTTGCGAGTCGTTTTACTTGCCAATCTACCCAAGAAACATACAAAAAAATCTCTAGATGATACAATAATGTCTTTGCCTTGGTGACCCACATCCCGGCACTTCCGCACTCCTAAAGCTCCGCTTCGGAAGAACCTCCAACGAATGAGACATTTTTCCGAAAGCGAATCCTCGGGAAACGGGTGAAACCCGCCACCAATTCTTACCAAACATCTTATCACGTCAGCTATGCCTCCTCTCTTAGCCCTTCATTTTCTCCCAACGTTGGTGCCAAGATTCTAGCCCGGGTTTGAAACGTTTCGCCTCCTCTCATAGATTGTTAACCCCGGTGTCGATCTCCTTAGCGAGGACCAAGGAACGGAACATTGTGAGTCTTGAAACACGAGGCTTCAGAACAATCAGATGGCGAATGTGTAGCGTGACTGTAAGCTCACTGTAGGCGGAGAATTTACAACCTGACCGAAGACCTAGCCTAATGTTTTGTAGGTCCCTTCTCCACTCACGACACTTGCTTGTTTGATATTCATATTCATGGGTGAGTATACGTAACCCTTGTCAGTCAGTGGTCTTCTCCCCCATTCTCGAAGACATGCGAGATTCCGATATCTATAAGATGGTTTTCTTTCCATACCTGATATTTCTTCACCCTCACCACAAATCCTTCCTTCCTTCCTTCGTTCTGTGCACCTTTCCAGCACTTGTGCTAGTCACAGTCTTTTACTTTTTTTGTCCTTCTTTTGCTGTGCAGAACTTTTGAACGCCGTCTTCACAACACGATGCATTTCAACACCGCACTCTCTACTTTCGCCACCATGGCAGTTATCTTCTCTGCAGTCGATGCATCCCCTCAACGTCACCACCACCACAGTGGTCAACCCCATGGCACCGGCGTGCCATCCAACTTCCCTTCAGGCGCTGCTGGCCCCTCAGGAGGCCCACATGGTGGCGGTCCTGGAGGGAGGAATGGTACTAGGAGCGGTCATCCTGAGTTCTCGGGCCCGGCTCCCACGGGAAGTATAGAAGCTCAGGAGACTGGAAGTCCATTCGGCGGCTTCAACTCTGATCTGCCGTCTGGCTTTCCTTCCGGTTTCCCAGGCTTCCCGTCTGGCGGTTCTCGCCCGACTGGCAGGCCTTTACCTCCCGCAAATGGCACTGATAGTCCTGGATTCCCATCCGGGCCAGCAGCTACGGGCGGGCTTCCAACACCTCCATCTGCTGGCATCCCAACTGCTCTTCCCACCGAAGTCTCTGGAGTACCGTCAGTCTCATTCGCTTTCCCATCTTCGGTTGAAGGCAACATTGCCGCTGCCGCAGAGTCCACGACCAAGACCAAGACCAAATCCGCAAAAACCAAGTCCGCAAAATCCTCAAAGGCTACCAAGGCTGCATCTGTAACTGCCTCTGTAAATCCTTCTACGGCTGCATCTACCTTCGTTCCCGCAAGCGGCGCCGCCACTACAACCTTCCCAGAAGCCGCCGGATCTAGCTCTCTCAGCGAGCCCATGAAGGTCTCAGGCACCTTCGATGGGAAAATGGTTCGCTTCGATCGTGGTACTGCCTGTTCTGGACAATCTGAAGGTGGTGACTCTGATGCAGTTTTCCAAGTTGAAGAAGGTGGAACACTTAAGAACGTCATTATTGGTGCTGATCAGTCCGAGGGCGTCCACTGCATGGGCGCTTGCACTATCGAAAACGTCTGGTGGGAAGCTGTGTGCGAGGATGCTCTTACCATTAAACAAACATCTGGCGTCTCTTATGTCATTGGAGGTGGAGCTAAGGGAGCGGAAGACAAAGTCATCCAACACAACGGCGGTGGCACCGTTTCGGTACAATACCCCAACTCAATCCCTAGAGATAATTTATGCTAATATATTTAGATCTCCGGCTTCTATGTCTCCGACTTTGGCAAACTCTACCGCTCATGCGGAAACTGCGATACGATGTACGAACGCCATGTTATTGTCGACAACGTTGTTGCAGACTCTGGAAAGCTGCTTGTCGGCATCAACTCCAACTACGGCGACACGGCTACCATTACTAACAGCTGTGTCTCCAACACTAAGGCTATCTGTACCGAATTCGAAGGTAATGATACAGGTGATGAGCCAACGGAGATTAGCACCGGCATCAGTGATGCATGTATCTACACTGATGCCGATACGACTACTTGCTAGACTATTCGCTAGTCCGACTCGGGACTTGTCGTCTCGGACATCGTTTGGATTCCAAAATGGACCGGGGTGAATTGGCTGTCCTGTTAATGGGCCCTGATGGGTTGAAACTTGGTTGAGAGGAAGTGAGGGGTGACTCTTCGACTTGTATATATTTACTTTACTTCAGATTTGCTGGTGGATCTAGCTACTTTAACAAAAAGCTGATTGCTATCGATGTTGCTCCTGCTACAGTGATGGGATTGCTTAGCTCTGATAACTATTAGCGTTCTTGTCTGTAGGGCTTGTGTCTCACACCGCAACCTATTTAAGAGTGAGCGCCTTTGCAAGTGCCATGCCTATTACTGCAACCCATTTTGTTTTGTTAAGTCGGAAGGTCTTACAATGGGCTGCCCAATCAACCTTAGGCTTGGCGTCCTACATAAATCACATAGCCCCTCAGACCCTCAGTCCACCGTACATTACTTCTTTCATAGCACGTGCTCCCTGGAAGACTACAGCTTTGCATTGGAGTGCGCTATGCATGTTGCATATTTCATGCAATGCAGCTCCCTCTATGAGAATATAATAACTTATTTGTTGCGGAACAGGACCGCGTTTGAACATTGGCTGGTAGGAGGTGGCAATGTCGCCCTCCTCCAAATGCTTTAAACTAAGAGTGAATACTAGCAGGCCGAGATTCAGAGGTAATGTCCTTATTCCTCCATATAAATCTGTTCAGATACAGCGTTCTATTCCAACTTCCCTGTCCAGCTATGGTTTCACCGCACCTCCTTCCTCCCACAAGTCCACCGCTGCCATCCCAATAACAATCTTTTCCCTCTCCCCATTCCTCACAACTTGTCTATACAAGATCCTCCTTCCTCCTTCCTCTCTCCACATCTCTGTCCTCACCACCTGACCCAACGCCCCATAAATAGGCTTACTTAGTCGACACTTCACGCTTTTAAACCTCCGTCCGTCACCACCAGCAAACGCATCAACGACATGCCGGACTCCCATCCCAAGCGGACAAGTTCCCGTCAAAATGGGGGCCGGAAACCCTGCCGCTTTTGCCGTCTCGGGGTCAATGTGCAGAGGATTCAGATAGCCTGATGCGGCGCGGTAGAGTGCTGCTTGCTCCGGAGACGTTTTATGCGCAGTGATTTTATCTGGAGCCCGGGTCAGAGTTGGATACAACGTTGTTCTGGGCCCACGTTGGATCGGGGTTGTATTAGCTCCAGCTGTTGGAACTTTCATTACAAAACCCCCCCATTGGTTCACGCAAAGGACATCTATAGTTCCCTCCTCGACAGTCTCGATATCTACAAAGACTAACACCCCGCTCCTCCGATCCACGATATCAACCACTTTTGCCGTCGTTTCCAACTTAATTTCCTCTCGGCCATTCGGAATCGGATACGCTTTTTTTAGCTCTAAGAAATTCTCTCCATGGACGTGATTGTGGCCTTGAAAATTTGGGAGGAAGTCTGCCATAGCGCGATGTACAAGACCCATGACTGCGATACCATGAACGGCCCCATATGTGGGGAGAGCGTGGAAGTCTGGGTAACCTTCGAAAGTTAAGGAGAGGTGGGAGCCGGGCGCCCAGGGCGAGGTTATAGGATATTATCTGTTGGACATTGTATGTGGTGTGGATTGTCCAGGAAAGTTGTTTTGTTGCTGGGAGGTCGATGGTTGCTGGGGTCATGGCTAGAATAGTGGGAGGGAATGGTCTCTTAGTGTATGGGAAAGAACTCTTCCAGATATTCTCAGAGCCTAGTTTTGAATTCATCGTCTCAACCCGAGTAAAGATTTATGATGCGGCTGGTTGGCTCCTTGGTTCTTTAAGCTTTACCCCACATTTCCCTGATCTTTGGTACCGAAGGCGAGGCTTCACTTCAACATCCTATCACTCCACCCAAGCCAGGTCTTTCCTGCTCAATTCTAACATAGCCTTTGGTAGCTGACCTTGTTGAATTTCCATGAATTAGGGGGGATAGGGTATGCTCAAAAATTGTCCCAGATCTTAACTGTCACATCCCTAGGCTGAACTAAAGATCAAATGCAGCTACCATAAACACCACAAACCACCCCTACTCTCTTCCACTCCAATATCCGTGTGCATGTCCTGGGAATCAGATCCAGACCTTTCCAATAGTTGCGCTAGACTCTAAGGGAGGTTTACTCCAAGGGAGGGTTTCTCCACAGGAAAGCGTACATCTTATATCAGATCATCCCGGTAATCCAATCTGTTGAACGTTAGAGTACGGTCGGTGGCGTTACCCATACGCTGATAATACCGTAACTCAAGCAGTTCCCTGAGGTAATAGATTTTATATTTACCACTTCAATCTTTACAACAGTGTATTGAATTTCCATCCAGGGTAGGTAGAGTTGTGGAGCCTGGGTGGATGCCCATGACTACGTTAGGAGACTGTGGCTAGACACCGTACATTCGTATGCGTGCCGAACGGAACGCGCACTGCCATAGTAGATCGAATTGGAAAGTGTGCCCCTAGGGGGCCGCTAGGAATCGATCAATCACGCTTTCCTCTTGCATACACTAGCTAATAGCGGCGACATCCAGGAGTCGGTCCTTCTCGAAGGTCAATTGGCGATGCGAATATGCTTCTACTATTTGCGCTACTGGGGCTTGATTTGTGAATCATACAAAGATGATTCTAATCGAAGTTGGTTGGTAACCCTACAACCACTCTCGCTACTTCTCATGGACGCGCGCTTCTATGCCATTTCTTTGGCGCAAAAGTATAACATCCTTAGCGATAGTGACAGCTCCTGGTAGGGCTAATATTTGTCTAATAGTGGAAAACTGTATCTCTTTAGCAACTCTTCCAAAGAAGGTGTCGCGTACAGCTATCCGTCTATATATATCCTTCTGCTGTGCTAGCTGGGAGGTTGACCTTTTAGCAAACGCAACAGAAGGTAACTTTACTAGTTTGTTGTAAACGTAGACGTCGTCGTCGAAGGGAACTTGTTTGACAAGAAAGTTGGCATCTATCCGAGAAACAGCCTTCTGAGATGTATACTACCAATATTAACACAATTGTGAGGAATGCGTTCGTATATATATTGTCCATCTCCGCCCCTTGCTCTTTCCAGTCCTCTCAGGGTATTGAATGATGCAGAGTGAGTCAATCCATAGAAAATGGATATACGGGCGGCGGCAAATCTCGACCACGTCCCCGAAGGACTTCGGGAAAAATTCATTAGGGATGTAGCACGGAAATGAAACTGGGGTTCTCCTCGCGGTCTTGGAGATATCCGTCGCAGAGCCCCAAAAATGGCTCCAGCAAGCGTACCCCTGCGACTCATCGTCCTCGTAAAGCACGATATAACAATTAAATAGTTTTAAAAATACGTTTGAGTTATCGTGGTATGTCTGTAGTTGTAAGTCGGTAACAGCTTGGATGAGTGTAGTCTGAGATTCAGTCTCCGATCCATTCTTTGATGGCTTGGAATGTAGTGGACGAATTTATCGTTTCGGGTAAATAACTCTCAAACTCTCCTGGACTCTAGAGGAGTCGAAACCTGGTTTGAGGCCATGGTTAGTGAACGGTGCTTTTCGGTTGGTGTGCTCGCTGGAGCATGCTGTGCGATGATTGGTGTCGACTTACTGGACAAGGGGAAGATTCCAAGGAACACAAATTTACTATGATGTTTCATAGGATCTTGTATCCCTATCTCCATCCCCTCATCTCATTTCATGTGCATCCCAGACACGATAAAGCCAGATAGCGATTGCTGGATAATACATTGCGTATATCTGAGCAAAAAGGTGCATCTTGAACATCCCCTGTGGGTGGGGGCCATCAGCGCCGTGAGACTCGCCTGGTTTCGAGCGTTCGCGAGTATACCGTACGCACCACAGAGGTCCATGTTGTGCGGCATGTGTATGTGGTGGAATCTAGAATAGGGCTTGTCGGCCAGTGCGCTAGCACTTACGAGGGGGGGTCCTACATAAACTTGTTCTGGGAAGCGCTAGAATATGAAGGAGGAGGCATTCTAAATGCATAGCCTGAGGTTAGAGCTCTATCAGGGAGGCGTGCCAAAAATGTGGTGATGACTAACCTTGGCACCTGCGCTCCACTTGCAACCCCTTGGATACGATGATAATGAACATCAAAATCTTGCAACTAGAAGCTATAGCTAGTCAGCTCCCTCAATAACCCCTGTCCCTACTCTAATACTGTCTTTCTCCCCCTCACCCTCCTCCTGCTCTTCTTCCTAGCATCACCCATCCGACCATCCAATGGAGGTTGGTCAGCCTGACTACAGCCACTTTCGCAGCTTCCCCTGGAGCTGGTATATCGAATACGGGGCATGTTTTACTGTAGCGTAGAGTCTTGATATATGAATAGAGGAGGCCTGGATACCGTCTTTTTTTTTCGTGATGCCTAATATTGCTACCGTTGGCCTACAGCCGCGATGCTACTCGAAGAATGTTTCCTCTCGTGTTTGTTCAGCCTTGCCTACCCCACACGTGGCTTTGCCCAATCGGTCGTCTCCTGTGGAACGATAAGTAGGATGGCACCCTGGAGGTACTTCCTCTATCAATTGGATTTCTTACTAGATGCCGCTAGGTTTGGAAATGCAGCCAAAGATCAGGAAATTAAAGCGGCCCATCCGGTGACCATGTGGCTACCGCTCTAGAGTTGCAGCATGAAGAACTTTCTTCTCCCTTGTCTTGTTCCTTCTTTTTTTCCTTCTTCTAGTTACCACTGATGGTGTGAAACTTTTGGGGGCGCAAGAGGCATGAGGAACTGAGTTGATTGCCAAAGAAGTGTACCTAGGGGTTTATATATGCAAAGGAATGAGCTAGGCAGCATGTTGCGTAGGTAGGCAGCAGTGGTTCATGAATACGAACCGGTAGTGGAGGTCGGAGAGCTCCGTAACCCCAAACAGATTCCTTCTGTTCCACAACGAACTTCTAAGCCTACTCAAACATCCGCTCCTTCCAATGCCATCACCAGAAGCTGTCGTCTCGACCGAATATTCTCTGGGGGTATTTACGTACCTTCTGCATCTCTTATTGCTAACCCGCAGAAGAACCATACTGAACACTGACCCTACTAGCCAGGCTGTAAGTACGACCTAGTAGAGAGATCTAATTTGTCGACTTGTTCCAACTGTGGACACAGGTGTCTTCAGAACTTCCCACTTCGGGCAACAAAATGATGAATGTCAAAGGTGATGAGGCGTCCCCGAAATCGTCTGGACGGGATGGATATACTTGAGAGCCAGAAATGTGAAAACCTCGAAGAGCTTTTAGCAGATGTACTGGCATATATTCTAGTGGGCGTACGCATGATAATGTTGACGTTATGGGACATTGCGATATCTCTTGATTCTATCGAGTGTCAAAGTTACAGTTTCCCCATTGTTCAAGTTTGGTGTCGTAACGTCACTGCACCTAGTGATTCCTTGCTCATTTCTATGCTAGGGCTGAGACAAACTCCTTACTTTGTTATTGAAATCAAAACCCAATGTTTGTCCTCAAAAATTGCGACAACGTTGAAATGTGAGCCTGGACGGATGACAGAATCCCTGATTAGGCTTTCAGGTTCTTAGTGGGTGGGATTGACATACATGAGAAGCTTGCAGGTACGGAAGGACTACTTGTCCTGTTTGGGATATGGCTGTGTAGGCTTTCCGGAAATAGTAGTCTTTCCTAATAGCATACCTTAAAGCACTAAAATGGGCTTGTGCAGATGGTTGTCTCGAGATGTTAGCAACCCTCCTCTTGAAACACCTGCGCTTCCAGCCAGAGGAATTAGAAAAGTTGCGCTTAGGTTGTCTCGAGTTGGATGCATCACACAATTGATGATGATGAATATCATCTTACAGCTAACATCACCGCAAATCTTGAAGTCTATCCAAATCTCCAGGGACACCCTATCTCTCCTACCACATTCGAAATAGATCAATAAGTCTCAACTAAAAGCCATATGTAGTCAACTTCCTTCAACCTTCTCTATTCCCATCCCAACCCCTGCTTTCCTCCGCCCCTTCTTCTTCTTCTTCCTGCCATCCCCGCCATCCGAATCCAACCTCTCACTCTGCTTCCCAGTGCCACTTCCCTCGCCTTTTCCCAAGCCACCACTCATCCCGCTAACAGCCCTACCAACACCCAGACTGATCCCTCGTTCGCCGAAGACGCTCAACTTTCCGCTTCTCCCGCTGCGCTGACTGTCAATGCTCAGGCGACTAGGACTTTTCTGTATGACAGGGGTACTAGGCTCACTGTGTCCTGTGCCTGCAACTTCGTCGGAGCTCCACCAGCCTTCTGGCCGGGACGTTGATGACTGCGCTGTGATCTGGGAGATGTCCACTGATCCTGCTAGGGAGTTGGCTACCGTGTCGGTCAGGTCCTTCGCCCCCGGTGGAGGAAAGGTGGTAGAATGAGTCGGCGAGTGTTGGCGTTCGGAAACGCCAGAGGCGTATGTTGAGGCTAGATGAGGTATCTTCGATGTTTGCGATGCTGGTGTCTGCGGCTCTGGATTGAACATATCTGGCTTGTCTGAGAAGGATATTCGACGCGTGTTCTGGCTGACTTTCTTCGCTCTTAATACTGCGGGACTTGAAGAACTTTCGTCACCAGCGTCATCACCTTCCGGTCCAGGCAATGAGCCTGACTCGGGAAGGAGACCGCGGTATCGCCCCGGGGATCTGAAGCGCTTCTCTTTTCGAGGCTCGAATCCCATGCCATCCGTTCCAGCATATTCATCCAATGCCTCAAAGACGTGAGGAAAAACAAGTTCATGAACTGAAGATGCCCAAAGGAAGTCCAGATGTTCGTAGTGGGGAATCTCCTTGGCTATTGTGTGGCGAGGTAGCTCCTTCAGCATAACGTCGATATCTACTAGACTGTCTGAACCACCGTATACAAGGACAATTGGCGTTTTGATGTTTTTAGTGGGGAATTTGGCCACTTTGTAGTATTTGGCGCGATTAGAAGTGATCGGATTGGGCGCTTCGTCATCGTACATCTGGAAGACTCCATTTCGTATGATCTGGAACCAGTGGACGACGCTCTTCGTAGATGTGAATGAATACAGATGCGGGTACGAGGCGAGCTTTTGATGAGGCGTGATATTTTTGCTCGTCCATCCAAAAAGAAATTTCAAGGAGGTATCAATGAGGCGAACAAATATAGGAGGGTATAAGATTGCCTCCCACATTGTGGCCGATCCTAGGATAGCGCGCCGACCAAATGCAAGAAATAGCACATCAGGAGAAGCCTTTACAAAAGAATCGACAATGGTTGAGGTCAGGCCTTTCGGGGACATTGCTGGAGCGAGCGCAATGAAGACATCGACTTTATCGTTGAGCGTAGGGTGAATAGACAATGTGGCGAATGCTTGAGCAGTTCCTTGGGAGAATCCAATGTAGGATAATGAGGGTTGGTGCGTTGTGCTAAGTATATAGGCGATAGAATCTGGAATATCGTGGAAGGCGAATTGATCCATACTGAAGTTCCAAAATGCAGTCGATGTTGGGGCGGTATGAACACATTTCTTCGAGTACTTATTCCCTCGATTGTTGCCAAGCTGTCATGCGTTAGTGTGAGTAACGTTGACGCAGGAACCCGCAACAATGCTACACAAGGATTCGAAAGAGCTGAAAGGGGTGTGACTTGCCCAAACATCGTAACCTCGTTCGACAAGCTCGAATGGTAAACACCTCTGGCTCTCTGTCAAACATACCCAAACCTCGCTATTCATAAGCAAGCCGTGGTGCAGATATACGACCTTCTTCTTAAGGCCACCCTTCCGATCTCCTACGTTGACTCTAATATCTTCCTCGCCTCTCCGCCAGCCTAGTCTGTGCAAACCCAGGAGATAGCCATCGCCTGTCTGCACTATGTGTTCTTCCGTATAGTACCCATATAGTTCGCACAACTCCGTGAAGTCAGAGGCGTTGGCTATTGACGACCAGACGCCTTTCTTCTTTTGACGCGAGCGGCGCGACGACGGAGAGGAGAGGTAGTTGAAGAGACGTCGCGTGATGCGGTAGCAGAAGGTAATAATTGGTGTTGGTAATGCGAGGGTAATTATCGAGATTAGGCTTTCTAGGGCTATGAGAATGATTGAAAGCATGAGAGCAAAGTACTGCCTCAGATGGAGGCGCGAAAGGAAGGGAATATGAACAGCCATGTCGTCAAGCGTTGGAAGGAGCCGACCAAAGGTGGGAAATATCGTCAAGCTTTCATAAATCTCTCAAACCATCGGACGGATTCGGTCAAAGGTGGGGAAGTTGTTGTATGTGGTAGGTCGTGGTTCGTCAAAGGGGCGGTATGGGTCGTAGGGGTGATAATTCGGTCAGGGGCCAACAAGAGTTGGTTTCTGCGTCACCATTGCTTCAGTTCGATGATATCGAAGACGCGAGAAGGGTAGAAAGAGCAGACGGGCTGCTGAAGCTGAACTCATTGTGTTGAGACTAGTCTTTCGGAAGCATGACGTTCAAGACGATACCCCCTGCCCATTTTCATGTGACAGGACAACGATTGCGGCGTGAGCACCCCAGTCGGTCTTGGCGCTGAGATCCTCCGACACCTAGACATTTTGCGATACTGATGCACTCTGCAACGAGCAAGTCTCGATTAAGTGTATTCATCATGCCCCAGTCATGCAAGGATATAAGTAAGCTTCCTGCATTTAGAGTCCCTCCATCTCAATTCCTCCCTCCTGGATTGCTTCATACCCGCCATCTCCAGCGCAAAACGCTCAGAAATTAGCCTGCACTAACAATGAATGAATTATAGGACAGGCGCTAGCATTCTGTCTTCAAAATTCCGATTGTATTATGGTGCGATAACTTCCAGACTTCTGGGCACTGCTGTAATGGTACTGTCTACGATCTTACCTACCCTCCAGGTCGAACGACATCAACCCGGCGATTGCTTACGTCCTCCATTGAAATACACACTTCCGACACAGTGTCAGCAGCTTCAGAAAGGTCAGTTACGTTCGAAGCCTCTTGCGCTACCATGCTTCTTCCTCAACCCTTTCCCCCCATGCCACCGTCTGAAGATCCCTCCTACCGTTGAAGCTCCCCAGAAACTCCCGGAGCTCTCATAAAGCACCACCTTACACTTTACAGGCTACGCCGAATGCAAGAAAGGTCTAATAGACATGCGCAAGCGCTTCCGTGGCAACCGGCCGATCGCTGTATCCCGCGAACTCGAAGGTGGAAAACTCGGTGTGCCGCCCAGTGATACGGAGTCCAAAGAAGGTACCATAGAGGAAAAAGGCTATATGTTGTACGCCGGGCGACGGAACAAGGGTGTAGAAGCGAAAGGAGAAGAAGATCCTGAGGAAAGGAAGTAGACTTGGGGGAAGAGCGTGGATGAGAATCAGATTTGGAAGAGGGTAATATAGAGGAATGAGGGTTTCAAAATGGAATAACGACCGAAATCCAGACGAAGTGACGTGCAAGAGATAGAGAGGGCATATTCATATCCCCACCCACGAATTCGAAAACTATGAGAGGACAACTAGGCAAGAACCGGCACACCGCGTCCTAGACCAACAAATCAAGAGCTCTGCATGAAGAAGGACTTTCTCCTTGTACCAGTACCCACTGTATCATACCAGAACAAAACGAATTTGTAACATACATTAATGACATTGTGTTCAAACCTCCCCAAATCTTCCTTGTCGAAACAGTCAAATCTTGCAGGACTAATTCCTCAAATCTTCAAATCTTCAATTCCTCGTAATCACAAGACTAGAGACGCATGCAACCCGGCCCGCAAATCTCCTGCATGTCTCCAAACGCGTCGTGGTTGCCTACCCATCTCGCCCTTGTTGTCCTTCACTCCATCGGCGGTGTCCGGTGCCATTAACAATCTCTAACACGCCTGATGCCTAAGTGGCTGGTTTGTCTTTCATTCCCGGCCAACAGACAAGAAATCCTGGACTTCGTCTGCATATGCTGCGAGCGTACATAAGCTGCGAGAGCGGACGGAGTGGGCGATGCCAAGAGGAGGACGAACTGCAAGAACAGTCGAGACTCAAGGCACCCAGGTCGAAGTCACGCACCCCACTGTGAGGCTCAAATGTGTGGCAACATGTCCTGGGGTTTCAAACGAGCCTCAGAACCATTGCTATCGAATTTGCTCTTTGACATCATCGCCCACCCCGGTTTGGCCAGGCTCTCATCTGGCATTCAGAAGGGAGGCTGAATCGATCACCGTTAACCAGAATCCTGCTATGTGGTAAGGCAGGGCCAGCGTAAGGCTGATTGCGCTGCAAACCGATTCGTATTGCCTTATGATTCAGCCACTTTGCTTTGCTTCGCTTCGCTTCCCTTTCCTTTCCTTCTATTTGTTTGCTTTCCTTTGCTTGCTAAGATAAGATGAGATGACGAGGAAGCTGAAAAAGGGGGAGGGGTACGAAGGGGGGCAACGTAGGGCTTAAAAGGGCGAGGGTGTGCCCCACTTTTGGCGCTGTGCTGAATGTGCTGAGTGTGCCGAGTGAGGAGGATGTTCATCAGCATAAGGACACGGGTTGGGTTGTGAGTCAACCGTTGGCGCTGTCGCAAAGCTATTGTTGCAAGCACATGTCAATTCTCTCACTTCCCGCGCTCAGATGGGGTAGCCCGTGCGCGATTATGGACAGGTTCAGAGTGGGGCGTGCACGCCTTGGTCGTCAGTGTCGCTACAATCAACAACTTTTTGCAAAAAATTACCCCTTTCGGAAACTCGAGATCAGGCCCAGCAGCGTTTACGCCTTGTTGATCAAATCGATCAATCAACTCGGGAACCAGCACAGCGAACTGCCGGGACTCATGCACACTCATCACAGCCTGAAGCCAGGTACTTGGGTACAATATCGTTCCTTTTTACAAGGGATAATGCATGATGGCACTTGGCTCTGCAGGGAAATGCATGCGGCGAAGTTGCAGTTTGCACAGCCAGCCTTCGACATCACTTCATCGAAATTTCAAATGCTAAGCTGAGTGATTGTAGATCGGGACGAGGTCATGGGAAGGCAGAACGAGGGATTGGAATTTCGAGTCATGACCCAGGATGCTCATTGTGAAGCGCCGTGCACAAAGCTAGTGCAGGCAACAGGTGAGCGTGGATAGTCGGTGAAGGATGCTGAGCGCTGGTGAATGAGTGCTAATGCGCAAGCGTGCCCTGAGTCCTTCGTTTTTCGCGCCGACTGATACATGTCAATGCTCAGCATCTCGAAATTCTTCAGACTCAAGGTTTTGCGCGCCGCGCGATAATGCGAGGTTTGAAACACACTAAGACAACTCTTTCGGCCAGACAAACGGCTTCTCGCAACCACTGCAACTCCAGGCGGTTTGCAAGCCACACCCGATGGTGGGTGAGATTTATCAGGGGTGCTGACCATCTTTTGCGGACGCTTTGCCTAGACAGTGAAACGGGGCTTGCTTGGGGCGTGCTGATCCGCTACCTCGCCTTGAACGACAAAACATGCGTAAGTGAGATGTATTGGGCATCGTTCGAGGCCGTCGGGCGTAACGGCAAGCTTGCTCATCCTGGTGGCAGGATCGCGGAAGGATTGATGCATGGCTTTGTGGTTAACCTTAGCTTGAGCTTGAGTAGAGGTTAGGCGACACGCTGATCACGATGGAGAATGCGAATCACGATAACGGTTGGGACTGAAGATTTGGTTTAGGTAGTATTGAGATGAGAAGGTCATTAGGAATAAATGAGTTGTGTGGTTCTTGATGAAGAGGAACCTACACTAGGAAAACTGACTCTAAATGCATGAACATTCCACATGCTCCACGCTTAATAAATGTCTCGGAGATCCCACAGCCAAAGCCATCATAAGAGGTATTGAAGAAGCGAAGATATGGGAAAGTCTGGGGGTATCGGGCAAGCAATCAACAGCAAGAGAAGACAATATGGAAGGACATAAAGAAAAGGAATATCATAAGCTTGGATCAATTTCAAATGCCTCCATAGGAGCCCAGCCTATTGAAGTCAACTCGAGTAAATGTTAGATCTTGGTGTGTGACTGACGTGTTATTTTAACTCCTTGGGCCAAACAAGATTCTATATCCTACGACTAATTGTTGCCGGCCACGACGTCGCATCTATCGCACCGCCAGTGGTTATTGCAGTGACAGCACCCTTTGTCTAGGGAGCAATCCATTCCTCCTCCACCGCATCGGCAGCAATACCATAAGTATTTATTTCCTCCTTCTGTTGGAGCCTGGTGATTATATATTTGTTTTGCCGTGGAAATGGTACTTCCGTGGGACTCGAAATCGCCTTTCTTTAGAGGTATGGAATGCGCTGCGTCGACGCGTTGAGGTTCAGGATCTTTAGTCGTATCGGAGGTTTTATAAGGATCGGAACCATATTTACGGCCAGCCCAAGTCGTCATGGTGATTACTTGTGCGAAAAGGATTGGGGAAAGTAGTGGGAAATGCGGTGCAAGAACAAGACGAGAAAGCGAGAACGAAACAAGTTATAGGACGACGTGTACTTGAACTTTGTCTGGGGCAGATGAATAGCAAAAGAAAGAAGAGAGATGCGACACCTGTGTTGATTATGAATGCGTGAAGGACATGAAGGACGTTCACCACAGCCATGATGAGACCAGTTTCTGAGGCGATAAACGGCCGTCAAGAAGCGCCCCAGGCCATGTCTTCTTGCCCTAAAGCCCTCTGAGGCCGCACCTAAGGGCACGATTCCTGTCAAGCTCCGTAACCGTAAGGCGAGGAACGCCTCTTCCAGTATGCGCGTATGCGGGAGACGCCCTGTGGCGACCGCTCAGGGCTGAGGTGCTTGGAAACGAGCGTGACTCGCAGCACGAGAGCCGCGAATGTCGCATTGCGAATATTTGCGGTAGAAGTGGGTCATATGTCGAGTTTCGGACTATGAATGGTTGAATTGTGTTCATTCGGTAATATTTTGGGATAGGACATACCTGACGGTGTGTCCTCAGGACTTCCTCTTCTTAGCCAAAGTCCTTCAGGCCTCACGCCAACTCAATTCCTTCCGGTGAATTGTGGGCGCCATGACGAAATTGGAGGACCATTACTTGCCGGTGAACTGAATTTTAGTCAATTTCTGGCCAATTTTCAGGAAAATGTGAGCCAAATCGTCAAGCTCCAAATAATCCTTCCGGTAGTAGAAAGGGTTTGCGTGAGAAGGCGGCGATGCTAAGGCAGGTACCCGCATCAAATCATTCTCGCATCCTGGAAATTGAGCATGCATGCATATGCAATTAAAAAAGCCTCTAACTTGTGATCCTTCGGTTATTTGCACAACAATGTGATCAAATCTTTAGGTGGGGCTCTAGGCATCCATTTCATAAGAACGAAGGTTTTACCCAAATACACTTGTAGGCATGAGAGCGTAGGAAAATCCCGTTTAGAGGGAGGAACGCTATTCTGAATGAGTAGATGTAACGAGCTATATACACCTCAAACCTGAAGAAGGAAAGAAAAGCAGCTCGCGTGAGGGAACCTTTCCGGAAGCTAGGAACAGAAGTAGCACAGAACATGCTCGCTCGCTAAAATCTGGGACAGAGCCACCAAACCTGTTGCCATGAGGTTGTGGATGAAAACAGTAAACCAAAGCTAAGGGCGAAGTTTCCCGACAGGTAGAGTTGAAATCAAAAGGCCTTATACCCAAGACAATACAGTAACTGAAATCCCCAAGTGAAATCAATATTGTTTAGCCACTTGAAAACGCTCGTGTCGGCCGTCGGCAGGAGGAATAAGGACTTCACACCATCGAAGAGTAGCTTAAAGTAGGTGTTAACCTATGTGAGGAATTAGGATATATTCACAAGGAAGCTGGATTGACATACATACCTCATGATCGATCTTCGGAGCAACTAGAGCATCTTTGGTGGCTGCACTTTATGCACACATTCAGCCAATAGCCGATAGGCCCATCCTGGCATTCTGAGCAGTACCATGGCCGTTTCGTTTCTGGTCCATCCGTAGGTGCGTAGGGATGGTCTTGATATCCACCATTATCCGCGGCAAGTTGTCCTAGAACTGAGTAGGGTAGACTCGACATGGTCGTGGAAGTGATCGAGTCTAAGGGAGACATTGGCAAAGGAGGTGCGGTGGTGCAGGATTCGATTGTGGTATTCTTCGAGCTCCGTGTAGGTGGAAGCTCGGTTTCACCGAGAGACGAACCGAGGAAGGAACGCATTTCAAATTTACGCTGGCGCAGTGTAGATAGAACAGACATGATGAGAACTAGGACACAAAAACAACCAGAAGTGTCAACGAGCTTGTAAATGGGTGATGTATCTTGGGAAGGTGGAAAGGCGATGTCGAACAAGCCATGATCTCGTGGTGATAGCGATGATCTTTATATGACCGCTCACTCTGTGAGCAATGACCATGCGTCCCTCCCCTCCGGTTTGGAAACCTGGATGTCTGAGGCAGAAGGCAGCGAGACGATGAGCCACGCCCAGTCCGAGCTGAGAACCCCAGGCCGCAAACATGGCGGTGGTGACGGAGAGGTGGGGTGGGCCCATCGACGGCCCTGTTGACAAAATAGCGGCCAGGTCCGACAGTGGTGACAATAGGGCTCAGGGTTTGCAGATCGAGGACGTGATGGTCCGCTGCGCGGTCTCAGGGCGTGGCAGGGTAGTCGAATGGATGCTTATGGGCGGCCGTCTCGATGGAGCGAAGCAAGATTGCCGGAAGCGCCACCAACGCGGTATGAAAGGCGACATGACGGCATGGGCCCAGAGTTGCCCAGTAACTGTCAACATGATTTAGTAGGTGTTGTTGATTGGATTGAGCAGTGTGTGATGAGAAGCCCTGCCCGTGAGTCGAAACGCATTGCAGGTGCAGTCGCCAGTTTTGTGATTGGCAGTTGAGTCGGGTAGTGCAAATAGCTGCATTTAGGAATCTTCACCGGGAGAAGAAAAAAAAGGTTGCCTCATTGCCTCCTTTAACACGGTTTGGGAGGTCGATGGCTGGGTAATAACACAGCTGTAATAGCGTCCTGGTTATTGACAGATAGTCTGTATTCAATTTTTAGTCCGAACCAATGAGATCGCAAGCGTTAGAGGAAAAAAAAAACCCAACAATTCATAACATGTGGTAGTACGTACCAAGTAAGGCTGACCACAGAACTCGGTCCTAGCACCACATTATGGACCCCGCTTCTGGCAATTTATTGCTATTCGCCCAATTTACATTGACAGCCGCACGGCTCTGCAGCTATTAAGATCACAGAAAGATGAAAGGGTAGCAAGGTACCAGAACAAGAAGGTAGTAATTTGGGGCTCTGAAATACAACGTTGTGTTGTTGGAAGTAGAATTGTATCTAACTGAACTTGTGGCTTAAGCAGTTGCTGGAGAGGGGCGAAAAGACTAAGAAAGCGGAATAATTGTACATAAATAGATGTGCCGACGATTACGGTGACAATGCAAGACAATTTACCTAAAAATGGGGGTTTTCGAACTGCTTTTAGACGCGCTATGATGTTGCGAGCTAAATGGGGATTCTTGAGAAGTGATGGTTGCAATGTCTTAATGAGGTCAAAACTAGAGAACGAGTGGGGGTGCTTTTTCCGGTGTCGGGTTCTCCGGTGTTGCTGGCAGCTGGCTATCTTCTAACTGAAGCGATAAAGCCCTCCGTTGACCTCTGACCAGTCGTGGAGACTGTAGTATTCATCGCCTATTATGAGCGGGGTATAGCCACCCTAGAATGCCTTATGCTCTATATGACATCCGCTTCTGAGGCCCTCGTATCACCACACCAGGGCAGAGTGTTGGGCGGATCGCAAGGGGCGCAGCTGGAAGCGTGGTGGGTTCCGGGCGAGTTGTACGTATCGTCTACTACAAATCTGTCAGAACTCTTCTCGACTCTTGTGGGCGGTTAGCTTACCGAGGGAGTACTCTCACGGGCTAAAGAATCAGGTGAGGGCGGTCACAGCCAGCCATCGCCTCAAATGCCTCGGGTGTCCATCAGGCTGGGTGTCGAGAAGAGACAGCCTTGTAGCCCACCGGCGGACCCAGTGAGGCACGCTCGTTGAGGAGGCCAGTATTCCCAAGCTCACTTCTGCACCGACCGCAGCATCTTATAGAAGCTCTCGAGGTGTCAAGCGAGCCTAACAGGTCTTCCAATATATCTGCGCCCCGTTGCCACATCCTGTGGTACGTCGTTTCATGCGATGGAGCAACTTGGCACTAAAAGTAGCCAGAAGAGCTCGCTTGGCTTGATAAGCTAGAAGAAAACAGAAATTGTGCGAGCCGGTGAGCGAGGCTGAGGCTGCGAGGCAGCATAAGTTTGCCGTCGGTGGACTTAGAGAGTGTTCGCCGAATATTGGATTCGCAACCTTCTTCATCTACAAGACGTTGGTGAAGGGGGTGCAAAAAGTGGGGGGGGATTTAATTTGAAGGGGTAGCACAAGACATATCGAAAACTTCCGTTCTCACAGCTTTGAATAACCGGTGGAAAGTAGAGTGAAGACACGTTGGAGATCCAAGAGAACTGAAGCAGGGTTGAGGGCTTGTTTGTGGGTCCGCTTCATGCAAAGACATGACTCGGTGCTTCCAGAAATAGCTCGAGTCCGAATTTTTGTGTCAATTGATCTGTTAGAGTTGTTTTGAGGCCGAATTTGTAGCAATGCCCAATGTAGATTATAGAAAGGTGATGATGTTTCACGTTTCGTGATAGAGCTATGGTGTTGATGTCGTCGGTTATTAGAAGATGAGACATACAGGCGCGAATCGGATTTCCCCGCGACACGTGACATCAAGTCTCTGAAGCGGGTTTAGCCAGCTAAGTCCCGCTCCAACCCAACGTCTGACCTTCTCTGTACAGCTCAACCGACGAGCACCCCTTACTACAGCAAAACGCTCTGATAACGACTTGTGAAGATTTCCAGCTTAGTTTTGGTCCTTAATCGACTGTTTTGGGGCCTCCTTGGGGCACTAACACTGCTATTTCCCTCAATAATCCAAGCTGCCTTCCTCGAGTCCCCGCTACTACATCTCGAAGACCTTCAACCGTCCATACCTCTAGAAGGTGCTTTCTATCTTAGAAAGGACGCGAGTTCCTGGCCTCTAGTCTCTGTGCCTCATAATGTCTTCCTCCTCTCCACCTAAGAGCGACAAAATGTCCTCGCTGTCTGAACGCGGCCAGAGTAAATTTGAGGCAACTGCGAACCGCATCATGGCAGTTCTCATGCCCCTAGTTCAAGCCGGCGCTGCTGGCTACGCAACCTATGTCGTCGTTGTTCTCATATGCATCAAATACCTTCTCAGCCCTTCCTCAGACCTACAAGACGCCGACATCGAACCTAGAAGACGTACCGCCATTGCGCTCCTAGTCATCTACTTCATACTCATGGCCGTCATGGCCATCACTTTCCTACGACTCATACAAGTTATCTGGTCGAACCCCGGATACGTTCCCTTCGCCGACCCGGATCCTGAGAAAGGAACCGTTTCTACGAAAGACTTTGATCGGTTAGACGCGTATATCTCCGATTACGAAGGGAACCCACTCTGGTGTCGCACATGCAACAACTGGAAACCAGACCGAACGCATCACTCCTCCGCTCTAGGACGTTGTGTTCGTCGCATGGATCATTTCTGCCCCTATGCCGGTGGTATCATCTCCGAAACTTCACACAAATTCTTCACGCAATTCCTCTTGTACGGTGCCCTATACACTGGCTATGTCATGATTCTCATGGCCGTATTCCTCGCTGAGCGAAACCATAAAGTAAGTTGTATCCACCAAATCCCTGCCATTTCCTTCTCATTAACAAATTAAAGCTTCACTCTACTCCTGCAACCTGGATCGTTGCACTCGCACTGGCCGCCCTTTTCTTCCTCTTCTCCTTTGGCATGTTCCTCACCACCGTCTACAATCTTGCCAAAAACTTCACCACCATCGAAGCCGCAAACCGCCCATATCAAACTTACAACATCGCTTTGCTGGGCGAAATACGACGCGTCTCAGACCGGCCCTCCGCCTCAAACTCTGCTATCCTGTCCACAAACCAACGAAGCCAAACGCGCTGCTACATCGTCCTACAGACTAGACCAGGCGAAAATCCATGGGACTTGGGTGTCCTGGACAACATCAAGTCAATAATGGGGACCTCGGTGATCGACTGGTTTATACCGCTAAAAATGAGCCCATGTACGAGCCACACTGGCGACGTAGGGCATTTCGAATGGGGCTGGGTTGTTCAGCGCCTCATGGACGAATATGAGGCTGGGTCCTCATTTGGAGGATCGAGGAGGTCGAGACGAAGCAGGGGCTCCCGGAGTGAGCCTAGTAGGGTTACTCGAAGTACGCCTTCACGGGCATAATTTTAGACTGGTGTTTTTGGTTTGGGTTTGGGATCCCATTGACCTCTTATGCATTTTCATGATACCCTAGAGTTTCTTCTCCTAAGCATACCCTAAACCGAGTATTATTAATGAACCTGATTCTCCTCCATTGAAACCTGGGACTCCTATGTGCCGTGTGATGCTGAACTGGTATTGATGTTAAGATAATGTATGAGGGCTATTGGTTTGCTTTTCGTGCTGCAATTAATATTAGAGTCTACCTCTATTCCGCTGTAGTTCCTCTTCAAGATGCGACTTAAGAGGCTTCCTCTAATCATTTCCGACGTTCGGGATGCATTCCACTCCCTTTCTCTAACAATAGAACCAACTAAGAACAATGAACTGTGAGGCTGCACAACAGAGGAAGTATAGTGACCTGAGTTTACTTACCTCCTTGCTTTCAGCGTTCCCAACCGTACGTAATACGTTACGACTCGCCAAATCGATGGTTGTAACTTCTTAGATTGTGAGTACGTTTTAACGTAAGCATAACATTTAAGTCCACTTATAGAGCGTAACTGTTATAATTTACATTTCTCCTATGTTTTAATGTTTTATAAAAAGTTACGTTGTAATAGCTTGTATATAGTCTGCTAAGGATAACAATTTACTGTAAACATAGCGCTAACGTAGCTAGTTTTTTTGCAGTTAAAAAGCCTTAATTATTAGGCTAGAAAGCTTATTTCTGTTATAGGTAACAGTCTTCCTACTGCTGCTAAAGCTCCTCTTACAGTTATAGCTTGTAAATAGGATAAATAAGAAGTTAAGGGTAATTTTATATAGCATAGGATAGGCAAGCTGTCTAACTTGTTCTTACTATGTAAAAGAATTAGTAAACAGAGGGCTATTATCCTTAGCTATAGTAACGTCTTTGCAGTAACTATTATAGTATTACTGCAATTCTGTTGTTTTCTGCTACTTTTTGTATAAATAATTGCTAGTAAGGAGGTTTATGTTTATAAAGAGAGTCTGCTTAAAGCCTTTATTATAATACTTACTACCTAGTAACTTACGTTGCGTAGATAGCAGTTGCTTATTATCCTCTACCTCTGCTTCTACCTTAGTATTAACATACTCTTAAAAAATAGCCCTTATTAAAGCCTTAGCTTTCTTATGCTATAAGAGGTGCTTACGCTAGTAGTCCTTAAACTAAAGAAGACAAAGCTAAGGGTTAAAGATAGTTGCAACATAATAATAAAATATAGGCAGCTTTATAATAAACTTCTTCTAGTATGTAAGCAACTTCTTTATGCTAAATGCTACGCTAGATTTAAGGTAGCAATTATTACTTTTACTCTTAAGTTTATCCCCTATCTAGAGAAGCTTAGTATATAAGTGTTGCAGGTTAATAATAGTTATCTATAAGGATCTGTACAAGCCCTTACCCTTAAGGTGTTTTATTATAAAGTAAAAGACCTTAAGAAACTTATAAAAGTAATTAACCTCCTTCTATTTATCTTTAGTAATAATTTTAGTAAGAGCAGCATTACTAGGGATAGTAGAGTTAGCGCTGTTGTCCTTAGTGCCTCTCTGCTTATAAATAAACTTAGTGATAGTGTCCTTAAGCTTGTAATAGCAGAGGAGCATAAGATAGACGCTGTGCCAGCGTACGCTGCTATCTTATATAAGATTAAGGGTCCTAAAGCTCTAAAAAGGGTCCTTGTTGTTAAGAGTAGCTTAAAAAGTTATAAAGGCCTCCTAGCGTTTATGTAACACTAACACTGTGTTTACAAAGTTATAGAGCTTGCCTATAACTCTATGCTAACAGTATAGTTTAAATTAATCCTAAGAAGCAGCTTAGGCTAGCGCTGCTTTAAAAGCGTTTATTTTTTTCCTATATATAACTGCCTTAACTACTAGCTAGATTGTATGACTAGCGCAGCGTATATAGTGCTTAGAGGTAAGGGGCCTTTTAAGATGTTATGTAAGAGCAGAGATAGTTTTATTATTATTATTTAACACATTGTTAGCTACTAAATAATAGAATTTTAACATAATTTTAAAGTTATTAATAACTTTAACAATCTCCCTAGCTTAGTTTGCCCCTATATAGTTGCTGTATAGGTTGCAAAAGCTAATAAGTATGTTGCAGTGCTAGTAGTTAACATCTATATTAGTATAGGTAAGCGTGTTATTGTTAATTTTTATAGTGCTAAAGCGCTAAAATAATAAGCTAAAGTACACATACTAATAAAGTGCAACACTACACCTAGGAAGGAGAGGTAGTTTAGAGAAGTCTATATATTAACGCTTAACACAATTTTGCTTTAAGCTATTCTTAGTATTATTTAAATCTCTGCTCTCTAGCGCAGGCAGGCCTTATTTATGTAGGAAGAAAATGTAGTATCTAAGACTAGAAGAGCTATAAGAAGATTAGCTTAGTTTTAAGTAAAAATGCCCTAAAGTTCTGCTAATAATGCTGTGTTAAAGAAAATGTTATAAAGGATAACCTAATTAATAACTACTGCCTACAACACTTTCTTTTGCTATGCGCTATAAAAGATAATATATAACAAGCTAGCAACTTTATAAGTAGCTTTAAATAGACTTGCTAGGATCCTTAGTGTGTTAGGCAAGAGACCTTTTTTAAAGATGTTAATTCTATGTTCTTTCCTAAAGTGGCTTATAATATAAGCGTAACTGTTAACTTTCTTCACCTTTTTGTAAACGCCCCTAGCGTGGCACCTTTTGCAGAGCTATAGCTTTACTTTAGAGCTGTCCTTTTTATTGTTGTACACTAAATCTGCTCTATGCTGCTAAATCTAGGAGAGCTGCTAGTTCCTATAGAGCTAGCTCTTGTGCTTTACGCGATACTTAACTCTCTTAGGCCTTAGCTTTCTGTTTGCTAGCTAGAGGTTGTCCTACTTTATAGTAAAAGCTACTCTGTTGTTAAGACTAGTGTTAGCTAGGTACTCCTTTAAATAGGCATTAAACAGTGTACTGCCTTAGGATAAAACTAGAGAGGAAGATAATAAAGCCTTTAACCTAGTAAGGCAACAAGAACTAGCATAATAAGATATGTTAGTTTACTAGGAAGAGCTAGCTCTAAAGGATCCTTAGAATAAAGCAGTACACCTGCTGCGCTAGAGGAATTAGGACATTTAGCTTATAGTAGGTGGGACAATAGATGTAGATAAATTAATAACAATTTACAGGCTAAAAAGCTAACTATTTACATAGGATAGCACACTTTACTCCTAGCCTTTGCTGTAAGCGCTAACGTCCTATAAACCTTAGAGTTTTTACTTAATTGTTACTTTAAGAATGTAACCTTAAACACGCTCCTAACGCAATCCTACATGTGTCTAATTAGGTCCTATTTTAGTAGGAAAAGTCGCCTTTTTGAGACGTACTACGGTCCGTAATAGGCGCTCCTCCAGTCATACGTTACGACTCATATCTCTCCTACGTTTCAACGGCTCACGTGACTGTTACGGGTCGTATACTACGACTCGTAGTACGTACGGTTGGGAACCCTGCTTGCTTTCAAGTCCCCGGCCATACCTTTCATAGATCATGGTACTCCCTCATAGCCACTTTCCCTTTAGTGGCATCCTGTAAGACAAGGGTTATAATTGGAGAGGGAAAAGAGGTTACAACTCTACAAGCTGCATTTTAGGAGAAGTGGGAGTAGTTTATTCTCCCGTCTGAAATCACTTGCTCGTTTCGCTCCTGTCTCCTACCTGTCAAGATATATCTTTTGCCAACACACAAAATGGAGAGTCGATTCTGAGAGGCGGTCTAATGATCAAAGTGTGAATAAAGATGTTAACCTGTGCCAGGTGTTAAGTCTGTGACTGGACCCCGCAACCTCCGCCTCCTCGACAACTAACTTCCTCGTGGCCCCGTCACTCAAGTTGTCAAGCAAATGACGGATCATGTATGCTTTAGCTACCGAGTCTATTAAACATGTCCTGTAAAACATGAGCTTCTCGCATGAGCTACTCGAAGTCCAGAAGACCGTAGCGCTGCTCCCATTTACCAAGACTTCGACGACAAGAAACAGACGCAGGTGCTTCTAGCACCATGGGTGCCAGCAAGTCGGTTTTCGAAATGTCTCCGTAGCTTTTGGAGGCTGCAACTGGAACCTGTGTATTTGCAACATTGGAGAGATCAGATCGGAATCATGCAGAACTGTTCAGCCCCCAGACAGTTCATGGGGGTCTTTGTAACGGGCAGACTCTAGGAGTGGGAGTCCGCATAGCAAATGGAGCTTGGGTTCATCAACAATCCGGTTTGCAGGTGCGATGTCCGGCTTCTTGCTTAAACACCTTGCTTCGCCTGTTCTCGTCTCTTCAATAGAGGAAATATAATCAGAGGCCAAATACCTTCGAGTTATTATGTAAGAGAAGCTAGAGTGTCCTCTTTCTTGCCAACACAGTTTATTCGATTCAATCCTTTCAGAGACACATGTAAGACTTTATAAGATGTTGGAACAAGAGTATAGTGTTGATAAGGAAAGCCTCCCTAGCTAAAGTATAGGAGGTTAGGTGTTTTTTGACTTCTTTGTGAGAAATCTGAAAAAATTGCAATACTAGAGAGCTCTATGCCTGATAAAGTATCCTGTGAATTGATGTCGAGGCGAGAGAGAAAGTCGGAAAGGGTTGAAGCCACTTAGGTTGAGGTTTTGGGGCCACTAGGGCCCAATATACCCCCTTTTTCACGTAAGTAAAGCCGTGGAGTGCTAAATACTCCTGTTTCAAGTCACGCCTCCTCGATGAACTGCTCATGAAGTATATTAGAGTCGAAGGTCTAAAACTGAAGTTTCGGACTTGTTGAGCTTTTTGTCCCTTTTTCCAAGCTGGCAATGAGCATGCATTGAACCGCATATCTGCCTCCCCCTGTGGAGTTTTACGGAGATGAGTCGAAAGCAAAGTGGAGTCAGAGCGTCTTCAGGATACCACGAATGCCTTTCCAGAGAAGCCAATCTCTGTTGTCATCAGTGAGGTTGAACACGAACCCAAAAACTCTTGACACCCACGCCTTTCTCACAGACTCTATAAAACTTCCAGCAATGACGCCGCTGTGTAATTAATACGATCAGGAGATGTGAACTTGACATAACGATGCCAACACCCTACATCTCGTAAGAGCACACGGTGATGTAGTCAGTAAGCAGAAGTAAAGACTACTGAATCAGCTATCTCTCTAGAAATTTGGAACATCCTACAACTCAGAATTACGGCAGTAATTACGCTGATGCTTCTACTCTTATAGTCACCATGCTTCCAGTTCATATTCATCCCAAAGCGCTCCAATCCAAACAACTCATTAGCCACAAACATCCCTACTCACGCTACCTCCCCTCACATCAGACGCCCTCACATAAAAAATCCCTCATGCGTCCGAAAAACCCCTCTGCAAACCAATACCCACGAACCCGTCACGCACCCCTCCTAAGAAACCCAAGAAAATCTAGAATTCAACACCATGTTTCAAGATTTCGGAAAAGCTATGTATGACCCCACCGACTGAATGCTTGGTACCGAGGGCGACACAGTGGCCATCCGGACCCAAGGTTCGAAGGTTTTCAGAAGTTGGGTACTGGTGGGGGATGCCGCGGAACGATCCGCAAGGAACACACACATGCACATGCATCATGGAGGATACTGTATCGATGCTCTTGCTAACCTGCTGGACTTAGCAATAATGCTGTTATAGGTGTATCTCAGTGAAACAGTGTGTTGAAGTGCTGGAGTATTGTTTCAGCTTTCCAAGTTTGATCCTGAGATTGATAGTGAAGTGGGACTTGTGGGCCAACATAGGATCATTCCGATAAGACGTTGAGAGGTGGAGTCATCTATCGGTGGAGGGAAAGTATTCTCGCAGCAATGCCTTGGAAGTCATTTGCATGAACATTGAGCTAAGAAGGGCGGTACCGGCCACTCGCCACATGAAAAACCTGGGTCGCAATCACACCACTCACTATGCTCATGAGATATCGAGAGATATGGAGATTCCAACGGGACAAGAAATCCGAACGTCGACCACATATCACCACTAGCCCCACAATTTTGTGCGAAAAGTTGCAGTTGAGGAATATATTAATAATACAATTATTATCCGCTACTCCCGAATATGGCATTGAACGGTCTTATTCAATCCATTGTGATTCATGGGGTATTACATACAAAGCCCTGTCTCCTACTTTTGCAAGAGGAGAGCGAGAGCAAAAGTTAAATGAGGCATTGAAAAGCCTTCAAGCATACCGTGAATTCCATCCCATGCCGAGCCCCATTGGTGTAGTGTCATGCCATTTTTACCAACCCTGTATGTATCCCGATGGCCCTTCTCCAATTCCCCTATACATGCCACTGCAGAAAGGAGAGGGTACATTAAACGCCTAATGACATGCATGCATGTAAGAAAGACAGACGAATCGACCGACCAAAGGTAGAGGTGAAAGAATTGAAGAACGAAGCATTTAGCCGCGCTGGTAGTCTCTACGTGTTACAAAGCTTTTATAAAGGTCCTAGGACAGCTGCTCATCAAGAGCTGCTATGCCTAAAGAGGAGCCTTCGAGAGGACCTAGTGAAGGTGTGGTCGAGTGGTCTGGCATATTCGGCCAGAAATTATGAAGAGCCGCGCCAGGTTGTGATAGTATAATGATCAAAGCCTTATGGGAACGATAGGTCTATGTCCTGTGGAGAACATATATAATGATGCCGAATCACCTATGGATCCATGGAAGAAAGTGGGCCATATGTCATGATTTGAAGGGACAGATGGACAGTACAGATCAGCTGCTATAGAAAACGAGATTGTACAGAGCAGACGGCTTTGCCAGAGAGCGAGCAACGCAAGAGGATTAAGTCGAAGACTGGAGATCTGGGTGAAGAAGCCGAAATATGGTAGTCGGGCTCTAGGCCTCGTTAGCACCGCCCCCAGACTCCTTCTGAGGAGCACGGCGGCGGGCATTGATGAACCAGTTGGATACCTGAGACTGTTAGTGCAACTTCTCCTCATTTGTGAAGGCAAAAGAGGGCTGGAAGAGGCGAAGACGTTCTTGACAGTCTCCAATCGGGCGAGGACAGATTGAACGACAGCTCCAATTGTTTCCTGACATTTGATCGACACATGATCGACAAGTAGAGCCGGTAATGTCCGGCCCGGAAAACAGTGACAGAAAACGGTGACAGATGACGTACCTGATTCAACGTAAGACCAGTTTGAGAGCACAATAATAATTTCTCCTCCTCCGATGGGTAAGGGGATTCGCGGTGGCCATGGAACCAGGTTTTGAGGATTGCGGTTGATTCTTTCGGCAAGTTCCCGCGTCGCTTCCGATTGAAGGAGGTGTTCATGTCTAGATTTGATTGGAAGGTATAGTTGCTGTACTCGCCTTGGGCCTGGTGATACGGATTCTGGGCATATCCATGATCGGGCTGCGGCCCTGTGGCGTAACCAGCTGGTTGCTGAGCTTGATGTACGCCAGGGTGTGGAGTTTGATGTATATGCAGATGCGGAGCTTGATGCATGTGAAGGTGCGGAGCTTGATGACTACTGGGATGCGGAGCCTGATGTGGATGCGGGTGCGGAGCATGATGTCCATTTGAGTGTGAAGCTTGGAACCCATTCGAATGGGGAGTTTGATAGCTATTGGGGGCAAGAGATTGATGCACACTCGAGGATGGAGCTTGATGGCCTCTCAACGACGAACCTTGATAGCTATTCGGTGATTGACCGTAGCCACTCAGATGCAGACCGGGATGGGCATTCGGTGGTGGAGCCGGAAGACTACTCGCGTGATGACCTGGATCATGGCTACTGCTGTAGCTATGAGAAAATGCAGGTGGGGCGGCATCCGTATAGTACGAAGGCTGATGCACGTATCCAGGGCTGTGATGTTGAGAAGAGGGCTGGAGTCCATGGGTAACAGAGTGATGAACAGGAACTTGTGGTGACGCATGGTAATCCCACAGTCCTCCTGGGGAAGACTGGTGACGAGCGTGAACTACCGGAGCTAGCTGGGAGCTTGACGGAAGGGGCAGGCTTGGACGGTGTTGGTGGCTCAAGGATGGATGCGGAAGTGGAGGGGGTTGCATTGTTGATGGTGAACTATAGGATGAAAGAGTAGGATCAGAGGCATTGGACGAGTGGAATCCTGCCATTTCGATTCCGGTGTCGAGCCGACGTCGCTTGCTTTCCGACCAGGCTGGTTCCTCGAAGCGCGGTGTCTTCACCACTGGCGAGCCCGCCACGCTCGTGCTTCCTTGGGCGGGAGTTGCTGGCGGTGATGGCTCCCGCAAGCTCTGGGTGAGCTATTATTGTGTTAATGTCTCTGTGATTGTCTTGTTGGAATGAACCATACCTGTGAGAAGCTGGGTAGTTGTGGTGGCGAAGCTCGCTGTTCACCCAGCTGAATAGGCGGGGTTTGGCGCATATTTTGCCCCTGTTTCTCATGGTCACCAGTGTGATTCTTCTCACTCTCGCTGGCCATGCTGTCGATACGCGGCAGTTGGAAAGACATGGCAGCGGAGCGTGGTGGTGGATAGGGGGAGATGGAAGACGGAAGATCTAAGGGCGAAGAAGAAGAAGAGGGTGAAGCAGAAGTGTGCAATTGATTTTCACGAGGAAGGAACGGATGAAGTGCACCTACTGCAGCCAGGCCAGGCAGTGAGCGTTCCTTCTCAGAAGAGTGGTGGTCTTCAGGAGAGGCCATGTTGCGTGGATTTAGCTGGTGGAAAGGACGGTGCGGGAGATCTTGTAGCGTGAGATACTCCATCGGAATGCTTGCGCGCACTGAATGTATATATTAGCCCCAACTTTTCATCCAGATTTGTGCGCGTGGGCATTCAATGTTCTGAGGGTCTGAACCACTGTCTTGTTGGGCGCTAATCCAGTTGAAGGTGCTGTGAACCAAACAACTACCCACCCGTGACAGAATCGCCAGGTTGACTGACGAGAGACATCCTCAACGACGGCATGTCCAGATGGGGAAGATGCCACTCACCTCGGCAGTTCAACAAATTGGTGTGCACTTGATTATTTGACTCAAAAGATCCCTCTGAGCGCTGCTAGCTCGGTTCCGCAGAACGGCTGGAATATCTCAGATATATGGCCGCCGCAGGGTCGATTGTGTTCACAGATGCGGTGGGGATTAACACAGCGTATTAATGATGTTCTGGTCGGCAGGCAGGACCTGTGTCGCAGTCGGAACGGGGAGGGTCAGCCGGCGCAAGCACCCAACAGTTCGTAGACAAGCAGACAGGGTGTGGTGAGGGTTGTTAGTGATGATGTTTAAAGACGAAGAAATGCACCATGGGCGGGAAGGAGGCGTTACAATGGCGGAAGAAGCACACTGCAACGGGCCGTCCTTCTCCCTGGCATGCAAAGTCTCCGTCTGGACCTTGGGTCCTCCAGGAGCACACGGTAAGAGGACAGGCACTTCCAGCACGGGGTCTGCGCCTTTGATAGGTGAGCAGTGGGCTGCTGTTAAGGTTTGGTCTATATTCTCCGAGCGAGCAATGCGGGCGTGGCTCGCCGGAGCTGGCAAGCAAGTAGTGGGAGAGAGAGAAACAAAGGGCCATCCCACTTTGCCGCAGGACTCGAGGCACGAATAGACCCGGGCGAGCCCACCTGGCACTAGGGACAGCCGTCGCGCTGGGCAGCCGGCGACGGTGGTGAAGCTGCGCAATGCAGGCTGCATAGTGGTGCATGGAAGAGAGCCCGGGGCCACACGACGGAGGCGCTGCCATGGTCGCTGTCCCCACCCGCTAACACTGCTCCCACGACAAGCACCGCCGGCGCTGATCTGCCTTTGCTGCAGCTGACTCGATGCAGCAACTGGACAGGGGCCCTCTGCCCTTCGCCCATTTCGGCGGCCTTGCAGTTCAGTGGCCATGCTCGTCCATTACCTCATCCGCGCGGCCGAGGCGAGCTACGCAGCAGAGATGCAGCTCCCATTCTGATTCTGTGGCCGCCGCATCCAATCTGTCAACGTTCCTCATCGCACTCGGCGAACGGTGGCTGACGATTGACGAGCAGGAGATTAAACCTCGAACCGCGCTCGCTGCCCGCCGACCCAAACAGGCAATCCATCTCGGCCAGCCCTACCCTCTCTGTCCTCTCTGCTGAGCTCCACCCTACCTTATTCAAACCCCCATGGCCTGTGCCTCTCTTGTTCAAACATGAGACAGGCGACCATTACATCTGCCACACCCGGAGGCGCGAGCTCAGGCTACACTGAACCTACCGACGGTCATGACTTCTACCAGGGACCTGTCGCACGGGACTGTGATAATTGCTTATGGCCAGGGAGCGCAGAGCTATTGGGGGAGCACACCTGCAGGTAGCATTTTGCGATCTCGGAGGGGGTGCAGGGTTGCGTGAACTACATTGCACTCTCCCACACTTCTACCACGAAGGGAGCCAAATCCGATGACGGTGGCCATGTTGTGTTCTCTGAGCCATGGCGGCGGGCCCTTCACCCCTGGAGGTCAAGCAGATTGACCAGAGCCGGGGCGACAGCTGCCGCAAGCCAAACCGGGCTGGTGGCTGGGCAAGGGAAAGGTGCAGATGGAGCTCTTCCAGCATCCAGGAGCGGGAACGTTGGTGTCGGGTCGAGGACTTGAGCCCTCGCACGGCGGGAACGGGCTACAAGGGTGAGTGGAGCAGTAGAGAGTATTGAGAAGGAGGGGCGTTCGGGACGTGGGACGGAAATAGAAGTGGGAGACGGCTCACTCGATCTCCACGGATGATCGACGGCGGTACCTCTCCCTTGACGTCCACACCTTGAGTAAGATGCGCTTACCTTCTGGTGAACCCCTGGATGGTGAGCGCGGTGACTCGCGCAGAGCCTCCATCTCAAACGGCGAGCGTGCAGAATCCAGAGGGAGTTCCTTGATGGAAGCGCTGTTTAAGTTTGCATGATTGTTTGAAGAATCGAGGTCGCTTGAGGCCTGCTGGCTGAAGCTTCAACACGTGTGGACTAGACAACGGTGAAGGGGCTTGGCGCGAAGGAAGAGGAGGCAGCGTGCTGAGTGGTCGGAGCCCCTTTTTGCGGCCCTCTTGACAGCTGACACCGGCGCCGTGATGCGCGTCGGTATGCTGGCGGACGCTTTTGGGGAGGTTGGAAGAGGAGTGCGATTGACGACAGGGTTCAGTTGTGCTATGCCCGATGGGCCAGCTCAAAATAATCCCCGCTGCCGGGCGATCAGACATCTGACGAGCAAGATCCCAGACGCCTCCGCCATCTCGTGCCGCGATGCTTTGTTTTGTTCTGCCGGACTAGCACACATCATTCCATCATCTCAAAACCTTCGAGGACATGCAGCCACCGCGCCAAGACGCAGCTTGTTCTGTATGCAGAGTGCAGAGTCTGCAGCAGCAAACACCTGGCGACGACGTTGAGCCTAGTTGTGTCTCTATCTACGGTCGGCTCAGAACTCATTCTGGCTCCTCGTTCTCTCCCGTCGCGGCCAGCCTCACTAAGCCAGACTGTGAGCTGTCCTCGCAGCCGCACCACATTTCGGAAGGCTTCCCGGAGCTACTGCCATTGGCCTCCCACGAGCTGCCACTGTGGGATGCGTGGCGGAGTACCTGGCCAACCGCACCCTTCGACTGTCGATGTTCATCGCTCCACCATCGCCTCTTTCGACAGTTGACCCTTCCCTTGCGCTGCTGGGATAATGATGGTCGCGCGTCGTCAACTTTGCGATATCTGAGGTGACCCTGGTCCCCAAGACGAACGTCCCACCTAGAACTTATCTTGTTATCGAAGGCCTGGAAGAAGTCCTGCAACCCCAGCAAGCCAGTCGAGGACTCGCACAAAACTGCGATGCAACTTTGCGGGAACACGGTGAGGGGCCACAGCGTGGTACAGCAGCAGTCGACCGCATGACAGTCCGTCACTCGCTGTCGCTGGGCGGCCAGTAGTTCGTCGTGTGCAGTGCCAGGGGCCCTCCATTTTGCGCCATCCTTTCGCAGGGGCTGTCAATCTCTGTAGCGTCAAATCTTCCGGCGCCCAGTTGTCATAGGTCGCAGGCTAGCTTCAGGGACTGACACGACAATTTGAGAGAGCACTGAGTCTTTTATCCTGCCATGCATTGCAACGGAACACTGTACCCTCTATTCTCACAGAATGGGAGAACACTGCACTGAACGAGCACCGCGGGATCCTCGACAACGAGTACTAGACAGCGGGGGGGTTCCTTGCCCGGACGGCTATCCCCAGGTTTGATCCGACGCTGGGATCCAGGCGCAAAACTGTTCCAACTAGCGTGGCGACACAAAGATTAAGCCACCAACGCCATCTAGTGCTCGAGAGTCAACTCAACCTTCGAATTGGTTTCAAACCCGGTCGCTGTCCCTCCATTGGCGTTTTCGCACCCGTGCCTCACCGCTGGGGAAACCCTGTCCAACTTTGCCAATTGAAAAGCCATGGCGTCTGAACCTCTACCCTGACCAGCGTCTCGACTCTCGATAACGTGGCCGGCTCCTCTACTTGGGGCTTGCTGTCCGAATGGCGAGAGAACATCAGCCTGCAGCCTGCAGTTAATCTCGCTGCTGTTAAGACTCACGGGTAGCCACGTCGGGACAGAGGCGGGCGATAGCCCGAGAAATCATTCTGGACCTGGACCTTTGGTGGGATGCGGCAAGAGCCGCATCAGCGGCAGCATTTGATCTTGAGTTTCATGTTCCACAGTTGCATCAGTACCCGCTCTGCGTCGCAATACACTGCGGTTTGCATGTCACCGCCTGAGATGCGACATATCTACTTCCCAAACCGCATTGAGACCCCTCATGATTACAGAGTCGGAAGTCAAGGCAGTCCCGCGATGACCGGACGAAAATGAGAACGCAAAGGCGGTGACATTTGTGATACTTTGAATAGGCGCTCCATACTTCTAAGTGCGCCAGAAGATGGGGTGCGGCTGTGTGAACCGTTACTCGACAGTCTCACTTACAAGTCCAAGAGGGCTCATCACTGCCAGATCCTTCTCTAAGCCGGCAAGGAGCCCTTCTTAGCCCGTGATTGAGAGTGGTACAAAGACTTGAAGATCGTGCGTAGTCTTCTGTCATCTTTTCCGTCGTCGTGTTCCTTCGACACGTATGAGTTTCATCCCGGAACAGTGAAACGAAATCAACTCAACGGTGCACAGCAGAGACAACACCCGGTATCTGGAACGATGGGATGCCATGGAACTTCGTTGAATCCCACAGCGTGGGCTTGGAACATGGCCGCCCTAATCCTGCAAACTTTTTGTGCCTTGGCTTTCTCACAACTCACGATGAAATCCTTTCTAGCAGCCATGCAGAGGGCATAGAGGAGTAGATCGTATGATGTGCTAAAAAAAAAAAGGTCGAATGGTGTTCGCAGGCCCACCCAAGATGTGCGAGATGCCATGTCCCTTCGTCGGTTGGCGTTCAGATCTGCAAATGTCACGAGTCATGCACGTTTTTCAAACACTGCTCAAGCCTCAGTTCTGGTCCCCGACCACCAGATTGCCAGAGCGATCACCTTGGCATGCACACTTCACGAACACACTTCAACTGTCCTTCGATACCACTTTCGCTATTAGCTAAAGATTAGGCAATGGAAGGCGATTGTCGCAGCGCTAACTTTACCAAGAACACATCACAGCCCAGAGGTCAACGTCACCTTCACGTTGTTTTCCCACGACCTCTTGCCCGCCTTCTCTTAGAAGTCGTTCGAAGCTCCTCAAGTTGTTGTTGAGGCTGGTGATCAAGGATATGTGTCTCAAAACAAGAATCTATTAAGTATGTGTTCCTCATCAGAAACTGACAGCCACTCACTACATTAACTCTTCGACAAGGACTTGATGCAGCTTGAATGCTGGTCGGCGCTCGTTGTACAGTCAATCTCGCGTCTCCCCCGCCCACCAAACGCCCGTCACTTCTGGTCTTGAGACATGTCTGCACACACCGCATTTGTGGCTTTGGGGATGTTACAGGCTCCCACAGCCAGTCAGCATGTCAAGGCTGTCAGACTGTCAAAGCCAAACTGGTTTCGGGTCGGAGAGCGGCTTGTCTTGCTCTAGATTCCATCCTAAGGGTCCACTGACGACCATTCGCCTACCACCCAAAGAATATGAAACAAACCTTACGTGCTAGTTCAGAAATGTTTGTGCAAGCCGAAATCTTTCGTATATCTTCAATCGCCCCTTTTGGCCTGCCATTAAATGCAACTAGTCACTGGCATTCCCACCATCTAGCCCTCAAGAGTTCTTCATGCACGCTCAAAAGGAGGCGTGACGGAAGTCCTTAGGAGTCTGTGAGCACAAGGTTGTGAGCTCGACATCAATATTCCGATTCCTTCCTTTGCGTGCCTATTTGAGTCAATGATAATACACCTGCCATCCGTTCTCGATGAAAGGTCATCGCCAACATCACCATTGTCGTGTTAGTGCGGGGTTTAAACCCGGCACGGGCGTTTCCATTAGCTTGGGCTTCTTCCTTAGCTCTCAGGCATTGTCCCAACGCCTCATCCAAGCCCAATGTCCTTCAAGTCCTTTGTAGCCTTTCACGAAATTCCGTTGTTTATGTGGACCTGAGCCTCATCTTGGAAATAAAATTTCCACAGATTCTCATTCTCAGTGAAGATTTTTGACATCATGCTTCCCGAGTAGTAGACTTGTTCTAGGAGGTTGCTTTGTGGGAAACAACAGGCGAGCAGCTGCATACAACCCATCGCTGAATTTAATTCCAAAATACGAATAATATTTCTGCAAGTCACCCTTACGATATAAGTCCCGACAAAAATTCCATGGTCCAGATAGGACTCTCAATCTTCACCTTCACATCTAGATTGCCATTATTCACGGATGCTACTAGAAGATGTCTAGCAGGTAGAATCATTATTGTTCGAGAGGGAAGGTCTCTTTGTATGGAGATTTGAGCCGAGGAAGTAATTTCTCCCCTGAATATCGAATCTTGTCTCAAGCTCCCCACGGCTTTGCAAGACTGATCAAGGTCATTTGCTTGCGCAGACGGGCTCCTACGAATTCTCCCGCCAACTCCTCACAATTTTCCATTGGTAAAAGTAAATATACGAGCAACATACATCCGACAACTAAATTATTCGAAGAGAGTTCCAAAGTATGCCAAAAAAAAAACGTGGTTCCTCATGAGTTAAATATTACCACCACATACAAACACTGATCGCAGCTTTGTGATCCCCCATATCTCGAAAAGCACTACACACGTCTTCCCAGCTTGCTAAATGCCATTTCCCGCTCTGTGTTTACACAGTAGACATTGACAGGTGGATGTTGATGAGCGTCTAAGCCACTAACTCATCTCAACAATCCTCAAAGTGTATACAAGCTTTGTTTACGTTCAGCGCCGACGTTTTCAGTCCCCTTCCGTTGGCCTACTCTCACGCTGGCAGCTTTGTGACTGTTCACGGATCCCTGCCAACTTACTCTCACATTCCTTGTCTAACTTCATTTGGTTTGCACGACTCCCTGGATTGACTGAAAACTGGCACTGATTGACACCGCTTCGAGGCTATGCCGATTTACGTTATCTCAATAATGCTCAGGGTCCACGTCTTAGCCGAACGACCCGGACGATGCCTGGGTTGATTGGGCCGACCCGAACGGTAGGACTCCGCTTCCAGACTTTCTACACCTTTCTAGTTAGGCCGAAAACAGCAGGCGGTTAACAAATCCGTGGAGGTATGGCACATGTTCCATGGTATATGCATTCGCGGCAACAGAACAGACGCACTCTACACTCACTTTTTGGTCTTTTTCTTTCGGTTGGGGCGGGTTTGCAACAAGAAGTTTTCAATCGTCCCACTTGGTTGTTCGCCAATTAAAATGCTGATGATGCACGGAGGCTGGCGATCACAGCGGCCTCGTAGGGAATGATCTGCGAGATTTTCAGCTTGCTACTTTATAGTTATCTCCCCATGCAGCCAAACTTATGCGTTCTTGAAGCACAACCACCAGCTTACCCCAGATTCAGATATTCCCTCATCCTGTCTCCAAGAGCTAGCGAGGTCACGAGGTTAGATTGTTGTTTGACCGTGGGGAAGGTCGAGCCGTCGCCACCTCACTTGCCGTGCCCTAATTCTAGGAGAAACATTGGAAGCATGCATTTCGAGCATGAGCCAGTCATCTCTTCGCAAAATCCATCATGACTATCACACTCTTGTTAATCAGTCAGGCGCGACTAAAGAAACGCTGAGGTAGCATCACTACATCTAGAGAGTTCATGAACCTGAAACTGCTGCGTCTGATCTAGGAAGACTTGCCACGAGATGTGTGTATGGTTCCATAGCTCTGGGCTCTGCGCCGTCACCAAAGAGAAGTTCAATCGACTTGGCTTTGGTTGCCGGAAATGAGAGTGAAAGTATACTGCACACCTTACGTGCCGGTATCTGCCGGGCCGACTGACTTCTCCTTAAGCCTCGACCGCTTGTTTTCTAGATTCGCTGCGCTCTCCACCCTCTCATGCATGACAGGGAGGACGACGATGCACGCAAGCGAACCAATTCTCCGCGCAGCAAATGACATCTTGTCTTGGCTAGTATTCGTTGGCGGTGGCGGAAAATAGTTTTTGGTGGCTTGATATCGGGGATTTTGCATCGGTGAGTTGCAGCTTCTAATTCTGGTATTTGGTTGATCTCTCGTCAGTCGTCGATTCAAAGTGGCTGCGGCATCGTCAGGCGCACGCCACTTTTACCTCGAAATTTTCAGCTTTTAACTAGCCAGTCCTTGTCCAAAGACCAAGTCTCCGTGTCGTCTAGCAGCTGCAATAACCCTTTCACTTCGCTCCAGGCGTTTCGAGACTATTGATTCACGATTTGCAGGCGTCCTGCCTTGGCGCCCTCCTTCGTCCAAAATTCCATTTTTGGCATCGACATTTTACCGGACGATGCGCTCAAACTTCTTCCTACAACGCACCACAGCGACCACCGGACTGAATTCTGGGCTAAACGATGCCACGTTTGACTTCTCGAATTTGTATCTTCACCTAAAACTGCTTTTCACGATTCATTATTCCGTCTACGTCCAGCGACAGATCTGCTCGATCGGACGCGATCTCCAGATGTTAGCAAAATAGTGTCAATTGCTAACTTTATCGTCAAGATCAAGCAAGAACGCGAAAGTAAAAATTGCCACCTCGAACGGACCCCAGGTTCTGCGCAACAATTCTAATCTACATATTGGATACATTCGAGGAGTGCAGACAGACTTCGACTATCGGTCGGTCGAATACGTATTGTGGACCATAAACACTATCGCACCTTCAAGTCCCCTCACCAACAGCACTTCCTGTACAGTTAGGGCGTGCGTCTAAATAATGAAAGGTGCCCCCAATTGCGCATGTTTTCACTGCAGTACTGCTTACCCGCATCTCCCGTCGTCCGGAGTCCCACCGACGACAGCTGCAGGAGCCGTCAGACTCTGCCATTTTAAACTCCAATGCATATATGATGATCCCTGAAGGCCGAAATTGGAGCAGGAGTGCGCACTGATGTGATGGTATTCTTGATCTCACTAAGAGTTTTAATGGATCGATACCTTTCTAGCGTTCGTCCCTTGTAGGTCTTAATCTGCGACAAACAATGCTTACAGACTTTACCCATGCTAACTCAGAGAAGGTATCAAATACGACCATAACCTTTCCAACCTCTTTCAGACTTCCTGCAGCTATACAATTGTCCATAGGCAAGGAGATCAAGCCTATAATACATGGGGGGTTATCGTGGTTGTCTTGCTCTTCGTAGAAGGGTAGCAACAGTGAGTTTTCCGTTCAGTGGTCTGCAATCGTCAAGCTAGTATCCTCCATTCTCCAACACCCTGCCCTTATCCTTCTCATTCCCCATTATCAAAGCCGGAGAGCAAGAAACTTCTATTTGTAGCCTTATCCAACATTTGCCGGTTATTGTCATGCTATAGGAGTATGCTAACATTCCTTCAAAGCCCCTACCGCTACATTATGAACTATGCTTAGGCATGGAGATTCCGAAGCCAGAAGGCTACCAAGCCGGCGAAGGCATAAGCGCGGTGGATCCATCGGCGACTGTAATCTAGGAAATAGTATAAGACCAAGCGGATATTCAGGCGGACGTAGGCGACAATCGCGATACAGAGGATAGCCTGCGCGACGACGGCGGCGTGAGGCATAGTGCCGTGGAGGTTTTGGGATAGTGTGGTGAGCTAGAGATATGGAGCAATCGGTCACTAATGAGACTGTCTGGGGAGTCACCTGCGGTGATAGTATGGCCTGGAGGCTCGTCGCTGTTGCGGAGATATAATGCTATAGCGAGGAAGGTGTTCTGAGGGTGTTGCTGGAAGACTAGAGGAATCGTGTCCGCGTTAGTATTCGGGCAGTCTAAGGTAGGTAATCATTATAGACGTTCGATAAAGCACTCAGCAAAAAGGCTCACAAACTTCAATTTCACCGTTGTAGCTCTTCCTACAGCAATGACGCTGTGCGTTGCATAGTCAGTGTTTGAGCCTGTATTCATGACGTGTCCCAAACACTTCCCGCCACCAAAACAGCCCCATTTGACTCGTTGTCCTGCATCATTAACCTCACAAAAGTTGTCTCTAGTAGTTCCAATTCCCAAAAATATTCTTTCACCTCCAGGCATCTTGTCCATTCGCATCGATACAGAGAAGACTAGCATGGTCGCTCCCCTCAGGATGACACACTCGGTCAAAGAAGCACACAATTTTTTATTTTATTTTTACAAGGCGAAGGCTTGATCCGGGGCCTTGAGGACTTTATTTTGGGAGTTTAGGCGCTTGGGAAACATTGGCGTTCACCCTGCAGCTGCCGCAGGTATGTCTTTACCCCGGAAGTGTTATTTCACCATAGGATGTCGAATAGGTTTGGCATGGGACTCTAGATATTACATTGCAGCATGAGAGAAATCTCCGCGGGATAGCACCCACTGAGGGTGTCTACGAAAAGTCTAACAATTATGTTCTTCATCAACTTCTATATCACCGGGAACCGTAACCCTGGCGAAGACCTTCGCGTATTACAAAAAGGAAGCCTTAACGTCCCTCCTCCCATGGTGCCGGAAAACCCGGTACTTCCAGCGGAAGCAAATACTGACTAGTGCAAATGGACCCTACATGTCCCACCTCATCATTTCCGCGAAATTTATTTGTGATGACTGTTAGACTGGTGCCTATGCGGAGCCTTTACCAAGCGATCAAGATATTATAAAATCCGATTCTGGATTGGGAGCAAGGTTGGGGCTAGGATTTCAAAGGGCCCTGCTGTTCGATTCAGTCCTCTAACGCGTCCAACATCGAAACTTTCAACAAAGCCTTGTACAATTCTAAGATGCGGTCAATGCACGACTATGTCTACCCTAAAAGCTTCTGTGACACATATGTGAACTATAGCGTTGCCCTCAAGCTTCGTAGACCTACCGTTGGTACTGCCGCTCGTCTTGTCGTTCTTTCATCGTTGAGCGAGATGGCGCTCTACGCACCCATTTGGTTCATTTTTCATTCTCCTCTGCACCTATGTCACCTTTGGATTTGAGCAGCGCATAGTGGGCGAATTTTAGGAACTAATTTTAATGTCTTTTCGAGTAATTAATGGAATTTGTAGAACACTAATGCTGAATGTTCAATGTCAAATGTCAACAACACCGGTTCCATCCCTATTTGAAGCGGCTCAATGCAGTGATATCAAGTTGATGTCACATGTGTAGCTCAAATCTCATAGGAAGTACGCCTTTCGATCCTCGTCATAAAAGTTGGTATATCCCATGCCTTTTACAAACGTATAATGCCAGGGCCCTTGCTCCTTCAACTGGGCAAGCTTGATGTATTCGGCCGCTCGCGCCTCGCCACTCATCTGGTCTCGTATCGGAGAGCCATCTGGAAAACGCTCGTCGGTAAAATAAAATCTAAACAGCTATTAGCATGTTCTAGATGAGTAAGAGGTATGTTCGTACCTGAAACCATCATCCTTGTACGCAACGCTGGCATCCCAGATCATGTGAGCTGCCGCGGTCTTGCCCAAGCCGAAGGTGAGTACAGCTGGAGAAGGCATCACGTTGAGCTTGTTCCCGGTGTAGAAAAAAGACCTTTGGCTCAGATGCAGGCAATAATCGAAAACCCACAACAGCTTGCTGAGCGGCTATGAAGGCACTTGTTAGATTTATCGCCATCTCTTCCTCGTGCTGCTTAAGTGTGATTGGTGTTAACGGGTCTCGGGCATCGACTAAGGTTCTTTTGGCACCTTCAAAATCAGCATGATAGTACTGTGATAACTGAAAGTTGGAAGAATCGCTTGACGTACCATTGTAAATGACTACAGATGGGGCAGCCCAATGTGACTTGACCTTCCTAAAGACCTCTGGTATCGAGCCTGGCTGAGATAGGTCTACATGAAGATCAAGATGCGTGTCATCCGCTATTTTGTCCTCACGGCTACGGGAAGCACTCGCGATCCTCCAGCCATGTGCAGCGAAAACAGTCGCCACATTCTGACCAATGTTCGAGCCAGCACCTAGAATGAGTACGACAGACATGTTGTACAATTATTATACCTGTTATGGTTATCTAAGTTGCCTTCTTGTTGTAATATGACTTTTATATCACAAGACATCAAATCACCAGAAATCTCCGATAGTGGTTGTCGTTCGTAGGGCGCGTGGATGAGTCAATCTCAAGTCATGGTTGCCTGGCTGTTAGCGAGAATATAGGTTCAAACGCAAAAAGTAACAGTAGTCTTCGGCCTTGGCGTGTTCAGAGAAACAATTTTCCCATGTCTGAGGTATACTAACCTTCCCCACCCCATTTCATCTGAGACGTCTCCTATTTTGTCGTATTCCCTTCCACGGGCTGAGACCGGACGTCTAGCTGCTGCTCGGTACATAGAGATCGGTCGTGGTGGGCTCGAGGACCATAGGGACATGATAAGGTTGGGTACATCTTTTGGTTAGTTAGCAGCGGTATCAGCGACGGGTCTGCGGACCTCGAGGACGGCGCGATGGTGCATAGCTATGTTACGGAGGGTATCAAGGTAGGCATGGTCGTAATGTTGGACCGCATCTCGAAGTTCTACGATGGCTGTGTCGAAAGCTGATCATAGTTTCAATACTGCGAACATGTTAGCTAACTAAACAAGCGCTAGGGTCCTCAGAGAGAGGAGAGTAGCAATGGGCCTCGAGGTTTTGAGCTTCCTTGTGCTTGGGTGTGGCCTCCTTTGTACTAGCGAGACCAAGGTTGTCATCGATGAAATTTAGCTTGTGTTCCAGGAATCAGGGATCTCTTCTACTATGGAGTTCAGAGACATGGCTTGGATAGAAAAATGTAATATCGAGGTCTTGTCTAACAAGGCGAAAGCGAAATCGTTACTCGAGAGCTGTTTACCCTTTTGTAGGCAGTGTAAGATACAGTTCAACTAGAGCTGAAATGAGTTGTCTTTGAAGATGGATTCGTCTTGGGGAGGGTTTGGAGAGTTATATATTGGAGCTTCCTATATGTGGAAGGGGGAGAAGTGCCGAACTTTTCTTTGTTGATGACCTCACGGGACTAAACTTTATGAATTGTTGAATCATTGTATCCTGCACAACCTGGGCGTGATCATACAAATGAATCTTTCATTCCTTTGTCCATACTCACACTTGCAGAGTTAGACGACTAGCCGCTCTTCTAAACTTGGTCGTCCCTTTCAAGCCGTCGATGCTAAGATTCCTCAATTGAAACTACAGGTTTGTGCAAGTTCCTTGCCCATGTGTGCCTTATACACAAATACATTGTTCTTTCACAGAATCTGCCACTGAGTGGGGCGAGACTGCAGCATTGTACATTATGGGGTGAAATTAAGAATGCCTCAGGAAGCTCCAGCAGCCTTTCTTTAGCAAATCGGGACATAGCAATGCTATCATCGTACGTTTGGGTTAAAGAATAGTGATAGTGCGTAATAAGGTCAGCGACAAGCTAGAACGCAATAAAAAAGCATTTGCCCCGACTTTGTACCCCTACCCACCAACACCCAACCTCCTCCGACTAATCTGTACACAAACATCTACCAACCCAGCATCTACCCAATCATCCATAACAACACACAATCTCTCCGCTCTTAACTTCTTCTCCAAATTCTCTTTGATCCACGGTAACAGCACCATATCATTCCTCGCCTTGGTACTCATCAAGCAACTCCCTGCCGCCTTAGAATTTCGTATACTCTCGATCATAACCTCCCCAATAGCTTGGCTCGTAGCCTGGCATTGCAAGACTGTAAGATCGGTGCTTTCCTGCCCTTCTGTTGTCATCGCTTCAAAGCACTCCAAAATGGGGGTCGGAGTGAGAGTTGCATAAGCTTTGGGGTTGTAGGAGTCGTATTTCTCTGCCTCAAAAAGGACAATGAGTCGAATACCTAACTGCCGGAACTCGTCGATAGAACGCGAAAAACATGTTCCATCTTCCCATCGTAGCGGAGGGTTCTTCACTTTCTCGCACGTCGAATCTAGCATATCGAATACTTCACTCATACTAGGTCTTTCGCACTCGGCAACAATATTATCATACCTCACATGTAGCACCACAATCTCCATCCTTTCCTCATCCAGAAACCCAACCACCTCACTTAGAAAGTCCCTAAATGATATCCCAGGAATCAACGAGTGGTGGAAATAGTAAGCATTAGGCAGGTTTGAAGCTTTCTGAAAAAAGGGTAGTAGTTTCGCAGGCCGGAGTTCGAAATATCGTGCCCCCAGCGCCAACATTGTTGCTATGCTTTCTTTCTGTGTAATCGCGGTTCCATATACAATCTCCCGGAGATGGTCAAGGAGGAATTGATCGGGTGTGTCTTTAAACTGATTTGCGTTAGGAATGAAATTCTTGAGTTGATGCACCATGTCAAGATCGGCGACTGCGAGTATGGATTCGCATGTTTGTAGGCTGTTCATGCCGCAATCGTGAGGTGATGGTAGAACAAAGCGTGAGAAGGGGAGTTGCGCGGCTGTAGAACCTGGCGGTGCGACGCTCTTCATCCAGTGCCGGTTTGATATTGAGGTTATTGTGATGGAGCATTGGTGTCTGTTGGTGAGCCCGGCGTTTCCGGGCCCGGCGGAGTAGATACAGGATGTAATAATCACGTCGGAGATTTTGATGGGGGGTTCGGTTTCAGGAGATGCTATTTTCCCGGTTTCCAGTTTTCCGTTTGCAAGATGGATATCGTTGTATTTGGATGCAATAGCCCCACCGTTGGGATTATATACAGTCCATTTGAATTGGGTAATCGCGTCGGATGTACCGGAAATGTTCAAGGATTCGATTTCGAGATGGTGGCAGCTGAAATTATCCGCTTGGGTGTGTGTGATACTCTCATGTGAAACTACGAATTGGACTGAGTAGCCAGGGAGAGAGATGTAGGAATATACATCAACCGCTTTTGCGGACATAATCAGAAACGGGTTAATGAAGGACCGCGGGAGAAGAAATAGCCTGGAAGGTCATCTAGACGGGAAATTTAGCGACGGAGGCTGGCTCTTTAAATCATTTCAGGGACGTATCTTGCACGCTCACGTGAGAGGTAGATGTCCCTAGGCACGAATCGGAAGTAGTCAGATGAAACTCCAGCCACTGCGGCGTGGGACGTCCGAACGTGGCGCGGGAGTATCCCGCTGAGATGTTCAGAAGTCCTCCTTTTCGAGCGCTACCGGTTCGGTCATTATTCTCATCATTCGCGTCGTAAACAGTGCGAAACAAGTGCAGAATAATGTTTGAAGATGCAAAGGGACAAATGGCAGGTCCTTGGCTTTATATGCGCAATACTAGCATGCAGTAGTGAAGCCGCCAATGCCAATTCTATTGCTCTTGAGTGGCGAGTGAGATAAGAACTATTGTACAATCAGCAATACTATACATTGCCGAGACCTTATAGCATGTTCTTTCTCCAAGCCTGCATTCCCAGGGTTTCAATCTCTTTGACTTCCACCGGCCCATGAACGCTTTCATCTTCAAGCGCTTCAACCACAGCCTCGCCAACAAGGTCCGCTTTGAGGGGCTTTATCCCTCCAGCACCCATCAACCATGTGAGCCTTCCTCCAACCATGCCATTAACTATAGATGCAACACTCCCGGCAACAGCAATAGGTATTGTGAAGCTCCTCGATGAATCGTACATGAACGGTGCTCGGATGAAGATGCTCCGCATCTTTGGGAAGGTAGTGGATATTATAGATTCCGCTTCGCGCTTGGTCGAAATATAGCGGGTGGGAAGGATAGGTGTGCCAGCTGCAGCGGAAATGTAGACGAAATTCGGGACGGACTTCAGAGAGGCCTCTTTTGCAAGACTGACCGCTGGGGATACTCGTTAGCAAGATACCTGAAGAGTTTGGTTAGGAAATGGAAAGTTTATACCAGTATCCCGATTCATAACCTCATAAGTCAGCTGCCCATCTTTCTCCTGCGGCCTTAGCGGCTCCCCTTCTTTTCTCTCCAATGGATTCTGGGTTCCGGCTTTCGTGGCACTAAATGCACGCTGGAGACCACTCCACGGCGACTCTTTCCCTGACACGACCGCCTTGTAATCTGCTTCAAGAAGTATGCCCATAGAATGTACTACAGCATCTGCGTTTTCGAGATGAGATGTATATGTCGAGGGATTGAGGATGTCACCCTTCTGCCAGGAGATATTTTTGGACCAAGTTGGGGGATTGGGGGATGAGGATAGGGAGGACCAATTGGGATCACCGGAGCGACTGTGAACGAGACTTAGCATACAAAAACACCAAGCTTGGGATACACCGTACCTTATTGACGTGACCTGCCATCCGCGATGTGCGGCAGCTTTGCAGATGCGGCTCCCTAAATTCGATTAGCACATTAAAAGCTGTAGATGAACAATTACGTTGGGAAATATGCTAAGTTACCCAGAAACCCATTTCCACCACAGACTACGAGCTTCTTCTTCGCCGCCTGTGCCATTGATCAATATTGTCTTGGTGTATTGAAGACATGGCTGCTGCGATGGACGAAGCAGGAGTCTTGACATCACTCCACTAGCCTGGGAGCACCAGGGAACAGCCGCAGGGATAAATGCCAAGACCTTCCTCCGCCTTTGCCCGCTAGCTCTAACATTGCATCCACGTTTTGGTTGAAGCTGGAAATCGCAGTGAAGACTATTAGAATGTGTATATTTCGAATCATGCAGCGACCTAACCGCCATATTCCCTCCATACAGTGCTGACCTGGGGGAGCTACGGCGAACGGAGAAACTTCGGCAGAATGCTTCAGAGAAACCTCCGCACCTCCCGCTTCTCTCAACTCTGAACGTTTATTGAGCCCTCCCATCCAAACACTCTTTTAAATTTTTTCGCCCTGCAGAGTCCCTGTCGCAACTATTCAGCACCTTCTGAATCCTTTTACCTATTAAGACTAGAGCCCCACTATTATCCTCACTGAACGGACTCCCAAAGCCACTTTGAAGATGCCTGCGCCAGCGGCCAACAAGCGCGTCAAGGTAACTGGATATCTCTATTCTGCTTAGAAGCAAGCACTAAGGACGCGCAGAATAAGCGCATAAGTCGAAATATCAGTCCGTACCTCTGCCGCCATCCCTTCTAGCCTCAAACTAATCTTTTTCAGTCATCGGCTCAGAAGCCTACACCCTCCCCCCACTCGGCGATCCCTCCCGCCCAAAGGGCATCCCCGATGACCACACGAAACGATGGACAGTATACGTGCGACAGCCGCAAGGTGACCCTTCCCTCACGACTTGGTTGAACAAGGTGCAATTCAAGATCTTCAATACCTACGAGAACCCCTTACGGAGTGAGTCTCTCTCTCCTTGATCCTCTTTTCCTTTATGCCGCTAACATATCCCACATAGCTTGCGAAAACCCACCATTTGAAGTGACAGAAACGGGCTGGGGTGGCTTCAACATCGACATCCGATTACACTTCCAACCCCTCAGCGGCGAAAAGGCGCAATACCGCCAACACTTCCTGCAGCTCGAAAAATACGGCGACGAGAAGCAGCAAGCGACGCAAGAAGCCTCGGGTCTAGTCCGCGCCGAGTTCCTCGAAGTCGTGCAATTCAACGAGCCTACTGAAGCGCTATTCGAAGCCCTGACGTCGGAAGATCAATGGCACTACCTGCAAATGCCGGCGAAAGGCGGGAAGAAGGCGGCGATGATGGCGGCGCAGATGGGTGGGCGCCCGAAACGCGGGTACCCCAATGGAGAGCGGAGTGCGCAATTACCGGATAAGGGAGGCGACGATGTGCCATTCAGTCAGGAGCAAGAGCAGGCGTTAATACAGTCTATTCGGGAGAAGATTGGGGTTGTGGAAAGGGAGTTGGAGGAGGAGACTAAGAGGCGGGACCAGACCGAGAAGAGGTTGAAGGGGTTGAGGGCTGAGTTGGGACATGAGGCTGCGCAACAGGCGGCTCAGCAGGCGAGTGGGGATCGGAGTCGAAGGAGATAGAGACATGTCACGATTTCAAGTCAGGCTCTCGATATGACATGGCGTTCTGGGACAAAAAGATATCTTGCATTATTTGGCGTTGGAAGGCTACATATTGTGGGAATCGGTATCTGTGATAAGAAGATGTCACAGTAGGTCACTGAATTTTATACAGGTGCTGATCGTTTTGGATACTCTCATTCATACCGCAACTTGCACTGCATACGCTTTGCCAACGCGGAATAGGGTACGAGTAATGCAGGAATTAAGACAGAAGTCTGCATCTTGTTAAGGTTCTCTATGATCCTGACGAGAAGTCCAACTAATTAAGTCTGTTCTGCTAAAGTTTCACGGTATGCGTGAATACACTGTAGAGCATATGGGCTCTGCAAAATAGCCACCCCACGGAGGCACTCCGAATCTAAACCAACCTCTGAGATGTTGACACGGAAATCATTAATCGGAGCTGCAAGGATCTGATCCAGAATATCCGCAGAACCTAACCATCATATTGCTTTCCTTTTAATCCCAGCAAGGAGTTTAGCAGATCAAACCTACCCTATTTATTCTGCAATATGCACATGACCCTTGCATAGGCATCCCTATAAGAAATGAACTTGAAGATAGGATGGTCCATCGCAATGTACGACCCTACCTTTTAATAGCCATATGCTATTATCCCTACAGTGACTGACGCCCGCTAAAACAACTCACATGAAAATGCTTTGTTCAAGGACCCACCGACCTTCTCTCTGTCTGGATGTCTGTCATCTACACATGCATTTGCACTGACTTGCAATGCAATGCAATGCAAAAAAAAAAAAAAAAAACTTAGCCCTTCTTACTCACACGACAGTGAAGATCACGCCCCAGACTTGCGTCCGCAAACAAAGAAGAACCGAATATACATATGCAGATTCTTGTTGCGCACGTCGTTCACCACCTTTGCGATGAGGACTCTGCATTCCTGCTCGCTCCACCCGAGTATCTTGCCGATGAAACCGAGAGTGTAGGGTTCGATGCCCATGGCCATGTGTTCGCGCTGGTAACGACCAATTTCTTTCATCTTCGGGTCTTTGGGCCAGGGGCCTATCGGGACCTACGATCATCATGTCAAAGTCTGGTGAGATTAGAGAAAAAGCAAGTACGGATTGTCTGGGCTGATCCTGGCTGGTGCCTGCACCCCTGGCCCTGACCTGCAGGAGACAAAGCCCAGGCGTTGCTTTTTCTGCGGCTGCATCTGAACTACAACAGCAAGAACTCAACGTACCTTCACAACCTTCTCATGGATATCCACAAATCCTGAATTTGTCATCCGCTGCTTCAACGAATCCGCACACCTTATATCCTTCTGGAACTTCGCCGCCGCCTCATTACACAGATCCTGCCAGTGGCGCAAATTCTCCGCCTGCTGGATTGTATCGTCATCACTCACAACCCACGCCTCGGGTTCCTGGAACTCGAGCCAACCCCCCGGCTGCAAGTGTGTGTATGCCTGTGTACATAGCTTATCCCAGTCGTTGATGGAGCCAGACAAACACCGTACATGTATGAAATCAAATGCTTCGGACGGCGAGTACACCCACTCCGACTCGGCGTCGTCGATGTAGAATTTAGCGTTTGGGGGCACCCAGGAGGGTTGGATAGGGGAGAGATCGGTGCCTAGGATTTCGGAGCCGGGGTTCTCGTCTGCGAAGTCTATGGCCCATATGCCGGTGCCGGTGCCGATGTCGAGGATGCGTGTGGGGGTTTGAGGAATGGGCGCATCGTATAGTTTGCCATTTAGGATGAGCAGGAAGATATGGTGAAGGAGGTCGAGACGGTCTTGCTCGTCTTCGTCGTTGGGAAGAACATATGCGCCGCTGCGGTAGCCATGGTATCGGCGGCCGTTGGAGTATTCGTAATTGAGGATCGAGGATGCTAGTGAGGTACTTGCGGTCGAGTGGCCGTCGAAGGCCGAGTCCGCGTCTGAGTCAGATGGTGTCGCAGTGTCTAGCTCAAGCTCTTGGACTGTCTCGTCGTATATGCCCTCTTGAGGTGGAGATGTAGCAGTCGGCGCAGCCGTTGGATCTGATGCCGAAGCGGATGGCCCGCTGGGACCGGCGGCGGACATAGTGTTCGTCGTTGTGGGCCAGCCGTTTGTTGTGTGCTTTGGTGGACGCGAAGGGGATTTAAGGATCGGCTTCTGTGGAGGTTTGGTCTGGTGATTGTGGCCTTTCTATAATGCCCTACCCCTCCGCGCGGCTCTGCAAGGAAGAGGCACAGGTCGAAGGAGATGTCCAAGAGTAAGGAAGGGTAGCGCACATGGCTAGCGCAAGCCTAGCGCAAGCCTACACGTCTTCTTCATGCGAGCGGATATTGGATGGCTCCAATATTAGCGCGCTAGCGTCTGGAAAACCAGTGCAGTGTGTCTAGTATACCAATCGCGTGCAATTAGCTTCTCGGCTTGCATTCTTGAAGCACGAGCTTGGCCGAGCTCCGGCCCGCGGCTGCGCGTCAAGACTCGGTTGCACCGGATCCTGTTCCCGCATCCGTCAGGAACATTCACAGCCAAGCGAGCTCCACACTGAGGCGACTGGCGAACCAGCGGGGACTTCTCGTCCGAGGCGTCGCGTGAAGCGTCTCTAGTAAATTGCCGACCATGCGCTTGCACGCTCCTGCTCTTTACCCAGCTTTTTAAGACAACAGGTTTCAAGACAAAGCCCACTGTCCCGTCCCCCTAAAACCACCCTTTTGCTTGGACCCCAGTCCATCGACACTCTTTGCGAGCCATGGATTTGGGTCCGTTCAAGCTGCTGTTAGAGTTCTTACCAACGATCCCAGAGCTTGCTGTCATTGCAGTCGCCTCGTATGCGGCTTATGTGCTGCTGCTGACAATATATCGCCTGTTCTTGCACCCACTCGCTAAATTCCCCGGCCCCAAGCTCGCCGCGGTGACATCCTGGTATGAGGCATACTACGAGATTATTCTCCAGGGACAGTACTCTCGTAAAATCAGCGAGTTGCATGCCATCTACGGTACGTTTTGCGCTCCGATCACTCCCTCCTTTACCCTTTTTATATATTCACTCAAGAAGGAGAGCGGGTTTTGGGGATAGGAAACGCGGAAGCTTATTTATCGGCATGATAGGTCCGGTCATCAGGGTTACACCACATGAAATCCACATCCGAGACAGCAGATTTTATGATGAAGTCTACTCTAAGAATCTGCAAGTCGACAAGCATGGTTGGGACACACGATTTGGTACTGAAAACGGCGTTCTCACGACCGTGGACGCTGCGCTTCACAAACGGCGCCGCGCTGCTTTGAGCCCGATGTCAGTTCTCCAGTTCCGTTTCACTTTCTCCCCGCTTCAAGTTCCACTTCCTCATTTCGACGTTTCTTCTTTGCCGATTTCTCAGTTTGATGGTGGTCTTTTTTCTTGAACAATTTCCCCTGCTATCAGCAGGTTTTCGACTCCAAGGTTTCCAAGCCCTCTTCCAGTATACTCTCCTTGTTCATAGGACTGCTATAGGTTTTCGAGACGATCGATTATCAGCTTCATTCACATTATCCACCGACATATCAACACGCTGTCCTCCCGAATGAAGGAATTCGAATCTAGGAAAGAGCCTATGAACCTCACGCATGCATTTCCAGCGCTGACAGGAGATATCATTATGGATTACTTCTTCGGCTTCAATTATGGACAGCTCAAAGATCCGGAGTTTGATTCGTTCCATGATGCTTTTATGAAGATTGCGGGCACAGGACATTTGGCAACGCAGTTTCCGTGGATTTTGCCTGTGAGTTGAATGCAATTTTCCAAATTGTTAGCATTGGGCTGAGGACTTGTGTATGTGACCAGGTCATGAACTCAATGCCAGATTTTCTCACGGAATGGCTTCAACCCGCCGCAAAACCGCTCCTAAAATTCAAACGAGTAACTCCTCCCTATCCGCTACCCCCATCCCAAACTAACAGCCTTCTAGGACCAATGGGACCTCATCGGCAAGACCCTACGCGGAGATTCGATAAAATGCAACGACGCCCCCAAAACCATCTTCCAAGAAATCCTTTCTTCCCGCTTCCTCCCCCCCTGCGACAAAACCCAACAACGCCTCGCAGACGAAGCACAAATTGTCGTCGGCGGCGGCGTAGAAACCACCGCTTTCGCCCTCAACGTCGCAGCCTTCCACATAATCAACACACCCCACATCTACGCTCGCTTGCACTCCGACCTCGTTACCGCATTTCCGAATGGCGCAGCTCTAGAACTTGTCAAACTCGAACAGATGCCATATCTGAAAGCGATTATCATGGAAGCTGTGCGTTTGACGTATGGGCTTAGTGCGAGGAACCCGAGAACGCATAATAAACCGCTGAGATATAAGCAGTGGGTTATTCCCGCAGGGACCTCGGTGTCAATGACAATTCCAGAAGTCAGTCACGATGAGGAGATTTTTCCGGAGAGTCATAGTTTTATGCCCGAGAGGTGGTTGGGGGAACCAAAGACGAGTGATGGGGTGCCATTGGAGAGGTTCATGGTTAGTTTTGGGAGGGGGACGAGGAGTTGTTTGGGGATGAAGTATGTTGACCCCCTTTTCCCATTTCCCCCCCACCTTCCCAATTTCCCACACCACACGCTTCCTTACCGTTACAGCGCTGGCGCTGAAGATAATGACGCTGTCGATTGCTAACTTACCCCGCCTATCAGTCTAGCATGGACGGAACTCTACTTGACCCTTGGCACAATGTTCCGGCGCTACAAATTTGACATTTTCCAAGGTGACGTCACAGACGTGCAAATGGGCCACGATTTCTTCATCCCGGTCACGCGACTCGATTCCAAGGGCGTGCGGGTCTTTGTTAGTTCAACTTCAGATTAACTTCAGATTAGCTTTAACAATTCATATGAATGAGCGCGTGGGCTAGGGCTAGGGATATATGTATATACTAATATTATACCGTTCGCTCGGTTAGCCGAACGGGCATACAAGGTCCATACATTGTGTATGTGTATGACGCTGTGGGAGATAAGAGGCTGGCTGATGCAGCCCTCCGTCTTTAATCCCACTTCCCTCGCCAGATTTTCATGCAAGCTAAACAGGTATCGATATATGTCACACCAGACACGACCAGGCCTGATATTCCAGCTTCCAAGCTCCCCTAAGGTTCTATCCAGTGAATCTAGTCCCAACCGCAAATCCTCCCATCATGTAAACACCACACCCCACCGGCTCATGTACCCAAAACACTCAGCTCAAATACACACACCCATACAGCCAACCTCATCCCTCTCATCAACCCAGCCCCGGAAACACACGCATAGCGCTCCCGTTCCTGCCATTTTGGACGCTAAATCCCATGAGGAAATACAGCGACGCATCTCGCTGATCGACCCTCACGCGCTCCACTGGCTGGATGCTAATATCTTTCGGGTTCGGAGTAGGAGCGCGCTGTGCAGACTGCAGGTCTTGGAAAGAGAAGCTTGGTGGTGAGTTTTGAGATGTCATCGATGTGGATGTTGATGCCGACGTGGGGTTAGGGTTTAAGCGCCAAGTTCTTACTGCAAGGGAAGCTGTGCTGGAAGTGGAAGCATGCTCGGTTTCCTGTTGTGTGGAAATATATCTGGGTTTGTGTTGGGGTCGAGGCTGGGACTGAGGTGATCTCGTAGCGGCTGGAGTGATTTGGATGAAATACGAGGATAAGTGTTGGTCCGACTGGGGTGAATCTGTTCGTATAAGGTCGCTTGTTTGACGAGGTGGATTTATATTCGAAGTTATACTCGAGTGTGCTGCTGGGTTTCGGGTTGGAGTTGATTTTGATGTTGGCGTTGGAGTCGCCATCTTCCCTGTGGGTCGTGGGCTCCAATTTGGTAACTTCTCTATCCTGCTGCTGAGTCTGAGTCTGGTTCAAGTTGTTTGTTATGTTTTGTTTCTCCTTTGAAGGGAACTAGCGAGGTTGGATGTAATGGCCCGGATTCCTTCCCCAACGTGTGCAGAAGAAAGGGGTTGAGAAAGAAAGAAAGAATGGGGTGCATAAATACATATGCTCTCTCCCGGGTCTCCTCCACTCACTTACCAGAAAGCACGCACACGCATCACGCATGTATCACTTGCAAACCTTCTCTCTAGCACAGAGCTAATATGCGCAGATCGTACCCACATGCACATGCAGTCGGTCACCCAAAGAACCCGCGTATTATCCCAATGACTCTATATCACGCAATCCGTCCCCCTCTGTCACGCACTGCCTCACGAATTAAATAAGACAAACAGCATGTGAACCGCAGACTTGGAATCCTATACCACTTTGAATCATTCAAGCAACTCTGACACCAAAAAGGGGGGTATATCCGAACTAGCCAAGGTCCAAATCCAGCTATTCCCAACTTCAGTCTGCAAGAGAATCATGCAAAAACCCCTACAAAACCCGTAATATCCAAAAAGGGACTTAGAGAGAGATAACGGACATGGATCCAAACAATCCATCTATCTAAATTGTTTCCAACCCAACGCACGCTATGCAAGTCAGAGAACAGCCTAGAGCCTCCTTTTCCGAGATCCAAACCCAGGGCCTTTGTGAAACAATCCAAAAAGCCCTAATAAGTATAGCTGAACGCCTCGCTCGCCCAATAGTCAGATAACACCTATAGGCTTTGTCTTCCCCCGTTTCCAGGGAAAAGTTTAGTGCTATGCATGCAACAAGCGAGCCATACAAGACCAAGCTTTGTAAAATATAGACCAAGAAAGCAAATCCCACACCCATTATCCGTACAAACCCTAGCATTTCATGCCCGTAAACTAGGTTAACTACCGATCGATTTGAATGTTCGCATTATGAGCTCTCTTTCTCACCCTCGCTCCAGAAACAGTGCACTCGGACCGTGCCATCCTCACTTCCACTAATCAACCTCGAATCACTCAGTCCAACACAATTGACTGGCCCTGTGTGTCCTGTAAGCGTACGCTCATGCTTTCCAGTCCTAGGATCCCAGATCTTGATTGTCTTGTCCTCAGCTCCAGAAACAAGGCGCAGCGTGTCGGCAGCTAGACTCCACACACCCTCGACGTGTCCAAAAAAGCGATGAATGCAACGACCAGATGGGACATGCCAGAGTCGAATTGTGCCATCAAGAGAGCCTGTGAGCATGTATGACGGAGGAAGACGACGGTCTGGCTCGAGTGGGAAAAGAGGTTCCGACGGAGCCTCCGGAGTTCCGGGTGCAGCATGCGGGTGGCCATCAGAGGTGAGTGAAGCCGTGTCTGAAGTGTCGTAGTCGGCTTGTGCAGTAAAGTCGTCTTCATCAATCTCGAACTCATGGGGAAGCGGAAGGACTTGTTGGACTTGGCCAACGTGACCCTCGAAGGTCTTGATGCAGGTATGCGTGTCGAGATCCCACAGCTTCACGGTACAGTCATCCGATGCGGAGAACAGGGTTCGGGAGGGAAGATCGATTTTGACTGAATTGACCCAGTCAGTGTGGCCACGGAGCGTGAATCGTTGATACGTGCGAAAGTCGTGGACGATGACGGTGTTGTCTGAGGAACCTGATGCCAGGAGCTTGTCAGCCATGTGAAGACCAATTACACCTCGTGTGTGAGCTCGGAGTGTCTTGACACACTCGCCAGTCCTCCAGTTCCAGATCTTAATCGTGTTATCCAGACTTCCGGTGATCAGCTTAACTTCGTTGAAGTGCAAGCACCGGATACCCTGCGTGTGCCCAACCAAGGTTCGGATCTCTTTACCTGTCTCTAGGTCCCAAATCTTCACGGTGGCGTCATAGGACCCCGTCATCAGAATGTGGTGGTCGAATTGGAGACACATGACGCCGTTTGTATGGCCTTTGAGAATCTTGGTGGAGAAGCGTCCGTATTTCCAGTTGGTGCCGACTTTGAATCGATCTTTGTAGACGTCCTTCCACGGTCGCTTCTTGGGTTGGTCAAAGTAAGAGGCCTGCTGGTCACGAGGCACATCGGTACACGGGCGCTTAGAGGCTTCTGGCGAAGACGACTCATCGGGCATGCTTCGCTTAGACCCAACGAGAGTGTCTGATAGGTTTGAAGCATCAACAGAAAGCGTTGGAGCTGGAGCTAGAGCTGGAGCCGATGATTCCGGCATGGGGGTGATGTCCGGAGACCATTCATTGAGCCCTCGTCCGGAGGCTCGAAGCTGGATCCGCCTCTTCTCCGTCCGCAGTCTACGCTGGTCCAGCAGCGGCAATCCCCAGCCACATTTCGTGCACTTCCGGTCAATATGCTGCTCGCACATCTTGTGCCAAACGACATCATCGTCGGCAAGCTGTCTCCACTTCCGGCTGACCTGGGCGGCCTTGCAAAGAGACGTCGTGTCCAAGTAGCATAAGATCTGGAACCCCAACTCAGTGGGCAGGGCGGCCAGGAAGTCGATCTTGATCAGATTGCGGACCGACGAGGAAATGAACGAGAGCTGCGGGAAACAACACTGGGCAAGGATGCCCTGCAGCATGAGGTTGCGGTGCTTGGACGGGGCGGCAGAGAAGAGGGACCAGACATTGGCGATGCTCTGCTGGTCTTCCTGAGACTCATTGGAGAGCTCCTGGAACATGTGAGTGGGAATTGGAATCGAGATATAAACATGGATGCACAGACCTGCTGCAACTGCTCCATTGACGGCTCGTCTGCCTGTCTCCTGCACAGGAGGTCAGGCCTGTGGCGGTAGCAGTACTTGGTGTTGGCGTTGGCGGACGCGTGATGTGGGCGGGGACCTCCACCGAGGGGGTTGTACTGGTGGGGGATATGGTGGGCGAGGTACGGCGTGATCATTTTGCCCATGTTCTTGGAGGCACTCTTGTTTAGGATACTGTCATCTTTTTGATCCGCTTTCCTCTCGCCGTCGTCGTTTTGCAGATGTCTGCTGCGACTTATGAGGCCCTCATGGTCGTGGCCGCGCAGCAGGGCGGTGTGAGGGTTGCGTGCTGAAGTAGCCGCCATGTGGCTGGCAGAGGGAGGAAGCTGGGTGCGCCAGGACAGACGTCGCTGTTTAGGATTGTGCGAGACGTCAGAGCGATTGCGCTCTGTTGCGACACCTTGAATGGTACGGGTCGAATTTGACGCCATCTTATGCTCAGATGGGCACACGCTGGGGGATAGTGGGCGTTCGGCAGTGTGCGGGCGCAAGGATTCCTATGAAGGACCCTGTGAAGGTCCCCGTGAAGGTCCCTGTGGAGGTCCCAGCAGATTCGGTAGCATGGGAGCTGTGTGCGCTGAGTGGTGAACGTGGTGAGGCACTGCTGTCGAGCTTTGGCTGCCGGATTGCGTGCTGTGTTTATATCCAGCCGGGAAGTCGCACCGCAGTCGCCGGGAAGGCACAGTGGACCCAGGGGTTTCAGCCGGCAGGTGCGATGGGCGGTCGCTGCAGAGAAGAGAGAAAGGAAAGAGAGGGATATGGGTCGCGGAATTGCTTTTGCGCGACGTCGAGTGGTGAGTTCAGCAGCCGTGAATGGGTGGGGGTTGTCGTGAGGCTCCGAGGCTGACAACGACTGGCAGACGTCGATGGGGGGGGGGAATTCAATGGGGATTCGATGGCGACTAACGGGTCCGTTCTCATTCCTGCATCGAGCACGCCATCCACCGCAAAGATGAGCACCAGCACTGCTCCTTGCCTCGCTGTCGGCGCCGGGCACATGCACCCGCAATTCATACAAATCGCGCCATCTTCTCGGCCTCAATAGACCTCGCGGCCTTCGGAAATGCTTGTTCGAATATCTGATCGCATGTCCCAGCATCTTCCGCCTGCGGGCCCTGATTGGTGGTACTGCAGCCTTGCCCCCGATGAACTCTAGCCCCTCACCGCCTTCCCTTCTGGGCAAGCGCCCTATCCCAATCTCAAGCTTCAAGGAGCCTCGTTGAGCTTCCATTCGCAGCCATGACTGTGCTCTTCAACGGCTCTGACACCTACCAGACGCCTTCACTCGCCTGTTCGCGGTCACCATGAGCCCGCGCAGTCGCTCTTGCTGCAAGACTGCACCGCTCCTCAGCCTACGTCCACTACGCTTCGAAGCCTGATCTCTCGTGCTTGCCTGCTTCCCTGCCTGCCTTCCTCTCTCTCTCCCTCTCGCCCTCCCCCCTCCCTTCCTGCCTGCCTGCCTGCCTGCCTGCCTGCCTTCCTGCCCGCCCGCCTGCCCGCAATGGCGTCTCCCGACTCACCAGCGTCTTTGGAAAGCAGCAGCAGCAGTAACAGCAGCAGCTCGCGCTCCTTCAACCCAAACCGCCCGCAAACCCTGGAGGATCTTGTGAATCACTTTGTCGCATCAAAGCGCTCGCTAAACACCCAGACGGTGCTCTGGCGAGCCAATGACATCGTCACCTCTGCGCGCGAACTGCTGGAGGAGAACGCCATTCTCGCAGCCAAGAACGCGTCCATTAGGAATATTGTTGACGAACAGGTAGACGCCCTAGAAGGTGTCCGCCGTGGCATAGACGCTGTCGAGGCCGAGGTGCAAGCCGAGTTCAAGGTGACTAGCCAGTGAGACGACTGAAGGTAACTGCTGATGAACTGAGCAAAGCAACTGCTGCACGAGCTCGATGCTTCGTTTGCTGGCCTCCAGTCCACCCTCGCCGTCCTTCGAGACACTCCTATAGAGTCCGTTCTCCAGCCCCCTGGCACCCCGCAAAAGCACTTGTACGACTTTATTGACAGTGCAACCGTTACTAACCTCAAAGACTCTCTCCGCGCCTGCATAGACCGCTACAATGAAGCCCGGTCAAAGCTAAGTGAGAGTAATGATGCCTTCGACATGTCTCTTGATAATCTCCACTCGTCGATTGAGAATGTTCCCAACAGCCCCGCCACAACCTCGAATCCAAGCCCAATACCAGTTGTATATCATGACCTCGAGGGCCATGCTAAAGAGGCTGCCCAGGCATTCCAGTCTCTAGTTCGACACTATGACCTCTGTGTCACTGCTTTGAGACATACTGAGGGTGGATCCGCTGCCGCTACCCAAGCAACCGGAGATGCCCCGGTCTCTTCCGCTGATGAATTTTCTGCGCCTCCGGAGCCCATGACTGAGGAGGAGCGGCAAGAGATGCTCGCTGTGCTCCAAAAGGATGCCCGCGAGGTGGACGATGTCGTGTCTGAGATCCGCGAGCGAGGATCCGAGATGACATACTTACTATCTCAGGCCGAGGACCATATCACTCATCTCCGAAATGAGGATACTGCGCTCAACAGCATTTTGCGTCTCTTGTCCCATCTTGCCACCCAAGTCAAAGGGCACATTGCAACATCCCGGTCATTCCATGCTTCTTGGCTCGAGGATACGCGGCCAGCTTTGCTCAGCGGCGTCGAAGAGTGGGAAAACCAGCGAGAATTCTATGAGCGATTCGACCTCGCCTACGCTGAGCTGCTTGTCGAGATATCGTCCCGAAGGAGGCGGCACGAGAAGGCGAAGCGGAAGGCCGAAGAGGCGCAACGGGAGCTGGAGAGACTGTACGCGGAGGACGAAAAAGCTAGAGAACACTTCACGCTGGCCCAGGGGGATTTCCTGCCCCTGGACATCTGGCCTGGCTTAAGAGATCCACCGAGGAAATACGAAGTCCGCATTCTCGGAATAGAACGAGCTGAAGAAGGCGTAGACGCGCCCGATGAAGAAGAAGCGGAGCATGGGGTACAAAGTATACCTCAGCTCGGAAGGAATGTGGTAGAACGAGCTTTGACAAGAGTGAAGAGGAGGATGTGAGAGCAGTTTCCTATCATTCGCATATATTCCGTCAAACGCTTACGCTTATATGACTATCGGCGTCATTGATCTAGAGGAGGGTTATCATATACTTTGGGAATTTTGTAAGGCGCTATTAATACCCACCCAAGGACATATTGGGTAGGACCCTTAAGGTCATGTAGTGTAGCTCTTTGCATAGCCGTTTGTAATCGTGAAGTGACATTACTCCTGTAGGCATCACTTCAAATATACCTCATCCTCATCCCCTTCCCCTGAGCACTTAGTAATAGTTTTGGGGGTGACTACTTCCAACTCCTCTTTCACCGCCCACGTGCTACCCCGCTTTCTGCCGAATCTAACTCTCCATAACGATGCACACGAGCCAAATTTATTTCGTCTTTCTCCCACCTACTTGCTCTCAGCAGTCGAAGCCCTAGAGCTCAACACCACAACACCTCCAATATCCCACCATACTTCTACATATAGCGGTTCAGGGTGTCAGCAAAGATGGCTGAATCTCTACCCTCCAAACTCGCCCAGGACCCCCTCTCACAGCCCAACCCCACAGAAGAACTTGACTCGGACCTCTCCGACATCTTCAACTCCTCCGACTCCGACTCCGATCCTTTCGCCCCTGACCTCATCTCTGCCTCTAACCATGCTGACTATACCAAATCCTACAACCGCCAACGCAAACTCCTTGACCCGTCCATCCCCTCCTCGCAAAAACCTAAACACAACTCGCAGCAGAAGCCGGCTGCGAACACCAGCGCGTCGATCGATGATCAAATCGCATCTCTCGCTAAACACGCTTCTAAAATCCGACTCGACGATGGGGGCGGCGGGAAAGAGAGAGGCAAGGATAAAAGCGATCGCGCGACTAGCGAGCAAGTTCTTGATCCTCGGACACGGATGATTTTACTGCAGTTGATTAATCGAAATGTTGTGTCGGAGATCCATGGTGTGATTTCTACTGGGAAGGAGGCGAATGTGTACCACGCTATTTCTGAGACTACGCTCTCTGATCCTGACGAAGCGGATGGAGACAGGGGAGTATCGGTCCAACACCGCGCAATCAAGGTCTACAAAACGTCAATACTTGTATTCAAAGACCGCGACAAATACATGGCCGGCGAATTCCGCTTCCGCGCCGGCTACAACAAGTCCTCAAACCGGGCCATGGTGAAAATCTGGGCGGAAAAGGAAATGCGAAATCTCAAACGCATTTTCAGCGCTGGGATCCCGTGTCCAGAACCCCTATACCTCCGGCTGCATGTTCTAGTCATGGGTTTCCTAGGGGACCGCAAAGGCTGGCCAGCACCGCGACTTAGAGATGTACAGTTCACGGGGCTGGGGCCGATGGAGGAAGAGGAGAGGTGGAAGGAGTTGTATGGGGAGTTGGTGGTGTGTATGAGGATGATGTGGAAGGTTTGTAAGCTCGTGCATGCGGATTTGAGTGAGTATAATGTGTTATATCACAACTCGAAGTTATACATCATTGATGTCTCGCAATCGGTTGAACACGACCACCCCCGGAGTCTCGAGTTTCTGCGCATGGACGTCAAAAACGTATCTGATTTCTTCCGGTCGAGGAATGTGGACGTCTTGTCGGAGAGGAGAGTGTTTGAGTTTGTCACTGATGCAGAGGGCGGGATGGAGATGAAGGAGATGAAGGAAACCATTTCGCGGATTTTTGACAAGAGGGCACGATTAACTGAGGAGGAGAAGACTAAAGAGGAACAAGATGATGAGGTTTTCCGCAACCAGTACATCCCGCAAACCCTCGCTCAGGTCTACGATATTGAGCGCGACGCTGAGCTCGTTAATTCTGGTCATTCAGATGCTCTGGTCTACCAAAATCTCCTCGCTAAAAATCCTAACGACTCCTCTTTGAAACCAGACGAGCCCAACTCTGAGGATGATGAAAACGACAGTGAGTCGGAAGATGAGGGAGATGAGGATCAGGATCAAAGTATATTTGAAAAAGGTACGCCCCGTGGGAAGAAGAATATGGATAAGGAGAATAAGAAGGCGCATAAGCTGGCGGTTAAGGAGGAGAAGAGGGAGAAGAGGAAGAACAAGATGCCGAAGAATATTAAGAAGAAGTTGGTTAGTCAGAGTTCGAGGAAGAAGTGAGGGGTGAGATTGTTTGTTCGGGGAAGTGGAAGGTAGAAGGTGGTGAGCTGGAGAGAGAGGATCGAGCTGCGGGGTAAACCAAGTATGGGGGGATGGGATTAATGCGTCATGCTTGCTTGCATTTGTTAGGAGTTTCGTAGAAAAGGAAAAGGAAAACCAATGGGAAAGGAAAAAGGAATGTGAATGTGGGTTACGCGTACATATTGAATGCATGATAGATCATTGACATGGTAGATAAATCACTTGATATCCAATTGAAGAGTATTGCAAAATGCAAGTAAAATATCTGGCTCTTTACTTCTGCTCCGAGACACAATATAACCTCTATACAACCCCGGATTTGCCCACTAACCCCACCCCAGCCTGCATCCAAGTCCTCAGGCCCTTTGCACTACAAACATTGAAAACCTACAACATTGCATATAAGCATTACATAGCAGGCCCCAGCCTCTGGTGATGGCAAATTATGGCGGCGCGCTTATCTCGCCCCACACTGTACAACTGTCTTTCGGAGACGGATACAAAGTCCCAACGAGCCTTTTAGTCTAGCTAGTTGCTTGCCTCTTTCCTCTTTGCGTGCGAGTCGATGCATTAAAGCCGACAGCCCGGCCTCTGTCTAGGTCCTCCATTCTCCTCTGGACAAAAGGGATCATCGGATGTCCGAGTGGTGGCCCACCCCATTGGACTAGGTAGCTCTAGGGGATATATCCACCAGCGGGAGCCTGGCGGTCCCGAAATGGACACAATATTTTTTCTGGATCCTCGCTCATCATGCGAGGATGCTTAACCAAAGCTAAAACTAGGACGCACAAGTCACTCCCACCCGCCTGCCCGCCCTAGGACTCTAGATGCATGTGCACGGATGATCATGGTAGCTCTCTAGATGTTCGACGTGCTCCTGGTAGTCGGGATCGTGATGTGCTTCTAGGATAAGATGTTCTAGAGCTCTTCTACGTATCGGAGTACGGTACAACGGGGAACTAGTACCAGACCCAAAACAAGGGATATCATAGGTCACACCCGATAGCCATAACACCCTGGATGTTAGTACATGGTCGATCATGGGAGATCTCTCGACATTCCTGGTAGCCGGAATAGTTTCGTGCAGAAAGCACGTTCTAGAAAAATTATCGGACAGAGGGAGGACAGTACAACGATGTAGGGTACCTGCATCTGCATCTGCATCTGCACTCTCGGTGATACCTTACGATAAAGCAAAGCAAGGGACGTATGTCGTATCACATGAGAGGAGACGGGTATCACGGGACTGATGTTTCTTACGGGCGGCAAACGAAGGGCCTGTGAAATTTCAATTGTGCTCTCCGTGAACTTGGTGATTGGAAATATTTGGGGACTCTGGGAATGGGTATATTGGGGTCTATTATTGGCTCGAGGATTCCCCTACATGAGGAAAGAGATTCAAGGGGGTTCTGGTGAGATTAGAATTGCTTGTGGCAAAAATCAAGTCTCGGCAGACATTTTCGAGACTCCTTCTAGCGCCGAGTCACATCCATCATCCAGGGTGAGAGTTACCGTAGGGTAGAGCCGGACAGTCGCGTGAGTAAGTAGCAGGGATTCCATACTTGAGGCCGACTTCAAGACGGGTCTGTCTCATAGCATCTGACATCACGTCTCATCAAGCCGTATCGTACTGTGATTGTATGCAGGGTCCATTGATTCGTTCGGGAAACGTTCTAGAAAATCTAGAGGTGCTGGAGACTGGAGTTGAGACAGGAACAGGATGTAAAAAATGGTCATGCCACTAACTGACGGTAGTTCCAGGGTTGTGGAAATGAGGGTTTCAGCGGTGTGAGGGGGTAGGATTCTGAAAGTTGGAATGAATGGCAAGGTGCTGTTTATGGAGCACATCTTTGGGAATATATTAAGCAGTGGATTCTCACTGTCATCGTATGCCAATGCAATTCTTCTGCACAAAGGTGTATAGACGGAATGTTAGATGAAGGCAACATACGGAGCACTTGACGCGACCTCGATACGAGGTTGACTCCGCTTCAGCCCTAGGAGCAATATCTGGTGGCACGATTTGCGAGCGCCTCTAAGCATGTCGGTGCTTGGTGGCTGGAAAACAGTGCAACGTATTGATGAAACGGCTCGGTCTCGGCGATCGGTAAATTGGCCTTCTCTGCGACTTGCAGCTGCAAGAACGAGATGCTGAACAAATGATATTGGTCAGGATGGCATGGGTTGAAGAGCCTTCTGGTGCAGGATTTTCGGGGTGGAATGAGATGAGGAGGTTGAAGGATGACAGAGAGGGGCAACGCACTCTGGACAGATTGCGCTAAACTGTCTTCAGACTGGTCGTGAACCCTCGCGCCGTTCCTGCTCTTGTACTTCGACCAAGGTTCTCATCTCGACTCCATCCGCTTCCTTTCTTCTCTTTCAAGACATGTCATATGGCCGCGTTAGGCTCACGACGTTTATAAAGCTTTGTGGAGAAGTCTTGGATAAAGACAATCTCCTCTTCTGGATTGTATCAGTACACGAAGCAATTCGAGGCCAACGCGGGGTCCGCGAATGGCATCGAATAATCGTGGCGCCACCAGATGGATGCTTCCCTCACCTGAGCAGCATCGCATCCTTCAAGCTTTTCAACGCTTACCGTAGTTGCCCCTACGGGTATGGTCTGCTTCTTGCGAGCCAACGAGGTGACCTGGGCGCCGGAAGAGGCGTCCACAAGCTCGGTGACGCTACTCACCACCGTGCGCGAGGTAATATACTGTACCGTTGCATGCTGTGTGACTATCAAAGCTGTTGGTAGCACGGATGTGTAACCATCGCCATTGGCCCCGAGCAGTGTGTGGAATGAATGCCGCATGGGGCAAGCAAGCAATGGTCTCATTCTATTTGTCCCGTTACCGCGGGTTCGAGATGGTTAACTTTTTTTGTTCGTGCATTTCACACCATTCACAGCCGTCACGATGCTGCTCACGAGGTCGAAATTTGGCCGCGAGCGGCCATTCCCCGGTGTCTGCAGTCAGTGTTTGCAGCTCTGGGCAACCACGATATAAACACCCTGTACCGGGCCCGTACTTGCCTTCTCACATTCTTCCCAACTCTGCATACCAAACAAACCTCCTTAATATCTATATCGATCCTTCATCATGGGCCGCTGGGCACCATCCTCTAATCGCGCGCAGGGCGACGTCAGTCGCGTCGAAGCTCCGGTTACCCTTCGTGGCTACTTGCTGTGCGTGTTCGCTGCCTTTGGCGGCATTCTCTTCGGTTATGACTCTGGCTATATCTCTGGCGTCCTTGCAATGAGCTATTTCAAGCAGGAATTTGGACGTTAGTGACCATGTATCTCACCTCATGTTATCTCAGTGCTAACACAAACACGCAGACGCCAATTCTACCGATGACAACGCCTATAATGGCTATATGTATGCGACCTGGCAGAAGTCACTGATTACATCAATTCTCTCTTGCGGGACTTTCTTTGGCGCTCTCTTCGCTGGCTCGCTTGCAGATTGGATTGGCCGTCGTACGACAATTATCGCAGGATGTTTCGTCTTTTCTGCTGGCGTAATTCTTCAGGTTGCGTCCACCACAGTTGCCCTTCTCGTCCCTGGCCGTCTGATCGCCGGGATTGGTGTTGGATTCGTTTCCGCCATCATTATCCTCTACATGTCTGAAGTTGCGCCTAAGGCTGTTCGTGGTGCCATCGTCTCTGGCTACCAATTCTTCATCACGATCGGTCTTTTGCTTGCCTCGGTTGTCGACCAAGGGACGCACTCTCGCATGGATACCTCGTCCTACCGAATCCCAATGGCAATTCAATGGGTCTGGGCTTTGGTTCTTGGCACTGGTCTCTTCCTCCTACCAGAGTCTCCTCGGTACCATGTCAAGAACGACCACCTCGAAAAGGCTGCTGAAGCTCTTAGTATCCTCCGTGGCCAGCCCGTGGACTCAACATACATCAAAGATGAGCTTGCGGAATTGGTGGCCAACTACCAATACGAGATGAATAATATGCAGTCTAGTTGGATCGACTGCTTCCGCGGTGGATGGAAGCCTTCTGGGAATTTCCGACGTGTTATGCTCGGGATCGCTATGCAGATGATGCAGCAGTGGACTGGTGTCAACTTCATCTGTACGTATGAACTATCATGTCAGTCCGCCATTTTTCTAACTAGTACATAGTTTACTACGGTACGACCTTCTTCCAGCAAGTCGGACTTAAAAATGCCTTTGTAATTTCCATGATTACCACCGCCGTCAACGTCGCCTCAACACCCATCTCGTTCTGGACTGTGGAGAAGCTCGGCCGTCGTGCGCTCCTCATCTACGGCGCCATCGGTATGTTGGTCTGCGAATTCATCATCGCAATCGTTGGCACCGCCGACGCTGGATCACAGGCCGCGAACTACTGCCTCATCATCTTCACCTGCTTCTACATTTTCTTCTTCGCCTCGACTTGGGGGCCGGCCGCATGGGTCGTTATCGGCGAGATCTTCCCTCTTCCCATTCGTGCGAAGGGCGTTGCTCTCTCCACCGCCTCAAACTGGCTCTGGAACTTTGTTATCGGTGAAATCACCCCGTACATGGTCGACTCGGACGAGGGCAACCTCAAGTCCAAGGTGTTCTTCGTCTGGGGTGCTACGTGCACTCTGTGCGTCTTCTTCGCTTATTTCTTTGTCCCCGAGACCAAAGGCCTGTCCCTCGAGCAAGTCGATCGTATGCTTGAAGAAACAACTCCGCGAACTAGCGCAAGCTGGGTTCCACACGACACCTTTGCAGACGAAAGTACTCGCCACGCTATCGGCGTGATGGCTAATAAGGCCGCTCTCACTACTAGAGCCGAGCATCATGAGGAGAAGGTCTAAATGCATTCTCGATAGATCTCAGCTTGCCGTAATGCGTTTTCTCCTCTCGGTTTAGTTAGGGGTCCATGGAATAGCTTCTAGCTATACTTGTATTTAAACTCGTTCCCGCATGGCTAGGTAAATGGGCGGATTACATGGGTGGCAGCACGGCGCTAGTGGACGACGTCTGTTTCTTTCTCTTTCAATTATTTCGCAAGTTTACTCAACACCAAGTAGTGAATAGCAATAATACCTCTAAATAATTGTTATCCTTCCTAATAGTGATAAATGATGCAATCGATTTAATATTATATATTGTTGAGCCTAACAAGGGTAGAGTTTATCTGCCAAACCTCTTACTAGAATTAAGTAGATCGTCTAATATGATCCAACTTTCTGTCTTAAATTAACCCGGCTATGTACTTAAAACACACAAACAGTATTTAGAAGACATGAGGAAGTTACGACAAGATTTGCGCACTTGCTTCGAACTTCGAACCGAAGCCATCCGAATGTCAGCCACACAGCCACCGCCATATTGCTCACTTCAAACTAAGCCCCTGGCACACGTCACCACTTCCGGCTGTACCACCACTGTCTCAGTCAATCAGAAGCACGATCTCGTCCTAGAGATCTGTGGATGCAGAACCGAAGGTCGGGATCTTGTGCATCAGAGCAGAGCTTCCTAGAGATCTCAGCTCGGGTTGCGAGGGCTACGCGCGTTTGAGGGATGTATGGAGCGAGGCGGAGTCATAAAGCTATGCCTGAGGAGCGCTTTGGAGAAGTATTTGTATTTGAGCGAGGGGACGCGAGTCAGCATAACATAGAACTTAGTCTCCACATCCTTTCGCTATATTTGTCATTGTTTCTTGAGGAAGTGTATAAGGAGAGCGAGGGTTGAACATCATGTGTCGCAGACGCCACCAGCAACAACATCTCGACTACGGATATACCACTCAATCTACAAACCAACATCCTCGAAACTGCCACCGCTCTAGTAAACGAAACTACGAATCCATCCAACACTTCTCAGACAACTATTACAGGCCCCTACCACCCCTCCCAATCTCCATCTCCACCTCCAACCCCCACCAATCCCACCAACCTCGCCATCCCCGCCGCTGTCGCCGAAAAGGTCCCTGTGCATCAATGGCTGCCCTCATTATCGCCGGTATCGGCATCGGCGCGACCAAGATCCAAGAAAAGCGCGAGAAGAAGAAAGCTAAGAAAGCTGCGTTGGTGTGGGAAGAAGAGCAGAGTTTTGAGGAGGCGAGACGAGGGGTGTTGAAGGATGCGAGGACAGTGAAGGAGGGGGAGAGGAGGAAGTGTGAAGAGGCTGGGTTGGATGCACGGGGACAGAGGGAGGGAAGTGAGCCCCCGCCGCCGAGTTATGAGGATGCTGTTCAGGGTGTTAGGAATTTGGGGGCTGGCAGGAGTGGCTAGGCGCGTTAATGGAAAGAAGGGTGGGTTTTGGATTTTAACACTTGGTGTTTATGTTTGGGAACTTGGTATTCACGACGTTCGCTTTTAGTGATGATGTTGCGTTGAGACGCTGGAATGATTTATGATTCATAACTGTAATTGCCGGTTAACAAAGCTTCTGCGCCACCATTATCGCTTTTCATGGAACATGACAGGGTATTTTGCTGTAGAAACCAGAGTCTTGCTAACACCCTCATTCCAGCAAGAGGCTTGACAGAAAGACTCTATTCTGATTATGTTTCACGATATGCGACAAGGTGCTGACTTTATCAGCAGCCTAAACGATATATCCCCTCAAGAGTAAACTCTGATAGAATTAAGTCATAGGAAAAATCGTATATAACATGTCTTCATTGCACCGCAAGTCTCAAATTACCACCCACCCATATGCACCAATTCTTAGCAGATATTTGCCTCCATTCTATTCAGTGCTAGAAGAGCAATTTTAATGAGTCGTATCACGTTTCCGCATCCCCGGAATGCGGAATCCTCGGGCTTAACCCCCCAGCATACAATTCCACCGGCGAGCGCACTGAATCCTTGCCCCAGGGGCAGGAGCCAGCCAGTTCTGCTGGTTGAACCCGAACCTCCACCTCACAAGCCAGGCGATCCTTCACTTTCTGCTCCATCATGGAATTGTAGCTCGGGAAAGGGCACCGTTGTGTGCTCGTCTCTGTGTGGCGCTTCCATGAAGGCCTGGATTCCAGATGGTGCCATCGACCGTGCTCGTAGGACGGAGAACTTGAGCCTCGTGATTGGTGCCAGAAGTACACGATTAAGGCAAGGGCGAAAAAGAGCGGGATTCCGAGACCGACGCTTAGTCCGATAGAAACTCGTAACACTGGTGAGGTAGGAGTTGTGGAGAGTGTCTGTTGGGCTATTGAAGGTTCCGGCGTAAGGCTTGAGGACGATTGTGAGAATTGAGGAATTAGGACGGATGCGCTTGTCTGCAATGTCGTCTGCACGGCCTGCGAACCTAGAGTCTGGGATCTGGGGAAGGAATGTGTAGTTGTGGGTTGGGATGCACCTATTTCAATGACACTGAACCCTGAGCTCAAACACTCTCTGCCAGTGTTGTCCTCTGTGTGATCCAACGCGTCAACGATGCAGAAATGGAATGGGATATTGGGTTTCGAGGTATTGGCTTCGACTTTCCAGATATATTCAGACTTATTCGTGTTTTCTAGCGACCTTAGTTAACGATGCACAGCAAACTAGATTTGGGAATTAGAGCGTATTGGATTGCACTTGCCGTTTATGAGCATGGAGTTTCGATTCACCTCATTTCCTTGAACTACGAGTAGATTGACATGCGAGAGGTTCGTTTCCCATCTAACTTTAACTCGCTGTCCAAGATGGTAGGTTATAGAGGTGGCAGGAGTAAGGAATGTGCATGAAGATGTTGATGCAACAATGCGGAAGTGGAAGAAGCACAAGGGAAGAGCAAACGATGAAACCACCTTCATTGAATTTTTTAGCTGAGGAGCCCACCCAGCGTTGAAAGCATTATTGAAAAGGCCAAAAATGTTGGAAAGCTGTTCCACAACAGTGATCTTGTATTATGACAAAACAATCCAAAAATTCAATTCTGTGCGGCGGCGACAGTGTCGTGATCGTCCATCACTTACCCAACGCAGCCACAGGCGCGCGCTTCGAGGAAACCAATGTGAGTTTTATCATAACATTCGAAGAGGGAAAGTCGGTTCTCCCGGATGGCCTCTCCATGTGCTGTGCCGCAGCCGTGGTTTTGTGATCGGTGATGGAATAGACGTTTGCTGGAACAAGAGGGTTGTAAGCGCCGAACGCTATCATTGCACGCGCGTAAATCATTTCTTCCTACTGTGCCGCACCTCACCATCTCCTGATTGAACGGTAGATTGAAGCTTGGCGTACCTCAACACGGCGGGATATGGTGCCATTGTTTCAGTATTCCTACTTCTTCCGGGGCGAGTCATAACGGAAACAGAGACCGGGACATAGTTGACAAGAGATACCCAGAACTGAAACAGAAACGTGGCTGGCATTCCAAGTCCATTCATAGTAATTTGAACCCCCAAATGTCGAAAGAGAAGATCACGCCTGGATCTGATTAAAATTCACCCAGCTCTCCTGCTCCCATTCCATACTTTCCAACCACCGCATAAACTCTCCATTATTTCCGGTCTGAAACAGTGGAGTTGTAAAGCTAGTATCGCCAAGAACTTCGGTATCCGAATTCGAACTGATGAGCGGCGCTGGTGTTAATATCGTATCAAGGATTCTCTTCAAGAATTTTCGACCTCGGTCGCAGATTGGATATCCGCCACTCTCTGGCCTTACACATCCCAAGCACGCAACAAATGTGGAGAGATCTTGAATAGTATCAGAGCGAGGGAGAGGGGCGGATGTGCCTGAGGAATTTTGTTCTTGGTGGAGAAGTTCGACGGCAATGACGGCTGCTGAGGGGATGCCGTACATACACAGTAATTGCGAGAAATCGATTTGGAAATCCCGCAGTGACCCTCTGTTGTTTGTAAGCACTAGTATGAAAGAAAACATTTCCCTTGACACCGTGAGTAATTTCGTTGAGTCCGCGCCAACCTTCTTGATTAAGGTGCGTTGCAGTAGGAAATGGTGTCCGAGATCAGCAAGCCGGATATAGGCGAGAAAGAGGAGCTCGATCGGTGCGCGCTTGATGTCCCATGGATTTTCGGGGTCAACACGGAGAAAGGATGGGAAATTCTCCCAGAGGAGGATTGCGCGTGCCTCGATGTCCGCGGCGCGAGAAACGATTTCTTCAGTGGATAAGAAGCCGAGGGAGATCTCGAGTATTTCCTCAGTTATCAGGGCATTGGAAGCAAATATTCGAGCGAACGTGCAGTGATGAATAGCTCCGCGCTGGTTCCATCCATTTGCGTCGAGGTTTGAAAGTGCATTGTCAAGGTCCAACCCATCGGACATTGTTTGTGCGTCGCTCAGGTCCAAAGGCAGCTGGATGCGACAGTATTGACGAGTCAGTCTGGGGGGACGGCCAACGAAGGATGCCGAGAATTTATCGTTCTCATAGCAGGAGACAAAGAGGCGTTTACGTAGTTCTGCCATGAAGAATGGAGTGTTTTCGTCGACTTTGATTTCTTGATGAAGGCCAAAGGCTACAAGAGCGGTCGCAAGGTATCCGGATTTTTGCCAGTTGGAATAACCTGAAGGAGGAGGCATCAGTAAACGTTGGAGTCGAGATACAGGATAGAATTGCAGTTTGCCCTCAGAGTTCAAAATTATTCAACTTGTATGAGCTCCAATCTGCGCTATTCTCTTGATATGCATTTGGAGGATGGATAGGGCAGTAACTTACTCCCTCTTGCGTGTAAATTACAATATACCACGGTATACTCGTACAACAGCCACAAATAAAGATCATTCATGATGTCAAAATCTGCACAGAAACCGATACAAGCTTCTGATGCATTGTACATTCGTACCGCCAGAGCAGCCCGGTCAACAGGTGGGTCGTCATGGGAGCAGAATATTGGGTCGCCATCTAGAGTAAAGATTTCAGTCTCAATCAACTCTAATCCGAACAGTTGGAGTTACACACCTTGGAGGCTCTGAGCAAGGAGCCCAATCAAGGTGAGAATCATTCCCACTACCTCCCAACGTAGGTCTTCGCCCGTAGTCCTCGTGGTAAACTCTTGTGGGGTCGTATTCTGGTTGAGAATAGCCGTTACCGGTTTCATTGTATTAGCCCACACCTTCTCAGACATTTGTCTGAGCCCTTCGGGCTTCTGACTCTCAAGCACTTTATGCCATGCTGACCAAATACCAGCGGCCCACATCCGCACCATCGGCTCGATGATGATGATGCCTCGGGTGAGAGAGAACCATTTGTCGATGTACTTGTCAATCTGCGGAAAGTCTTTCAACAAGGTGAGGATGGCCACTCCCTTCTCGATGTGGTATTGCGAGACAACAGATTGATTGGCGGCCGAGTTTGGCGGAAGTATGCCAATGCTGCTTTCGTTTTCATTTAAAATAGCAGAATGGGACACAAAGCCTGCCGTCTGCTGGAAGCTTATAGAACCACCTCTAAGTTGGCTGTCCGGATAACATGGAGGCCTTCGGGCGAGGTCGTCGATACTCGGTTGATGATTTGATGACCATGGCTGGGCTGGTAGACTACTGGCTCGTGGGACCCTTGGCTGGTAAACAGGAGTATTGTCAAAGGGAGGGAATTGGAGGTTCGAGAATGACGCAGAGTTGAAGTCATAGGTAGCAGCCACTGACGGCGGACTCCCCGATGATTCCGTAGCATGCGGAGTTGGCAGGGTGGTGGTTTTTGTCAATGGAGCGGGATGGTAGACACACTGTTCGGGCTTGTTGCGGCGTGCACACCGCCCGCATGTCGGCATCATATGATCGCATCGGAGTTTGCCTTTACGACATGGCTCACAGGATTGAAGCTTGCCGTTCCGGCGGTAGGAAGTGTTTAGCCTTCTGCTTTGGTGCGACATTCTGAGTCTTGACGGGAAGCAAAAGCGAGTCTGAAAAGTTGTCAACTTAAGCCTGGTTGGTGATATACCACTTCATACCATAATGAGGGGAAACCAAGTCGCCGAATTGTTGCGAGTCGAGGTTAGTAGTGTCTAGCGTTACTCTAAACATTCACATTCGGCTTGCAATGGCAGCTGACGACTGCAGGTCACCTGAAAGGGCAATACAGCTATCACAACTAGCCACGCAATGCCTCAATTGATAGAAGACTTCTTCAAGTTTTCAATATCTTGCGTAATGTGAAGCCTGAGAGTTGCCGTCGTGGGCAAGCAATTGGACGGCGGGAGGGCTCGCAAAAGGGTCACACTCTGGATCTTTGATCCGCACAAGACTTCAGCAAACGAAGTGCGCAAGAAATTGAACGGCATGATAACACACAAGCCGGCACCTTCAAGAGTGGTGGTGAGGATATCGCGGCTTTCGGTGTTCGAACTCCGCAGGAGTTGGAGCGGCCTCAAACTATGCACGGGCCAAGCAGTCAGCAACCTCCTTCGAGCTAACGCCCACTTGGGTTAAGTGAAGCTCACCTTCTTGATTGGATCAAAGTTGCGGAGTTCGCGCTCGGAGTTCCTTTGATTCGTCCACTCGTTCGTTGGAGGCAGATGACATGTACGCAACCATTAACCCCAGACTCTTTTTTATTCACGTCTTCCGGATCCGTACATCAACCCTGCTGGAGCGTAAGCTTTGCTACAAACGTATTCAGGCAGCAATGCGACTTACGGACTTACTAATGCAAAACCAGCGCCGTTGAGGCATCTCAGGCATCAGCTTTTACGTCGGTCTGGTTGGCAGACGTCGTCACTGCTGAGAAATGGGTAGGGCTTCCGATGGTAATTCCGTAGGTATAATGAATCTATATAAGAGCCAAATCTGTACGGAAAGGTGTTGGCTCCTCACCAGAATATTCACCTGTATCTAACCCCCGCTACATCCTTGTCATCACCACCGTCGATTTGCTGAGCTGCTTCTTAGCATCGTCTTCTATATTTTCGAAGCCTTTATCTCTATTAACTCAATCTATTTCTGCATCTCTCAGATCTTTCACATCACTCAACAAACTCCAAGTCATGGCAAACTCCACCTTCACCTCCAACAACGCCAACACCAGCAATGCTAGCTATGGCACCACCAAACCAGAGAAGGGTAAACTTCCATTCTACCGAGTGAGCTCCCGGAGCTCCACAGACTCCACCAGATCAACCGATGCCTTGCTGAACAAGGAGACAAAGATGGAATCAAAGAAGGATAGGGTCGTCTCTACCAAGGCAATTTTCGACTGTAAGTCCCTGCTCTCCTGTCCCTTTTATGAGGCACCAGCTGATGGCTGTTCTAGCTGCATACAAAAATTCAATGCGTCCTTCGATGTGATGGAGTCCGCATCTCCCTGTGCATTTCTCGACTCTTTTGGATCTTTCATAAGGCGCTCGGTCTGGATGGATGGCAATTGAGTTTGGCAAGACCATAAGGAACTTTAATAAACTCCACCAGTTGTGATGATACATTGAAGTGTTATATCTTAAGCTCTAGCACACGATGTGGCACCATGCACCGTACAGTCCCAACCAGGGTCCATATACTGGGCGGATTGTGTGGAGGAAGAGCCTCACTTGGATTATTACCCTTTGTAGACCATACAATTGCAATTTATAAATACCTCCTAAAACCCTATGCTTCCTTTTTCGGGATATTTGCAAGCTGTAATTTTGCCGAATTAAGTGCTCGAATCTCCAGACTCGCTAGCCTGACCTCCCTCAATGTTCTCCATTATGAGATTTCCATGACCCGAAGATAGTAAAAGAATCCCTATTTCCTTTCGCTAAGACTTCCCATCACTCCACTACCCTCGTACATTCTCATATGTTGCCGGACCAAAGGCGTTGACTGCAGATTGAGAATATTTTAGCAAAATTCCCGTAGTTAACTTGCAGGCATTGACCCGATTAAGACGCCGTGTTCGAGGTAAATTAGCTATACTAATAAGATATTTCCAAAGGAGGAATTGCGTTCGTGTAGTCCAACCGCGGCATACGTCTAAGCTGCTTAAGCCAATTGAAATGTGTTTGAATGTAACGGGCCTCAATCAGAGTACACAAGAAGGCTTCTATCTCTGCAGTCATTATAGTAAACAGCCAACCGTCTAGCGGTGTCTCAGCCTCTACCGTTCGCAAATTCACTCATACATCCATTCCCACTAGACGCACCCCCGTGCGCGCACATGACTCCATCACCTCACCACCAAATATCTCCCCATACTTGCCATATAGATATGGTCTAACTGATTTTACTATCGCCTTCGGACGCCTGGTCAATTTCCACCGATACAGAGAAGATTAGCGTAGCCCCTGCGCTCAGGATGATACTCAATCAAGAAGAAGCAACCATTCTCTAGGCCACGTTTGGTCCCGTGTTCGATGTGCACGTGCGATAGGTTCTTTTTGGATTTTGAGGCTAGTTTGAGGGTGTGCTAAGATGAGAAGAAGTAGGGCATGTAACGTAGTGATATTGGGATTATATGAAACTGAATTGTTTATTTTTGACATGCTGCTTTGATATGGACGTGGGAAAGTCGGGTAGAACCGACTATTTCTAACCAAGCGGAAAGGACAGCTACTTCGGAACCCTATTTCCGCAGTCCTCTCACCACTGCAACTCTCCGTTCGCTACCTCACGAAATGGCCCGCATATATTTCATGACTCATTAATGTCGGTTGCGTAGAAGCATCAATAACACTTCCTAGAGGACTCTGCGCATAAGCATCTATCATATACGCCCACATAGTTCTAGGTACAAAAAATCTCACCATTAACTCCGAGTCCACAAAAGAGCGAAAGTTTATATCTAAACCACTCATAATCTACAACTTCACCGCCGGCCCAGCCCTATTCCCCGGCCTCTCCACCTCGAAATCGAACCGATCTGGGATCCTCAACCCCTCCCTCCCATACCCATGCTGCTTATACCTTATGATGCTCGTCCCATCCCTCCAAAGCCACAAGTCCCCCGTTTCCTCTTGCCACTTCTCCAGTTGCGCCCGCATATCCCTCAACACACTCTCATACTCTTTCAGCCCAGCGATATTCCTTACCTCCGCGGGATCTCGGGCGAGATCGTATAACTCCTCCGCAGGACGGAAGATGTAGTTGCTGAGAGGCCGCTGGCCGATTGTGGGATTGGGTGCGTTGCGGATACTTTCAAAGGATAAGGAAGCATACAGATCCATGGCGAAGGGGAAGTCAAGACGCCAGCAAACGTTTCGGTGGTATTTGAAGCGACGGGTTCTTATGTATCGCGTAGGCCAGTAATTGGTGATCTCGTGGAAAGTGTGCGAGCCAAATACGCTGCTCCAGTTTGGATTTTCTTGGATGCTGATGAGGATTGGCAAGATGGAGCGTCCAAGACGAGGATGTGCTGTACCGGGTTTTTGAGAACGCGAGGAGTGGCCGGCCCAGTCGATGAAGGTGGGAAGGATGTCCGTGTAAGATATTAGGTTTGGGTTTACGGTGTTGGATGCTTGACCAGGGACGCGTATGAGGAATGGGAGACGGATCCCGGCATCGTAGAGAGTGGTTTTTGAGTTTATGAAGGGCGGTCCGTTGTCGCTCAGGAATAACACTAGTGTATCGCTTGTAAGACTACAGCGATCGAGAGCTGCGAGGATCATTTCAACGCCCTGGTCCATGCGGTGGATTGAACGGTAGTATTCAGCGAGCTCTTGTCGCACTTCCGGCAGATCGCTGAGGAAAGGTGGAATCTCAACATCCTCGGGTTTGAAGATACGGTCTTTAATTCTGGGATCGTGGTTTCCTTCCACATTGCCAAATCCGCCTCTTATCCCGAGTTGGCGATGAGGGTCAACGAAGCCAATCGTGAGATAGAAAGATTTGTTCTCTTCTTTCGAAGAGTTAAAGAACGCTTCTGCGCGATCTGCAATCATAGCCACGTTTCTTGACTCGCTTTCTTCCCTGACCTGCCACGGATACTTGCTCTCGGGCGCAACGTGAACTTTTCCCAGGATACCAGTTTTGTAACCGAGCTCATTGAAGATTTCGGGAGCTGTCTCAATATTGGGAGATGTCTGGAAACCGTTGCCTTCGCCAACCAGACCGTAGGATCCGTTTTGGTGCGTGTGCAACCCAGTTTGGATTACTGTCCGGCTCCCACTACAGGACGCAGTGCTGGTAAATGCCATGTCGAATTTAACTCCAGATGATGCGAATTTGTCTAGATTGGGTGTTCGAATCGTACTGCTGCCGTAGCAGCTCATTTGATGATAACCAAGATCATCGGCGATCATGAGGAGGATATTCTTTGGGGCCATGATGGTCGTTTGCGCTAACGTCAAGTGTGTTGAAAATGGAAGAAGAAGAGGACAAGTGTGTGGCAGGGAGAATGGTAAACTGTACCTTCAACGCGATGATGCTATTTCAATATTCGACGTAGTACCGTCCCTTCAGTGTGACCATTCAGTCAGGCGCAAAGATCGCCAGAGGCCTGTTCTCAAGCGTGGTTCGTTCCCGATGACCCGCATTGCTGCTCGGCTCGTCGCATTGGTGGAACCAATCGCCCATATCCTTCGCACGTCTTCCTGTTCGCTTCTTGCGCAATGGAATTCGCCGAGTCATGTTGATTTGAAGTGAATTGTAGTTACTGTTGTTCTTTAGAGGTTCGCTTAATAGTCATTACAAATTTCCAATATTTTCCACCCACCCAAGTGGGCCTACACCCTCGAAGCTGGAAGCCATAGGCATCGACTCACTGACATCCCAGTCGAAGAAATTATGTAGCTCGTTTAAGTCAAACGTAGGGAACTCGACGTTAGGCGGTACAATCTCCGAATACGGATTTCCGAGCAGTAGCTCTGGCGCAGCTGCTTGAGCTGGAAAGTCAACCGCAATGGGTTGTACTTCGGGGTGTGGTAGATGTCGAGTCGAGGATGATGATTCGAGGTGATTATGGATATTGTTTGGCGAGGCATTCAGAGATTGAGGATTCGACGCAATCGAAACATGATCGGACTCTTGTCTCTCTCGTAATGTCTTCCGAGTAAGACGGAACATCGATAGAGGATTGAGTTGATGATCGGGAACAGGCTCAATGGTGCTGGACGGGCTTGGGTCACTATCTGTGTGTGAGTAGATTAAAAGCCTTCCAGTTTGTAGGCTAGGCTAGGCATACCTGACTTCCTGAGGGGATTCTACTTCGTTTAAGTCTGACGGATCTTGGGGCCCCAAATATGCGGTCATGTCGATGCGGGTGAAACTTCTGCGAACTTTATCAAGCCAGCGATCTGCAGTGATGTACTGAGGACGGTAAGTGTCATGCAAAAGGAAGTTAGGCAAGGAGTCATACCAACGGCTCTGCAAGAGGATACATCATTGCCATTGCCTGTAAAGATTTGTTATTGCTGCGAATGAGATCCATTGTTTCCTTGATGACATTTCTAGCTTCCGGTTTCGAACGATCAAGGATTCGCGCCAAGTAGTAGAGCATCACACGGCTGCTGTTGTACGCAAACGAAGGTAGAATCGGGTCCGCTAGATACTTCGCACCATGCTGCAAAGTAGTAAAGAACAGGATTGCAATCCGTTGGGCATTCTCGAAGCAAACCAACTGAAGATGAGACACAAAAGGTTGCTGCTCGGGAGGAAATGGGAACGCTTCTCGAATTTTGAACAATTCAGGAAAGGAAATCCTGTAGAGGTCGCATATAACATGGTGGCACATGATATGCAGTAAAAAGAGGGCGCCAAGCTGGGAAGATTCGCGGCGGACATATATGTTGTCAGGGTTCCACTCCAAAACCGATGGTAAGTTCTCTCTCCAAGCTGTTATTCTTTGATATAATAGAATGAACTCCGAATTTGGTAACCAGGGCGGTTGCACCTCATCCAAATGTTTCACAAAGCTAGAAGCGTTAATCAAATGGACTAACCTTTCATGATATTTACTTACCGGAGGACCTTTTGCCAGATGTTTACTATCCTAATATAGTAGGCAGATATACCCATGTTTTCCCCTGGCTTTACAGGTATATCTTGAGGGGAAATGAAATCAAGAACTCGATGAGCCTGGAGGCACTCTGTGACACATGGGATTTGCAAAAGGAAGTTACGCTCATTGCAAGGCAGTTGGAGTTTGATATCAGCCTCGTTCAAGAGCGTAAGTTGGTCCACCCCACTGCCAGCCCATACGTCGACCATGTAGCATGCCCACATGAGCCGCCTCCTTGATTCTTTGAGTGTCACGTCGGCTGAAGGATTTGATGACTCGCGACAGAAAAGATCCGTTGACTGCTCTAGGTTGATCTGGAGCGCGTGAGACATCCGAGTTATCAGGCCAGTGAGCATAAAGGATTGGGCATAATTCCCTAACCTTGCCTCATAATCGTGGAGAAGTGCAAGCACCATCAGTCTTGTAATGGAAATAGCGCTGTACTCGGCAAATATTAACTCTTCTGCAGCCTTCGCCCATTGATTCCCTGCAGATTGGATAAGCTCACGTGGAAGTGTGCTTACGGACTCGTGATATTCGAGGGCGTAAAATCTAGCTCCTAACGCGCATATTATATGGAGCAACGCTTGCTCTTCATTTCCGCTAAGTTGGCCTAGATCGAGACTTTTCATGAACGACGGCTTATGGATGAAGGCAAATATTCGAATGGGATGGACATTACTGAAAAATGCCTCTACAAGTTTAGTAAGTCTAGGCTTGGGGGGAAGTTCTCGAGCCCTGAGCCTGTACAAATACATTAATAAAAGGCAATTATTCTAATGTTTATCGACTTACCATGATATCGAAGAGTTCTCATTTATAACGGCCGGAGAAGAGGGGACGCCATGTGAAGCTGGTAGGCGTGCTTGTGAAGAATTAGTTTCGTGAATAGGGGCATGGGAGGTTAGTGGAGCAATGCTCTGAACCCAAACGGGTTCAGGTTCAGCATCATAGACGCAAATTGCGGCCTTCTGCCAGCATTTAGAGCAAGTTGGCCTATCGCCAGAACATTTAACCTTCGATTCGCGACAAGAGATGCAAGAGCGATATGTTCGCTTCCGTTTCGTTCTGGCGGTGACTCTAACATTGTTTATTTCTTCCCTGGAAACCGGATTGCTCTCATTACTGGTGCCTTGAGAGGCTGGGAGGCAGCTTAGCTGAAGTTTTTCGCAGTTGAAACACCCATTCGGGCGCTCATCGCATTTGACCTGTTCCAAGCCTTAGTGGGTACATCTCTAAAGGTGGGCTTTGTCAATATACCTTTCGTGCACGACAAGTTGCACAAGCTGCGTCAGTAAGTATTGTTAGCGGCTAACCTAACTGGGAGCTCCTCGGCATAATCCGAGTGTGAACGTACCATGGACGGGTCGTCGACGGCTTCGCCCGATACTCTGCGAAGTAGTATCTGGCTCATTGCGATTATCCGAATCATTCACCATGGTACAGTGGAGGGAATGGAGGATGTGGAGAAATCTGGGAACTGGCAAGGGGTTGGCAGAGTGGATCGTCGGGGCTAATGTCGGCCTGTCGCGCTCGGCTGCAACCTCTTGACTAACGACGACTAACTCGGGATCCTCCACATTCAAATCTAATGCCATGCTTACGGGGAACCATGTCCAGGGTTCTGGATACCCCATGTTCTGGGATAGTTGCATATATATTTCCACACCGCACTCTGTTTTGACTTCTATCCAAAGAGCTATCGAATCGTCCGTGCCATAGACCTTTCACGTTATTGGCGTATAAACTTAGGAGGATGCTCACGAACGTCTACTTGGTCGCTTCTTTAGCGACATTGGGTGGCTTGATCCATGGCTTCGATGTGACAAGCATGGCGGGCATCCTAGGAACGCCTCAGGTTTCACCCATGCTGATGTATCAGAGTGAATTGCGTTGACATTTTGTAGTACAAGCATTATTTCAACAACCCCGGATCTGTCAAGCAAGGTGGTATAACCGCGAGCATGGCAGGTGGCTCCCTCATTGGGTCTATCATCTCAACCTTCATCAGTGACCGCTTTGGTCGTCGAGATACCCTTTTCGTAGCAGCCATTACCTGGATTGTCGGATCGACCCTGATGTGCGCTGTTCAGAATGTGGGAATGCTGATAGGTGCTCGCGTGGTGAATGGAATGGCTGTCGGACTGATTACCAGTCAAGGACCGACGTATATTGCGGAGGTCGCACCAACGCATCGGAGAGGCAGGCTGATATGCCTCCAACAATGGATGATAACTTGGGGGGTATGACTTGGCCCCACAGAAAAGAGGGTGAGACCTGCGCTAACCAAAACCCAGGAACTTATCATGTACTTCATCCAATACGGATGCTCCTTCCTAGACACTAATGCCTCCTTCCGCATTCCGTGGGGCTTGCAAATGATCCCAGCATGGGCGTTGCTGTTCGCTGTCCCATTCATGCCACGCTCTCCCCGTTGGCTTGCCTCAAAAGACAGGTGGGAAGAGGCGCACGATGTGCTCGCCATTCTCCATGCAAAGGGCGATCGACTAGATCCCCTCATCATAGCCGAACTACGGGAGATTAGAGAGCAGGTTGAACTAGAGGCCACGTATGGATCTACGAGTTGGTCTGAGTTGATCAAAAATCGGAATATCGTTCGTGTTCACTTGTGCATATTCGCACATGTGTGGAGCCAGCAAGTGTCCCCTCCGACATCCCCTTTCTGTCTATGTTATGCTGATCCTTTAGATTCTCGGGCATCAATGCACTTCTTTATTATATAGTCTACATCTTTCAGATGGCAGGACTCACCTCCAAGGCCACCCTGACCGCCGCGATTGTTCAATACGTTCTCCTCGTCGTGGGTACCTTTCCTGCTCTCATCTTCGCCGACAGGTGGTCTCGTCGTAAGGTAATGATGGCCGGATCAATTATTCTCGCATTCTGGCACTTTACACAAGGTTCGCTCATGGCCGCATATGGCCACTATATCCCTGGGGGCTTAAACGGAGTAAAGACGATCGCATGGAAAGTGGACAGCCCCCTGGCGTCGAAGGCGATCATTGCCTCCACATACCTGTTTGTGTTCTTCTACTCTACGACCTGGGGCCCAATGGGCTGGATCTACCCTCCTGAGATTGTACCCTTGTATATCCGCAGCAAGTCAGTGTCATTTGCGACAGCATGTAATTGGGCGGGGAATTTCGCCCTCACATTCTTCACGCCACCTGGGTTTCAACACATACAATGGAGGGTAAGTAGATTCCACGTCCCCGTCGCAAGTCTCCATTAACCAGTCATGTAGATGTATATGATCTTTGGGACCCTTATGTTGGTTGCTTTGATTCATGTATTCTTCCTATTTCAAGAGACGCGTGGCCGAACGCTTGAAGAGATGGACGAGATATTCAACAACGAAAGTATTTGGGCATTCCGCGTCAAGTACCAGAGCCGGCTGGGGCGGGATATTGAGGAAGCGAAAGCAGATCTGGATAGTGGGAAGGCTGCGGTCATTGCTGTTGAACTTGGCCAGGAACCTACCAGGTAATGATGCCAAAAATTGAGTCCGGCAGAAAATGGTGGTTTTGCAATGGAAGAGAATGTCGAATCCCGTCGATTCAAATAGTCTTGGGCCGAATTTCCTTCGCCCTACCTGCACTTTCATAGGCAAACATTTGTCTCCACTAAAGCTAATTTCTTCGCCTACTTGACTATTTATTGCCCCTTCCTAGCTCTTACATATTTCGATATTGCCACACAACCAAGCTCAATCCCAAACAAACCTTCTTAGTTCACGCGGTAGCTTCTGAGATACGGCACAATGTTGGGAGATCAGCCACACTCAGCCATTATTGAGTGAGTAGTTTTATTTATTCTTTACATATTGGAGAAAGGAGTGGTAATTTCAGATTTAGTGCAATCAACTTGGGGCAATACTCGGACTTAACAGTCACCTGTGGATCAGACACGTTTCTCGTTCACAAGGCCTTTGTCTGCCACAGCTCTACTTTCTTCCAGAAAGCATGTCAATTTCCAGGAAAAGTATTCTACCGTTTATGTTCTTCTAATATGGCTATTAACCCGGTGCAAAGGAGGCTGAGAACGATCACGTTCAGCTTCACGATGAAGATCCCGATATGGCTCGTCGCATGATTACCTTCTTCTATCTTGGAGACTACGACCCTACCTCGTGTTTCAACATCACCAATCTTACGAAGGTGCCGAAGGGTTGCGGAATAGCTACCTACGACACAGTGATCCACAACCGCTACCTACGTCATGACCAGCCGGCCAATAAATCTATACACGACAACAGTGGCTGCGCTTGCATTTCTCCTGACCCATGCCGAAACGCCCAGCAGGACATTGTCCGACCAAAATGGGCACCTATGGATGCAGTCCCTTGGTTGAGAGAGTTCTACTTGACGCATATCGCTCAGGTCACGAATCCTCTGCTTATTCATGCTTCTATGTATGCCATGGCAGACAGATATGGTATCCCGAAGCTTACTGCATGGTCCAAAAAGAAATTTGCCGACACTATTCATGACCACTGGGATTCAAAGGACTTTATTGATGCGGTAGTCCATATCTACGACTCTACCCCTGATACGGACCGAGGATTGAGAGATGAAGTTGTCAAGGCGCTTAAGAAATATTGCGGATTTGACGTGGCAAAAGTTCCAGGATTTGAAGCGAGATTGCTATACTTTAACGACTTGACACTCACTATGCTGAAGGAGTGGCCGAAGCAGGATTAGGGCAGTGACTAAACCGGAGGTGAACTCAGAGTCTCGGAGAGAGACAACGGAATATACCACTCCTTGCTAATGGCCTTCAAAGCGTTTCGCAACATTGGGGCTTTTCCGCCGGGATTGCCACCACCTTCCCAAATTCTAAACGTGACTTCTGTTTAGGAGAGACTCTATATAATCTACCCTTAGTTCAAGTCACTGTCCTGATTCTTTTAAAACTCTTCGAATTCCAACATAACCAATCGAGGGGCACTATAACCCATATATTCAAAACACATTGGTCTACCACTCCTAATATAGTAGCGTTTGTTATGCCGAACAACCTTCTAACGAGGTAAGTTGCCCTCTATCTTGACCTGGATTCCTCACACTCCCTTGTAGAGCAAACAACTCTGGAGATTCCTCAAATCTTGCTATCACCCGTGGCGAATATATCTCCAATATGCCCAAAATTCGTTATCTGTACAGTGTCACATCTCTTCAAGCAGGCCTACACCTTCCCAAATACTAGAGTGAACTGTTTTTCCCATTTTCAGCTCATCCTTCTTACTGGATACTAATGTTCGTTTAGGAAGTAGCAAGTGATTCAATTCCATTCCTGGCAGGTGATTCACTTCCTGTATTACGACAAATACGGCCCTGTGAACAGATCAGCCGTCCCCCTGACCTACCATCGCAACCACAATCTGAACAAGCACTACAAAGACTCCTTCCATACTTGTATCGTCACCTCAACAATTCCTCTTTAAACCCACCGTTAAAGGATACCGCAATGTGCGACTGTGTGGCTCACATCCACTAGGTAAATTCGTTAGCCAAACAGTGTTAAATCCCCCAGATCTTCCTTCCGGATCCCGAGTCTATGGACGCATAGACGGCATCGCACAAGTATCCTCCCTCCCTAATCCACACATTTATGTAGGCCCTTAGCGACAAATACGACATCAAAAGCCTATGTGAGCGCCTGCGTTTTAAATTTAGACACTGACTCCTTGAATCATTAGGATACGGAGGACTCTAAAGATACAGTGGCTACGATTTTTGAGTTCCTGACGCTGGAGAATTGAGCGCTTCGGGATGTGATGATTAGGGCTTTTCGGACGTAATTAGCTTCAATGTGAGGAATTTCCGGAGATTGAAGAGAAGTTGTGTTTGTACAATGAATTGCATCATGCGGTGATGAAGGTTTAGATGGATTGCGGTTCTAGAAAAGATAACGAGTAGAAAGAGACGGGAGGAGTAGAAACTCTGTGAGAGCCCATTTCAAGGGGTTTCGAGACGGTTCAGGTATCTGAGGTAGGCGGTTCATTTCTAGGTTTAGCTTATTGCTCTCGGACCCCCTCATCATATCAGTCCGGATTATTTAATACAGTTGGAGTAGTATTCGAGTCGCTTTTGGGATCTGGAGGGAACAAACCGCTCGAGGCCTTGAAGTTGGCCTAAGCCATCCCTGTAATTGTACAGATTTCTTTCCAAATACAAGGCGCCTCCTTACAGTTACACTTCCCCAACTTTCCAACAACAAAAAAACTCTGCATCAATTGGTTTCCCGCTCGTACGTTTGAGCTCGGCTACTATAGGCGACTCTAAGATTCAAAGGCTAGTAAAACTTCGACTACTGTAAAACTGGGTGATGGTGCAGCGGAAGGCTGTTGTCTTGATATGGAGCCTCTAGGGGCAGCCACGATGTATAGAGAGGTACAGGCACTAGTAGATAGTGGCTTGGACGGATTACAACTACGTTTGACTGCCCTACGTTTCTCAACAGTTGTTTAGGGAGACAACCCACGTGCAAACTAATTGCTAATGCAAGGATATTCTAAAAGCAAAGCACCTTCCGTCTCTGTAATCGATCGCTACCTAGCGTTTCCTCCGCTATGCAATCTATCGAAATCCAAGTGCGGGGTAGATTAAGGAACCTAGCAGGGGATGCTAGACATAACCTGGTTTTCTTGAAGCTGATCGTTCATAACCTCTTCTTTCAATTCGTTCTCTTCCCCGTCACGTTTCAAATCCCTCCCTTCATCTGGACACAAGTCCGCTGCTACGTCTCTATCAATACCATCTTCCGAAGATGATGGCTTTGACCCCTGTAATACTAGGTGTACCCCAGAGTTACCGGCTGGAGAAGGTAATGCATATCTAGTCGACGTCATGGGACGAATTGTAGCCCCAGTAAGCTGATGGCTCCGGTGTTTTATCTGACACCGAGGGCCAATGGATGCATAGGAAAGGAGCTGAGGGCAGACTACCCCGCGATATCCGGAATTATTTCTGCATCAGCGGGAAGAGTTGAAGTCGAGATAAGACTTAGGCGTTGCTCGGCGCAGGATGGGGGAATGCTTGGTTGAGCTCCTTTCTGCTTTCCAGCCTCGTCGCCGCGAGATTCAGGACAGCCTTTTCTTTGAAATCATCTCTTCCAAAACTGGGTTAAAATGGTTACGCTCGGCATCAACGCGTACACGCCGCAAGAAACCATTGAACTAGTATCTCGTGCAGGTGTCAAGAAGGGCAAGATGCGGCTCGATAAAGTATTCCTCAGCTCAGTTTCTGCTGGAGCTCTTCTATCCTGCGTGGCTGCCAGTTGCCTCAGTGTGAATACTGCTCCTTGGTATCAAGAAAATGCTCCAGGGTTAATTCGCACGATGGGGGCCTTCGTATTTCCCTATGGTTTAGTCCTGATCGTCCTCACTGGGGCGGACCTTTGCACTGGCACATTCATGGTAAGGAATGGTTCGAGTCCCCGATTTCATTTAATAGCTGCTGACCGTATTGTGGTAGTATACCACAGTTTCTGTACTTCATCGCCGTCTCTCGGTATATAATATGCTTCTCCATTGGTTCATCACTTTCTGGGGGAATCTTGCGGGTTCATTATTCATCGTTGCTATAATTTTTGGATGTAAGTCCGGTTTCTATTTTCTCGCTCAGCGTAGGCTTACGTTGAAGTAAAATCCCCGTAAGTCTCTAAAACACTACCACGTAACACTAACGCTTTCCCAGATGGCGAGGTCTTCTCAGCCGAGCCTTACAGAACTGAGGTTCACAATTTTGTCACCAAAAAGCAAGTTACACCCACCTTTCATGAAATTTTCCTTCGTGGCATTGGCTGCAACTGGCTCGTCTGTCTAGCCTGCTTTCTCGGCATGCAAGGTCGCGACCTGGCCTCCAAAGTCCTTGGTATCTGGTGGCCCATCTACGCATTCGTTAGTTTGGGCTTTGACCATGTTGTCGCGAACATGTTCTTCATTCCTATGGGCATCTGGCTAGAGACGCCGAAGTTGAGTGTTGGGTTGTATGTCTGGAAGGGGATTATTCCTGCGGGATTGGGGAATATTGTTGGAGGGTAAGAAATCCTATTTCTTGAGACTTTGCTACGAGAAATGGCATTCTTTGGACTCGAATTTACGAGTCCGTAACCTTGGCTTTCAGCTCTTTCGCTGGAATAAACATCAAGCTGACTGGAGCAATTTTTCAGCGCCCTTTTCTGCGGAGCGTACTACTGGTACATGTACATTCTCATGCAACCAGACATCCCTGTCGATGGCATGTACTACGACCGAGTCGAAGGCATTGAGGTCAAAGGACCGCGCAAGAATTCCGACGATGAGGAGAGGAATGAGTATTCGTACAAGAACCATGACCGCCGCAGGGACGTTGCTGATGTACCAACCATTGGAGTTTCAACGAGAGCCTAGTTTAGATTTGAGAGACGCCAAATTTGGAAATTCATGACTGTGGGCACTGGCGGATTTATCCATGTGCAGATATGAGAGCAGACACATACTGAATCTATTTGCTAATAATCATCAATTCCGTCCGCAGAGTTCCTTGCCCCCTGAAACTGGTCGTACACACAGTCAGCTTCTTATCGTCGATGTTGCACAACATGCGATGGTCAGCCGGAAATCCTGAAGAGGAGGGCAATGGAACCCCTCCGACAAATCTGGGGTTGAATGGAAAGCGGGGGAATCCTGTAAGCAGTAAAAGTGCAGTTCGCGCCGAGTCTTTAGGATGTGTGCTAGCATCACCCATTTTTATACATATCGGGTCCGTGGGTACTCTACCCTTGTCGTTCGCCCAATCTCCTACTACAGGGGTAAGGAAGCAAGCTAAGGGGAAGCTGAATTGCCTAGGATACCTGGGGTACTGAATACGGCTGAGATGCAGGTATTCTCGCTACGAGGGTTTGACAGTCCCGTAGCGAAGCTGCCTGTTTCGTAGGGAACGGCTGATGTCTGAATTAAATCCCGTCCCCTTTCTTTAGCTTGGATGTCAGGCTTGGATGTCAGCTGCCAACCGTGTGAGCCCTCTGCGACCCGATGCAGATTATCTTGCTTCCAATCATATGATGCGCTTATGTCTCGCGCTTCGGGGTTCCATCTGAGTTTCCATCTGTCCAAATCAAGATTCTAACATGGAGGGCACCAGGGACAGTTTGCTGAAAACCTTGTTCATGAATGTGCCCATATGTCCCACCTTGGATGAACCATGATATATGTGGGTAGGAGTCAAGTCCTATTAGATCGGTCCTCTGGAAGAAGAGACAGTGAATTGAATATAGGCTGAACCTGGAAAGGGAGGATACCTTGTGACCAATGCCAAACCAAACTCACTTGCGGGCTTTCTTTCCTTTCTCTACTCCCCCCTATGTGTCTATCTACTATCGGCAACCTACTTTCCACCTATAAACTTCCAACTACGCCCTCATTTACTTTCACCCAATATTCCCAATCTTCCTCAACGTCTCACTCAGTCTATTCTTCGGCCAAACCACCGAGCCAACATCTCCAGGCGTTTCAACCCTCCTCAAAGCCTTGACGTCAATTGAATCTAGTGTACTCGCATGCGTGCAATTCAACTTCATCTTCGGAACTCACTCATCTCCACCCCCTTCCCTTTTGTCAAAGAATTCTTCGCACCGGCTGGTTTTAATACGCCATTTCTGCCCCAGCCCAACTCCTTGTTTTCGGTCGTCGTAGTCTCGGCTCATTGCGGAATCGAGAAAGCAGACGGCGAGGGTGCCATTAAAGATTGAGGGGAGGATGGAGGTGGGCTGGTTCGGGGATTGGAGCGTTGGTGGAGAGGCTTTAAGTAGACTTAGTGACTTGGTATGGATGGAGTATCACATATTCTTTCCAACGCGAAGCTAGCTAGTGAAGAAGGGAAAAGAGGTAACATACCATTCTTTTGCATTACACCTGTGCTTTTTTAGCCATTAATATTTGATATATTAAACTCAATCCTCTGCAAGAATGCCACTCGTGAAGCCATTCTCGTTTCGCTTGGTATCGGAACTGCCTCGGAATCCTTCATGGAATGGACGCCTGGAACTTCGAACTCTTCATCGTGAGGAAATGACAGAAAACAACTGTTCCTTGAAGAGAGTGGTAGCAATAGGAAATTCCTCAGCGATGACCTCACTTACCTCACTGAACCCTTCAAATGTCCGCACCCTGACACCTCCACCTCCGTCAGTCCTGATGTCAGAGATGTGATTGGTAGACCCCCTCTCGTGCAGTTTGGCCCATCAGCCACACTGAATTACAAAGGGATATCCAACTCCCCCACTCACATCTCTTATCTCATCTCATATACCCTCATGCCCGCCCGCTGCAAGGCACTATGCTGCAAGGCACCCTAGCACAGTGAACCACAAAGAAAGCAGAAGGTTGAGCGAAGAGTGCAGAAAATGTGGAAAGTTAGGGATCCGTAGATCTCCTCCAAATCCGTCTCGGAAAGCGAAGCACTTCCGTTCGCAAACTTCCCGGCGGCAAACCCTGTTTCATCGGTGCCTTTGGATCCAAAATACCGACCTCAGCTCTTCTTCCAGTGAGACGCATTGGCGGCAATATCCCAAGCCACACAACCCTGCCCTGCCTAGAAAGCCTCAACGACGCGCAAACAAAACCCAGCAGTCTGGAAAGCACAAGAAAAACAAATGGTTATCACGTTAGAAAAGCGTACGACGAGTTTACGTACATCTCTGCCACTGCTGCCCTCATCCCTTGGCAGCCCACCGGCGCATCGGACATTGCAAGCACCGACTATGAACGCCTTGGAACAATGAAACGTGATCATCAGGAGGCAGAAGGTCGGGCCACGCTACATGCACCCTGATTAGGTAAAATGGCGGAGGCTTAAGCAAAGCGGAGGGCGGAGAGCGGCGGGAAGACGCAGTTCAGCGTTGTTGATATAAGCTTGAAAATCATGATTCTGATGCGATTCCGTCATATTCTCGCGAGAGCCTCGTACGACACCGAGACATAACTAACTATTGGTCTTGCATTGGCATGCAGCAATATGCTTAAGGTCACGCCGGAGTGATTAGATGAAGTTTTGAAAGCACGTCACACTGAGACACATTTCTAATATGCTGGTTTCGATGATCGTCATCATTCATGATGCCCGCTGGTAATGTAACTTTCGCAATGCTGAGGCTGGGTCCTTGCCACCCGTATGCAGCTCAGCTGTTTGTCCTATGTATTCTTATCATACAAATCAGACGAATTCAACCGTGCGTGCCGCAGAGCCTCAATGGTGATCAAGCGTTTCCGAGGTGGTGGAGACGGAAGATCAACGAAAATAACTCGAGCTGCAGGTTCGTAGAATTAAACCCACAAATATATGCAGATATCCACGTTAGAGGAACACTCACTTGAGTCTATGCACTGAAATGTTCATCCTTTCAACTTCTCTTGAATCTCTGCTACAACGTTCTTGACCCGTGGTTCCTTCACCTTGTCTCGAGCGTGTGCCACAGCGGTTCCCAGCGAGAAGACATCCCTGCCAGCCTCGCAGAAATCATCGCCAAGATGCAGGAGTGTCCCAGTGGCTACGAGCGCTCGATACACGGCCTCGGAGTCAGTTGCAGTGCTAAGGATCTTTGAGAGATCATCAAGCAGAGTGAGGGCGCGGTCTGCGTTCACATCCTTCGATTGTTTTAGCATGACGGCGTAGTTGATATAGAGGGTCGTGATGGCGATAATTAGGTTGCGGTTAGTGGAGGTGATGAATTGGTGGATATTTTTGTGAATTCTATCGAACTCCTTATCGGCGTGGGCCCTTCCATACTCTGTGTTGAACAGGTTGACGAAAGACCGAATAGCCATCATCGCGTTGTTGACCACGGTTGAACTGACAAAGATGCCAGCCTCCTCGAGGTCTTCGATGAAAGACACTGTGGCGATGAGGTACTGTATTGGCTCCTCTAAGGCTGTTAGAAGTCGTAAAAGGTCTAATCCAGGAAGACGTTTCTCTGGCGGCCAGCCAGTGGCAGTCTTGAGGATCGCATTAATTCCGTTGGCATCAATGCGTTCCGTCTCTTTCTCCATATCATCGATTGCCTCATTCAGACAGTCAATATCATCGGGATTTAATGACAGATCCTTCTGTCCGCTATTAACAAGTTCCTGGTTGTATTCTTTGATTTTCTTCAACACAACCCCAAGATTTGCGGTCAAGATGCTAAGATATTGCTTCTGAGGCAATACAGATTGGCGTGGTTTCGGTGGCGCTGCTTCAGTCTGTGGAAAAACATCTCCGGGACGATAGCGCGACTCCGTGCCCCAGGGATCGGCGCCTTGTGGTCCAGATTGCCCAGATTGTCCAAGAGTGGCGCCCTGCGTGTTTTGGACGATGAAGTTCGTTACCTGATCTAAGTACGTGATTGGAAGCTTGTTATCCTCACAGAACTTGCGAGCGACTTCGTAAGGGTTCTGGGATAGGTTGTAAGGCAGCTTGAGCGGGGGCTTGCCATCCTCAATGTCGACATCGAACAAATAGTCGTACTCTTTGCCGTTGAAGGATATCTTTCGTCCACTACTGGAGGCATTATCGACCACAGTACCTACGAGCAGCCATTCGTTGGCAGCGGTTGACCACTGGTAGGCGGTGACATTTCCATTGGCTTCATTGATCATCTGGACTTGGCCTTCTTTCGTGCCAGATTTCTGTGTAAGGAACTCTGGCCCGGGCAGTTTCTCCTTGTTGAAGTTATCAACGGCTTGCTGTGGTATTGAAGACTCCCTCACGGAGTTGTTGAACTGCTCGATGGTAGTGGGGTCCGCGATGCTTCCCGGTGCTTGGCTGAAGATGCGAACGATTCGGTCGCTTGCACCGGTAACGATGTCCCCGTTCTGCGCACAGGCCGCAACCGACCAGACGGATATTGCCGGATGGGTGATCGTCTGGATGCACTGATTGAGGTGCCATATTCGCACGGTACGGTCCTCGGAAGAGCTAGCCAAACGCCCGCCTGGGAGAGATGCCAGTGAGTAGATGAAATTCTCGTGGCCATGCAGCTCAGCGACTTGGCGGCCGTTTAACTGCCACAAGCGGATGACAGCGTCATTTCCTGCGGAAGCGAATTGCGCATTTGATGGGTTGTTTGAATCGACAGTGCAAAGCGCCCTCACTACATCCCCTGTCTCGATAGCTCGAACAAAGACACTGGAGGTACCTGTTGTGGCTGTCTGAAACACTCGGATCTTCTTGTCGGCACAGCCTATAGTTCTTCTGGTCAGCTTCAGAGTGCTATAGGTATGCTGAGGGTGCTTCTGAGGGGAGTTGAGGGGACATCTACCTGTTATGATTGTGCGGTGGTCCAATGCCAATACAGCCCAGACAGAAGCTGTGTGTCCTTCGAGCACAGTTACGGCGTCCCACTTTCCCACTTCCCAGACCCGTGCATCGCCGTCCCAGCTTCCGCTGATAATGAGTCTGCCATCTGCGGTGGCGTCCAGGGCGCACACATTGGAAGCATGCCCCAATAATAACCCGTCCGCGTTGTCCTCAGGGAGCTTGCTGGGCGCTCGCACATCGATAATTGCATCCTTGCCTCCGGAGACGATAAGGCCTTCGGGGTACTTGGAGGAGGGCGGAATGAACGTGACCGCATTGACGAACTCTGTTCCGTGCGTGACGATGGTGCTGTCGAACCTTGGAGGGGTGACATGTTCGTTCTTCCATAACCTGACAGAACGATCTCGAGAGGCGGAGAGGACAAAGTCAGGATGTGGAAACGCAACACACCGAACCTAGGGAACAGGTTGCAGTTAGTTCATGCTTGCACACGGAAACAAAGGCTCCTTTGTCTATGGCGGAGCTTGAGGGGACGTACATCGTCTTCGTGTCCGCGCAGAGAGGCCGAGAGCTTGTAGTCGCCCATGGTTGGTTGACTACTCACTGGGTCGCGGGGTGGTGCCACAGGCAGGACTGGATTGAGGCACTAAGAGAGGAAAGAATCTTTTTGGATGAACCGCAGGCGTAAAAGGCCTTGCGCGGTCTCCTGCGCGGGGGGTGGGGGGGCACGCGTCTGGGAAAGCTTGGGCGGAGCGGAAGCACGATACGTCGACAGAGGAGGGGCGTCGATGCGGCTCGGTGGTGGTAGCTACCTGGTCTCGGCTCAATATTTACACCTTATGTAAGCGTACTAGTACTAGATCTAGGTGCTTCTGTTTGCCTGTCTGTTTGCTGCTGCTCTCTCTCAGCCCTCTAGCCTGTCTCTGTGCCTGTCGTGAGGCTGTTGTTGGCGTCTTGGTCCCATGCACGCAACGAAATAGTTCTCAGCTCTCCAGTTTCACTGCGTTGGAGCTTATTGAATGTCTTTCAGGAGGACAAAACACCAATACTGGACGTTCGCTGTTGGTTCCATCTTTTGTCACCGCCAGGAGCTGATTCTCCCTCAAAGCGAGTCACCAGCGCACAGGTTGTGGCTGAAGCCTTCTCGCTTCTCACGTGAAAGTTCGAACAATGAACTTCGTGCACCCCGCGCAGACTCGCCGCAGAGAAGGCGGTGAATTGCGAATCGCGATGGATGGAACTTTGGATGAGGCTTCGGACAGCCCGCCGGCGGCAAGCCGCAAGCCACCAGCCCTGTGAAGCTGAAAACTAACACACTCCCAGCCAGTTATAATCCCGCATAGTGAGGGTTTCGAAGGATCCTCTGAATTTAGCATCCAGATCTGGCAATATTCCTCCAAGGTCTGGCGAGGGTGTTCCAAGGAGAAGTTTGCAGCCAAGCGGCATATCCGTCGAGAATCTGGAACACGCTGAGAGGGGCAGAGATCGACACTCTCGAACAGTGGACATGGCCTAGATTTCCTTGCACCCTCACATTAAGTTGCGCGACGAAAGCAGGAATTGCAATTCCATCTGAGAGACCCCGCAAAAGGTGAAGCCCTCCATAACGGAGAGCGGTCCTTTAGTTTCACCGACAATCTCAAAAGATTCATGCACGGATGGAATTACAGGTAGCCAAGGTAGCTAGTTGGAAACTCGAGCGTCCTTCCAAGGACAGCCTGTCTTCAACGTCTGCGCCTCAAAATGGGCAGTTCTCCTTTTCGGAGTCACCAGGTGGAACGCCTATCTGGCTCAATTCTCGTGCAGCCACCTCCTGCACGCAGCGGACGCGTGAGGTGTTCCAATCCTGCGCTGCTTGTCAGCAGTCCTGTTTCGCTCTAGAATTTCCGTCTGTACAACACGCGCCAGACACCTCGCCTCTCTGAGTGGGCAAAAACGGTCTTGCGCGTCAGCTTGGCTTTTGGGCTGATGGCGGCACTGTCTGGCACCGTGTGACTCGCTAAAATACATGTCCAGATCTCCTGGGCAGATGTCAAAGGCGGACGGTATTAAATTTGTTGCGCCCTCAAGACCATGCGCCGCTTCACGGAGTCAAGGGTACAAGATCCTGCCCGTCCCTCCGGATTTCGACTTTTTTTTCTTGCGCGAGTCCAGCGCCCTCTTTGCTCAGGATCATCACTCTGTTTTCGACCTAAGATTAGATCATCCGCACGCCTACATTCTGCGGTTACTTCCCGTCTAAACGCCTGCTTTGCTACCGAGGATTCGGTCACCGTTCGGTGTGAACAAATCCCGCCCTACGACCCACAGATCTTACCACCCCGGCGTCTTGATATCAAGTGATCGACACTGCCTGCTACGTAAGGTTGAGAATCTGTGTCCTTCGACAAACGTCGTGGTACCTTGAGGATCAGCATCTGTAAACATCTAGGGTCCCATTCCTCCCTATTCAGGAGTCCCCCTTCTTAAATCTTTACTCGCCGGCCCATAAATTTTCAATTACTCTTTTCATTCACAAACAAACAGCGGCCTCTCTCTCAACTATCCACACCTACCCACACATTCCCACAATGGATTCACCAAACGTTGAACTACTGTCCGCGCTTGCCACGTATGTTCAAGAATTTCCTACCAGCAATTCATTGCTAAGTTTACCCAGACTTCTTCAAAATGGCAAATATTCAGACCTGACCATTGTCTGTGGCATGAAAAGATACTCAGTGCACCGCGCCCTCGTGTGCTCAAGATCCGAATTCTTCGACGGCGCGTGCCGAAATTCCTTCAAGGAATCAGAGACAGGCGTTATCGACCTTACTGAAGACGATGCAGAGGCTGTTGAGCATATGGTCCACTGTAAGCATCAATGGTGGCGAGCGAAGTCTAAGGTAGCACCAACTAACCCCTTGGCTTAGACTTCTACCATCTGGACTATCTTAACAAGCCGTTGTCCCGCCGCTCCTCCCAGCGCTCCTCCCGACCGACCTCACCAACGACATCGCGTCTGCCGACACGGCGGCGGACTAAGAAACTCAACCTCTTGATGGTGGAAGATCCACTTCTCGCAACAATGGCGGCAGCTAGCGCTGCGCGCGATCCTATGACACCCCCAGACGAACAGCCGAACCACTACCTCGAGAGCATCGACTCAGCAAAGTTCCCGGACACCCCAATGGAGCAAGAATTTGAGGAGGACCCCTTCGAGACGGCGCAGGCGGAACCAGAGTCGAACGTCGAGAAGCCCTACCTGGTGACCCACGCCAAAGTATACGCAATTGCGGAGAAGTAAGTGTGCTGTCCCGCCTTGTTTCACCTGTACTTCCTCCCCTTTTGCCTCTTTTGCCACTTTTGCCTGATTACGCGCCCTCTCCCGCGTCTTGTGTCCCTCTACTTCCGCGGGGCGTGCATTTCTGCGCCTTGTGTCGCGCCTCCACGGCGGACGGCAAGCCGACCCCGCGATGTTCATCAGCGGCCAATCAGATCGTCCCCAGCTCGGTGCACTGTCAGATCTGCCAAGCCGCGACCCCTGTTCCCCTCCATTCACACCACTCTCTTTACTATTCAGACCGTCTCCCCTCCAATCAGCACTGCATGATTCCTATCCCTCTGCTTGCAGACCCTGAGACACCCACTCCACGTCAGCTTTTCACCTTGTGTCTGCTCGAATGTTCCCCAATTATGCCCCTTCATTATGCTTCCCAAATCCTCCCAACTACCCATTGCCAAAAGTCAAAAGCAACCACTGACAGTGCCCCTCAGATATGGGATTTCCGGCCTAAAATCGCTCGCCAGGAAGAAGTTTGCACACCAGATCGAGCTCCACTTCAGCAGCTCCGAGCTCCCCGAGGCGTGCCAAGAGGCATACGAGACAACCGTGGATAGCGACCGAGGACTACGGGATGTTATCATCCAGACCTTCCGTGCTCACCCTGAGCTCTCTCTCCGCAAGGATGTCGAGCTCGCCGTGCGCGAGACACCCAGTTTAGCCTTTGAATTATTCAGGATGGCTAGCGGCTTGCCAGTTTTCTCATAGACTTTCTGGAGAAGCTGTTGCACCTTTTATTTTCGACACCTGCTATTATTATACAACCGAGAGGTTTCACCCATGTCGTTTCGCGGTCGTTCTATTTATGTGCCATGATAAAATATGGTTCATGACACTATTATTTGACAATAGGAACCCCTGGGAACGACGAGTTAGACACAAGCTACCGTGGTGGAACTTTGAGCGTCACGACGGCTGTACCTTTGAGCGTGTCTGGTCGATGCATTTGCGGTTAGGCGCTCACAGATGAAGGGCCTTGTCCCACATCGATCGGTTGCGTCGATGGCTGACGGGCATTGGGGAGGACGGCCGGTTCGTCACCGCCAAGCTTCTGACTGTCTTACTCTCATTTCTTCGCTTCCCTCTTCCTTTTGCCTGGGCAGGCAAGGCAGTTTATGCAAGCCTCCCGCTTTTCGGCCATTTGAGTGGATAGAAGTGGGCGACTGATGATACCTTTTTCTGGCCAATTGGTTTCGTTGCCACAGGAAGGCGTTTTAAGGATACTGTGTAAATTACATTTCCATGGATGTCTTACCAACCTTTTCTCTTATTAATAAGACAGAGATTTCTGTGGATATGATTCATTCTGTTCGGGATTGCATGAACCACGCGGCTTGCAACGTCCTAAAGGCTGGTCCAGCTGTATTCAGGCATTGCATCACCAACCTCACACCTATGATAAACATCGCGATCATATCTAACCAATCACAATTACTGTGGTCCCGGAAACATCATACTGCATGAGTGACAAGCGTACCAGAAAGCAAAAACAAAGCCACAAGATTTAGGTAGGTAGTAGACGCCGCGTAAGCGTGCTACAACGAGCTAAGTAGGTACGCACGGTACTTCCCACTCCTGTAGCATCGCGCTGTAGTGACATGCCGTCGTTAAGAAATTTTCATTAGCGCGAGTCCCTGTCTAACGCCTTCAGGCCTTAACACCAGGCGCTTCGTCACCAGAAGTCTCACACGGTGATCCCGCCCGCTGTCTGGACTAGTCAAGATCCCCTAAGCAGCTTCTCTAAGTAGACAGTTACGCGTGCCTGCTACGCACCCACACTCCTTTCCACATTTGTTTCCACTCATGTTTGCTTCTTCGAGGGATTTTTGGGGAGCGGGTGACGTCATCTCGCTCTTTCGCTATCGATAAGGGTTGAGTAGACTCAAGGGCGGGAGTTGCAGGCGGGATGACCCACAAACGACGGAAAACGGCCGCTGTAACCTCGGTTTTTTCGCTCATCAATTCCAACGAACCCTTTTTGTTTTGGTGAAACACGTTGTCTTGAGCTAGCTTTCGTCTTCCTAGCTATCTTTTTACGAGATCTGACGACGCTCTGACGATGATTCAGACTTAGCAGTTTGTTTCAATTTTATTCGGCCCGGGCTAGTTTACCACAGGAACTCTTATGTCCGGGGACTTTTGACGCCTCTTTTGGAGGTTTTCTGTCGCTGCTTTTGGAGTCACTTACACCCGTCAGCTTTTGTAATCTGTAGTAATTTTTGAATGAGTCCTGCGCGAGCAGCCACTCTGATGTCAGCTACTTTAGCTATAGTACAAGAAGTTTATGGCTTTGTCGCCATATTACATTATTTGAATGTTGGGTGGAGCAAGTACAGTTGGAGAGCCTTTGCAAGCCGCAACTGAAGCAATATTAATTCTATTGCAACCATCTACCCCGTTCCGACCATCAATTCCAGTATACCAACACCTCCCTTGTTGCTAACGTACGTCCATTAATTCAACGTAGAATCTCAGCAGCTGTTTCTTATCCGCAGTTTCGCCATTGGTAGGAAGGCTTAGTGCTGTCAACACATGATCTAGCGCGGGACCCGACATATTTGAAAGCTGAGCGGGTGTGGCAGGAGAACCTTGGACATAGGCGTTTGTTGTAACTTCACGGAGTGGGATGTCGGATCTTGCAATACGAGAGTTTTGAAGGCGGGCAAGAGAATTGTACTCGCTGTTATAATGAGTTAGCAAATAGGCAGGACATCTAAGTAGTATTCACTCACGTTGCCTGATGGCCTGTGGTGATATCTGTGCGGAGTTGCTGTATCTGTTGCTGCATCTGCTGCTACGTCTCCTGTATCTGCTGAATTTTTTGCTGCATCTGATGCATCTGCCGCAGGATTCCAGTGGATTGAGCAATTGGGGGAAGATTGGCAACCTTTCCCAACTCAGTAGTGGTTTGCGTAAGTCCTTGTGTTAGGAGACTGATATCTGGTTGTGAGCCGAGCTGAGGTCCAGGCTGAGGGAATTAACGTTTGCCGTGGCTTCTAGCGATGGGAAAAGAAGACTTGAAGGTCTGAGTGTGGTATGGTGTGTTTGGGGCGAGCGAAAGTTAACGTAGGCCGTAAACAATGTGCACGTGCAGCGGGGACTACACTAAACCCGAAGGGGGAGACCTAGGACAGAGATTACCTGCCAATCGCATAATGACTGCCAAATTAGTTGCGAGGACTATTTCTGTTCATGACTCGCGGGGTCAGAGCCACTGGCAAGCTACCTCGGTGCCAAGGGTATGCAGGGTATAAGAAGAGGGGGTTTTGAGACATCGGGCAATAATGCTATGTGGAGAATTGCGTTGAAGGATTTTAGGCAATGATAACTTCGAACAGGAGAAAGCCTAACGATCATGTTAGTAGCGTAAACAGTGTTTTTCAATGGAAGGAAGGCCGAAAAATACTAGTGATGCGAACGCTGTCGTGTTGTTATGCATTCTTTTCAGAGCTTCAGAGTTTCAGATCTTCCAGGTTGAGATGTTGGTTGATAGCATTCAACCAGATACTTTTAAACTTCGAATGTTTGTTATTTCACAATACCCTATTTACATGCGTTTTGCAATGTCCTACTTACAGTGTTTCCTAATAGCCTAATTACATATTTTCCTCAATGTCCGACTTCCATGTGTTTTTTACCAATAATCTACTTACAAGAGTTGGGTATACCCTATGACCAAATGTCTATGTACAATGCAAATACCTATAGTTCCTATCCCTTCTCCTCCTCTTACAAGACCTCGACAAAATTCCCGTGCTCACACCTCCCTATCAACAACCTCCTTCTCTCCCTTCCTCCCTTCCTCCTCCGCAGCTAACTTATCCCCACCAACTTCCTTCTTCTCATCCTTCCCTGCACTACCCATCTTCTCCCCCTTCTTAACACTAACCCATTCCACGCCCAGCGCGCCGATCAAACTTACACATGACAACCCCACACCTACATAAAACGCATTCCTGATCGCCACATGATACCCCTCCAACACGGTTTCCCGCAATTCTTCCCCAACCAATTTCACAAGCTGCGTAGCCCCCATCTCCACCACCATTTGCCTCGTAATCCCCACGCCAGGAATCTCACTCAACTTCCTCGCCAGTGTATCAACAAAAACATTCTGCGCGGTGCTGATGAACACGGCGCCGCCAAGATTCTGCCCAAAGAACATTAGCGAAATACCCATCGAAACATCTGGACGCGGGAGCACGCATTGCACCGATATACTCGGTTGCTGCATGCCGAGACCGATGCCTAGACCAAACAGCACCTGATATCCGATCCAAACGCGCGTGGTCGCGGAAATCGGCCACGTTGATATCATGCCCGCACCGACGGCCGACAGGATGCACGAGATGTACATAAACGGCGCTGGGTAGCCGAAACGTTGGACCAGACCTCCAGCGACCATCGCGCCGATGACAAGGGTTAGTACGGATGGCAGAATGGCGAAGCCGGAGGATACAGGCGAGAAGTCTTTGAGGGCTTGGAAGAATAGCGGGATGTAGTATGTTATTACGAGCACGGAGGCTTGGCTCGTGAAAGCGTAGAAGAAGCCTGAGAAGACGGTTCGTTGAGTGAGGATTCGCAGAGGGAGGGTTGCTGTGTCGGGATAGCAGATCTGGAGGGCCATGAATGCGGCGAAGAGAAGGGGGAAGAGCACAAGCAGAAGGATGATGCGCCAGTTTGACCAGGGGTACGTGGTTCCACCCCACTGGAGGGCGAGGAGTAAACAGACGATGGAGGGGAGGAATACGGCGGTGCCGATGGGATCCAGTTTCTTTATCTGCGTTCGAAGTGGGACTTTCTCTTCTTCTTTCCTCTTCGGAAGTCGTAGAAAGAGAATCAGCACTGCGGCTGAAACAGCGCCGAGGGGTAGGTTGATGTAGAAACACCATCGCCAGCTCAGCTTCTGCGTGAAAACGCCTCCAAGAAGTGGTCCGACTACACTGGCGACTCCGAACACGGCCCCGATGAAACCCTGGAACATCGGCCGCTTCTCTAGAGGCACGGTGTGCATGACGAGAATAATCGCGCCATTGCTGATCCCCGCGCTACCCATTCCGGCAATAGCACGGCCGATGATGAATCCTGTTGACGAAGGTGCGGCACCACAGATTGCGGACCCAACTTCAAAAATGAAGATGGTGGTCAGGAAGACAGTTTTGGGGGAGTAGAACGTGTAGATGCGACCCCAGACGAGTTGGAAGGCGCAGAGCGTTAGCATGTAGGAGGAGCCGTACCAGCCAATGTCGCTGAGCGAGTTGAACGAGTTTGTAATTTGGGGGATGGCGGTCGCAATGATGGTTTTGTCCTGGAGTATCAAATTAGCTGATGGGAGTTGTGGGAGGGTTGAGGAGTGGCTGTGCGAAACCTACTAGTGAGATGAGAAACATGGACATATAGAGGGAGAGCATGAGAAGCCATAGTTTGCCCGCCGAAGGATACTCGTGTGGGTTCTCATTTTCCTTGGAGGGAAGAGTTGGCGTAGATGGCTGAGAGACGGTAGGTTGTTCAGTAGGTGGTTCCATTTCTTTGGTGGACATTTTTTATTGATTGCTGGCAATCAGCCAAATTGAATGGTCTCATCAAAAGAAAAAGAGATGGTAAGGTAGAGTTCTGAGGCGTGTAAGAAGCGAAGCGAAAGTCCTTGGAATTAAGAAGGCGTGGTGCCGATCCGAGTGAAGAATTATCGATGAGTGACAATGTGAAGCTAGGAAAGGAGCATGAGAATTGATGTGTAAACTGAGCATGCAGAGTAGAAGGAATGTAGAGAAAGGAAGACGCGGATTCCCTCGTAGTTATGTATGCCTTGGCCATAGAAGCAAGTGTGCTGCCTAACAATCCCGCGGGGTCTTTTAAGCTCCGTGACGTCTTCTCCTTAACTTTCGGGTTCATTGTGGGTGAGTCGGATGCGAGGAGGATGGTGTTGAAGGATTTCGGGTCCGAAGCGTGTGGCGTATACCGAACAGCAATAAGCAGCCATCAACAATGACTAGACGGACTTGCATTGAATAGAACATCAAAAAAAAATAATTAAACTCGGAGACTTACAACAACAGCCCTCGATCCAGGAGACGGTCTATTCTTATGAGGAGATAGATGTAAGGTGCACGGGCCAGATAATTTTTTCCAAAGATTCGAGGGTTCGGCGAAGGGAATCTAGCTGCTTGACTACGGCAAGGAAAAGGTGGCTAGCCAAATCATTCAACCTCTCAATTGATATAATATACCCATCATCAACTACGGCACTTGTCCCAGTAACAAAGCTGCTCTTACCAGAGCACAGCCAAACAGCCGTATCCGCAATCTCGCTCGGCAGGCCCATCCTCTTCACGGGCGCAATATTAATCGCATTATTCAGCCTTTCGCTAACTTCATCAGACTCTGACGTTGTCATAGGCGTGGCTATGGACGCTTAAGTTCCGCCACGGCATGTGGGATTAATCGTGATGCGGTGCGGTGGTTTACTATAGTCTATCGAATCGGAGCGCGTGAGGGACAGAACCGCAGTTTTTCGATGTTGTATATATTGATGCCTGCGTTTTGCGTACTATCCAAAGCTATGGTGCAATGTTGACGATGGGGCGGCGTTGTCCTCTTATCTGCGCCTCCTCTTCGGAGAGTGTGAAGCCTTGGTACGGTTTACTGTCGTTCTTGAGCATCCACTCCTTCACGCACACCCACAGATCTCTTTAGTTGACCCCATTGAGTCTATCAAACTCTTCGAGACCGATTACTATAGTCAGCTTATCTTGCCCGAGGACTCCTGCACAGTTGACTGCGTAATCAAGACTCGATATTTTGAAGAGCTCGGCGACGAAGTCGGGGAAGGAGATGTCGCCTACGATGATGTTGATCGCCGGGAGAGAGGAAGGTTTAGAATGGCGATGATAGACTTTGTGCCCTCGAGTCCGTGGTTGTTGATGTCAATTATGTAGAGCGTTGTTATTCCGGCGGAGGAGAGGGTGACCGAAGCTGCACGGCCAAGACCTGGGGTAAACACATGTCAGCAGCCCGAGAGTGGGTCATTTGAGGCATGAAGAATACGGGCGGCTCTCCAGACATTTGGAGGAGGGAGACAGTACCTGGCCCGGCTCCAGTTACTAGTGCAACTCCGTTGAGGCGCTTGTGGAAGCGCACATGTCGTGCGCATGAGGGTCTTATGGCTATGGGGGCTTATAAGGTTACCCGGAAGCCACTCTCGATGAGACAGCACAATGGGGTTCATGCGATGCCATGATAGGCAAATGATGAAGGTACTGAAGCCATCAAGCGGGGAGCAAGAGTAGGGGAGGATGAAAAGCCGAGTGTGGAATTAAGTACATATCAAGGACGCCCCGTGCGTTCCAAGGTTGCACTTCTCTCACCACATGCAGCATTGCAACAAGGTCTCCGCACACGATGAAATTAAGTATAGAATATCTTTTCGAAGTATAGGACTTAAAAATAGACATCCGATACGCTAAGCTAATGTATCTGCAGTAATAGACGGGAGAGGAGAGGGAAAGTCTCGAGATTCTTGGCAACGCCACAATCGCCTCCAGCCACAGAAGATGACATTGAGAAGATCATTAAGACATGTTTCGTCACCTCCGCACGCGCCATCCTCATTCATCCGCCGTCATGGCAACTTCCGCGTGTAAGAACGCTGGAAAACTCTCTGACGTAAAGAAACATACATAAAGGAATAGAAGGCGACCCGACGCTTGAAAGATACCGTCCTTTCTGAGGAATGAGCTCAGCGAAGAATGGAGGAATGGAGCTGGTGAAGAATGAATGCCCCCGAACAAATGCGGCCAGGCATATTAATCCCTGAATCTCTTCCACGGTCCACCAAACCCCGCGTGCATCCTGTTTCCCGGCTGGCCATCATGCACGATATCATCACTAGCACCTTTACCGTCTGGATGTTGGTTAAGTCTGCCCTCTTCTGCAAGGTCGTCGCCCATGTCCCTGTCATCAGAGGCCCCAAGGTTCTCAACATGGAGCCCGTAAGTATCGCCATTGCCGTGTGAGTCAGCATCTTGAGTGGTGATCTGGTTGCCAACAATGGATACAACGCCATTGGCGAGGTTTATCCTAAAGGACATGATCGTGGTGTTACAGTCAGTTCCTTCCCCGTCGAGGCCGAGCAGCTTCCAGCTATTCTGGCCTAGTCTGGTCCAGGATTGATTCACAAGACAGAAACGAGTCTGAATTTATGTGGGTTAGTAGATGATTGCCTCAAATACATGTGCTGGTAAGAGTCGACTCACCTCAATGCCACCCACCCCCGGCGGCGTGTACTCAACTGAGATCTCCCTGTCGGAGCGACCGAATGCCTTTAGGACTGTTCCGAGATTGAGGATGATGTAGCAAACGAGGAGACCATAGACCACTGCTGCAGCAACATCTTTGAGGCACCACTTGTAATCATGATTTTCAATTTCCTCTCCCCAGAAACCAGCCTGGGCTTCGGCGTCTTCGTAGCTTGGGGGCAAGAACGACGCATGCTCAGGGTCAGTAGCAGAGGGAACTTGTGCTGGGAACATTGTGATGGAAGTTGACGTATCAATTTGGAAGGCAATGCTAAACAGTGGAGAATAGGAGAGAACAGTAGCAGACAGTAGAGGGCAGTGGAAGGCAGAGGAGGAGAGATGAGGGAAGTGGCAAAGATAAGTGAGCCGTGTGGCTAGATGAGTTTTTCTTGGTCCGTTTCGCCTTTTTGTTTTCGGAAGTGGTGATGGTGCGAGGAGAGGTGGTGGTCGTCCTTGCTAGTTTAGGAAGGAGCCGACGCGAGGAATGCATATAGAGCAACATATCTGTACAGGTACAGCGGGATCCTTTGATGTCGAGAGAACTGCTTCCAGATATGTAAGGTTGCCTCGCTAGATCATAAACGCGGCCCAGATTCTTCTTAGTGCTTTGTGGGCACTCCGGCGGAATTGAAGAGCCTGTCACATAAAGCTAGTCAACCTCCAAATACGTCAAAGGAAATACAGCAACAGGCACTTGCTTATGTAATCACAACTCACTAACCGGTAGGCCTATCTGCCTCTCTTGGAAGTTCGCTGCGGGTGAGGACAGTCAAGAGTCGTTGTAATCGTGTGGTTGTACGAGCTGCAATATTGGCGTTCTGTGCCTAGAGATGGATGCTTTCACTGATTTTGCCTGTTCTGACGTATATTTTAGTATGAGGAATTGGAAGGTAAGGAGAGTGACTTCAATGTTGTAATCCTGGGATCACCGAGCTCCTAATTTCTGGAGATATGGAGGGCCATAGTATCAACCCTGTAGATAATAGTTCAAAGTGAAGGGTGTGTTGACCTCGAATATCAACCACGTTATGTCTTTGAAGGGCTGCTTGGAGACTAGCGGTAGCGAGTTGATCGCAGCGAAACCTCTTCTCCGATAGTGAAAGGTTCCCGCCAGACGGCCGGGGATATACCTAACCCACCACTAGCGAAGGCCAGAGAGATCTCACAAAGCGCATTCGTAGATCATCAGCTAGAGCTCAGCTAGCAATTTGAGAAGAGGCAAGGGTTTGGAGAGTGGCCTATAAGAATCAGCCAGGTACGGTGAGGTATTTATCAGGGTAAACTAGCTCGGCAACTTCTGGGGCGGCAGTTTTTATGGCAAGAGATGGATATTTGTTGGCTGTCAAATTTCACTGTGGTGACGAGAGCGAGTTTTCGCAGACCCCTAAACAGCACACACTCGCTAACCCACTAATAGTACTACCACAGATTCTAAGAGCACGTTTGATACATAAAACACTATATATAATACTGTCGCCTTTATCAGCCCCATAAGAATAGGTATCCTTCCGAATGCTCCTTTCTAGATTCCTAAGAAACGGACGGTGCAGTCCTTAGCAGTGCACGAAGACACGAGTGCTCTAGGGTATTTGCTGACGCTGCGAGTATGGCAACAGATTCTTCTTCACGGATTCCGAAGCGCAAGATACCTCCTCCCCTCAACGTATACCCTATTACCACCCCTCCCAGTCTTTGCATAGAAGCAGAACGGCACCTATAGTTCCTTGGAGGATCCCTCAAAATACCCAACGGCGCCCTAGAGAGTGCAGCAAAACACAGGATCCTAAATGCCTTTCGAACCCTCCCATCATTTCTGAGGGTAAAGAGGATCTTGGGGTGGATCTGATGGCACGCTTCCTGTACAAGTCTCCGCTCAACAAGAGCGATTACAATCTAGCTAAATTCAATCGACGAGTTGAAGAAACGAAATACAGAGCAGGGAGCCAACAGGGAGGCGGCCTCGTTCGACAATTCCGCAAGAGTAGCACCAGAGCTGCAGCTACTCCCTAAAAAGCTCAAGATCTCGGCCAGCCCCCCAAGGGACATATCGAAAGCACTTCAGAAAGTACTATAAACTATAACAGCCTCCTAAGCGTAAGGCTGCTTCTGTGCTAAATTAAAAACACCCTATTGCCTCTAGCAGCTTGAGAGATGGGAGATGCTCTATAATTGCCGTTGCCAGATCCATATGAACAGCTAATACAGTCTCAAGCACTATGGAAAGACGCAGGGAGGGAAGTTCTCCCTTGCGTCCCACCTCTGTCCATACATACCCCTTGACCAAGACCGATATCATACCGCCTCCCCGCTCGGTTGCTTGATAAAAGGGGAATGACTTCCAACGCTTCTTCTAGCACGGCCACACCGGACTCACCGCCTATCTAGCACTCCCAATCGTCAAAGTTCACGTCATAAACCTCCGTGTTATCAACCATAGACCATAGGTCCGATTCCTACTCATCGACGCCCCGTCTGACTGTCGTCTGAGACAATCTGCTGTCATCACTGGAGAGCATGAGAATATTGGCGGCAGAGGATCGCTTACAAAGGCCATCAATGTTCATCCCGGCCAACCGAAAAAAAAGCGCGGATGGAGTGACAGAATTTGGGGTGTGGTGATCACATTGCTGATGCCCTAGAGAACGACCAGTAAGCCCTCATCGCGTACCACTTCATCGTCAAGGAGCAGGCCCATCTGCGAAATGAAATATTCTGTTTCAGCCACAAGACATTGTTCGCCTACGGCTAGAGTGCCGTCACCGACAGCTCGGCGGTTATTGGTATATTGACATTTTCACTGTTATACACCGTGACTATAGATTTACTGCGCGTATGGTACGACGCACCCTGAAATGTGACTTGAAATAGTTGCGAGATGTAAGTGTTGCGTGCGAGTGCGTAGGGGTGGTGGATGTTCCCAGTATTGAGAGAGTAAAGGGAGCGATTACAATTCTACAGGACTATACTCGCTCGTGCTTCGATATGGCATTTGCTAGATCCACGGATATCAAGGTATTAGCTTCCAACTGCGCAGTGAGACGAAGGCCCTTAACATGCCGTCATCACCACCTCGCACACAACGCTGCCGTCTTTCTTCGATTCTCAGGCCGAAGCCGATGTCACCGATTCGCCTCGAAATGGTCACCTAACGTTCGACTACGAATCCAAAGACTGTATCAGACTCCGAACCGATGCTCGCACCTCTCTACATATTTCTGATATTGCTAATGGCCCTCATTGTCCAGAATTCTACACAAGTGCCAGTAGTTCTCTCCGTGGAGTGGTGTGCTTCGCTCCCTTTTAGGGTGTCATTGCCACTTTAGGTGACGCTGATTGGCTCTTCACAGGGGAGATTGATTTCTGCTTCGCTCTCTTTGGTGGAGGGAGAGTAATAGTCAGATCCGTAGATGAAGGCCCTCACGGGGTCTTTCTGCTCAACTGGAAAGATGGTCTTATCGACGTTTTTCTTCTATCAATTGGTTAAATCTTGAGATTCTCGCCTCTGGACATGACTTTCTGCATCGAGTCGCCTGTTCTCGCAAAGTATTCCTACCTGAGCCAGAATGACCTTGTGTACTTTGTATTCTTCACCGCCGCAAGCGATGATAAAGTCGGTGTAGATGCTATTCGGTTAGAATCCATAGAAAGAATTAGATTTATGGTTTCGCTTCTACCAAGCAGATTGCGAACAGAAAGGCGAACTGTTCCGCTAGATAGAGTGCCCACGCCCATCCTTACCTGTTTCGTTATTCTTGCAAGAGGATGTCTTTAATTTCTGGTGGGATTGGAGAGAGTTTCTTGAGGTGGGCGTGTGGTGAAGTTAGATAAAATTTTATTTTGCTTTGGGGATCAAACGCTGTCCAATGCGGCTGAAAAGATAGTATAAACTGCTAATCCGTACTAGCCTAGTCATCACAGAGTGAACGCCTACAGAAGCCAAATGCGCTTTTACATTTAGAAGGACATAGAAGTGTACAAGAAGAACTGCTGCATCCCCCCCTCCTTTAGGACATCAGCCCTTGTGGAATAGTAGGAGAAACGATCCCATCCTCTGGAACTCTTCCTGGAAACAGAGGACGGGTAGAGTGAACACAGACTTCAGTTCAAACCCAGATAGACCCAGCCTCTACGTGTCCACAATTGGCCCAACCCCTCTCGCCCCACTATGCACTGCAACACACAAGCCCCTCATACACCCACAGCTCGAAATCTCCGGCCACCCGCATACGCTTACTCCTCCATTTGGACAAGCATCGGCTTTTGTGAACACAGCTTTAGAATTGGCGCAGACGGGATAGTAACCACAGCAGTTACCGCGATTGACGACGGCGCAGTCCGTGGAGACTTCGCAGGCGTAGCGGGTGTCGAATTGGGTTGGCACTGGAGTAGCAGTTGGGCTATATTTACCTCGTTAGTATATCTTCTACTAAACATGCGAGATTGATTTGACTATCTTACACAATAGGGTTTGCGGTGACGAGGCTAGCAACCAGTGCCAAGGCAACAAAGGTGGTCTTCATGATGAGTGTGATATTGTTCGTAGGCCGATAATCCAGCGTAGCTTGTGTCAGAAAGATGAGTCGAAGTTGGGAGACGAAGCTAAGCATTCATATATGTCTCTCACCCACACCTTATACTTATATTGTCGTGCCATCTGTGCAATCTAATGGGCCACCTGGTCTCTATTTCACGTGATCGTTCCACGCTACCCTAGCATCTCGGCTCATAAGAACCCAACACTCTTTAATATCTCAATATCCAACACGAAGGCTTGTTGCACATTGTACAGAAAATGTGCAGAGGAATGCCCGATGAAATTAATTCTCGACGAGGATTTCATTCGTGTTCATCTAAGGTTGTAAGAATTGCGAGATGCAGGCCCGGTAGAATTCCCCATGGGGCGGGAAGTGGCGTTTCTATTACCCGGGTTTCCGACCATGTGCGAGATCAGGGTTTGTCTTGTTCGTAGAATCTTGGCATCGGAAGAACTAAAGTTCGGGGAAGCATGTGGGATTTCATAAGGGCGGACTCGGAACAATTCACCATGGGTTGGGAGGTGGCGTTCCTATGACCGGGTTTCCGACAACGCGTCCAGCTCGAAGGCTCTTGGCAACTGAAGAACTACAGTTCGGGGGACACGTGGGACGTGAACACGGCAAGTTTGGTGAGTGGCGCTCAAAATAGAGTCTGATTTTGGTAGGACATGTGAACTCTCTCTTGCCTTTCTCTAATTCTAGCAGGAAAATTCATAGAATTATATCCTTCCTCTTCCTGCTCCACAAGAGTAGAGAATACACTGGCGCACGGCCTCATCAAAATGGATAGCAGAATAATGAGTGAGGGGAAGTCGACGACAATGGCAGTAAGTGACCATGTCTGCTTACCAGCCGCACTGTTCAAGTCTTACATGAGCAAGCCAAATGCTAGGTCATTGAACTTGATCATCAGCGCCTTGACCTCCGCCTTCTTGATCAGTTTGCAATGGCCGGAGAGGGTGTTGTACACGATGTCCCGAAGTATCTTGTTGTTTTCTAGGTGGTGCAGAAGGCCTGGTCGGGAGCGACAGAAAACTTGGCGTCACTCCAGAAATGCTCGCAGGTAGTACCAAACTTCTCTATACTGAGATCCTTCAAGCCATCAATATCATATTTACCCGCAATTTCATATACCTTCCCGCGCGTGAGGAGTTTCCTGGTGTTTTCAGGAACCCGTGGTGACAGGCAACATTGCTTACAGATACATCCTTTGTGGTTATATGCACATATGTCCCCACAAACATGATGCGAGCAAAAACATAGCCGATAGTAGGGGGACCGGTTTTCGGTGCGGCTGTACGAATACTTGTAGTAGTGCCCGTTATTGGGACGAGTAGGCATCCAGTGAGCTTAGGTAGGGAAAGGGGGGTCATATTCAGCTCGATCGATATTCAAACAATGAGCTTGGCGATCGCCGGTTCATCAACCGATAAGTCGACCATATAATCATCTGATTTCTCAAATATGGGTCAGGTGAATTGTTGAAAACTATCGAGTTTGGCATGGCTTTCCAACCGTGAACAAGATTGTCTTGCGAAGAGCGCCCAACGAGGATAGCCGACTGCTTTGTGGACTTGGTAGGTACTGTTGTGGCAGGTAATGATGAAGTCGTAGTAATCGCCAGTGGTGAGCCTTGGACGAATAGCGGGATCAGGAAATATGATTAGTGGATCGCACACCCTGTGGTGGAGGCCAGCAAGCGCCAGCAAGAAGCGTCAGTCATTGTGGTTGCAGAAAATTGAATGGGTTGTTGTGGAGATGAAGGTAGCTCTAGCAGATTTGGCGGCGTTAAGTCTTCGTGGAAACTCAGAAAAGCTGGGACTCGAATAATCGAAGGGTTCCGAGACGATTCGGTTTGTTTGCATTTGGTAATAGATTCACAGGCGGTTTACACTGTCTAGTGGTTAATTGAGGGGTTACTCCTGAACCAAGGTAGTGAGTGATGACTGTACGCAAAGAGAACCCTCTCTTTGAAAGCAGGGGAAGTTCTAATACAGGCATTAAGGTGCACCTTTGCTTGCTAGAAATGACCGTTCAAGCCGGTAGTATGTTCTAACTTGACACCGACGTTGTTGAGCTAAGCGGAGAGTTAGAGTGTAGAACATTTGTATTATTTGTGGACTTTCGACGGTTAATATGATGGTGAATGGGATTTCACTGGCCTGCAAAGCCAAAGCCATTGGCGGCTGAGAACGGTGCAGTCGCATCCTGCATCGAGAAGTCCACCAGCAGATTTTCCCAAGCCGACCAATTCATCTGATCCGGATCGAGAGGAGGTAGGTCAGGAATAACAGGAGAGATATCAAGGCTGGCGGCAAGCTCAGGATTCCACTGGAAAGACTGGAGAGGGTCAACTTTCTGAGTAACACTCTCGGGAGGCAAGTTCATCCCATCATCGAGAGATGTACTTGCAGGATACTGAGTCGGAGGGAGCTCCGACTGCTCAGAAGGCGTTCTCGAGGACTTAGCCTTCATCCGTTGGGACCGAAGGACCTGGATGAAATATGGTTCACCTCCTTCCGGCATTCCGCGCGCTGTCAAATATGCATCCCATGCCTTGAGCGTTAAATTGCCGATGGCGATAGGGAGTGCTCTCTTTGACACCTCTTTATTAAAGTTAGGATGAAAGTCAAATACCATTTGGACCTTTTTCCATGCATCGTCCGCTAGGGGAGCCTCAGTGCGGTAGCGGAGCTCCGAGATCAGGTAGATTAACGCCTTCCATTGGAAGTGCATGTTGACATGCCACAGGAAGCCTTGCATCTCCTTGGTTGTATACGCCAGAATTTGGAATGAGCATACTTCAAGGGAGATGTTGAACAGCACATCCCTTTCAGCCTGGGCCATCTTAGATGTCCCATTAGTAGATACTTCCGAATTATGGGCCATGAACCGCATCATACAAATAAGGGCCTTTACGAGGTAAGAGCACATGAAGTGCCACGGGATGGAGCGATCGCAATACTGGAGGAATTTGTGGTGGAGCATCGCCTCGAGTTCATCAATGGCTTTGTCCTTCGCAGCAACGTTTATTGAAGGAGAGCTCAACCTGTTCCAGGCGCCATCGAAGTTGTGCAAAGGTGTGCCGATAGTAGCCGCACGTTTTAAGAATTGTCCACCATGGCATCTGATAAGGAAGTGCATCATTTCGGTTGCTCCTTCATGCTCCTTGGGTATTTCCTTCATGCCTTGGAAAAGATCACTGTCGTTCAGATTCGAAGGCATCTTGGTGTCTCCCATGAAGATTTTGCTTCCAGTACCGGCCAGCTTTTCGGCGAAACCTTCGAGGAACATAATCTGCCACCACAAGCGCCTTCGCATTTCAACTTCAAAGGGAGGGAGTCCGAGTATTTCGCCATCTCGATGGAGGCCTAGTCGTTGGCCAATTCGGCCTGCTATTCCTGTGAGTATGAAGATGACGCGAGCATCGTAGTTTTGCAGAGAGAGCTAGATTACTGTCAGCGCCTGTGGGATGAGAAGTAAAAGGAAGGGGTGTGCTTACTAGAAACAGAACGAATGCCTGGAGAACCATCAGGTCGGAAGATTTGAGGAAGTTGGCATTGATTAAAGCATGCTGGGCGGCTGACCGGAATCGTTGAGTGACAATGGCCTTGGGCTCGCCCATGATCGCGTCGCATTCGGCGTCTCCGATTGACCCAAGAGAGATACAATATATGCCAAACAGTAAGGCTTCGATGTTTTTTGGAATTTCATCCAGGTTCCCACTGGAATTAAGAATTTGTTGCTGAACTGTGGGCGTGTGAAACACCTTGACGAGAGGGTTGATGTTGTCAAGGTATGTCTGCCAGAGTTTGAAGACTTGTACGGGCTGGGGATGAGCATGGCGAAGGTTCGTTGCCGACTTTGCAATACCAAAGAGTAGATTGCTTCCGTCATTTGAGAATGCTACGGGCGATGAACCGCTCGAGTCCTGGAAATCCTCCTCTTCGGAAGATTCCTCTAAAAGCTCCTTTGAGTCTCGAAACTCTCCCCTCAAGCTTGTCCACAGCTGGTTCTCTAGATATCTTGACTTTCCGTCTCCTGAGATGAGAACACCTGCATCCGAGTTTCTACGTCCATGTTGAGCCCTTTCTGCATCTTCTTCAAAGAAGGTGTTCTCCACCAAGGATGCCCTTCGAACCTGCAGTTTGTGAAGCTCTTCCCTTTCCAGGTCGGCGGGTTCGACACCCAACTTCCGCAGCGCGTCTTCGTACAGTCGCAACCTAGCATGGACATCAATCTCCCGGACGCCCTTTTTCCTCCTCCGTGGAGGCGGAGGTGTCTTGTATATGCATTTGACGCGGGCTTTCGTGCAGTTTCCACAACCACCGGGGCTCTTGTCGCATTTGACCTTCCGTGAAGCGCATAGAACGCAAGAGAAGCTCTTTTGAATAGAAGGATTCGGCGCGACTGGCCCTGACGACTCGGGCGACGTTGCGATCGAGGAGGACGAAGGTAATGGAGAGGCCATCAGGCGAGCGTTTCACGGACGATCGAGGTGCGTGTTGGGGATGAGACTGTAAGGAGGTTCACATACCTCGATAAACAGAGCGTGCCCCACTCTAAGGGCAAACGGTAATGTATGGAGTGGCAGCCTTAACACGGAAAGGAAGCTGGGGTTCAAGTGTCCATGCGTTCGGACACCGAGTGTGGCACTGTGGCTTAAGGCCGAGCGCACTTCCGACGCACCCCACATTTGGTTCCATGATACGAATTTAGATGGAGGCCCCAGTTTAGAACAGAGAATGTTGTTAAACCACTGTGTGGACTCCTAGAATACAAGTTGGCGTTGCGTGGGACGAGTTTTCCTAAGGAGCACTCCCAGCCAATCGCTGGGAAGGTTGTTGAGTTGGGCTGACGATAACAATTTCGTCGATGGCACGCGACCTCAAATAACCAACTTTCCCTTCGTTAGAACCTGGACCAAGACGTCTATGAAGACTGACATTTTTTTCAATACCTCCTGCAGCTGTACTTCCCATCTTTCATTAACTGTACCTTCCTCTTACTACCTGCAATGATCTTGGCGCGAAAGCTTAATTCGATCTGATCCTCATTTTCTTGCACCCCCGCAAGCTCCCTTTCACCCATCCTCCAAGATGTGGCCGCCATCTTACAGCGCAATTGCCAGAATCACAGGAAAGTGCTCCTTAGCGTGAGGTTTGATGACCCCCATTGCCATCGCACCCCGCACCATCCCGGTTCAAATAGACGCGATCTCGGCTGATGAACACTGGCTGAGATATGCTTCCTCCAAGCGCCTATTATTTTTCCCTCTCATCCTAATGCCCCTAGTCATTTTATCAAAATATTTATCTTCTGCAACATAATGCCAAAATCTTCTGTCCATCAAGTGCCTGTCTCGAGCCTTCCTGGTTCCTTGCCGAGCATCAATATGCCGTTGGATACAGATCCTAAATTGGTAGCTTCATCGATTCCCTTAAATCTCGAAGGTCTGAACGAGAGCAACTTGGCCCAAGAGGCATTGTGGAGGGATTCTTTCGCTTTGACTGGGACCTTGCGAACCCTCTATTCCCCTGCCTGCATCATTCCTGTATGGCGAGAAGTATGCAACAGAAGGAGCCCGACATCTTTCGAATTGAAGATCCAAAGTGCGAATATAGTTCGGATCGGAGAGCTGGCATCTTGGGTGGATGCTCCTTTCACTTTCAAGACTGCTTCAACTCCCAGGACGACATGTAGTGGGATTTTTTCGCTCGTGCCTGCCTCATCTGGGACCTGGAAGATATGGGTAATAAGGACAATACTTGAGCAACTAGACGGGGAAAACGATGTCGACAAACTTCGAGCTTGCGAGCAACCCTTTAATAGGACGATGTCTACGCTAAATGCAAACTGTACCGCAAACGGCGAGGACAATCCATCCAGTTTTGATGTTGTAATTGTCGGTGGAGGGCAAGCAGGCTTGAGTGTTGCTGGCAGAATGAAAGCGCTAGACATATCCTACGTAGTGATGGAGAAAAATCAAGAAGTAGGCGACAATTGGAAACTCCGGTATGGATCGGCCAGACTTCATACTATCCGCCAGTATTCCCATCTGCCGTTTAACCGCACCTTCCCTTCTCATTACCAAGAGTGGTTGACCAAAGACGACTTGGCACAAGGCTACAAGGACTGGGTAAAGACTTACAATATTAACATTTGGCTTTCAACTAGACTTTTGTGCGGTAAATGGGACCATACGTCCAGGCGATGGACACTCCAAGTTCAGCGAGATGGTTCGCATCACGAAATCAGCTCATCTTATGTTATTCTCGCCGTTGGAGCTGGAGGCCAGATTGCAGTGATGCCAGACTATCCGGATCGCGATCATTTCAAAGGAACAGTCCTGCACTCTGCTGAATACACAGATCCTTCAAGCTTTAAGGAAAAGAATGGCATTGTAGTCGGCACCGCAAACACCGCGCATGATGTCGCAGAAGATATGCTCGTGGCTGGACTCGCCTCTGTGACCATGGTTCAACGATCTCCAACCTACGTCCTCCCGTACGAATATTACCAAAGAGTCCAAGAGCTTCTATACAATGAAAATGTCAGTACTGATTACGCAGACCGCATGAGCTTCTCCAACCCGCTTTCGATCAGCCGACTACTCGCTCTCACTTGCTTACACGCAGCTGCTCGCGAGGAACCAGAGCGGTTCGATGCACTTGAAGCATCTGGCTTCAAGTTGGAGAGGTACGGCGACATCACCCATTATATTTACGAGAGAATGGGTGGTCATTATATGGATGTCGGGGCTTCGAAGAAAATTGCAGATGGTTTGATCAAGATTAAAACAGATGCTTTGCCTGTCAGGTACACGCCCAATGGGTTAAAATTCGAGGACGGAGAGGAGCTTCCCGCAGACCTTATTGTGTTTGCGACCGGATTTGAGAGAAGCATGACGAGAGTCGTTCGGCAATTCTTTGGTGAGGATGTTGCGCAGCAGGTAAATGATTTCTGGGGAGTCGACGAAGAAGGGGAATTGATAGGAGCCTTCAAACCAAATGGGCGTGAGTTGTGGACGAAACTCTATCACATATGAAGAAACTAATAATGGAGTAGATCCCGGGCTTTGGTATCACGGTGGTACTCTTGGGCATGCAAGGTACTGTTCCCGGTTTATCGCGTTGAGCATTCGCGCGATGCTGAACGAGAGCCCCATTCCTGTTTACGGGCGCAATGGTTATGATGACCCCTTTAATGTCTAACAATGCTTTATCGTAGAGATTGTAGCCTTGAGGGTGTCTTAAGTCAATTAAGAGGACAATTGTGAATCCACCTGTAGTTAGTTCCTAAACCTACTTCTCCCGTAACCTCCGCACGCCACAATATCATACCTTAATTCTAACAAAATATATTGCAGCTTCGGGCTGTCCTAGTGTTTCAAAAGAGTTGTTTCCCAATACCTTATCTCCTACATCGCATTCCTAGGTTCTCTCGTGTTGCCAGGTCTTAACCGCATTCCTCGGCCTTTGCGCGTACAACAAGAATGGAAGATACTGAGCTGAACTCAGCAAGCTCCCTCAATCATGCTCATCAAACACATCAAAGAGTAAACTTCTACTGGCCTTTCTCAAAGTGGAGCCCTGTAGCTAATTTAGCCTTTGCAGCACCGGCATCGACGAGAAAATTTCCGACCTCACAATCATCTGCGGAGGCTTTTACTGGTAACTCCAGAAAGCCATCGTATGTTCGCAATCAGAATACATTGAAGAATTAGTTGAGCGAACTGTACATGTAATTCTTAGCCCGCTAGAACTAGGACTGAGAGGCTAAGGCTACACTCTAGCAAATGAACTCGAGCAGCAGGTCTGAAATCAGGCTTAATGACGATCCCCGCGAAGTCCACAACGCCATACAATTCCTCTACAACGCTGACTACGAGATCCCGCCACCATCCTCACACAACAATAGAACGCGAGTACCCCCTCCAAACTACCCACATTGTCTATCACTCTTAGACCTTGTCGACGACTACTCGCTCTTGATAACACCATCCAACACCTCTGTAGTCGATCTCCGTGACCTCGTAACAGCTCTGCTCGAACTCTACGCATTCGCACCCAAACAATCCCTCACAAAGTCCTCCGAGAATACCCTCAAAATAGTATCCAGCACAACGCATTGCCCCCATAGCTTCCACGACTTCCTGAAATGCTATGGTCTCAATAGACAACGCGTCGAACTTAACCCAACCCATCTAATCCCGCACGCAAAGATCTACGCAATTGCGGGGAAGTATGGAATTCCTTCGCTCCAAGATCTTGCACGCGATAGATTTTCGCTGTTGTTGCATAATTATTACGAGAGCGTTAATTTTGTTGACATCATTTGGGAAGTGTTTACATCTACTAATGACGAAGATCGAGGTCTGAAAGATGTTGTGTTGGATGCCTTGGAAGATCGTCCGGAACCTATGCTTGATGAGGGTGTGTGGGAAGTTATGAACAGATGTGTACCTGGCTTTGTCAGATGGGGCGCATGGGCGCGTTTGGAGGATGCGAATGTAGTTTGAGATTTCTTGGTAGCGAGATGATGGTCGGGTGCTAACTCGCTAGCTTCGCTTGACTCTCTATTCTGAACCTATCCTTGGCATTGAAGTTATCGAGGTTAAACTTGCCGCGTAAGGAAAAGCAGGAAGAGGCTAGAATGGAAATACTTGTGGAAGGAGTGTTGGGCAAGGAATAGCCAGTCTGTTAAATCGTTACTATCTTGGTATAAGTGTGATAAATGCTTGAGTTTGGGTAGATAGTGATGTAATATGTTGAGTAGAATTAAAGGAGAAATTCACTTGCATTGCAAACTTGAAGTTACATTGCATATACTACACCGTGGAAGCAAGTACTCAAATATTAAGAGACATGACAAGGTTTCCACCTGCAACAAAGGATTGTGCGAACTCTACTTAGATAGGAATATTCTATCTCCAAGTGGATTTGAGCCCTATGTTTGCATGTACTGTACCTAGAACAACTTTGAACACATCGGTGAATTGAAGGTGGGGTTCATCAACCTGGTGGCCACACACTTTTTGCAGCAGTTGTATTCGGATTATTAAGCGCTATATCACTAATCGCGCGCCCCAATCAATGTTGCATCGCACCCTTAAACTTCGGCTGGCAACTAACGGCATGATCACTTCATAATGGGGACTATAGTCATGGAGAGAAACAGAGATTCATTTACCAATGCTTCTCCGCCTTTCTATTTATCCGGGAGATGCTTCAGAGATCACTACGACTTCCACACGGAAATGAATCCTCACAAAGAAAAGAAATACATGTATGAAATGCCTCAATTGTGATCCAGCGCCCAATCCCAAGCCAAGCCATGCCAGTCAGCCGATCAATCAACCGATGATAAGACACATGCTACGAAGCGGTAATATCTGTGTATAATGACTAGCTTCCCTCAATATGCACAAATGCGAAGATAGCAGGGTATCGACGCTCCCAGTACCACACCATAGCCAGAGCACAAGCACAAGCAGATTGCAAATACGTGATGCGAGGTGCTTTACTCGCGAGCAGACTCCACACGCTCCATGACCTCCTGCATCAGCTCCTCCATCTCGTCGGTGACGAAGTCCTCGATCTCAGCTGCAAGCTTTTCGATCTTGCCCTGGAGACGGGATCCGCTCTTGGTGACCTTGCGGCCGAAAGATGATTCGATGGCCTTCTCCCACTCAGCCGAAGCCTCCTCCTCAAACTTGGAGAGGGAGGGGATGGTGATGGTGATGACGTCATCCTCTTCCTCCTGGATGGACTTGGAGGCAGCGTAGCCACCCCTGCTGATAATGTCAGTGTAGTTGGAGGAGCCACCGCCGTTCCAGGCGAGGATGTTCTTGGTGTTGCTGGGGACATCAGATAGGGCGCCCTCGGTGGCGATGGAGATCAAATTAGCTTTAAGCTTCTTGGGGGTGATGTCGGCGACTGCGTAGGCAGAGTCCTTGGCGGGTTGAAGAGAGAGCAAGTAGGCCAAAAGACCAGCAATGTGAGGAGAAGCCATAGAAGTGCCGGAGATAGTGTTGGTTGCGTGTTCAGATCCAATCCAAGTGGAGAGGATATTAAGACCTGGGGCAAAGATGTCGTTGCACTTTCCGTAGTTGGAGAAGTACGCACGCTCGTCAAGAAGGGTGGAGGCACCGACAGTGACGGCGTTCTCAGCAGCAGCGGGGGAGTAGTTGCACGAGTCGGCGTTGTCATTACCGGCGGCGACGGCGAAGTGAATACCAGCGTCAACAGCAGCATTAACAGCCAAGTCGAGGGTGGTGGACTTGCCACCTCCCAAGCTCATGTTCGCGGCGCTGCCCTTGAAGCCTTTCTTCTTACCCTTCTTGGCGGCTTCCACAGCCTCGTTGTGTGCCTGGACAGCGTATTCGACACCCTTGACGACATCCGACATGGTGCCAGAGCCATTGGAGCGGAGCACCTTGACGGCGTAGACGTTGGCCTTCTTGGCGACACCGTACTTCTTGCCAGCAACCGTCCCGGAGCAGTGGGTGCCGTGACCATTACCATCCTCATCGGCGTCGTTGGCGGGGATGGTCTTGCCCCAGTGGGCGCGACCCTCGAAGTCAACGTGCTTGGTGTTGGTGCCAGTGTCGATGACATAGACATCGACGCCCTCGCCGCCATCGGCAGAGTATAGGTACTTATTCCACGTTCCGAAGCTCAGGCTGTCACGATGCGAGATACGGGCGAGACCCCAAGGCGCGTTCTTCTCTGTCTCATAGGACTCCTTGCCATCCATGGTGTGGACCTCAGAGTCCTTCTCGATATAATCGACCTATCATCGCACACAATGTTAGCTTTTGTATGGTCTCGTGCAGTACCTGGATGGCGTAATATCACGTGCGATGGCACAGCGATTGCGCGGAGGTGGCGGCTTGGCGGAGTTGCCTACGGAGATAACACCGCGACTCGAGACGAGGAGTGCGACAATGCGAACACCCGCAAGTGCCCGATGCCGACGCTCTGAGGCCGTACCGTAATGAAATAGGGTATACTCACATCAGGGTGCCTCCGGATCTGCTCGATAGTCTCGTCGTCGAAGTGGCCAGAGTAGCCCATCAGACTACCGACAATGTTATATGTATGCTTAAGACCCTCGAATATGTCGGTCGTGACAGGGAACTGCGAGCGCTTCCGGAGCTCCATGCGCTCGTTCTGGCTCGCCGTGTGGATGCTCTGCACCCAGTTGTGATGACTCTTGGCGTCCTCGTGCTTGAGGTGCTTCTTGAACACGACCATGTACGAGTTGGGGATCTCCTTTGCCTGAGTCGAGGAGAAAACAGGGGCAGCGTCGTTATGGATCGTACCCACGTTCATGACAGGTGAGGCTGTCGCCAGCGCCGCCAGCAGCGAGAGGGGGGCACCGTACCTCATAGTGGCGGATACGAGCTCTCTCGGGTGTGAGAAACAAAGAAAACGGGGGGAAGGGAGGGTCAGCAGTGGGAAAAGAAGAAGATGTAATGGAAAGACACGGTAGCGATGACGGGAGAGGGGGAGGAGATGTTGGGGGAGGAGATGTTGGGGGAGGAGAGTGAGGGAGAGCTGCCGACGGATAGCTTGGAGGAGCTGTTCTTATCAACAGGCGCCAAGCTGGTCATGCGTCAACCGTCGGCCAAGGAACCCGCGGCTGTGCGACGGGGGCTGGGAGGAGTACTAGGCCGTGTTCGTCGCTAGCCGCCACTATGCTCATCCAGATGCCTCAGATGCCTCGTGAGCCCTAGCCAGCTCAGTCATGAAGCCATCATCTACAGCGTCCAGGTGAATTGTAGATCTTTATAGCTTCCGGAAGAGCTTCAGGAGGAGCTTCACGGCCCTTGCATGCATTGCCACTGCCTGTCTGTTAAGCTCGCGTCCAGTTCCAATCCACTGTTGCCTGCCTTGGGGGGGTGCTCCGCAGCCGCTGTATCAGACTCGGGTCCAAGCTCTCTTCCGTTCTAGCAACCTCACGGCTCCCACTCCCCTCGCCCGCCGACGTCGTCACGCCTGAGAGCCTACTTTCACTGCTGCCTCCCTCCAAGTCCTGCGTTCTCCTCCTCTCACTGATGCGTCCCTTCCCCAAAAAGGAGACATGACTCTGCCTTTCTCCCCGCAACTCCCTCCACAAAATTACCTCTGCGGCGGAGGACTCGAGCGACCATGCAATCCACAACGCGCCGCCATAGGTCGTCAACGGCCGCGTCGAGGATACCACCAATGAACAACCAGATTGCAGAGCTGCGCAGTCTTGCCGACGAGCTCATCGAGGCTTCCGAGACCCGTCCACCGACCTCCGATATCCTGCAGTCCCAGAGCAACGCCCTGCGCCGCATGCGCCAGCTGCTAATAGAGTCGCACGAGCAGACCCAGACAAAAGATGCATTTCGCCATATACGGGGCTTTGACGTACTCCTTTCTACCCTTCGCTCCGTCTCCGGCTTCTACAATCCTCTCAGTCTGTCTGTGGTAGATCGCGTAGATTTCTTCGAAGTCATAAAGGCAACCCTAGACGTGCTGTCAGAGGCACTGAACGAACACTCTGGCAACGGACGCTTCTTCGCAAAGCGCGTCGAGGCTGGAGGCTGGAGTGCACTGGAGCAAGCATTGGGCAGCACTGGAATATTCGGCGGGCACTCCGACAGTAAGCGGGACGATGCAGGGCAGGAGCAGCTCTTTGGCTGTCTGTTTGCCTTTGCTTTGGGTGAGGAGGCCATGACGCGCATTTTTCGAGACATCGACAAGATCGGGGAGGCTCCACCAAAGCAGCAATTACAGAGTGCTGCTGCAGATTGCCCACTGCCGTCCGCGGAGATTGTTGTCTCATCCCCCAAGTCGACCAATAGCGAGTTCGACGTGGACCTGGACGCGCTTCGGAACCAACTGCAATGCATCTTTAGTGGGAATGAGGTGTTGCAGAATCCCGATATCATCCCCATCATTCTCCACTTCTGGTCGGGATTATCAGGCCAATATTCTCCTGGAACAAGGTCCAAGCATTTGTCTGTATCCGTTCTTCTCGCCATTCTCCAGATTTCGACCATCTCTACTTACAACCAAGCTGCACTGCATGTCACCGGGCTTCTCAGTGACCTACTTCCTCTGCTGTTCGAAAACAAGTGCGGCACAGTGGAAACACATCTCCTCCGCGAACTTGCTGATCGGTTGATGGAATACGGCATCAATAAACTCGACGATGCATACTATCTATTCCGAACAGCTACTACTTCAGAACAAGCTTCAGAGTTTCTCCTGCAAGGAATGCAAGCGTCAAGAGGCCCGCCATTCATTCAATTCGATTTATCATTACAGGGTTTCAGTGCCATCGAGCTGAAAGAGCTTGGCCGTCCTTTCCCGCCTACTGCCCCCGGTAGCGGCTACACATTCACTGCCTGGATACGCGTCGACGAATATGACCCCAACTGTCATACCACCATCTTTGGCGCCTATGATGAAACACAAACGTGCTTCCTGATGGCTTACCTTGAAAAAGATACCCGTTGCTTAATTCTTCAAACATACATGGGCCACTCAACTGGTGTTGTCCCTAGCGTTCGGTTCAAGAAAGCTCCTGCATTCAACGAGGGCCAGTGGTACCACATTGCTGTCGTGCATCGCCGCGCTAAAGGTATTGGTATTGGAGCCCACAAAGCATCGCTTTATGTTGATGGCGAATTCACCGAGACTATCAAGGCACACTACCCCTCCCCTGCACCATTGATGAACACGAGCCATGAAAGCTTCGCTTCTATAACATCTAACAGCCAGAGACACTATCCGATTTGTGCCTTCCTGGGCACGCCGCGCAACCTGGCTCCCCGCTTGGGAAGAAATGTTCTTTGCTCAAAGATATCGCTGGCCTCGTTCCATCTGGTCTCAGAACCGCTTTCGGACGAGCTCATCGCAGTCTATAATAAACTGGGTCCACGCTATTGCGGTAACTTTCAAGATAGGCTGGGCTCCTTCCAAACTTATCGAACCTCGGCCGAACTTCATGTGCAGAATGAGATCCTTCATCCTGGGAAAGAAGAGCACTCCGACATCGTTGCCGCCATTCGCTCGAGAGCAGGGCAACTTTTGCCAGAGTCTAAGATCCTGCTGAGTTTGTCCCCAACCTCGGTCATGGACGATGATGATCGAAACAATGTCGATGAATCACAGTTAATCCGGTCGCTTTCTAAAGACTCTGCGCGAGCGCTGCACAGGTATACCAGGGTGCATGGCACGCCTATTATCATAAACGCCGCTGTTCCATCAGTGAACGACGCTTTGTCTCAATCTCGTGGGTTTGGCCGATTGTCTGGTGATCCAGTTGTTGTCGTGCCCCAGGCACTCGATGACGCGGTTTGGAGGATTGGGGGTTGCGCCGCCGTAGGCCTTAAGCTTGTCCAGGCAGCGCGGAATCTGAACAGCGTGCTTCGTGCTGTGAAGATCCTGCTTGAATCAGTTGAGGGGAACTGGCGCAATTGCGAAGCCATGGAGCAGAATAACGGCTTTGCAGTCCTCGCCGAGGTACTCCGTCAGAAGGTCGGTTTCAGTGCGATGTCACTTGCAACTCGCAAGACCTCAGAAATCGACATGACCACAGAAGAGTGTGAGAGCTTCCTATCTCAGCTTCTCCGCGTCATTCTCCGCTTCGTGGGCTATGACGAGGAACATCCGGCGGAGTCTCTCATCATCAACCCTTTGGCGTATCGGGTCCTTCTTGTAGACCTCGAGCTTTGGCGGCAATCAACATCTCTCGAGACCCAAAAATTATACTATGCGCAGTTTGCCGATTTTGCTCGAGGAAGCAAACATCACCACTACAATGCGAAGCGGTTCCATAGAATACGTAAGTCTCTGTCCCTGCTGAGAACTTTGGCTGATCATTAGATAGGGGTGGTCAAGCGGCTTACCGACGCTCTCAAGGGAGAGACCTTCTCATCTCAAACATTTCCGTTCTTCCTGGATGCTTTTAGGGTGCTCCTTCAAATTAACTTCAATGGGGAAAATGCTCGATCTCTATCATTGTTCATCACATACGCATTACATGATAGCCGGGCCGCATTTGCCAAACGAACCTTGCGCCCGAAAGCGAGCACAATGCGACTTCGCCGGGGTACTCCTCCCACCATGACTCCGGGATCTACCCCACGATCTGCGAGTCCTAGCCAAGATCCAAATATGCCTCCAGGCATTCCCCTTCCAGAATTGGGCGTGGCGATTCTTGGGATGCTGACTGAGCTTCTCTGCGATAAATCTAACTACAACGACATTCTGCGCTTTGCAAAGAATGTGACTGGCAAGGTAGGAAGACTTATCCGCATTATTGCCGAGTATCTGCTAATATCTGTTATAGTGGCTTCTATACTTGCTAGCAGAGCCAGACCAGCGCGTTGTAATCTTAGGTGCAAGGATACTGGCTCGCCTTCTAGTCTCTAACGGACCTCATTTTGTAAAGAAATTCTCGGAGAAGAATGGCGGCTTCGTCATGATGAAGAACAGGCTGAAGCACTGGTGGAATACTCCTGGAATCTGGACAATCTGTTTCGCCATACTTTTCGATCGCGATGTCGCCGGAATTGACTTCGAGAGGGATTTTGATGTCTTCAATCTTGTTGACATCTTCATAACCCATTCTCCTCACGCTAAGCTAAGGGTCATCTACTCCGAAGTTTTCCCAGTTATTACCGCGATGCTGGAGACTGGCCTGCGTGCCATTGTTCGTGACCAAGCCAAGCCGGAGAATGAGACACCAAAGGTACAGAATGGCGACGCCCCTGTTTCCCGAGGACGACGCCGGACAATGTCTCTGAATGCAAAACAGCCAACAATAGGTACAGTCTGCCGTCTTCCCTTTCCAAGGAATATGCTCATTCGTTTAGATTCCAAGAGTCCCCAGTCAGAGCGTCTCAATAACTTTGCCGTCATCCTCAATTCAGCGATACAGTTCCTTTCTGAGCTCCATTCACGATCAGAGAACTTCCGTGACTTTACCAGCTCTTCCAACTACGTCCAGGAGTTGTTGTTTGTTCTATATCCAGTCATTGTCACTTCAGACAGTGTGAGCGCTGAGACGGAACTGCTCTCTAGGGGTTCCGCTCTGACTTTTGAGGGCCAGGATGTGGTTATACAACCTCTGTCCAAGGCTAATAGTCAACAGGCCCCCATTGTTCGAACGACAAATGTCCAGCCGACTCTTCCGACTTCCTCCTCACAGCGCGTTATTCCGTTCCGACGAGCTTCGTCCTTCGTCCTCGTTTCGGCAGATAAGTCGAATAGGAACCGGCAGGCACCTCGCCTCAATCCCACCCTGGACTCTACTAATAGTGGTCCGATTCCTTTCAAGATTGGCAGCACCGTCGCAGAGGCTATGGTCGAGGTTGTTCAAGGTGTTTTCCAAGATCAGCTATTTTATCGAAAAGACTTTCCGGGCCTCGGCTTGTTCCTCAAAACCCCACCCGGATTTCAAGAGCACCAAGCTTATTTTGAGACCTACATCCTCCGTCACACCATATCAAGCGTCAAGAGCGCTATCCAGTTGGATCAAAAGCTGCTTCATGAACCTCGTGTGCTCACCAACCTAGCCCGTTTTGTGACCCACATATCTGAGGCTGTATTCGAAGGTTGGTTTCTTGGAGGCGCCGAGTCGCTCCTAGACTTTGCCGGATTCCTTTTAGAATACCTTGAGCGACCAGATGTATGCAAAATCAAATCGGTTCGGCTTTGTACACAAGCAGTAGGGACAATTCGTGCTGTATTCCTCCGTGTTGTGCTTCTGCGCCTTGCACAGGCAGACGATACAGAAGATGCGAGTGACGCAATTATGGTCATCGAGAAAATGGTGTACTGGCAGCCTATCATTCTCTCAGCAGAAAACACCGAAGGCCATTTCCTAAAGTTAATCTGTTATCTGCTCTATCAAAAGCTCACCTCTTCACATGACGCGGTCCGCTTGGCCGCTGCTAATTTCTGGAGGCTGTTATTGGTTCAGAAACCAGAAGATGCATCCGCAATACTCAGCCATGCCATGCATTCGGGTAAAAAGGAGCTCTACGAAGGATTCCAGAAACTGGTTGAGTTGGACAACGAGACTTTCCTTGTTTGGCTTGACAACAACAAATCAGATCTCGATGCCTTCTTCTCTGATACTATGGCTAAAGTGTGGGAAGACTTTCTACAGGATCAAAACAAGAAAATCGAGGATATGCGACAGAAGCGAATCGAAAAGCGACGGGAGAAGCTAAAGCAGTGGCAGGCGGATGAACTTTTGAATGAAAATCTCTGGAGTACTCATGAGAATTCAACCAACCATTGGCGATCTAACATCCACGCTTCCGAGCGCATCAAACACCAGCGTGTTTTGCAAGATCAACAAGACAATACCACCTTCTTGTCTTCGGTCATGGCCAAGTTGGAGAAGCAAATTCGGGGACCGTGTGCCCTCTTCGAGGATAGTCCCGCATCAAAATGGCGCCTCGATGAGACAGAAGGCCGAGATCGTAAGCGTATGCGCACCATTATAGATAGCACAAACCGAGACCAAAACTATCAGCCCAAGCGCAAGGATACAGATCCTGTGACCAAAGATCGATTAAAACTTGACACGGCAGTTCCGAGCATTTCTGCGAAAGATGCTGTTGGTGTTACACCGATTGATCGGGAGGGTATACGACCTAGGTCCGGTACAGATGCTTCGAAGCATAGCGCTAAGAATGATTCCGAGTCTGATATTGAAGAAGATTTTGAGATGGTCGAGGCCATGTACGAAGATGAAGACGGGTTCGAAGACAAGAATCGCAAAGTCATGCGGAGCTTACAGCGCGGTGACCAGGTTCAGTATGTTTGCAATGTCTCTCGGGTTGTGGGCCTAGAAGCCGTCGAAGGGCTGCTCATTGTTGGAAAAGATTGTCTCTATCTTCTCGACGACTTTTTTCAGAGGTCAGATGGAGAAATTGTTCGTGTGTGGCAGGCACCGACCGATGAGCGAGACCCGTACGTGCAGGTTATTGCTGGTAAGCAGGCAATCACGAACCGGAGACCTCCGCCACGTGATCAGGACGAAACGACTAGGTATTGGAAATGGAGTGAAGTCATAAGCATTTCGAAGCGCCGATTCCTCCATCGAGACGTCGCAATTGAAATTTTCTTTGATGACGGGCGAAGCTACCTTCTCACGGCTATCTCAGCTCCAACTCGTAACGATCTTCATTCACGGCTGCTAACCCGAGCACCGCATGTCGTCAAGCCTGAGTTATTGGGCAACTCCGAGATTTCCTGGAGGCTTGATTCTCTTCGCAACCCAGAGGAAGTTCCACAGACATTTGGATCCCGGTTTGCATCCGCCTTCAGTTCAGTCTCATCACATCCCGCAACGAAGAAATGGCTGAAGGGTGAGGTGTCAAATTTCCATTACCTTATGTTTGTCAATACACTTGCTGGTCGGACGTTCAACGACTTGACCCAGTATCCGGTCTTCCCTTGGGTAATTGCCGACTACACTAGCGACGAGTTGGATTTAACGAACCCGAAGAGCTTTCGTGACTTGTCGAAGCCTATGGGATGTCAGAATTTGGATCGTGAGACTGAGTTTCGAGAACGATATAAGTCGTTTGCTGAAATGGGCGAGGCAGCTCAAGCATTTCATTACGGAACCCATTACTCCTCAGCCATGACGGTCGCCTCCTATCTCATCCGTCTGCAGCCATTCAGCGCGGCTTACTTCCTGATCCAAGGAAATACGTTTGATCACGCTGATCGACTATTCTATTCAATCAAGAATGCGTGGAATTCGGCGTCCAAGGAGAACATGACTGATGTGCGTGAGCTTACGCCAGAGTTCTTCTACCTCCCTGAATTTCTTACCAACATCAATGGATACAACTTCGGTGTTCGCAATACTGGTGAAAATATTGATGACGTAGAGTTGCCTCCATGGGCGAAAGGCGATCCTGCCATTTTCATCGCCAAGCAACGTGAGGCTTTGGAGAGTCCTTATGTGAACAAAAACCTCCACCACTGGATCGACCTCATCTTTGGATTCCAACAACGCGGTGAGGCTGCCATAGAGGCTGTTAATGTGTTCCATCACCTGACATACCACGGCTCTATCGACCTCGACTCTATTACCGAAGAGGTACAGCGTGTTGCTAACATTAACATTATCAACAATTTCGGCCAGACGCCGCTTCAGGTATTCCAGCGCCCACATCCCAAGAGGGAAGAGAACGTAGGGAAGATCAAGAGGCTGGACTCAGCAGCCGAGTCATTGCATCGTCTGCCAATGACTTTGCTGGGTAAGTCAAGCCATGTAAAATTTTCAGGGCGCACAAGGAGATTGACTGTTCGTGCAGAATCAAATGACCGCGTCTCTTCGCTTGCATATATGACGAAGAGCGATAAGATTCTTTGCTCTGCACCCTTCCGCCACAACATTCCTCCGAATTATGACCGGTATATGGAATGGGGGTTCACCGACGGCTCTGTGCGCTTCTATGGTTCCGACTCGAAGAGGTTATTAGGATTATTCGAGCATCTGCACTCTGGCCAGCTCACAACTTCATTGTTTGTAGATGGTCGAACCCTTATCACGGCCGGTACGGATTGCACCGTCGCGTTGTGGAATGTCATCAAGGGTGAGAAGAACGCCGTTGACTTGCAGCTCATCACTATGCTTTTCGGTCATAAGAGCCCCGTGGTTACAATCGCCTCGTCGCGGGCTTTCTCAGCTTTCCTGTCTGCTTCCTCGGATGGCAAAGTGTTCTTGTGGGATTTGAATCGCTCAGAGTTCGTTCGGGAACTTGACCTTGGTCCAGCACACCGACGGAATCCGTTCCCGATCCAAGCGGCTAAGATCAACAATGTCACGGGGCATATCATCCTGGCTTGTGGGTCTCGGTTGTTGATTTCCACCCTCAATGGCCGGTTACTGCTTGATCAGAATGTTTGTGATGGAGAAGATGATGTGGATGGTATTACGGCTGTTGCCGTGTATGAAGGAGTTGCAAATGAGTGGTGTGAGAGGGAGCTAATCTTTACGGGTCATCGACGGGGTGTCGTAAAGGTCTGTATGCACATCACGTATCCCCTCCTTCCCCTCCCCTTCAATACCCTTCCTCACCTTCAGCCAAGTCTCCCATCATCTAACCCAAACCCCCAGATCTTCCATCTCTCCCCAAACACCAAAACTGGCACTTGGACTATCACTCTCATAAAAGTCCTCAATCACATAGACTCGACGCGTGAAGACGGCGGCAATTTCTCGGCTCCAGTAACTTGCATTCTCCCAATGCCACACAATGTCTACACTGGCGATGAGGATGGCAGAGTGGTACGTTCTTTTTTCTTTTCTCTCTTTCTCGATTTTAGAAGATTTGGAAAGGGTGGTTGGACGAGTAGGAAGACCGGGTGGGAGAATCAGGTTGAGTGGCGTGGAGGTAGGGATACTAAGGCTGATTGGCGTGCAAGTAGCGGGGGGGAGGGCATGGATGAAGGGCTTGGGGAGGACATGGAGACAAAGGGGAGGTTTGATCTTGCTATTTGAGTGAGCCTAGTTTGGTTCCATGGTTTGTTTTGGTTTTCGGTTGGTTGGCTAGTTGGCTGGTGCAAAGATAGGTAGATGATACCCCGGAGTCTCTTGTCACATTTCGCCGGCATGGGTAATTGATTTACTTGGAGTGTTTGGGGAGCTGCGAAGCCGAGTTTTGGATTTTATCCGTCTTGGATTTCTTTCTTTTATCTCATCTCTTTTCTATTTCTTGGAAATCTGCGGTGGTGGTCATTATCACCACCCAATGATGAAGAATAACAGCTGACGATGCTTTTAAACAGTATGAGTGGGACTGCGTCCACCGACACGCCGGGCACTAGGATCCCCCCTTTCCTTCGTTTCCTCCCGTTCTCGAGACGGATCGTTTATTGCCAGGCGGCGGGCTTACGTTTCTCTGGTTTTAGTCCAGAATGAAGGTAGTGTGATATACGGATGGTTGGATGAAAGGTTGTGTAATAGGGTATAGATGCAAGATAGGCGAGGCGTCTAGAGGTTGCGTTTGTGATCGCTGTTTGTGCTTACGTTAGGAAATGGGGATGGGTGTGAAATTTGCGTTTACGGGTGGCCTGGTGCATGCGACCTATCTAGAGTTGATATTTTATGGAGTATATTTATGAGATGAGGCTTTTGGATCGCTGTGATGGTTTGGTTTTGCTCGGTTGTTGAGCTGTAAGTTGCTAGTGTGGTTTATTTGCCTCGACTCGGGGAAGGGGGGATGGATTGAGAGAAACAAGGAGAATTATGCTTTTGAAATTTCAGTCGATGTCAATTGATGCTGACATTGAAGCCAGAGTTTCGAGCTTTTGTCCTCCCTAGAATGGATGTTTCCCTCGATTAGGTGACTTTGACATATATCTAGGAATTCTATCTGAGAAGGGTGACAGAAGATAAGTCTGCTTTTGGTCCGGGTACATGCTAAGCGAACTGAGGATGATAAGGGGACTGCCTAATGCAGAGCTATGCTCAATTCAAAACTCTATCTATCTCGGAATGGTGACTTTTTGCTGTGCAGGTCTTCGGGAGGTAAGCGCCAGCGTAGGAGCTCTCTCTAGGTCATCTTTCGATCGCTAACGACTGCCTTTTTAAGGGCTCTTTACTATTGTCACTTGGAAAGCCAACTTCCCCGTAGAAAATGACATTCACTGTTGAGCAGGTGGCTCTTAGGGTGCGTCTAGCCGGTAATAGCTAACCTAGCCAGGGCAATGGAATTTGGTTTAGCTATTGACCCCCCGTATTTGTGCGTTTACATACTCTCTACATCTCTCCCATGATTAGACACTTCACAAGGTGTACCTCAGACACTCCCTGATTTGGTCCATGGATTTGAGTGTGTCGCAGAAACTTGAATCTGTAGCTAGAATCCAGCTTTGTGCTAAACATGCTAGCACCGCCCACTTAGTCGCCACCACGAGGTCTCAGTTCTCTCGATTTTACGCGCTTCTAATTTATATTTCCTTAAACTCGCAACAGAATTGTGAGAGAGGTGAGTTTTTATATTTACCGTCAATTCGCTATTTCTTTGTCGAAGTCTAAACCATGCTAGTGCAACGGAGCGCCTAGCTATGTACGGACTTATTACTGTCATTACTCTTACCTCTCATAACCAAACCTAAAGGCAAGTAAAGTTTATTTAAACGCCATCCTATTCACTCTAGACAGAATCCGTTCCTCTAGCTTAACGCTACTCTCTAAGTTCGAAAGCCCAGCAACTTCGTATCTACACCGCATCTTTCCGTACACTCTAAGGAGTTGGACACCCATAACCTAAACATCGCTGACATACACCTCTCAGCACCACCGACACTCGCTCGTGAACTTGTGAGGATGGGGGTACTTTAAAGGGTATATTGAATGCGATAGTCGGCAATTGAAGTGTGAGGATTGTATAAGGCTTCGGAGGATATAGATGTGCGGATTTATGGATTTTAATGAGCCGTCGACTTCCGAAATGTGGGCGCAGATTTCTAGATTCCTGCTTGCTCCAAGTCAGTGTTTAAGTAGTAAGTAGAAATATGGCTTACATGCTTGGCATATATTCCTACTCACACATTAGTCTATGCTTGGCTGCTGTTATGAGGGATCTTTTGAAGACAAATTTGAGAAGTGTGAGGTCTGAAGAAGGCTCAATCAGAGGCAGCGATGCAGCTCTCGCCAGACTTCTTTGCACTTACACTGACCCTATTAAACTGATCTTCGGTTTGATGAACGCCATAGCGCCAAGCCAGAGCCCGACAACAAAACAGGGATCACTTTCACCTCCCAGAGGATTCCGTAATTAGTGACTCAACTTATCGTGCGTTTGCTGTCCTAGTTTTACTCTAATTCCATGATGTATTTGTTAACTTCCTCGTCTATATAAAGCGTTCAATTCCAGTTCATTTCGCCTTCGGGCACCCGGTAATTTCTCTTAGCCAGTAAGTCCCCCATTTCATTACCCTCTTTCTAATTTGTGGTGAATAAGAAAACCCCTGATCTTCCTCATAGATCGTAGGGGCTGGCTTACCCCGCTTTGGCGGGGGTTGTTTTTGTAATTCTTTGTGGGTAGTGGGTTCAATTCACGAGGTTGCAGTGTTGAGGCCATTGTTTTGGTCATTTAATTGCGCTACTAGTGACTCGGTTTGTCTAGGGAACTTCACCTTTCGTCGGTAGTTGGAGCCGCATTGAATCGCTCAGATCATACCGACACTGGACCGGTATCATATCATTGTATTGGGAACAGACATATATTGTATACATCAGTAGACCACTTGCATGAGCTTGTACAGCATAAGTCAGGGTTGTGTCCGGCCAGGTTTTGTGTGCAGTAGTGCATGGAGGAGTAGTTGATAGCTGTCACTTGACGAGGCTTGGCGGTCGCTTTTATTATACTGCTGGTCCCTACCTATAGACTCTTACGAAAACTAAAACTCCAAAGAAATCTCGAGCCGAGACATGCAGTGTGGCATCATTTCATGCTCAAAAAATCAAGGCATGGCTGCATTCGGGAGGGGCCTCGAGGACCTAGCAGCTGTGCCCAAGGCCTTAATGAAAGCCAGACGAGGTGAAAAGCTATGCAATCTCTTTTGGATCTACACAAATATACCCTAACCTAGTTTATTCGTCTTTCACTTCCTTCTAATACTACTCCAACTTTTCGACAGAAGGTGACTAACGTGTTGTTCAAGAGGATCATGCGCTTGTCCCGGGCCCCTTTTCGAGGATATAACACCAAAGTCGAAAATCAACAATCCGGCTTTGGCAGAAGGTGAACGATCGCGCAAAGCGCGAATTGCGAGGATTCGAAATCCGCACAATCGTTTGCCAAACCTTTCGTTTGAACGCTCACTACAATAACAGGTGCGCTAGATTCATGACCGATAGCAAGCCCGCGAACCTCCAGGTCGTTTGTGAAGAGCACGAGTTCAAGGTACGGAAAACGCTATTGTCCTCTCAGTCGGAATATTTTTGGAAGGTTGAACAGCTCGACCGCGAAAGTATGTACCCGTTTAGGCGGGAAAGATCAAATGCGACCTGAGAATGGCTGATATAGGAAATTAGGAAGTAATTCATGATATTCTCATGGTGGTTGAAGATGATCTGAGCTTTATGAGGCTGATACTTGGTTTCTTATACACCGGTGGATATGGGCTTGATCGAACTCCTAACGACATCGCGCCACGTCAACCAGACTCCCCACCCTCCGCAAGTGGGGAAAATCATGACGGCGCCACTGCTCAATCTGACACGGAGGCCTAAACCGCCTGCCTATACACATACTGCGATTCGCTCCGCAGCGAATGGGAGACTTTTGAGCGCACCTAAGAGGATACGTCAAATACTCCGATACATTTTTATAAGCCATAATTACCTCATCGCCTCGAGAGCTCAAGAAACACTGCGTCGACAAATTTAGAGACCTGCACCACTGTCTTATGTTTAAAGCAGCTCCTCTAGGGCACACTGCGATCCCCTAGCGTTGCACTAGCTCCACAGGAGGCCAAGTAATAAAGAGGGCAAGTAGAGCCTTAAGATAGACAGAATTCAGTCTTTGGTCCCCCCAGATGGTTTGCTTGCTGCTATATCAAAATCCTGCTACGTATAGTTAATCTGGTCGTGCATCAGCTGCTTAGCTTAGCGCCCGTACGCCTTCTTCAACCGCGCAAAACATCTTACATCTAGTAGCTACAGCAGATGCAATAAATAGGCAGGCATGTAATGAGTAATAATATTCTTCTCCTTGCATTATTGCTAGAATTTAAGTAAGTAATAGTTCTCATGGCCATCTAATAAGCAAACGTGCTGTGCCTACAGTAGATTTCTTTGTATGTTTATCAAAGTGCTTCTAGTCGATGGGAGAGCAGGTAGTAGCACCATATGTCAGAAGAAATGGCAGTCTTTTAAGCTGAATCCTCAGAAACACTAATACCACGTGATTTGGAAGAATTTCTACCCTCGTATGTGAGGTAATCTGTTGTAGATAGGTGGTGCAGGTTTCTCCAGTGCTGATCCGAGAACCAGGGAAGATCACGGAATGATAGACAACCAGCTTTGAGGGTCATTTCATGCGTTACGACGATTTCCACGCGAGGTACTATGAGAAGGCGATCTCGCAGCTTAGAACAGGAGTGGAGAGATTGACTGGAGAGATTGAACGCCAAAGGGAGAACGAGCATCAACCGAAACGATACGCCAAGACCTACAAGAGTTGCAGCAGGAGCAGGGTAATTTCAATCATAACTACTCCACGCATCATTCACTCACACAAGAACAGGTCCAATGCCAGCAACGAGCGCCAAAGTTCGAAAGGATATACACTAACGTGACTGCTGACTATTCCTTTGACTCTTGCTTCAGATGCATCCTTTGGAAATTCACAAAACAAGAAATGTGCACTGAGGTCTCCTTAGGTTGATATCTAGGACGAAGACCAAAATTCAAAGTCTTAAAGGCTGTCAACTTTTGGGTACAAGAGAACGATATTCCTTTGCTTGACGTACTGAGAGCAACAGGGGAGCTTTGAAAACGAGGTGGTAATGGTCAGATTCTCCATCATGCATAGTAACAGGCCCTTGCTAATTATGGGTAGGAGCGTCCTCCGATTTTCCGCGGCTTGCAAAGAAGCATCCCTTTTTAGAGGCAATGATGACAAGAAGTGGAAGCCGCTGAGTTAACCTTAGACGTCTAAAAGCAAATCGATCCTGTGGCTCGTAAGATTTTGGCTCGTAAGCATGTTGCTCGTAAGTTCATGGCTGGTTAGTCAACTGGCGTACGAAGGTTGGCCTACAATCGCAATTTGATGAGACTCTTGAGAGGGTTGAACTATGCAATGTAATATTTGCTATCTATAGAGCGAAGTGCTGGCTGAACATTATAGCACAGCGACGACGGCCACCATCCCCTCTCTGTGTGAGGGGCTAGCGCCCGGTTGACTTGTGGTCTATGGTTGATGAGACCTGCCTTTAGCCTTTGTGTTGGAGCGTTTGGATAATTTCTTAGAAGCTGCGTCCTTGCAAGCTCCTCAGCAATCCTCTTGAATCATGACGATACCCGTACATAGCTATATCGTTTAGTTGAATCTGATGCTCGCTCATCTTGTATTCAGCTCCGATACATCGACACCGTAACACTCATTGATACTGTGAATGTTAAGCAGGGGCAAAGATGTGCGCAAAACAGACCTCAATTTCAGATTTGCCTTCTCTAGCCCCTGATTACGCTATATAGATCTCGAAATCTGTTTTTCTTTTTCCAGCATGCTGGATCTGCAACGTGATCCTGAGTGGTCCCTTAATCCTAAGTGGTTTGAAACTCATCATAACATGCTTCTACATGCAACTAGTCACTGTGTGGGAAAGGGTGATGTTGAATAGACGTTACGTAAGCTATAATGAGCCCAACTGGAGCTATCCCTATATTCTCTAAGCGTCCGTGCTCTCTTAGCTCCCGGGCGGGATGTGTGCCCGTATTCTTTAAGCGCCCACATTCTTAAAGCTCCCGTGTTTCTCTAAGCGCCAATGCACCAGGTAGAGATTGCGAGATGCGTGGCCTATTTACTTCCCGGTTTCACGACTGTTTCGGGATGTGGACTTGCGTGGACTTGTGTGTGGGGAGAAGCCAAAGGCTTATTCCGAGTTGGTACTTCTGGCTCTTCGTGGTTAGTCTAGGAGTGGCTGAGTCCTGTATCGAAATACCGACACCATGCTACAGTACAAACATAATAGCACGGTTCAGGGGGTGGGTTAGGTACCAAGTGACTGAACAGTCTGGTAATTGGGACATATTTTCATGGATGGCATAAACTTACTTGTATAACACAAATAATGGAAAAGCTGCCTTGGTATAGATTAATATTCAGAGGGAAACGACTATCATGTGAAAGTATTGGTGCTAAGCCTTCCAAGAGGAAGTTAAATTGGAACTTTTACCTGGTCATCTAGGTAAGCTTGGAATTCCGCCTCGAAAAAGGCATAACTCGTATGGATTAAATCGGCTCCCTTTTCTCTTACGAATTTTGCATCCTCTCTCCATAAGTGATCCTCGCCCACCGATAAAAGGGTATCGGCGGTCGCACCTCCTGTCGAGTCACGTATTTCCTGAAGTTCTTCACAAAGTGACGCCGCACATAACCAGCCCGATATTCAACATGCCACCTCGTGGATAAGTCAAATGTATACTGAAGCTCTTCCAGAGTCCGTCTTCGGGTTTCTGGGACAAATAGATAAACGAGGACAAATGCTACGAGATTTAGGCCAGCGAAAATGGATAAACTTCCCGTTATTCCGATCTTCTGCATCAGCATTGGAAACAGAAGCACAAGGATACCTGCTCCAAGCAGATTGACTGCTACGGAGACAGCCATACCTACCTCCCTCGATACTAAGGGGAAAACTTCCGCGGATATAGAGAAAGGACTAGTCCCGGCTGTTGGTGCATAAAAGAGTGTGAAGACTACAGCAAAAATGCTGACCAATGGTACTCGCGCATGTGAGCTCTCGGGGAGCTTGAACAAGAAGGCGAATACTAGCATTGACCATGCCATGTTTGGGTGGCCTGCGGCCTGGAGGATTGAGCGACCGTACTTGTCCGAAAGCCAATACGCCGGAAGGCCACCCCTGTGGACGTCAACAATCTCCCGATTGAATCACTCAAAGTGACAAGGAACGTACAAGTAGTTCGCAGCACCGAAGAAAAGACCTATTCCCGCAATGGTCTTCGGATCGGTGGTTGTCTTCAGCGAATTTTGCCAAACAGTAGTCCCTAAAAAAGCTATGGACAAGTTAGCGATTTATATACGGCGTCATGAATTTCGAACGCGTACCAATTGAATTAACGCCAGTCATTTGCTGGCCAATCATTGCTATCGAAGCCGCGAGAAGGGCCCTTCGACACCTCAAGTTGGTCCACAATTGCCGAAGCCGCATGAAATAGCCAGTCACGCCGATATGGTAGAAGTACGGATTGTCTTTCCCCCCGACCCTCCTAAACCCAATTTCGCCATCAGTACTGGAGGTATCACTGCTATGCTGTCCTATGCTTGATAGTTCGATATCTCCCTGTCGACCTGGTGGCTGGAGCCGTAGGGATTGGTGACTGTCCCGTGGCTCAAGTATGTTTCCTGTCTGCAGGCGGTCTTCATTGCCTCGGTGATTTAATTGAGGCGGCGAAGCACATATCTGGAATACCCGGTCTGCATTGTTATCTTCTTCGTTCGGGAGATGAATCTCACTCCGTGCAATCCTCTCTGCGAGATTCCCGTGCTCATCCGCTTTGCCTCTCATCAAACGACTTTCAAAATCCAATTGAGCATGAGCGTACATGAAATCTCGGCTAGCTAAGAGGGGTGTTGTCTGGATCATGCAAAAAGATTCAAGAGCCTTCCGGTACTTCCCATGCTTCATTAGATATCGTGGGGATTCTAGCATGGGTGTTAGGTGTGTCGATTTTGAGAAAGGAACACGTACCTGGCATCAAGTAAATCAGGATTAGCAGTGGAATGGTGGGAATTAGAACCGTGTTGGTGAGGATTCTCCAACTTCTTGTAGTGTCAAAGACATAGCTAACAATTATCAGGTTCACCGTGAAACCAAGGAACATCCCTGCGTGCATCAGCAGCCCGTTCTATGAATTTCTGGAAGACTACTCACCGAGAGCATCTGCAAGCTGCCAATTTGCCAGTATTTTGCCGCGTATATGTTCTGGCGATATTTCTGCAGAGTAAATTGGAACAATTGACCCTTTTGCACCAAGGGCAATCCCGTTTAGGGCTCGGCAGGCAGCTAGCTGTCCCACAGACTGGGTAGCCGAAGCACCAATCGTAGATGCAATGGTTATAAGAGCAGATACCAAAATACTTCCACGCCTTCCCAAATAGTTCTCTTGAAGGGGATCCGCAAGCGTAGTACCAAATATACCGGCTGAAAACAGGGGAATGGCATTCAGCATACCGAGGGTCCAGAGGTCGCGTGTGTTTCCGTTGCACGGTTGATTCGGCCGCGATATTATGCACAACCCGAACTCCTCTGGCATACCATAGTTAGATCCATTATTAATACTTTGTGTCCATCCTTGTATACATCCTCCAAGACTGGCAGTAATGATAGTTGCACGGAAAAATTTCGACTGTTTCCAGAACCCTGTGTTCTTTTCCGCTTCATTGGTGAGGAGAACTCTCTCCGGAGCCGTTAGTTCTCCGTCGTACCGGATCATTGCCTCATGCTTGTCTCGGGCGAGACGAGCACCAAACAACAACAGTTCGAACCTGTCTTCAAGGTGGCTGTGCTTAGTAAAGTCCAGGACATATTCTTCTAACTCTGTTCTTCTCGTGTCCTGTCGAGTGACGGTATCGTCGAATGTGAGGAGAGGGTTGTCGATGCTATTTTATGAGTCAAGATACTCTCCCAAGGCGGACAATGGCAACTTACGTTTGTTGAGCAGTAGCGGATCGACTGGAACCCACGGGGAGCCTTCGATCTCCTAATGTCCCAGGAGGTGCCTGTGCTAGGAGTTAGCAATTGCGGGCTTTGAACAAAGTTTACGAGCCTTCGACCTACCGGTTGGAGGGCTGGAGGTGTTTGCTGGTCCTGGTCCGCCTGTGAATATCAGAATTGTCTACGAAGCTGGATAGCCAGCCTACCTCAGTTTCTCTCGATGCCCTGTGGGAAGTGGACAGGCTTGCCATTATTGAACAAATATGAGTTTGAGAAAATGCCACTATGATCTTATCTCTTCGGAACGAGCACACCGAATAATATGGATCCGAGTGGGCTCATATACTCTCCCTTCTGCCATCCCTCACAAGGCTGACGGGAGGCTCCCTTCAGACGACGTGCCTCTGCCGTTCGCATAGCTATAGTGCCACAAAGTAATCAACTAAACAGCTGCTGAGGGAAAAACTGCCGCCGAACCATGCCCGCCTTTACAAGGTGCACTTCGTGTGGCGGTGGCTTGGTCAATTCGTGTGCAAAGCACTTCGATGCGATTGGTTGCCTCGCTTTTCGTGTGAAGACACATTTCGTAGCCAATCAGGCTTCAAGCGTCTGAGTCTGAAAAAGAACGTCAGTCGATGATTGCATCACTTCCTGCCGGCCAGGTTTTTATTTTTCTTGCTAGGACTGTTCTCTGTCTGTTTTGTCAATTCATTATTTGAAAGTCATAACAAACATCTAGAAAGAGGTTCATTCGTCTCATCAGAACCGTCGTTGCACCCAATTCCCCAAATTCCGAGGAGGGCTGTGCTGCCACAGGATCCCCTTCCTACTCTGAGCAACATTTGGAAGGCTGGGCGCTCGTTCCCCTCCTGCACATGCATCATAACCCTGCATGAGGGCTTGATTTAGCCATTTCGACGTGTCACAGCTTGTTAGACAGAGCTCGTGCATTTCCGCTGTCATTCCCAGTTCTCCAAGGTGGGCTAAATGGCTGGCACGTGACATCCAGCCGCGGCCGCAGTCGCCCTGCTCAACTTTCGGCGTGGATGGATGAGCCCCGCTCGCCTTTAAGCATCACCACCGAATTATTTGTTCGAGCTGGAACCGCCTCCATGACCTGGGCGTCAGACACCACGCACGCATGGTAAAACGAACCATTCCTGCGCCCATTTCGGCTCTGCTTGGAGTATTTTGCAGCTTCATTTCGCCTTCAATACTGTCTGAGATGCCTACTATCACTTCCTAAGAGGGCCAGAGAAAAGACTTGCTGCTTGTGACGACCACATCTCACGCGCAGCTCTCAGCCACGGCATTGTTTCTTGCGTCTGCTTACTTATACCCAACGTTCATGCAAGGGCGACGCAGAATTTCCAGATTCCGCCGCAACGTTCTCTACCCATCCTTGGACGCCCCTCTTTGGTCTTTCTCTCTCGCAATAGAGCCTACCTCTCGTCCAACCTCAAACGTAGGTCTGCACCAATTTTAGGTACTCCACCATGGCGGAGCCGGTATCCAGTATCGTAACGTTGACGGCTGTATCCCTAACCATCATCCGAAGGACTGTGAGATTTATCCAAGCGGCCAGGACTGTTGACACTTTGATTGAATCGCTCCTCACAACGCTCCTGGATCTTAAGCGCCTTCTCAGGGTCGTCGAGTCTACATGTAGACAAGCAACGTCTGGTGACGACGACCCATCGCGCTTTGTGAAAGATTCGGTCGTGAGATGTCACAATCGTTTAACTGAAGTCCAAGCAATGGTGGAGGGTCTCGCTTTCCGAGAGAAGAGGACACTTTTCCAAAAAGTGGTCCTATTGGTGAGGACCGACCGGTCGAGGAAAGATATAGAGGATGCGATTCAGGACATTGACCGTCTAATGAACAATCTTCACCGAGGCATCAGCTCGTGGAATCTGTGGGTGTCCCAAGCCATGACCAATTGCCATACTCATCCGACTACAGACTCATAACATCGGCAATCCATCGGCGAGCTTCTGAAGCTCCTCCCTTTGTGAGTGTTCATCAATATCAACGATTTGTCAGGCTGACAATATAAAGCGACTTGCGCAAATTACCACCACATCAACAGAATCACACGAAATCGAAGAGAGCGATGCAGTTAGCCCATTAAGCCGCGCTTGGTCTGAAGTGGAAACAGTATACGATGCAAGCGTCTCAAGTCGAAGAAGTTCATCAGCAACAGGAGGCTCTAGGAACTCCATCTCTTCAACTTCTTTCCGGGCCCGTCAGCCACACTCCGAACGAAGCAGTAGTGTCTCTGCACGCATCGAACTTGTTCCACAGAACAGCGAGTGGGTCGACTTCCACTACCAAATAAAGGCATGCAAAGGCAATGAGGCTCGGATTAAAGCCATTAGAAAAGTGTTGCAGGAACATCCAGACAGCACTACGCTTGCCAATTCTCCAGATGGGTCGAGGAGGACTCCTCTTCATCTAGTAGCTCAACAAGGGGATGTCAAACTCGCGGAAATCCTCGTCGCCTTTACCGCAAACATCAACGCCATCGACAGCCAGCCACGCTCCGTCCTCGATTTCGCCGTAAAATATAACCATGAGCATTTTGTCGAGTTTCTCATCGACCACAACGTCGACCAAACTGCAATCGCAAAGGAAAATCTCCGTCGATTCAGAGAGATCAAGGATACCATTGATTTTCAGAAAATCGAATTGGGCAAAATCGTGAAGAAAGAGCGCAAACGAAACCGCACAAATACTTCGACTTGAATAGGCCACATCTGTCACAAGTGTATGACGGATTGAACGACTTCAATACGTAACATGCGTAAATGCTTGGGGCTATGTGCAACGGGCATTGCGCCAAGACATTCTTCACCGGTCGCGGACCATGAGGGTGGGTTACCGGGCTGTGCCATGGCGCCGGCCCCATGCTCCCACTGCTCGGTAAAGCTGGGGCATCACAAAAGCTCGGGGTCAGGGAAAGATGGTGCTGCGGGGGTGATAGCCGCTGGGTGGTTCGCATCCAAACCCCAATCTAGTCTGATCTGCAGTTCGCAAGGCTGCTACCAATGCACGCAACACACATTCCGCAACGGAAATAGGAGATGCACAACGCTACCACAAGTTCAAACTTACCGAATCAAGACAAAGCCCCACCCCGGAATTTTGCGGTCCGGTTTTAAGATAGCTGACGGCGGCTAGTCACGCTGTTTCAGCTAGATGGTTCAGAGTTGGATGCTCCGCCTAGCCCTTTGCAAGATATGGCTGTTTCGATGCTCGTTCTCTCGCCATATTGACGGCCCATTCAGTGCATCGCTAGCATCCCATCCTCGAGTCTAAACTCGATCTGTCGAATACCACATCCTTCGCAGACATTAAGATAAACGAAAGTAGCTCAAGATCTGCCTCCACGATAGGTCGGCAATTATTCGAAATACTTCTCGTTAGTACAAATTATTTTAGTGATATCCATTCCAAGGTTCAATTCGCTGCGGCGAATTTGCGCCTCATTCAGCACATGCACACTTTGTACCAGTCCTCATGATCAAAGGTCCGAACGGGAGCATGAATGTACTCAATAATTACACTCGCGGCCGCTCCTCCAAACATGACATACGAGGTTCTAAATCTCCACCGTGGAATCAAAGCTATTCTACATTCATTTAGACTAGAAATACTAAGCTTACTAATCTACAAAATCTACAAATGCAAACTGTTCACTTCACAATCATGAGTCCTCTTTTAATTCCCGTTCCCGGACCTTACGTCAGAAACTACTTGCCGTGATCTGGAACCGCTTTGTGAATCCACTAGAGGGAAATGAAAGCGTTTCAATTGCGCGTTTCTTAATGGAGCTGTAATGAACGAGCAGATGCTCATAGCGCCTTGCTCCAGGTTGTGTAGCTGATGAAAGCCTTCACGATGTCTCCTATCTTCTTCCAGACGCATCAGGCCCTGCCCATGGCAACCTGGGATCCACAGCTACGCTGGCAGCTATATCAGCTAACACTCCCATAAATCCTTATTGGCTGGTGTGGTCGACTCGGTGTGACAGCTTCTGCTCCTGCTAGTTACGCCTTCTGCAGCCCCCCGTCCTTTTGTCCAGCGGTAATATAGAGCAAAGCAGAGGCTCGAGCTTGGGATCAAACACTTTCGCCCGATCACCCCAGCGTACTGACTACTAGCCTAGAAGACTTGGGATTCTGCTAGTTTGTGGTTAGTACAAGGATATATTCTGTGACAGCGTAGGGTGAGGTAACGCCCATTGTGCACACTAGCGGCGCTTTCAATATTTGACGAGTCAATTCATGGGGTTGCCATTACATTTACTTGTATATCCGGGGAAAAAAATTCTTCGATGATCGTTTCTATTTATGCATGAGATCGTGTGAGATCACACTATTCCATATATGGTCATGGTGAAGGCCTGATCTAGGTAACCAATTTACAAATGAAGCCCTTCGCCGCATTATGATTATAGAAGACTTTGATCAATAGAGGGAATCCTTTAGACATTATCAGACATAGGTAAACAAAGTCTCTAGCAAAGTCCTTTCTAGAATGTACACGTGAGATTGATGTAGAAGAGCCAACCAAATCGGGACTAGATCCACGATTGCTCTTCAACTCGAAGGCGAGCTACGACCCTCCAAACATTTCACCACTCACGAGAATAGAGACCTAGTTCTCTGCACAGTCCATTCCTTGGTGTGGATGTTATTAGCTCAGCTATCATGGTCAGCATAGCTTTCCTATACCTGGGATGATATTGTCGTGTTACATCTCCTGATCTCCGCAATCGCCACCAGCTCACCCGGACGAAAATGCGACGCTCGGTAAAGATCAAAACTCGATTCAATTTCAAATATGTGCTGACGTACGGAGATCTATCGAGCAGTACCGCTCCGCTGCACTGGAATGTCTCAATCCGCGCCTTTAGAGCGTCGTCAGCATTTTCGCACATCAAGGAAAACTCGCGTCTCCTCTCCTCCCGCTAGGGCGTAGTAAAAGCTCCTTACATATTGGAAGGTATGTGCAGGCACTGTGAATCCGGGTTGGTATACACTATATTATCGAATCGAGAGCCTCAGGCCACGGTGAAAAGGAGTACGCAAAAATTATCACCCATTTTGAATGTTCCCTGATTCTCGTATTCCCCAGCCCTTTACCATCATTTGTTTGGTTGAAGGATTCTGACTAACCCATCGAAGTATTCTCTTCGCACAAGGATGGATGTCACAATGGTCACGGAGAACTTAAGAGCCGATTCCGACCATCCGCCCCAGTGTCCATTGCAGAAGAAATCTCGTGATGTCCGGTTTTCTTAGACGGCTGCAGCTAAAATAAGTGCAACCAGCTGTTTCTCTGTTGCACAAACAGAAAACATACCCTCACGAAAACAATACATCATCTCCAGCGGCTTTCTCAATTATCAGCACTTGCGCTGATGAAGCAAAATCCAGCACCAATAAAGAAGGCAGAGGGGGCAGTTCAGAGCGAAGGACAGCTCCAAAGCTGGCGTCTCAATGTAGTCATGGGCGCGCTGGTATTCGCGGTGTTGGCGATGGCGTTGAGTGCATCAATCGTTGCAACGGTGCGCTAACCTTTACGGCATATATTTAGACAGATGGCCTAGTAAGCTAACAAGGAGTCGTCACTTCTAGGCAATTCCTGTCCTTACCTCTCATTTCCATTCAACGGCAGATATTGGATGGTATGGTAGCGCCTACTTAATGGCAAGGTGAGTAACTGGAGTCATATCCAATCACCGACCTTGCTAACGGCTTCGCGCAGTTGTGCTCTCATTCCCCTCGCGGGGAAGATATACACCCTGTATGATTTAAAGGTGCGCTGACCCATCCTTGAGCCAATCTCAATGATCTTGGTTGGCTGAAATAAGTCTAGGTTGGTTTCCTTGCGTACATGACTGCCTTTACAGTCGGTTCGGTTATATGTGGAGCAGCCACATCGTCCAATATGCTTATTGCAGGAAGAGCTATTGCAGGCGCGGGCTCATCGGGGATTATAACAGGAGCAATGGCTATAATCAACGCCTCTGTCACCCTGGATAAAAGATCTTGTAAGTGTTAGAATATAGAATTCCTAAGTGAACCAGGTTTCTAACCCAGACTGCAATGTGCAGTACTCGTCGGAATTATCCAATCGCTGTCTGGCGTTGGTGTCGTCTTGGGCCCAATTGTTGGGGGGGCACTCACTCAGCATGCTTCTTGGAGATGGTGTAAGCATCTACTCTGCCGGTTCCTTAGCCCCTAAAGCTAAGATAGTGGTTAGGCTTCTTTGTCGGCGTTCCTGTCTGTGGACTTGCCATGCTAGTTGTTATCGTCGTCCCTTTTCCGCGAAGACGGAAAGACGGTCCTTCCTTGGAAATTATGCAGAAGATCAGAGACCTTGATCTCATTGGCTGTGCGATATTTGCTCCATCTGTAGTCCTTCTCTTGGTGGCGTTGCAAGTGAGCGACATCCCGCAATACATTGCTAAATTATCATCGTTCCGGCTCAGGTTAGCTAACCCCAAGACAGTGGGGCGGAAACAAATATCGATGGGGTTCATCGAAAGTCATCGGTCTTTTCTGCGGCTCAGGTGCCACCTTCATCGCCTTTCTCATCTGGGAGTATTACTTCGGCGAGAAAGCAATGGTTCCTCTTCATATGCTCAAGCGCCAGGTCATGGCCTGCGGCTTCACAACCAATAACTTCCAAATGGGCGGCCTCATGCTTATCACGTACTATCTTCCCATTTGGTTCCAGTCTGTAAAGGATGCTAGCCCGACCATGAGCGGGGTTATGACGCTTCCGCAATCTCTATCCCAGATCATCTTTTCGATCATGTCCGGGTGGCTGGTTTCTAGGTTGGGTTACTACACCCCCTGGGCCATTGTAGGAAGTGCGTTCACTGCTCTGGGAACCGGCCTCATGTTAACATTCACTCCTTCAACTGATGCTGGGAAATGGATTGGTTACCAGATTCTAGTGGGTTGTGGAAGAGGCTTTGTCATCCAGAATGTGAGTCATTCGTTCTTAGTCATGTAGCCAGGTTGCTAAATCGGAGAAATAGGTGTTCACGGCTGCACAAGCAGACCTACCTAAAGAACTCGAGGATATTGGCTCTGCCTTCTTAGTGTTTGCTATGTTTCTCGGAGGGGCGATATTCGTTGCTCTTGGTGAAACTATTTTGTCCAACGCTCTACCAACCGAGTTAGCTAAATATGCTCCAGGGATTCCCAAATCCAGTATTGAGCAAGGACTAGCGGCTTCAACTCTGACGAAGCTTCCTCCCAGTGTTGCCAAGAGTGTCAAGTTGGCTATTAATAATGCTTTGATCAAGACCTTCTATCTGGCACTGGGCGGCTCCGTTGTTGGCTTTTTGGCTAGCTGGGGCCTAAAATGGTATAATGTGAAGAAAAGGTCGCCTCCGATAGACATGGAGGGAAGGCATGAGAAAAGCAGCGGTCAAGTACGCAACGTAAGGAGTGAGTAGTTATTATCGGTTGATGACGAACTTGCAGAGGCCTCCTGTTTAGGTTAAAATTTTACTATTTATTATTTATTATTTATAGACTGATAATGAAAAACCTGCTGTAACAACACATTGTCGCTAGGTTGTTGAGGCGCTGGTTGCAGCCTGTGGAATCTCATAATTCTTCTCACTGCTAATGCTGAATAGATATGACGGAACATGAATGTTCTTCCATCCGAGGGTAAGTGTCGTCAAAGAAGGCTTCGAACCTGCTAGAAATTCCCGGTGTAATCCCATTCTGACTGAGTTCAATGGTAGTTCTAAACGTTCTATAGAGTGAGACAGCGAGTGTAGTCATCTCCGCCATCGCAAGATGCATGCCGATGCACATCCGTCCTCCGCTGGAGAATGCCCACCACCATTTCTTCATTTCTGCTACGGAATCGGCTGGGCCAAACCACCGATCTGGGTCAAATTTCAAAGGCCCTTAAAATATTGTAGGATTTCGATGAAGGACGTAGGGAGGCATTCCGGCCACAGTATTGGCAGGTATTTGAAAGCTATCAATGATTGTGTTGGTAAGTGCTGATCGTGGCTCCGTCGCTGGCAATGGTGCGTAGAGTCGAAGCGTCTCCTTTATGACAGCATCGAGATAGGAACATTTATCGGATACATCAAGTCTTGGTAGGCCATGCTCATTGAGCGAGTCAGAAGGTAGCTCTCTCAATTCCTGTATGAGCTTATCCTGGTATCTGGCATTCTGCGGTTGTGAAAGTGACCAGATGAGAAACATGAGAGAGTCTGGTGTCGTGTCTATTCCTGCCAGGAGATGATCTGCAATCTCAGATGCTATTTCAAGGCCACTAAGTCCATTGGATCGTTGGCTATCATGGTGGTTCTAGAGGCGACCTAGAATGGACGAGTCTGTGTGCCCAGTCTTTGACTCTGTGGCTCGACCTTTGAACGCTTTTATCTAGCATATAAGAATTATTTAAATGCTACTTAAAAGGTTCTTAAGAACTATAAAACTATCTTTAAAGGTTCTTCTCTATAAAATAGATATGTAAAGTTAAACAACTATAAATTTTAATAGCTTTAGAAGGCCTATAAAAGAAAACTATTAGTAGGCCTTTTTTAAGTTGCTAAGGTCTTTACTAATAAAAAGTAGCGTGTAGGTTATGCTTTTACTCAGCCGTCAGCCTCCCTCACGAGCATGTCACTTTATATAGCCTTCTCACACTGCGTCTCAGGTCTCATGCTCGCGAACCACACTGGTATTGCGACGCTGTTCAAGCGGATTGTGGCGCAGTACATTACTCTGGGGAAGCCAAACGCTTTTCTGGAACCGTATAAACTTATAGCTCCGTTTTAGGACGGCTGTGGCGAGTTTGATGAGGCGTGGGAGGTGGTTCAGGGCCTGATTGAGGAGTATGAGGAAGCCGAGGGGCAGAATTATATGAGCAAGGAGGGGCCGCCGGGGAAGGAAGATGAAGATAAGCGAGTGAGTACCTAAGAGCATGAGGATGAGCTTGGTCGGCAGGACATGTGTGGAGTCATGATGGTAAAAACTGACGGTATGTGGGTTGGTTCGTTCGGGGGCGTCAAATTATATGATAACCTAGGTGGAGTAAGGACTAGCCATGATACTATTTCCTCTACCAGACTCTTTTACTGACCCCATATGCCAGTCTAAAAAAACCCAATATGAAGTCTTGGCTAGTGGATGCGTATACCGTAAATGAAAAAAAATGCTAAACAATAATAATACAATCATGAGAACGCCAGCCGCTATAAACACAATTCCAGCCCAAGTATGCACGTAGAACTGGGCCCCAATGGCTCCGGCCGTCTGAACCTTCGGGTCACCACCCAAACCGCTCCAGATATACTTCCCAGCTCCCTCCGACGAGGTTGATGATCCAGCGCTCATCGACATCGATCCACCCGTTAAGGTCGCCGAGCCCGCAGATCCCGACCCCGTTTTCCCAGGCGTCACCGTCGTCGCGCTCGTCCCGCTGCTCAGCACCAGCGCACCCGTAGGATTCAGCGAATACGTCGTCCCACTAATGACAGTAGACGAGCCCGGGCGTAACGTCTTCCCACCTGGGAGAATTACGCCTCCATCGGTGGCGTACGAAAACGGCGTCGGGGTCGCATAATTCGAGATCGGTACTGTTGTCCCGTCGACGACGAGCGCGGTTCCCGAGGGCGCGAGAGATATCACTGTTCCACCGATCGTGACTAAAGATCCGGGATATAGCGTTATGCCGTTTGGGAGGATGAGGCCACCCCCGGGAGCTGTGATGGGGGAGACGGGGATGATAGCGGTGCCGACGATGATGTTGGATAAGCTGTTGGGAATGAGGGGGATGGGGCTTCCGTCGACGATGATGGCGGTTCCGGAGGGTGCCAGTGAGAATTTTGTTCCACCAATATTCGTAGACGATCCGGGGAGAAGTGTGACGCTGTTGGGGAGGAGAATACCTATCTGCTCTGGCGGGAAGGAGAGAGGCACGATTTCGGAACCAATGGTGATGTAGGGTGGTTCAGTAGGACGAGCCTGGTTGAACGTCACGGTTGCGCCGCCTATCACAATGGCATATCCTGAAGTGGGAAGATAGACAGGGGTGCCGTCTACATTGATTGCGCTTCCTGGTTGGAGGGTTCGCCCGTTTGGCAGGATGACATCGGTTACGGATTCTCCCGCTTGGAAGTTGATTGTTTCGGAGCCGACGGGAATCACCTGTGTGACTTGCTGTTGGACTTGAGCTGCGAGGGTACCTGGCTGGTTCCCCCCGGTTGGTTCAGGTTGCTTGTTTCCATTGCTGGCACCTTGTGGCTGACTTTGTCCAGGTTGGGCTGGTGCTTGGCTTTGCTCTGGCTGGACTTTGGATGCTCCTGGTTGAACTTCTGCCTGTTTAGATGCCACGAGGCCTTGTGTCTGCTGAGGCTGGGCTGTATCGCTCGGTCCTTGGGTTTCTGGCCTCCCAGCTGGTGTTGGTGGGTTTGTAACTCTTTCGAACTCTGTTGATGTAACCGTCATAAATCGAGCTGTGAAGGCGATGGCCGCAGGGCTTTTCCAATTAGGTCTTGAACAGTTTAGCCACGCAATTTCGGAGTGGAAATTTAACATAAACACGCCTGGCCCTGGGTGTTCGAGCCAAGGGTAGAAGAGAAGGCCTTCGGGGTCGGGACCTAGGTCATGGGTCGGCATGACAACAGGGGGTTGAGGGAATGAGGCAAGGGGTACGGATTTCCATGAAGCGGTTTGGCAAGTTCCCGAGGTTTCGAGCGTTCCTGGCCAGCTATAGTTGTCAGGCCATGCTATGAATTCCGTCGGAAATGCTCTGGACTAAAGTTAGGACTCTTGCTTTCATGTGCTGCTCTCAGGCTCACTTACACTTCTGTTACTACCAGCCTTCCCGATCTTGTGTAGCTCACGGTATTGACATGTGTGCCAGCAGCATTCACATCCGGTAAGATGTATCCACTTGGGAGTTCATTGAGGCGCAAGCTAGTCTTGGAAGTATTGTATACTGTGTTTATGATGACCACGAGGGTGGCAGCGGTAGTCGTTGTTGAGATGTTGTACGCCTTCCAAGAGTGCACTGTGGGAAAATGCGCAGTTACAGTACAGTTATTTGAACAAGTTCTCGTGTGAGAGAATGATGAAGCCCGAGGCTTCAGAGTAGAGATACTAAAAGAGCCTGATGGCGTAGTAGATGAACTGCGAGGTGAGCCATTGGAAGAGCTGGCAGACGATGGCGAAGACGTGGCAGCTGTTGCTGAGCTGAGAGATATCAAAGTCTCGTGAGTATAGGAAGATCTGGAAGAGTCTAGAGTCGCACTCCTGGAGGAAGAGCTAGAAGTCGTGAAGATGACGCCTGCAGGAAGCTTTAGTATCAAAGCGGAAGAAATGCAAATATCGCCCAGGAGCCACATATACCTTGAACAGCCCCTGCAAGGATCCAAACCAATGAGCAGTAGAATAACATATTGGCCTGTAGGGCTGATGAGATACCTCTTCGAGGAGGGATGCGAAGCGAAAGAATGCCGGGGGGGAGTAATTATATTATAGTCCCAGCTAAGTCGACTCACCCTCCCGATATGCTCGTTGGCCAGGCCCCTTTACTCAGAGATAGAGCCTTCTGGTCTGACATACCAAACTTTGCCTTATGTTGTTCACGTTTACATGGTCGACAGGTCAACCAACCCCAAGCTCTGCCGTACCGCAAGCGCTCACGATATTGCTTATTTAGATTATGTTGCACGCGCAGCCTTCACAGCCTCTTTTACGGACAGCTGCCTTGTTGTGCCTTCTGGTCTGCAACATTCACTGGGTTGCCTCGTTTTGCCTTCAGCTCGATCACCCTTGGCATAGAGTGGCTGATTAGCCCTCGTCATTTGGAAGTGTATGCTATAAGGGTTTAGATGACTTTTTCTATGCGTTTGCGGGAAGAGCAAGCATATACCTGCAAACTAGTGTATATATATAAACCTCTCTGCTCTCTCGGCTGGCATTCGCCCCCTCTCCCCTGTACATGAATTCCGACGACATCAGCCAGCAACGACCAGCCCCAGTGGTGAAATTGGAAGGACATAAACAGACCAGTAATTTGAAGAATTAGATCTATGGAGGGCACAAATTCGCTTTTTTGTCTGCAATTAATCTTGTTTCATGCGGGCGGAGAGCTGAGCCTCTCCTAGTTGAGAGCCTCACCACTAGGACTCCACACAAGGTCTCCCTCGGTTAAGAACCGAACGCCTAGGGCTCTCCACAGAGTCTCTCTACCCTTAGAGCCTAAGTAACCTCCGAGTGCGATCAATTATGCTTCTTCACTTAACTAAACCTACGTGACAAGCATAGATGAAGTAAACTCCTCTCTCCTCTGCGGCTCGGTCGTTCTAACCTAGTAGCAGCCCCAAGCAGTCATTATTCATGGCTTAAAGTGTCAGACTCCATGACACATGCTGCTTACCCTGCAATTAGGGTCGGCCCATGTTGTAGAACGGCTGCCTCGTCCACGAGACTTCTAGTGACCAATGCCTCTCCACCCTTCCCAGCCAGCGAGCTAGTTCACAACGCGATTCCAGGCTTTGTTTGCCGAGGGTCCAATCCATTCATTTAGAGGTCAAGTTATCAGCGTTGATTTCAGAGGCGTGATTCGAACATCGAAGGGGCCATAGGAAAGAAAACATTCAACCTCGAAGAGCTTGTGAATCAGGAGCGCCCAGGCTTACAAATGTATATTAATAATTATTCTTGCGGATGACTTTTCTTGGGAATATAGAAATTAATTTATGGATTTAATTTGGAAAGTTTCCATTGCAGTTATAATTATCTACCTGCAGGTGTTCACACCCTTTGTACGAGTGTAGGGGTGGAACGCCACAAATTACCAAACGTTAGATCTAGATCTTCAGCTAGGGCTAGAAGCGAAAGGCTTCTTTCTGCAGCCGCATATCTTGCGACTTCAATGCTGAAAACGTGGTAGCACAATGTATCGGGATTCCTTGTCTCTTATATTTAACTTTCCTGGCGTCATTGTTTCTTGGAAATAAAGCCATATCTAAACGTGTATGTTGAAGCATTGGAAGTCGCGAAAGGACTTCAACCTCGGGGGGCACAATGACCTTCAACCAACATCAAGGAACCAATGGCTCAATCGAGCCCCACTATCGGACTTCTTGAAGAACCGATCTATGAACTCCGACATGCTCGATACACTGACCTCAACCCGAGCCCACCCGGAAGGACGACAGCACACATAGGACAGTCAGGACAGGAGGACTTGGACAAAGTCGAAGTGAAGAGAAAGCTATTACCGAGAAGGTCCCAATCCAATCTATCGTTCCGGGACACTAGTTACCTCTTCTCCACCGCCCTGCTCTCTATTACGGTCTTCGCATTTGCCCTGTGGTATGTGCAGGCGGCGTTCTCGGCGGAGACTGCCATTCGTACCAGACAGGTCGTGTACCGGGTTTTGAAGGTCGATATCGGATCAACTCTTGCGGTGCTGAGAGTCACGCAAGGAGTTCTGTCCACATTGACAACGATTGGGTTGATGAACGCACTGGAGATGTTGCAGTGGGGTTTGGCTGGACGGAACCATGGTCTGGACAGCAGTGTCTTCCTAGGATTGTCACCGACCACGCACATATCCGGAGTGTTCCGTATCGTGATTTCTAGGAGGTCTAAATGGACTGCGCGAGCGGGGGGTCTTGTTCGGTGAGACGTTCATCTACCTCAAGTTATTCTTAGCTGATCACGACGAGGGTAATATTGGTGACGGCAATCTGGGTCGCTGGAGTTGTTCTTTTCGGTAAGTATTGTAAATGCACGAGGCATCTGAGTGCATTCGCTAATGAACTACCAGTCAAGGCTTCCGTGATCACGGCATACGATCCAGTATTCGAATATGATGTCACTGCCGGCGTCGGGCAGTTCGACGGGTCATATATTCCAAGGTTCATGGAAAAGGTGAAGAACATCTCGCCCGAATATCCCCATCAAATAGTCCCGTTCTCCGTCATATCGACGATATACTCGTTAGTTGGAAATTCCATGTATGCTACCAACGCTCCTCCATTAGATTGCGACGGTTGCGATTCATATCTCTTAACGGGAGGGGTATTCTTGGCGACACCTTGGATTCCTATCGGATACGATTCATACCCGCTTGTCAACATCGAAAAAGTACAAGCAAGTCAGATCCAATTCAGGGGTGGGATGCACGAGACAGATGCTTTTCGAAATGAAGACTGCGACGTCTACGGGTCTGAAGGTTTCTTGATCGGAATAAAAATGTGCGTCAGTAAGAGCAAAATGTTTCCCGGATCGATTACAGCCGGTAAGTATGATCTAAATAAATACAACCTACTGATGTCTGATTTCGAAATAGGCGTGTATGTCTGCGCGAATGGTACAGACAGCGGTGAATGCGAACGACCCTTAGCTCGACCGAACATAACAACTACAATGTCGGTATATAAACGCACAGCAAGCATAGTAGCGTCTCGTAAAAACTACAGTATCTCTGCTGTTACCAATTTCGGCCAAGCTGAGCAGAATTCCGCGATTGATATTGCTTCCTTTCGAAACGGACTTGCCTGGTTCCTGGACTTTAACGCGTCGTCAACACCACCTCCGTCTTCAGTCGCAGAACATTTTTGGAACGGACAGGAGCAACTCGGTAGCCCATATTGGTCCAGCGAGCTGACTCGGTTGCTACAAGGCATGTTGGCGTTCCCCTTGTGGTACTTCCAACCCAACAACTATGGCAATCCGGATCTTCAAATGAAAGACATGATCGATCGTCTTCCTAAAGAATTTTATACCAAGGCTCAGATTACGAGGTCGTATACGAGGATGACCATCGATCGAGAAATGTTCATTGCGTTTATCATCCTTGAGAGCTTAGTGCTGATGTCCATCTGGGCGATTCTTCTCTGGTTATGGAGCACAAGACCTTCTCTGCCGAAGCTGTCGTCGTATCCCCTAGTTGACTTCGCTTTTAAGTCCAAGGAGCTGTCGCATTATGGAGAAGGCTTCGGCCCATCGAGTCAGTATATGATAACGGCGGACAGTAAGGAGATCAGGCACAAATTCGGAGGCACAAGAGTTGCACTACGTGAGGACAAGGAACCTGTGGATGGTCAGTAGAAGAGGTCCCTTTTCAGAGTATTGTCGTGTCAGGCGAGGTCTGGCACACAGCTATTTTGACTGCAGGGCAGCCCTCTTACCTATATCTGCAGCCCCTCTTACCAATATACTCTTTATTGCATAATTGTTCAGCTCTTTAGCGAAAAAGAGAAACCATTCAGCAGATCCCACTCTCAGCTCGCTATATATTTGCCTAACTAGGTATAAGAAACTTAGACTTAAAAGAATTAAAGCACCTTTAGTAGAAAAAGCCAATAAGATAGTAAACTATAAGCTAAACCCTTCTAAAATAATAAAAATACACTTAGTATTCTATATATATTACTGCTAGAACTAGCGCTTTAAGAAAATAAACTTACAACAGACATTTAAGTTAAAGAAGATTAGTATAAGTTAATAGTATTTAAAAATCTAAAATAGTTTAGCCATTAAAAAAAGTACTTAGTAAAGTAGAAAAAATAGTCTACTACTTTAAAGACTTAGAAACTAGTTAAGAATCTTAAAACTACTAGTATTTAATATAGTAGTATAACTAGTAGAATCTTGTTATAAGAGAAGAAGTATTTTAATTTAAAGGTTAAGAACTCTAGTTTAGAAAGGCAGTTTCCTCTTACTTAGGCCTATGCGTTATGCACTATTACCTGTTACTTATTAACCTTCTCTTAAACACAGCCTTGTAAACAACCTAGAGTAGCTAGGAAAAACTATAAGTTTCTGCTATATATACCTGCTTCTATTTCTAATATCCTTATAGCATCAGATACATCATGGCTCATGACAGGTGGCCCAACAATCTCGCTTCGATGCCGAACAGATAGTAAACCCAGGGTACGTTGCTGCTATATGGTTCTCCTGGATACTCAGCATAATCGGGTGCTGAGAAGATCTATTTTCTTACTCTAGACTACCTCGTCTATTTTACCTCTAGTTCGCATCTAGAGCCACCCTGCACACAAGATCCATCGAGCGGGTATCCAAGGCCAAATTTGGGGATGTGGAGAAGGATGACGGTTGAAAATGCGGGGCAATGAGGGTGGGGCAAGCTCCAACGTCAGTTCTTCCTATCATTCACCTCACAAGCTCATGACAAGCTTCTATTCTCCAAACGCCTATCCTGTTTCTGTTTGGTGTTGCTTCGGCACTTAAAGATTCTTGCTAACGAGCCAGCTCCGACTATGTTCGGAAAGCTTCCGAGTGGACTGGGATAGGAATCAGTCAGCGTCTTTGAGAAATTCACGCAGATCCCCCGCACTTATACTGTTATACATATATTCGAGCTACGCACTTCGCCCAACTCCTTCGCCCCATTATTTCCCTTCGCCTCAAGAAATCCTAACAACGAAAGAACCACTCCCTTCATATGCCTTCCGCAACTGAAAACGGTACAAACGGCGCCACAAATGGCACATCCAACTACGGCATCCCAGCATCTTGCCCCTCCTGTCCAGAGCCTCTCAAATATTCTGGCACTCTTGATCAATACCCTTATTTCGAAGTTACTCCCATCATTGGTCGCGAATACCCTACCCTGAAAGTGACCGATATCCTGAGGGCTCCCAATGCCAAAGAGCAAATCCGTGATCTCGCTATCATTATTTCCGAGCGGGGGGTCGTATTCTTCCGGGATCAAGGTGATCTGAATGTGCCGGACCAGAAGAAGTTCTGTGATTTATTGGGGAAGCTGAGCGGGAGGCCAGAAGAGAATGGATTGCACGTCCACCCAATTTACCGAGATCCTGGGAATTTGAAGCTACCGGACGGGACTACGGACGAGAATATGTGAGTTTAGGAAGGTTGAATGTGTAGTAGAACTACCCTAACTAGTGCAAGTTACGTGATCAACTCTGATGCGCAGAAGAAGATTTACAAGACCATGGCGAAGAGACAAACAGATGAACCAAGAGATCTGTCGAGGGAGTGGCACAGCGATTGTACGGCCCTTCTAGATACCACATAGCTATTTCGTTGTTGACATCAGCTGCTAGCGACCTTTGAGAATGTTCCCTCAGACTTCAGTTTCTTGAAGATGGAAGAAACCCCCCCACATGGCGGCGACACCCTCTGGTGCTCCGGATATGAGATGTTTGTCTCAAAGTCCTCTATCAGAACCACCTACTAAATGGGATCAGATACGACCGCATATCCCCGCCCTTCCGCTCCTTCCTCGAAGGCCTAACCGCCACCTGCGCGCAACCCGTCTTCCGCTCCGCCGCAGCTGCCGGAAATTATGAAGTCATGTCCCCTCGAGGCTCGCCTTTAAACACCGGTGACGAATTTGCGCCCTCACACCCTGTCGTCCGCACAAATCGCATCACAGGCTGGAAAGCTATTTTCGCAGGTGTCGGACTTCATGTCACGAAAATCAATGGAGTGTACGCTCACGAAGATCAGATGATTCGAGATTATATTATGAGGTTGATTACGAGAAATCATGATTGCATTGCCAGAATGAAGTGGACGAAGAATGCGGCGGCTATTTGGAATAATACTTGTGTTTGGCATGCTGCAACAGTGCGTAAAGCGATTTTTTTTCTCCCTCCCTCTGGTAGAGTATTCGAAGCAGATTTGGATAAAGAAAGGTTCATCAAGAACATCGGGCAAGTTTGCTAATTCGGTCCCAGCCTGACACACACCTCGTCGAGGGAAATCGAGTAGGTGTGAGGGCTTCCAGTATCGGCGAAATTCCATACTTGGACCCGAACTCAAAGTCAAGGAGAGAGGCGTTGGGTATACCTATTGTTTAAATATCTCTGAGCAGGTTGTGGAAGCAAATTGGGGTTTTTTTTTTTTTTTTTTTTTTTTTTTAGATCTTCACGTCTTATAATACTTCCTCCCCAATTGATGTACAGCAGACTGTTAACAGGTGAAGGGACAAAACTCGACTTTAACGGTCAACCGTAGATTCAGCTAGTCTCGTGTGTTTGACACTGAACCAAAAACCGAAATACCCTTTAGCTAGGTAGGCAAGCAGCCGGGATGCTCTCTCCATTCCAAAAACCTACCTAGAAGACTTGGAGAATACGACAGGAGAAACTGCGCTAGAAAGACATTAATATGAAAACATCGCCCAGTTCACTTTCCTCTTTGCGCCTCGCTTCTTGAATCCCTTGAAATGTCCACGAATTCCTAGAAGATGTCCTCCGACCCGTGCTTCTAAAGCAACTTCAGATATCCCCCGTCCGTTCACCGAATGGTACTGAACGCAAATGCAACGTCTCGAAAAACTGCCGACATCAACAATGTTGACCAACATCCTCTGCCAGCATTAGCCTACTAGCTAGAGTTAAGGAAGCTAGGCTAATATCAAGCGTAAGGTCGCGTAGGCCGACACATCGAGACACTGAGGTGCTAGGGCAGAATCGGAACCTATCCGAGGTAGAAATAGAATTGGGCGCTCAGTGAAGTAAATTGCACTGAAATACGAGCGATCTGATACTGAAAAGTACTTTACTTGACGAAAGTTGGTGAGAGTTGAAAAATCGACTGCCTACTGTAACGGAGTCTTGGATGACGAGATGAGTGCGTCGCAGCCATACGCTTAGGCCTTCTTCAAGAGTTCCATGGTTTGTGAAGGAAACTTGTGGTAATATAATGGGGTAGAAGCGAGTTCCAGAGAAGCGGAATTTAGGATTAATAGTGTATTCGTCTGGTAAGTCCGCAAAGGCGCTTTCATAGACTTGCTTTCGGATCTTGAGCGGGTGGCTCTCGAATTCGAGCGGGACTTGAAATATCTCTGGCTTGTATGTTGAACTGGTAGACTGGCCGCACAATTAAGTTGATGTGTCGTGGGAGAACCGAGGTTCAACTGCGAATGCAATGCTGCGCTTTTGGCCAAATCTACTTGGATTGTTGGTATTGGGATGGAAGGTAGATAAAAATGTTTATAGAGCATATGGTGATTTTACTGTCCTAAGGTACATTATAAATGTTATATTTTATAGTGGGAATATGTTACTTCAGGGTGAATGAAATGCATTTCGCGATGCACGAAATGTAGCCCCTAAAAGAATCTTATACATTCACCGTCTACATACAGAGAGAAGGCTGTTAGTTATTCCCCCACCTCTTATATGTAATACCGTACATCATATCATCAGAGTGACATAGTCTGCCATTCTTTGCATGCATTGCAGGCTGTGTACTTTCGGCGGTGAAGTCAGGTGACTGCGCATTGTCGCTACCAGAACCTTAAAATGCCTCACACCTAGTCAATAGCAAATCCCATGCCTTCCAGTTATGCTCCACAAAAGAATGAGGGCCCGCCTCGTGCTTCTCTCCTGCCACAACACTGTCACCTGGCTGAAATTGACGCCGTTAAAAGTTGACCGTTTCCTCGATCTTCCACTCGAGTTCCGCGGGAAGATCTACCTCTTTGTTATGGACAAGGTGCCACGCAAAGTCACCCCAAGAAGTCCACGGCGCTGTTGAATTGGGCAAAGACGTTGCAAAAATCTTTTTCGCCAGCCGCGTCACTTTCATCGAGGTGCCTGCTCATCCGATTCCGAAGCGCTTACATTTTTATCCACGAGCACCATCCCACCATGGAACGCATTCCCGGATTTCTCTCCCACGCCATGGACAGGAAAGGCGTCAAGAGTATCCGCGAGATCGTATTCAAGGATGACTACAGATTTGAGCGCATCTCAACATACCAAACATTCCATAACTCCAACCATCTTTGCTATGCGCTCAATCTGATTGCAGTGCGCAGAACAGGCCCTTAGGGGAAAACAGATGTAGGATCTCGGGTGGGGGCCGGCGAGTCCCTTGTTGTTTGGGAAGTGGCTGAGGTAGCAGAGGAAGGCTTTAGTCTGGCCTGGGCGGTGGTAGAGGATGAAATGTAGTCCGCAGGCATATAAAATAGAAGCTTAGGAGAATACTTTAGATGAAGACCCAACTCGGAGACAAAACCACATTTCCGTTCTGCTTGCATTTGTCCAAGATGTGAATGCTGCTAGATCCTCTGCTTGGGCTTGATAGTGGGCTGGGACGTTGTTCTCTTCGGTGCGCATCATAATTCCTGATCGTGTATGCTATTCGTCCTTTTAAGTCTAGTACTTTCACCCCTAGCTTGCAACATCTGGGATCGGGACAAACGGGTGAAGTCTTGCACTACGACAGATCGCTTGGATTTTTGATAAAGCATGGATATTGGTGGTGGTAAAATCAAAGTCGCACACACGGTGCTGCTCTCGATTGGCGAAGTAGATGGCCTTGGACTGCCTTCAAATAGAAGGAAAGTGTAGACGGCAAAGCCGGAGGACAACCCAAATGCGCCGCAATGACTCATTGTTTCTACTCGTGGTACCGTTGTTCAGTCTTGTGTGTATGAAAATTGACGCCTTGGGAGCTGCAGAGAAGGGCATGAAGAATCTCAATGGCTGAGAGATAATTGTACTAAGTGCGTAATCGAAGGTGTGGTAATGTTGATGGATAGCGCTTGGCGATGACCCCAAACATCACTATTAGGACTTCTACGTGAATTCAGACTTTCAAGCGTCCTGGGGTTGTTTTGGAACAGCTAGTAGTATGAGTGCACAGGAGGACTGCCAAACCCGCCCAATTATTCGCCCAGAGGTTCTTTCGGCCATTAGCAGGGTTTCCTCAGGCAGAATACAGTAGAGAAGACTCGAGTATGCCTTATTTAGAACGACCCTTCTGTGAACTCTTCCGCTCCTATCCAGCAGGTTATGTTATCTTCGCATAAGAATGGTGTGGGAATAGAACGAGTAGTCTAGTTTTGCGTGAGTTAGATGGTTCAAGGGTGGATATCTGTAAGAGCACTAGCAAAGAACGCGGTAAAAGGAGCTTCGGCTGATGGTTGCTCTAAGACAAAGTGACTTGCTTTAACATCACTGGATGTGCTTAGCCTGTCTTGGTTTAGCGAAATAGGGTTCGTGAATCTGGAGATGTCGAAGTGGCATCCTTGAGGTTCGGCTCGAATGAGTTCAACACCATCGTTGCATGTCCACTAGTGCCTGAACCGGATCGAAAAGGCCGAGATCATACAAGCCTGGATTTTGAGGCATGCTAGAAGCCGGTTGTTTTGAAGGAGCTTCTGGACTGGAATTGCTTCAGTCCCACTACAATCGCCCGGAATATAGAAGATATAAGTTTCAAGTAAAGAATGAGATCCGTTCTGCGGGGACAAGGGCTAGAAGGGGGGCAAGCCACTCATCATCCTTGGAATTGAATTACTATGATGCTTCTTGAATCCAAAAGATCCCAAATGGTGAGGTATTGAGAGGAGATGTACCGTCCACTAGGTCTTTATATGTGCACCGTAGTACAATGAGGGGTTGGAAAATATGAGTCATCGCGGGTGTGGACGAAATGTCGACCCCTAATATTGCATTCTTGAGCCCGATGGCTGGGATTCGAGTCCGAATGCTCGCCATAACGGTGTAATGCAGGTCTACTTCGTATATGCAAGTCATCTGCCGGCTATCAGAAGTGGACAATTGCAGAGGCCGCGATACAGTATTAGTATCGTCACACATCGTAAAAGGGGTCTTTGAAAATGGCGAAGAAACAGAAAGCCCTTCGGAATAGGACCAGATTCCTATATTGATTTAGTGAGCCACTTTTTGGTGACTTTGTAAGTTCAGTAGCACTTACTCAGTCATGTTGGAGGAACTATTTGCTGCGGGTAGGAAAAGATAGGAATAAGAAGCAGGAAGGGATAAAGAAGGAGTATATAGAGGGTCGGAATCAACAGCACGAGGTATCATAGCAACTGTGCTTGACGAACCGACAACCGCCCCCGAGATAGTGAGAGCTGGGGAGAAATAATAAACGCCAACTTCTTATATCATTGCATAGCATGCAATAAGATCGCGAAAAACACAGTTCCAGGGACCAGAGGCACGAAATCTGTGAAGGGTAGATGCAACAAGTGCGCCAAGGGAGTGTTGCCTTGGGGAGTCTGGATTCGAATAAACTCGGATATTATCTCCGCAAGAGACGCCTGCATGGGAATTTCATGTAATTTGGAGCTAAATTGGAGTGCTGTTTATTGTGAAAAGCGAGTGGCACAAAGTTACGATTCCAATTGAGAAGGATTAAGCCGACCGTTGCACCAAAGGGAGGGAGAGGCAACAGAAAATTAAAGGCAACGACTTGTACAGCGTCACTTTGCGTCTCTTGGCCTTCCCTTGGGTGAATTCGCCAAGAATCTGGAGTTTGAAGAATCGACAGAATTGCTGCGCTCAACGGTGAATGAAGTATTGCCAATATCTGTCCGTTGGAAAGGCAACGATCCTGTGATATCTCCATTTTTGAAACTATCTCTGGACATCTAATTACCGGAACTTTGGAGTGAGAGGAGCCGCACAGACAGGTCGATCATCTCATCAGACACGACATTTTCACCATTCAGATCTGCCGCCGATGTCATTTTCCTCAAGTAATAAAGCAAGGATGGAGCCGGAGGTATCATGAAGTACAGAAAGCCAACGAAAATGTTGGTGAAACATTCAGGGGGTATCCGAATCCTTCAGATCATTCTGACTGGTCGAAGTACTTCAGCAACTCGGAAAGACTCGAAGAGCATTGACACAGCCGCATAAAGCATGTGCAACAAGAAAAGCACTCCCTGCAATGTCTGACACAACGTCAAGAATTTATTTTAAGGAACGAAGTTGCGTATGGCCAATATAAAATAGATATCGTTACATTCTGGCGAAAGGGACGCAAGACGGAGGACGAGAAGCTTGATACGAAACTCGTTGTGCCAAGCTACGCACGTACCACTTTCATTCTCCATTCCACACAGTCCCTACGCACACTTCCTCCCACTTCGCATTCACCCCGGCGAGTATTCAAACCCAATCAAATCTTTCCGAACACAACCTTGGGGGCGAATGCGGCCATCCCGAAGCGAAATCCGCCCAAAGCCACAACGCGCCCAGACCATTTTCCCAATTCGTTAAGCCTGGGTGTCGTGCAGGAAGCAGGCAGCCTCACCATGCGAGGCCTGCGGTGGCACTTTGAGGCCGAGTTATACCGCCTAAATTGTGTGAAAGATGACTGGATGACAGAGGGTTGCCTGAGAGCTCGGGGACTTTAGCGGCGTTGCAGGGTAATTGAGGGTTCGCACGAGGTTCGCACGAGGTGCATTATGCACGAGGAACTCTCCATGGAGCAGTTGGAGACGTTCAATACCTCGGAGAGTATGCAACCCAGGTTTGGTCCGAGACACGGAGGAAATTCACTAGGGACACGAGGCAAGAGGGAAGAAATATATAAGAGTGATAGAAGCGCCGGCGTCATGGCTAGACCAACTCGTCCTCTTGTTGTTTGTTCTAATTGAGACATTGCGACCTACCACGTCGTTGCTCCAGAAGCGCTGGTCGGCCAAACTTCAACCAATCCCGTCAACAGTTACGAATAACCTCAGCAAGCCTCACAAGACCACCGACTTATACAAACTTATTTAAACAGCTAAGCATAAGCAACTGTCTTCCAAGGCCCACAACCACCTCATCTTTCTCCGACACGTATTTCTATACGCAAACAACAACAATGTCCACCAATGGCTCCATTCCCACCACAAAAACTACCCTCTGGATCTGGGCTTCCGGCCTCTACCCCCGCCGCTTAACCTACTACTTCTCCGCGAAACGACTCCCCCTCTCCATTCTCAAAGCCCACAATATCCACCTGATCCCCATAACCTCGGACCCTGAAACCCATGAACTCACCCCCAAACCTGGTTTCGAAGACCGGCCCGCTGGATGCACTCTGCCTGTCCTGCGCATCGAGAAGCCTGGCCAGGAACCGACCATGATCTACGAATCCTGCGCAATAATGGAATACTTTGAAGAGAAATTCCCTGCCCGAGACGGGTATGTGGAATTGCTTGGTAACACGCCGGAGCAGCGGGCAAGGACGAGGGATATACTCCTTCTCTTAAACGATGCGATTACCTGGGCAAATGTTGCAGCGCGACACGCGGATCCGAGGTCGACTGCCTGGTCCGGCATGACGCCAGAGGAGCAAGCGCCGCTCGCGGCGAAGGACGCGAATCGAGTCCTGCAGACAAAGTTTTTGGCGAAGCTGGAGAAGTGGGTACAGGGAGATGTTGGAGTGAAGAAGTGTTCGAGTTTGAGTGGGGAGGGGATAGAAGTTAGCGTTGCCGATGTTGCGGTTCTGGCCGGGGTGAAGTATGTGGAGGTAAGGATGGGGAGGAATTGGGTGGAAGGATATAAGGCGTTGGGAGATTGGGTTGAGAGGGCGAAGAAATCGGAGTGGTTTGTGGAGGAGGAGGAAATTTTGAAGATAGAGGCCGATGAGGATGGGTTGAATAGGTTGTTTGTACAGTGAGGATATGATAAGGAGGAATTAGAATGCTTCCTGGGATAGAAAAGAGGTACGAAGGCTGTCCAGCACGGGCGAGTAATGACAACAGCAATATGGAAAGCGTAGCCGTAGACTACTCACATGAGGAGAACAAAATCCAAGACAGCTGAACTGGCTGGTGTTGATTACTAAGCATACATCCCCCAAACTAAACGCCACAACAGCACCGTCAACCATAATCCCACAGAAAGCCTCCAAGACATAATACTTGCCAGGTGGCAGTAGCTCTCAATTTCGAAGGCTGTCTAAACCTTCACGCCTGCAACAGGGCAAACCGCCCCCTTCTCTGCGCCCTGCACGCTCGGATGAACATGCACCTTGTCCTTATGATGTGCCACCGTAGCCTTTGTAACGGGACAGACCTCTCCCTCCTTCGCCTTGGTAGTGTCAGGGTGGTCCGGAGGCAGAACAGTCGTAGCAGGCCCGATAACAGGGCACACCTCATCGTCCATGGCCTTGCTCTTCGGCTGGGCAACAACCTGCTTCAACGCAGGACATTCCGTCGCAGTCGGCGAGGTAGTATTCTCAATCTGAACAGACGGGTGCTTGTGCAGGTTGTGGTGGTGATCGGTCTTGGCTCCGACAACAGGACAGGTTTGACCGTCCTTTGTGAGATCGACTTCCGGGTGGTTTGGGGGCAGGACGTCGTTTGTGGTACCAACGACAGGACAAGCGGTTGTCATTATGAGGGTTCGGAAAAGAGTTGTTTTGAAGTGGACTTAATACTTAAAGGCTTTGGTATGATAGTGATGGAGAGATGGTGTTGAGGCTGCCTGGCCTAAGGTTTGAAGCTTCGAGCTTGCCGCCTCGTTGCACAGACATCTGGTGTGACGTCACTTCCGTTTCTCATCAGCCTTCTTGCAAGGACGCTCATTGGTTCGCAATTCATCCGGACCTCGGGAGGCTGTCCTCTTTACCCTTCAACCAACAGCATGCCATGCATTGTTCATCTGCCCCCAGCAGTCTACCGGGTGCGTTCTTTTCGCCATTTTACAATGTGACGTGGACACAGATGCCGTATTCTATAATTATCTTTCTAACAGTCACAAAGGAGCTGATGGAAATAGCCCGAGCTTTGAACTCAAAGGCAAAGACTATCTGATCACTCTGCTTGACTAGGATTTTAATTCATCTCCTTCCTCTGGGGATTCCCTCAATGCTGAAAACCACATACAACACGCCAATGGCAGCATTTGAAAGAAGCCGGGAAAGCAACCATATCCGCTGCAATAGAGACGAAGAGCCTTTCTTTAACCTAGAGAACCCCAAAGGGACAGCGGTTACAACAACACAAATGACATCCCTCTCGAGAAGTAGTCTCCTAGCGGGGATTGGCCTGCTATCGAGTTGGTCCCTTCGGGTAACGGCTTTGTCCTCTTCATAGTATGCGGAAGCTGTTTCGGAGTGGAATAGCCGAAGCGGACTTATATACGAGGAATCTGGTGCCTGGGTGCTTCAAAGGGCTCGAGACTTCTGGCGTAGCCGACACCGCACAGGTAACCACCAAAGTGATCACGGAGTTCGCCAAAAGTGATGAAAGGATATGAGATTGTAACTCAAATCTCCACATTCCGCATAGACCGATCTCGATTCGGGTTCCTATTAGAGCCAGCCGATAGAATGAATTCGTCCCAGCATTCCAGTAAAGTGCCCAGCTATATCAATATAGCCATGATACTAAGATATGTTTGACATTTGCTAGGCAACATGCTTGATGTATTAAATAGATCGTACAATCCAACAGGTTCCCCTTCCTCACAACCTCAAACCCTAACGGCCACTCCCGTCGACTTCGGCGTCGCACTCGGCGTCGGAATCCCCGTCCCATTCATCCCACATCCATCAACCCAACAGGCACTGACAGTATGAATGTACCTAATCTTCCCATCCTCAATCCTAAAAAAATGACTATCCGGAGTCCCTTCCTTCGGCCTCGTTCGATCTAGTCCCTGGAATCCGAGGAAAATATCCACAGTCCCCATCTCCTCATCAATCACGTACCTTCTATTCGACATCTCTACATGTTCCGGTAATCCACCGATGTTGCACGTATTTGCGGTGAGATTTCCGCGGCCGGTGTATGCACCGCCTTCAAGACGAGCGCAGGGAGTTCCAAAAGGGACAATGACGGAGACGTTGTTGCAGCGGTCGGCGTAGGCGTCAGCAGCGGCTTGGAGAGTGGCGCGGGATAGGCGCTTAGAGGGTGGGATGGGATCCCAATTCTCCAGACTGTTCCAGTACATATATCCTGTTGCATTGAATGCCCAATCTCCTTTGTCCGTCACCAAGCTGTCGATTTTGGTTACGCTTCCCTCCTCGTCGAGATACAATTGCGTGGCAAACACCATCGGGTGTGTCGGATCGGTGACGATCAGCTCGGTGAAGATTTTGCAGAGCGTAGTGTCGTATACGGAACGATTGAAGGCGATGTTTACGGGCCAGGCGGGCTGGCCAGAGAGAATTGAGGAGGTTTTGTTATTCTCGAGATATGTGAGGTTGTAACTAAGATTGTCGAATTGCCCATGATCTCCTGAAGATTGGAGATAGACCCATTTTGCGGCCGTATCCACCAGAAGGTCGCGCGTACACGCGGCAGAGGTGAGTGTGGTTAGGGATGTAAGTCCAACAAGGACGGAGGACAACGACAACATTATGATGGTTGGTATCGGTGGAAGCGAGTTTCGCCGGCCTGGAAGTCGTAGTTTAGGATGTGATTGGGGAGAATTTAGTCCTTTAAGTCAACTCCCATTCACCTCTTATCACCCACCATTAACCTCCAATTACTCCGATATAGCCACCAGATCTACCCGTTCTCAACAACTCTTCCAGACGAGGAATTGGGACTCCTCATCCAATCCATTCCTTCCAAACCCTCTTTTTTCGCAATTCATAATTCCGGCGAGATTGGGAAATGGAGATGCAAATGGGTGTCTCTCCTCCAAGCCCAATTTATGTAGATGGTGTGGGGCAAATCGGCACTCGTGTTTACCCTGTTTACCCCTGACACGACACCCCACTTCATCTTCATCCCTGCCGCAGATCTCAGGGGAACAATTAAGCCTCTCGAAGTCCCACGATCTGTCAATTCCTTTGTAAAAACTAGCCGTACATTGAGATGCTAACACCCTCCACAACAATGCAGCACGGTGAAGAGCTCTAGATTTGCGTCCTTCATGGCAGCGCAGAGACTAAGAAGGCATCAAAACTGTCTAGTAGTTAAGGGGGAGGAGCGAGATATCCATAAGAGGACATCGTATAACGACGTGTTCTCTGCACTGGCTCGTAGCGCCATAACGAGCTCAACGTCACAAACATCGCACACATGTCGAATTCCAAAAAAGGTGGAATCAACAATTACCTGGTCTCAGCACAAAGACAATGTAAGGAATCCATAAATAGCATCTTTGACGAATACTGAAGCTCGACCACTCAAAAACTTTACAAACATCTCGACACTCCCCACAAGCCAAACTTGCGGAATCCGAAATCATTCCAGAATATTAGAGAACACAAGATATAAATTAACTTAATCTAGCGCAGAACCTATAGCTCCATCAACGTTGCGTGAAAACCCAGGAAAGAAATCGCGAGAAACATACAGAACTCGAAGCGCAGCAAATCGCTCTCAAAACCCAATACTCCACTCCCCGCAATCTTCCAACACCCTCTTCTTCTTCTTCTTCTTCTTCTTCTTCTTCTTCTTCTTCTTCTCTCCCAGAGCAACATTTCCATGCTCTTCACCAGTTTCTACCCCACTCTCCTCAAAATCTCTGCATTCCTCCACCACACACAGATCTTCCCCCTTCCACCCTCGACCCCACGCTCAAGCAAACCTCCCTAATCAGCATGCCAGATGTACCTCCCATGATTCCCGTAGCTTAGTCCCTCATTCACTCTCGCCGTCGCAGTAAAGCTAATCACCTCTACCCTTGGCGTAATCGTCGTCAACATCCACCCCCCAAGCCGCCATGGATCATCCCACTTCTCAGGTCTCACGAAACCCATGTAACTCGTCGTCTTGGGCTTCTCGCTTGTCATTGTCGTGGGAACGAGGATCCATCCACCGAAGTGGGAGAGGTCGTCTGCGAAGGCGGGGCGAATGAAAGTGGAGGTTATTTTTGTCATTATGGGAATGGCGACCTGGATGGAGTGGAGTGGTATGGACGCTGTGGTTTGGGGTGTGATTTGCGACGAGATGTGGTTGGGCGTCGTTGGGGTAGGGGAAAGTGGCCGGGGGCTAGCGGTGGGAATGTTGAAACAGGCTTGGAGGGCTAGGTGGAGGTGAGGGGTGTAGCGCATTTTGGTTGGAGGTAGTGAAAAAGTAGTGAGTTGTGGTTTGGTTTGAAGTCTTAGTGATTGTGTTACTTGTGCTTTGAAACTTTAGACTCGCTAGTTAGGTTGTGGTGTAAGGGTTTGGTGTCTTGGTACGTGGATGAACTGGATAGATGGAGAACTGAAAAGCATGGGAATGCACAGGCTTATATAGCATGGCAAAATTCTAGAATCGGTGGCAATGGGCTTGGGATGAGAGATTTTTGCCTCAGATTTTGTGAACTAATCTGGTTGACCTAAGTCGGTACCATTCATTGATGTCCAGTTTTCTAAAAGTGATTTTAGGAGATATGAGAAGGAAGAAATCAGGACGTGCGGCTGTTGAGGCAGGAAGGATTGGAAGATCCAAACAAAAGATAGCTATAAAAATGACCTGTGCGCACTACTTACCCTAGAATGTGCTTCCCATGTCGGCCAGGTACTCACCGCTGGTACAACCTTCGGGATTAGGAAGCTCTCGAGCAAGATTTCGAACTGCATCCCGAAACGCTCGTCTATGAACTGCGGCCTCTATATAGTGTCGCACGTGCATTTCTTCCGCCTAGATAAATACTTCTGCTGGGCATGGTAGAATGTTGACGTTTTGCCACCTGCAACATACAGGTCTCAGGATCTGTTTGCGGGATATATATAACTCCCTCATATACCCCATTGCTTCCCTTTTAGATCTAGAAGGACGAACTGACAACGTCGCCGCTGCCCCACCCAAGTCACCACCCAATGTTGCCCCCCCCTAATGAACTCAGAGTCCAGATCCGACAGCGAGTCCACTCTATTGGAAGACTCAGTTCCCCGCGCCATGAGTATCCACATTCTTGTACCTCAGCAACGTGCACTACTTGGGGGGTTGGCGCGGGAGCCCGCGCGGGAGAAAGCTAGCGAGCTGTAATCATGGAGTCGACTTCGTATGGGCCACTAGGGTTAATATTTAAGTGATATGGGGTTAAAAGTCTGTGCCTTGTAGAGGTTGGTTTATTGTCTCACCCTAGATGAACTTCGGTGCTGCACAAGCCGCAGTCGAGAGTGGACTGCATCCTCGTGTATATCTTATTCTTTGATTTATGTTAAACGGAAGGTGCATTGACCTGCTCGCAAAATTTAGAGTGAATGATATTGGAAGAAGGGCAGAGTGTTGGCCTAGCTTAGCTGCCTCGCCCTGAATAATGCAGCATCGTAGCCTAGCACGTTCTTGTTCTCATGATTAGCGTACCGCTCTCCCCTGTTCACTGTTAGCAAACTCAGAGAGAACGCCTACAAGGCTGGAATGAGGTGCACTGTTGCCCATGCGCTAGTCCCTCACATTTTGGATAGTATCATCACATATCGATAGCTAATGGAGCATCGAGCTTACCAAAACCATGGCCAAAATATTACAGCCAGTGGCATTAAATGACACTGCTGGACCTGACTACAGAAACCCGGAGTCGCCGACGCGAATTTCGTTGGATTAGCTTCCTGCGGGTGACGCCCATGGTTCTTCATGCTCAGGATATCACACAGTAAATCAAGGTTCCAGGTTCCACCGTCGGCGAGCACGCACCGTTTAGTCTCAAATTTCTAAGCCTTGAGAGTATTTCCACGGTCTTCGACTGGATTGCTGACCGCCTCCTGCAGCGGCTCTTGTGCAGCGAGGAATTTGTTGCGGATCTATTACGGATTTCCCCGCTCCAACAACGTGGTTGTGGACGATGCTGTTGCAAGAAGCGGGGCCATGGTTGGGTCCCGCGGGGACCATTGCTGAAGGCAGCGCTCTAGTCAAAATCATGGTTTTAAAGCTCAGAGACGTGGTCCAGAACCTCGGTGGTATTTGGATTACCCATCGAGGGGATGGTGCAGGGGACTGATTCCCCCACGGAAGCCGCGAGAGCAACAGCCAGGGTGAGAAGAGCGAGCTTCTTTTATCAACCTTGAAGGCCTAACCTTGAAGACCCGGGTGGTGGGAGCGAGGAAGAGGCACGGGAGGTGGATCTTACACTTACCCTCGAGGAAGCCCCTCTATCCTGTCACGCTATAAACTTGCTCCGCTGCCTAGCAAGAGCTGGTGAGAATGGTGTCAAGATCAGCAAGCGCAGCTGTTTCCTTTACTGATAAGCGAGTAGCTTCTTGAGGCCCAGATTCGGAGGGCGTAACCAGTAGAATATTGGAAAGAGCTAGCAGTAATTTCACGAAAGAGTAGGTTTGACATGAAGTGAGTCGAGATTACCAAATCTATGATGTGTAAACCTGGCCTTTCTTTGGCTAGAGTGGAAATTTTGAAACCCCCGTTTTTATCGTGCATCCCGTCGACGCGCCTTCTCTATAACCCTAGTCAATCCTAAGCCTAGTCTGAATTTTGCTCCACCATTTATGCTCGATGCTAATGGGGCCGAAGATTTGTGCATCGAAATGCCCCAATCCTTCCGGCGTAGTCGGGCGGAAGTGGTGGGCCATTATAGTTGCGGAAATGATAGTCCAACGAGTCGCAGTTGTGCTCGCTAAGACCGATATTAGCACATATTATATTTCGTAGCGACGCGAAAACTTACTGGTAGAAGTAACAGCCCCACTCACCAACTGGGAGAAACACTTTCGGAGCAAGCGAGGCGAGACATCCCCTTGTTCGCTACAATAAGAAATGGAGAGTATTGATTGTCAAGGTTAGACTTACGGCTCGAGCGGAATGCACTCTCCGTCGATGTCGATTCGGATGCCCTCACACGGATCGCGCAGGATATTGTAGCCGTTGATGAAGTACACCTAGGCTTTGGGGTTAGTGGGCAGATGGGCAATGGAGGAATCTATGCTTTACCGTATTGTAAGGGGCGAACACTAGGGTTCCGTCGGGATTTGTGTCGTTGCTGAAGCAATGGGTGGTGTTGGCGGCAGCCAAGGACGGTCCAGCGAAGGCTCCGATAGCCATGAACACGTTGAAGAGATGCATCGTGGATTGGCAGGAAATTGTTCTCTTCAGTACCTTAAAATTGACACGCGTGGAGGTAAACGGAGGAAGGGAGAGGAGTCGCGGTTGAAGTTAAGATTGAGGGGAGGGAAAGAGGGCTATATATAAAGGCGAGAACCCCAGACTCTTTCACCGCTCAGAAGCCGCTCATAGCCATGCCTAGGCAAGGCCTTTTAGTGAATCATGTGAGGTACCAGCAGTGTGGATAAGTCAGCCTGGGAAAAGAAAGGGCTCCGGCTAGAAACGCAGGCTCCACGTGTCTATGATACCTGAGCGTGATTCCCACCGGAGTTGCCGACGTTGCTTCCTTCCGCCAAAGGCTTCCGACGGCTTAGCTCCAAAATATACTCCATATCTGGGATGGCAGTAGCGGTCCTGATCAAGAAGGTTTCCTCGAACAAACAAAAGCCCGAGCTTCTCGGGCCATTCCTCTGGCAACCCGGTGTGTTGTATATGTAGTTTAGAATGTTGGTGGAAGCGCAGCAGTTCTCACTGAATTCAGCCCGATCAATTTCCAAATCCAAAATGTCAGTGTTTGGTGCATCTACTGGCAAAGGAGATATCTCTGACATCATCAGAGCCAGCGATGGGCTTGATAGCGGACTGGGCTACTGTTGCAATCAATCCGCTGCTATCTACCGACTAGCCAACTTGTCTAGATATAGCATTTGGCATGTTATGGTCGTTATACGCACGATCCGACAGAATAACACCTGCTCTGCCCCTAGGCAAGGAAACGCTGGCATCGCCGTTGAGGTTGCCACGCCTTTCGAGGAAGTGCATCTTAGATCCTTAGTGGCTGGTGTCATGAATGAAGTAGAAGGCTGCGGGTTTATGAGATGTAAGGAAGGCCAAAAAAATGAATTGTAGAGGAGGCATCAAATTGGGGGTCATTGCTCCAGCAATTCATGTCATTAAGTGAGTGCTGTTTAAGGCGATGAGTGAGGCGAGGGCTAGAGCGGGGCCGCCGCGGAGGAGGAACACAGGTGCCGGGCTGGCCAGATGCCGGATGTGGTGGATAAGAGTTTTAAGTGGATCTCAATGGAGGAGCATTATTGTAGGTGTAGAGGAGGATGTTGTGTCGTGGGTGAAGGTAGACCCGCATCAACCTTAGAAGCTATGAGGTTGGATCCATACCTTTCGTAAGGGAAGTTTTATCATGGTACTGGAGAGAAGCTATGTTGACCCCACATCAAAAGCAAGGACAGGGAGACCAATATGTTGCAGTCCGGTATTAGGAGTGTGGGTCCAAGAATCGGACTCATCCTCTCTCATGCTGTCCTAGTCCTGGATGGGTTCAACGATTAATTTCATGCCTAGCGCATCTTGTTACCTCATGTGGGATATGACAGGCATCCCTAAGGACGGCAATTTTCATCTTTTAAATGCGATACCTAATTCCAGCAATAGGTGTGAGAGATAAACTCTGCCCTGGTCCTGTTCCAAGTTATGATATAACGTGATAGTTATGGGTGTTGAAATTGCTTGGTGGAAAGAAAATTAGTTCTACACGGCCTGGGGCACAAGCTCTTTGCAGGTCAGGCTTCTTGCGCACCCAAGAGATGTCGAGACTTAAACACTCGTATCTTTCCTGTTCTCCTCCAGCATCCGTGCTACTGACAATCACTACATTCAGTATGAAAAAGCGCAGCAAAAGTCACGAATCAGGGAAGATCTGGTCGGTGTTGCTGAGAAGACTATGTCTGTTGCGGTCAAACGAGCTTTCCTTCGAGGGGTTTCTGCAAGAGCCTCCTCAAACTTGTCCATTGTAGCTGGTCTGCTCCATAATACGGTAAAAAAAAAAAAAGAAAGGGCATGTTGGTTGATATTCCGGAACTGGGATTCCCCATAGCATTTTTAGAGATACATCTATCTCACACTGTCTACGGGGCCCTTCGATTTTTGATATCTTCTCAGGATAGGAGTCTAGTTTGGCCCCTCAACTAGAGACCTGACTCCCGAGATGGGAACAGACTATACTGCAGGGTTGGTGTAATTCTGAGAGAGGAATTGATAGCAGTATAAGTGGGTGCTTTATGATAGCTGTGGCAAAAACTGGGTCCTGCAACACGCTGGAATGATCTAGATGCAGCAGCTCCAACCAGTTTTGAGATGTACTACATGCACATGGACACAGCAATTGTCTCAATAATAATAAATTTTGCGGGAATAGAAAATGAGGAAAATTTCACCAACTTAGTGGCGGATCTACTTTGAATGGAAATCTATTGCTATGATCAGCGGTGGGCACAAATTCTTTGTGTCAGGTGAAATCAAACTTATAGTGAAGCAATATTTCTCTAGCCCCAGAGCATTTTTTTCGCGTCTTGGCGGGGTATATAAACTTTTATTCCTCTCTCAACTTCTAAGCACTCTCAACCAACTCTCCCACAACCGAACCCAGAGGTCAAACTCCGCCTATGGATAACGGCGGTCCATCCATCATGCCATCTCCCGTTGATTCCTCTCTACTATGCGGAAACTGCCCGAACGCCGGAACTCACCGGTGTTCCCGCTGCCACAATGCCCGCTACTGTTCCGCCACCTGCCAGAGGGCCGACTGGCCGCTCCACGCAAAAATCTGCATCAGCTTCGCCTCGCTCCCAGCCCGCCCCGGCCCAAACTTCAAGCGTGCCCTACTCTTCCGTGCCAACTCCCCACGCCCGCGCTTCATCTGGCTCGAACACAGAGGAAGCAACTACAACCCTAAGCTCGAAGACTGGATCCCCTGTGGTACTGGTTGTATCGACATTAATTGCTATCGACGTCTCAACCGACGTCTTTCTAACATGATTAATCTCACGTTCGACGAAAATTTCCTCGGAACCTATACCACCCCAAACTGGTCCATTGCGGGGATTGTCGGACCGCAATATGCAGGTAGGTGGCGGGGCGACTTCATCGCGCAGGGATTTGAGGGACGATGGCAGACTGAGCATATTGTGGCGCGGGACTTGGATACTATGGCTTTAGGTCCAATTGAGGATTGCTTGCGGTTCCGGAGCCAGAATAGTATGGTGGAGTACTGTCTGCCCGACGACGTTGAGGGCGAGGATATGACTTGATGTGGGAAAGCAGAAGCTGATCGATGAGATGGAGACGGTGGTGGTGATGATGATTTATGAATGGATGGCTAGAGGACGGCAGCTCGGATGGACGTTCAGTTCGTGAATGTTCTGGGCCTTGCTGGATTTTCGTTCTGGGTCTGGGTGATGACCCTGGGCTTTTCTTTTGAGCTCGTTGAGCTCCTAAATTTCTCTAATTCTCCTGTTCGTGTTAGCAGTTCACGAAGCATCAGAGATTCCCCATCAAAAAATATACCCAACTAATTGAACTTGCCCTCTTTCATATGTTTTATGCAGCCATAACACTTGTATCATGAACCAAACCCAAACCACCGTTACCAATATTCCATACCAACCACCTACCCCACTTCCCCCTACTCATTCCAACTATCTTCTCGCTTCCTCTACCCCCCAACCATCTTCCTGCTCCCTCCTTTCAAATTCCACAATCTCCGCCACCCAATCCGCAACCTGCTTCCCCGCCACAGTCTCCACAACCCATAATGACGCATCCAACCCACTCGTCACCCCTCCCGCCGTCACAATCCTCACTTCCTGTTCCGTAACCCCCGCATCCACCCACCTCTTCCGCACAACCTGGATCCCGGACTCCCCGCCCGCTGCTTGATCCGCGATCATCTTGATGGTTTCCAAGCCCATGTGATGCGTCGTCACAGTCCTGCCATTTAAAATTCCCGCCGCAGCGAGAAAAAATGCGCCAGTGCAGACAGAGAAAACAATACGATGTCCGCCCCCGTCAGTTTTCGTCTTTGGACAGGGCATCAACCCCGCAAACCGCGCAACCAATGCCGTGAATTCTTTCCCTTCCTTACTATCTAAATACTTCACTAGGAAGTCCGGATGCGCGCCCGGTACGAGCAGAATGTCGTATTTCTCGAGTTGGGTTTTGGCGGTGGAGAAGAGTATGTCGGGATGGTATGTTAGAGCTCCTGCTGCAGCTTTGACGGATGTAGAATGGGCGAAGGTTGTGATTTCGAAGGAATGGGGGGTTCCGGGGGGTGGATTTGTGGAGAAGACTTCTATAGGGCCGGAGAAATCTAGGATGTCGGCGGTGGGGTAGAGGAAGGCGAGGACTTTGTAGACGGGGGGCATGTTGGTGGGGGCTGGGGTAGAGTTGGGATGCGATGGGATTTGAGATGGAAGAGGAGTTAGGAGGCCGGGAGGGTAGAAAGCTTATTCGTGTGGAGTTGGAGAAGTTTATATCTTGAAGTCGGATCGGAGGTTTATATGTGTTCCGATCCGTGGATAGGTGGGTCAAGTGCTTGGCGTCGGCTCTGCTGTCGGACTCCTAAGACAGGTCTATTAAACACACAGCCGATACCTCTTCAAGATGTGTTATATTGTGAGAGATTCGGTAGATATACCCAATACGAAGGCAAACTGAAAGCAAACCCCGTCCTAGGCCCAGGTCTGCGTGAGATCACGCTCTACGGAAGCACTTTCTTCAAGACCCCCACCAAACCCTGAATCTCCTCCTCCGTATTATAATGCACCATGCTCACCCTCACCACGCCCTCCGGCCCCAATCCTAACACCTCGTCACAAAGCCTCTTGCTATAAAAATGGCCCCACCTAAATCCAAAATTACTCACCTTTTCAGCCTCCTCTACAACCTCCCTACTTCCCATCCCTTGAACTGAAAACGACACCGTCGGAACCCTAGTATACGAGTCTGCAGTCGTCTCACCATGCACCGTGACATCTTCCCGAGAGTTAAGGAAATCGAGGAGGATCTTCTGAATCTTACCTTCGTGCTCGGCGATGGCGGCGAAGACAGGACCGGGATTGTCTCCACCAAGGTAGGAGACGATAGCGGGGATGGCTTGCGTGAGTTCATAGTTCGAAGCTGCGAAGCCGATTTTGTTTTCAAGGGTTTTGATTGGATTGAAGAAGTGACCCAAGCATTTGAGGTGTTTTTGAGCGGAGTTGCTGGCGAAAAGTACGGAGATGTGAGGACCGTACACCTAAGCTCATGAGTAATTTTGCTCTAGGAAGTATATGAAGGGTTTATAGAAATATACCTTATACCACGAGAAGGCATAAAAATCTATCCCGAAAGCCTTGACATCTACCCGGCGATGTGGAGCATAAGACACCCCGTCAACGCAGAACAAAGCCCCAGCTTCGTGTACCGTCTTAGCGATCGCTCCAATATCATGAATAGTCCCCAAAATATTAGAAATGTGAGTACATGCGACGAATTTCGTCGTCGAAGAGAGTAACGGCTTCAAGTTTTCTGGAGTGAGCTTGAAAGTTGGGCCTTCAGGGACCCACCACTTCACGATGAGTTTTTGGCGTTCTGCCATGAAGAGCCATGGATCAATATCCGTCTCGTGGTCGATCTTTGACAGGATGATTTCGTCACCTTCTTGGAATTGCAGGGAACCGGCGAGATTCATAAAGAGTTGGGTAGTGGACGCGCCGAGAACTACAGTGCGTGAGCAAAATTTCATTAGAGTAATCGAGTAAGGGGGCGCCCCTACCAACCTCTCCATCCTCTGCATTCATATATTTCGCTGCTGCTTTGTAACCAGCTTCGAACCTTGAAGTGGATTCCCGGGCTACATTATACGAGGCACCTAGCTGGACATTCGTGTGCGACAAATATTTCGATATTCTACCATTTACTTAGCGCGAGCTGTTAATGGAGAAAGGTGCGAAAGGTGCAAAAATTACGAGTCGATAACATCCCCGAGCACCTGACTGCCACCGGCGTTATCAAGAAACACCTGATCCAACTGCAGTGCAGGGAACCGATCTCGAGCAGCGGCGATACTGAACGTGTCTGACATGTTTATCGAATGTATTAGAAGAGGAGAAGAGGCACACGATATGATATCCCTCAGAGTATGGTGGCGAGCATTCATATCAGGGATATAAATACGTCAGACGCATGCACGAAATCTGCAGGCGAATGAGGGGCTTTACCAGAAAAGGCAGGTGGGACCGATGAACTTTCGACGCCATGAAAGAAGTCATTAGCCAGTTATGGAGTCGAACGGTCTGTTGTACGCCCTGCGATAGTACATCTCGGATGTAGAGAAACCCCCACGAATATTGAGGGCCGGGCTTCAGTGCACCGGGGTGGCTTAGACTTCCAGGGCTTTCGTGAAAGTCTGCTGGGAATAACGGGCGAACAAGGCCAAAGAATGAAAAGGGTAATTGGGGTTTCGGACGAAATAATACATATACAGAGGCATCGACAAAGGTTGGATGAAGTATTAGCAATTGGGTAGAATCACGAGTATTTGTGCCAAGAACTTCCAAGTTTTAATGAGAGCAACACACCCGCTTCCCTTCCTACACCAGCTGCATCGTGAAACTCTTCACATTGATTTGTCCACCCAAAGACTTAGTAGCATGGTTAAAAATACCATAACGATACCCAGTGAAGAAAGTATACGAGTTTGTCATGGGGAATGCGGAACCCAGCTGAATGAACTTGCTCCCATCTGTGCTGTAATGGAACGTCGTCGTCCTTTGCACAGTAGTGCCTGAGAAAGCTGGAGTGATATCTGCCTGTACCCGGAGCCAGATGTCGGTCGCTGCAGAGTCAAGCGTGGGCCCCGTCGCTGCAACAGTTCCCGTGGATTTCGTCGTCCAGTCGGAGTTAAGAGACAGGTTGTTTACGAAGACGAGTTGCGCTGAAGAGCTAGACTTATGAATGCCAATATACGCAGCAACGTCACGGAAGAGAACAGCGCCAGCATGGTCCCCGTCGGCCATATTGCTAACGTCGATCCTGAATGTTCCTGATGATTTGGGTCCGATGATGCGATGCGTGAGTGTGTTGCGCGCTGTGAACAAATCATTGGTGACAGTCGCTGTCGAGAGCTGCAATCCTCTTGAGCCGCCAAGAAGCTTGAACCTTGTGGTGTCTGGATTATGATTCCACTCCCACTCATGGCTCAACGACGTGCCCTGGAAATCATCTTTTCCGACTGGTGCGGGCACAGTCTTACTCGTCTGTACCGGCAGTGGGTACGTCTTTCCCCAAGCACTACCGTCCTTAACAAGTTGTGGCCAGCCATCCGATGTCCAGGTGAGTGGTGCGGCCACGGGAATTCGTCCACCTGGGTAGGAGTCCATGAAGGCGACGTAATACCATCTGTTATCTTTAGTGTTGACAATGCCGCCCTGGTGGCTATAACCTGCATTCGACAATGGCCCCGAAATGCTGTCTACCAGAACTTGCTTCTCGTACGGTCCCCAAGGGCTCTTTGACTTCAACACCCATTCTGCGCTGGCCGGCTTCGTGACCAGGATATAGTAGGTGCCGTTGATCTTGTACATTCGACTACCCTCGATATAGGCACCGGCAGGATCGACGTAGACTTGTTGTGATTTGACCTCCGCCGAACCATCAGAGTTCAATTGTGCCACCATGATCTTGCTGTTGCCATACGCCACATACATGGTGTCATCATCGTCAACGAGCAAGCCGCAGTCGTAGTAGCATTTATTGAGTGTCGCTTTCGCACTCCAGTTCCAATTGGTCACCTCGCCGCTGTTCTGGCCCGCGCCGCTACTAACTGCGGTCCAGATATAAGTTTTACTAGACTCAACACATCCGACCCAATAAAATTGATCGTTGGATTGTCTGTATCGAAGGCTGCTTGCCCAGATGCCTTTCACATACGCTCGATCGGTGGCGTTGTTGAGATTGTATTTGCTGCCGAAATTAAGGGTGGGTACGCTGTGCGAAACTGGAGTCCAATTCACAAGGTCGTAGGATTTAAGAACAGGAGCGCCGGGCGAAAATGCGAAGGTCGAGGAAGAGTAGTAAAAAACATCCTCAACGCGGAAGACGTCGAGATCAGGATAATCCTCCCACAGGATAGGGTTTGTGAAAGTTGTTGCTCTTTCGGCCACTGCCGCCTCAAGCATAGGATTTGCGCTGCTAAAACCACCGAGAGTTCCAATGGTAAGAAGCCACAACCCTCGGAATCGCATCTTGATAGCGTTCTCCGGCCTTGCGCAACCTAGGCGAATATTGAAGACGTGTGTGCCAAATATGGATTCAACGGTTCAGCCAGTTGGCGTATGGGGCATCAGATATTTGTCCTCCGTATATGATACATCGGCAAGTACAAAACCCCTTGTCTTGTACTGTAAAGGAGATCCGGAGCTTTATGTTGTTGAACCTAGAGAATCTTATGGTGCTAGTAGACCCAACTATGGCTGTCGTTCCCTATTCGCGGGCCGCGATATGAAAGAAGGCATGGCTAATAAGGAAAATCCGGGGTAGATCGGTTTTCTCCAATCCATAATTTATGACGTTGGGGGAATCGTGTTCGCCGATTGGTGCAGCTGTGGGATAATTATCCCGGATTGACAGGGAGGGGTTGAAAGTCACGGTATCTCGGAGCATTACCAGATGTCGTGAGAATGGGTTCCTCAATGAGGTTTCGTAGGTGTTTGCCACTTATGGTTGACCGATGACGGGAAGGAGAGGGATTGAGGAGAGTTGTGAGAAACAGTGCTGACTAAGGGAGAAGTCAGAGCGGACCAAATCTCGTCCGCCACTTTGATTTCTGATCATGCATCTTCCACCCGGCCTGGCGTTTCTATCAAATCCACATCCAATACTATTGGGAAAAACGTAAGGGAAGCAATCGGAAAGACATTCCGCAGGATTCGAGGCTCAGCCGATGCAAGTGGGGCATATTAAAGAGCTATCCACGATGCCTTCAGGCGACAGTAACGGCAGGACCTTGAATGAATTAAATGCGGAAGACATGGTTGAGCAAGGTCTTGAAGCTGGATACGGGCACTGGCTAGAACCCATTGCCAACGTTGAAGATCCAAATTCGAATCCATCGAGCCAGGACCCCTCTGCAGCTTCTGAAGCAGGGCTTGCACTTGAGCGACGAGGAAGGGGAAGACCACGAGTATCCAAGGCACGCGACCAGAGCGCTGTTGAGGTCAGTCTTTTATTCCGTCGTCAGAACGTACAAATTCACTATTCACAGAAACGCCGAGCTCAAGTGCGCAATGCGCAACGGACATACCAGAAACGGAAAGAGAGCGCGGCTGCATCTGTTAACCAAAGATGCGACGATCTGCTTCAGGTTCTGTCAGATCTTTCCACAGATGTCGAGGAGCTGCTCCAAGTTGCATTGAAGGATGGTGCATTGGATCAGAAAGATGACATCGGAGCTCAACTACGTCGGCTATGGGAATCATACGATGTTGTGATACACAGCTCTTGTGTCAGGCCTGAGTTGAGGTTACTCCAAATCAAGAACGATCGAAGACGAGCAGGCTATGAAGGGAAAGCGCCCACTACAGAAGTATCCTCCGATCACGAGACAGCGCCCCGTCCCGAGCCATTCTCTGCGAGCGATTCACATGACCCATCATTCATGGACCTAGATCTTGGACGAACTCAAGAGTCAACCCTAATCCAACCCTTCCGAATGACATCATCTCTCCACCACGGCAAGACAATTTTCGAGGTTATTTCTGAGAGGCAAGCTGAGTTCAGGAGCTCGGCAAGCCACTCGTCATAGTCTTTGCCGACAAGACCTAGGGCGAGAGCAAGCGCTCTGTAAGAGCAACCACCATATGTTAACATTTACCCACGTGTTGGGTCACGTATACTCAAATCGACTCCACGTTCCAACACTGGGCAATTGTTGGGGTCATGCAAGAAAAAGTCCATCGCCAAGTACTCAGCAAAACCCGCCCACCATTTGCTTAGCTTGATACCCTTCATTAGCATACATTTTTGGTATCGAATATCAATGCACAAAGCATACGCGTAGTGCGGTTAGACATAGGTTGCTTCATAGGTGCTGATGAATGCATGTGGGGCCTGGGATTACAAATCTCGCTCCCTCGGACGAAATACTTTAAAACAACTAGGTAGCGAGGTACACAACTGGGTCGGGGTACTTAAGAAACATTGTTGACCATTTAAACGAACTATCTGGGTTGGATCGGCTTCGATACTTTTACATAGTTAGCCTTTTCTCTTGGGCTAGAAAGGGTTTTGAACGGTGAAACAAGAACAAAGAATAGGATCACGTGTGTGCCAAGCATGGAGAAATTCGGGACCACCCTAGGTGTTGTTGGTATGCCTCTGCTTCCTTTTCATCACCTCACTCACACAATATATAGGAAACTACGTATATAGAAACATGAAAGGCTTCAACGGCGTGACCGAGAATGCTGAACGATTGAAGTCCAATAAGACCTACTTCATGGCCTACTATATCAGGCACATTTCCTCAATCACCGCTCTCTAATGCGTCAAGCACCAGCCCATTGGTCTCGACGACCCTCTTGATTCCCATCTGCCAGAACTTACATCTCAGTCCATCAACGAGCCCAAAGAGGATGACAAGCTCGAGTTCCGTATAGCGAAGAACCCTGTAACTCTCCGTCATCTCATCACTCATTCCTCAAGGGCTGTGTACGATCTACTAGACCTCACCTTAACCTTATGGCGGCAATACCGTGGCGAAACACCATATTTCTCAACGAGCGACATGGTCGCAAAGGATTACACTGTCCCTCGTACCTTCAACGCGGGAGAGAGCTGGATGTATGGAACGGGGCTTAACTAAGCCTAGCTTCTAGTTACACGGCTCAGCAGCACAACTCTTCAGAAGTTCGTCGAGGACAACATCTCAACCCCGCTAGGTATGAAAGATATAACATTCCACCTCCGCTCAAACCCCACGTCCGAGCGAAGCAGGTACCCTTGAGCACGAGACAAGACGACGGAACCCTCGCGGAAGGCCCGAACCGATCTTCCCTGATCTGGCGTCCGAAGCTGGGGGAGCGGGCTTTCTTCCAGCGTTCCAGACTACACACGCCCTCTCGCAGGCCTTCTCAAAGACTCCCCTGTCCTCCTAAAAAAGGTACACCGTGGACCTTATGTTCAAACCCAATTCCCTGAAAATAGGCCCGCACTCAAAGAACTGTACACCAAACACAAACAGACATATTGTCCCATGATTTGTATAAATTCGGAAGGCGTAGTTCGTAGCCACTGTCTTAGCGGGCTGTTGGTTATGGAGAATATAGACCGAGAAGACTATTTCCAGCCGAAAGGGACGCTGACGTGGAGCGGGATGCCGAACTTACTCTGGAGTGTGAATAGGGAGAGGAGGTTGGCGCCGATGTTCGCGACGCCGGTTATGTCATGGGCGGATGAAACCACGCAGGCATTGAGTCCGACGTTTGAGACGGCGGTTTGGGGGGGTTTGGTAGGCTGGAGGAAGAGCGACGATAGATGGGTAGTTCCTTTTCCCTAGCTTATTATAAACACGTACAGTTGTGGTTTTCTAAGTCCTCTTTCCTCGCCTTGTTGCTTGATATCCCATGATCATCGTGTCCCACGACTCCCGCCAGCTGACCAACTCTTTCCCGTAACCCGAACTTGGAAACTTTAGGCTCAGTTCCGATCTCTACGGGCTCCTTCTACTCCACTCAGTCGGTATACATTAAGGGGGTTCGGACCCTTGTCCCATTCATACTAGATTTCGTTGGTATTGCAACGGTTCCTACTACTCTAAGCAGTGCTTACAGAAAGAGCAGAACAAGCCACAGCATCATCCCCGATGCCAGCCTTAGAACCAGCAGAGAGCTTTATACCGAAGGAGGACGGAAAAGAAAAGATGAATCATAAGTATTCAGTCTCCCGACATCTTTGTTTGGACAGAACTCACTCGTGACCACGCGTTTCTCGTTAGTGACCCTTGTCCCATACCATTTATCACCCAATCTTACTTTATTCGATACAGGCCATATTATAAAGACGCTTTCATCGTGATTTACCAATAGATATGCAGTGGCAAGAAAATGCCGTCCCAGGATTAGGACATCGCTTCTATTGCTCGGAAAGCCATATATGGGGATATTCTTGCCGACATTTGAGATGATGTTTCCACTACTATTAATGTATGAATCTGGGACCACAAACTGGCTATTAAAAATTCGGAAGCTCAATAAACGAGTATCCAAGCAACTTTCAATGATGATGGTGGGGTCTCTAGGGCCAATACGATGCATTAGGGACACTCATTGTTGCCCACGCTGCAATGAATGGAAGAACGGAAGACGTATGTCTAGACAGACAAATAGATCAAGAATGTGGCCGGTTGGGAAAAGAGGGTGTCAGACTCATAAACTTGCCGCATCATATATAGGAGCTCCGAAATTTAGCCCTATAAAGGGATTTTCCACACTATTATTCTGGTGGATGTTCCGCGCAGCGCTGTTTTGCCTACGTCTCAATACGAGCTAGGAAGAGATATTGCACCCAAGAAGCCAGGGATGATGCAAACTCCATATTGTTGCAATTTTCCATTCCGGTCCCGGAAAATGCTTTCGACGTTGCCATCGGGCCAATTTAGCAGTACATTGCGAACTGCGACAACAATGCCTGTGTTACAACCCAAAGAACCAACGTTCGTGGGAGGAAGGGGTGCCGTCAGATTTATGGCAATATTTTCGATAATTGATTCGTCGAAACCACCCAAGATTAATGATCCATCAACGAGGTCCCTCCAGGAGACCATTAGGCCGGCCCAAGAAGATGGAGTATGCTCTTGTTGTTATATCTCTTTAAGGAACTGAAGAAATGCACAAGCTACCCCCAAGCTTTAATTGTGCTTGGGAAATATATCATGATCGTCATATATATCACTAGATGGGATTGTCGCTCGTGTATTTTACCCACCTATGTATAATCTTCTGCTGTGCTTGGCAGGAGGTTAAACCTTGTGCCTCTTGCACCAGGAATTCCAAAAGTGAAACTGATGGGAAGGGGGCTAAAGATTCAGAAATAGCGTGTCCTGAATCCGATAGTCGGTTTCGGCACGATTCCGCTCCTTGAACGCATGTATTTCTGGAAGGCCGGTAAGCAACTGAATTGCCTCGTAAAGAAAAGTGTTGGTCATCAGGTCTTGATTGAATGAGTAGGGATGACACTTACACACTGGGAAGGAAGGAAATTTTGAAGACTAGTACTAATCTAATCGGCTTTTACTCATTATCCGCTCCAACCCAACATGAATGCCTCTTACACCTTTACTACCCGAATGACGAGTGTCATGAGATATCAGGATCGAAATCAGATATCGAGATGAAACCGTTGAATGCGGCGCAGTACATGGAACCTGCAGCCAAGCCTAGCATTGATTTGCCAACTATCACTTCGGGACTAAAACTTGTCCATGCGAGCTCGGTTACTGGATATGATTTTCTCACCTGTCTAATAGTGGACAGAGAGTGTGGCGTAGCCAAACATGCCTGCGACAATACCTGGTACCGTGGGCGCTACGGTGACCAAAGAAGGTACAAACCTCACCTGATAAGGATAATCTGGGACAGTAGTCTACCTCTCTATAGAATCTTAATAACTCTAAAAGGATTTTAATAGAATGGCTTTACTCTAGTTATACTCCATGTTATGTGATACCATGCCGTAGATGGCGCAAAGCCTGCTTCAGATCACGGCAATTTGCATCCTCACATTAACATTATTTGTCAGGATTCATCTTAGCTCAACATGCAAGCCCTACTACTACGTGATCATCATCATCTCGCTGCTCACTAACCCTTTCTTCCACCGCTAACTCACTCACCCTTTCTTCCGCCACCAGCTCGCTGACACTTTGCTCAGTACCCATCTCCACCAGTTCTAATGGTGGAGCATGACTAGCGTACTTTGATGGGCTTGGACCTTGGTCCCATTCATAAACCACTTCCCTATTCTTTCTCGATCCGTTCCGTTTCGTGCGCCAAAGCTTCCATGCGATACCGGCGACCAAGGCAAACGCAATTGCAGATCCTATAGCTATCCCTGCAATGCTGCCTTTGGAGAGCTCCTTTCCGTCCCTTCCAAGATCCGAAGATGAGGAAGGGAAAGGCAAAGATGACGTCGTCGGATTGCTATTTCCGCCAAAACTGCCTTCACAAAACTCAGTTGTCTCGTTTCCATTCGATGCCACAGCGACTAAAGATCCATTGGAGCGAATCCCGTCGCCATTAGCGCTTGTTAAAGCGGCCCACAGTGTGAAGCTGTTTTTGTCGTGGTTTACCAACAAGTACGCACTCGACAAGAATGTTTTTCCCAGCATCAGCGCGTCATTTCTGCCTTCATCAAGGCCTTTAATGACAATATTACGGATTGAGGAGTTGGCGATAATTGTGCCATTGCTTGAGATGTACGCGGGCGGGACGACGAGGTCTGTGTTTGGAATCCGGAATCTAACGTCATCAAACATCTCAATTGTCAGATCGCCGTCGTATCTAGAGGGACCGTTTAGCCTGTGGCAACATGTAGATAACTAAAGAAAGGACACACATATTTTCCTTCTCGAACATCATCGTCCCAGGATTGATCATGAAAGTGCTTCTGCCCTCGTCCCCTTCGAGAGCCTTCCCACCCGCTAATTTCTTGAACGCATCCCAATGAGAGTGTGGAAGTGACATAAGCCCGGGAAAGCTAGGCTCTAAACATATCACCAAGCTACCTAGGGATGACCCCTTGATTATGCTGGTATTGGTGCCGTTTCTCCAGTTGAGCTGCAGATCGTTGATTGGCAGCTGTAGTCCTGTGCTGCACCCAAAGACCCCGGGTTCACTTGGCATGATTTCCCCTGAGATCTGGGTTCCAGTGGACGAGTCTATGAATGATTTATCATATCCGCCGAGGATCAATGCGCCGGAAGTCCGCTGCTCAGCTGGCCCATTCAGTCGACCCCAGAAGACTGAATACGCTCTTGCTCCGATATATCCCGCGCCTTTGAAGAATTCAAGAAAAGATGAGTTCTTGCCTAGTCCAAGTTGGGCCTGCATAACAGTTGGAAAATCGTCTTCGACGCTGCCCATCGGAATACCAAAGGTGAAATTGAAAGACGGTAATCCTGCAGGGTACCAAATATCCCTTTCCCACAGGTATGGATTGGTTAGATTTGCTTCTTCCCACACGGGCGCTACTCCAGTTTCATTAGCATCTCCCCATGGAGTGCTGACTTGTGAGCTTGTAGTTGTCATCAGGGGATTATATAGTCCACCTAGGAACGTGTTAAGAGTGTCGTCGAACCTTCCTGTATCGGGATTCTCATTGCCCCCGTGAACCCAGGTTTGATTGTAGTATCTACTTCATCGTTAGCTTCGGATTTGGCGACGAAGTTAAGCAGAAGCAAGGGTAATTCCACAGGGCCTTTCTAAACACGATGACATGGCCGACTTGCCAGTAATATCACCTGCATAAGGGTTTTATGAAGTGACTTATTAGACTGGATAGCAAAATTGGGATTCCAATAGGCCGGCGATGGTCTTAAAACAAGGCTTCCAATTCTTTGTGCTTATGTGGTAAGATAAGGCAAGAAGGACATACACACTTGGCACGAACGAGAAGTTGAATGCTGGCGTGGTATTCTTCAACCCGATTCTTCCAATTCCAATCTCTATACCGCGTAGACTTTTACTACCTGGCTGGCCACGCGTTTTTGGTATCGGTATCGAAATTGGAGTGGGTTGACATGCAGCATTTATCGCAGGTGTGAATGAAAGAGTAAGAAGAAAAACACCTTGAATCATTATAATGAATTGAAGGGCCATTGAAAATATTTCCAAAATTTGAGTATAAACGAGAGAGGGAATACAAGTGCAAGAAACCCAAGCTGATTGAAATTGAGGTGAGATTGTAAATTGCGGCGTAGTGCAGGAGCTGCGGTATAGGTTGGGGTGGAATTGCCGCATCCGAGCTCAACGGTAAGTTTGATTCGTTCCCTGGTGTGTGTTATCGACAACACATGTGGCATAGCTATTCCAGCAGGGCATTGACTGGGCTGTGACTAGGCTGTAACAACGGGCTCCAGTGATGCACGTGGAAGGTATGCGCCGTGTAAAAGTGTGATATTTAGTAGCTGTGGGATCTGCCGCAACCACCTATTCATGGACTCTCCCACGATCCATCACTCAACTTGCCACCCCAATTTCGATATACCTGTCGTCTCTCGACTCACTCACCTCCTCCGCCGCCAACTCGCTAATCCTTCGCTCACCATCTGCCTCCACAGGTTCGATTTGTGGGGGATGATCCCACTCATCAACTGCCTCTCCTTCCTTTCTTAACCCACCGCTTTTGGACCACCGAAGCATCCCACTAGTAAGAGAGTAGGCTAAAATAGAGCCTATGACTACACCTACAATCCTACCTTTAGGGAGCTATTTCTCATTTCGCTCACGGGCTGAAGCAGACGAGGAAATAATGGGTGTGATCAGCGTGGCCAACAGTACGTAGTACGTTACGTTTAAGCTTTTCTCTGCCAGTAACTTCTCAATTTAGTAGTACTTTTGTACATAAGCAGTGAATTAATTAGTAAGTACGTAATATAACAGTAACTTCTTAAAATCTTTATACTTTTATACTTTTTACAAGAAGTTTTGTTAGTCTAGGTTAAAATTATTCTAGGAGAAGCTTTTTAGCCTAGATAAAGTCCCCTAGAGTAGTTAATTTACTCTCTATAGCCCTATAACATAACTAGTTCTTTTAGAGCTATAGAGCCTTAATTATACAACCTGCTAAGCAGTTTCTATTAATTATAACTATTCTTTTACCTCTAGAGAAGGCTCTCTTACAGTTATAGCTTGTTAAGGGTATATAAAGGAAATTAAAAGTAATTTTAAAAAGTGTAAAGTAAAAGTAACAACTAACTTTAAGCTACTAAGTAAGAGGTAATTAGAACAGCAAAGATCTCTTTTTAGCTATAAAGAGGTCTTTAATGTAGCTATTATAGTATTATTAAAGCTTTATTATTTTTTACTGTTTTTTGTATAACCTTAAGCTTATAAAAAGGCTTATGTTAATAAAAAGAGTTTACTTATAGCCTTTATTATAATACTTGCTACTAGGGAGCTTACGCTAGTAAGGTTATAAATCCTTTTTTTTCTTATTACTTTCTATCTTTTTATTAATATAGTCTTAAAAAACTGCCTTTATTAAAGCCTTAGCTTACTTATGCTACGCTAAGTGCTTACACTAGTAGTTTTTAAACTAAATAAGTTGTAATTAGAAGTTAAAAATAGTTATAATAGTGTAGTATAATATAAGTAGATCTATAATAATCTTCTTTTAGTATAAGGTTAGCTTTTAGATCCTAAACATAACACTATTTTTAAGGTAGTAATTGTTGCTTTTACCCTTAAGCTCCTTCTCTATCTTTGTAAGCTCTGTATACAGGTGCTAGAGGTTAACTATAGTTATCTAGATAAAGCTGTACTTACTGTTACTCTTAAGTCTTTTTATTATAAAGTAAAAGGACTAAAGAAACTTAATAAAATAATTAACCTCCTCTTACTTTTCTTTAAAGATAGTTTTATAAAGGGTAGCAGCTATTAACATGTTAGCACTTTATTATTTATGTAGAAACTTACTAATAAGCTCTTTTAACTTATAGCAACATAAAAGCATAAGATATATGCTATACTAGTGTACTCTACTGTCCTAGATAAGATTAAGGGTGCTAAAACTCTAAAAAGGATTATTAGCTAAGAGTAAAGCCTAAAAAGTTATAAAGGCTAATTATTATTTATAAGATGCTAGCACTATATTAATAAAGTTATGCAACTTACTTATAACACCTTACTGTTAGTATAGCTTAAATTAATTATCTAGAGCAGCTTAGGCTAGAGCTTTTTTAAAAGTAGAGACTTCTTAGCTGTATATAACTACCTTAACAACAATTTAAATTATATAGCTAGCGTAGCAGATATAGTATTTAGTAGTAAGAGGTAAGTAAAGCTTTTTAGCTAAAGTTATAATAGTTTTTATGTTATTATTTAATGCATTATTAGTAATATAGTAATAGAATTTAAACATAATTTTATAGTTCTTAAGCACTTTAATAATCTCTAGCGCTTAATTTTCTTTAGTGTAGTCTCTGTATAGATTATTAAAGCTAATAAGGAGGTCTCTATGCTAGTAGTTAGCATCTGTGTAGAGGATGTTAGTGTTGTAGTTTTAATTTTTACGCTAACGCAGCTAGGCTAAGGTTTTACTAGTATATACTAAAAAAATAAGCTACTACCTTTAGGCAGGATAAGTAGTTTAAAGAAGTCTATATATTAACACTTAGTATAATTTTACTATAGGCTAATCTTAGTATTATTTAAATCTCTTGCTTCTAGCGCACTAGACTGTTCTAGATATAGGTTAAAAGCGTAGTGTAGGAAGATAGTATAGCATTAAAAAGGTTAGCGCAGTTCTAAGTAAGTACTTTATAAGTTTTAGCTAAAGATGCATTTTTAAAAGTTTAATTTTAAGAAATAACCTAGTTTATTACTATAGCTTAAAAAGCTTTTTTTTACTAAGCTTTATAAAAAATAATCTTTATAGATCTAGCTACTTTTATTACAGCTTTAAAAAAATTAGCAAAAAGCCTTAGGCTATTAGGTAAAAGATCTTTACTAGCATTAATTTTATGCTTCTTTTAGAAATAAGAGATAATATAATTATAACTACTAATAATTTTTGCAGCTTTGTGTTGCCTTTAGAGGTAACATTTTTTATAAAGCTACACTTTAAGAACAGTGCTGTTATTGTTCTTATACACTAAATCCCCTTTATAACGCTAGACCTAGGAGATAGGATAATTGCTATAGAGTTAACTTTTGTGCTTTACTTAATAGCTAAGTTTTTCTAGCACTAGCTTCTTCTTTTCTAGCTAAATATTGTTCTACTCTATTATAAAAAAGGCTCTAGAGTTAAGGTGCGCGTCTACTAGAAAATTATAAAAAGATACATCTTTGCCTAGAGCTAAAGTTAGAGTTAAGAGCACTAACAACTTTAAAAAAGCTAACTTTAATTTAGTAAGATAACAAAAGCTAGTGTAATAAAGCACCTTAGCTTATTAAAATAACTCTAATAAGCAGAAGGATTAAGATAAGGCTATACACCTACTGTAATAAAAAAATTAAGACATTTAGCTTATTATAATAATTAATAAGATAAAGAGCTTTTCTAGGGCAAAAGTTAACTATTTTTATAGAGGGCTACTTAGCACACTAATTAGGCTACTGTGCTATAAAACGCAGAGTTTTATTTAATTATTACTTTAAAATGTAACCTTAAACAAAGCTTCTAATGTAATAGCTAATAGGGTCTAAAAATAGGAGGGAAATCTCCTAAAATATAACCTCTCTGACCTGTACTACAGTACGTACTTAGCAATTCACTGTACAAAAGTTACGTCTCACATTTTGACTACTTTTGTACGCCTCACGTGATTACTACGTTCACGTAGTTACGTTACGTACTACGGACTGTTGGCCACGCTGGGTGTGATACTTGGAATGAAAGAATATTGAACAGCGGCGCTGTCGCTTCATTTGCGCCAACTTCGATATCTATTCTGAGGAGCCGTTGAGTGTCTGGTTGACCTAAATATTTCGAAACCTCCTGAATAGGGCGAGGTTGACATGCAGTATTAGCTCGAGGAAGGAGAGAATTAAAAAGAAGGGCTCTGAATAATATCAAAGTAGCCTGGCCTGTCGAGGGAAAATAGCACCCGACTATTTTCAGTCAAATTGCGCGACAGAAAGTCGTAGTTGAGGGTTGCCGGGGGGAGGGGCGACCTTAACGTGGGTCGAGAGACACCCCGTTACATGACAGTCCCTGAGGGCATTGAATTATCCTAAAGGTCATTATCAATTATGTTATGTGCCTATTCTAGAACACCCCTGCTGCAGCCATTCTTAAATATTACGATCCCGCTATTGCTTTCGCACCTATTTACTAAGAGCCATTGTTTATCTGACAAGGGTCACCCGGGATCGGCCGGCGCTCAAGGGCGTAGAGGGAGTCCTGGCCCACCCGGAAGAGACGGATGCGATGGGCGTGATGGTCGTGATGCGCGAGACAGGCGCAGACCGTGGTTCTCGTAGTGAACTGGACTCTATGCGACAGTGCAATATCATGACTGGACCCCAGAGCGAATCGCCTGGAGATATTACGGCCTACTCCCAACAGGTTACTATCTCTCCGGCACGAAATCCTGCACAGGACAATCCTGAAAGGTTAAGGTTCCAGGTTCCTGTTTTGACCACCTGCACAATTCCTGTTTTAACACACTACGAGTCTCCTCTTTGACCCTGCGCAAGGTTCCTGGCACGCTGTAACATATGTGTTTCTAAAAGCTTTAACTTACGCCACTGTGATATTTAACACCGGTGGCGGAAAATCTCGCAGAGAATCCCATGGCAGTGGAGCCGTGGCGCGTCCGCAGGCGCTCGTCATAGGAAGGCCAACGAAGACGAGCGCCATACTTTGGATCAGCTGGGGAGAGCACCAGCCAAGGTCTTGCCACGAAGACTAGAAGCGACGAACGGGGGGCTGAAAGTAACTTTGGGGTGTTGCGTTCTGCGCTCTTGGGTGGCTTAATTGGCCAGACAACCTAGGTTCTATATTTGATCTACTAACTTAGACATCATAATCGTCGGATTCATGCCAATACGAATTTTCCTCCTCCGTTGTCTGGTCATCTTCGTCAGTGCTAACTTGTTCGCTAGAATCGAGTTCGTAAACAAGGACAGCGGAAGCGATCACAACTTTAAATGTCGAATCTGCATGCTTAAGCTGATATCTAGGTTCTATGTTTGATCTACCAGGTACCACCACTGTCGGAGTCATACCAATACAAATCTTCCTCCTCCGTTGTCTCATCATCTTCGTCGCAACTAGCTTGTTCGCAAGAATCGAGCTTATGCCATTGGTCAAGGTTCGCCCTCTGCTTTGCCGTCAAATTGAACCTGCTCTCGTACACTGCTCTAACAGTATTTCTCGTCTTCCATTTGAAGGTTCCGGGATGAGATACGACAAACACGACGGCATTAAAGATGGAATTCTTGTGCTTGTCATTGCTCTGAAATGTGTCGTATAGAATCGAATAGACAAGTTTGAACGCAGCGTCTCGAGCCTTCGACTTATTGCGATCTTCATCATCACGCCGCCCGGCCTTCAAATCTTCGATGATTTCACTGAGCGTCCTCCCTTTGCAGACGTCGATTTGAAGAAAATCATATGTACCGCAGAGGGTACGGTAAAGAGTAGTGTCGTTGGGCATTAATCGAAAACACTGGCGGTAACCCGATTCAATCCCTTTGAACGCGACATCAAAAAGAGGAATGTCTTCGTGGATGATCTCCGTTGACTGAAATGAGTTATCAGCGCTGTTAAGGACTAGGGATGCTAAGCGCGGGATCCGAGAGACGTCGATCTCATATCGCATGTTTCCAATGGTGATTGGTGTCTTGGCTCGTGATGTAGTACTTGTTTGGGCCGGTGTCTAATAAGTTGATGTCAGATGTGCTCATTGCTAATGTGCTTACTGACCTCGTTCTGCTGATCTCCCTTCGCCATCAGATTGTTGTCTCTGGTCTCCTGTTTTCCGTCCTGCCATTTTACGTCTACACCTTCCGATGGAGCCATCTTCTGCTCACTAGCGATGACCTCCAATTTCATTCCGCCATCGTACCTGACAACCGCAACCTTACTGGAACTACCTTTCACTACTTCAATGATTTGATTCAACAGGTAGCCCAGACTACAAAGAGCCTTTTGGTTGCTCTTTTCCCAATCGCGGACATTCTGGGCCATATCTCGGACTTTGGCATCATCGAAAATGCCATTCTTGTGGTAACTGACAGCAAGGTGTGGGATCTGTGATATCCAAAGCTGAGCTGTAGTCTCATGCATGTCCAGTTTCTTACCAGCAGCTCGAGTCTTAATTTCCAAGATGGAAGAACAGTCTATCTCTTTCCCTTCTCTTTTAATTGTAATTGCGGATGTATGTGCCGATTTGGGAGCGGATTCAGCTAACTGCAGTGTTTCCAGTATCTGCGGCAGGGAGTCGGCCGTCTTTGCCTGCGTCTGAGCCGCAGCTCGCCCTAATGCATCTTCAACGTACCCATCAGTTTCATGTCTGACCACGCATTGCAAGCCACCGAAGCGAAATTTAGTGATTCTGTAATACCCAGAGGTTCCGGTCGCGCGTTTTGTGCACGCCTTCTCGAAGTTTCGACCGTAGCCTTGGAAGCCCTGAATGACTGTTGTGGTGTCATGCTCCATGCGTGTAAACAGCGCCCTCTTGCCATCAATTTCGACGTGTATCTGAAAGAATTCGCTCGAAGTCCCGTCGACGAAGCGGAGAAGTTTTCTGATATTGTTCCGGTCCGTGATGAGGTCGACATTTCCCATCTCAAAATCAGGATTCTGGGTGAAGATTGCACCGAACAAGGGCTCGAGAGGCGCATGGGGGATTCGCGCCGCATTTTGATCAATGTAAACTCGTCCGGAGTCGGGTTCCAGCTTTAGTGGTCCCGCAAGCGGTGACCAAAGAGGTGGGGAGCCTTTTTTTGGTCATTAGAAAGAAACATCTAGCGGGCGCCTCTCTAACCAGCTTACCAGGTACTAAAATGGTAGGTAAACCGCTATCAAGCCAGCTATAAGAGGCAAGATACTCAAAATCGGTGATGATTGCATGAGAAGGGTCCAAACGGTCGTTCAAGTCAGAGCGCAATATTGAGGCGACGACTTGTGAAGCCATGCTAGCACCGGGCCGATGTCCCAAGGCAAAATTGATGATTTTGAGATGCAATAAAAACTGCTGAATTTCGGATATCGGAGGAAAGGCCGCGTGGAGGACTTAGAGGGTTTCCTTCTCACTATCACTGTAAGCAGTATGAGGGGAGACCGGCAGTGATGATCATAGCAGTAATGTAGGGTATTCAGGTGTTCGTCTCTAGGAGGTAACTACTGATCAAAGGCTCTTATATAACTTACATGGTTCGAGATTAGTCATGATCCATGATCATATGATAGTTCTGTTTGTTTACAACCACCTTTGTTGCACAAACGAGAGGTGTGGGAGTACAAGATAAGGAGTTTCACAAATCAACGAATAATATAGTGGCCCATATTACACAGCATACCATACCCTTGTTCCTGTATTAAATATAAGGACCTCTTGTAGCACTTTTCGTACGTTTTCCGGGTCTGGTGGCGGACTTGGTGGTGGTCGAGACCTTGAGGAGTGAGCCAATTTCATGGCATTGCTGTGCATCATTTTGCCGAACGGATGGGACAGCATCCCCGCCACAAAGCGCTTGTCATTTGCCTACGTCTTTCTCTTACCCTTTCACGGCTGCCAAAGTACCATCTTCGTAATGTGTTTGTGCCCAAAATGAAGCAGAAATATGGGGCCATTACAGAGAAAAGGAGCGAATAGCACGGAAATTTAATCTGAATCCCAATCGCCATCAGCATCGCGTGAATTCATTAGGCCATCACCATCCCAATATCCAGACTCCCATGAAAACTGTCCTCTTTTGAAGACAAAGTCACCAACATGACGACATCGAATTTCCTGATAGCCATACGGTAAGCAATCTTTAGCAAGTGCCCTTGTCTCTGCCCGGACGTCACAATCAATCTCAACTTCAGTTTGTATTGACAAGTGCCCACCGAAACATTGAAGCATTGGTCGTATCCAATCGACCCAGCAACCCATTTCGCACTCAAGTGTGGGTGCATTGTAGTAACTTCCAACTTCCACAGGTTGCTCTAGTATAATTCGTAGCCCCTTCAAATGAGGGAGAATAGAACGCCACAGTGGATCATCTACTATCCTCTCTGGCCTGTATGAAACACCCATAGGTCGTGCAATCAGCAGTAGGTACCTCATTCTTTGTCTGTTCCGATCGGTGAAATTCTTCCTGATAAAGTATGTGCCTTCTCCATGAAGATGCAGCTTGAAGATATTCTCCCCGTAGAGGATATCTAAAACTTCTCCACTGATATGCTTCGATACAAGGAGAATACTGTTCTGGGTTGGATTCCAGTAGTCGCTGCTCAAACGTAAGTTGGATTCATCAGACTGTAGAATGGGGTCGCACAGAATCTTGCCCTCTAAATTTCGGACAGATTCCAAGATTGTCTTGTCTTGGGTGCCATCGAAGTCCTCGCGCAGAGAGTCCAACTTCTGAACGGCGTTCAAGCACGTTTCGTCTCTGGGGTTGTCTAAATTCATGTCGACGAAAACGCCCTCCAAATCCTGAACATCTGCTGACTCTGAGTGGTCAAGGAGTCTCTCGGACTCCGTATCATCGCGGACGGCTTTGAAGTCTTGAATACGCTCCACCGAGAACCCTTGCGAATTGAAGCGTGGGTTTGTCACGTCAATAATGCGTTTTCAAGGAATGTAGTATTAATAGATCTGTAAGCAGATTTCAATAGGAAGACGCAGCAGGCTAGGAACTGACGTCTCGGGAGGCATGCTGAGCTTCTTTAGTTTTCCCAACTTCTCATTGAGAACTGCTATTCGCTTTTCGAACATTTCTGCTAACACAGCTTTGCTGAGGATCTCCATAGCCTGATAGAGTAATTCTAGGTCAATAAATACACGATAATATGAAAGAGGATGAATAGTTGGGCCTGCGGTAAATGCGTGGTTGTGTGGCGGTGGTGCGGTAGTGCTGCGACTGAGGCATGCTCACTGATATCACGGTTTTATTGATTAGAAATTATTTCTCTTGGTGATCACGAGACATCAGCGTCCCTGCCCGCCAGGCCGACAAAAATGCGAATGTGGGTTTGGGGGCAGGCGCAAGCAAGGGGACTACTAGGGGCGGCGGCAACAACGCTGCTTCAGGCGGAAAGGCTCTGGTAGGATGAAGTGAGGAGTGGACGGGGACGAGAATGTGTGAGGGGGGCGATTGATGGATGCTAGGTTTATGTGGAGGGAGAAAAAGACTTTTAGCCCTTTGGACGGTTGCAGGATGCTTGCCCTAGCCACTCTTGGTCCTTGGTTCTGCAACAGGAATCGAGGAATTCGTTCTGCGCTCAACCTGCTAGTATAATGGCTGGGCCAACACCCACTTAGCTTAACTTCGCTTTGGTTTTCTGTATTTGAGATGTAACTTACCAGAATTGTCCGAAAGCGCAAGCAAGGCACAGCACTCGAGGGACCTTGACCTGAGCCCAGATGACGGACCAAAACGGATACCTAGCAGCCCTATACCAGCTGACCAATTGCAGATCTCAGCCCTGCATATCACCTGATTAGGACGACTGCTCCCACATCAACTGCAGCCAATGAAAGCTATTAGACTGACAAGCGGTCGTGCTCTTGAAAGAATAAGATTTGAAAGAACGTGGCTCGAAAGAATGTAGCTCGAAGGAATGGGTATCATAATACGGAAGCTGAGTTCTGCAGAAACTCCGGGGGCTGGGCGGGATGGCTTGACTGGTGAAAACCTCGTTTCGCATCCGGCGTTCGCCACTTCTGCCTGGCCACGCATAGCTACATGACTGCGGAAACCGAGTAGGACCCAACAAAAAGTATTTACTCCAGCAACTGGTTGGTGCCAATATAATTAGCCTTTGTCCGTTTGGATGATTTCCTCGGCGCTTGCACAACTCAGTTTCAGCCTACATGCTGTCAGCCAGGGACCAAAGTCTCGAAAACCTCACCGGTACATGCTTTGGGATGTGCGTGCATTACCATTATGTAGTATTGCTGCATACGGCCGGTTCCATCAAATTTCCCTGCCAAATGGGAGATATCGGTTTGGTATATATTGCATAATGCTTCTCAACCTGGTTGCGCGGGCGTCAACATCAGATTTCCTCGGGAGCAGTACGTCCATTACATCACTTCAGGCCGAAACCTGCTGAACATCTTGTAAGTTCCTATCAATGCCATCGTAGTGGGCATTAATAATCGATAGTTGAAACGAACGGCTGGGACCAAATTATGTGTTCAATAAAGACCCGGCAATGGAGCCAATGCGGATGTCCTTACGGTGAAGTACCAGAAAAATGTCGGGGTGATATAAATGACCCTTATCATTGCCCACAAGTGCAGTGGATTGAGGGGGACGAAATAGCCGGACATTGCGGCTGCTTAATTGAAACTCCACTAATCTCATCTGTCAGCGAAGGGTAACTGATGGATGTCTTGATGCGACTTGAGAACCTTGCTGGCACGCAAATCGTATTGGTTCGAAGTTGTGCATAGATTAGCCTTTGGGTTACAGTAGCTTCATATTACATTCGGCGAGGTAGAGGAAAGAGATTGACGTATCCTCTCAATATTTGTTCGACGTGGAAAATCTGCATTGCTTTTACGAAGCTCCGTCTTCTATATATCTACCGTTTTGTTAACAAATACTGGTATTGCCGGGTTGAAAAGTGGTGTTATTTTTGGGATCGAATCCTGAACTCTGACCTTGAAGGCCACCACCTTCGGCTCGTCAGGTCCGATAGGGACGCCGTAGTCGAAGACGATATCCACGCGTTTGCCGTCGAGCCTAGTAATCAAAAGCCGTGCTTCAGTCGCGTTGACTCCGAAAGATTGGCAAAACTGCGCAATGAGCTTGGTGTCTGCTACTTCAACAGAAGGATGTATTTTGTCAAGATCGACTGGGTGAGTCCGGAGAAGGATTCGTATTGGGGCACACAAAGACGTATGTGCGGGCTCCTTACCCATTCACGGATACACTAGTGGGTAACTGGCAAGGTGCAGGGGCGATCGAGGGCGTTCGAAGGGAGGTGATAGCGTGGTTGATGGTATTGAGGGCGAATTTTTTGCGACAAAATGTGCGAGCAACAACTACGTGGGGCGACGAGTGTAACAGCGATGGATTTGAGTAGATGATGGTGTTCAGATGGGGACGATCTTGACCGTGGCTGAGACCGGTTGACTCAGCGAACGTATCCGCGAAGAAGTTAGCGTGAACAGAGAACCAATGTCTGGGGTTTGATTGAGCGCGCTAAACCTCAAACGAACAAGGCAACACTGTCAAACACTGCGTGGCTGAAACACTGACGTCAAAAAAGTGTCGTGGATCAGTGTGTAATTTATTTATGATTAATTAGCGGATACGTGCTGTTTTGGCAGTCGCGTTTCATCCGTTTCCCTGTTGCTTGGAGCCATCACAGCCAGACCCCTCTCGTCTGAGTCGTACTGGATAACTACTAAGTTATATAAGATTCAATATTATTTACCTGGCCGATTACCACTCATAATAAGATGAATGTCGAGTCGTCCCACTCATGAACCCGTTTGAGTCGACGGGAGTAGATAAGCAGAAGCACACCTTCGATGCAGGACTTGTAAGGTCGATGCAATGTACAGTTCCTTTGTACAGTAGGTGCCAGGAAGTGATCATCCTCCGCACCGTGCGCAAGCGAATACGATCTGCCCACGCAGTTTTCTATGAGGATTTTGGGGATAGATTGCAATTAAAAATTAAAGCTTTTAATTTATATAATAGAATTAATAACAGAGAATCTTTTAGAGTAGCAATTGTTCACTAGCGGGTGGAGCCTCCCTGGGCAGCCCTGACGTCAGCAACGCGCTGGGGCATAGATAATATACACTTCTGCTAATCTTCTGGCTTCAACCTATTCTACTCCTTCTTTAGGATAGACTCTATCTCTTTAATATTGCTTATTTAGTGTCTTCTTTTTAAAATCTAAATCTTTATAATGCGCTAGAGGTTCTTAATAGGATTTAAATTAGGACTTTGTGCTAGCCACACTATACAATCCATGCAAAGCTTTTCTTAGAAACCTGCGGTTATCTTTAACCTGTGGTATAAAGCCCTATCCTTCTGCCACAACATAATACTGCGTTTTTTAAAGACTTTAGCATAAAATAGCTGCGTGTAAGCAGCTAAAACTTTATTATAGTATCTTTTTAAGTCTATCTGCTTACCTTAAGGCAGTATAACTAGCTTTAACTTAAAATCCTAGGATATAGCCACCTATACTCTAACAGAGCTTCTCCTGCTCTTAAAAGTAGGCTTTAGGTATTAAGATTTATACACACACAATGCTCTCTTCTTCTGCTTGCAGTATTAGGTGGTGGAGATAAGTCCTACTTTAAAAGTTAATTTATTAGAGAAGCAGACGCATTTAAAGTTGTTATTATCCTAGGTTTTTATGCAGGCACCCTAGCAATAATAATTAAGCTTGTAGGAGGGCTTAAGGTAGAGCTTAGCGCGCAGTTTAAATGCGTAGTACTTGTTTTTTTGCAGGTATTGCTTTACTGTATTAACGCAGATTGCAGTTGTTGTTTTTCTAGGAGTAGTAAGTACTTTGTACGTTTTAAAGAGAAACTGCTCTAGGTGTTGTACTAATTGTCGCTCTGCGCGCTTATTAAGCTTTAGAGGTCTCCCTGTGCAACAGGCCTTTTTCTAGGGCTTATCTTTACATTTTTGCAACCGCTTAAGTATTAACTTAATTAACAGGATTAGAATAGGAAAAGTCTTCTGTATCTTTAAGGGGCTAAAACTAATATAAGAGAGCGCCTAGATGCTAGCAAGGGTAGGCTTATTGTATTTACAGCGAGCAGTTTTGGGTTGGGAAGGCATGGTGGTAGTGTGGAGAAGGAGGAGAATGAGTGGTGCGGAAAATTTTGAGGTGTGTGGGTTGACCCGATATAGTAAGTTAAGCGAGAGGATGATGACTTCTTGGCACCTATTGTACAACCAAGTTCTGCGGAGGGACAAACGTGTAGACGGAGCCGAACTTGGGGATCACCGAGAAACCAATATCCGTCATATCGGCTACGAATGCGTCCCAGCTGATCGATCCGCGAGCCGCCGATGATCTTGAGAGCAGCAACGAGAAGACTTCAAAGGTAAGGTGACAATAACGGCGATGTCACCTAGTGAGCTAAACTCTCGCTCTGTCATCTTGTCTTTTTCTAGTGGATACGCTCGATGAAGATCCTCCAGCTTTTGGAGCCACTGGATGGAGCCGGACCAGTCCAAACGTCTTGTGGAGTCTGGATTTGCGCTCTAATCTGCAGTGTGGCCTCAATAAATTCGTCACACGCATCAATTGGTGTGATGCAACATGGGAACTCAGAAATCGCACGATAGATCCGTTGTTTCCATTACTGCCGTGAAACTTGCAGTCAAGATGAGCTAGCTTTGGAGCCTGACGATGAAGCGAGAGTCGCAAAATCGGACTGCATCTACAATTGGGTGCCTTCAGTTGTAAACTCCATAGTAGACGTTCTAGATCAAAAGGAATTTGTGGATCCTTCCTGGATTACTGGGGCCAGGGCTTCCAACGAGGCGTAGTACTGTACGATTGGGCGATTTTGAGGCCTGTACAGGTGAGATTTTGTGTACGTTCGTACAACAGGGAGGAGGAGAGGTAGGTGTACGTATTGTAACTGTTACAGCTCACGTGATCTGTACAAGTAGTACAATTTAATTAAAGTACGCTGTACTCTAGTTAAAACAGCTAAGACTATAGGTCTCTAGAGACGTAAGATTAAGGTCTAATTAACTATAAAATAACTAGTTCTCCCTAGTAACAAGAGCAGATAGGACTAGATAAGGCCTGTAAGGCGGCAAGAGGCGTAGTGTAAGGGGTATTGATCAGGAAACACAGGTCACAGAGAGGGAATGCAGGATAGGGGGTAACAAGAGTAAACCTTAGGGTTAGAGGCAGAGGTACAGAGGCTGAGGAGCCTATATACCCCGTGCTAAGCCTAGGGTACTTAGGGGTTAGATAGCTGTAACATAACTGTGTATACAAACTTCCTAAAAGGGTAATACAATCTGTACTACGTACTGTACCTAGGGCATTATTAAACGTACAGTACGGCTCACGAACTCGGTACGTTCGTACTGAACACGTGACTGTTACGGTTCACTTTGTACGGACCGTAGTACGGCCCGTTGGAAGCCCTGACTGGGGCCCGTCATTATTTGAGATACGTCTTTATGCATTGAAGTTGTTTAGACTACCAACCCCGCGTTCCGATTTCATCTAAGAACTCAAGAATTGATCTTCCTACCCCTCACTCTTCAGAGACCACCTACAATTTGCTATGCAAAAATGGCATCAACCTTTGAGGAGTAAGTCACCTTTCTAATGTCGATCTAGGGCTGATCTAAATCCGTGCAGCTTCATCTAATCACACCTGTTTACCTTCTTCGTTGGTCAAAAAAGAAGGGCCATCATAGTATTAATGGTGGAATGGAGGAGTCTGGAAAGCGATATGCAAGGATCTAAGATGTTGAGGTCGAGGATTTCATCCGCTTCTGCGAATATGCCTACCGCAGAGACTATACAGTTCCTCCGTGGGAAGAACTCCCACCTGAACCGAGCTCTCTGTCGGTCAAAAAGAAGGTGAAGAAAGCTGTTCCTGAACCAGGGCTTGATACGCAACTAGCACCTGAGCAACCAGGATCTGTTCTGGAATTAGGGGTTTCTTAGGAGGTTGATTTATTACCTGCGGCTCCTGTGCCTCGATATGCAGCAAGACAGCGCCAGAGCGCCCTGTTACGGACTTAATTTAACAGCCAAAACTACCTAAATGACGGCGGCCCTAAAGCTCTGATCCTGCAGCACTTTGAACCCAAACTGAACAATGCCATACACCAAAACTTCACGCCAGTCTTTCTCACCTATGCACGACTCTACTGTTTTGCGATCTACGCTTAATAGAGCTACTTAAAGCGCCAATCCTGTGCAAGCTGCACAAGACACTTATGGACTTTAAGTTGTACACAAAGCGCGTTGGAGACATTATTGAACTCACGAGGTATGCGTACTTGAACCTAGATCTGCCGGATAGAAGCCATGATGGAACTCTCGACGACATGAGGAAACTAGTGGTTGAGTATATCGTGTGCGAGATTGACACAATTGGAAAATGTGATGAATTTGTGAGGTATTTAGAAGAGGGCGGTGAACTTGTTAGGGATTTCTGGAGAATGGCAAGGGATTATGTGGCTTGATGATATATGATAGTTTTCCGCGTCGCTGGTTTGGAACCTAAGATCCTATATAGGATTATTCAACTTGACATTTAGACATTTGACACTGAGTAATTTACTAGCTGGGATTCCTATATTGTTTTGTATAGTTGGCTTCTTTGTCATTTATTGCTGGTGCACTGCTCGAAGGGACGCCCTGGTCCCGATTTCCTGCTCGCGCTGGATTGTTGGACTGGGAATTCGCATCATTGATGCTGTGTATGGCTTAGCTTATTACAAAAATTTCTGGCTCCTTTAATGATACCTGTGGCTTCTAGTAGGCGTTCCTTGATCAGTCTCAACAGCACCTATTCCAGAGTGCTCTGCTATGTCCTCTTCGTCGGCCTCAGAACCAGAATCTGAATTCAACGCTTGCTCGCCAACCACTTGTACAATATCGGGCCGATCTGGGTACATAGTTGTGATAAGGACAGAGTCGCTTTGGCTAGGACGGGTCTTGTCGACCTTCTGTCCTGTAGCTGTGGTTGAAAGGAGAGATATCTGGAGGTGGGGAGGGTGAAGGTTAACCTTGGTCGGACGGGAGTCAGGCTAGGAGATTGCCGGAAAGCGCCGGACTCGGAAGTAAGAGACATGTTTGTATGGGAAGCTCTGAGAAATTCAGGCCAGAAAATAAACCTATGCACAGGCGCGGACATTGTTGGGACGTGCTGGCGAGAGGGCGCTGGAGAAATCTGGAGACGGAAAATCTGACGTTCTGAGCCGTAGGTGCGCCCTTCGCTCGGTACGGCGCATTTCCCGCTGAAGATGCTCTCGCCTTGAAATCTCTTGCGCCCACCGGCGACAATTGACAAGTCTGTTGTTGATTTCAAGTCACTAGACTACCTAGATAAATGTAACATCCTCCTTGTTGATACTAGATGAGGGACAGCGCTGTATACGGCCGTCTACTAGGCGTCCTTTCGAGGAAAAGAAACTGTTTATTCATAGAGTAGACGCCACGTTCTCTGCAACTCCTTGCAGTCTTTGTAGTGGCTTACAAGAAACTCAGCTGGGTCTAAACAACCTCCCCTGCTTGAATTAGTCCTTCAATAATAGCACCCTCGTAATGATCGTACCAAGCGTCCCTTTTTTTTTTCCAAATTGCTGCTTCTGGCTGAAATAGTATTCGTTCCTCCTCCCCCTCCTCGTCCTCTCCGTAGTCGCACAATTTTGATAATTCCAGGCTGTCCAACTGAAGATTGTTCGCAATGTTTGCGAGCGTCGATTCCCATGCCCCCTCAAAAGGAGTCAATATAACGCGTGTAAGTGCCAGCCGGCGTAGTGTTGGGGCAAGTGAAGATAGGAACTTGGAGAGCAGTGTTTCGTTCGTTATAATTTCGAGCTCCAGCTTGCGGATATTCGGCCACGGTCGGTGTGTAGTTAGCAAACCAAGCAGTTTGCCCGGTCCATTTCCACGCTCGCGGGGCTCATACTCAGTTTGGAGGTAGCCGTCTACAAGCCAACCGAACGCTAGCCGTACTCGCTCCAGGTTTTCACTGCGGCGGAGAAACTCAAAAAGAGCACTAGCTGTAGAGAGGCCTCCGTCATCTTCTCTCTCAGACAGAACAATCAAGATGAGTAAGGTGGACCAGAGCATGTTCCATAATGGCCAGCTGCCTCAAATATATTCTCTTCGAAGGGAATCTCTTAGGAGAGAAAGCTCCCGGCCGTTACCGTCCACCATGTCATCTACTTCCGCCGCATTTCTAGGTCGACCACTGTGACCTTCACCCTACCACAGCCGTCGCATGCGGTTTGGGCCCCAGAATGCTGAGCCTCCCACGTAGAAGCTCGCCGAGCGGAGCTTAGCTTGAAATTGCTGAGCCCATCCCAGGGCTCTGAGAACAATCGACAACTGTAATGCCTCTACATCTTCGTCCTCCCAGCCCGTTGTATGCATGAGGAGTTTACTCTGGCTGATGCGCAGTTGTCGCCAATGAGTACCCCAGCAATTGTCGAATAGAAACCCGGGCTCACGATTGAACGTGTCGGGGTTCGAGAAATTTGCTATCGCTTCGTCGAATTGTTCAAGCGCAGGGGCTCCTTCCGTTGAGGTTGACGTTCTCTGGGGGTGGACTCGGTCGCGTTGAACACATCCCAACTTCTGGAAATATAGATGATCCGTTACATGGCGTACTCGCTGCTCTAATTCCTTGCGATCAGCCTCGTATTCCGCATAGAGGACTCTCTTTTCGCTCTCCGATAGAGCTGACCATTGATACGACATAAGGCTCTCAAGACTTTTCTCTTCACAATTATCATCGCTGATAGATCCCCTCCTTGGATCATCCGGCAACGCAATGCTTCGCTCCCACTCGCGAAAGCTACCAAATTCTCGCAACCCTTGGGTTGTCCGAAGAACTAACTTCTGCACATTCTGAGCTAGCTCTTTTCGCTTGGCAATCTCAAGTATTCGTTCGACACTGGCTCTGCTAAGCTCGTATAGAACCTGTTGGAAGCAAGAGGGAGTAGAAATCCTTTGAAGGTCTCGACTCAAGAGTCGGAGTCGCTTCAGATCAGCCAGAGCCAGATAGGCCAGGATCTCGTACCAAAGCTCCACAGGAAGTTCAGCAAGAGACCCCCCCGGAATCCATCTGGACAGAACGACGCAACTTTCACAGCTAACGGGAGATCGCGATGGCAGCGGATAGGTTACTTGATTACAGAGGAGATGTATGCGATGGGAGGAGCAGCGTGGACGAAATCGAACAGCCGGAGGCGGGTGAGACAGCGAAACGGGCTGGGGGTAAACAATCTGCAATTAGGTTTAAGGGCGAGATACATGATAGTCAGAGGACAACTTACAGAAGACAGTACAAGAAGGTACTTGGCACTCTCGAGCAACGAGCTGCGTACTGCAGACAGCCCCAAGTCCGCGGGAAGGAGTAGAAGTGAGGGCAGCGACGCACAGACCGATGAAGGCGAAGACGGTAGTGCCAGCGGCGACGACAGCGACAACACCACTCGACGCTACCAACATCACCCTATCCACCGCCGCAGGACGAATGTAGACACGATGAAGGACGCATGCGAGCTCTTCTGCTGGAAGGGCCGGCAAATGTCCTGTCGACTATCCCGAATGAGGCTTCTAATTATGAGGGCATAGAAACCTTTAATACCAGAAAGGAAACGCAATGGGAAAGGAAGGTATCAACGCATATAAATGCCAAGAAGACGCCACAACTTCACGGAGGGGGGGGGAATAGATGGATTGAGGCGGGTAAGAATCCGGCGTTCTCTGGCACACGATACCTAGAGTACCCAAAACAATAAAGAGTGCAGCTAAACCCACCACTATCTTCCTCCATGAAGGGTATTGAATCAGAGGGACCCCAACCTTTGTTAATTACGACGCCCGACATTCCTACGAAACGCGCCTGGACAGAAATCTGGAATAAAATGTGCTACCATGCACACAGGGCATGAACGATATATGGAATGGGAAAAGGTCCTACGACACTACCTCTCTTGTGAACCTAGTTGAAGGAGCAGCATTCGGCCCGAAGTCAGGAAGACCCATATTCGGAAATACCTTTTGAACCTTGCGCGCCAAATATTGAGACCACCTCCCCTTAACCTCGCGAAAGGTTGTGGCGGCCCACCGCAACTCGGCCAGTTCCTTCTCATTTTCGGATAGTGGCGAAAGATGTTCCAGTGACAGACGTTCCATCTCAGCGTTCCAGGCGAAGTCGAAGAAAAGAGGGAAAGAATAGCGCGGCAGAGAGCCCGATATCGGTCGGCGGACGCGGTGAGGACGAGATCGATAGCGGCCCCACGTAAGTTGGTCAAACATGTCACCTACTACTCGTACATAGAATATTGGCACGCTATAGATATAAGCGGAGAGAAATATATTGCTTACCATTTACTACGAAAGAGGTCTCAACACACGGAACGTCCACCCACTTATCAGTCGGAGAGAGAACCTGCCGTGAAATTGTGAGTTGAAGCTGTAAGTGTTCGTTGTAGTTTTACTGACCTGAAGGCCAGGCGAATCCACTTTCAGGATGGTGAGATAACCAAAATCTATAGCCATCAATTACCAATTTAGAGGAAGTTCAGGGGACAAGAGCAGTCCCACCCGTATGTTCGCCTATGCCGAAGCCATCCTCACCGCCACTCGGTCCATTTACAGCATCTCCTTCGATAGGGGCATACTTGAAACATCGAAAGATTACTACTGGCTCTGGTTCCAGGAAGCGCTTGCGCAACTCTTCTTTATCCAAGCCCAAACTCAATGAGAACATATCTGTCAGGGCTTTTCCCAGCTTTATTACTTCGTTCACGTACTGTAGCACTTCTTGCCGCATGTTTGGGAGAGCTTGGTCGGGAAACTGGTTCTTGCCGTGTAGTGGCAGACCAATGAACGGGTGCTCATCAGAATGCTCGGGGCCAACGTACAGACCTTCCTTCCAGTCAATTTGTCCGTGGGTGTGCTCACCACCAAGTGGCATGTAACCGCGCCAGGCTACCCCCCCAGCGCGTACGTCCAGGGCTTCCTTGATGCAAAGAGGTAGGTCAAAGAAGGCCTGGGAGGTTGACAGTAAGGATGACTGAATTTTGGGAGACACTTCCGTGTCTGTGATGAGGAAGAAACCCCATGTTGAGGCGGCGGTGGCTATGGTTTGTATGATGCTTTGCCCTTCCGAGGAGTGCAGCCCGGTCCTGTAGTACCCCGCGAGACTAATAATTGGGACTTGCTCAGTCATTCTTGAAAGGACACAGAGGATTTTGGTGGTATTCAGAATGGCGAGAGTACGCTTCGGCGGGGTGATAGAGCGCGGGCACTCACTGCTGCATCTTCAGATGTCGTGTCTAGCGAGCAACGCCGGTTAAAGATATCACGGTGCAGACGAGACAACCGCTTTGGACGCCATTGCATGTAGTAATAATGTTGTGTTACAATATCAGCCTTTAACTACCAATAAATACATAGCACGTGCGTGTCTGTTAGCGTGCCCCACATCTTGATGCCAGCTGACCCACGACTTTCGCTCGAGGTGTCTAATGGCTTCGAAAACTGGCATGATTCGAAGTCCACTAACGTTATTTGTGTCGGCTATTCATCCATCATAGAAAGGCCAATGAAGACGAGCGCCATACTTTGGATCAGCGAGGGAGAGCACTAGCCAGGTTAAGCACAATTGTCGAAGGGGGGTTGGAAGTAACCTTGGGGGGGAGTTGCGTTCTGCCCCCGATGACGCTCTCGGATGACTTAATTGGTCCGATAACCTTATCACCTATTGGTAAAGTTGCTGTAGTCGGTTGTACGGTCTATCAGCCATCAGATGACAATCTCAGGGCACTAGGCAGCAGCATAACTAGTTCACTCACCCTTGGCGTGAGTGCATGGTGTATGAGTTCGACGATCCGTCTCACTAGTCGTTAGGATGCCAATCTGAAGCCTTGAAACCTGTAAGATACCATATAAACTGAAACATAAGACGACGGGATAACAGCTCGCATTTACTCTTCAGATCAACCCACAAACACAACTCAATATCAACTACAACGATAGCTGTACGGCAAAGAAAGTGGAGTAAGTATCGCGTCACGGAAAGGCATTTACTTACGTTTCACAGAAACGTTTTTTAAGGCAGCTCCAGGCACGAAATACCGCAAGCGCAATCATCTGGTGGACGGGCCCGAGAAAGTCTATGATTGTCAGGAGAAGCCGAACGGTCCCAACTGCGCAGACCCTCAATACAACCACTCCATAACTGACAAAGTTGTCAACGACTTCTGTCCAAACTGCAAGGCTGAAGGACGCTCATAGCCGACCTACACATTAAACATAAAATGACCTGCGGTCTCATTTGACGGGGACTAGCTCATCTGTGTTTAAGACAAGTCTGTTAAATAACAGGCTTTACAGACGCTTAATAAAACTTGATCTACCTAGAAGCATCAGTCCCAAATAACATCAGAAGTCTCATAACCCTCAGCTTTCTAAGCCGCACGGTAAGCCTCTCCACCTCTCCATCGGTGGTCTTTCTCAATCGCTGAGTAATCAATATTCGGTTGTACCCCAGGCGGGAACTCCGTTGATTGAACCGCTGCGTTTTTGCCAATACCTGCAATCACCTTGCCTAAGGACGAGAAGCTGGGAAGTTTCCCTGTCCAGCCCGCCTGTATGACTTGGTCGAAATCTTTTGCCGCCTCATCAATAATGCCCTGACCACTTTTGAGCATGTTGACGGTTTCTCTTACTTCGACGCGGTTGTTGGCTTTTGCAATGGGGCCAATACCACCTGATTTGTATACCCTCATCCAATAATCTTCTTCCCTCCCTCAAGCAGGCTAATCTTCTTCTCAAGCCTTGAACGTTCGCACTTTGTCTGCATTTCCTCCCCCGCAATATCCTCTAAAGCATCAGGACCCAGGGTGGCAACGAGCTGGGCAGAGAACAAGGTCAACGAGGTCTTCTTTCCCGTCACAAGCATGCAGTCGGCGACTTGCATACGAACCGCATCCACGAACCGCTTCCTAGCGACCTCATAGTACGCACAAAGTATGGCATGAATTTCGAGTGTGGTGTGGCTTGCGTTGCTCAGGGGATGGCTTTGAACGATGTCCCACAAGTACCATCATCCAACTCCGTGCTCACCAACAAATCCAAGACACTTCATAATCCGCTAACGGCCTCTCCAATGCCTGCTCCCTCGACACCCAAATGTAGCTACAGCAAGGCGAAGCCAGAACTTTGAGTGTCTCATCCCGAAATAACTCCCACCACTCTCTCGGCATTGCGTCCGGTGGGCTTCCAGCGGGTCGCGGAATGTTTGGACTTCTCCTAGACACTGGGATCCCAAATGCAACGGGGATTTGCGTAACCGTTGCGTTTGATGGAGCTAAGGCTTAGAGAACGTAAGGCTTCTACATTGTCATGGTTGATGGCGTCGGTGTCCAAAGTGTGGGAATCCGTCGTGATGAGCATGGAAGAAGATGATAGAGGAAGGCAAGTGTAGTAGTTGTGAAGAGGTAGGTTAGGTAGGTGTTTACTTAGTTGCATTTCTTGATAAAGGTGTTGAAGGAGCTGGGTGAATGAGTAGAGTCGATTGTGGGGATCGTGTTTTGCCAGTCGGGGAGTTGGAAGGATACCCAGGTTGTGTCTTTGGTTGCGATCTTGCCCATTACGACGAATCGAAGAAGCGGTCTAGGAGAGAAGAAGCTGTGTCTATCGGAGTGAGGTTGGCTCCACATTTTTAGAGACATCATCAATCGTATGTCCCGCAACACCTTTCTGCGTAAACCTACTGCGCTGTTGGGCGATACCTTCTCGATCACCACTGATAAAATGTCTCCAGGCGGCTCGACTTCCCCACTAACATCCCCTTCCCTCACCACTTGATATTTCCTAGGCTCCCTTGCCTCGTAATAAGTAGGCCGACCGGTTTCCGCGTACGTCCGGGTATCAAATGCCTTCAGTCGAATTTTTCCACTGAAATCCTTATTACCATGAACGACATGTCTCTTAACTAGCCTAACGGATAGGATATAGGCAAATCACAGGCTCGCAGAGCTCTGTGATTTGAGCATGTATTGAATCTCATTTTACAAGGCTAGTGGCGCTTCCGTTCGATTATTAGAACAAAATGAGAGGGCCGACAGGAGGTACCAATATAGGAGACTTAGTGCAGGCCACAGGGTTTAACTTTTTCATGGTACTCTTCTAACCCGGTGACGTGTATGTCTCCTCGTTTTTTCTCCTCCACCGGGTTTCTTCTCCGCTTCGTCACTCGCCGGTATTCAAATAATAGCTACGGCGGCAACCTAAAAAATCTCAATCTAGAGTAGCATCTCGTATCCCCAACATGCAACTCGTCGTCCCCGAGGCCTTATCGACCAGGTCATAGGTGCGGTCGTGCAAAATACACCCGATCGCAAATTCCCCGTCAACCCGATCCAGAACGTCAAGGAAAACGGTCACCCAGTCATCATTCGCCTGATTTTCAGTTGCGCGATGGTGTTCAACTATCATGATAGTTAGGAATTCACGCAGTGGCAGGTGTGTGGGAACGAAGGAGGGAAGGCGGTTCAGTTGAAGGCTGTTGATGAGATTGGGGGTGCTAGAGAGGCTTTTTGTGAGAGTGTAGCGGAGAAGGGAAGTTCTATGGGCACCTAGTGCAACTTCTGCTCCCGGTTTGGCATCACACTATAGCAGGTTTGTCAGCAGGTGGCGGTTGGAGTTATCATCGTCGGTGCTCTTGCTACGTTGCTGGCTATTGCTGGGCTTAGTTTCCGCTTCGTACGAAAGAAAAATAGACGAGGAGTCGTGGAAGAGGAAGGATAACATGCCGAAGCGGAAACTGAGTTAAACTAAATCTTCGACAACATACAACGGAGATGCCGACTGGAGATGATAACAAGGTGGAGCTGGAAGATCAGACGATAGAATCTGTCCGTACGTAAGTACAGCTGCGTCTGTACACGCGTACGGCTGAATTAGGTTGCCTGAAACGTTGGCTATCTGGCCTGTGCGCTAGGGGCTATGTGTACTTAAAAGCCCTCTTTCTTTATACAAAAAGAGAGGGCAGTAGTTAATAACAAGAAGATCTTTACCTACTTACCTCTTAGTACGCCCCTTAGGCGTATGTTTGTTTAATTAAACCTAGGTTAACTAACACTAATTAGT